AACAAAATCTGCATGCGTACTTCACATCAACCTCTTCTCCCATCCTGCATACTTGTCCAATTTCGTATCTCTGCTTCATCTTACCATATATCTCATCATCATCTTCCCACTTCAACAAAATCTGCATGCGTACTTCGTAACTACTCAACTCCTTTATCCTCTATATCAACCAGGTTAGGCTTTCCCTCCACAGACGCTCGTCCACTTCGCCCTAATCCCTGACGGCTTCCTAACCCTGATTCTAATACATTTTTCTGTATAAATCATCTCCTCACACTTCTTCATCTCCCCCTTCATATCCCACAGCATCCACTTCAGCACCTTCATCGCGCACCAGTCCTCCACTGCACACTGTCGTCAGCTCGCCATTTATCCGCTCATAATTCCCAATTGTACTTACAGCCTCCAACCTCCAATCCCTTCTCATGTCGCGCCGGCTTCAACATGTTCTCCTCCGTCCACTTCTCGAAGGGCCCTAAACTCTCACTCGTCAGCATTCTATACACATCTCATCCGCACACACAACTCACCTTCTTCCACATACCCATTCACCCGCCATCGAATGACAGGCAGATTCTCCATACACTCGTCAGCCCCTACTCCTTCCTCGTCAGTCCTTCTCTTCAAACCCTTCAACCAACTATCCATTCAAACTTACCGTCAATCCACAGTCGCCCCACAGCCTCTACAAACCCCTCCCCCCTCTTCATCTCAATACTCCCCATCATCTCGATCCCCCCCTTCTGTTTTCATATCGTCATCTTCCCATCTCGCCACTCGGTCAATCTCTCAGTACTCACCTCCAATCGCTCACGCAGCACCCAATCATTCTCCCACCAGTCGATCTCGTGCTTGAAGCAAGAATAGGTCTCCATGATCGAGAGTCTGCGAACACGCCCTCCCTCTCATTCCCTCTTCATCTATATACTTTTTCTCTCCTTCTCTTCACATATTGTCTGCTGTCACTTTCTTCAAATACTCTAGTCTTCTTCACGTACACCGTCATCAATGTAGCCTAGAATACATCCAATATATCCCTTCCATCATTCACGCTCAGCCTAGATCCCCTTCACCTCATTTACACTCCACTGCTAATCTCCTCGCCCATCATCACATCCTTCCTTCATTCAGTCTATTCCATCTTCGTCACATTTTTTCTCACTCGCAACTGCCGCATGTCAATTTAGATCAACGACATTCTCATCATCCAATAAACAGTAACCTCATGCACACAGAATTCCCTCCAAGATGGAATGTATGCACCCAGCCCCACCGAAATCCCGTTCTCACTGCATTTACATCCATCTCCACAGAATTCCGTCCAGGAGGGAATCTCTGCACCCATCTCTTCGGCGCTTCTCCCACCCATGTCTGCCGCTCTCTCTTTCCGTCCTGGATGGAACGCTCGCCTCACACCATCGACGTCCATATGCCCCTGTCCACAACCACCGACCCTGCCCCACAGATGCCCAACCCTGCCCCCTAGCCGCCCAACCCTGCCCCCTAGCTGCCCAACCCTGCCCTCTAGCTGCCCAACCCTGGCCCACAGCCGCCCAACCCTGGGCCCTAGGCGCCCGACCCTACGCCAGCCCTAGGGTCAGACGAGAGTCCCCATAACCCTAAGATTTGGTATGGAGAGATGAATTCCGCGCACGGATTGCATCTATAATAATATTACTTGTATCCGCATCAACATAATCTGCACACGGATTGTGTCAACACCTCGTACATGCATCATTTCAATTTTCACCAATTGACATTCTCAATTTAATGCATGGCTTCCATCAATTCAATCACTCCATTGACATTGCTCTTACCAGAGTCCATACTCATATCTTATCTGTACTTTGACCCATACACTCAACAAAATCCGCATGCATACTTCACATCAACCTCTTCTCCCATCCTGCATACTTGTCCAATTTCGTATCTCTGCTTCATCTTACCATATATCTCATCATCATCTCCCCACTTCAACAAAATCCGCATGCGTACTTCGTAACTACTCAACTCCTTTATCCTCTATATCAACCAGGTTAGGCTTTCCCTCCACAGACGCTCGTCCACTTTGCCCTAATCCCTGATGGCTTCCTAACCCTGATTCTAATACATTTTTCTGTATAAATCGACTGTTGAAAGCGGCATGTGGTATTATGCCATTACTTGCATCGTTGTCTCACCGGTTCTTCTCTCCAGCTCGACAACCATGGGTCTTCATGCCGTGGTAACATGAAGGATAGAGCTCGACCCCTGGTAGAGGCCGAGTTCCATTTCCGATCAATGGGTAACAAGGAGAAGGATAAAAAATGAAACAAGAGACTCCTGCAGTCTCTTCATGAGGGTGAACCTTTCCAGTTCTGCTATAAGGTATGGATTCTTTATCGCAGTATCAGGCAATACTAATAACGACATTCCAAGCTCACCGGGTTTTCCGAGTCGAAGCTCATTCTCAAGATCCTTCAACTTCAATGTTTCAAGAATTCGTCAGACATTGGTGTTGAGTATGAAGCCAATTTCAATCCTATTCCTCTCCCGACACTTGCGCTACTCTTGACATTGGTAAGACCAACAACCCGGCTGTTCTTGATATGAATACTGATAATTTTTAGGTTGACTTCCTCTTAGAGGAATGGGAATCCGGCAAATGTATCCACAGTGATTTCTCCGAGGACAAAAACAATATCCGATTCGAAACAAACCTTAAGCGTGTATGTGACTGGGAAGCGACTAATCCGGCAGTCGTAGAGAAGATTCGACGAGCCATGTACAGGCATGTTTGGTAGGTATTCATCAGTATTCAGTTGCATCTATCTGATCGTTGTTGTAGTCAAATGGCCAGTATCAAGACTACTAACAGCAATATTTCTATAGGTTTCTCTGATGCTTCGAAGATGCGTATCACCGAGGAGCTCGCGGCTCGCACCGGAGATACTGAGAGTGAAATGTCCAGTGATGAGGATATTGACAACGATCTGGGGGCGTTGCAGATGACGTCTAATGCTAGCGGGCAAATGGGTGGGCAAGAATAGGTCGGTAGAAGCCTTGATGTAGTGTTATTCAATCCCAACACCGGAAAACTACTAGTAGAATAATCTGAATTATTTGATCCTGCCGTTCCGAGCGCTATTCATAACAGTCCCAGATCTACTGTCTTTATTGATCTACGGAATGCTCCATTGCTGCCTCGTAGCACTAGGTACTGTGTCCTAGTTGCAACAGAGTTTCTCTCTAGCACTACAAAGACGACACTCAAGGTCTACAGACTACTTCATTGCTGTCACCATTGTGCTATGTAGTGCTACAGTCTCTACGGCCTTCAACAGACGCACCTACTTGCCTACCAAGCTACATATGCTATGTAGTCTCCGGAGCCCTCTGTATACATGTCGGTGATTCCTGATGTACGCTCAGTACTAGTAGCCTCCTTCGGACGGACCGCTTCTCCAACACACTCTCGCGACTGGGGTGTCATGTTGGATGGTTAAAGACCCGATATAAGCAAGGTGAGTTGGATAGACACCAACTTCAACCACAGTTTGATCTGTGAGTTAGAATCCATAGGTTTTGCTAACGTCGTTACAGCTATCCCCATCATTAGAAAGCTCCGATATCGGGATCTTTCTTGATTCTTGTCCTCCTTTTCTGTACCAGTTCTCTTAGCGCAAAACGCCACCGTCATCCTGGTATCCTTCACGGCTGTCATCGCGCTGGTCCTTTTGCTCAGTTATTTCCATTACGCCGCCTTGTCAAACCCTTGTGGCTAAAGTTTACCCCTTTATCCACTGCTGTTCGGGAACCTCGTGTCAATTCCGACCTCATGCTCTCGTACGCACGCACCATCTGTGAGAGTGGTCTCAAGCACTGCAACCACCGTTGAGAGGGGCTAGGTGTACTCGAGGTCCGAACGTCGTGATGCATGCATGATGTTGGACGATCAGTCGTGACGTTGTTCAACTCGCTTCGCATTGTACCTCGCTAGGAAAACTTGTGCAAGCGAAATTGTTCCCTCTAACCTCTTTAAGTCGGTAAATAGTATTGCTACTCAAGTCAGCGAATAGGCTGAACCATGCTCAACATGAACGCTTGCCCTCACCGATCAGGTACACTCTCCGTAGCACACTGCGGGGTCCCTCGTCTACTCTAGTGCCCATTCTCGCGTCAACGCCACCGTTTGGAGTTGTCACGGGAGATCGGGCCAAAGACACTGGCATTAACCTCTTGGGACGATGTCACAGAGCGTTCGAAAGGGCTGTCATTCATTGAAGGTGATCGTCGGTTGAAGAACATAGAAGCGTAGCCATGGTGTGTCCTCCTACATGAAGCACGGAATGGAAGACGACGTCACCTTCGCTACCCTGAATGAATTCCCACATCCTGTCTGGACGACAGGTTTGCTAGCGAATATTTCACGGCTCCGACGGTCGGGAGAATCGACATTATTTACAAGTGTCCGAGTAGTGGACAGGCTGGACGGAGCAGAGGACGCTATCATCGGTTGATGGCGCCAAAGACACAACAAGAAAGAAGACTGCCCAGACGATTATTGACCGACGGATGATTACCGGAGCTCACTCATGCGACGACGCAAAGAAGACGTCCAATAAGGCAAGTCTGGTACCCCTTTGGGCAAGAAGCCAGAAGTGTGGCGTTCCTGTTTCCGATTCGGATTTGGGATGCCGTCTACGTGCTGAGGCCGAAAAAACATGGACGAAACGCAGCCGATGGACGCAGGAAAGAGCTTGCGCCGCTCTAACCGATGGCAACACCGACGATATTCCCAACCAACTATATAAGCATCGATCTTCGTCCGCCGCCCTCATCGCGCACCTTTCCCGCCCACTCCCACTATTCTTCCTCCACCCGAGTAGCGTGCAGCCTGTGTCACCGGCTGAACGCCTACCCTCTACAGCTGTATCCGTATCACGCATCCCGCACCAACGACCACATCGACTCACCCAATCACCCCTCCCAGTCGTCCTCTCTCATCAAACATCACAATCATGAGTGCCCCACCCTTGCCTTCCACATCTTTCACCGCTGCGATGCCCCTCTCGCTCTCCACGTTCGCGATTCCTCTCACCTTTACCACCATTCTTCTCGCCATATCCTCTTGTCTCCTTGGCGTTGCCGTCTATCGTCTCTACTTCTCCCCTCTCGCCGCCATCCCTGGACCTTGGTACGCTGCTGTCTCCGACCTTTGGATCAACATTCAGGTCGCGAGGCTCGAGCAATGCCGAGTTGTTCACGCCTTGTTTGAACAATACGGCCCTGTCGTTCGCATCGGTCCAAATAAAGTCGCTTTCTATGACGTCACTACCGCCAGGAGCGTGTATGCCATTCATAAGTTCGACAAGAGTACCCTGTACAAGAGCCTTCTGACGTATGTTTCTTTCTTTTATTCATTACATGCCATCTTACCGATCTTCCTCCTTTAGTAATGATAATGACCATGCGTGCGTGTTTCAATTCCTTCTCTAGGCACTCTCAATGACGCCGAGTTCATTCCAGTATGACAACGCTTCCACATAGTGAACACGCTATTCGTCGGAAGGCTTTTGCCCCTCACTACACCCTGTCCAACTTAGAACTCTTCCAGCCTGAAGTGCATCATTTTACTCTCAGGCTCACCGACGTAAGTCGGCAATATCGTCTCCATTATTCACCTCAGTCTGACCTTGCTCATCTAAAGACCCTTGATCGTCTTTCTGGAAAGACCTCTGTCGAGTGCCTGGATCTGTTCCGGCACTTCTTCGTAGATATCATGTCGTCCACGCTGTTCGGTTCTCGCTCGGGCTCATTGGATGCATGGTCTATGAACGTCCAAGACCCTCTTACAAATGCCATCCATGACTTTCCCATCCGTGGTATTCTGGTTGGTCTTCATACATTCTTCCTGTCCACATTGACCCTCAGATCGTCGTCTAGCGAAGCGTTGTACCCACTTCCATCTGGAAACTGTTCTGTCATATCCCAAATCTTCGCTTACGCCAGATCTGTGATTCGGACAAGATTATGGCCGAGGTTTGTTTCTACGCTGTCTAGACTCTAATTTAGATACTCATATACGCTATCCGTTATAGTTTGTAGGGGAGAAGCTCTACGAGGTTCGCGCGAAGTTGCACTCCGATGAGGACTCCGACGATACCAACACCGAGAAGGTACCTCTCATGCAACGTCTTCTCCGTCATCGACTTGTTTCGACCAATGAGCTCATGCCCGACCATCAAATCATTTCGGAATGCATGGGACATTTGTAAGTACTGAACTATATCGTTTCCTCTCACGTATACCATTTGACGTTGATTAAGCCTAGCTGGCGTCGATACCTCCTCGACTCTTCTTTCGTACTTGTTCTGGGAGCTCAGCCGTCGCACCGACATCATGGTCAAGCTCCAGGCCGAACTCGACGATGCTATTCCCGATGCACAATGTATTCCGGACATCTCCGTGCTCAACCAACTCCCGTATCTTAACGCTTTCTTGAAGGAGGGTAAGTATCATTACCCCCGTCTTCGTAGATAACGGGAATGCTAATGTCTACTCGCATAGGTCTTCGCGTTTACGGAACTGTCCCCGCTCTCCTCGAGCGTGTTGTGCCTTCTAGGACGTCGTCTCCTGTGGCTAAGTCTGACGAAGAATTTGACATGATGGGATATGCCCTTCCTCCTGGGACTCTTGTTGCAACTCAAGGTTGGAGTATGCACCGCGACGCAGACATCTTCCCCAGTCCCGACACCTTCTTACCTGAACGCTGGTTATCGGCGGATGGTTCTCAGGCAGAAGATGAACGTCTGATGAGGTATTTACATGTCGTGCTTTCTCGTTCACGTTGTCGTTTTCTCATACACTATTGTGTTCAGAATGTCGCAACACTTCATGCCTTTTGGCCTTGGCACACGGGTATGTGGCGGGCAAAACTTGGCTCGGATGATGCTCAAGATTGTTCTTGCCTCGACTGTCCGCAACTTCAACGTCTTTGCCAACTCTGCTGAGACGAATGAAAGAACAATGAAGATCATGGATGCATTTGTATGCATATATTCTTTCTTCATTCTCGTTCCCTACTCATGCAGCCACTGTCATGACAGGTGACGACTCCTCTTTCAAAGGAATGTCGACTCTCCTTCCTTGCTCGTGCCCAGTAAACGTGTTCTTGGCTTACTCTGCGCCGACGTCGTCGTTTCAAAAATATTTTAATCGCCCTGGACCGGCTCTATACCTCTTCTTAGAATCTCCCAATTTCTCGTCACATAAAGTACGCTTGGCAAGACCAACACCCCCCAGAGGATATCAACATATAATTTTTCACGTAATACGATAATAACGGTCTTCCTTCACCCGACCCTACAACTACCTTCCCTTCACTCATTGACCTTGCACTCTCGACGACTTCAAACCGCTTTCGACTACTTCGCCGTGTTTTCTTGATTATGTTGTACACTTTCCAGCTCCTTTCAAGACTCGCAATACGTTTGTTATCACAATGTTTTCGTCGTTTCATTTCACTTGCTCTGTTCGCCTTCAAGTTGTCGAAGGCGGCCACGGTCCCTCGTCATGTTGCATTGACAAGAGTCTTGGTTGTTTTAAGAGAGGTTTGCTCTTGGATTGGGTTGAGTACGAGATTGAAGACGAAACATAGAGAGAATTGGATGATCACAGGAAACCTTAGACTAGAATGTATTTCTTGATACCGACTCACGTTCTTTTTGGATTGGTCTCTTTCTCCGTCGTATATTACAATTAGCTAATGTGTGTACATACATAAATGTGAATGACTCCCTCGGTGACCCAATATTTTCTATTTGGCGCAACGTTTTAACGGGGCATATATATTGAAGTTTGAATAGTAGAGATTTTGCTTGAGTGAAAGCGATACGATCAACGTGCGACTTATACAACCGAGTACATTCTGTATCTTTGTAACAACACTCTACGCAGCGTACAAGTGCGCAACACTTACACACAACGACTTGTAGCTACCATTCTCCTCCGTTGAAGTCCGACGACGAGGGTCTCAAGACATTTAATCACCCGCTTACATGATTCTGGGGAGTCCGAGTCCAAGACTGTACCAACTTTGGGATTATATCATAATGAATACATGGCATACTTTGCTCCCTATGCTAGCACTCTACCATGAGATGCTCCCGTGACCCCCCGTTTACAGGTCAACAGGAATGCAGCCAATAGAGAGTAAACCGCCCTGAGATAATTGGTGAGCAGAAGTACGAACGACAGGAAGCAATGCCTACAAAGTTGTTGTCAGAGCAGCAGACAGGGTTGGCGCTGCAACTGCCACCTCCGACTCCAACTCCGGAGATAGGAGAACAAGTCACGCCGAGGAGGACGTTAACATCCTGCACGACAACACCCACAGCATCGAGCAACTCCGCCCCTGCAGCGGAGCCCGCCTAAGTCCAAACATTGTGTAAGTTACAGAGGATTAAATAGGCGAAGAAAGCATTATCGCACCGTCTCTGTGGATTCACAGCACTGAATGGGAGCAGTAGAGCATGAGCTGGCCGGTACGCCGCGTTTGGTGAGAGAGGCTGGGGTGGCGGCCGCAAGGAAGGGGAGGGCAAGAACGGTGCATGCAGCGAGACGAGATAACATTGTGAAAATGATTATTCGATATCAATGGAGAAGTGGCTTCAAGGGCTGTTTGAGAATGCTGGTTCGAACTGTTGCGGTTGCGGTTGCTGAAGATTAAAGGCGCACAAAAGCTCACCTTTATATCTCTCTACGTGGGCTGATTCTGCAGTTGCTTCTTGAGGTGCGGTGGACACGAGAATTGCAGGATGCATCGCGAAGTCATATCCATCGTTCGTAGCTCCACAACAACGAGGAGAGATATCACTGTCATAGCAGGGGAATGCGTAGCGTTGAATAGTTGGAAGGGCAAACTGCATGTGGAATCTCCACAATGTGAGTTTTGTGGAGACAATACGTCCGCAGCAATCGCCGCATATTTCCAATCTTCCTTGAATGCCCCCGAAACATGCTCGATTGAGGTACTGCAGTATATGCGAACGACACTTAATTTCCGTCCTATTTGAAAAGTCTCTTCTTTCAGAACCGCATCTATATTCAGTCTTGACACTGGAAGATCTATCAAACCGAGAATGGACTCACCTGTTTGAACATGACGACTTGGAATACATATTCCAAAAGGATGCGGGCGGACAACATCTGATCCAAATCTTCGAGGGTGACTTCCTCTGGTAAATTGTGATACCACAATCAATGCAAATTACCCTTAGAGTTTTCGTTTCCCCCTACTGAGGGACAGAGACCTAACAAAGCAGAGGACGCGGATGATTCCCAATTTCGAAGTGTACTTCATATGAAAACATCACCCACTGAGAAGCAGGAAACGAGGTCCGTCTAATGCTTCAACTGAAGGCGTTCATGGGATATCTGAAGAAGCCGTAGCGGCATGGACTGACGAGCATACGGTCAGCTTTGAGAACGTGATGTCAGGAGTGTTATATGACTTACACGTTCATAGACGATCCTCGTCGCTCTACCGCCGTTCTACAAAGAACAAACGTCATAGCATCGCCATGAATGGAGTAGGAGCAGGTTCTATTCTTGTCATATGAGAGCTCTACGTTACGCATAACCTGTCTATGAAAATAATCGGCACTTGAGTGGATTCAGATCAGGAGACCCGATGGAGTGGGTTGTGCCTTTCATATGGCGGTCATGATTTCATTAGCTTCCAAAAATGGGATTGTGTCAAAGTTATTGCACTCACTAGGGCCTGGCAAAGTGATCGCGCAAGAAAATGGGTTGTACGGTCAATTGAAGTTTCAAACCATTAGAGTCAACGAAGTCAACTTTGATCGAAGATTGGTATCGGTCACCGATAAGCTGGATCCCACAGCATCCGCAACACCTGGAATGCTGCGACCCTATTCGGCGCAAGCCTGAGAAGCTCAACTTCTCAGCCGGTCCCAGTTCAATACGATTAAAGCTCGCGATGGAATGAAATCGAATATGATGATAGAATAACTTCAACTTTGAAATAGTCTCGGGACAGCACAAATGGGGGTGGAAATATTTCGTCTCGACGCCAAGACCCGCGCACTCTGGATCGTGTCGGATGATCTTTGCAAAGCCTGTGTCTCCAAAGTTCGCACACTCACCCATCATTCCACCAATTGATCCATAGAAACAAACAAAATGCTGAAGAGAGTATCTTTGGATGACCAATGAATGGTTGAGGATGTCTGGTGTTGCAACCTGAAGACGAACAAGAGGGATCGACGTAGGCTCAGTTTGAATCGACGGTGATCAACTTTGAAGCTATTTACCCCCATTTGGTAGTAGCGCATTCTGCCGAGCTGTGATTTACGCATCAGACGGAGATATTCTGAAGCACGAAGTCTCCATCCACTTACTCTGCTTTAGGGAGACTTATGATCTGCACTTTCGCCAAAGGACTTTCACGTTGTCACTGTGGATAGACTGAGAGCATCTGCATCCTGTTATGTGTGAATATCATCGTTGATTCTTCCTGCCGAGTGAGCTATTGTCAAAGTATACTCACATAGAATCGCTAATAACCTTTCAATGTATGCGTAACGATCTGTCACCAACGTTATGCAGGAACGAAGGTTTAAGCTTCTCCCTTAGGTCTACCACTCGACCGACATCGTTCCTTCAAAGCCGTAGACTTAAATAGTATGTGTTGCTCGGGACGAAGGACGCTGGTTCTAGAGCGAGTCGTATTCATGGAGCTACTCACATATCTCTGGGTCAGGAAGTGGCGACAAGAAGGGCTGACATGTATTATTGCTCACGGAAAAACTGTAGCCAGGTCAGCATACGGTACAAATTATTAAACATCGACCTGAGTTTTCCTGCCACTGGACGGTCTGGACCTTAGCTCTTGGTAAGTCGAATCTCTGTACGAATCGCGGGCACTTCCAGGGCAACAAATTAATTTTCATCTCTGGATGAACGTAATGGTGCTCAAGCATCTTCTGCGACTTATGGTCTTTCCACCGATGCATCAGTAAAACGGGGAGATCGTGGTATAGCATTACATCAATTATCGCATACCATGATCGGTAATCCACAAGGTAGCAATGTGGAAGGCGGTAAATGACGATGTGAACATGCCGCCAACATTGTGCCAATTGACCAATGCAATGTCTGATAGGGTCTATTGGCGCAATCTCTACACTATTATACTACATGCGTAATCTAGTGTCCTGTACATGTTATTTGCTGTACGCTTCATACTGACAAACCACGTCATCATTTCCAAATATGCCAAGAACTCACCCGGGTGGCTATTTCAACAAGCATAGTAAAAGGTAAACGAGCAAGGTGCATTACTACTACAATACATTAGAGACTAGCAAAGCCGTCGTTACTGCCCTCTTCTTCATCTGACCCCTTGTCCTCCTCTTGTTCACCCGTACTACATTCCGAGTCATCTTCACCTGAATCGGAGTCTATGAGCAGCGAATCATCGTCGGACCACGATGATTCGACGTCTGACTCCTCCTGAATATATTCCCTTCCTTCAACCTCTTCCACATCTGACATGGCTGAATCACCTGCCTCGGTGGGGCTTAGAGTCTGAGTCTGCGCCAGATGTCCGACACCAGCTCCATAATGTCTCAAGAGCATATCACGGTCGACAAAGCTACACATGAAAACAGTGTATCTTTAATGTACAAGCCGGGAAATGAAAAAAAAAGGACACACACATTCCGACATAGAAGTTCAACCAGTCCTCCGATACACCTGCTTTCCTCGCAATACTGTCACCATTCGAGTGAAGCAACTGAGTAGTTTTTCCTTCATTGAATGCCGGCATGAGATGGCATCCGCGTAGGACATAAGACGGATCCAGAAACCCAAAGGCAAAGGGGTCGTCGTCTGGTACAAATCCAATCTTGGGCAGACGTGAAAACTTGAACCCAGAACGGTAACCGCGCTCCGCTCCATACCATCGCACCCAGAGGAACTCCATATGTCTTCCATATATGGAGGGTATACGACCGCAATTTTCGCTCGTTGGTATTACAGAAACTGTCGCATGATACACACCAAGAACTCTGGCATACCAGAATGAGTGTGCACCTGCCAGTGAGCGTGTCTCCATAGATTTGATCATTACATTGCATTGACGCATCGGGTTGACAGAATCTTGATCTCGTCGGACGTTGTAGGTGGTGTAATTGAAGCAAACGGTGTTGACTGAATAGATCTGATTGTTGGCAATCTGAACACAATTCCGGTCAGCGTCACTGAAATTGCCATGATTGTCCCCGTCAAACTCCTGGCCTAAGAGACAGCCAAGTAAGTGGTCTTTGAGTTTCGGTATAAAGTTCTATGAAGAGTGTGGGGGAGGTGTTCTGTCAGCACATTTGCCATACTCAAGTGAACCTTATTCGTACCGTAACTGCTGGATCTGTGCGATTATTGTGCATGAACTTGGAGAGGTCGATCGGATTATTCAGTGAAGGACTAATATAATGATGGAGCTCTGGCGGCACAAATATAGACGGATCATGAGAACGCTTGAATGTTTGTTTGCGATGTGCCTTCCAGTGTGAGTAACGGATGCGCATGTAACGCTTTCCGATTTGATTCTCATGGTTGCGTTTCGGACCTAGACGATATATACGTTTGACGACGCAATGAGCATGTTCGCCCTGGGTAGCAATATAAGTAAAGTAACTTGATGCAAAGAGATTGAAGTCACTCACAATTTGTGTCGAGTAATTATCAGTGGTGCCAAACCTCCGTATGTGCGCAGGATAGTCAGGCATTGCATGCCATTTGTACGTGTTGAGATTCAGAGCCTTGTACTTGCGTGAGGCGGTAGAGGCCACAGGAGCACCTGAATTTGAAGACTGAGCTTTCCTTCTCTGGCGTGCCATTGCCTCTCGAGGGAGCTCACGCGTATGAAACTTTGGACAAGTAACATCGTGAAAGTGACGAATGAGCTTTGCAAGGCTTCTCGTAAGTTCCTCCAGGTGGGCAATTGTCTCCTCGGTGTGCATGCGAAGCTTCGCGAAGCCATGCCACTCAGCCATTTTGAAGAGAAGCTTTGAGACGGCCTTATCATCACTTTCATCTGGAAATAGCCCTTCAAAGGCAGGGATAGCACACTGCAAGAGATCCTCAAAGTCGCGAGCACCAAGTTTCTTCATCTCCGATGCCTTGTTTGCAAAGCGCCTGATTGTGTCACATCCAAAGCGTGGTATCTCCCTATACCTACAATGATTGTCATTTCACAGGAATTCAAATTTTGGCAAAGGATTCCTTACCTCCGGTCAAGCTCTGCAACTCGTTCATCACCATTTGGCTGAGCATAAAGCAGTCGAATGAGATGTGTGAACAGGGCCTTCCAGGTACCCAGTTCAAACTCATGCATGAAGTCAACGACCAGCATGCGATGAAGTATAGTATCATCACCAAGTCTCTCAACAAATGCATTTGCTGTTGGCGTCGATGATGTCGGCTTCAACAGATCTTCAACTCGGCTTGATGCAATGGCATAACCCTTCCGATAAATAAGCTCCCGTGCAGCGGTAACTTTATTGAACATGTATTTGCGAATACCAGTTCCAAGTCGAAAGGCGAGATCGCGAGATTGACCAAACAAGCCCAATGAAGACTTCGAGGTTAAGCAACGGGGGCACGGACAGAGACCCTGGTCACGAATTGTAGCAAGGAGAATTCTAAATCAAAATAATCAGCATAATGCATAGTAAAATGAAGTCTATAAATTTACTTTTCTGGGTAATCCGCTGAGTACGTAAAGAATCGAGGATAGACACGTCGCTCGACTCCATCTGAGCAACAAATAATGATGCCATACTTGTAAGCATGTAGGAATTCATCATCCAACAGAAAACGCCAAACGGCCTGCATAAGTTCTCATCGACAGTGCGTGAGGATATTCTTCTTCTGTGTATGCCATTTGGGATGCCATGCTGCGATTTCATCTTGAATCCAATCAGGTAACTGGATAAAATTTAGGTAAGAGCGATGAACGGCACCAACCAATAAAGAAAATGGACTGAAGGTATGTAAGCCAGATGATGACAAGCACCAGACTCTGGCTGCGACCTAATATATTTCGATAGATTCCCGAACATTAAGTAAATTGGCCAAAGCTTTGCGGTTCCGAAGTCAGCCAAATGTGTGGCGTTAGACCAGAACATCAGCGTGGCGACGACCTTTTCACGCCGGCAACCCTGATCATCAGGAGGAAGCGGTGCTTTCCTCTTAACCCAATCATCCTCCTCGAGAAATGCGTCAGAGTTGTAGAGCTCACTAAAGACGCATCGATCATTGTCTGAGTTTGGTAGCCGTTGAAACAGTTTGAAGGGAGAGTAGTGAAGGTATGGTGATAGCTTGTCTGTAAATGCCATTCGAACAACGTCGACAAGATTTCGATACTGCAATCCGGGTATAGAAAATTGACGGGGAGGCACATCCCTGTCGCATGATGGAACCTCGATGTTGATTTCCGTCTCCTTGAAATGAAAGTCAGGGAGTACAGAACTTGGCGAGGTATTCTGCCCATCCTCCCTATCATCCATTTGTGCCAACACGTCAGAGAGTCTGGCATTCTGGCGGTTGGTGCTAAAACCTCTGCCGAAATCTGAGGGCCGAAAATCAGGATGTAGGAGAACGTCATGAACCAGTTCATCGACTTGAGCTTCGGACTTGTTTGTACTCCCGTTGTTGACCCAATTCATTAACAGAGCAATAGATGAGTTGAGGTATGGCCAGGTTTCAGGTCTGTTGGGCATGCTAGAGATCATATGGGCACTTTCTTCATTGAAGCTCGCAGATGGATACTGGGCTAAGTCATCGAGGGAGATGGCGGCATCTGGATCATGGGATGGACGGTGAAGGAATCTTCGCCAAATACCAAACACGTTCCGTGCTGTATCAAATGTGTCCCTAACGACAAGTACAACTCGGCGAAGAGTGTTCAGACCAGCTGGCAGTTCTGGCAGAGGTTCATTGTGCCTTAGAGGACGTCTCGATTGGCGTAAGGGCTGCATTTGCTGAAGTGAGTTTGTACATGGGGTGGATTCAGTATGCAGTGATTGCTCTGCAGAAATGAAGTCTGCAGTCATGGGTGTATCTACATGCATCGGCTCTGACACCACATGAGAAGCTACCCGTTCTACCTTCTATCGAGCAGCGTCAGTCAAAGAGTTCAGTATTTCACCTTGCGAAATAAACGCACCCGCCCACAAGCCCATAGCCTCGCGCTCCGTATGATATTCAAACTTGATACCATCTGTTTGCCAGAAGTGGAGCTGAGGGCGCGTGATGATTGAGCCAGAGATGCCGCATACTTGGAACATGTCTTTCGGTGTTTCTCAACAGAGGCTGAATTTCCGAATTGTCTTGGACACCCTTGTGAGCAGAGAATTGGCGCCATAAGGACTCTCAGTGACAGAATAAGATAGACGAGAAATGTTATCTTGAGACAGGCCATGCCCCTGCAGCAATGGTGTATACCCTTTGCGAGGAGGAAAGGGGGGGGGGGCGGGGCTAGGGGGCTGGTTGAGTCGGTTGGTAGTCAGAGTTTGAAATCGAGATGGAAGCGAGAGGCTAGGACGGATGTAGGCCGCTTCAGAACATATCGCGAGTGTCGGGATACCAACAGCCTACTTTTACCCTGTCGTGCGTGGCAACCAAACTGCAGCGAGATCAAGGCATATATAGAGTGGCTGTCTTCATCCTGTGCTGTAGAATATGTCCCCCATGTCATCTCACCGCACTACGCCTATGCCATCCCGGCGCACTCACAGCACTGAAATACCCTTCGTTGGCCCTCCTTATACTCAACGTGACAATGGCCGTACCCGCATCGACGCTTTAGAAGAAGAACTAGCAGAACTGCAGGAGGAAAATGAAAACCTAAGGACACATGTTATACAGCTACAAAAGAGTCAGAGCAATGGAAACGAGAAGAAGAGAACTAGCGACTCACAGTGCGTAATATCATGCCATCCCTGCACATGGTGAACGGTTACTCACGGATAGTCATCAGAGAACAAACCACTAATGCATTGGGTCGTGGTCATCATAGGCTTGTTCACATTTCCGATAGTCCTGCAACCGTCATCATGAATGCGCAAGCGCACATGGTCGCGCTCAAGGATGAAGACAGAGTGGCCTCGATCGAAGAGATGAAGGAGATGGATGAGGATTCGCGCGATGAGAAGATAGAGGAGGAGTTATCTGAGTGGAGAGCGTAAGCGATTATGTTCCTATACAGATCCAAACTTACTACGGCATCCAGTCAGGAAAGAAACTTGATCGCTTATGGGCAGCTTCTACGACTTCTCCCAAATTTGGAACGTCACTTGAGCGAGTCAACACCGGAGTCTGTTGAAGATTTCACTGTGCGAGTGAGTGCTTAAACAGTCAATGTTTAACTATGACTTACTTTATCACCATGATTACTTCTGCAGCTTCGTCGGGGTGCGAGTGAAGCAAGAAGCGACGACATCAATCGTTGCACTTCCAAATTAGGCAGCCTGTTGAACCACGTCCAAGATCCACGTGAACGACCGGACCCTCTGCTCAACGTCGATGGCAACAACATGAGGGCAAACCGCGGACTCAGTCACAAGACATGTTGCCGTTGGTTGCTCCCCATCGACGTCGCCCTTACAGAAGAGTGAGTGAGTGGTGATAGTTATGAGTGCTAGAATCGCTTACTGGCCGTTGTTGGCAGGACTCTCAGCAAAGCGGCCTCTCTTGAGATTGACCTCAGCGACAACTGGTTTATACGACTATTCTACAAAGATGGGGAAGGTGATCCGAGCAACGTTGAGGAAAATTTCCTCATGTCTACAATCTTGGTCCGCGTAAGTACTATCCAGTTTCTGAGATCCACAGCTGAACCGAGTTGTCTTTATGCAGCTTTATCAAGCCGTTTTCACTTCGCCCTCATCTGCGACAGGGAGTATTGATGGCGACAGCGACGATGAAGATGCCGCTCGCAGAAAGAGACGACGAGGCTCACGCGCCGTCCGAAGCTCAGTTGCAGACAAACTCCATATGAACAATCAGGTTACTCCACGGTCAATTGCTTACATCTGTGTGCTGGTATGCTTCCATTCAGCTTCATTTCAGATGTAAATGACACCGCTCTGACATTCATTTTCAACTAAAGGCACATTTTTCTCTCACTGATGCTACCCAGTGGGACACGACTGTATACGACGTCGACTATACAGCGATGTATGAGTTCATCGTTGACTACCTTGAGGACACTCCAACTGAACAGAGCCGGAAGAATGCAGAGACAATCTTGAGTTGGTGGAATAGGTAAGTTTCCTCATTTGTCGACAGTCACACTTCATTGATTGTTCGACCGTACAGGAAAGTTTTCAAGGGCAAGTCCTCAGGCATTCATGGCAATCAGAACAAGTCGCGAAAGCGATTGGCGGCTCAGCGACGGGAGAGATCAAACGTAGTATCGACATCGGCTGATTCTTGAATTCGTGGTGACAATTTTGTTGGGCTTCACTGCGGCCGCATTTCCTTTGTCGCTGAGCATGTACTACTATCTTATTAAATGCAAATATGTTCTCTTTCAATTGGTTGGTTTGTACTTGAGTCGACTGTCAATAGACAGCAAGAGGGTCCAGCAGCAACCCACATCTTCGAGTCTCACCCTATTCTCATGAATGAACAAGGCGTTGACTGGAGCCTCATTAGTTGTAAGTCTATTGCTCGCGAATGGGCCAATGGGTTGGTCACGAGTATCCAATTGACCAATCTTCCAGCACGTTGATACTTGATTGCTGAACTTGACACCCAGTGATGTCCGTTTCGCCAGTTGGCAATGAGTTGGCGCTTTGGCGTGAGGGAGAATATGCCAGTATATTCGCCTGTGAAACGCACGGCGATCGGGCTCATCTCATAACGTAGACATGGATTCACAACGTGGGTGATATTTCATATTCTCTTACCACCATTCCCCGGTTTTACTGATGACTCATAGCAAGGCTGCAGCGAATCTCTGGTCCGCTTTCTTTCCACTTGCAGACAGCCTTGTCCCCTGCTAGTGTCGGGTACCGGGACGGACTACCGAGCGTCGCGAGGCTATTCACAACACACGAACTCGTGGGAGAAGCCTAAACGTTTGCCATTGTGCCTTGGTGTAGTATATCAGCAGTTTGCATTCTCGTTGATTGCACGAACGTCTCTTCTCCGCAACACCACACCCTGAAGGAAAGAACTCTTCGTCTCCCTCGTTACAAGAATTCGTAGGTCACACAGCGATTACTCTCTCGGAATTTCTAATGCTAATGCCCGTAGTGTAGTGCATCATTTAGTGTGTATGGCATAATCGGAGAGCTGGCATGGCAGAGTGGACTCCTATTGCCCCTCAAGGTTCTTCGTCTCCCATATTTCCCAATGAGCTCGTTGATATGTTCATCGATCATCTTGATGACACGGACACCTTGCTGACTTGCATGCTTGTTCATCGGTGTTGGGCGATTCGAGCGCGTTATCACCTCTTTCAGGACCTCACTATCCGTCCCCTACTTGTCGATGGCGTCAAATCCTTTTACCACCTTCCCATTAAAGCTCGTGAGCTATCCCCTGTAACTCGAGGCCACGTAACGACATTATCCCTGATTGATCAAGGGCAATCCTCGGAGGTGCACATCGATGTGATACTTATGCAGGAGCTGCTACTGCTGTTTCCAAACGTCGAGAATATCAAGCTGGAGGTCACGATCATAGGAACCCCAGATGCACCCCACCTGAACTTCACCCCTGATCTCGGTCAAATCCGTCAATTGCGTTATCTGAAATTGAGTACGATCGTTGAGATCCTGCACGATTCCGACCTCCTCGACTTCTTCTCCCTGTTCTCTCGCATTGATAGGTTGTACATCGAAGATTGCAGTGCGGACGTTATCACGGCAGTCGATGTTGAACATTTCCCTGAAATTCACGCTTTGGAAATCCTTGACCTCGTTACAGACGATTTTATCAATGGTTTGTTTAAGGGTCCTCATCAATCGAGATTCGGGTCCGTTCAAGAGTTGGCCTTTTCTATCTTCGACCACAACAATGATGCTCGCTGGGAAACCGTTCTCGGTGAGGTTGGCCCGAAACTGCCCCAGCTCAAGGTTCTAATCTACGATCCCGTATCGGCTTATTTGCACGACGTTTTCCGGGTCCTGGATCCACCCACCCGTAAGTGATCTTAAAGCGAGTTCTATGAAAACACAATCTTACAGCAGTGTACAGTTCGAGCTTCCTTCTGGGAGATGCTGGTTGATTGGGATTGCTGTCTCGCCTTACAGAACTTAACTATCCACTCTTACGTTTGCAGCTCCAGCGTCGGCCATATGATAGGACAAGCAGTCTTTGCTGCAGTTATCCAGATTCTCTGTGATCTTCGCAATTCAAGACATGCTTGCACCTCCAGTGAGACTGGCATAGAGCACCTTACCATCGAATTCGAGGTGGACCACGAATTTGAGCATTTTCGGGATTTGTTCAGAGGGGCACCATGGAAGGACCTGGAGAAGGTGCTACTTGATCTTCGCCAGCATCCCAGAATTCGCTTACGCGAAGTTACGTTGTTGCTCAGCGGCATTAAGCCGTGGAGTGAATACGACGAGAGGCTCATTGATCAAGTGGCGCTTCGCATGGAGAAAGGTGTCGAAGGAATGGGTCCAGAGGGGTTTGTGGAATTCGAACGGTAGCTCTATAAGCTCCACGAGTCAAACACTAGCTGTTCACTATAAGCCCCATCCTGGGCGTAACCCGGGAGGAGTACATTCGTGACTATTGCGTATGAGAACAGTAAATCAACCAGATGAAAGGTCTGACCTGTTACATACATGCAAACATGTATATGTTCGAAATGACGGCTGTCTATATATAGCGGGCTTCGGTCCAGTACGCTAGTTGTTTCTCGTATTTCAAAAGTTTTTGCTTTAATAACGCTTTGAGCACTGCCAGGGTCCGTTGTCGCCGTTCAAAGATTCTCGCTCATCTGCGTTCCTGTAGACGCCTCTGTTGCCGCACAGTGTGTGCCACCCAGTGACAGCGCTCAAATCGTTTGCTTCATGACAGAAGGCACTGTAAGATGCATCCGTGCAATCGGCAGTCAGGTACTTACCCCCTCTTTCATTCAGTATTTGGAAAGACGGAATGATTCCTATACGGCTCGTGATCGCAGGGCCATGTGCAACCGAAGCTACCGCAAGAGCTACTAGACAATATTCTCGACTCTCTCTTCGATGACAAGGAAACCCTGTCCACCCTATCTGTTACATCTTCCTCGTTTACTTCGAGGAGCCAATACCATCTTTTCCATGACATTACGATCGAGCCGTCTTCAACTGTCGATGGAGATGCATACACCTTTGATCATACGATACACCGCCTGGGGCTACTTCATCCTGTCCTGTTAGAGGCTATCAAATTGCTTCGCTTGCAGGGTTCCGAGGATGCAGAAAATACTGTGTTGTATATGAGAGACATTTATGCCATCCTCAAGCTATGCGCCAAATTGAATGGCCTATACATTCAAAATGCTATGCTAGGACATTCCGCATACTCTGGAGAACCATCTGTTGTTCCAACCATGGACAGGTTGGCCTTGTTTGAATTCCAAGGTGCACATTGCATGCAAGACCTTCGCGACTTCTTCAGTCTCTTCCAATGCATCCATACACTTGATATCTATGATACTCGTCCCTTTCGAGAGGAAGATGCGCCAGATGGACTAGCACCTCCATTCCTTCCTGAACTTGACAACATTGTGATAGTGAAATCGTCAAGTGTTTGGTTTGCTGTATTGGTAATGGGTGCCTGCAACTCTTCCCCCAATGCCCTGCGAATGCTGGATGTTGAATACGAGAACATTGCTTCTCCCAAAGCTCTCCTGAGATGCAATTTGGATACCTTGATCCTCGACTACTACGAGGCCATGCTTGATTGGCCTGGAGGTGCTAATGATACAAGTATGATTAACAATCAAATGAATGAAGTTGGATTTGATCTAACTTGCTTTGATAGTTACGGAGACTTAGTTCAACAACCTGGACTTCTCTCAATGCCTCTTGCTTGGTAAACTTACATTCAAAATGTTTGTAAGATTCAATGCACCCACTGCCTTCCTATCTCATTATTTGTCCTCTGCCCTGCCAAGGGATAGCCTGCCTTTGCACATTATACTTGATATGCATGCACTTGGCATCCCGACAGACCCACTATCAGAACTCTTGGATGAAGCCCCATGGGAGCACATGCGATTGACTTTGAAATCATTGCAGATGACACATTGCCTTCGCCATGTAGAGATTCATCTGGGACATGTTCAATTGTACCCAAATGAAAGTGATTACAATTTTCGCAAAAATGAGATCGAAGAGGCAAAGCACAGAGTGAAGAATGAGTTAAAAGAACTACGAGCTACTGGCATGTTGACCGTAATGGCCCATACATGGAAACTAGAGGAATAAGAGAGATATATGTACCCTTCACACAGACCATCTTTTGATCATGCTGTCATTTAACATCCTTTGCAAACATGTGGCAAAACTATAGCAGAAAATTTGGTGAGTATTGTAGTTCATCAATGGCTGCTCCACGATAACCAGTCATCTAGCCAGTGCATCTTTCACAACTTGTGCTACTGAAATAAACTGATATTCTAGATGGCGAATGATGTTACTTTCACAATAAGATAATAGTGATTGTAGCCAATGCAGGAGAGAAACATAATGATCACCTATTTATCTCCATGCATTTTGTCAGCATTGTCCAATTCTAAACATGCTTAAATAACACAAAATGTAGAAAGACAAGGTGACTTAGTCTGACAGGGAAATTCCCTGCACACTCATGGAGCAAATGTAGAAATGAAATCTAATCCTAGAATAAAAGAGATACAAGCATAAATGACTCAAGTGATCTAACCTAGAAGTAAGCATGTCTAGATTCATATTTCAATATCCAGCAGTCGAAGAGATCCTGAAGGGCAGTATCCATGACTGTTCACTGTTCCCGCTCAAGCGCGACCTTCATAGGATCACACTGCAATTGAATCCTGATGTCACATGCATTGTGGGAATCCAACAAGGATGTCAATGCATCACCAAGGTGCTTCCAATGCACCTCATCGATGACAGGCCGGAATATGAGAAGCTTGAGAGTCAGTGTGCAAAGAATGGTGCGAATGAGGATTGGCACATGAGGAGTGGCCATTGTGACCATGTCCTCGGGGGAGAGAAGTGCCAATATATCGACGATTGCCTTAAGAAATGCATGTCTGTATGTACCGAGTTTCGGAAATGCATTCAGAATGACATGGTGTAAAGAAGGAAAGGCAGCAAATGGGAACCCATGCCAATGAAGACTGGGTACTGTGAATCCAAAGCTCAGGATTTGTGAATAGCTTGATGGATATTATATGAACCTGAACTTGGAGAGATATTGTGAAGCATATACTGACTGATAGATTGTTCTATACAAAGCTCCAAAGTCCGCACTGCCTTCAACAATTGCAGATTGTGAGCCATCGTAAGAAGAGAGAATTTCTCAAATTCTGCAGGTTCGTAAGAAAGTGCTATAAGGGACACACTGGGCCGGAAGTGATAAAACACCTCAATCGCATTCTGTTTCCCAGATGTGCGAAGCCTCCAGGACCTTATTGGTACATCCACCATTTTTGGTGAAATAAGTGCCAAGAGGTTGGTATCGATTATATGAAGAGAAACAATGTTATAAAATGTGTCAAAGAGTTCATGAAAGAAACTGTGTTCATGTCTAGATGCATGTGAGACTGGCACGGTGTAACTGACATGGTCCAAGATGAATGTCCGCAGTGCTATTGTAGAAGACCGAATGATCCGCTTTGAGTATTGGGAGTATTGAATTTGAAGGTTAGTGAGTGTGATTGACCTCAAATTCGGAAGTCTTTGAATGACTCCGAGGATCTTCCACCATGACATGGTAGATTGGGGTGACCGTTTGAACTGCGCTGGATGACACCCGGTGATTGTTAAGTCTGTCACGCAGCTTAGAGCACCAGGGGGTGCGGAACAGAGGTGAGGTACATTGGGTAGATTGAGTGATTCATCACAGAAGAATTGAATGGAGCCGAAGAGGTGAAATCTGGCAGTGGCCACCCATGAGCTCACAACAAGTGAACATTGTAAAAGGCTAGCTTTATCATTGTGGAGGAAGTCAAGAATACGATCTGAGAGTTAATTTGGTAACCTGGGAGCCATAGAGGAGAGATTGTGGAAGTTGACATTGACAGGTTTCTTCCCTCCCCAGTGGCTGCGCACATAGTTACCAGACAATCAAAAATGGAAAGGTCTCAGAGGCTCTTGGAAAATATGTACAAATAGTGCCGTCGCGTTTCATCGCGTCCTTCACAGACTTTTATGCACAAGTTGGATCATCTGCACAACACGCTTTATGCTCACGGACATTTGCAGCGAGAATAGTATACTGGGACGGAGTGTATAACTGTCTGTCCATGTAAGCTACAAGCCTTATAAACTAAACAAATGCAAGTGGACATGTCTCATTTTCTTCGATATAGCATGGGACAGTTGCCTCGCGGACTGATTGACAGTATTGTCGACGAGTGTGCGGATGAAAAGGCGGATCTTCTCCATTGCTCTCTCGTGGCTTCCCCTTGGCTACCCAGGGCTCGTCAACATCTCTTCCACACGGCGGTTGTTTGGCTTAGGAACAGACGAACCCCCGCCAGATACCCAAATGCAGCGACTGTTACTCAAATTGAAGAGTTCAGTCTTATCTTGGGAAAGTTGTCTCCAGAGCTGCGCGGTCTCATAAAATGTCTCCGCATATGGCGACGACAAGATTGGAACTCTCGTGAAGCACCTGCTGTTCCCAATCGCTATCTTCATGCGAAATCTATCCAAGGAATTCTACGGCTACTCCCAAATCTCATCGAACTGGATTTGCGGGGAGTGACCGTCAGAGACGAACCATCTGTTGATCCTAACATGGTCTTGACGCATCTGGGCCATAACCTGTGCTGCTTGACTATGAAGAACCGGTCCACTTCTGAGTGCCAAAGCCTAGGTATACTCAACCTACTCCTGTTGTTTGCCTCCATAAAGGATCTCCAGTACGAGGAACTTGGGCGATGCGACCCTTACGAACCCGACGAGGCCCAAGGACAGTGCTATGGCACCCTTGCACCGATATCTTCTCTGAAACTAACGCTTCGGCAACCGTGTTTACCATTGATCGCACGTCTACAACTGGCTGCCCGCGTTAAGCCGATGGATACGCTCGAGCTTCGCTTTGGACGAGAGCAAGACATATTGAACGCAGGTGCGTTCCTACGAAGCACCGGGACGAATCTTCGCACGTTGAAGCTGGATTGGGTCTCACTCATACTTGAGTGTTGGTCAGACGATTATGACAATCCTTGGGGTATGTCCAGACCGCTCGTTCTATCTCACCATCTTACTAACCTGCAGCGCTTCACTACCTCACGCAGTTCCGCAACATTACTGGCAAGTGTTGAAGGTTTCATCTTGCCCTATCCTGGAGAATCTCGTGATTATATGGTCCATGTGGGACACGAATCCTAGTGCTTGGGCACCTTCATTCTTCCGAGCCGTACCCGAATTTCTTTACACAACTTACCTTTCTTCGCCAACCGAGCAAGCGCTTTCCGTTCACACAATCACCATTCACATCTCTCTGACCCAGATGACGACATTATTGCTCCTCCAGGAGTTACAAACAATAGAATGGAACCGCATGAAGACCGTTCTCGAGGGTATGATCAGGCATTGTGGCACCAAGTGCATTCGTTTGAAATTCATCGACGAGAGACTCGAAGCAAAGTCTCTCGAGCGGAAGGTTGACGATGAATATGACATGGCTCAAACTGACGATGGAGCAATGGCGTACCCAATCGACTTGCATGATCTTCCCCCAGACATGGACATGGACTTCGACGATGAGGAGGGCACTGATGATGAAGACGACGAGATGGATATGGATGAAGACAACATGGGAGAGGACGATGATGATGACCAAGGTAATGCTGATGGAGAGGATCGTGAAGAAGATGTTCAGACTGCTAAGCTGGCAGATCTCACTGAGGCCGAGTTACGTCAGACGTTAATAAATTATCTGAAGGCCAGACTCGGTGCCTTGGATGGCACATTAGATATTGTATACTTGCCTTACTGAGTTTCTAAGGAACGTGTATCATAATCAGTGTATCCCATTATAATATCCAGAAAACCAAACCAACCAACCCGGGAAAATTAATACTGCAACTTCATTCAAAGTGGATGCATATGTTGTGGAAGAAAGCAGAAAACACGTGCAAATAGGTGTTTTACTTCCCTAACTTGAAGTATTCTTCAACTTGCCTTCAACGAAGCAACTCTTCCATCTTCTTTGCTTCGTTTCATCAAAATGTCCTCCTTGGCTCCTGTAAAGGACACCCCCAGTAAAACACAGAGACTACAGCAAATTGCGGATGTCATTCGACCATATTCTCAATCACCGTTCGTTACATCCAACTTTTCGATCGTTTCGTCTTCCAACTCACAGACCGAACATGTAATTTATTTCGCAATAACTAGATGGCCAATGTGGACCGTTGCCGGTATATGTGCGTCCTCCATACCCTACCTGCTTGCCCGTATGCCTTATCTCCTTCCCGAACAGTCCTTGCGTCGTCGATTGTCCCGCCCAATCCACTTCGACCTCCTCTAATGTACCGCCTGGGTTTCGGGGCCATCTTTTCCGGAGCAGGGTACGTGATCTCTACAGGAGACGTATACAATGGTACTGGGATCGCCACGGGTAAGCTTACCCTCTTCTCTTCAATTGACTTTCGTGTCTCCTCTCACAACATGCCGACATCTGATTCTTATATTGCCGCCACTGGTATTCCTTTGCTCTGGCTAAACTCACATCTCAGCATGGTCCCTGACATATCTCTTTCTCAATCTCCGCAAGTCTCTCAAACCTCCACTGAGCGGGTTATCACTTGCGTTGTCCGGAGCAGCTTTGGCGTCGTCAACATTATATGGAGCAGAGTACTTCTTACTTCAAGAGAAAGACTCATAGCACCGTATCTCTCTCGGCACCTTTTCTCAAGCAGGACATGTCATGTGTATACACTTTCAACAAGAACTAATGTATGTCGTTCACAAATCACAAGTGACCGACCGTCGCACGAGAAACATAACGTTCTCCGATCGAACGCAAACAAAGTTCTCAAGAAAAAAAAAACCGGCAGCTATTGCTCGGGACGTTTGTCAGAGTTAACTATTAGCCCACTCATGAAGCTGGGGCGAGTATAACACAAACGAGTATAATACAAATCAAACAATGATAACGAATCACATCCTTCCAAATGGATGATCGACAAAGTCACTTCACTTCTTCACTTCAGGCAAATCATGATGAGCCTCCACGTCTACAACCTCGACATCGGCATCCCCAACAAATGTGTCATCTTCCACCTTAGCGTCTTCTTGGGGTAGTATGAGGTTAAGCACAGCAGCAACAATTCCAGCGATCAAGACTATATCCAACCAAAACGTCAGCAACTGAATCCAGCCATCGACGGATAACGAGGGAAAGACTCACAAGGCGTCTCCAATATAATTTCCACACTATCCAACAATCCCTGCAAGCCTGTATGCGCTGCCACTGCTCTCGCAACCCGACTACTTTCGAACAAATGTGTGAAGATATCTGGGACTAAGAGATCACCAAAGCCGAAACAGAGGGCGGCGGCAAGCACAAATCGATCTCGACGAGTGAAGGATGTGTAAGAGAGTACTCGCAGACCTGAGACCGCGACAGTTGCAAAGAGGAAGGTCGTTACGCCGCCAAGGACTGGATTGGGGACTGGAAGAAAGGTTTGAGTTGAAGTGAGCGGAGGACAGGTAGAGGGGGATAGGACGCACTGGCTAAGAAGACACCTGAGATCTTGCCCAATACACCGAACAAGATGAGGAAGACACAGCAGAACCTCCCAGCTGTTCTGTTCGCACATCGAGTGATGGCGATGACACCGTTATTCTAGACACACCGCATATCAATTCCACATACTTGGGTTAAATCATGAAAGAACATACCTGAGCGAAGATCGAGAGAGGCGTGACTGTGAATAGGGCAGAGAAGAATCCGCCTATGCCGTCGCTCTACGTATACAAACGCACTGTCATTATAGGTACGGCGATGGATATTATAATGCAACTTACCAGGACGCCACCCTGGATCCTCGAGTCGAACTCCTCACCATCGACAGCTACACGAGAGACCTCTGCCGAAGCAGTGATATCTCCGATGGCCTCCATCGCCAACGAAACTACGCCCTATCCGTCAGTCACCCATCCCGACCGAACACAGAACGCCAACACTCACCATATACAGCCAACATAGGTAAAATAGCACCAGGATATACTCCAATCTTAAACGTCTTTACCCACAAGAACGTAATCGCCGGCGCACTCTTGATACTGCTCCCATCAATGTAACCAGTAGCACCAGACACGATGCATCCGATGGCCAGTCCGACGATGATAGAGACGTTCTTTAAGAACGGGGACCCGAAGAGTTCGACGAGGAGGATAGAGATGAAGGAGAGGAAGCCAAGACCGATAAATTCCGGAGACCCCCAGCTAGAAGATCACATATCAGTTTAAGCTGAGGAGGGTACTAGGCAATGAGGGAAAGGCAGTCGAGACTCAAAAGAAAGGTGCAAATATCAAGAGCAAACAAATACTCACGGCAATGGTCTAGGTGCATTCACAGTCGGACAGAGAGCAAACAACCCAGTCTCCGGTCTACTCATACAGCTATTCGACCCTCCACCCCAATTCGGTATGCCACTTGCACCAATGAGCGAAGCCCCAATCATAAGAATCACAGTGCCGGTGACGAGAGGTGGGAAGATCCTTTGGAGCGTTCGAGATGGGACGAAAGAGAGGAATATTTCGAGAAAAGAGCAGATAAGGGAGGTTCCTAGCGGTTAGGTTTAGTGTTAGCTAGGCGGATAAGGAAAATATAAGGGTCAAGGGAGGTGAACAAGGCGAATATATAGAAATGGTGAGTTGGCATGGGGTTCAAGAGGAAAAGACAAGCACAAGGAGTAGATGAAGTGATGAAGCGTATACGCAAGAAGAGATGGTATGAGTTGACATACCGAGAACTTTGCCATACGCGTCGGGACAAGGACCTCGAGTGACTGTACCGTCAGCAGTAGTGATCATAGGACAAGTTCCATCCGCATACATGGCGTTAAAAATCTACCGACGCGCATTCATTCAAGTGCCCGAGCCGGGATAGATAGAAGGAAAAGGCTTACAGCGTTTGCAGTACTTAATGTCGCGAAACTGGTCCCAACGACGCTGATGAGTCCAGTCCCGAGGTAATACCCTCTCCACAGCTTCATCCTTGACATTTGCACCAAACTCAGTATCCCTACAGATATTCAGATGACTTCCATAAATAAACAAAGAGGTCGTGTGCACTTACCACACCCAATTAAACTTGCCGAAATCATATACGCGCCGGTCTCCGAATCCAAATTCAAGGCACTTGCAAAAATGATCGGTGGGGTAATCAACCCAGCCAACATCGCCAAAGCATGTTGCAAACCACAAGTCATTGCTAACAAAAGAGGCAACTCCGAGTCTAACGCGTAGAATGGCGGCATACGACGTCTAGGTTTGGAGAACCTGCGGCCAGGGAGGGTGAAGGGAAGGGTGGGGGTACAAAGCCAGCCATAGTTGTAGTCTCCAAGCCAGCCATGTCGGGTCGTCAGTTTCCGATGCAGGTGAGAGGCCCGTGAACGCAGAAAAGAAGACTGAGGCTGGGGAGGAGGAATGGCCTCGGGTTGTTCCTTGACAATCGACCCGTTCGAGGACATTTTGCCTGTAAATTGCACAGGCGTACAATCTCAACAGAGACCGTCTGCGGTCAACGACAGCTTCCTGAAGAAGTTCAAGGAAGGGACGACTTGAAGGAAAGCGAAATGATGCCTCGACCACCAGATAGCGCTTATATGATAGCACATTTTCACCGTTATCTTCGCCCTCCTTGTTATCGCATAGGCCACAGAGAACCGGCACCACCTGGCACTATGGAAAGGCGAGTGAAAGATATAGCCATGCTATCAAAACTAGGGGTAAGGAACGGGACTAGTTCTGACAGTTGCTGTGGTGATAAGCATTGGAGATTGTTAAAGTGTGCTCGAGGAGGGTCCAGTTCATGCCATAATCCCGGGGACGGTTAGTGTTAGGGCACGTCCTGCAAGAATCTCTCAAAAGGACATTGTGGTTTGAGCTCAAGCAAGTGCAAGAACCCTTCAAGTTTGACACGCTGCGATCATGATCGACGAGTACCACGCCAACGCCCAGCTCAATCAGGTCTTCCTTTCAAATGTAAGTATGTAAAACTACGCGTACAATCTATTACAATATAAATACAGCAAAACACAACGAAAGCAAGCAATCGGAGAACAATCACACATCGACAGAAAATCAAACATTAAGCTAGCTCTCCTCATCATCAATATCCATTTCACCCTCGCCCAGCTCATCGTCGCCCCCAATACTCTCGTCTCCTTCCCTTCCCTCGTCGCCGTCACCCCTCCCTGACCCGCTACTCTCTATCCACCGCCGTCCATTGACGACAGTATGCCACCCAAGATCCCTTTCAATTTCATACATCCCTCTCTCATGCTCAACCAGAACCCTTCCCGCACCTTCATCCCACCTCGCCGAACTCTCAAAGAATCTTCTTTTCGTTTTCCCAGTCTTTTCCCTCTCCCTTTCGCCTTCCCTGCTATCTCTTGTAGATGGCGTCGGCGACGCTGCACTGGGTAAGGTGTTGTTTGAAGGCATGTGAAGCCCAAGTCCAAGTCCGAACTCATAAGCTAAAGCGTCCACCCACTGGTTCGTCATGATACTCATCCGCTTCTTCCCCCTTGTCATCGCCGAATGGGAGTTTTGCTGTGCATATGACCCTGAAGAGTATGCCTTTCGAGATGCGCGTTTCGTTCGAGTCGACTTATTCACATGTCGTGAGCGAGACCGCGATTGTGAGTATTCTGACGCATCGGAGTCGTACTCGGACGATTCATCTGAGGAAGTTGAAGAGGAATCGTTTAGGTTATATACGAATCTCGAGTGTTCTGTATAAAGTATGGAAGTGAGCGAGGATAGCTCATTAGGGGAGTGCCGGACGACATACGTGCGAGCTGTTCATCTAATCTGTCATGTCCCGATATTTCATGACTCGAGAACCCAAGATGATGACCCAAGCTTTCCTTTGGTACATCTTGCAGCGCCACCGAAGGCGCGGGTGTGATTTCCTGAAGCTGCTGCATCGCGATCTCTCTATCAAGCCGAAGCGACTCAGCTAAATCTTCCCGACTCAAGCACACTCATCATTGAAACAAGTTACTCACCTGACTTTATTCAAACTGCTATCCCTCACATTTAAATCCTCCATATTATTGGGTAGCACCTCTAACCGATATCTTGGTCCAAACCACTCGAAATACTCATTCCACGGCAACACTGGATCAATCTCCTTTTCCACTCCAAGTGCACATGCAGTTTCATACGTCCATGTTCTAGCGACGTTCTTGACAGTATATCCGCCACCGCCCACCATCATGAAAGGGATCCCGAATGAACGTACGAACTGTACGCAATTGGAGTGTCCGTTCATGGTGACGTTGAAACAGCCCAACTTGTCTCCTGCGACCGAGTCGGCGCCGCATTGCAGGACTATGGAGCAAGGTTGGAAGACTTCGATTACACGTCGTATGACCTGTGTTCAAGAGGTGCATGCTCATAAGCGTTTGACGGGTAACGTAAATGAACATATTCACCGGTTCAAACACACTCTTTAACGAGTCATCCCCTAACCCATCCTTGAATGGTACATTCAATGCATATCCCCTCCCCTCCCCCCGGCCCTTGTCATCCTGCGTTCCCGTTCCAGGAAAGTACTCTCCAAACTTGTGAAATGAGCACGTCATGACCCTGTTCGTCGTGTAAAATGCTTCTTCAACTCCGTCTCCATGATGACAATCAATATCGATATAGAGGACGCGAGGAAAGACTCGTAGCATTTCAAGTATACCAAGTACGATGTCATTGATATAGCAGAATCCGGAGGCTTCGCGTTTTTTGGCGTGGTGCAGCCCGCCGGCCCAGTTAATTGCAATATCTGTCGCGCCGCTTGCTATTCTTTGGGATGCCGCTGTTTACGTCCACGGTAGGATGAACATCGATTAATTGAATGCATGCTCGAGATGAACGAGAGGGAATAGAACGTACCTATCGAACCTCCCGCACTAAGTGAACAGAACTCAAATAACCCTTCCCACGGCGGGTTGTCCTCATGTAGTGCCATTGGATACGAGCCTATATTGTAACAAAATCACAAGTATTCATCAAGATGATTGAAGAAAAGAGGGGGAAAAGGCTCACCATGATACGGGACATCATGCGTCAACTCGGGTGCGATTCTGGCTAGGAAATCCACATACTCGTCTGTATGAAAGCGTGTCATCTGTTCCGCAGTAGCGCGTTTCGCCCTCTATAACATACATTCAGACAAATAGAGGAAGTAAAAGCGGTTCCATGATGGGAAAAGGTGTAAAGCAAAGAGTACGCACCAGAACAGTCATCTTGTCCAACATCCCATACACTGACACCAACTCGTGCGTTATCTTCATCCTCTGTGGTCTCATCGGATGTTGTGGTCCATAGGTATATGCTCCAACATCAGCTGTATCAAGAAGAAATTTCCCTGTCAGCGCGTAGAACAGACATTAAGGAAGTAATGCGTACGATCATAATAGTACGACACCCGTCTCTGGGACATGACTCCCAAGGTAAAGAGTATTGAGTATCACTTTGAGAGTTATTATGTCGGCTTTCACAGCGGATATCAGCCTTTAGTACCATAGAAAGGTATATGCAAGAAGACGAAAAGGGAGATACGCGAAGAGTGCCTTTGGGCGTCATGCCATCATGTGCTTCAGCGCTATGAGGTATTTGCCTTTATTTGGCTAGAGCTTCTGTCCAGTTGCCTTTTGCGTTCTCCTGCCAACGTTTTGGCTGTTGGTCTTCTCTTTTCCGGGCTCCTGACCACCCTCCTTTACATCTTCACTCAAAAGTGCATTATACATTGCCTCAAGATCTTACCTGTAGTGTTTGTTCCGTAATACCAGCGGCATCCGCCACTGAAACACAAACTCTGGATGATGGGTCGTGGCATCTCAACATCAAAGTGCTGAAAAATTATGTTGACTATCCGACACCTTAGCACTTTGCAATGCAAGGAGAAATAACCGACTTAGGGCAGGCGGTCTACAGTACACTCCCACGCATATGCACACTTCGAAGTAGAAGCTTTCTTAGGCATACAGGCGGCCTGTGTTAATGTAGTTGGTATGATTAAGAGAATGTCGGGAAACCTGTCACGAAGCTCGAGAGATGTCGACGAGAGCGGCTAGTCTCCCACATGCAGTGTAGACGGGGACGGAACCTTCGTACTTCAGGGTTCGTGGTCATTGTACCCAGTGTCATTATTGGTCTCTCGTCTACGCTTCTCTCCCGCGCACACAAGCCCTCTGTAGGGTTTGTTGCAGGTCTCGGAACCCCAAAGTGGGTGGTTCAGTGGGACAGTGTATGGCAGCAGATTATAAAATGATCTGCGGTGAGTCTGAGAGAGATAACTTGCGATAACAGCTTGAGTGATGTGTTTGTTCGTGTTAGGCATTGTCCTCTTTCCCTCTCACGACTTGTCCCGAAATCATATCAAGACCGTACGACATTCTTCCGCTATGACTACAACATCAATATCCCTTCCTTGCGAAATTATTGACTATATATTGGGCTACATCAAGGATGACAAGTCCACATTGTCGAACTTCTCACTTGTAGCACGGGAATGGGTCGCTGTCGCCAGATACCATCTTTTCAGTACAATTCGATTGTCAAGTTCTGTTCACGATGTCACTGATACCACAGGAACCTCGCGATATTTCTCATATGTCGCTCGATTTCTCGATGAATCCCCGCCTGGCTCTCTCGAATGCATTAGAGAACTCACCATCGTTGGCATAGGCTCCCAGCGATTCAAGTGGGCGCATGCCCCCTTCATCGAGCTTTCCGTACTAGCGAGCATGGTGAAAAGAATACCCCTGCTTTCTTTTCTCAAGTTACGCAACATAAACGTGTTGCAAGATATAATTCCCGTAGTGGAAACTCCCAGGGCATTGCGGTCGTTGGTCTTGGATGGCGTGGGTCACGTCAATTCCGACTTGACGTCTCTACCCGCCTTTCCCGAAGGATTTTTTACCCTCTTCCATACCATCGATAGGCTGGATACCATAAATCTACGCCTTGACATACCCGATGATCGCATTGATTACGGTCATCGTTCATCTCAATCCGTCAACATGTTTGCGACTTCATGGATCCTCCGGGCTACTGGTATCAAGGTCTCGCGTACAACCTTATATCAGCTCCATCCCTCAGATTCGTTACGGGCCCTCTGTTATGATGTCACAGATCTCGATGATATTGTTTCCCTTGTTGCACAACGACATTATGTCGGTTTCCAAAGTCTTCAAACTTTGGAGCTCTGCACCTTCAGTTATGTCGCGCGTTATTCGCGGTTCAACATCGAGACAGGACCAAGTAAGGGAGTCAGTTAGGCCTTTGATTTACTATCTGACATCTCTTTGTAGCAGATATTCCCAGTGATTTATGGGCTGCGCTCGACCTGTCTGTCTTCCCATCGCTTGAGCATTTGATTCTCAATGACTTCGTGTCTTACCGTGTGGGCGGCCTTCGATCGCTCATGGCTATGGGAGAGTTGTTGGCAGGAATACGCGCGATTTCAGCTCCTTGTCTACGGACGATTACTCTCAAACTAGCATTTTTCGAGACTGAGGTAGACATCAAGCATTGGTTGCGACTCCGAGAATCGATGTTGTCCTTGAGGTCCTTCTTGAAGTTTCGCATACAGTTCGATGGCGATCATTCTGGCCTGGTGGGGGTTCAGGAACTACAGCCGTCGCAACGGATAGTCGCCCATACCGCGCTGAGGGATCTGTTAGACGAGGGGGTCGTGATGTTCGAACCGCAACGAGCATATTTCTAAGCATATCTACATCTTCAGGTACGTTCATTTCGATTTTAATTCAATACGATTTGGTTGACGCTCCATTGCTTTGTCTGTCTTAGCTGAGCTTCTGCCGCAGTACATCACTCATCGATCCATCTTTCTTCTCTCGACAACATCATCGTCCACCCCTGATGTGCATGGGGAAGCGCCGAGCTGCGTCCAAAGATATTTTTGTCACGCCTGCAGGGCTTGAAACAGCATACAAAGGCCGTTCCACTGCTCACGCATCTGTTCGCGTCGGTGATACTGAGGGGTATGGCGATATGCTCGTCAGACCGTTCCGAGTGCCTTTCGGACTTCGGAGAATGTATTCCTCAGTTGCATAAGAGTATTTGAGAGCCACTTCACCTAGAAAGCCAATACATGTTGTCTACCTTACATACCAACTGTGCGATCCTTGAGTTAAGGCTGCGCGATGGAAGGTGGAAAACCTCCCGCATACGGACTATTTTAGGACGCGCTAGAGAATTAGACTTTAAGTCCTCAGAAAGCAATACAACCTCGCTAGTGGTACAGCCATTGTTAGAATATGTGTCGCAAAGCCATGGGAATGACCTGCCCAATGACAATGTGGAAATGCACTATCAATCGCCTTCATCCCTGCACCTCCATGTGACTCTCGGCATTCGTCGGATCTGCTCATTTAGAAGGAAAGCTATGTTGAATCACGGACGATACTGACATGCAGTGCATCTTGCCAGTAGATGTAATCGCTGCTGGTGAGTCCGGGTGTCATCAGGAGATGCAGAGACTCCGATCTTCCAAGCTCGACAAGTACGACAAGGATGCTCGGAGAAAGGGGCATCATTTCAATATATAGTTACCGTTCCTCATGCCGTACAGAAAGACCTGGAGAGGCCACATCTTAAATGTCGTTCGAGACTTGATGGCACCCTGAGCAGAGCTGTAAGGGAAGAAGCGGCGATAATGGCGTTATGGGAGATATTGAGCTCGCTCAGAATGAGTAATTACGTGTAGGTTCGAAGAAATATAACCAGAGCAGGGGAGATTGGTGTGGCGTTGAAGTTTCCCGGCAAGAGCTCGTCCACGTCGGAAGTGTGATCAAAGATGTCTCAGTGAAAGTGATTGACCAATCTCGAGAGGCACCTGAATTTCCACAGGGTACTCTGGACCTAGGAAGTTTACTCACTGTGTCTGTGGTCGACGGGCAATACATGTGCGAACATTGTAAGTTCGGCGTACCATGAAAATCATTCTTTTGTCGACATAATCCTTGTTTTTGAGTCCGGTCTACCCAAGGCTATCCTATGGGGCTTTGTGAGGAAGCTAACACCGGCGTGTATGCCGAGGTAATGCAGGGCTGAAGTCTGCAGAAGAGGTCAGATCCAGTGGAAAACAGGCACTACCGACAGTGTCGCAATTTACGGGGGCAGTATGATCGATGAGCCCGGTTGGAGCTCGGCATTTCGTCTTTACCTCGTGAGGCAACATGTGAATCTTGGTGAAACAGCAGGGAAGCGTGAGGCTATGGTCGAAGTTGTCTCCAGCGCTAGGACGTTGCCTCGAGGAGGACATGCCAGTACGTAGACAGCTATCAGGGCAAAGGATGAGTAATTGAACCAGTACACGGACACAGAAGTAGCGAACCGTACGAGCTACACACAACTGGCAGAACGTAAATGCCGCAGATATCAGGTGATAACTTGAATGTCAGCAGCCAACAGAACTATAGACTGGTCGAGCTTGCCTGCTTTACATAGGAGAGCAAAGGTTGTGTGAACATTCTCCGTGCTTGGGCAACATACGCTAACTTGGCTGAAGACCGAAGACCCACCGTCCTCTACGATGGGTGGTCTGCTGATCGACGATTGAATACAAGAGACAACGGATCGGACAAATCTGTCCCGGGAAGTAGCCAACTGCACGCGAAGGTCACGCGGAACAGGATGGAAAATGTTTCTCTCTGGAAGAAGACGGAAACTGAGCTGACAGCAGTATGGAAGAGGCTATGAAGCTAAATCAGTATGCCGGATACACACGCAATCTCAGAGGATAACGTTATCGCATTCAGTTATTCGTTCAGAAGCGACCGAGATAGAAATGCAAGGATAGCCACCGAATAACACATACATAAGCATACATGATGGATAATCATCAGGAGCGCAACAATGCCACCACAAAGAAGTGGAGTGATCTCCATTCTCCAAAAGTACAGCATCGGCCAGATGGTGGCATGAAGGCATGCAAAAGACAATTTGAACACCACATAAAGTAATGACATCCTCTTGCAGATGAGAATACGTGCAATGAGTCTTTGGTCAACAGGAAAGGTGAAATGTGGAAGAGACTGGTACCAGGGTTCCATATACTGGTGTTATTCATCCTATTTTGAACGCGCACCAAGGTTCGACTGGATACAGCTTGTGTCATTTATCACCGTCTAACCATCATGAACTAAATTGGCCATACAAGATCAACGAACTCACCAAGAACAAGGACCTTTACGACTTCCACGGACGATAATCCTCTTTCGAGCTGGAGGGGTAGAAAAGAAGGAAATCATTTCCAGGGCATTTCAAAGTGGTCTTTCTAAGAAGATATTATTGTGCAAAAGACGCGTGAACTGAACTGACACCCGAGCATACGTGAGGGTCGCAAAAAGATACAGTACACCTGTTTGTGAGTTAAAACTGACCTTAGCGTTTTGGAGAGTTCTTGTTCTTTGTAGATAGTCTGTTGAATTCTCCAAGGTGCCAAAGCAGCTCTAGCTCCCCCTTCCGCCAATTTACGGCATCATGTAGGTTGGCCAGCTGGTTTTACATCGGCTTTGCACATGTTATTTTCTCAACGATTAGCCTGCCCCTCGGACCGAGCTTGACAACCGTGGTCAACTCCTTCGCCAGGTATCTCTTTGGCTGGTCCCAGTAGCCCTTTCTGCCTGGTTCCCTCCGTCCCATATGCTCTTTCGCAGTAATCACACATCGTGGAGGATGGCGCGTGCTATAACGTTGTCTTACGTACTTGGCAGTCGCAATATAGCCTCGATATTCTGTCTGCTCTAGCGCGCCAACGACCGCTTGGCTTCACCCGTGCAGTGGCAGAGCTTGAGCTACAGCGCGTATTCGGGGCCTTTCACCAATTTCCTGAAACAGAATAGCATGTATTCAATGTGCCGCCGAAGCCTGTTGCTACGTCGTCATGACGGTGGGTACTTTGTACTCTCATTGTCTACCAGTTGTTGATGCCGTTGCTTCAAGGCTCAGTCTTTCGACATGAATTAACTCGTCAGTGCTTCTGTAGATCAATATCAATATCCTTTTGTCTAGGTTCTCATATAGAAAACGGTGGGTTATGATAACACCAAGTCACTCTCATTAATGGCGTCACGTTCTCACAACAGGATAGCCTTCTTAAGACGTCGAGAAGCCCGCTGGAGTCTGCTTTGTTGGAAGAACATCAATGCATGGTAATGCCGGTGGTTGGGTATGCCCGGGCTCTGGTTCCACCGCGATCTGCGGACAGCCATGGTTGAAGTTTGCAACGATACCGATTGAGAAGCGCGACCAAACAGATTCAACAGCGCATATCTACTTCGAAATTGACTGAGCCCAGTCCTCAGCTTCCTAACATCGTGTAATGGTCACGTCCTGCCGAGTAACCGAAATAGCTAGCCGTGACATTGGATCTGGATCATCAGGAAAATGCTTCAATTTGAACCTGAAACGGAAGTCGCGCGCTAGACGAGAAAGGCTGTTTGGAACCCAGTTACGCGTGAACCTTGATGAACTTCGCGTGTAGAGGCCGCCGGAGGACTTTCGACGCGCTTTATAGTTCAATGCTGAGATCCCGTCAGTACACCAACTACCAAAGCTACAAAACATCTCTTCGACTCCCAGGTTGCCCTGCGCGCATCTATACTCCCTTGCTTCGCGATCTGTGTTTACTGATCGTGTTCTCTTCCTGAACCTTGTCTCGGAACTATCCTAAAGTCTACTTTTCGCCTCATTGGACTTTCCAGCATCCGGTGTTCATTCTGCTACTTGCTCCTTTTTTTGGACGTGCTTCCTGGATAGCCCAGCCACTTGAAGATCATCATACTTATACTTGGCTCGGCGTGTAGCTCTTCTTCCACACCCTGATTCTCCTCCCTGGACTCGTATCTGGAGTACAATAATGTCATCCTCTCCTTGCAGCCCTGACTCGCCTGTCACCTCATTCAATGGCGGTGAACATGTCTCAGGAACGCAATCTCCTACTTCACCTGACTCCCATTACGCCCCAACCGAGTCGCGACTTACGCCACATTTTGACGCCACACCTCCCCAGGCATCGTCACCCTCAGCTGTAGCACGTAATGGGAGCAAGGTGAAGAAGTTTGCGTGTCAACAATGCGACCGTAGCTTTTCCACCAGTGGTCACCTTGCACGCCACATTCGGATCCATACCGGCGAGAGGAACCACAAGTGTCCGTTCCCTGGCTGCGAGACACGATGTTCACGACAGGACAACCTACAGCAACAGTGAGTTTCTTTTCGAAGTTCCTTTCGCCTCCTCCCCAACCCCGACGAATCTACCACTAGCGCCGCATCCTAGCATGGCGCTTTGATGGATCCGTCGTTTGCATTCTTGTGTGATTGTATTCCGTGAAGAGAGGCATCTCGGTCCTATTCATGTCCGTTCGAGTAATAGGAAAGCAAAGTTATTCGTACCTGGCTGCCTCTAATGGACGCTCGGTCGGTCTCCCGCGAAAGTCTCTGACGCCCTGAGCCAGATTTTCCACCCCGCGTTCCGATTCAGATTTGTGGTAAATGATCTAGGACTGATGTCATCTTCCAGTTATCGTATACACCTCTCGCCAGGATCGAGGCGTACTGCTGCTCGTGATGCTGCAGGGCGTAGAAGACGACGTGGTTCTTCAGCCGCAAGCAACTCTTCAATTGAGGCGGCTCTACACTCACCTACATTTCCTGTCAACATGTCAGGCATTACAACAACGAACGATGCATCTTTGACATACCCCGAACCTCCGAACACTCCGCCACCTCTCGAGCATGGCCGGCCTCGCTTGCAACTCCCACCGCTTCCGACTCCTATAATCGATCGTCATCCCTTTTCTGACGATGTATACTATGGTTCTCCCGGAAGTTATCCCTCGAGTGCACCTTGTCGTATGAGCTATGGCTTCTCGGAATCTGAGGGGACCCTGTCCCCAATTCCGAGAACCTCTGGAGGGCATATGCAGACCCACGATATGCCAATCGCTCAAAGAATCTCATCTGCCTATCCTTCCCACCATCAGCAGATGTCGATTACATCTGGGAGTAGCCGCCTGTTCCATTCCCACTCTCCAAGCTTCGAGGCGCCCGGCATTCAAAGGATCACCGATAGGCCTCATCCACACAATACCTCTACTTTGAATTTGTCACCTTCCCATCCGTACTCTTCGCAGATCCATGGGTTCCATCCTCAGGCTCTGCATTCGCCTCCGTTATCCAGCGACTCGGGATTATCCACGCCTGAGGTGTCTACGACGCCTCACTCGGCAACTTCTTCTCTTCTATCGGACTATGAAGGAAGTTGCAGAGCTCCCGAACATTATATAGCTGGGACATTCTCTCCTCGTGATGGTACTTCTGGGCACGTCATCGAGCCTCCTCTGGCCAGTCCTTTTCCTCTGAACCAATCGTCTCAGTCGCCTTATGTCGGCTCTCAGAACGGTTTTATTCCCACGTCTCCCGTAAGTGCCTGGGCTGAGTTATTAGTAATTAGTTCCGACCTGACACTTGCACCAGATGACAAAAAATCACGACTCACCGAGCTCCGCGAGTCACATCTTTGACAGTGCATCTCACAGATCGTTGACACAGGTCACTGGGGCGCCAGGATATCCTCGAAAACACCGTCAAGGTTATGATGACTATTATCATATGCCTTATACATCGGCGTCATCGCCACAATTCAACTTGAATGGCTCTGCTCATTGAACGTGCCTCCACCGCCAGAGGCCGGGACACTCATTTTTAATAGGTTCCACAACAAAAGGGGCATCTTCTTTTCTGGCCCTCATGTGCTTTGTCATTCTGTTCTACCGCGCCCCTTATTATCATGCCGTTCTCGTGTCCTTGAATAACTCGCCTCGCATTTTGAGTACTGTATGCCTACTCTTGTATCGTTCCTGGTTATGTCCTTCCAATTGCCACCGTGTATAACATTAGCACTCTCGGGTTTCGCACCGTAACTTATGTAGTTGCCGAGGTTATCAAAAAAGTTCCTCTTTGCTACCGCACTATTTGTGTTGTTGAGACGTCAGGTTGGAAATTTGCGTGACATTTCCTCTAACACCTGACAAAGGACATCTGTCATGATAAGCTCCAACGGGCAGTATTGAAAATTCCGAGTTCGCGGTTGTCTGCATTAATTCAATCCCACTGTACGGAAAAAGCTTGATAGACACTCTAATGGCAATGCTAGTTCGAGCGTCCTGGAAGGACCCTACTCAGGCCCCCTTCTTTCCTTTGTGATCGAATGAACACCTCACTGATTGATGGTCATCATAAGGGTTCACCAAGGGTTCACTGAATGCGCACATCTAGGTGAATATCATGCGCTGCCAGGATCACAAATTTCGATGTCCTTCGGTTGGAAAACCAGATGGTCATATCTTTGTCTGAAGAATGGTTGAGTATGACGCTGGGACGTACACGGATTGTAACGGCTACTGATTTTTGATGCAAACCATTCGAAGACTGGAAGAAAATGGTAAGTGCCTGTCTAGCGTACTACCTGCGCGACCATATGCATATTACGATCACGAGCGTGACAGCTCCTGTGAAGAGTCAGAGATCTGATATCTGGTGAACCTAGTGAGCGGCTACGATGTGCACTGAGATTGCACCCGTCTCATAAGAAGTGTTGATTCCTGAGTAACAGGCTAATTTCTTCCCACAGAGTGCAGATGGAACAAGGGTGCAAAACGCACCCATTGGAGATTTGAGCTTTCCAGACTCAGAGTGGGCTTCCCTAGCTCTTCTCATTCTTATAGCAGTCTAGGAGCTATGGCCAGCGGATCGTCGGACAGTAGCAAGTAGTAGATTAACGATAGAAAGAAGGTATCTGAATTAAACTTCGATCTCCATGCATTGCTGTTAAGTTGAGGTCAAGCAGCGGATATCCTCCGAACAATGCAAACGTTTTCTCACCTGCTACCCAGGTAGCTCCGACTCTCTGTCTGGGCCAGTCAATAGTGTCGGATCGTAGACTAATATGAACGCCTTCCATTCTCCGGCAAGACAATGAAGGTCTGCAGACCGGGTTTGTGGTTGCGGCAAGGGACGGACGGGTTACGCGATAATTAAAGTACTAAATAGCGCGCCGTTCTCAAGCGGGAGCCTAACCAGAAAACATGGACTGATCGATCAGATCAAGATCACAATATTCCTCGATTTGGAGACTTCGCACCGGGTCCGCTTCGTCCCCGCATTGGTCGCGGATAGATCAACATATAAGGTCAAATTCAATCTTCGCTGTAATCGCGGTCTGCATGTCGTTGCACGGCCAAGCAGATCTGTGCTGCTTCGGCGCGTTCTTCTGTAATGTTCACCTTTTAATTGGGCGCTGCACAAATACAACGTCGTTCTCAGGCACCTAAAGAGACGGGACCGCGCGAAAGGATGCGTAAATCGCTGTGTTGAGCGCGTTGACATTTCATTACACGGCGGCACATCGGGGCGTTCGAGCACTACAAATGAACATCTGTCTTCAGCTAAAGATGGGGTCTCTCAGCCAGCACCTGCGCCACGCCACCATCTAACAACGCCATCTTCTCCGCCACTTACGAAGGCACCGGGAGAGCCGTGTTGAGGGGGTCTTGGCCGCCACGACACGCTCCAGACCTCTCCAGTATCTTGGATTGTGGAGACAGCAGCACGGGCGCCGATGTCCCAAACCTTGATAGTCTTGTCGGAAGAGCTGGGAAAGTGGACATCAGACTGCAAAGAAGGATGAACAGCTGAGATAGAAGAACGGACCCGGAAAGTGCCAGTCGGCTGTCCGGAGATATGTCTGTACTGAGCACCCACGAAGAGTGACCCGTAAAAGTAGCTACGGCGCCTGAGCCAGGTTTCCCAGAAGGTGAATATCGAACGTCGTGGAGTGTAAGACGTTTATCTTCCGAGGCGGATATGAGGAGCTATACGAAGTCAGATAGGAACGGGGGTCCGAAGAGTACGACCATAAGAGAACATGATCAGTTGATAGACTGAGATGAAGAGGGAACAAACTGGCGTACCTGAGCATCAGGCGACCAAGCTAAGGACCGTATGGTCATTGCATGGGAAGTGTACGTGGAGAGTAATTTTTCTGACTCAAGGTCAAAGATATATATTTGTCCGGCCTCTGATGACATGGCGACACGGGTACCATCAGGACTCTGTCAAGAATGAACAATGTGATCAGTATACGTTAACGACAGGGGTCAGTCTGGTGGCGTGAAGAGTGGGAAACATGCGAGTGTGCGAAGAGATAATGGGAGAACAGACACGAACAGAAAACGGGGAAGCGAGAAGCCTACGGGTGCGGACAAGGATGACCCACATGTTTGCAATACATGCCAAATTTACTTCTACCACTTGTGAGTGTTGCACGGCGTTCTCCGAATGTTGCGGACTCTGCGGAGTGTATGCTGACACTTCCTGAGCCGCCAGTAGCGGCGTAAGTGCCGCCTTTGGGGTTCAGAGATACCGACCAAGCTAAATTTCAACGGCCGATGAGAAGAGATAAGATCGGAGCGAAACGCCTGCATAGTCAGCATCCTAAACGCCGCACAACTATGTCTAGGCAATTTTATATTTACTCACCAGGTTCTGCAGCATCGTTCCCACTGCGTGCATAGCTCTCGTAACGTCCGACCACGCGGCCGCTGTCAACGTCCAAAAGACATGTAAGTCCTTCGAGACTGTTGTACAGTGCTTGTTTTCCAGCTGGGTCCACGTCAAGGGAAACAAGGCCGAGTGTATGCGGTGGTAAAGTATGCAAAGCTTGACCACTAGTTGAATCCCATTGTTTCAGAGATCCGTCCGCTGAGATAGATATGACAGAGTCCGTTGCTGTCCACGCGACTCCCCAGACGGAGTCTGTGTGAGCTGTTGGCCCAATCAAGAGACTCTTAGTATCGTTCTCCAATGTAGAAGCCGATGTAGAATAATCATACGTTCTGAACAATCATGCGCGTGGAGGAATGCTAAACTCTGGAAGGCGGTGAGCTGTTAGAATACTTCAGTAAAACATATAGTTGCGACATTACCATCGTTTCCGTACGCGTTGAAGACAGTCGCGATGTCGAGTTTGTTGTGAGCGTCGATGAGCTCAAGGGTCAAGAGGCGCCCGTCTTCGACGGTCAATGCCGAGTCGGAGGTTGAACTTGTTGAGTATATTGTTGCGTCCGCCCTAACCTTATTTTTTCCTCACATCAACGAGAGCGGAAGAAGACATCTGTTGTATCTTTTATTCACCAAATATCTAAAAAGTATGTGGAAAGCTTGTTCTCGAGGACTTTGGATGCTAAACGAGGGGTCGAACTTGTGCTTTGAATAGGATGTCTGACGCTGGAGATGAAATTCAAGTCGAAGCCCCCGCTGCCGAGGTCGAGGTGACTACTGAGGCCCCCAAGGGAAAACTGTCCGTTGAGGATGCGCTTCAGGTACGAAGCGCAGTTATTAAGCAGAATCGACGAAGACTTATGTTATTCGATCTAACAGCAAGTTCTGAAGAACGCCTTGGTCCACGATGGTCTCGCTCGTGGTCTCCGCGAGTGTGCCAAGGCCCTCGACAAGCGTCAGGCCCACCTTTGCGTCCTTGTTGAGACCTGCACGGAGGCAGAGTACATTAAGCTCATTGAGGCTCTCTGTGCTGAGCACAAGATCAACCTCATCAAGGTCGGTGACGCCAAGATCCTCGGTACCTGGGCTGGTCTTTGCAAGATCGACAAGGAGGGCAACCCTCGCAAGGTTGTTGGCTGCTCTTGCGTCGTCGTCAAGGACTACGGTGTCGAGTCTGAAGGCTTGCACGTCCTCTTGGACTACTTCAAGAACCGTTAGGGTGAGTCAGTCCGTTCTAGATTGGCTGTTTTCGGTATGGCGGCTTTTGCTTTGTTTTGTTTGTGATGACAAAACAGACTCCCTCTACTGAGTGCGTTAAGCGTTCTGAGGACACAGTCTATCCGGAATCATTATTTTGTCTGACTCTCCGACTTGTTCGAGTATACCCGTACATATGCTAATGGCTTCATTTCGTTCCTCTAGGTGGTCACCATCGTTCCGGTAGTTATGGGTCATCGCTCAAAAGTACTATGATTGATGACTACTCTATACTCATTGTCAATAAAATGAGCATTTGCTGCGAGCGCAATCATGATATCTGAATAGTCTGCTGAGTGTCAATCTCCATGAAATATGGGAGAAACAGGAAAGTACATTGTGGTTTCCCATTCACTCGTCTTTATCTCGCTTCTCTTCCCCTCTCGTATCAGTCTTGAGACCTAATCCAACTAAGAAACTGATCCTCATCAGTGCACCCATATACACGAATCCAATACTTCCCCACTCCATCGCATTCCAATCCCAACACCTAAAATACACTTCACCGACTCCCTTTTCCAATGCCAGAGGCCACATCGTAGCCAAATGACCGAAATCTGCGAGGAGAAGGCAGAACAACAGTCGACGCCATGTTTTGAGAGAATTCGTGGATGAGAGCACAATGTGCTCATTTAAGGCGAATAAGAGATAGAGATTGGACAGTTGGTATAGTGAGATGAGTGTAGGTGTGGATGTGGTTACGAGCTGCGTTGGTGATGAGGAGAGAAGTGATAGGTATTCCTCGGGACGACCAGCGGCGTAGTATGCACCGACTAGGGCGGATATAGGTTCCACTATTAGGAAGAATAGTTGATATGGGAACCATGGAATCGTCTTGCTCATGTTCGCAAATGCCGCAAGAGATTAATCGAACGGTCGACGATGCGTTCTCTAAACACGCGTGTGAACTTTCTCAACACCTAATTGGCCGCTGATTGGCAAGCGGCTCTCAAAGCGTTCCTTCGTCATTTACTACTGTACAAATTGAAGCCACTGCTTGAACCGTTTCTTCATAGAGAGTCATGCTGCACCTCCGGATAATTTGTGCTGGTATTTCATTCTTCTGCCTGAATCAACGAACGGAATAATCCAATCTGGACCACCCTTCTCGAATCAATTTCGACTTCTCCTATGGGTGACCCTTGACCTATATTCATTTTCAATTCAAGCAATTCAGGCCTACAACCTCTTGTCCTGGGACCATATCTTCCAGAGCTCGCCTCTTGGACTGGCATCATTGCTCAACAATATTTTACCGTCATCTGGAAACCTGCGAAATTCGATTTATCGCTACAATCTAGAATATATGAGACTCAGTTGGTTTTTATGCATGCTACTGTCGCAGTGTCCAATATGGGTGACATTCTCTTGAGAAGTACTTACTCTGAGGACCATCAAGTGCCGCAAGCACTGTCAGGGAGACATGTTTGGCCTTGTTGTGCACCACCATTTAGACGGTTGCCTTTTCTGGTCATGGGTGCTCGATTCACTCATCCAGAGACCTTTCTGCAAGACTGGGATAACCTTCGTTAGGTGTCCTACGCTACAGATTTATAAATAACATACATCTCACAAGGATGTTAATCATGCCAGAGAGAATTCGTACTTAAAAATGACCTTGAACGATGACGGAAGGTGGGTTGGAGTGGCTCAGGGAACTTTATTGAATGTCTATGTTGGCCTGTATTGAAGCTAGGTGGATTTGCTTCCAGGTCAGTTTTCAGACCGCATCAAATCTTCGTAGATCCATCACCTCGCTTCTTCCAAATCGCCCTAATCCACACGCTTGTATGTTACCTCAAAGGATTCGATCAACTCCCTCGTTGGACTCGTCTGCCTTGGTTCCACATATGTAACTCTATATGCTTACAAGGCGCCAAAGTATTTCAAGTGGTTGATTAAGCATACTAGAAGCTACTCTAATACGCGCTGTGAACCAACGGAAGATGAGATGGAGCAGGTCGATGATTGCGCTTGAAGGTCGAAGTAAACAGGGAAAGGGCAGATCGAGCCTGGTTCGTTGGCGGCGCACCTGCTCGGGTAAATCATAACAGCGCATCTTATCGTTATCCAACGCGTTTCGCATGTCTCCGCTCGATGATCATGTTTATCGATGCATGAGGAAACGACGCTAATGATTCGTCATGGCAGAGCATATAAGCGCCCGAAGTTTTAATTCCGTTCCTTGTGATTTCGCATTGTTCAATAGTTGAAGAGCATTTGCAAGCCAGCATGAGCAAAGCACGATATCGATGGTGGTTAATGAAGACATGCAGGGAGCTCATTGAGGGCGAGGATGAACGCTTAGGATCAGGTTCCGTTTGCTTACGTGAGCATGCGCCTCACCTACAGCATGCTGGAGAGGACATGGATGCCATCACTCTCTCCTCTTCCTCCTTCTCCCGCTTTTCCTTTTCTTCACCACACTCTTAGAATCACGCTCTTCTACACATAATGCCTCAGATATATCGTCGACATTCTGAATATCATCCTCTACCACCTATGCGCCGGCAGACCATCCAGCCAACCGATGCCGACGACTCTATTGTACTCTCCGACCTCGTCAGGACTGGCGAGGCCTCTCGTCTTCGACGCAGAGGTGCTATGCGCTTAGACCATAACTCTGCGCGCTCAGTAATACTCCCTTCACTACCCTCAACGTCCGCTCCATCGAGACCAATCGTAATGACACCCTCTAGGCCGTCTACCCCACCTTGGGGTAACCCGGACCTCCAGGGTGACGATGAGTACACCTACGGAGGTGGAGAGTGGCGAGACTGGAATACGGACGACACAGAGTTGCAAGCAGACGACATCCGCCGAGAGGGTGTTGCTGCCTATGCCGACGCCGAAGAAGCAGTCATGCTGTTCTGCGGTGGTGAAATGAAAGCTGTCGAAGAAGACATGCCTTTTGTCCCCTCACCCACACCCACTTTTCCCAGAAAATCCTCATCTTCTCGAAGTCCTGTGCGGAAGACGAACGGATGCGGAGCCGTCGTGCACATGCAAGCATTTCCGCAGCGGCCTCGTGGTGTGTATGTAGGCAAAGAGGATGCGACTCCAGCTGTCGTAGGACTCGAGTCGTCCTACTTTGAGAGTTCGGTAGTAGCCAAAATGATGAAGAGTGCCTGTGGTTGTATACGTGAAGGAATTGGCTGTGCAGTTTGGTGAGTCCAGCCACTCATTCTATACAGCATTGACTAACGTTGCGCATATAGCGGAAACACACTCGGCACGCGGTACATGCCCTGTCAGGCAGCTTCTGCAGGCATCTTTGCTTGTGCCGGAGCTCCTCCCTATTCATCTCGACCAGTTCATCCCTCAGGGCCTCGGTACTGGGACTGCACGTCATCGCTGCGCTGTCAAGCATCGTCCTCGAAGGATTCTTGTCCATCTACCTTCTATGTCTACACCTTCTTCAGCGACCATGTGACGGCAGCCCCGACATATCACAAGACGGCACACACCCATGCGGTGCCTTCCTTACAAGACCGACGACCTCGGGAACCTCCCGCCATGCGACGTAGTCTTACCCCACCCACACCGCTCTCACCGCCGCGCCCCTCTTTCGTTGATTACACTTTCACAGCGTCACCTCGACCGTTGTCCGCCAATTCACTTCCGACTCAATCGCAAGAGTCCTTTCCACTGACCTTACCCCCACCTCCTCGAGTGGTTCCACGAACACCTCAGCCTCAATTGGAGGTGTACATACCGCCGAGTTTGAGGAGGGTAAGGAGGGATGCCTCATCTGACGTCACCACGCTGAGAGATGATACTACTGTTGTCGAGTTGGATGCCGATGGGGTCGTCGTTGATTCTGAGCCGAATTCACCTGACAAGGTCGGAAATGAGACGATGCTTTGGCCTGGTCGATGAATTATGGCCCTTTTCGCCTGGAATTCCCGTTTAGTGATGGTATCTTGGGACTAATTCGTCACCCTCATCTTCCTTCATCCTCATTTCAATCACCTTCCAATCACCATCTGATCCACGTTTTTGCATATACATATTTGTCCAACGGCCCTGCATGTTCCTTTATCGCATTTTCACCACATAGATATCCAGTTTCATTGAATGATTTCCCGCTCACGATCAGGTCATGTGTCATGTACATAACATAACGGTTTCTCCTTTTACTATTTCAATCTTTCCAGCATTTTTTTTTTCTTTTCATATGACTGCTCATCATGACTGTACCTTATGTATCTTCTAGTGTCATGCATCGTTGCTTGACCAGGTTTCGTGCCATTTCTTGTGTGACACCTGATGGTACGAACGTGGTGAAACAATGCCAAACATGACGCGACAGGCTCGGCAACTATCCTCAAGCCTCATTGAAGTAGTCTCCCACAGGCAGTGTAGACAGAGGTTCAGCGCTCAGCGCTCAGCCTTCGTACCTCAGGATATCTCTGTCTGACGTGACATCCGCTTTGGCCTGAAACCTACAGTATTTACACTTCGGATAGTTGAGTTTCGAAATGAAACTAGGTGAACTATACCAACCTTACTAGTCAATTCTCTAAGTTGACCTATCGTCGCTCACGGTATCTGCTGTCCAGCTTTGTCGCGCCATGAGACGTTGTGGTATGAAGACGGCAACATTGTCCTGGTTGCCGATACAACTACCTTCCGGGTGCACAGCAGTGTGCTGTCTCGCGCTTCCGACATATTTCGTGATATGTTCAGTCTACCCCAACCTCAAGGCGAGGACACTATAGACGGCTGTCCCGTTGTCCATCTACCAGACAGTCCTCACGATCTCGCCATCGCTCTAGACATGCTGTACAATGGAATGAGGTGCGTCTCCGAGTCTTCAGGTCATAAATCGTTTCGATCTGTTCTTACTTTGTAAGTAGATATCATCTCAATGATCAGCCACCGTTGTGGACTACTGTACGAGCGATGCTGCGTATGGGCACCAAGTACGAAATGGATGCTTTGCGTCAGGAAGCTATCGATCAGCTGGATCGTGCCTTTCCAAAAAACCTGAAAGACTGGGATGTTGTGCAGCTATCAAGGATGGAAGGCGACATGAGTATAAAAATAATGCGATACGAAGATGAAGAGTGTATTTCAATTGCCGCTGCTGCAAGAGAGGCCCAACTGCAACGGATCCACCTCTTCGCTCTCTACCGCTGTTGTCAACGCCCTACAAAAGATCTCATATCTCACTACCGACACTCAGATGGAGAAGCGAATGATGCGATTTTACATGAGGATGATATGGAAGCTTGCATCGACGGTCGGCAGCGCCTTCACCATGCGGATCACAGGAACGCACACTTCTTATTCGATGTCAGTTCTGGCACACGATGCTGTAGACCCGCCCATTGCAGCATTGCACGTTCACATGTGAAAGATTATCTAGTGGGGAACTTCAGAGAGGACGATCTCGAGGACCTCCAATGGAATACAAATCCATTATATCCATCCTGGGCCGATGAGGGCAGTGTTCTTGTATGGTGCAAAAGTCACGGCCTGTGCAAAGGGTGCACCGAATTCTATATAAATAGGCACACAGAGGGGCGCCAAAATATCTTTGAGACTCTCCACGAGTATATCAGAGTACCTCCCTTCTAAGACGAATATGCCTTTTTCTTCAGTACTCAGTACTTGCTCTGAGCAGGATGTATCATAGGCTGTACTTGCTTTTAAGCAAAATAGGAGAATGTCAAGAGAACCCTGCATAACAATGACAAATAGCGCGTGTCACTCAGTGACATCTCCAGCTTGTTATCTTCAGTCGTCCAGCTACTGTGCGCAAAAACATTCACATCGCAGGCATGCCGAGCGACCTTGATAGGTAAGCTTGCAGTTTCTGTAATACACGGTACGCTGACGTGAATCAGACAGATCGAACAGCTAATACGATGCGAGCCTATTTCTGAGGAGCAAGTGAAGACCCTATGTCTGAAAGCACGGGAAATCCTAATTGAAGAAGCAAACGTTCAAGTCGTGGACTCGCCTGTTACAGTATGCTCTATTCTCGCTTTGACTACAGTTCCCTCTCTGACGTCAGTTTGATCAAGATATGCGGCGATATACATGGGCAGTTTTGGGATATGATGGAACTATTCAAGGTTGGAGGGTCATGTCCTGATACAAATTACCTATTTATGGGTGAGTACTGTTATTTCATGGCTCCGAAGCAGGCTGCTGAACAGCCAAGAAGGTGACTTCGTCGATCGTGGTTTCTACAGTGTCGAAACATTCCTCTTACTCCTTGCTCTCAAAGTACGTTACCCGGAACGTATGACGCTTATACGAGGGAACCATGAATCTAGGCAAATTACACAAGTTTACGGATTCTACGATGAATGTCAACGGAAGTACGGGAGCAGCAACGTGTGGCGATGGTGTTGTGAAGTTTTCGACTACTTGGCGCTTGGTGCGATAGTTGATGGGAGAGTCTTCTGTGTACATGGGGGTCTCAGCCCAAATCTTCAAGGGATTGATCAGGTGCGTATCACGTACTACGATAAAGAAGGTCCCTCACCTGGATTTGTAGATTCGCGGAATCGACAGGAAGCAAGAAGTACCCCACGACGGTCCTATGTGTGATCTACTGTGGTCAGATCCGGATGGTATGTTTTCTCCTCCCAGTTATCCCTGGATTCTCATGTTTTGTGTTGTTCCTAGACATCACGGGCTGGGGTCTTTCACCAAGGGGCGCTGGATTCCTCTTCGGAGCCGATATCACCAAAGCCTTTGCTCACCACAATGCACTCGACCTGATCGCCAGAGCGCACCAGCTCGCCATGGAGGGGTACAAGCTCATGTTTGAGAACTTGATCGTGACTGTCTGGAGCGCACCCAATTACTGCTACCGGTGGGTTCCCATTTCATGTATACCTTGCAGCCGAACCGAGGACTCATCATCGACCAGTTGCGGAAATGTCGCTTCAATACTCGAATTGGATGAACATCTTGGTCAAGAATACAAAGTATTTTCACATGCACCTCCCGTAAGTTCGCCATTTGTCTCATATTGGCTAAAATTGAGTGTCTCGCCCAGGATGTACGCTCAATACCCGCAAAACGTCCACCGGCGGACTATTTCCTATGACAGCCCGTGGTCTTGCCGCTATATCCACCTCTGCTTCTTTTTTGTCCCCATCGACTATTGTTCTCGGATACCATCCACTGTAGCAAGTGCTCATCATAGACTTTGTATCACGAAAGTAATGTACTATTATTGATATCCTATATAGTAGCTCTTTGACCGCGCAAGGTTTTTGATTCAGCCGTTCACGTACCTCCTGGCTCATTGATGAAAGCCCCAGGTTGGTCGTGTTCCTTGCGGTGACGTCTACTCTACGCCTTGCTATGGTGTACGTATGATATGAAAAACGTCCGATATCCACGACCTGGTACGCATGTCGTTCGTCCATGTGTCACATACCATTTGAAATTCATTCATTTCTCAAATCAGCCTCCAGGTGTTTGTTTCAACTCCTGCACCAGATGGAGGTGGAGTACACAGCAGGTGCGGCTTGTTCTCGTGAGAGATACGCATTCCCAGATGTACTATAGCCGACCTTGGAAGAGAGTTTTCGACAGGTGCTAGTCTTGACGTATGTTTCGACGGGCAATACCCTCTTTTCCCCGCCCTCTAGCTTCCTGCTAGAGCCCATCTATACATGATTTTTCGAGACTAACCTGTGAAAATTCCATACTTACAACCCAGGTTTCAACAATTGGAGTATGTGTCATTTCTAGTCTACATTTTCTGTGCTTGCGTTGGCTACCCGTGACATCTTTCCACCGTCGTTATGGCGCGCTTCGGCTTGCCGCATGCCTTCTCAACCAGTGCTTGGGCCATCGTCCCGATATAGTTATTGAGGCCTTCAGGCTCTATTCAAGTACAGGAATAGCTCTTCATTGCAGGTCTTCTTCATCGGCGGATCCGATATGTGTCTCCCCTTTGGTCATAAACTACGAAAGTAAGTTAAATATGGACATGAATGCTTCACTCTGACATCACCATTTATTCGCCGTTAATAAGTGAGATGCGCTCTTTCTCCGACAGTATGACTTCTTTTCGGCTATGGTGGTGCTCTGTCACCGTTGCCATGTCACTTGTTTTTTTTTAAGGTTCGCTGTCAAAGGCTGTCCGAATGTGCTCGGCGTACACCGTCTTGAACTTGCTTTTTGCTTCCTTCCATACCGCTGTCTCAGCACCGTCGCTGAGTTCTTATTCTATCTAGCATTTCTCAACCTCCCACCTTCCTTCGACACAAGGATTGAACGGGATATTGTAATGAGGTAACGGCCCCTCGTCATAGCCAAAGAATGTGGACTTCCGAAGCAGCAAGTCCTCGCTGCTCGATTAATAAATGTCAGGCTTCTATCAGATATGTAATTCTGGCGGTACCGACGTAAAAATACCAGGCCAGTAACATAATACTCCTGTGGAGCCTGTCGAGTTGAAATGCCAAGGATCTTCTCTTATGTCGGGAGTTTTCCTTCATTCAGGCATCATGATCCACTTCGACATGCTCATCGGTCGTATAGGACCCTTTTACATCATTAGAACCTTGTTTTTCTGGTCTTCCAAGTCTTCTTGCGTTCGCACCAAGTGGAGTTTCCTTGCCATACAGCGTGGTTCTTCGCTGATACGACGCGCAAGGTAGGGATGCACCTGATGGAACGCCTTTTTGTCACGCTGCTACACGCAGATGAGGATGATGACCTTCTGCCATTTCCGGTCGCAGAAAGTGTATAAAGAGGCTCCCAATATCACCGACATCTTCAGCAACTGCAACCCACTCGCAGCTCTTCAAACACTTCAACCTTTTCTCGCTCTCCAAACTCATTTAACATGTTCTCTCGTCTCGCAGCCTTTGTCGCCCTTGCCTCCCCTCTTCTTGCGGTCGCCACACCTGCAGTTGTTGCTCGCAACGAGCCCGCCAGCGACTGCAACACCGCTCCCATCCAATGCTGCGACACTGTCACCAAGGTATGGATTTTCTATTACCTCCGCACGTTTCAACTTACCTTCTCTTCCAGGCCGATTCCGCCGCCGCGGCTGGTGTGCTTGGCCCCTTGGGCATTGTCGTCCAAGATGTCAATGTTCTTGTCGGCCTCACTTGCTCTCCCATCTCCGTCATCGGCGTTGGTAGTGCTGGCTGCAGTGCCTCCCCGGTTTGCTGCCAGGACAACAGTCATGTATGTTTCTCCTTTTTCTGCACTGTATTCAATTCGCTGAACTTGTCTTGTTGCAGGGCGGCCTCATCTCCGTCGGCTGCATCCCTGTTACCTTGTAAATGATAAGCTGTGGATTCCTATAAGGGGGTGTAGGCGAGACATTGCGGACAATGTTATCATCAATATGCGATAGGAAGGAACAATTGCTATAGTAACGTTTCGAATACATGTGTGTTTACGTTGAAAGCGAGAATAAGTGATAAGACGATTTAACGTAATCGAAGCTGATGTATTCAGTATACTTACGCCTGCTGTGCATTTGCTCTCGTGATGTTATGTTATCTCGCTTCTACTCGCCTCTCATCTGACCTCATAAAATACCGATGATATATTCCATCCATAGTAATATGTGTACGCCCATTCAAGGGCATCGACGTCGATCAGACTGCATAACCTCCGTGATGTCTCCCTACCACTGTGGTTCTGAATTGTTCCCTCAATCGCCCGTATAATAACCCACCACCAGCCACGTTCTTCCGCGCTCTAAAAGACGTACGTTGAAATGGAGACCCTATCCAAATGAACCAGAAAAAGGATGTCGTTGTCAACCCAAGGAAGCCTGATACGCCAAGGAGGAAATATAGTACGATCCGCTCACGGATGTCGGAGGCGGTGATGCAGTACATGGCAACAGCAAAGGTGAAGGTCAGGACAGACCAGAGGAGTGACGCTATTGGTAAACATAAGAAACATGCCAGGAGAGTGTGACCTAGTTGGTCGCCGAGTCCTTCGGTGTATTCCATGTATTGGGCCTGGATATCAGATCCCTGATTAGAACAAAACGCGTCGAAGAATCTGGATGCGAATGGGACTTACCGCTTCTTCTTGGGAGGCTTCTGCCTTAGAGCGATGGTTCCAAACCGCATGTACACCGGCAACAATACTAATCATACCAAACAGCGAAGAACATAGGGAAGCAGTGCGCTGTAGACCGTTTAAACCCTGCAATCAGGTGGTGAGGGTCCTGACAACAGAAGGGGACAATGTAGACGTACGGGGACAGCCAGAAAAGCGACATTGGCTCTGATGCGAGCGATAAGTTAGTACATGATGGACTAAATTTCAACGAGAGAAATAAAACATACGAAACGAAGACAGTCGCCTTCGAGTGAACCACAATGTCAGTTCCAGGTTTAAGCATAAAAAATTAGTAAAGCGACTGACCAACAAAGTCGTGTCTACAACACGCGTAAATAAGTCATTCATAAAAAAGCGAGAACCAGGCGCAGTAGACAACGCACCTCCCCATTCTAATAAGAAGCTTCTCAGCAACTCTCGGAAGTCCGGAAGGTAGACAATATTCTTAATACGAGTGCTTTGAAGCCGCGTCCGATACATACGATGAGTTCCGAAAAAGATGAATATCAAGAACACATCCAAGACCTTGATCCATGTTGTCGGCTCTGGAACAGAACAGGGACGGTAGGGGCGAGCGTCGAATGTTCCATACTTGCAACGAATTCGATTCTCTTCTACAAGCTTCATGACGCGTGCAAATAGCCCTGTTAAAGCCGGAACTACGTTGCACCCGGAACTTTGGGCTTCTGGCATAAATGTATACTATTAGATGGAAGTGGAAGTGATTGAGTTAGAACCAACCTTTTAGTTCACGATATGTTTCAAGTAGTCGTCGCCCCTGCAAGTCAGAGAATTGAAACATGGTTTCCTTGTTCTCAAGGATGCGTTCTACGCAGATACGGTTAGCATTCACTCATAATGTGCAGTGCAGTGACCTTCACCTGTAGCTCCATATGCAAGCTCACTGAGGAGCTCTGCCTCCGTAAATGGAGGAACCAATTTCAAGTGCATGCAGTATCTCTCGACGTGTTCCCAATAGCGAACTCTTTCCATATGCGAAGCTTCTAATGCATTCTGTGAGCGGCTCAACTCCGAGGGACTTGTGCTTACAAACGTACCTTTGGATGCGTCGGGACCTAGTCGAAATAGGAAACCATGTTCATGGGAAATATAATGGTGATCTAGCTCGTCCTTGTGGTCAAAGAATTCGATGCAAAGTTCCCAATCAAGCGGCATGAGCGTGCGACTGCTTGTGAGCTTTCTAAAGAGATCTTGCGCCTTACGTTCCACCCTGTGACGTATGCCAGCTCTGTACATGTTTTCTTTGGTAACCAGTCGTTTTGCTGGATCATAAAAATATAAACTGCCATCCAGACGAACGAACAGCTTCCAATTAGGTGGAAGGTCGGGATTCTTCTGCGGTCCAAGTTGATCACTGTTTAAAGATTACGACGAGAGGTCCTGTGTAATTGAAGTATTCATACGAAATGGGACAATCACTCACCTCACAATCGCACACGTTTCCGTATAAACGACGCTATTGGAGAATTGTCAGTTTGTGCTATCGTACATTCAACAACTACGTACTATTTCCGAGAAGATGGCTCAGGTGCAAATCCTTCATGGGAGACACATGGCGATGAAGAGGCCACGATATGTTCTGGACGGTTTTCTGGGAATTCCAATGAAGGAAATTGGGGAGTGGTACTGCTTCCAGCGCAGGGGAAGGGATAATGTGTTTGAGTGCAACGACTGTCACAGACAGTATTACGACGACATTCGTCCGAGGAGGTCCGTTGCATTACCAGGTTGGACGGCACAGCCGGAAAACCATCCTCAGAATCGGACTCGTACGTATCGCGTCTACTACGAGGAAGATGAACGCCGTGCAGATAGGCAGTAGGAGGAGCTGAATGTGGACGATGTTCCATCACACACAACGAAGTTCGAGACTGATTCGAAAGGGACTGTCAGAGGTATGATCTTGGGTTTAGAAAGAGGCATTTCGACTGCCTTATTGTACGACTCAAGAACAAAAGCCTGGAATATGCCGGATTGAGAGATGGAAGGGAATGGAGTAGCCAGGTCGAGAGAAAGAACAAGGGAGATGTAGGTCCATGACGGCACGCGCTTAGGTGGACAGGTACCAACTGGGAGAGGTGCCATCGCCTCAGGCTCGGTGAGGAACTAGACGACAGCCCTGTGATTGAAACCCGGCTCTACCCAGTCAAGTTATACATATCGTCTCCGAAAGACTTTGAAAAATCAGTATACTAAACGGTGCAAGCTGTAAGTAGGATCAATTCGCGACAAACGACGTGACTGGCATTTAGGGTAGGCTTGCTGGTCGCAACGCAGCCGACCCTGCTCATAGATCTGTCAAAGGAGCTATTGTCAGCGACTCAGCGTGTGCCACGTATCTATAAATGTCCTCAAATTCAGGACATTTCCATCGTCGGTAGAGGCCTCACTTTCTGTCTTTGTCCTAAAGATGGAAAGATCAATACCAAACGTCAATCGTCGTCAAGTGCATACATGGCTGGCTGTGGCGCGAGACGAAGGTAGTCCATTACAAGAACTGAATCTGCCGGTCGAACGGCTATGAAACGGCTCACCTTCGACATCAAGGAGAAGCTAACAGCGTTCTCCATACGTACCAGGTGATAACTAGAGCTGGTGGTGACCTGGAATCATATGAAAGATCAAAGCACATTGACACGAAATGTATGTCTGAAATGAAAATGAAGTATGGCCCGTATAAGGCGAGAACAACGAACCCTAAACCGTTGAACATTCAAACACAGAGACGAACCCATGAGAATTCAGCGCTCAGAGATGGCAACACAGCCCAAGCTTCGAGCGTTGAGCGGGACCGGTCGTACCGGAAGAAAGCATCGACTTAAGTAGTTACAACGAATCAGCACTTTCGTAGCGACATACGCTGGAGGTCAATGTTCAACGTTCAGTATTCAATGTTGTCCTAGACGTTCCCAAGATACAGCGAACCCCGAACCATTCAACGCAACACTGAAACCATAGAATAGGGTCAGTACATGCGCCCGGGACTATACAGTTCTTCGGGAATAGCCGAAGCCACTGCCGCAGAAACTTGAGTATCGGCGACGTCGAGTGGAAAGTTATTCAATCCCCTCACGCCCTCACGAGTAGGTAAAGTTAAAAGCATGAGGTCCGTAAGCTACATTTCTATCCATTGCAGAGCAGTTGCTGAACGTAGAATCGGCATTTGTTTAGCGGAAGCAAGCTCTCAGTGTCAAGCGTGCGGGGCTCTATCAAGGAGTTGCTCGCCGAAGCCAATGGCGAGAAAAAGCGCAACTTTGTTGAGACCATCGAACTCCAGATTGGTCTCAAGAACTATGACCCCCAGAGGGACAAGCGTTTCTCTGGAACTGTCAAGTACGGTGGACTTATGATCTTACACTTAAACCAGTGTTTCTGACTTGGTAGATTCAACTCAGGTTGCCCAATGTACCTCGCCCTCGCATGTCCATCTGCATTCTCGCCGATGCCGCCGACATCGATCGTGCTAAGCAGATCGACCTCGAGTACATGTCTGTTGACGATTTGAAGAAGTGCGTACGACTCTATGCTCTTTGAGTCGAAAGGGTGGTTAACTGACGTTTGGCATTCAAAGGCTCAACAAGAACAAGAAGCTTGTCAAGAAGCTCGCAAAGAAGTACGATGCCTTCCTTGCTTCTGAGACTCTCATCAAGCAGATCCCTCGTCTCCTCGGTCCTGGTCTCTCCAAGGGTTAGCCGGATGCACTCGATCTGCATTGTATCGTGTTTCTCACCTTGACGTCATACAGCCGGAAAGTTCCCCACACCCGTCGCTCACGCTGAGGACTTGAGCAACAAGATCACTGAGGTCCGCTCGACGATCAAGTTCCAGCTTAAGAAGGTTCTCTGTTTGGGTGTTGCCGTTGGCCACATTCAGATGACCGATGACCAGGTCCTCGGAAACGTCATGCTTAGTATGTCCAGTTTTAACTTGCTACAGAGGATTATAGTGACCTTTTTTTTTTGTTGCGCAGGCATCAATTTCCTCGTTTCCCTGCTGAAGAAGAACTGGCAGAACGTCAAGTCTCTACACATCAAGACAACGATGGGCAAGCCCGTCCGTCTCTTCTAAGCAGTTTGCCAATTTCGCCATGTCGTCACCTCGCCTATACCTATTTTATGGCTCGTGAAATGGTTTAGAGGGTTCCAACACACTATTGTTATCGTCGCAAATATGTTTTAGTCTCTTCAATTTGACTGGGAAGACCTAGGGGCCGTAATGCAAAACATGAAGCCCCGCACGCTTGGACCAACGGCTTCAGAGAGGGCAGGGAGTCGATTGGGAGCTGATGCGGTTCCTAGGTTTTTTTCTGGTCCGGTGGAGGAAGCTGGATTATTTTGTATTTGTTCGACGATTACTTCCTTTGGTGACCTTGGCTACATGCATCTATGTACTAATGATCATGATATATTGTATGGCATAATGCAGTGTGTAGTCTACGGCTTCTTCGATTGCAACATGCGTGTTCGCAGAAACGAACTGAAATTGTGCAAACGCATGCGCAGCCACTTGGATTTACAGGATCGTCCAAGCAAGCGCCCACTCTGGATTTCTTTGATTATGACACTCACCTCCCAGTCATGAGTAAAGTTCTTTGATGCTAAAGCTGCCATGTGTACACTTGCGAGGAGAGCGTTCTGTCGAAGCTGCAATTATAGTTCCCCTCATCCCAGCTACACTTTTACTGAGATGGTGATAATACGCCGTTGGAAGCAGCTTCGAAGACTCAGAGTCCTCCCGATAATTTCGCTTCCGAGTTATTTGGTATGTCTCTTACTTTGTCGACAGCGTCGGTACTTCACGTTTGGTCACTACACAACAGCAAAGACATTCTCATTTCATCCTTGATTCAGTCCACCTGTCCAACTTGTCTTCCGGAACAGAAATCATGTCAGGTACGGCTTTCCCCCGGTTTCATGGTTATGTCTCCCGGTCGCTGATCAGCGGTCCCCTGGGCGTAAATCGACGTGTCCATTGGCACCCGGTCAGAATCTGTACATCCATTACTATCTCGCAGGTGTAGCATCTGAACCCGCTTTGCTTCCACCATGCAGCGCCAGGAAGCTGAAGGATACTATTCGTGTACATTTAGCTGTCAAGAGGCAGAGTTCTGCTTGACGCCAGAATGCTCGCTGTAACTCGAGACTCTTCATTTCCAGCTTCTAGACGTGTAAGAAGACCCCCTACATTCCTTCCAAGCTTGTCAGTGGGCGATGCGTACTTGGCAGATTGTCAAAAATATTCAATTGAAACCCTATCTATAGGAGTACTCTGCGACCGCTGGAGCTTTTTATTTGTAGCTTCTAATTGACAAACATTTCAGAACCCACCCCTTTGAGAACCTTCATATTTTATATTTATTGCATTCGCAAGCTCATTGCTTTCTTTCCGCGAGTCCTGCCGCCCCCATTATGTCATTTCCACTCGTCTTCTTCGATGCCATTATCGATGTCAGGGCGTCTCTGGGAGCTGTTCTCCTTGGATCACTTCTTGGTGCATTGCAAGTAGCCATTCAACTCCACAAATGAAATCTTTCATTGAAACTGAGATCTGCAGTCTCTCCGGCATCGTCACGATGCAGGTTTTTCTGTACTATAAGTTCTACTCGAGGGACCCGCTACACTTCAGATTATTGGTATGTACAGTTTATCCATGTCCCATCTAGTTTGATTGGAGTTGATAGATACTTCCAGGTTGCATTGACATGGTAGGCCATTTCTACATGGCGGGTTGGAAGCATTTTTATGCTTACTCGTACATGGATGGGCAGGGTATCAGACTTGGTTCATACAGGAATGGCTTGCTCTTCAAATTGGTCCTACCTCATAGGTCACTTCGGAGACGAACAGATTATAGATTCGATCATATGGTGACGTTCTATGCCCATATTTCACTGAGTCCTGCCCAAGGATTGACTGTGTATCAGGCCCATTACTGTCACTATCGCACTCACTGTAAGATGAAGTCGTTATCTGTCACCAACACATTGTGCTTACACCACCTTCAAGGCGATCATTATTTTCTTTGTTCAAAGGTCTGTCCTACGTGTCATTGGTGTTTCTGAACGCGACTGAAGTGCTTTCTAGCTTTCTCGCTTATCGTATCTTTACTCGTGAGTCCTGTTATCAATGCGTTCCTTTTTGCGTTTTAAATATTTTGGGTCAGTCAGCAAGCGCAACTGGATATTCACGACACCTATAGCAAGTTTCCAGTCCTTTGTCTCTATCAATATCCACATGTTGACCTTCACTCAGGCTGCGTTAGCAGTATTACGATTAGGTAAGTTACTGTCTGGACGATCATACTCAGCCTGCTGTTAATCGCATATTTTTATTGAATTCTTGCCAGCTACTGCGCTTGGTAAGAAATCGTCAACTCGGGACGTTAGGCTTACTGACAGACGACAATTCGACTTTTCCCCTTAAGTCTCCACTTCAAAGATGTGAGATGTTCTTTGGTCGAAGTAGTCTATCACTCATCATCTATTCCTGCAGGATTCAATTAAAGCGTTACTCCCTATTCGTTGAATCCATCAGCGTAAGTTTGATACCTACATTGAATATAACGACAAATATAATCGTCAAAATTCGCCTTTGCTAGTGGGTTTTCACGCTGAGTTTATCCTTGGGAACTGCAGTCGATGTCTTGATCACTGTCACCCTTTGTTGGTACTTGAACCAAAGTCGGACGGGATTCAAGAGGTGCGTAATATTTTTAACAATAATACAGAACCCTTTATTCGACCCTTGACCGACACACAGCATGGAAACTATCATCGACTCGATTATGTTATATACCATCGAGACCGGTTTACTCACCAGGTAGACATGTCATCATTCTTTCTGAACGGGATAACCTTAACGAAGTGACTCAGTGTCATGACTGTCCTTTCGTTGATATGCGTGAGTTGCTCTCAGCTTCATCTCATGTTATATCTAAGCATCTTTCCAGTGGTTGACAATGTCGCACAACCTTATCTTCCTCGGCTTGCATTTCGCAATCAGTAAATGTGAGTGAACCACCAAAGGCTACATTGAACCCCCTTATTTACCGTCGGTCGACTAGTATACGCGAATATGTTGCTGGCTACGTAAGTCGGAGGCTCAGTCTGCTAGTATCCTACTCATGTAGGTACCTCGTTGAAGGCTGAATGCACGCAAAATCATCCGCAAGCAATCAGATTACTCCATGTCAGTCGTCTTGCCAAACAATCGCCATAGATTTGGCCCTAGAGCTGAAAGTCCCGTAAGTGTGACTCATCCTCGTATATGGCAACTTTTGGCACTGATGTATACTAGATACCGCCGGGGATGCAGTCTCCTGCGAAAACAGTGTGTGATCATGCGTCTCTGTATCTATCATTCTAACGGTTTTTGTAGGTCGAGATATGTGTAGAAGAGAGCGTACACAACCATGTCGATGCGTATTCAGGTCAAGATACGTATTCGAGTTCCTTTGCATCATACATGGAGCCGAAGCCATCTGGGCAGAGCCGTAGCTTGGAATCATGACAGTTTGCAAGACATGATGCATGAAAGCTGCATGGACATTCGTCTAGCATTTCATAATTTGGGACACACGAACATTCTTTTGCGTGATCTGATACAATTGATATTGTTTCCTCTAGTCCATCGACTACGCTATAGGTGCGACGAATGGAATCTAAACAAAGCGTTCTCAGAGATACATGTGGATCGGGATCAATGATGTTGAAGTAGAAAAGATGCAGAGAGGTATGCACGCCAGTGATCGTAATCAGGACAACGGACTGGAAGAAAAGGAAATGAAATGAAGGATACACATCGCTCTATGCGATGGACTACAGTGAAAAATGACACAGATGTATGATAGGATCGATAAATCCAAGGCTACAGAGGACAGTTTGATTTTGTGAAACGTTCGTGGAAATGTTGGATGTAGAGTGACGAATATTGTATGCGAATGAATGGCGTCCAGGTCGATGTCTACTTCTTCCTGGTATTGCCCTTGCTGAAGAGTTTCGCCTTCTCCAAAGCAGCGTAACCTGAACAATCAGATGTCAGCATATCAAACAGAATACGAAGCAATGATCAAAACGTACTCTGCTTGACAAGCATGTTCTTGTAATCGACGATTGTGAGACCCTCCCTAGTCAAATTCTTGATCTTGCGGTCTTTGACTTCCCAAAGTTCGTTAGCAACTTGCGAGATGAGACCTTTGAACATTGAGACATTCAAGTTAATGCCGATCGAAACAACAAGCAACAAAGATGTACGCACGGAAATCGTGTGAGACAATGACAACACCGCCCTCATAGTCCTTGATTGCAAGAGCAAGGGCATCAATAGAGGCCATGTCCAAGTGATTAGTCGGCTCATCAAGCAACAGGATGTGAGGGTGCTCCATGGCGAGTTGAGCGAAGACAACACTAGACAACACATAAAGTCAGGAACTATACTTGATACTGATATTTCGCAATCGTAAGACTTACCGATTCCGCAAACCATCCGAAAGCTGCTTGATAGGCGAAGTCTGATGCTGTCCAGACAGACCGAATCGTCCCAACTGAGCACGCCAAGCCTGGATGTCCTTGTCGGGATACTTCTCAGCATACAACGACTGGAGATGCTCGATGGGTGCTTTGTCATAGGGGAGCTGGTCAGCGGAGTGTTGCGAGTACTTGGCGAGCTTGAGGTTGACGTGTCGGGAGATGGTACCCTCGCATGGTTGGAGAGCGCCAGTAATGAGATTGAGCAGGGTAGACTTCCCTGTACCGTTCTGACCGACGATGGCTATCCGAGACTCCATGTCGATACCAAAGGACAGATCCTTGTAGAGGTAATCTTCCTTCTTGCCAGAGTAAGAGAACGCAACATCGTTGAAGGCAAGAATGGGAGGAGGAAGCTTGGTAACATCCTCAAAGTGGAAGCGTAGCGGCCGAGGCTGCTCGATCTTCTCGATAAGTCCCGCGGCCTCCATCTTGTCGATGATCTTCTGCTTTGACTTTGCTTGTTTGACCAAGTTGGCGTAAGTACCAGCGGAAGCAATGAATCTATCAAGATCAAGGTCAATAGATGACACAGAGACAGGTAAAAAGGGCGACTTACTTCTTGATGTGTGCGATTTCGTCTTGTTGCTTCTGGTACGCCTTCATTTGGTTCACCTCGTTCTCCTGCTTTGTCCGGACGTAGGTCGAATAATTGCCACCATAGTATACTAGCTTCTTCTTGGGTGTCAAATCCATTATGTTCGTGCACACGCTGTCCATGAAATCTTGCGAGTGGGACGTAATGACCAAGATGTGGTTGTACATCGACAAATATGCCTCCAACCACACAACAGCCTCCAAATCCAAGTGATTAGTCGGCTCATCGAGGAGCAGAAGATGTGGCTTGATGAAAAGAGCGCGAGCAAGTGCAACACGCATACGCCAACCACCACTCATGTCCTTGGTTGGGCGGGCCATCATCTGTGTGCTGAAACCGAGACCGTGAAGGATAGACCCAGCCTTGGCTTCGAAGGTGTTAGGGTCGAGCTCTTCGAGTTCTTCGTAGGTAGCGTCTAATGCCACCTCGTCGATGTCGTCTGCGACCGAGAGGTCCTCAATTCTCTGCTCCAGACGAGCAACTTTTTCTTTGGCAGAGGCAACGATGTAGTCGAGAGCGTTTACATCTGAAGGTTCGGCCTCGCCACTGACAAGGTAGATATCGATGTGCTCGGGAATGGGGATATCCCGTTCAGCAATGGATTGCAGCAGGGTCGACTAGAGGTGATAGAACAACACGTAAGAGAACCATCTCATGAAGAGAAGTCAAGATGCAATTGCTTACCTTTCCGGAACCGTTCTCACCCAGAAGACCATACCGTTGGCCATAATTGAGCGAAAGTTCAGCACCCTCGATAAGTAATCGTCCGTGGAACGAAAGTGTGTAAGAGTCAATCTTGATATCACGACCCTTGGGATCAGATACAAGCACACCAGCTGCACTCCTGTTGACAAATCCGTCAGTTCCCCCGAATTCTGCAAATTGTGAAAACATACCTATCGGTAGCAAGCTGGAGCTTTGCCATTGAAGTCAAGTCATCGGTGCTCGTCGCAGCACTTAAACTGGTCAATGGGGTGTTCACTGAGCTGCCGCCATTGACCGAGCCCGTTGGTGTGCTCGTAGAGGTCGAAGCATCGCCTCCACCCTTGACTTTTACCGACTGCTTAGCGGCCTTTTCTGCGAGTCGCTTTTGTTTTGATGCTGAAGGTGCCATTGTGGGCAGTTAGCGATCCGTAAACTGTGAAGTCGTGAAGTGAGTGTAAGGGCAGTGGGGGATGGTGGAGGACGATGAGGGTAGGAGACTAAGAGACGAATTCGCCGCTTGCTTTCTCTCCTGCATCGATCTCATTCAGCGCTTACTCAAATTTCAGCTTACATCACAATTTCCATAAAAGGAAATATCTCTATGTGTTGTAGGTTACTTTCGATTCTGATATGTCAGCACATCCTCGTCTTGTCTGTTAAGGCCGCGCTGTCAGAATTTGACGAATACTCTAATCTGCGATCGCTCAAACACACACAAGGCAGTAGGAGAACTGTATAGCTTCAATTATGGCACAAGACTGGGAGCTGAACTCGGTCGAAGAACTAACAGCTTAACTGACAGTAGCAAAGTATCATCGCATACTTCCAGATTTGTTTCTGACATGAGAATGGAGAAACGCGAAAGCCACCAGTCGGACATCCTTCAATTCAAATAGTAGGAAATAACGCTGTAAGTCGAGGACACTCTCAAAGGGAAACATCAACACAGTCGAAGACTAAGCCTAATACAAATACATGCCCTTCCAACACTTCAAGAAGGATATTCGCAATCGGTTAGAACACTACGATATCTGCCTCTCACTTATCTCCATTACGACCCTCCGCGAATGATTTGGGCTCCAAGTACGATGCGTCGACATGATGCTGCACTGTTTCTTCCACGCGAATCTGAACCTGTCAACCTTAACTGAGTATAACATGAATGCATGTTTGTCTCTGAACTTACTGTCTTTGTCAAAGATTGCGTTCCTCGAGGTGGCTTGTTATAAGTCAGCACAGAATACTGCAGGTATTGTTTTGCGCGATACTTACTGAGCTTTCCAATCTTCTAATAAACCCAGGGCCGTGATTTTGGGCAACAAGGGACAACGAGTACTCCGAGAGATTGCGAGTAGACTCTGAACGTCCGCGGAGCGCTTTGCGAGCATTAAGACTTAAAAGCGGGAACAAAAGGGCAGTAGGCTAATTATAGATGTTTTCAGGATCACTCACGTCGCCAGGAGGGTATTCGCATAAACTGGTGGAAGGTCAGTACAAGAAATGTTGGATTATTCTTAACTGCATACGCTTGCTGATACCGAAGTGTAGGCCGAGGAAAATGAGATTTCGGGGCATGGATATCCACTGGGGCGCGCTGAGAAATAACCATTGCGATGAAGCCAAGCTAATGACTTACGCAAATCAAAGAAATAGCCGTCGTGATACTAAAGCCAATTTAAATCACACATGTTTAGCACGAAAGTAGTATAATACTTGCCAGGTGAGCGAGTTGGTCTCGATAGTATATAGAATGATCGAATCAACGATGGCTTCCATGCTGTAAGCTGCGTCAACACTGGACCTGAGGCAAATTGGTTGGATGCTTACCTCTGGAAACCTGTCCGACTTTTGTTTAGGTACCAACATAGGGTGAAAGTGACCATTACGTCAACCGTTGTTGCAAGGGACAATCCCATTGTGAAGACCCACTGCCAGTCGTGTCTTCAATCAAACAACAATAAGAAAGGCCAGGAGACTCACGCCGATGGAATGGACGAACTCAGAAAAATGCCCTAGTTCAATCCTAGCATGCGGATGAAATGAATGAAAAATAAGTTCGGAAGAGAGGAACGAACTTACATTTTTGACGTAGATACTGAATCAAATTTATCAGAATTGCACATTTTATTGCTAAGCGTAATCATACCGAGTGCTGCAGCTACCATAGAATGCCGATGCGCAATAAGTCGACAGTTTCGACGGGACCAAACGACAGAACGACAGATACTCTACCTAATCGTGCTGTTGTCAAAATACCCTGGAAGAAATTGTTTACTGAGCGAAGCTAATCGTATGTATGAAGGCTTACGATAGGTAAGGTAATGAACCAGTTTTTGCTCACTTCCTCGCTTGATGAGTACAAAGCACCAGCATGGCACGAGCAGCCACATACAAGTAAAAATTCTGTACGCGAAGAAACTGAATGTATTTTGAGTTACATCTCATAGCAGGGCAGCAGCATGACGGACCTCTGCACGAAGAAGGTGATGAATGCCTAAATTAAATAGGTATGAGACCACCGAAACCCAAGCCCGCAACGAAGGAGGACATGTCTCACCGTGAGCGCAACGGTTACAGCGGTGGGCCTAGAAACAGGTCGATATCGCGAATCAATCGAGTCACAAGGAGCATACCACATGATCGAGTCAGCGACGTTGTCATCACCGAAGTGAGCTATGAGGTACGACCAGTTCGAGGCACACGCCATGGCGGTGTGCAGGATATCCAACAGCCTACGCCACAAATGTAAGGTTTTGATGTCGACCACCTGCCTATTCTCACCATATGAACAAGACCTGAAGGGCAAAATCATCGGTGACGAAAGCAGACTAAAATACAACTGGACTCACCAATCCTCGAAAGCGTAGAGGGTCATCTGAATATAACTTGAAGTAGAGAAATACCTGCATCGCGACGATGCCAGAGAGTCTACTGCCCTAGTTAGCTGGGAAACCTCATGGTGAATACAAATAGTCACGGACAGTGCACCAAGCAGAGAGCCGAGAAGAATAGCCCCTAGAGATGCCCGAACGTCAGCCATGGCATGTATCAAAGACTACGGGACAGTCGAGCACGAGAGGGTACATGGGTCAGTCTGACGGTAGAATTTATAGAGGACATCTGCATGGTTATGATCCCTGTCGAATTGATCGGTGAGAAATGGTAAGTTTGCGGCCATGATTAAGTTACAAACTGCAGCAATTAATCCAAGCGAACAGTCCTCGTCAAGTAAAGTTTGACTTGAGTCTGTTGAAATGTCCCATCCAAAGTCACACCATTTTGACGGGCTTGGAAGGTATTGAAGGTCTAGAAATCACCTCGGCATGCCAAATAGAAGGAGGCCGAATGAAAGAAGCATTACGACGAAAGTCGCGCCGTGTGTTGACAGAGGACCATGAAATAGAGGCGAGCTTCTGCTTTTTGAGGCGCACTTCGATTTCCACGTGTGGGGGAATGTTGACTCTATAGTTGAGAGAGCTGGTAAGCCAGGTGAATTATCATTAGGTCGTGATTGAAGGCTTTGGTTAAACACCTTCAACAGTCCAGCTAGTTAGCGCAATGGATAAATTGGTACATCAGGTCACATACCGTTCCTATCACATCCGCACAACACGGACGGATGAATGGAATCCAGAAGTCTTCAAAAGAAGGGTTCAATGTTATCCAGACGCAAGGTCCATGGTTTCAGCTAGAACCAAAAATTCGGCCTCGAGTATCTATCCAGAGCGGCGGGTTCTCGCGTTGCACCATGACCACAGGAAGAAACCCAAAAACAGAGTTGGACTGTCATTGCAGGTATCACCGCCTGGATTTTGATTATCTCAGGGTGTCTAGTGATCGTTGCGCCTGGGAAGACACGGAGCGATATCAGACGACGTCAAGTGCTAAGGCGGGAATAGTAAGGTGCTAGAGATTTAAGCTCTGACGACAGGGGCTCAAGAGTAGAATCGATTCGTAGTAGACTTAGTGCCTTCAGACTGAGAGGACGGGAGATGGGATGATAGTTCCTGACACGGGGACTGGATTTCAAGCTCAGTACTGGTGAAGGGCACGACAGATATGTCGTAATATTGTGTTCATGGAGAAAAAAGCGATACGGTAAAGGTCTTGATTCAGAAGCGGACCTTGGAACAGAACGGTGTGACCGACGTCATCACCATAGTCCTGATCGTGAGCAAATGTGTTCAATGGTATTAGTGAACTAACATCCACCGAGCACAAGATATCGGAGAACCTATAAAATCGAGACCGTACTTAATACGGCATCTTTGCATCATCGAGGGATCGAAGTCCAACTAACATCGTGCAAGACAAGAATAGTGAGCAGAGCATTATGGAACTGTGATTAAGGGAATAAAACGTACTTTACGTGATCGCGCAAAATCACGGTCGCGATAGTACTTCAGCGATGACATGAGGCAGATTCAAGAACCGCACCTCTAGGGCAGATGATCATATTTAGTAGCAAATTGTCGGTGTGCGATTCGCTCAGACAGTCATCGAGTTAGACAAACGCATGCGCTATTATCGATGCGAGACCTCATGTTGATGTTCCGTTGGATGCGAGAAGTGGGCTGCCGAAATCACCACACTCTGCATCGGAGGTCTGGCACATAGAAGGTGACACTGGAAGAATCATTTTAGAGATAAAATCATCAACTCGCCAACAGTCTATGCCTATCATGAGGCAAGCACTTGCAAAGGTGCCGACAGATTGCAGACAAAGGGATGATACGAAAGAGATTCTCGTGGCTGCATGACGGCCACCAACCAGGCAACTCTTGGTCATATTTCTGGTAAAAACATCGGCTTCCGGGATCGTCATTTGGCCTAGCACAAGGCATTGCTCTACCCGCGGAAATGAGGCAGCCGCGAGGACTATCGATGAGTATGAAGTTTATGGCATAGTTACTTGTCTACACTCTAAACTCGGAAAGGAAAGGTTTACTGCTTGTACCCGAAAGAGGTTTATTTCTAGGGATGCTTACCATGGCTTCGGCGTATATGTTGTAGGATCTATAAGCTTTAGGATTGCGAAGGTGATTTGGAGTTGAAGAACGTTGAAGCTGAAGGTTAACGTTGAAGATGAATTTCCCGACGGGGGCCGCAAACACCGGGCAGGCGCTAGTTATTGTTACGCATCCGAATTTGGTATCTTGAACCAAGTTTGTTGCTCACCTTCATCATCGGCCGCTCAAGGCCTTGGCTCTTTGTTGCAACGGGTGCGAGATAATGTCTGAATACGTAGCATTTACTCACAAATCTCGGAGACTGACACATCGTAGTGTGTCCAATACACGAGGCAGAGATAGAAAGAATCTGGAAGACTCGGTATGGGATCTCTCATAGCGATTCCAAACTAGTGTGGGCGGCCAGTTGAACATTGGCCGCTAAACACCTTCTATGATCATGCCATGCGTGTACTCCGAGATTTAAAGAAGGTATGTAATCAGACCCTGGTCAATCTTGTGGTCATGGGTCTCATATTAGCATAGATATCTTACAGTTCCGAAAGTAACCGGTATCGCTCGAGTAAAGCAATGAGTTTGTATAAGATGCGAGCTTGCGATAGGATGCTATTCTGCGTGGTATCTACATACCAATCACTCTCCCGCTGTCGACATGGGATCATTGCGTATCATGGCTGCTATCGATGCTATCCATGATATCTCTCATTCCAAAGCATTCTTTCTGCTTGGCCTCTGTGCAGTAGTGATCTTTGTCGTTCGTTGGTACAAGGCCTCTCTGAAGGGAACGCTGCCTCCGGGACCTCGGGGTTTTCCGATCGTCGGTAACACATTCCAGCTGGGACGCCTACCTTGGTTCCAGCTTACGCGGTGGGCGCGACAGTATGGTATGTCTCATCGATGTCTTCCTCTCCAACCATGATTTAATTTCTTGCAATAAGGGCCGATCTATTCTTTAAATCTCGGTGGCCAGATCTTGATCGTTCTCAATAACCATAAGGTGGCCTCCGATCTCCTCGATAAACGATCGGCGATATACGCAGATCGCCCACGCATGATCATGACCGGAGAGCTCCTGTGTGGAGGTTTCTTTTTCGCATTCAACAGTTGCAATGATTTGTAGGTCTCCGTGCGCTAAACTAGTTGCTGTTAGTTCATCGCGACGTTCAAATGCTCCTGTTCTCAGATGGCGTAGACTTCGTAAGGCCGCTTTTGAAGGCTTGAATTTCAGGTCTTCGGAGGTATTTCAACCCGTTCAAGAACGAGAGGCCATTCGTCTCGCCGAAGCGTTGGTCAAGAACCCATCGGCTTGGATGGACCATATCAATAGGTGGGTCGTTTAAGACGACTCTCAGTTAACGACGCCAACGTATGCATTACAGGGTCACAGCATCCGGCGTCCTTTCAGTCTGCTATTCTTTGCCTCCAGTCGCATCAGCGGAAGATCCCGTTATTACTCTTATCAACAACTTCATGCACCGCATTGAAGCTGGTTCTCGTCCGGGAGAATATCTGGTTGAGCTCTTTCCTTGGATGTTAAGGCTGCCAAAGTGGATGGCTAAGTGGCATCGTGATGCTGATGAAGCCCATGCGCGAGATACTGAAATGTTCATGAAGTTCCACTTAGACGCAAAGCGTCGAGCGGTACATTTCCGTTGCATTTGTTCTTCGACATCCTTCGCTGACTGGCATCCTTTCAGGCCCTTGGTCAATGTGGACCATGCATGAGTGGAATCCTCATGGAAAGGAACGAGGTTAGTGACAAGGAAGCAGCATGGCTTGCTGGAACGCTTTTGTAAGGTGTTTCACCGTGATGACTAGTCCTTTCTGACGGAAAGATGACCTTTGTTTAGTGGCGCCGGTTCCACGACGGTCAGTTCATTTTGAACAATAGCTTTATCCGCGCATATTGAGCAGCACATACTTGAGTAGACTGCCGCAGCTCAGCACGTCTTTATTCTCGCAATGGTGCTCTACCCCGCTGCTATGCGAAAGGCTCAGGCAGAGATCGACGCAGTCGTTGGTCGTTCGCGGCTGCCAAATTTCAGTGATCGTAATAAATTGCCCTATGTCCAAGCTATCATACGAGAGGTAGTCTATCTTTGTATCATCGAAGTTTGTATACTGAATAGTCTTCTTTTTAAAGGTCTTCCGCTGGAGAAACATTGGTGAGTACGTCCATACGGGATTGCCTACGTCCCATTGACCGTGTTTCCTACGCAGGACCGTTGGGTATATCTTGATTTTGTTATTCATCGCATTGTTTCATATGTTCAAGGATGATGTTAGGCCTTCCCCACTATAGTACAGAGGTAGAGTGCAATTGTGTCTAACATCCTTCTGCGACTTACCCCTCCTTTAGGACGATTGGTACGAAGGCTATTACATTCCCAAAGGATCGATGATCTTCTTTAATCAATGGTACTATCACGTATTCGTGTCTAGCTATGTATACTCAAAAGACTCGCAGGGCCATGAACACCGATACCGAGGTGTATGGTGACGACTTTAATACCTTCCGACCGGAACGTTTCCTAGATGAAACCGGCAAGAAAGAGAATGTTCCTCCAAACACCCATGGCGAGGTCTGTACTCACCACCATTTCACCCATGAGAGGTCGCTACATTGATAATCTCGTTTTTAGGGCCATACAGGCTTTGGATATGGTCGTCGGAAGTGCGTTGGTGTCAATCTTGCCAAGAGCACCATGTTTATCAACATCGCAACGACCCTGTGGGCCTTTGACATTGGAAGAGGAAAGGACAGCAACGGAAACGTATTTACTCCGGACCCAGATGCTTTCGAAGATCGAGGACTGGTTGTGTAAGTCTTTGTGGCGATACCGTTAGCAGCACTGTTAGCTAAACTTGATGTACAATCCTCACAGTGGTCCCGATCCCTTCCCTGTTACTTTCACCCCTCGGTACCCTGACGTTGTGCCAGAGATCCTCGCTCATGCTCAACAGGTCGTCCGACCGGTCCAAGTTCAACACACACCCATTGCCCCCAAAGATATGCCTGTTGACGCTGAGGCGTACTAAGCATCCTCAGTTATACTGCAATATCTACACTCGTCGCAAATCTTCGTCGTTAGTTTGCGTCACTCGTTTTTCCCTTTCCGATTGTTTTCCACATGCTTTCCGTTATTGCATACTTTGATCTTGTGCATTCTGCTATTCCCTAGCATATCTCGGTCGTTCAATCCTCGTATTGTCGTTCACTCGCAGGCTACGCATTTGTTCCATTGTAATTGTGTACCATTTTACCCTGTATAAACCTAGACAGGTACTTATTTCCGTTGCTGCAAATGTTGAATAAGTGTTGATTTAATATCAACGCCCACTTTGGTCTTCTCACGGAACAAATGAGACTATATTCCGAGTATTCCAATAGCAAACATATATCTAGTTCCTTATCGACGCTAGTACGCCCACCGTGTACTGGTATACAACCCCTCCTAGGAATTCACCCTTGTCATTTACGAGTCAACAGGAACGCAGCCGATGGAAATGAAGCCGCCCTGCAACAAAATAAGTTCAGCAACTTGAATCCGGTGTGCAACATACGTGACTGTTGTCCTCGCAGCAAACCGGGGAGGCACTGCAGCCAGTACTACCAACGCCGATGACGGAGATGGGAGAGCAAGTGAGCCCCACAAGAGCATCGATATCTTGGAGGACGATGCCCAAGGCGCCAAGCACACCAGCCGCGTCTGCGGAATCGGCCTGGAAGAGAAGGTAAGTGGAAAGATGCGGACGTAATAAAGAAATCTATATCTTTGTGACAGTGTCGCAGCATTGAATGGGGGCGGTGCTGCAGTCGCTGGCGGGCTCATTGCGAGCAATGACTGCAGGTGTGGCGACCGCAAGAAGAGGCGAGGCGAGAGCGACAAAGGCTACGAGACGGGAGAACATATTGAACGAGTTTGGAGAGTGAGGGAGGTTGAAGGGTTCAAAGAGCTGCGAGTGGGCTGCAGTTGCTGAGGAAGTTAGTGAGGCCGAGAGCCCCTTTATATGCTTCCTGCGGCCAGGAAGAGCAGAAGACGTTCCATCAGGTGTGTCCCAGGCTGCTTTGAGGATAGTAGCAGCGAATAGCAGCACTGTATCGCAGGGAAAGTCCATTTGGTGTAAACTTCTCGGGTTGGTGGCGAACCGGAGACGACTGGAAACACTCGAAAAGAAGTTCCAATGATGCGAAGGAGTTCTACATGACCGACGAGCATGTTGAATTGGATGCTTGAATGAAGGAAAACTCCCGACATGACAGAAGATCCCTGGCATTCCAATTTGACAGGCTCCACAGGTGTATTATGTTACTGGGCTGGTATTTCTACGTCGGTACCGCCAGAATTACATATCTGATAGAAGCTTAACATGTATTAATTGAGCCGTGAGGACTTGCTGCTTTCGGATGTACATTTTTTGGACTATGACGAGGGCCGTCGCCCGTCTCCTCGCAATATCCCGTTCGGTCGTTGTGTTGAGGGAAGGTGGGACGGAAAATGCTAGACAGCATGAGAATTCAGCGATGGTATTGAGCTTGTGATATGGGAGTAACTAGAGGGTGGAGAGACAGTTGCTGAGGACGACGTATGCTGCGTATTCGAAGAAGTCTGAGTATTTGACAACAAACCTAAAGTCAAATGATACGGCAACGGTGAGAGAGCACCACCTTAGCCAATGACAAGAGTCATAGTGTCGGAGAAAGAGGGCACCTCACCTGTTAACGGCGAACAAACAGTGATGTCAGAGTGAAGCATTCATGTCCATATTTAACTCATTTTCGTAGTCGATGACCCAAGGGGAGACACATCTTGGATCCGCCGATGAAGAAGACCTTCGATAAAGAGCTATTCCTGTACTTGAATACAGATGGAGTGTCAGTACCTACATCATCGGGGTGATGATACAGGCACTGGTCCAGAATGCGGCAAGTCAAAGTGCGCTGTAACGACGGTGGAAGAATGTTACAGGTAGCCAATGCACGCGCGGGAAATGTAGAGTAGAAATAACACATACTCCGATTATTATATAGGTTGTCATGTGGGCGTAAGCACGGAAACTGTCCTCGAAAAACCATGTATAAGTAGAATGGCTCCGGCTGCAGCAGGAAGTTCAAAGGTGAGGATGAATTGATTGACTGCCCACCAGAATTTGTATCAACATCAGAATCCCGGCCGAGGCGAAATACACACTAAAATATGTTTCTCTCACGAGGAGAGACTGGAGTTACTGAGTACTCCACCTCCAGCAGGTGCTGAAATTCAAGTGAATACCTCGAAAGCCGGTTTGAGAAATAAATGAATTTCAAATGGAGCGTGACAGATGGATGAAGGACGTGCGTACCAGTTCATGAATGTCCGACGTTCATCGTATCATACTACATCATAAAAGACGTAGAGCAGATTTCATTGACATCACCAGGAGCCACAAGTCAGTCCAACCAACCTGGAGCTTCCATCAACTTGAAGGGCTCAGGAGAAGGAGCATACATGAACAATTTGATTGCATTAACGTTAACCGGCAATGAGACACTTCATATAGGCGAGTGTCTAGAAAGATTATTTCTGTTCCGAACCCGAGAAGAAACTTCGAGAGAGCAACAGTAGCAGTGCAATGCCATATAACAAAGGATATAACGACAGATGGGAATGGAGGAGCTGAAAGCAACCACGAAAGCGGCCCAATGGTAGAGGTATTTGCCTTATTGAGTTACCACAATCCAAATATGTACTTCGGCAATACCCGGGTAGCGGCTTTTCTCTCTTGTGCCTTCCACTCATCTTCAAGCTTTCAAGCCTTCAAGCCCCTCGGGTGGCTCGATACCCACTATACCGGAGTAACAGAACTACACTCAGTCTCAAATCTAACTCTGGATCTCTTTTCTACAATACATAGGGACAACACCTATACTATACAATTGGACGCAGGGCTCGTCGTTGATGGTCTGGGTTCTCTACTGTTCATGCCCTATGATTGTCGATGGTTTACGATCTCCTCTCCGGCTTTCTCCCCGCCTTACTCGCGCCCTCGGGTCCCTCATCAGAATGACTGTTCCTATTCTGGTTCTCCTTGGAGTTCAAGTTGGGTTCGCCTCCATACCTCAACTTCTGCTCAGCGTCCGGTCCCGAAGAAGGCGGGACGTCATATGGATGTTTCCTATCCATCTATATTGAAAAATGTACGACAAGCATGAACCATCAGATCGTTCATCTCAGGTTGCGTCAAAGGAAGAGACATACCGTCTCGTACTCTTGACTTCCCACACCCGACCGAGAGAAACCCCCAGTCAAAGGCTCTTGTGCGTGTTGGACCTTCGCCCCCGTAGCAGAACTATCGACTTGATGTGTCTTGGAAGAACTTGGGAGTGCCTGATCTACGTCTTTGAAGTAGGATTCTGCGGTGTGCTTTGGTTCATCCTCACGGACACGTGCGGAGGATGAGAAGGACCGAGTTTGTTGAGCTGTTGGAGACTTCTTGGACTTGCGGTCGTTGAACTGCGATTGCCAGAATCAGTTTCACTGGGTATATGTGCGTCATAAGGGTAAGATCTACCTTGTGCGAGGGCAAGGTGGGTTCCTCTGCTGCGTTTCCCTTACCAGAGTCCTTCGCAGAACTCGACTTGTGCGTCAAGTGTGGGTTCTGCTCTGCATTCGTCCTCTCCTTCGGTTCTCTGCTCTTATCCGGAGCTTGCCCCTGCGTAGTACGATCGGATGCAGCTGCCCTATTCACGGCACTTGTCCACAGTGTCCTCTTTGCGGTATCAAACCTAGGCTTCCCAGTCCCGGTAACACCCTCTCCACCACCGCGATTCTGCTTATCCTCCCCAGAAGTCGTCTTCATTCCCAACTTATTCTTCACCGCATCTACAAACGACGGAGGCGTAATGTTCTCTTGCCCGCCAACACGTTCGTGTTCGTTCGGCCGCCCGCCACGCACGTCGGAATCCTTTGTTCGATTCGCAGTGGAACTCTGAGATCCCACTTGATCGACAAACCCTACACCTTCAGGGTTTCCCCCGGGTTCTTCCCGAGCAGCTTTGTGACGTGGTTGGTGGCCCGATGCTGCTGCATCAAGAGGCGTAGTCTCCTCCGGGTTCTCCGCTTTCTCCTTGCTGGCCTTGAGCTGCTGGTGTAATGGGTCACCCGCTTGGTCAGACTTGTATGGGTTCCCTGCACGGTCGTTCTTTCCTGGCTGCGTGCCTATGGAACGAAGGTTGGATGCAATGCAAGTGGCGAATGGACTACGAGGAAGTCGGAGAGCTTGTCGTGATAACATATTGAATGTATGCCAGATTGAGTGGTTGTGAGAAGGATGTGGTGGTCCATATTTCTGGCGTGCTGTGCATATGAAGTGTCCCCGCCATGGAGCGCAAATGTGAATGGTCCCGGTGACTGACGTCATTCTATGGCCGATCGTAAGTCGACATCGATCGTCGTCAGTTGTGCACACCAGTGAAAGCATATGAATAGACGACAGAAATTTGCATTTAGAGTAACAAAAAATTAGAGTACATCCTTCACAAAAGGACAGATGTTTTTTAGGATATACGACACCGCCCATGAGACAGGGAACCAGAAAGCAGGACGGATCCACTATGACGAGATATGTTCAGTACAAACAGAACTGATAACGCGGAGAACATAATCAAAGTGAAAAATCGCAATTAACAGCAGCCATCACAACTTTACTGCGGCCCTCCACTGTTCGAAGATCCCTCCCCAGAACTGGACACCGTCTGATACAGATTCCGATTCTTCACATCCGTCGGGTGTTCACTCTGTTCCCCAGACTCATACGCAGGAGGTACATCCTCAGATCCAGCATTCTGAGCAAACAACAGAGGCATATTAGGCGTCTGAGAAGGTGTCGAGACCTGGCTAGGTGCAAACAGGATCTGTGACGGTGAAGGCTCAGAGCCGGGGACAGTCGATGTACGATAAGTCGCAGTCTGGTAGAAACTGCCCTGTGTGGGGCTACTGGAAACTTCGGATTGCGGTGGGAAGAGAGGGTAAGGTTGGACGTTATGGCTGTTCTTGTCTTCTTCGGAAACATCATAGGCGTAGACACGCGTGCGACGGTGATGGATGAAGAGCCACCAGATGGCAATACCAGAGAAGATGACTAGTGCCACTCCGCCGATCGTACCTCCGACGATGGCGCCGACGTTGGTCTTATGGGAAGCTTGTACTTCACGAGAGGCGAACCCTAGGGTAGCCGGACCATCGCGGGGAACGTTGAAGATACTATATGAGTAAGCAGAGATAGGGTCAGTGCTTCTGGAATCTACCTGAACGAAGATTGGGGGCCGAACGGGACGGGGACTCACAGGTACACCGCGCTGATGAACCTTGCGCCCAAGAGGTAAGAGTTCAGATTGGAGGAAGTCCAAGCTTCGATTCCACTGATACACGTTCCATCGCTTTGCTTGATGACAAGGGTACTAGAGTCCAATGTATAGGTTTGAGAGCCTACAATGATACCGAAAGTAATCTTCGAATCGCAAGGGATCTTCCATGTTTGAGAGAGCGATCCGAGGGTTGAGATGGTCGGAAGAAGGACAGACCCTGGGATGGCAGAATCTGCATAATAGTGGCAGATTGTGGGCGTTCATGAGTGGTTAAACTACCGAGAGGACAAATATAACATACGAATCAAGGTGGCTGAGTCCAATGGGAAATACATCCCTTGATAGAGGGGATCCACATTCGCAACTAGCGTCTTTCTGGAGTTGACCTGATTTCCATCGGAGATCAATATCCACCCATTTAATGGGACCGTCCAATCTTGAGGATCATCCTCAGGGTTCAGAGAGTTATCCACAGTCGCCCAGGACAAAGTATCAGCTGAGTAGAACGAGTGATCGGGCTGCAGCATGTGTACAGTGCCAGCCGGTGAATCGTTGTTTGCGGGACTGCCGCCCGCCGCTGCGTTATTCTGGCTGTCATCGCCTTGAAGCGCAGCTTGAACGATGGGACTATTGAGCGCCAAGCCGAATGTGAAATTGTCTGCTTGTGGGTTGGCGAGAAGCCATTGCCCGCCGATGGCATCTTCGAAGTTACCGCCGTAGACTGAAGAGTTGTTGGAAGAGGATCGAGGTGCGAGGTTTCGATTCGAACCAAGACCAACCATACCGGAGACTCCACTCCCTATTAGAGAGCCGGGGTTGTCCTGGTATTTAGAGGTCACCCTGTCTGTAACAACGACTTTGAATGGGCGGCGATGGGTCAGCGGGGAATGGAGGTGTAAGGTACCAAAAGTAGCGTACTCGTCTGATTAGGATATGACCATAGAGAACCGTTTTTCATCGTCAGAGCACAATCCTCTTTTACTAGCGATGCCGAGGTGGTGGCGTTGAAGATCGCAACATTCGTCGTATTCAGCATCTGCTGGGCAGTAGTCGACTTGCTCTGATCATAACTGCAGATATGCTAAGTTATCAAGCGGCTACACTTACGAGACATCGAAACGGAAGACATACAGATTAACACCATGGCATGAAACGCATTGCGTTCCCGCAACGTATGTCAAACCTGAACCCGTCGTCATCGTAAAATTAAAGCGTTGGGTATTCTGGGACTAATCAAGCCAATAAGTTCAGTGTCGTTGTCCACTGAACAATGATAAGACTGACCATTGCAACAGTGATTACATATTTCCCCTGCGAATCGAATTGGAGAGGAATGTCCTTCCTGACCGGAACGAACGGTGCATCATCCCGTTTCCCCATCACCCTCCAAGGCCACGCAACGGCCGACACACCCTCCCCCAACAGAAGCACACACAAAGCAAAAGAGAGAAAGTGGAATTTGCCCATATTCGCGGGCGCGATGAAGAAGAAGGAGAAGGGAGAAGAGGGCGGCGCGAAGGAAGAAGAAACATTTTACGGAACGGTTGAGGTCAGACTGATAAACCTCCCAGTAGGCGCGCTTGATGGGCTAGCAGCTTCAGCTGGGTGGCGTTCGCCAAAGATCAGTACCCCCTGACCTGAAGGTTAGCGGCGAGATCGGATTGGGTGAGTTAGGTTGTGCACAAATTGGGCAAGGTAATTGGTGCCTTTGGCTGTGTCACTGACACAATCAATTTAAAATTGGGCGCTTAGCGCTATTTGAAGCACACTCCAGGTGGATGGAGCCCGTTCTGTTTGATCACCCTGACGAGAACGGTGAGGGAGTGACCAGCTGGCCTAGGTACCTGTTGATATCTGTATTGCTTGAGAAAGTACACGTCTGCGGATGAAAGAAGATTGGCGATGTACACCAAGGACAAAACACCAGACGAAAAGCGGGTTTGTTCGTCTGTACATGAAGGAACCATCAAGATTATAGTCTGCGAACCATCTCATTTCGTGTCAGTCAAGCTCTGCTTGCTCCGTACAGAACACAACTCACCGAAGTCAAGTCATATTGCTTTACAAGCGCTTTAGAACTTCAAAATACTCATACGGCTACTTTGCTAAAGAGCGAACTGCATCTCGGATCCGTTCGTATTCAGAACGGCGTTACAGCCTGAGAACGGACTGAAAGCATATGCGATCTGGGAATCTTCTATCCGATGATCTGTGCGATGTCCACATGAGCATTGAGAGACCAATTGTGATAAAGACAACACGGGGCAGAATGTTTCAAAGTTTATCTAAGTCAGCGTGATGGTGGTCAGAACACAAGGAGGGCGCGTCAACATCCAGAAAAGGACACGCCGACGCTAGAAAGACGCCCATAGATCCCGACACTGATCAGAGCGCTTATTTAACCAAAGCACTGAAGAACGATCATCATGGCATCCACCACTGAAGAAACCGCAGGGCCATCCGCACGTCCTCCCATTGAAGTGCGTTACTGCGAAGGTGTGTGTTGATACCCTAATCCGTAGTAGTGAATGGCTGTAATCATACTCTAGATCTACTCTTGCAATGATTTGCAGTGTGCACATTCCCCCTTGAATACTGCGAATTTGGATCAAGCTTTTCGAAATGTAAAGAGGCATTGCTACAGGAGGATCCAGACCTTTACAACAAGTTCTACTCAGAAGGCAAGCTCGGACTCTCGTCATCACCTCTCCACAAGTTGGCTGATCGGCTACGTTCCTAGAGGCTCTGCAAGCGAAGCTGGGTACACTAAGCTTGGAGGCTCAATCCAAGCTTGAGAAGGATACCGCTGCAAAGGAAGCCAAGGCGGAGAAGAAAGCTGATGCATTACTCAAGAAGAAAATGGTATGCTTACGCTGCTACACTTCATCGCCGGCCCCGTCGTTGATTGATTGTACCTCCCACAGGCATCACAAGTTAGCTACATTGCATCCCACCTGTCATGGGAACCCGCTCCTGACCATTATATTATAGGTCACGATCAAGCGAATAGAGCGTAACAAGCGGAAATTCGTCACATCCATCCATGGACTAGAAGCATTCGGTAATCACACCTTGTATTCTAAGCTCTGGCCGACCCTGACGTGTACCTCTAATCCCTGACAGGCGTGGACTTGAAGAAAGCTGCCAAGCTCTTCGCACAGAAGTTCGCTACCGGTGCCTCGGTCACCAAGAACCCCCAAGGTCTGGAGGAGATTGTCGTCCAGGGCGATGTGAGCGGTGACATCGTGGAGATGATTGAAGACCAAGTGGGCCTGCTGAAAGGCGTTCCGAAGGACAACATCGTCGAGATCGAAGAGAAGAAGAAGAAGGGCGGAGGAGATTAGTCGGCGAGTTCATAATGAACGTACGAATTGAGAAGAGGCTCTCTATTAGTACTGTATTGGTGAGTTTGCCATCTATTTAATTCGAATCTTGCGTGACCTTGTGTCCAGAACGTAGATCATGTACAATGTAACCTAGGAAATCCAAATTGTATCCCTGATCCCAATCAACCGTCATCACATCTGTGGACATGGTCACTAGGCCGCCGTTCTCGCATTGACATACTTGGACCTCTCCGTTTCGTTCTGTTTCCACCATGTCAAATGACCGTCCACGAGCACACTGTAGTCTGTGGGGCAAATCCCCGACTGACCGAGTCATTAAACGCCATCCGATTGGTATCAAATGTCAATGGCGGCCGTAAAGAGCTACAGCATGTAGTCGTTGGAACGATGTGAGTGGAAACATTTTTACAGTCGTTGCAGAGTGTTGAATTAGAACTAGGTAGTGACTGGCCCGACGACCGTCAGCTGATGCGTAGAGTTTTCAACAGTTAAATATGAGATCTAGTCCTGGTATGCTGCATTTTCTGCTGACTCGCTGGGTCAGCAGATGTGAAAGTGCTTCAAACTGCTGTGGTACACCACACCAATTCCAGACCACTCAAGACTACCAATGTGCCTCGCTCGACGGACTACCATCCTTTACATGCAAGCTGTTAATCTAGAAAAGGAAATATCACAGAAGGCCATAGACAACACGAACAAACAAAGGGATTCGGACCCCTGCCTCCCGTGGTATTCGTCGAGGTTCCTGATGCAAGATTCCACCCAATCAATCTTCCATGTTGACGTATGCCTCCACTCATGAATTTCTTGCCCTCACCCATTTGTTCCCGAGAAATCGTTATAACGCGTCTCAGATATCTAGCCACCCACCGCTTCCCAACGATCTCACCGATCAAACCATCGACTACCTCCGCAATTCTAAGCGTGCTTATGTCGTATGTTCCCGGTGCACCACTTCGAAGTGTCATTTGAGCTGTGCTATGTACATTTTCGAGAAAGATTACGAGATGAGAAAATGTCGTAGTTACGCGTCATTTGATCACACTCTCTGCAATCCCTACGGATTTGTATAACATACATAAAATACATTTTTTCAACTTGCTCATTCATATCATTCTCCAAAGTCCAGATTCATATAATGGTATCAAAGTGAAAGAAACCTGCAGATATCCATGATGCACTCAAATGAAACATCTCTCAAAGTCACCCTCCCCATCATTCCTAGCATACGTCTGGCTCTGCACAAACGCGTCCAAGCTACAAACGCCGTCCTTCCCATCGCAGAACTCAAGCGGTTGCAAAGCGTCATTAACTAATATCCTTACACTTGTCTCGCTTCCACATTGCAATCTCTCCACTACCATCCGTGCAGAAAACGGTACCAGCCTCGAGGCACGCCAGTTTCGTCGTGGAGAAGGACTGGTAGGATCGAGGGCATTCTCTTGCCTGAAGAGTCCCATTGCGGCGTAGATGGCAATCATTTGGTTATCGTGCGAGAAGTCTGCGTAGATCGTGCGATTCAGAGGGAATGTCGTCGGAGATGAGTCAAGTGTTCTATTCGTTTGGGTATTGTCTCGGACCGAAGTACCAGTAAGTCGGGCCAAGAGTTCGTTTATATATCCGACACCTTGAATGGGACCAAGGTCCTGTCCGTATCTGCAAGTCTTCTCTCAGTATCAAGTTGTGATAGAAGAGACGTCAAGCATACCCAGTTCCATAATACTTGTCTAGATCGCCACTGTATTCGAACCCAGAGAACGCGTTCTCCTCTGCTGCAAATAAGTGACAGAAGGGACTATCCTTCTCGTTGAAAACCGTCTCAAACGGACAGAGACTGATGAGGTTGAAAGTATCAACATCCGTGAGGTTCGCGTTCGGGGCACCAGAATTCAAACGTGCAGTAATTGGGGGTGCATAAGTGGCAAGCCATTCCGAGGTCTGCTCATCGGAGGAACCAGACGACGGACACATAGCATCATCTAGGGTATCGTTCGCCTATCGCCCTTAATCAGATAAAAGGATGAAATAGAGTAAATGAGTGACGTACGGCCTCATCTAAAATTACAGATAACTTAGGCGAGAATTTGTTTCGGCTGGCAGTGGCAAAGCCTATAACAGACAAAATGAACATTTCAGATCGTACGTCATATCATATTGAGTATACCTTGAGTCCAGTTCATGGCCGAGAACACAACTCGCTCGCTGCTGGAAGCGCGTACGAATGGCAGATTGTCCAAGCTCACAAGCTGAGAGTATCGTTCGAAAGCTTCTCGCCCAGCGTCAAAAGACCTGTAGTTCGTAACGGAGTGGTCTCCATCGTATTTCATGATACGTTGCAGAAGGTACATACTGTGCAACGCCAAATGCAATTAAATCATCCTCTCCAAGCGCATACGTGAAGGTTTTCAAGAAATTGAGACGTGGGTCCGTAAACTCTTCTACAGACTGCAACTTCTCAAGTGCAACAACGATCCTTTTCGCGGCACCGGAAGTGGGGAATCTTGCCCCATGTCTTTGCAACTAAGGCTAGAATAAGGTCATCATGTTTGCACAGCATTAGGGCGGACGTACAATGTTAACCTGCGATGTATGTCAAACGGGGCAAATATGCTTCATACACATGCAACTCACCTGAGTAACCGCACAGCCTTTAGGAGGTGAACGATAATCCTCTACTGGAAAGTATGGTGAGTACTGGGCCCAATTCCGCTGAATCTCCCTTGGTACGCCTAGAATCGGCGTTATAGGCTTGGTAGGTCCCCCCAAGACCGAATAGGCAAAGCCAACAAACATAATGAGCACCGCGGAAATCATGATGATACGGCGCTTTGCCCACAGTTTCTCCCAGAGTGTTACTTGGTGCCTCCGACGTCCAGAAAGAAGCCCTTGCTCGACGTCGCCATCTGCGCCAGCCATTTATACTGGCAGGCAATACGGCTAAAATCAGAGACACATGGAAGTGACTGGCGAGGGTTCCCAGCAGCCAAAAACGAGTAAATCGATTGACAGCCATTGGGCACGTTCGTTGCCAACGTTGTTGGGCACATGAGAGTGAAGAGTGAAAAGACGCGCAGCTTAAGCGCACATGAACACCGTCAATATTTCCACGACGTCTAAAGCAACGGTTATTCAAAAGCAAGTCCATATGCATCGTTCATGCGAGTTTATTGCAAGCGGGACATGCAGCGAAGATTTAAAATGCTACGCGTTACCAGTTTCCAGGTCCGCCTTATGATGATCGAGCAATGCACGGAGAGCTTCGATCATCCCAACCACTCTTCTCCAGATCCGTCGCCCCAGCCTACGGCCAAACCTCATTGGCTTTACCCAGATCCTCCAGGAAACCGCACCGACAAGTGATAGTACTGCTAGAATGATGACAAGTATTACCAGGATGAGTACCCTCCCTTTCCATTCGGTGTTCTGAATGCAGAACGCGAAAAGTGCGATCGCGAAAAATAGAATACCCCATGACAAAGCAGCGGTAGGCACGGAAAGGAATGCTGCTATGATTAACAGATCGGAAACGTCTTCTTTGGGCTTGATATGGAACATGCTGATGTTCCTAGCGTGGTTCAGGTACTTGTACTGAGAGTCGAACAGGTGAGTGGTCTTCAAATGAGCATTGAAGTAGGGTGTTTACCGCATCATCTAGGTCAGTATTAATCTTAATACGATGGTGCCAAGTATGGTACAGGCCAGAGCCTATGCTCAGGAGTGCGAACATCGCCGAGGCTAGACTTGCCGTCCTTTGTACATTTGTTATATCCTACTTCAGTGTTAGCGATTCCGTGAAGGCGAGTAAACATTTCGCTTCGACGTACAGGAATTGCAATGAATGCGACGTTCGATCTATGCTGGGTTTGTTAATAAGCTCATCTCTGATGGTCTTGACTTACTTACCCAACAAGGACAGTCGCCTGTATGACATTTAGCATGAGTTCAATGACCCATTACAGTACCAGGATGCCACTTGCCAGTAGGTTGGAATCAGCCCATTCAGCCAAAAACTCGGATAGCATGGCACGAAACATGGTCATATTCTCTGCTCTATCACTTGGCCTCACTTGCTGCAGCTGTTTCCAGTACCTGCCCTGAGACCCAAACAAAATACACGTCAAGCATGCCTCGATCACATTGAACTGCCAAGTCCTCTTGCATACAGGCGCAGGTATCTTCAAGTCGAAACCTGGGTATGCAGGGTTGCTGGGATGAAGGCGAGCATGCACTTGGCGTCTTCCCTCGATGGTATCGAGCGTGCGCCCGAGGAACCAGTTGAAGACGGGAATGGCGGAGGAATTAGTTCGAGCAGCATCTATAGGCTCAAAGTTAACAGTCCGTCATGAATGATAGAGTGGAATCTTCATTTACGATGAAGACACTCATACATCTCCATTAGTCGCTCAATCTGTGCATCCGTGAAAGGAAAGAGCGTTGGAGTTTCGTCAAGGATGGCTTCTACAGACGGTCGAACCAGTCAGCCAATAGTGGAAAGCCAGACTCTCGGTTCCATTCTCGTACCATTGGCAGCGCAAGCCAAAGCGCTCTTGAAGGCAGCAGGTCCGAAGGGTATGATATAGTCAAGGTGCATCGGGAACTCTTCCACTCTCCTCCAAAACGTCGCAGACAGAACCATGCGTTCGGCACCTATGGAAAGCGAGTCAATGCTGGCAACCTACATCAGTAATGAAGATAATTACACTTCTCTCCAGTATCTATCTGTTCGCCTTTATTGAAGATCACCCATTCTCCCGATATTGGTTCTTCTTCATTGAAATACAACGACACCACATCCGCGTTGGATAACCCAAGGGAGTTCCAGTATCCATCTTCACTATCCAAAGCGACCATATCGTCTCTCACTGACTCGATTTCCTCCCGTATGGTCTCCTTCGTGATATCGCCAGTTGTGAGTAGGCGTAAATCGGGGTTGTAGAAATAGATGCTTCCATGGAAATGGACGTATTTCTTCCACCCGTCTGGGAGTTTGGTTGCGCGAAGTCCTATGCCTGCTTCAACGTATTCGACGATGGGGTCATTCCAGAAGCAAGAGAAGGCACGAGGAGTTACGGGTTTAGTGAATATTGGATCCAAGGTGGGGTTCGCAGCCGTCTTCTCTGCTAGGTTATACCACGGATTATCTGATAGGTTTCCCACCACGAAAGGCATTGTTGAGTTCGATAGATAAAGCTATAGGGATGTGTCCCTCGTATATGTACGGCCATTGTGACAGGACCATGATTGATCTGCCACACAGAGAACAATGAACAGGAGATATCTGACAGGATTGGTTACCATACTTCTTGTTCACCGGTTAACGAGGAGTGAACGGAAGACAGCTGGCATATTTTCAGCTTTGAAGAATAAGGGCAAACTGTACCTGTTTGGTTTTGTGGGTCCACGGCATAGATAAAGCGTGCAAGCTCAGTCGAACTATTGAATCGATAACTCCCATCCGATATCCTGCGTTTTCGACCGATTATACATTAGTGCCGAGTCAAATTTCTCTCGCGTTAAATGTATACTGGTTCGAATCATCTGCAGATTCCGATTAGACCGGGACTGCGAAAACCTAGTGTCCATTATGCTCAGAATTCACCAACATGTAGGACCGAAGCCTCAACTCATCTTCAAGGTTCTATGGTCGTTGCAAAGGGTTGGAAAAGTCAGAAGGCCTCGCAAAACTCACGAGAGAAATCTGGTTAGATCATATAGATCTCAGGATGTGAACTCCCTATTGCGGCACATGATCTGCCAGCACTGGCGAGACATTTCTTTGGGTTTTGCCCTGTTCGACTCATCGTTCTACCTCGGAAGTTCGGGCTCCGAATGTCAGCAATTTTACATTGCACTCCAGGTGAGACAATTTCCCTTCCGGTGGGTTGCATTACACAGATGCTAGCGAACACTAGACTTACCAAATTCAGTTGAGCTGGTGTGAAACAGGGCTCATCTCTATATGCGATCTCGAGATTCTCTTCAACTAAGAGCGGGAGTAGTCTCTGGCTTATACAAACCTGAAGAGCTCGAGCTTACACAAAAGAAAACAATGTCGGAACTCAACGTTGCAATCAACAATCTACCTCCAAGTCGGCCCTTTCTGCTCAACACGTCGGAGATGCTTTGTCGAAGATAACCACCTCTGTGTGAGTGCACGTTCTGCAGAGAACATGCGTGCAGGTTTGTCTGTCACCCGTGGTTTGCGGAGCTTTAGTTCTTCTATGCGCGACACAAGCGGCTGGGAATGACTGCTATCATCTCCTACTCCTGTAACACAAGGCGGGACACTTGTGGTCTCAGATTCCTTGGCTTTTCTCATGCATAGGCAAACATTAGATGACGTCCGTGCTTCAGAGATCTATGTATAGGCTAGGTGCTCTTCAAAGGGATAACTTTTCCACAGCCCTCTGGTGCTGGAACACTTCTCCTTGACTCTTCGATAACAACATCCTCCTAGACTTCTCTCGACCAATTCGACCAAACGAACCACGATGTACCAGCCAGTTGCCGACCCTCCGTCTCGCCTGGCTCGTTATCGCAGAGTCGCTCCATCAGCCGCAGTCTTCGTTTCTCCGATTCAGCTTGATGGCATGAGTATTGGTGATGAGTGGGCTGGCATCGGCGCTGGGGGACGTGAATAGTCGTTCAAACTCCTTGATACATACGCTAATGCAGGCGGGAATTTTATCGACACCGCGAACTCGTAGTAAGTAAACCTGTTTTCATCCTATTTACTGTCTATCTAATCGAACTCGTGTCATTGTAGCCAAAACGGTCGTTTTGAAGAGATCATCGGCAAGTGGATGGAAGCTCGTCAGAATCGTGATGAAATTGTCCTCGCTACCAAAGTGAGTTTCTGTGTTAGTATTGACCCCTTACCAACATACTCATACTCTGCGATTCTTCAGTATACCAGTCAATGGCAACAGCATAATCCTGCCATAAAGTCTCAAGCTACGCTGGTCGGCAATAGCTACAAGTCCGTGTACACTAGTCTTGAGGGAAGCTTGAGAAAGCTTCGAACTAGCTACATGGATATCCTGTATGTTCACTTCCGGGACTACTCAACCCCGATCGAAGAGATGGTGAATGGGTTGCACACTCTGGTTGGTTTTGGGAACGTCTTATGTCTCGTAAGTTTTTCACCACTCACTGAGCACATAAGTTTGATGCGATTCGGTTTGCAGGGCATTTCTGATGCACCCGCCTGGGTCGTATCAGAAGCCAACCGGTATGCAAAAGACCATGGAAAGACACACTTCGTCATCTACCAAGGGTTGTGGAATGTCTTTACTCGTGACATTGAACGAGACATCATTCCCATGTGCCGTGCTCATGGAATGGCTATTGCGCCTTGGAACCTCCTTCTACAGGGTACAATTCGAACTGATGAGGAGGAAGAGGCGAGAAGGAATGCGGGTGTCAAGGGTAGGGCAAGATTTACAACGAGTTGGGAAAGGGACGAGAGTGAGAAGAAGATATGCAAGGTGTTGGAGAAGATCGCGAACGAGCTTGGTGCGAAGAATCTCCGATCAGGTTAGTAGCCTTTCTTATTCACTGCTTTGGATGCTCATATCATAATCTCAAACCGTTCAGTTGCCAACGCGTATGTAATGCAAAAGACTACCCACGTCTTCCCGATCCTTGGTGTGAAGTCGGTTGAACAACTTGAAGCCAATGTTGATGCTCCGAACATTGCTCTCACTCCCGAACATACTACCGAAATTGAGAGTGTGTTGCCATGGAACTGATGGAACTCGGGTTTCCCTCATAATATCTTGGTATGTCTTCTCCTTGTCAGTAAGCTTGGCTTTCCACATTAACTCTGGTTCTGCTTCTAGGGTGACGGAACCAAGCCTTGTCCAAGTGTCCGGAGTACCATCTGGTACGACCAGGATCTTATTCCTGCCCCATTACGACCTTGAAATCTTTGGCACATGTCTCTATATGCGAAGGAAGGATTGTCTTCCGAGAGTACTTATACGGGAGGCTATGGGCAAGCCTAGGACATACCGATCCATACGTAGACTGTAATACTGGCATGACGATGGCATTGACATTTGCAAGTTGTATAACTAGAACATTATATCTCTACATGCTTCCAATACGATACATATATGGTCCCAAAAAGGCGTTGGAGTCAATTTGAAATTCGAAATAATGTAATACCGTGACCGCAGTCTGCTTTGAGCAAGTGAAGGATGAGTTTCATCGGGATACGTCGGTTTCATCTCTGAAGTGAACCACCACGTTCGAACGCTGGCATTTATTCTTGATCTTGCCTCCTGCTTGCAGTCCGCCACTTCTGGCTACTGCAACGTGTATATTAGCTTAGAAGGTCATACCCTGGTAGCCGGACTATCGCGACCACCATGACAGACTCATTTGCCGACCTCTGGAGTTCCACTGCCCCGAGTACTTCCAAACAAGCAGAACCTCAGAGAAAGCTGGGGGCTATCCCACCAACGTCGACAACGCTCTCAAATAGGACTAATGATATCTTCTCCTTGCTTTCCGCAGCTGGTCCTACATCAGCTACGACCTCTCGTTCGACTACACCTTCACACACGAACATAGGACAAACTTCAAGGTCACCTCAACCCGTTTATGTTGCGAAAGGCTCGCAGCATGTTCAGAAAACAACAAGTTCTGGAGCAGGGGATGCGTTCAGTGGATTGCTTTCAGGGTCGTTTGCATCATCGGCCGACTCTGCGAATATGACTATCGCGGAACGTGCAGCTTTGGTGGAAAGACAGAAGAGCGAACAGCTCTTGCGGGAACGTCAGACCACAGTGAAACACACAGACGCTGCTTGGGCTGGTTTAGATTCGTTGGCGGGAACTCCTTCGCTCTCCTCGACACCATCCTTACAACTCACTTCGACGCCTTCTCCCGGGCCATCCGTGCCTGTAGTCGTTACAACTAGCGAGGACGATGACTGGCTAAGTGACTTTGCCGCACCCAAACCCACTGTGTCGTCTGCCAACCCGTCATCTGGCTCGTTACTTGCTGATCTAGATGACTTCACATCGGTCCCATCTCAACCAACTCCGCCGGAACCATTGCGGCGTTCTAGTACATCTGGAGACTTTGACTTTGGTGATTCAGATCATGGCCTTCTGAACGAGCATTCTGATGATGAAGATGATATATTGGGGGACCTGAGCAAACCTGTTGACCAGGTTCGACAACGTATAGTGAGTTATTTCCTGGCTTTGTATAGCCTATCTCAATTAATGATGTACAGACAGCACCGTCTCAACCATCCTCTGGTCAACGGTCCAGAGCATCATCACCCTCACCTCACATTCTCGGTCAGATAGTCGAGATGGGCTTCTCGGTTCAGCAGGCTCGCATTGCCCTTGCAGCAACGGACACAGGGCTTGATGTCCAAGCAGCCCTCGAAACACTCCTTGCTAGCGGTGCAGCGGATTCCGACTTACCTCCAGCCTCTCGTGAAGATCATCTTCTGCCTCGTAGTCGAGACGCAACCCAAGAGCCTTCACGTCGACCTTCCGATGACGGTCGACGTCGAGGGCAAGCAACCTCTCGATCCACTCGGGAGTCCGCACGCGAAACGTCTTCTCCCAGTGAAGCAGAAACTCAACGAAACTTGCAAGAGCAAGCCGATAAACTCCTCGCTCAGGCATCTGAGATCGGGCTAAGCGTGTTTAATCGAGCCAATGCATTCTGGAGAGAAGGGAAGGAGAAGGTCCAGAAAGCTTATGAGGAACGTGCAAAGGCTTCTGGGTCTGGATCTGGTGGCCGAGTAGTGGATGGAAGGCCAAAGTGGATGCAAGATGCCGAAGGTCGTGAGAAGGAACTCGAGGCAGAGTGGAGAGCGCACAAAGAGAGTGGAGGGTTTAGAAATGACGACGAAGTGTTGCAGGATGAGGTTTTGCAACCAAAGTCTGAGCCGCAGGAGAGAAGAGCGAAACAACAAAATCGGGAGCCAGTGCAGCATGTTTTGACGTCAAGTAGAGCCAAGACGGGAAACTTACTACCTGATGATACTCCAGCAGTATACGTCTCACCGTTCAGACGGAAGACACCCTCGCGTAATCAAACTTCGCCTGCTTCTGCTCCCCCACCGAAGGCAACCTCCTCACGAGTACCTTCACCTGTTCAGATAGTTCAACGCAAGACCGTGTCAGCATCACCCTCTGCCTTAGCTACATCTGCGAAGCATAAAGCTACAGGTACAGAGATGTTCAAACTTGGCCGATTCGCTGAAGCGGAAACATCCTACTCAAACGCTATCGCTGCTCTTCCACACTCTCACCTTCTTCTTATACCCTTGTACAACAACCGTGCTTTATCCAGAATCAAGACTGGAGAACACTCTGGTGCCATAGAAGATTGCACTACGGTCATTAACCTCATCGGAACTTCATATCATCCTGCGCGTGAGGTAGGAGTGACAAAAGAGGAAGAGGGTGCCAGCGTGGATCTTGCAGATGCGTACGTCAAGGCGTTGAAGAGACGTGCGGAAGCTTATGAGGGGAAGGAGAAGTGGGATCTGGCGAAGGCGGATTGGGAAGCGATTGCTGGCGCCGAGTGGGCGAAAGGCAATGTGAGAGGAGAGGCCGTGAGAGGCGTCGGCAGATGTCGACGAATGCTAACATCGAATGTCGACGCGATTGCATCTGATGCTCTGCCACAACCGAAGCCAACACATCGAGTCAAGCCAAGACCCGCACCGAAGGTGGTTATCAATGATTCAGACGCTCTCAATAGAGTACGAGAAGCGAACCAAGCTGCTGAAGCGGAGGATGAGCAAAGATATCAGCTCAAGGATGTTGTCGATGCTAAGTTGATCGCATGGAAGGGTGGTAAGGAGAACAATATTCGTGCTCTGATCGCTAGTCTCGAAACTGTCCTTTGGCCTGAGCTTGGGTGGCAAAAAGTTGGGATGCACGAGCTGGTGACACCAAATCAAGTGAAGATCAGATATACCAAAGCGATCGCCAAACTGCACCCGGACAAGGTTCGTTATAATTCATTGGCAGTGGCAAGTATATGATAACTGATGTCATACTTGCAGCTGAACGTCCACAACACGACTTTAGAACAGCGGATGATTGCAAATGGGGTATTTGGTTCGCTAAATGATGCATGGAACGCTTTCAAGCAATAATTTATTTTTTAACGTGGATGCTTTGCTTTCAGTTGTTGTAACAATCCAAAGATATACGTCTTTGATTACCGGCATCGAACTACTTCGATTATGACGAAGGCGTGTAAGTTACAAGGCCTGGATTCAACCACTCGAATACCGTATGTCCCTCTGAAGGTTCTTCTCCCACTTTACCTCCCTTTACGGATCCTACACTCTGATGATATACATTCATATCAACCACCTCCGCTATCTCTGTCAACTGGAAGCTATATTGCTCTCCGTTTGTCAAGATGTAGTCGATGTTGTAGCCCTGTGGAACATCGACCCCAGATACAGGATTATGAATTACTCCAAATGGCGTAAGTGAGCTTCGATCATTTCCTTGCTTATCAGTGCCGCATTGATTCTGGAGGACTATACCGTCGCGAGCGAGAAATCCGGTGGTCAATGTGCGGTCGGAGTCTATCGTACGCACTGCGAGGTAGGAAAAGGTATATGGTCCAACTGTAGCGGCACCAAAATACCATGTCGAGATGAAATTTTGGATGGGCTCGGGCATCCAGTTCTGGTCATGGTACCCTGTGCCTTCAAATTGGAACGATTTGCCCGCGATCTTCAAATCAACAACAGCCTTTCCACCTGGTATGGTTGCGGGCCAACCAATCTGACTATACAGCTTAGTTTCTGATTCTGTGAGTCGTCCCGAAGGGATGTCGGAATCGAAATAAGGAGAGGTTGTGGAATTGCATCCGAAGTGATGAGGGGCGTTACTGGTGAGCTTGATGGTACCTTTAATCGGCGAAAGCAATCCGTCGAAGGTGATGGTATAGGTGGAAAGGTCCGCAGATGTTTTGAACTTTCCAGCACCAAGCCAAAGTCCATCGACCTCTTGACCTATCGAAGTCACCACACCGTTGAGGGCCGGTAGGGTATATGAGAAGGTCCTCCCATCCGCGTAGTTCCCAGTTACAGAAATATAGAATTGAGGGGAAATCACAGGTATCGGGGGTCCGAACAGGTAGCCTGGCAGAGTCCGGAACATCAGTGTGAGAAGACCTGCATCGACAAGCAGTAGCAGGCAAATAGTAGACATACCCATGAAGAATATCACTTGAATGGAGGCAGGTGGGTTGGCTCCAATAGCGTCATCAGCTACAGCATGGGACCACCACCATTCTGTTTCGGAATTCAGTACTGTTGGGTACACGTATTGGCCGTCGAACGCAGGCCTAGGCGGATGCAAGGGTATAGACCTAGGTGCCTGGAGTGGCTTCGAAGCTACAAACACGTATGAGTACAGTCACTGGTGGCCAGCATGCATAACGACGAGGATGCGAATTTTACCTGCTGGGGAGTTGAGGAGAATGCTAACACAAAAGAATGACAGCGTAGCCAGAGCTAACATCTTCAGCTAGCTCAAAATTGTTAGAGCTACTATGAGACGGTGGTTGAATACTGGAAGAACCAACTCAAATTGAACCTTACAGGGCATTATCCTCGCTTTTAATCCGAAATATGACATGAGTTACGTTTGTAATGGAACAACGGGTTTCTTGGCTATGCCGTTACAGTGAGAAACCAATTGTTCCTGTCACTTGTGTACTCAGATGTCTGATGGCTCAGTTTCAGCCTCTATTGATGGATACTGCAATTGTCAATTGTCTTGCCAAGACATACCAACGTCGCTTGATTCATATACTGGTTGGGCCTGTCACTTTATATATACGTCGAGTTCCAAATTGCAGTAGGTTCAGTTGAGCTTCAGAAGGCCCCTCTGAGTCTTCTGAAGCTCAACTGAACTTTCGTTTGAACTTCGATCATGCCACCGAGGTGCATTCAAAAGGTCTCAGGCTACCAAGCGAGTGACCACATAGCATCGAGTCTCAGACACCGACAGTACTGTATTGTAACTAGATTACTACGTCCTGTCAGCAAGCTCCAAATCTCCATCTAAAACATAAGTCTTCTTCCCTCTCATCTGGGCAATACGTTTTAACATTCGCCTTCGCAGATTTTTCCAGATCGTGCGCCACCCATACTCGGCCATCTCATCTTCATCGGCATCCGAAATCTCTGCAGTCCGCGGGCCACGCCAGACATGCCAGAAATACAGCAAAGTCACCAATCCGGACAAAGCTAACAGACCCAGGAGAATTCCTAATAACACTCGGCTATGGACATCGCTGTTTTGGATGCAGAACGCTCCAAGGGCGACCGAAAAGGTGAGAACCGCGTACAGAAGAGAGACCAAAGGAAAGGATAGAAAGCATGCCGTCATTGCTAAGTCGGAATCTTGACCGTCGTTGAAAGTGTGCATTCGCAACAAGTATTTGTTCTGCAAAGTAATATGAGGACTGGTAGCCCAGCCAGGGTAAGTGACATACCGCTTCATCGATGTTAGCGTTTACTTTCGACCGATGTTGCCAGACGTGATGGACACCGACAATCACACTGGTAAGTGCAAAGATAGCAGATACCAAAGATGCCGTACGTTGCAGACTGGTTATATCCTGCATGTCCTCGCTCAGTACTGCTTTGATGAAGTCAAGAAAAGCCAGTAGACATACCGGAACAGCCAGGAAAGCAACATTTGCTCTGACATTCAAATGCGGTCAATGGGGCTGTATTGAGAAAGAACGTCCCCCATGTAGTGCAACTTACCCAACGAAGACGGTAGCCTTCCAAATATTGAGGTTAGTGATAGTTTACAGAACCGCCTTCGCAACGTACCAATAGATTCGAGTCTTATGATGAATTATCGTTTCAGTACGAGAACAAATGTGAAATGAAGAGAGAGGTATATACCAGTCCATTCAGCAAGCAGTGTCTTCAATAGCTCTCTGAAGTCAGCCAGGTACACCTCCCCTTTGACTCTTGTGCTTTGTAGCCGCACTCGATACATCTTGTGTGCACCGAACAGTACTAGCATTAGGAGGAGCTCGTATACCCGAACCTTTATGCTTGGTTTTGCGGTCACAACTGGCCGATACAACTCATAGTCCAAGGTTCCAAACTTGGACTTCTGTCGAGCTTGCTCAATGATAACCATTGTGCGAGCGATATGCCAGTACAATGCGGCGCGAACTCCTTCGCGATTGCCAGACTCCATCTCTCCTGAGAATATCATGGTTAGACACGATAACGAAGTTGGCTATAACACTCACGGATGAGATCCTGATAGACTCTTGTAAGACGTTGTGCTTGGGCATCGGTGAAAGGGAAAGTCGTATGATTCCATTCGGTGATTCGTTCTAGAACACCCTCAATGACTGCTAGGGCTCATGGAAGTGAAATAGCTCACCATAACTTCCGAAAGTAATCGCCGCGAGGAAGTCAGTATTAACGGTAGGCGGAAGCTGGGGAATATGCATAGGATATGCCGCGATCATGGACCAAAAATTTTCCGTCTTCACTTCTACTAGCAGATCTACAAAGTGTCAAGTGAGTTCATGACCCGATGAAACAGAACAAATAGGATACCTGTCACGTCGGAATTACGAGGAAGCACCTCAATGAACAAGCAGCGGTTATAATCTACAAAGATTATGGTGGGACCATCGGGGTCGTCAAGGTTCTTCAGAAACAGTGTTTGAGTGCCGTTCAGATAAGGCCCTGGAATACGAGCATGAGCCTTTTTCAAATCGGCCTTGACACGTTCCAAGGCTTTGTCGAGCTTTTCCATGACCTGAATCTCAGATGCATCTTCAGAGGTGACACAGGATTCGGCTATGCCAGGGATAGGACGCAAGAGATGATATTGACTCCCGTTGACATGGGTGTAAGTGAGCCTCTCAGTAGCACTGTTTATGAAACCATATGAGCTCAAGTACTATGATGGGAAGGTGATTCGAACTTACAAACCGACGTGTGACGAGCTTGAGCCTAATCCTGCCGTCCTATGTACCGGAGTTCCTCCATGGTACTTGATCGTTGTCGGTTTGGCCTTAGATTGTGGTTGAGGTGCAGACGGTTTCTCTGTCGCCTGTGGAGATTCTCTCTGTAGTGCTTCTACAGCCCAGTCCGGAAGCGGAAAATGTTTATTCGAACAAGCACGCAACAGCTCGCGAGGGACATCAAACTTGAAACCCGCTGAGGAGGGAGAGCCAGCCTTCTCAGGCTGTTGGTTCGTAGGACGCAATTGTTTGGTTGAAGAACCATTAGCCGAAAGCTTTAATAATTCACGCCTTCAGTTAGATACAAACGTCGCCCGTCATGTCCTTTGCTCACTGATACTTGTTTGCTTGAACTGGCGCCTGAGCTGGATGGTTCCATGTCTAGTAGGCACAAAGTCTTTGAGGAGCGAGCGAATGTGAGGGCACGAGAAACACCCGTTTCGGTTTTGTTTCGAATGAGAGACAATACTGCCCATATTCATCTCCTGACAACAATCGATTCTAAACAGGTGTTCCAAGGGCAAGGTCATCATCACGACGCCGCTTGGCGTAGCATTCAGTGGCGCCATCTGGAATAGACAGATTAAAGATGCGTGGAGGAGCGGTGGCTTGGACAGCCGGGCACTTGAGGTACAGCACCGGCAATTTACAAGGACTGGGCGCTACCACATCCGTTGACCTACCAGCTGTCATCCATTGTCCTTGTTCTCAGCAGTTTGACAGATATTTCATAGGAATGGTGGTCACATTTCCAGGGACGATGGAGCAGAATACAAAGCGCCAAATACCTTAAAGAAGAGCTTGATTCTTCGTTAAAGCATTTGCTAGCATCTATTACAGGGTAATGTACTCGATAACAGAGCGTATTACGCATCATGATGTTTTTCTTGCGAATTCACACTTGAAGTCTCCGGCGGGGAGTCGAGAGTGTTAACAGGTCCGTGGAACCACTTTCTTGCTGAGACCACCCAGGAGATGGAGGCGAACAGAAATACAGCCATCACGATAACAACAGCGTAGTCTGACAGGTCATAGTCAGAAGTCCAGAAGGGTTAAGATCGATTTAGAAATAGGACTCACTCATGCTCTCGGAATCAACGCTTGACGCTGGCGGGAACAGAAGGAGAACAACAATGAAGGTCACCCAGGAAACCGAGATGACACCAATGGGAAAGTACCATCGTCCAAGAGAAAAACTGCCGGGGACGAAAGTCTTACGACCAGATGTGATGCGAAGGAAGATGGGTGTGACGTAAGAAGTATACAAGCCAATGACTGCCGCCCTACGTGAATGGAAAACCTCGAATGAGCATGGTATAAAGATTCTTAGGACCTATATCGAACTTACCCAGCAAGAGAAGATAGCGCAGTTTCGCTAAATCCGAGGAAGCCACAAATTCCCGAAAGCGCCATAACAAGCCAAACAGCGTTGACTGGAGTTTGAGTGTAGCCGTTCATTTTCTTCCACCATCTAGATCCTGGTAGGGCGTTGTCTCGAGCGAAAGCGAACACTACGCGGGATGCATCCACTCCTTGAGCAGCACCGGTAACATACTAGACATCCCCTTTTGTAAATGCTCATAAAGCAAATGTATGCAACAGCTCAAACACTCACCTGAACAACGATGATCAGGCTCCAAATCGCCAGCATGCCCTTCTTTCCCAAGGTATTCAGGAATAGCTGACCCATAGGCAGTGGTAACTCGGTCGCTAGGATGTCAGACACACTCGTTGTAGCAAAGGAAGCTGCAATGTACAAAAGCCACCCGAGAGATGCTGTTGCACCGACTCCAGTCAGAATTGCAATTGGCGCAGCACGCGATGCGCCGGCAGTTTCTTCTGCAATATGAGCGGCGGAATCATCTAGCGCGAGACAGATGTCAAGATTGCTTGGTTGAGGGGAAAAAGTGGCACTCACATCCCGTCAACGTCCACATGGGCGCGGTGAAAGCCAGTAGGAAGGCCCAACCATCTGAATGGGCGAATTTAACTAGAGATGACTGCAGGTATGAATTATAGGCTTACGGTTTGACCATCCAGTGTTGTTCTCGTACAGGGTAAACGCATCCTTGGTCGAGACCCTCGTTCCATTGTTTCCAGAACAAACCAGTAATGCGACGATCGCGGCAATGGTAGTCCCAACTGGGAGATGAGGTCAGAGAACAGTTTGCACGCAACTCAAAAATACATACCATTCACCATGACATAGAACAGGTTCAGCCTTGCAATGACGCTCGTAGCAGCAGAACAAACGATGCCATGAGTAAACAGGATAGCCAATAGGATGCCGAACGTCGGGCCAGCCCCCAGATTTACAGCACCGTCCGAGGCAACCGCTATTGCCGTGGTGATCATTTCCGCGCTGCATCAAGCCACCATTCAATTAGCTGAGAACAATGTGGGTTGAGAGGTGTTGCTCACCATGTGAAATCAATTGAACAAACGAGAGTAACTTGGCCAGTCACATTCGCCCAACCTGTGATCCAGCTTGCTAAGGCGGAATACCGTGGCGGCGCCAACTTCGCAGAAAAATAATACAGTCCCGCGCTTGTCCTGTATGAAGCAGTGTGGAAAATTCGATGTCAGCATGATGCTTTATCGCTCGAAATCGATACCCACGGCATTGCTGATACAAGTTCGGCCATAGAGGCGGCAATTGGCATAACGAAGAGACAAGGTATAAACCAACCCCAAACCATGCCAACATGACCGCCTGGAAAATGGATATTTAGGTTTGAAAAGTTAGCCGATGGAGCGTACTGACCTGAAACCAATGGGAAGGAATAAGTGGAGGAGACCGACGCTACCACGCCCATGATCGAGAAGGCAAACGCAACAGTCTCGAACAGCTGTGGGAGAAAGTATTAGACGGTTCGAAGCCTCGCAGGAGAAACGAGACTTACGGAGAATTCTCTTCTAAACTCACTCTTGTAGCCCAGTTCAGCCAGAAGGGCGTCATCAGCATGGCGTAGAGCGGAGAGGTCTGAATCGCCGTTGTTGGTAGACACCTCTACGGCAGTGACATCCTTGCCGTTACTGAACTCTGCTCGTTTCTCTGACATTGCCGTAACCGTAAAAGTAGTGGGGGCAGAAGAAGCAGACCAGTGGAAGCAGCCGTCTCGAACTTTAGAGGGAACCGCGGCGCCGAGACGTGAGAGAAAACACGGGTTACATGGAGACGATAGTGGCTTTTTAGATGGTCTGGCAGCAAGATCTTGAGGTACAGTGTGAACAGGAGCTCCATCGGCGTTATCAATTACTTGAAGATAAGGCGGATAGGATAAAATAGAAGATATCTTAAGGGCGCGTGAATGGATCAGGATATCCCTCTAGTATATCAGAAGTCCTTGACTCCCGTAGATAAAGGTAAAGCAAATACGACGACAGTGGTATTCAAGCATTTCCAAGAGGATTGGTGCCCAAGTGGCAATAATTAACAGAAAAGCTCACAAGGTCTAGATCCAAATGCAAGCACCGGCTTCCGCTCTACCATGGATCCAGGAATGACGCGGACGCCCGAAGGATCAGACGACTGCAAACATAACGTATCTGAGAATAGATCTTTTAGGGTCAGTATGTCAAGCGTCCTGTAAGAACTTTTATAAGTTTCGTCCGTTCATAATGAGGATCAAAGTCATACCTCGTTACCAGAAGGAAACTCGCATGAGCATGCCCACATATACGCAAAATGGATAGAATACAATCTGTGATATAGCTGTATAGTCAATGAGGCCCGCGTGTCTACATTGTACAGGTAAATGGTAAGTAAAAATGACCAGAAAGAAGAGCGCCAAATACTGAGTCGATGTGCGATAGATGATACAATGCTTGAAAGATTGAGTAGTACAAGTAACGGGGTGAGTTGACCATTACGACGTGAGGTAAATTACTCATTACGGCTCAGGGGTTCTTCGTCCCATGCTAGCCCAACTGGATTCGCTCTCATGGACCGAACCGACCTCGAAAGGATCATCGTTGTCAAAGCCTGGACTGAACATTCCTGAGCGCAGCGATGGAGAAAGCATTCCATCGCTGGCATCAGGGAGTTCAAAGTCCGACTCTGTCCTGGGGGACAAGATTAGTGGAGAAGTAACCGCGGAATGGTTGCTTTGTACGGCAGAGGCGGAATAGAAGTCGGAAAATGGGGAAGTGACTCGAGATGGCGAGTCGGACAGCACGTTCAGGCCGCTGCGCCCGGCATCTGACAAAGCGCCCGTAGCATGGCTACGAGGAGATCCATAGAGAGATTCCGAGGATCGAGGACCGACAACTGCTGGAGCAAAGGAGCTCATAGAAGAGACCGAATGGTCTAATTGAGAACCCGCTGGACTGGTTGCACGGGTGGAGACAGGAGAAATGTTGGAAATTGGAGTTGGCAGCCTGGGGGAGAGTATTATGGGAGACTTAAATGTAGGGGTCTGCTGCATCTCAGGCCGCGCCGGAGCGCTATGAGGGGAGAGGGGTCGTGAATCGTGCAGCGAAGATTGACCAGATTGGACCGAAGACGGAGGGTCAGGAAGAGGCTTCGACGAGGAAGCGTCAAAGATGACTTGAGATGGGGTCAATGGGTTGTACGGAATGTAGCCGTTAGACTGCAAGGAGGTCAACGTGTTTTCGAGCCCTAAAATTTGATTTACTTACCTCGTCAATCACTGTCGGTGTTTTGCGATTCCTGAGAGTCGACTTTCGTTGCACACCGTTTCTCCACTCATCAACCTCGCGAGCTACCAAGTTCTGTAGCTCGACTGATGTCGGTTCGTCGTCATCGTCGTGTTTCTTCTTACCACCATCTCTACGAGCCTGGTTCTCATCTGTACGCGGAGGGTTTTGCGACACAGCAACTGGTCCTAACCGTCTACGACGCCGATTCTCAATAAATGCCTGAGCAAATGCTTCAAGCCTGGGAGCGATATGGGGTTCATAGACAAACTGCGATTCATGAGTAACGTCAACCAGATGCGAACGACTATAGGATTATATGTCCTTACCTGTTCAAAAGCAATAGCAGCAGCAACAGTGGCAACGGCGACGACAACGTACACTGCAGGACCAGGCATCGCACTGCAGATGGTGGTCGAAGGATGAGGAAGAAGGAGTTGGCTTGAAAAAGTGTATGCGGAAGGCAAGGTAGTGACCTAATATACCCCTCGGCTTAACCCAGGCCACGCGGACGCAGAACAGCCTTTCCGCATATGTACCAACCTCAGTCACACAGAAAAGCAGGAAAACTCGAGAAGAACACAAAGAGACAACCGTTATCTCAGACAGTCTCATGCAAAAACATGCTGTATTGTCCGCAATTATTAACTACAGTCCTATGATGCTCGTGATGCTAGAGAATGTCCATGCAGAAATAGAAAAGAGATGAACGCAAAGTCCGGAAACCACAACATAATTACGAAAGCCATTCAACGACGAAGTCATGCAAAAGACAGAATAAATGTACCGTAAGGAAAGTCTGTACGAATAGTCTATGATTGAGAAAGAATGTTGTCGATCGCTTCGTTGAGGAACGCCTTTCGCGGCGAGAGATCCGCCTTGGGGAAACGTGCCTGCATTGCCTCACGAGCAGTTCTAAAAGCGAGCCATGAGTATCGCTAAATTCATATCAGAATTCTGGGACTCACTTCTTGGTCACAGTCATCAAATCTTGCGTGCTCAAGTACGTCCGCAAGGCACTCGTGAGTTCCTCGTCACTCGGATTAGGGTTCATGCTGGGCCCTGCAAATGGATTCACCGACGTCGCCATTGAGAATGTCGACATTGGTCGTGCATCTCCTACGGGACCTGGAGGTAAAGGATTGAATCCACCGCTTTGTGAGCCATGAGAATCACCGCCGAACATGTTCAAGTTCGTCATGACCGTGTTTCTAGGAGCGTTGGGCATCATTCCGTACACGCTACCAGTGTTTTGATAACCCATTGGAGGCATCATAGGCATCTGGCCGCCATACTCCGAGCCAGCTACAGAACCGGGACCTGCACCAAACGGCATGAAAGGTAACTGAGGAAGAGCGAACTGCGACATCGGCGGTTGCCCAGTGTAGTGGGAGTTGTTGCTTCCGCCAGTTCGGACAGGCACATTAGCGTTCGATCCGGTCCTGTTCGTGAGGTTCGTATCCCGGTAGTAGTCTCCAGCTTGAGAGGCCTGATGGAAGCTGTGTGGAGAGCCTGCACGAGAGCCCGAAGGACGAGCACGAGATTGAACCTTGCTGCCGCTGTAACCTGTTTCGTCGGAATGACGAGAGCCAGTCTCCCAAGCCTCAGCTTCGTATTCTACAGACAGAACGTGAGTAGTTACATGCAGGTTGAAACGAGAGCCACATACCGCTGAACTTCTTCATAGGGATCATGGAGTCGTCGAACTTCTCATCATCGTTCATGATGATCTTCTTGTTGCTGCCTTCACCGACAACAAGTCGAGTATTACCCCAACTGAAATCGTCCATGCACCAGAACGAGTACACGGGGAGGAACAGACTGTACACGGGGTATCTGGAGCAACACAGTCAGTATCATAGCAGCTGAACTAAAGGAAGGGGTACGTACGAAAGAATGTATACAATCATCCAACCTAGAAGCATGAACTCCCGTTTGATGAGGAAGATGAATGCCTGTAGGCCATAAACTGCCGCCAACATGATGATGGAAATGAGTGGGAACGCGGCCTTGTGAAGCGAGACTACGACAACAAGGTAGATCAACTGAAAGAATGGGTCAGTACAGATAGCCTTTCGTCTTTGAATCAAGGTAAGCACATACATAAACGACCGTCGAAGGCAAAATCTATATGTCCGATCAGTAAGGAAGTTGCTAGGGAACAATTGAGAGGACGTACCAGTGTACCCAACAGGTCAATGAAGACGAAGAACCGCATGGAGAAACAACAGAAACCGAACAACTCCGGTAAGAAAACCAACTCGCAAAGGTTATGGACTGTGGAGTTGATCCAACGACGACGTTGTGAGAACAGGACACGCCAGGACTCGGGAGCAACTGTATGGGCGACCGCATCCGGAGTGAACTTGGTTCGGAATGTAGGGAAATGCTTCAACATGAGCGTCGTCAAGTAACGATCCTCCCCGAGGGACAGCAAGTTCTTCTTGTGCAGAGTGTCGACATTGGGCTCCGAGTACTCTTCGATGATACGGTTGGAGATGATGATGGGTCGACCCTTGTCAGCCGTACGGATTCGGTACATGGAGAAACAACCGGGCAAACAAGTCACGGAACCGAACAAGCTCTCGAATGCCTTGGACAAGTGGTGCGAGATGTAGTACTCGTAAACCTGTATTAGAAGAGGATATCAATTATAATTCGAAGCGGTGAAATCGAAGCAAAACATACTTGTATCATCGTCCACCACGATCCTTCTTCATTCTCGAGCTTCGTCTCACCACATATACCAATGATAGTCGAATCGTCCGCAGCCGAAGCAACCAAACGATTAAGGGAATCCGGGGTAACGGTCTAAACACACACTATTATTAATGGGTCCATGTATAGAGATAAGGAATATCAAACGCACTGTATCGGCATCGATAGTGAAGATATATTCGTAAAAGGCTGGGTCGATACCGATGACATTCCTCATCTGGTGGTAAATCTCCAATTCCAATGGTGTCATCGGCGAGTCGAAATGCACACGATTGAGGTATTGCATGAGAAGAATTTGACTGTCACGTTTTCCACGATTGCCTGGCTTCGTGCGCTCGGTAGGCTTGCCAACCTTGACAACGACAATGTATCTGTGATGTGTAAGGTGCTGTGCGACAGGAACCAATGAACAGAGAACTTACGGGACAACATGACCCTCAAACTCGTAGAGACCGGAGTAGATCTTGCCATAGTTGAGCTGTCTGGAACCTTCACCAACAGACTTGAACAAGAGGGGTTCGGGATCAAGCTTCGGGTCGACACCGAGAATGTCCAAAACGATGCGAGGCGTTGTGCGGTCATTACCAGTACCAATAATGTTTCCGTCGCAGATGAGGAAAAGGAGTTTGCGTTTATCGTCGTAGTTAAGCGCGGCCAGGGAGTCGATGGTACGACGCAGAGACTCTTCGCCTTCGGTATAACACGGGACTTGGCAGATGACGAACTTGTCCAACATCTCAGGTGTTCGCTTCGAGGAGAGTTGCAGTGCAGCGAGGACTATGGAGCCATTAGCAGACGTCTCAATCATACATGACTAGTCACTTACATTTCAAAGCCATAGACGACATGAGAACAGCGGAAGCTGCGACCAGGATCCAGCCTGGAGCTTGGCAGCGAGCACTTTTCCGGAAGTCCGTGTCACCCATATAGAATGTGTTTTTGAGACAGTTGACGTTTAGGTCACGCTGAGTTGGGTCCATGCCGTCGAGCACCTTCTGAAGATCCTTGCTGATGTCTTGGCCGGCTCGTTGTTTGAACAAGTCCGTGATATCGGCTGCAAGGAAGATGTCCGCAGCTTGACTTTGACGAGTGGTGATAGTGTTCACGTAGTCAGTGAGATCATACACAGAGTTGTCCCAGACCGCTAGCAGCCTTCGCAGCAAACATCAGACTACGTTGAAACCAGCGTAATTTTTATGGGCTTACCTAGGTGAATCGTCACTATGTGACTGGGCCCAGATATCCTTCTTGTCCCAAACCATAGGACCCTTACGGTATTGCTTGATCTTGGGTAGGAAAGTCGCCGTGTACCAATTCGTATCGTCCAGCTTAGTGTTCTGTGCACTCTGTAAGGCACCGGATGTGTGCATTGCTTGGGGAATTTCCGGAGTAAAGTTGGCATAGACCAGCGACTGCAGGGGGTTTGTGACGAGCTGAGGACAGGCGAGGGTAAGGGGAGGAGGGAAGTAGAACGTAAGATCCTGGCCGGCCAAAACGCTCAGACTGTCTGCGCCATTACTAGCAATGCCTGTGATATCGCTATGATCGCCATGAATGAAGTTTGACACGTCATAGACTTGACCTTGAATCGCAACCCAGAAATCGTCATCGCCAGTATGCTGAGCCACTTCGTTTGCCGTCCAGGCCTTGTCAAAGTCGGGACAGATAAGACGACCTAACACAGCGATATAAAAGATGATGGAACCGTTCAGGAGGACGATGAGCAAGAAAATGGTCAACTTCTCTCTCCATGCTAATTGGACATCGACACGTTTCATGCGACCAACAGTCCTCAGCAAAAACGAGGGGATCCACCAGGTCATACCCCAGACAACCCATAGCCATATGCGTCGCGTACGAGTTGTAGGGACTTCCTCGACGGCATTAGGCGCCTCCTTGACGACCATGCCGCCCTCTTTCGACGGAGAAGGCTCAGGATAGTCGTCCTTCTTGTCCCATTCAGATCCCCAGCCCTGTCCATCGGTATCGGAGTACGCCGGTGAGGCGCCGAGGGTGTTGACATGAGGGGTAGACAAACCACCAGGACCATAGGGAGTTGCAGCGTTTGGGTCCAGATAATTTGTCCCGTTCGTTCCAGTACGGGTGAGCAGCAAGTTGTCCTCAGAACCACCTGCGCCATAGTAACCACCACCAGCATGCTGCGATGCACCGTCGCGGTGAGTGTATTCCGTGGCATCATCCGGCATGACGCTCTCATCATCTTCACCCAAGGCTTTCTTCGCGTCCTTCTCGACAGCCCGAATCACATCCTCAACCATCTTCCATCCAGAGTAAGTCAACCAGATCGATCGGTGTCCCACTGCATAGTCGACACCCTCCTGCCAACCATTCGCTCTAGCACATTGCTGGATACGCTCTAATTCCGAACCTCCGATAGTGGGTACGTAGCGATCACAGAATGTCAGATGTTCCATGTCCACAACGAACTCCTTCTTACGACGGGCAACCAGATCAGGGAGAAGCAAGGACTTGATTTGCATCTTGACTCGTCGCTTATCGAAGGAATTGGGTGATCCTGAGTCGTTAGGGCGAATACATGACACTGTCCAAAGACGGGCGCGGTCAAGTGAAGCAGCGATCTCGGAAAGAGTGTAGTTGAGCTGAGTAGTGACAGGGTAGACTTTCGAATTGTCGAGGTGAGGATGTTCCTCGGTTGGCAAAGGGATGGTACCATCCGAAGCCGCAATAGGAGTAGGGTGACGGAGAGGATGAGACGACACCTGAGCTTGTACAATGATAGATTCATCTTTGGAGTGACGTTCAGTGGCCAGACTGGGGCCCGACATGAGCTTAGAAATGAAAGGATCTGAAGAGTTTCGAAGGAGTGTGACAAAAGCTGAATCGAGAAGATCAACGTCCTTCTCGACAAAATGTGAGGTCTCGTATGAGCAACTACCAGCGTAGTGATTGATACCGAACATCATCTTCTCATTTGCGTCAGGGCCATTAGGATGCGAGACGAAAGATGCATGGACGCCGAACTTGGCGACGAGGTCCTGTACGAGCTCCTCGTCTCGCTTCTCGCCGCCTTTCCCAGACTTTGCGTTGGACGAGGCCTTATTCATAACTCCGAGGATGCCGCCAGGCTTGCGGTGCGCCCGCTCGCTCAACTGAGCACCACGGAGAAGCTCAATGCAAGCAGAGTTATCCATAGTTGCGATGGTGGGAATTGCAACGCCATCGCCGGTGATCTGTCCATTGTAGCCAACAGAGTCCTCAAAGATGTTACGGAGCACATAAGAATGTACAACCTCATCCGCAAAATTAACGCAGAACTCATCGAATCCGTTCTGTCCGTACGCGGAGACGAGTGGCGCTGGGCCACCAAGCATCATCGAGGTCGTGCCGCCAGGACCTCGAGTCTGGAAGCCTGGCTGATCGAGCAGCGTGATTTGCGTTGGCGGGGGTGGCTCCTGCGAACTTGGCGCTAGCCGGTGGTTAGCCATCTCGACGACGTAGGCAAAGAGAATGGCGTAGAGGTCGCGCACGAGCTGGTCACGTTGCACCGAGCTTTGCTCTGCGTTCAGCATGACCGTGTACAGCTCCTTGCGTACGTAGCTCGTCTTGTTTGTCAAAGTCTCTCCAAGTTCCTCCAGAGAGACGCCTAACAATCGAGCGACCTGCTCCAGCACCAGCATGTTCGACACATACGCCGACACATCCCGAGCATCCCCCTCTCCGAACTGCACGTTACCAAGAAGCAGGATAGCTACCAATAGGCCGAAGATCGATGCCATGTTCTTGGCTTTGAACCCAAGTGCCTTCATCGACGCCCGAAGCTCTTCCATCGCCGTCGCATCGTCGCTGAATGGTCCCGACGGTAGCCGGTAGCAGCCTGATGACGAGAGCAACGCGTACTCTGATGGGTCCTCCAAGTTGAATTTGTCGCGCTCATCCGGTGTTGCCCCCGCCAGGAATTGGTAGAACACATGGTATGTGCGCTCTTCGTTTGTGAGCCTGTTCAGCCGTGACTTCTCAAGATTATACGTGAGTACTTTGGCCGACTTGATGCGGCCTCGCTCGCTGAAGTGCAACTCAAGGTATCGCCCATGGCGGGACGCATTCGGGTTCATAAGCGTTTTCGCATTGCCAAACGAGTCGAGTAACGGGGTCAGTGCTTCGATTTGTTCCGCAATTCTGGCTTCCTTTTTCGAGTGGGATGACAGCCGGAGAACCTGGTTGATCAGTAGTTGAGAATTGGCTGTCTTTCCCGAGCCAGTAATGCCGCTAGAATAAGCATCAGGTCAGCCGTCTAACGCGCAACCTTTGCATAACGATGTACCGGAAAATGACCGATTGCGACTCATTTCTCCTGCGCATTAGCAAATACATGCGAGCCGCGAGGTCGTACACATGCGGTGGCAACGGCGAGGATGTGCCTGGAAGAGGAAGGCTGGTGTCCTTGTAGGACTTTTCCTCATACTCCCTTGCGCTGACATCGTTCACATTAGCCAAAGTCTTATAAGGATTAACGACGACGAGATTGCATGCGCCAATTCGAGAGTACGGTAAGTCTGAACGGAAGCGAGCCTGAAGAACAGAAAGAAGGGTGTCATCGGAAGGATAGACCGTCGCAGACGTAGAAGAAGAGACAAGATCAGTGAGATCCCCAGAGTTAATCGCTTGAGACGACGAAGAGGAGGCCATGGCCTGCAAAAGAGGGCGCGGTTGACACCGTCGTCTTCGTCGAGCTCGTTGTTGAACGGTGGCAGCGTGGTGGAAGTTGTGAGAAGGTCACCACAACGGGTCACTGTATCAGAGGGGACCCCGGCCTGCTCACACCGTCGACACCGGCAACGGAGGTATTTCTGGATACAAGCCCTAGATTAGGGTCTTTTTCTGAGCAGGCAATAGTCCCACGCTGCACTTTAACTTACACGTCTACTCCCTCCATACGACTTGTCGCACACTCTCCTGCTTGTGTTTGGCGTCAACGGAAACACTGTAGACCGTCAAGTCGGAATATTTGAAAGGCAAGAGCCAGGAGTGCCAACATGTTGTTGGATGTAAACGTAAGTGAAGATCTCATTAGTGCGAAGCGAAACCTCAATTGGTTCAGAGGAAACTGTTCACTCGCTCAGATCGGGTCAAAGGAGTCGACTTTCACCCGACGGAACCTTGGCTATTAACAGGTCTCTACAATGGAACAGTGAACATATACAACCACGACACAGGTGCACTGATCAAAACCTTCGAAGTCGCCGAAGTACCAGTGCGGTGTGTTCGCTTCATACCTCGTAAGAACTGGTTCGTCGCAGGCTCGGACGACTTCCAACTACGCGTTTTCAACTATAATACCCACGAGAAAGTTGCGGCATTCGAAGCACATCCGGACTATATTCGATGCTTGACAGTACATCCCACCGCCAGTATTGTCCTTACTGGCAGTGACGATATGACCATTCGTGCTTGGGACTGGGACAAGCAATGGCGGTGTATCCAGGTATGCCTGAAAAGATCATACTCCTGGCGTATACTAAAAACATGTCGTTCACCTAGACATATGAAGGCCACACGCACTACATCATGAATATCGCCATCTCACCAAAGGACCCGAACACTTTTGCATCTGCATGTTTGGATAGAACAGTCAAGATGTGGTCTCTGGGTTCACCGACTGCTAACTTTACTATGGAAGCTCATGATAAAGGAGTCAATTATGTCGAGTTCTATCCCGGCGCCGACAAGCCCTACCTAGTTACCGCGAGTGACGACAAGACAGTGAAGATCTGGGACTACCTGAGCAAGAGCTGTGTTCAAACGCTCGAAAGTCACACCAACAACGTCCTATTCGCGGTCTTCCACCCAAACCTTCCAATCATCATAAGCGGCGGGGAGGACGGCACGGTCAAGCTCTGGAACAGCGGAACGTACCGGTTGGAGAATACTCTCAGTTATGCACTCGAGCGTGCCTGGTGTATTGCCGTCCGTAAGACTGCGAATGAAATCGCCGTTGGCTATGATGAAGGTGTTGTTGTTGTCAAAGTACGTTTAACCATCTTCGAACTGTCATAGAATCTCAGGCAACCATCTGTATAGCTTGGTCGAGACGAACCGACATTCAGCATGGACCCCTCGGGCAAGCTTATTTATACTCGGAATAACGAAGTCTTATCCGCCAATTTGCAAACTGTGCACACCGAGGATCTTGCAGACGGCAATCGGATACCGCTGTCTATCAAAGAACTTGGCACCACTGAGATTTATTCTACGTCTTTGTGTCATTCACCGAACGGCCGATTTGTCACCGTTGTCGGTGATGGTGAATACATTGTGTACACCGCATTGGCATGGCGTAACAAGGCATTCGGGAACGGAAACTCCTTCGCATGGGCAGGCGATTCGAATACGTATGCCGTCCTTGAGGGTCGACTCAAGTTGCGCGTATACAAGAACTTCCGTGAACGCACTGGTGCTGGCATGAAGGGTGCTGGTTCATGGAGCATCGATGGCATTCATGGTGGGACTCTTCTCGGTGCTCGAGGTTCCGGATTTGTCATATTCTGGGACTGGGAAACTGGTGAGATTGTGCGCCGGATAGAGGCAGATGCCAAGAACGTGAGAGTCACCGTCACATTCTTCCTGTCATGTCTGCTCACAGGATCCTCTAGATCTTCTGGTCCGGCACTGGTTCGCTAGTCGCAATCTGCACAGAAGACTCATACTACGTTCTACGGTTTGATCGTGACGCATATAATGCCAAACTTGAAGAAGGGTCCGAGATCACCGACGAAGGCGTTGAAGAAGCGTTTGAGCTCATCGCCGAGATTCCAGAGAAGTAAGTTATTTTATTAGCTACGTTTGCACGATACTGACTTGTTTAATCAGTGTCAAGACGGCGAAATGGATTGGCGATTGTTTCATCTATACGAGCGCCGCAAATCGACTCAATTATTTCGTAGGCACTGAGTCCTATACCATCACACCTTTCGACACGTACGTGTTCTCTCTGTTTCGTCAGCTTGCTTTTCTATTCACACTATTGCAGGCCTCTGTACCTTCTTGGCTACATTCCTGCCCACAACCGAGTGTATTTGGCAGACAAAGATGTCAATGTGTACAGCTATACACTATCATTAAATGTCGTCGAATACCAGACAGCAGTGTTGCGTGGTGATATGGAGGCCGCCGCAGAAATTTTGCCGACGATCCCGAAGGAGCAGCGTAACAAGATTGCCACCTTCCTCGAGGCGAGAGGTAGGCAGCTTCACAGCCCATAGTCCATGAATTAATATCTAACCCTGATTGAACCTTGCTGTTAGGCTTGAAGGAACTTGCATTGGAGGTGACGACTGATCCGGATCACAAATTTGATCTCTCGCTGCAACTTGACGACCTCGATGCGGCCGTCGAGATCGCACGAACCGTTCCAGAGCTCGAGGCAGAGTCGAAATGGAAGGCGATCGGCGACCGCGCCCTGACTGTATGGCGATTCGACTTGGCACGTGAAAGCTTCGAGAAAGCTGGCGATCTCAGTGCGTTGATGCTCCTGCTTCTCGCAATCGGAGATAGAGACGGTCTTCAGCGATTGGCGACACGAGCAGGTAATAATGGTTCCCTTCAAACGATAACGTGCAATGCTGATGCCATTTACAGAACAACAGGGTCAAAACAACCTCGCCTTCGCGACGTTGCTTCAACTTGGTGATCCTGCCGCGTGCGTCGACCTTCTCGTGAAGACGCAACGTGCTCCAGAAGCTGCGATGTTTGCCCGGACATACGCGCCAAGTAAAGTGCCGGAGGCAGTACAGGCATGGAAAGCTGACTTGACCAGCAAGAAACGATCAAAAATTGCGGCAAAAATCGCTGATCCTCTCGAGCATCCCGAGCTTTTCGAAGAAGGCTGGGAAGATGCGTTATTTCGTGAGAAAGGTGCTGAACGACAACATCCTCCTCTACCAATAAATGGTACCCTAGGTTTGTATTCCGATCATTAATCTTCACCACTTTATTAACACTTCTTATACCAGATCCTGCGCCGCCAGCAGAAGTTGAGGGTGAAGATGAGGCGGCGGCGGTCTGACCCATGTGCATGCGTTTCTGTCCTTCAGGTGTAACATCTTAATTTATGATCATTTGGACTACATTTTGATGGAGAATGGCACTGCCAAGAGGTAGGCTTACGATCGCCTTTCAGTTCATCGTACACCCTTCGTCGCATAAGAGTCCCTATCAGAGCTGTTATACACGTACCTGCTGTTAGCTCACAATGATGGCTCCAAATCAGCGATGGCATTCATATCCACAGGTTATCCACAATGTGCATCTTTTTGCAACGTGGTTTGGTGCACTATCAACGGAGAGCAGTACATGGAACGTCGCGTGAGTTCATTTCTCGAAAGCTATTAGCGCCTTTGCTTACTGCATTCATACATCATGTTTGGGCTCTGCCTAAGCTATCGCGACGCTGCAGTGGTATGATATAGACGATGTTCACAACATACACGTCGATAATCGCTCGCGATCTCTATTCTCACTTCTGGAAGTGTTCTGAGACGGCGGATACGCTCAGTTGTTATGAACACGTGTATTCAGCGAGCGTTCCTGAGAAAAGGTAAAGATCAAGCCCGCCGTGCAATCGCTCGCTTCCGTATCGTGCAAGCAAGCCGTTCATGTAAGATGAGGCATGGGTTCTGCGCAATGCCTCGCCGCAACCGTCAGGCAGCATTGCACTTGGGTCATATATACTCGCCGTCAACGGTTTCAACGTCCTCATCAACTAGGAGGATAGACTTCTCCAGTACGCACTCTCTAATCGTTTCTCTCGTTTGTTGACTGATTGAGTGTAGGACATGTCTGAAACACCCAATACCTCCCGACAGGCGTCGCCCGTCAGGTCGTTGCGTTCACGAATGGGCACTATGCTCAGACGGAACTCTTCGGGCTTTGGCTTCTCTAGACCTACTACGCCATTGCGTCGCTCTGACTCCAAGACGTCGCTAAGGCTGTCAACGGACTCGGCGCCGGCGTCCTCTCAAGACCACCACGTCCCTAGTCCCGTTCAGGAATCGCCAGCTCGTGAAGCGGAGGCTGAACAACCTTCTGCTCCAGCAGCCCCTGCGCCTTCATCGCTGTCGAAGGAGGTGACTTCATCTCCTGAGGCAGCTCCTGTCCAACTCACAGCTGAACCTGAATCAACGACACACGCACCTGCTGCTCCTATTGAGCAACCCGCCGAGCCAAAGTCTGATATTGCAGCACAGACTTCTCCGGCGCCTGTGCCTAGTCAACCTCAGAGTGAGGAACATCGTCCTGAGCCCGAACCACAAACTGTTACTGTTTCGACTGCGGCAAAGGCTGCAGCAGAAGTACAGCCCATAGTACACGAGGAACGAGCCGCCGACGCCTTCGCTTGGAGTGATGACCAGAAGCCGAAACCAGCTGTTGTCGAGGATATTCCAGCAGAATCTCCTCCTCCAGCACGTGCGCCGTCAATCGCTGCTGAGCCTGACTCCATCCCTACATCCACTCAGGAAGCGAAAGTAAACCCAGCTCCCTCAGAAGCACACGATACCGGCTTTGCATGGAAGGACGACACTCAGTCCCGCGTGGTTACCCCCAGACATTCATCGTCCAGCCTGGCTAACGTGTCTTCTTCGGGCGCACCTTTAGTGGCTTCACCTGAATCAACCTCCCGTAACCTCTCACCCAAAGGCAGCAAGTCCTCTCTCTCATCTTCGTACGGCCATGTTGTTGTTTCTGCCGCAGGCAGACGCGTATCTGTCTCTGTTGATCCGAACGAGGGCGAAATAAGGCGTGGTCGAACTAGCAGATCGTCGAGCATTCGGTGTGTATCGCTATCATATCTTCCTCATCCCAGTTCTCATAAATTTTTGCAACAGGGTATCTTTCGATGATTCCAACGCTGACCCATTCGCTGATCCACCTGCACCTCAAACCATGCCCGTCCCTAGTCGGATGCTTTCCCCGATTGACAGTATTGCCGAGTGAGTTAGGATTTTGCATCTTGACTCCGGGTTGGAACTGATGTCCAATCGATAGACCAGCCGAATCACCGAGAGAGTTGCAAGACACAGACTTAACGGGCAATCAGAGGGTCTCGATTCTTCCCTACACCGAGGAGCACACATATGCCTCTATGCCTGGCCCGGTCATTATGCCTCTTCCTCCCGCGTCATCGGTGATTTTAGATCACAAGTAAGCTTTCTTAGAGTATGTTCTGTACTCTCTAGTTGACCCAAGTTCCCAAGGCCAGTCAAGCAGGTCCCATCGGCATACAGCCTGAACGAGCGTGCCAACGGCCACACGGATCACGATCCTCACGAGACCGAGTACGTTGTCATCAGTGGAGAGGGCTGCACTCATACTTATTTTATCCCTGATAGCGAACGTCTACCTCTTCTTCCTCGTGGTATGGACCAGAATGCAGGAACATCGAAGTCCGCTATTCACGCAGACGTCTCAAGTCATAGCGCCGTCGTTTTCCCTTCTGGTCCAGCACTCTGGCCTACTCCCGCTCAGTCGCTACAATCGCTTGGCTGGACGGAGTTCCTTTTGCCAGACAGTTCTATATATTACCACCACAGAGGCATGCGTATCACAACTGATATTATTCTTCGCAACACGAAGAAGCTTGAGGCCGTCACCGAGTATCTCGATCGTAAGCTTCCAGAGGAAGTCTCTCTGGCACCTGAAGGCTGGGAGCTCTGGCTCCGTGACGCTGACACGTCCAAGCACGGATTCTCTCCGATTCGAAGCTGGGTCAACCACAACGCAAAGGTTTTATCTTTTGATCCTCCCCCAGCACGCGCAGGGGAGGTCGCTACACTTCCTGATCATATTACTGACGATGATAGTGAGTACCTTGACCTGAAGCTTCGCTTTTGTTCACAATGAGATCCTTCAGGGCTGGATATGGAGTATCGCTATTGGGCGTTCGTGGAAGGCCACCCCAGTCATATTGTGCTTCCCGATTCCGTTCACAGAGAGGCTATGGATGCTTTGCAATGGTCATATACCGGCAAGTTTCGGCTACGGGGAAATGACAATTTCATCTTATTAGTTTTTGCAGATTGTCTCCTTCCCACCAACCAACCTACTCCGCCTCCCTTCTTGCCTCATGAATGTCAGGAACTCATGGGGCTACTTCATTCATTCGAGGATAGCAGCTCCAAGATGAACTCAGTCATCCACACGCGTGTCGTCTCTCGGGTTCTGATTCGGGTTGGTAAGTATCAAGTTTCAACTCGTTGGAACGTCATTCTAAAGCTCTATATAGCTCAGTGGCGTCAACAGTATTTCCGGCCAAACAAGCCCCTGCCTCGCGATACCGCCAAAGGCACCGTCCGTCCTGAGCATCGCTTAACATTCCGGCGCGCTGTATTGGACGTTGCCATGTCCATCATTTGCCTTGGTATCCCCTACCTGTTCGTGGACCGCTCTCGAGGTCGCAGGATAGATGAGGAGAGCGGGTTGCAAAGCGCAGGTCCCATACTCATGATTGGATCCTGTGCTTGCCTGGTGGTGTGTGTCATGCATATTTTACGTCCTTGAATTTCTGAACTAAAACGTCGCTTCCGCTTCCCGTAGTCTGCGGTTATCCTCAGTGCTTCTGTCACGTTCATGACCCTTCCGGGACTCGACGATGTCGCCCGGCTGGCCGGAATGATTGCGATTCTTTTCTCTGCTTCAAGTATGGTTTCTTCTGTGTTTGCACTTTTCCGTTACAAGGCAGACGTTGAGCGCACAGTGGTGTATGTTGGCGGTGAAGGTCTTATGTTGCTATCTGTATGTTCATATTCCTTTTGTATGACTGCTCTCAACTGATCGGTGTCAATTTAGCGACGAAGTATTGTCATGTCCCTTCCACTTGTCTTCCTCGCGTGGGCAATCGCCGCCTTCGTGACTGGCATCACGTTCTACTCGTTCCGCGGGGCCACGCTCACGAGTCGCGTAGTGATCAAGGTACCCTTCCAAGATTACACACACTGGGCGATGGTAGGAACTCTCGGGGGTTTGGCCGGAATTCTGATGATGTCCGCTCTCTTGGCTCGACGATAGTGTAAACTTGGGAAGATGTTCCATGTCTCACAGTAGTATGCACGCACAGGATGTTTGCATTATGTATTGTAATATTATTCTGCTTTTCTCCTTCCATCCTCGCCTTTGATTACTTTACACTGTGAATTAATGCACACGTACAGAGATACGTTACAGTATGTATTGTATCTTGACCTCTGACCAGCTGTACTACTGTACACAATACTTGTCGAATCGAGAGGAATAACGGCGCTTACTTCTTAATTCAACCGAAACGTTGCCAGTACTTTTGGACTCGCTCAGCTTACGGTCCCCTCAGCAACCACTCACTACTCATTATGCAATCATTGTCATAGCCCGACTCGATACCGTTATCAGGTCTCGATTCTGTGGTTATTTCAAATGTTGATGTTCTATGTGAGTTCTGAAATCATGGAATCCAATTCATATAGCCTAAACGCTCCACGGACCACCAAACTCAAATGGAACGGTAACCAAATAGCCTATGACGCGTGCCACCCCTGGACACTGCCAGGAACTCAAATATTCTGACTTCTTCAAAGTTCACAAGGTCTCTATTTAGATAGTGACCCCCCCCCCCCGTCGGAAGCCCGACCACGGTCTATGGGAACGCTCCTATCGTTATCATCGACTCTCTTACTCTTTATAAAAAGTCCAGACAAGCGAGACATAGCCAATCCAAACATCATGCCTCGTAGAGTACTCATTGGATTCGGTGTAGATGTGGACGCTGTAGCAGGCTGGTAGGTGTTTGTCTCGCTTTCCCTATGCTCGTCCCCTAATTGGTGTCATTGATGTTCAGGCTAGGCTCTTATGGTGGCGAAGATTCACCGTTGGACATTTCGAGGGTAATCTTCATGCTACCAATTGTGTATTAGTTTTACCTACTCATAGTTTTTAGGGGCTCTATGCTGGCGAAGTAGGAGTTCCGCGTTTGCTGAAGCTATTCAAGAAGTATGGTATAAAGACCACATGGTTCATTCCAGGTAAGAAGCTAGCCTCCGTCTGTCAGAATGTCAGAACTGGCGTTGATTTGATGCAGGACATAGCCTGGAAACGTTTCCAGCGCAAATGACGGCTGTCCGAGACGCTGGTCACGAAATGTGAGCCCGAGGCTTTGAACCATTGCCTTTGCATGCGTATTTATTGTATTCACAAATCAGAGGCTTGCACGGTTACTCACATGAAGTAAGTCGTTCTACTTATTCTGTGAGATCCTTATCTAAGTAATGCCTTAGAATCCTACGTCTCTTTCTCTGGAGCAACAAAAGGATATCCTGGACCATACGTATAACCTTCTTACAGCTTTCAATAACGGCAAACCGCCCAAAGGTAGTGTAGCTCCCTGGTGGGAAACCAGCAAGGAAGGGACGGATCTCTTACTCGAGAAAGGTATTGAATATGGTACGTCATATCGATCGAAAAAGGGTGACGGTGTCGGTGTTGAACATTTTTAACCATGATAGATCATTCCAACATGGCTCACGAGTAAGAAAATCCCGATGATGTAACCCAACGCTTACGCCTAACTTGGCATACCAGTTCGCAAGCATACTACTTACGAGATGAGGACCTCTGGACCAAAATCGACTATGCAAAGAAAGCGGAGACGTGGATGGCGCCTTTGGTGCGTGGAAAGGAAACAGGTATCGTAGAAATTCCAGGGAACTGGTGAGCGAAGATTCAGCGTCTGGTACGTTGCGACATCTAACGGTTTCAAGGTATTTGGATGACCTGCCTCCTATGATGTGCGTTGTTGCATGACGCTTAAATACGACACTTTTCCTAACGCGTTTGATGTGATAACCTATGCCCACAGGTTTATCAAGTCCAGTCCAAACTCACATGGATGGGTATGAGACTTTTCTTTGCGACCAGCTATCTATTTAATCACTTCACATCTACGTTATAGGTCAGTCCGCGCGATGTGGAACAACTCTGGAAGGACATGTTTACGTACCTCTACAGGTGAGGTGCGTTCAATACGCCCATCTGTAAATATTCACATGCCTTGGATGAGCAGAGAAGAGGAGAATTTCATATTCCCAATCACGATACATCCCGACGTGAGCGGGTGAGCTTCTTCACTCCATTCCTACGCATATTGTGTGATTTGACTTCGTGACGCAGGAGGCCTCATGTCCTCCTCATGCTGGTAAGAATGAACCCTGTTCCCGCTCAGCATGGTTTATCTACAATATACATCTCAGGAGCGATTCATTGAGTGGGTCAACGCTCACGAAGACGTACACTGGGTACCGATGATAGATATGGCAAACGAGTTCAGAGCAAAGTGTAGCCCTCCTGCTGGAGCTAAGATGCCTGCTGGATTCCAGACCACCTAGGCGTGTCGTAATCCGGAGTTCTGTGTTGATATCATCATCATCTAGGTCTCTAATGGATTGTCGAATGCGAAGTGTTTCTTGCCACAGGTCTGTCTTAAGCAGCTTGCAGCGCTTAGGCGCACGAACATAGGAACGTCGTTCTGTTGCTTTACGTGCGACATTCGAAACCACCTTTATCGGACAAACCGGTCAGTTGCCCAGTGAAGGCTTTCCCTCTGAAGTGTGTTGATACGCAGTTTGCAGGATATGCTAGAACTGATCTGTATCTCTTTAGAGCGCAGGTTGAACTCACGCTTGAACTACTTAAATGACAACGCACATCGCCGTCGGCAAGGGGTCATCGCCTTCTGTTGAGCGTCGTCCTATCTCCCGAGCGAGCGTCGACAACGACTGGGCCTCGCACTCCCGGCGCGTATTGGGTACAACGTAATAAGGGCATCTGCTGGTGACTCTGACATCGTATGTGATGTTATCAATCATGTTGCTGCGTCTGGCTTCCTTCTGAAAATGATAGCTGAGAGTATCGTTCATTATTGATGCAGATAATACTGACCTCCAGGCTCCAGCTTCCAGTGTACTCAATACAAGACTTTAAATTATGGTTACGGATAACAAGCAAATGTACGATTGTCATCAAATTACACAGCCAAGGGCGCGCCGTCACTCAAAGTCTTTGAGCTCCTAATTAACGATCGTTCTATTAGAATGTTCAACTAGCCTCGTGGCATTTATGCGTTTCTGGCGCGCCCCGCTATTGATCGTGCTCATCTGAACGCGCTTGTACTGAATCGGTGTGAACAAGCATACTTATCGCCACTAGCATCCCCCGACATGAGCTTTTGGGTTTCCTTCTTATGTCCATCCCCACCACTACATACACACTGAACTTACCGTCTAATCATCTCTTCTTCTTTCTATGCAGACACAAACTGAAGTCGAACTTCACAGGAAACATGGTAGCGTTGCACCTGAAGGGTGGTTCAATTATCCGTCCTCGTCGAGATGCTCTAGCGGACTTCCTTCCTCTGTCGACACATCACCCACGCCAGCAAATGTTCGATTGTCGACCTGTTCCATTGTGCGCCCACTCCCTCGAATCCCGCCTCCCTCTTCAAAGACACCACGGCCGCTGCCCGCTCCTCCTCCGAAACCACGACCTGTCAGCGTACGCCCGTTGCCAACCCCCACCATAACGTTTCAACAAGATGTTATTCTGGGCGAGCCAGGGCCCTCGCGAGCCCCTCTCCCGTCTCTCTCAGAATGTGACGAACTATCTGACATCCTGTTCATGCACGATGATGACACTTTGTCAGTGTCATCGGAGTCATCGGAGGAATCAAGAAGTGTCGTGGATGACACTGCGGCGGGTCCCATGGAGATCGTTCTCTATGGTCCCTCAAATGGCTTTGGCGCGGTTCACTTCAAGACACATTCATATCGACGAGAATATCTCGGAGCTCATGAACCAGAACTGGTCTCAGACACGGAGAAGTTAGGTGTCGAAGAAATGTCAGATTCCTCTCCCGAGTCCAGCTACGATCATGGGTATTCCTACGATAACCGCCAGAGTGGCCCCTTTGTTAGGGACAAACCTCCGGTGCGGCCAGGGGAGCCGAGGCTGAGCACTATTGGTATGATGAAGGTTTTCAGTCGGAGGTGGGTGAGAGAGAAGAAAGGAAAAAGATACGTGGAAGACGATTATCAAAAGATCATACGTGATCTTCGACAGCTGTAATGGGTCAGTTGCATCAACTGTAACATACTGTGTTCTTTTAGCTTATCACCCTCTTCATCTGTTGCAGATTGGCATTCCATTCATGTAGTTATGACAGGTCGTGCCTCATGATTGGGGTTTGCCCTCCGCTTCTCCTCATTCTCTTTCCCTTAGGGCTTCAGGAATTGATCACATCCTAAGATAAAGCTGCGTATCACAGATATTGGATCACCTTGTAATGCTACATCACATATTATTTGTCTTCTCGCTGGTACGGGTTCAATGTATTAAGTAATTTGCGTCATTCCTTTGGGATTAATTTGCATCCCAGGGTGATGATTATTTGGTGTCGACAGTGTACGTAACTCTGCGTGGAAGTGAATACGGAGGACGGAGGCAACAATCACCGCTTCCAAAACAGTTCTAGTCGTGGTACAGTACTATTTTTGGCACGGCTTGTTCCGTCAGCGTCCTAACTGGGGTCCCGAACAAGAACCAAGTCGCCAAGACGTACTAGCCAAAAGCGAAGGTAGTGCAGTGGTTTTTCCTTTCATACACGACGTCACATTAATCTTTCGAAGTGGAATAGATGGATCATGGCTTTTCGTCAGAGGCGCAGTGATCTGTTGAAGTTCCATCGTCCAAAACTAGTACTTCCCACCGGAACTCAAGCTGAACTCTCGGCAACACTGAAGCCAGAATCAAGACAGTAAGCAGCAGAATATATCTCCGATAACTTCGTTCAACATACTATGTAGATGCATCAAGAATCTGGCAGCTTACACACCGCCTAAGCAACGATCTCGGATTCCGAAATCCCGTTCTGCGGCCGTGCTTATTGCTTTGTTTGTCGGTCGTAAAGGAGACTTATACGTTGTTCTCAGTCGGTATGTAATGAGCGTATTATTACCTGTATCATTCCTTTTTAACGGAATTTTAGGAGGGCATCGACATTAAGAACATATGCCGGTGACACATCCTTACCTGGTGGTAGATGGGAACCAAGTGACCGCACTCTGGAATGGACGGCTGTAAGTTCCATTGTTTAAGATCTGTGCATCCTTTAATTATTATATTAGAGACGTGAAGCATATGAAGAAGTAAGCGAGACCTCCTGGTCTACGACTTTAGATGTGACCAACCACTTCTGCAGATCGGTTTGCCAGTTGACAGACAAAGGGTACCTCTACTGTGCACCCTACAGCCATTTCTTGCGGGGAATCAGCTCGTTGTGACCCCGTACGTGGGACTAAGCTTTGACTAGCATTTAACTCACCAAATCCGAGATCAGAATAGTAGTTCTCGTGCTAGATAACACCATTCAGGTCGGCCGTCTATGCACCTTTATTTCATGTACTTGTACTAATCAAGCCGAATAGCCACTACTTAATTCCTCAGAGGTCACATCGCTCTTCTCCCATCCGCTGGTCTCATTCCTCAGCAAAGAGCCCCCATTCCCCCTCGAACTCGAGACCTTGGAACTCAAGTATCACACTTACGTCGATATCGACTGGAAGGCTCTCAACGGCAAAGTTCGCATGCATCGTTTCCAGACAGGTCGCGAAGCCGGAGGAACCAAGCCCATATTCGGGCTCACAGCGTGAGTTCAGGATCAACTTATTGAAGTCGACGGTGGACGAATGTAGTAACAATAGCTTTTCAGCGCAATATTGATTCGAGTGGCTACTATTGGATACGCTCGCGAACCCGATTTCGAAGTATATGCTCCAGATCAGCCTTCACAAGATCAGCGGCTGGCGTATATGCTGAAATATAATGAGGTATTCCGAGAGGCTGAGAAGAAAGAAGGTATTGATCCCGACGTAATACCCGAACGATACATTCGGCCTGTATCAAAAACCTCTTTACCACCATCGCACAAAGCTGCTCGACGACCACGAATTCGTAGTCGATTGTAATCATCTGGTGCTATCTTTGGATATGGACGGCTACAATCTACCATCATATTCTTAGGACTTGGCCAACTTATTCATTCTTCGCACACATGTAGGAGTGCAACGTTGGTTGATTAGGGTAATTAAGTCCACGAAGGGTAAGTATAGGCCGTAGCTAGTGATCAGTTGACGGGAACATCGATCGTGACGCGTCTGCGCCGCACGTCGAAAGAACGTCGAAAACTAAGTCCTTGGTCAAATCAAGGTCAGACAGAGTTATGTTGACTAAGGAAATTTGAACCTTCGTCTATACCGTCTATACTGTCTATAGGTGACTACAAGCTCCCAAGATGGGTCTATTTTGACAAGTTAAGAGTATTAGATTGAAAGCAACGACAGCATCAGAGCCCAAAAGTACGGAATTACAAGTAAAATACAAAAACAAATGACCTCCAAGTATTGCACAGACAGACACATTAGAACCATTATACCACCATGTAATCTCTCCCCGACAGCTTCTACGACCTTCCAAACATCATATTATTATTCGCCTGCTGCATCTGCTGTTGTCGATACAACTGCTCCATAATCGCCAACTCCTCTTCACTGAAGTCAACTGCAGCCGAAGAAGTGGGTTCTTGACCAGCTATCATAGGCATCGTACCCCCAACGAACGGAAGAGAGTCGAGATCCATAGGAGGGAACGGTGAGTCGAGAGGCATGTACGACACGGGTACACCTTGGTTTTGGAACGAACCGTAAAACGGCGAGATACCAAGATCCATGCCTAGCCCTCGAGAGTCGACGCGCATGTTGTTGTTGTTCGAAGAGCCCATGTTGAGGTTCATAAGAGTATCATTATCTGGGTTGATGAAGCTGCTGTTTTGGTGGTTCTGGTTCATATGCGAGAAAGGCTGATTATGAGAATTGTTGTAGGGTTGGTTTGTTGGCGGCTGCAAGGGAGGAGTTGCATTCATTGAGTTGGATGGAGGTGGATTGGACATAGTGGACATAGCATCACGAACAGCATCCATCATGTTCATCGGCCACTCCCCAGCATGTACCGAAGCTGTGTACATATTGCTAGTGGAGCCGGCGGAAGGGGGTGGAGGTGGTGGCGGACTACCCTTGTTAGAACCAGGACTGTGGTTGGGAAGGATTGGATGAATAGTGGGCATACGACGAGGCTGGTCATGCTCCTGTGACTGCTCCTGTGGTGTACTCGGCGAGACGATAGGCGACTTAAATCCGGTCTCTCCCGAGCGAAGTTGCAACCGAGGCTTGAGTTGTATGTCCAGAAGGTTGATAAGAATACTCTTGATAGTATGTGCACATATCCACGATTCGCCAATCTCATCCAGATACTCCATGCATTGCTTGATTTGACGGAGGGAAGCAAGAAGTGTGACGCGACCGAGGCGAGGACCTGAGATAGCTTGAATTGCACTGAGGACGAAGACAGTACCGGCGGAGAAGACGATTTGGACAATGGTAAGCGGGCAAAAACGTAAGGAGAAGTTGTTGTGCCAGCTTGTTGCTATCATCATGATATTCTCCGCGGCTCGATTCGCCAACTACAGTGATAGATAAATGGGAAGGCAAAAGAGGTCACAAGAGAAAACGTACTTTGACATGATCGATGTCGATTCCTGAGCTATCGGACTTGGTCCGTCTGTAGAATGGTCGATGAAGGAGAATGAGCATCCACCAATATGCTAGATGTAGTGTCAGGCGGTGAGGTAGTGCGACTGGTCTTGTTGACGCAGTGAGGTCGATCTCCGGAGGTAGACTGTCCTTCCAAGCATTTAGCTCAATGCTGAGGATAGATGAGTATCTAATCGTAGGGCATTTTATCTATAACACTTACTCCAGTTCACTGACGATCTGCATGCGACTCTGTTGGACATTACCCAGACCATTCCTTTTAGCGAAATCAGTAACATTCTGGTACGATGGTACAATAGAGAGAGTGAGACTCACACAAAAGCCAGTACCCGTTCCGCAACATGCATCAGTTCACAAGTTGCAGCAAACACACTAGCAACGTTGCTCGTCTGCAATGGGAATTTTGCAGGTTCGCAATGCCATGGCGCTCGATCAATATCGGATCCAACAAGGGGAACCGGGATAGAACGTGAGTTTTCGCCTTTTTGGTGGATGAAGCAGCGGTCTCGGCCGACATACAGAGACCAGCATACATCCTACATGGAGATAAGATGTTTAAGTATTTGATGTCGGTGTGAGGTTAGGATATGTAAGGAGTGAAGCCGAACCTGAGTGACAGTTTCCCAGTATGCCCAGTGGCGATCGATGGCATCACTTTGTTTGATACGACCTGACTTGACCCACGGCGAAGGGTCAACGCCGAGCCCCACTACAGAGCGGAACATTTAAGAATTATGCCAGTTACCACAGTTCTGCAGGACTCACATGCTTGTGCCATACGTCCGCTCATGCCTTCAACGAAACAATAAACATGGGCCTCAGTTCAGACGTACCGTTTAACTCACCAAAATAGAAATACCCTAACCCCTGCTCTCCATTGGTCGCATGATAACTCCCGAGCAAACTCAAACTTGAAACACAAGCTATACTCGGTTTCTCACAATCATGGTCAATGTAACTCTTCGCTTTACGCGCAAAATGTGCTCGGAATGACACCGCACGTTTCATTGGGTCATCTGAGAAGGCTGTTGCTAATGCGAGGATGCTGTTGTGCAACATGGGTGAGTAATGTGCTGTGCGGAGTGCTGGTTGGGAGGCGGGAAGGGAGAGAGCTCGGCGCATGTCGCGAAGGAAGTATTCCGGGATAAGCCGCATACACCAGGAGGAAAAGAACTTGAAGAACAGGTCAAGTAGCCTAAAGGTCGTCAATATCTAAATCGTGAAGAAATGCAGCAAATGTTTGAGTCGCACCGATCATGTTCGTCGCGAATGAGTGGACATTCAGGAGGCAAATGTCGAGTCCAATCGATGTATGGAGATACTGGCACTGGGGACTGTTCCAATTTGTGTACACAATCTTCCCGGGGACATGAGCATTCGCTAGGTCGGTCTGGTGCTAATCTGAATGCTGATGTCGGACCATACAACTCAAGATCGCGCTCTCCAAGCTGCAAACAAGGTTACATCGCTAGGTGTGTCAATGATCAGATCACATACCACCAAATTTCTAGTAGGCGCTATGAGCTTGTCAATATCTGAGCCTTCGTTGGAACTCGAGGAAGGATCATCAAGTTGGCCATCCGCATCGTCGGATTCAGACTTTGCGTGAGGACTGGCTTTGTCGCTTAATGAGGATGTCAAGCCGGAAGGCCCCGCCTCCGGTTGGGCAGAGGGGTCACGATAATGTTGGAGCTCGCCCTCCAATTCATGGACTCTTCGCTCTAAGCCCTTGATGTGGTTCATCAAAGACTCGAAATGCTGCTGCGTGCGAGCCTTCTTTGCGGTCTCCTTGCCCCATGTACACTGATTGAGGATTCGAGCCATTAGGAGTTGAGGCATGTATGAAAAAGTATTATATAGCTACCTCTGCCTCGCGCCCAGAATCACGGCATGGGCCACAGACAGGTTCCTGACCATCGCACTTGCTCTTTCTAATGAGTGAGAGCGCATCAGTGATTTGGAGAGGAGAAGCAGAAATTGAAATAAGGTCACCGTCTGCGACAATGATTGCATGCTTGTCTGACATAAGTTCCACGCCCGCCCTCGGACTTGCCTCGCTTCTTTTCCTCTTTCATTCCTTGTCTCTTGTGTGGGGTAGTCTGGGGTTTGCTATCACTAGTGTTGGAAAGGGCAATGCGATCGGAAACTAGTCGGAAGAGGTGCTTGGCTAAGGCTGAGCCCAGGCTGAGAGAGTTTGCTGCGAGCTATCTGCGATACCAAGGACACCGGGCGCATATAGTTAGTGAATTTCTGACGGTACGATACGGTCATCGGTGAAGCTCGACATGACTTACTCGATGTTTTCCAAAAGGTTCGAAACGGTGCGCTTATATACAAGTGATTAGTATTGGTGGGTAATCGAGAGCTGGCTGTCCCCGCTAGAGGATATATGCTGAAGAAAAGGCGTCCGCCAATGGGAACATGGTCGTTTCCGAAATGAAGTATGCGGGGATGAAGAAAGTCTGCACAGTGCCGCCCATTTGCTTTGTGGGGTAAAGCGGGCTTCGCTAAGGTTAGGGTTCCGAATCTGATCACTTATGGAGGGCGCATGGGCACACATTGAGTGGAGGCGCGGGTTCTGTCTTTTCTCTCATCAACGCGTACGGCTCTCGACGCATTGACAGCTGTAAAGCTGTTTGTCGCCCATGGCGTCGCCGCCAGTCCTTTCACGCAGCACCTCATGGACATCAACATCTGAGCCGAAAGACCGTGATGCTTTCAAGGATGCCTCCAGCCCCGCGCTTGTCGAGTCGCTGTGCCAAGATGAAAATAAGAAACCCGTATGGCAGAGACCGCTCTCTGGAAATGCGGACAAGGAGTATGATACCCAGAGAGGGATGAGCGAGCGGCACATCATGATGATAGGTGTGTACAACACGGCGGTTGTGGATTACTTACAGACTGATCCCGCTTGGACCAGCGATCGGAGGGACGATCGGTACAGGAATCTTCCTCAGTGCAGGATCGGTGCGTTTCTCGGACTGCCTTTTCAAATTCGTAGAATGTTTGACTTGACTATGCGTAGACAGTCGCAATGGCTGGTCCGGCAAGCGCATTGCTGTCATATTTTGTCGTCGGTCTGTTTTGCTACGGCGTAGTAATGATACTGTGAGCTCGGTCATTTTGTATGATCTCAACTATCCCTCATGTCTTTACAGAGGAGAAATGGCCGCATATATCCCTGTTTCTGGCACATTTTCCGTATATGCCACACGATTCGTCTCCCCTTCGATGGGCTTCACGCTTGGATGGAACTACTGGTTACAATGGTAAGTAAATGCGCTTTTATTAGATAGATAGCGTTTGACGCATATATGTAGGGCGTTGACCATACGTAAGTTACATGCCTCTCATGCTCCCGCGGACGACCCGTTACTGACTTCTAACAGCGAGTGAGCTAATAGCAGCAGCCGTCATACTTCAGTACTGGACAGACAAACTTAAAGCATGGGAGTGGGCCTTGATCATCATTGTTCCTATATTCGCCATGCAACTCATTCACGTCCGAGTTTATGGCGAGTCCGAGTACTGGTTCGCAATGATCAAAGTCATCATGGTCGTTGTGTTCATCATTGTTGGACTCATCTACAACTGGGGAGGCGTCATTGGCCACCCCGGACCAGGTCTCGCAAACTTTCACGATGGTCAAGCTTTCATTGGCGGTTTCTCCGCATTTGCCCAGACCTTCGCCTTGGCGTTTTACTCATACGGAGGTGTTGAGCTGGTATCATTAGCCGCAGGTGAGACCAAATCACCTCACAAGGCAATTCCTCGTGCTATCAAGGCAACCTTTTTCCGAGTTGTGCTGTTCTATATCCTCACGATTCTCACTATTGGACTGAACATCAATCATTCCGACCCGTCATTATTAAGCGCTGCCAACAGTACGTTTTTTACGCTTCCTCTTTTCCAAATCTATTTTCTCACCACTTTATTCTATAGACTCAGATGTAACGGCATCCCCCTTGACCACCATATTCATGCGTGCAGGCTTCGGTGCAGCCGTACATGTCGTTAATGCTGTCCTTCTCACTGCCGTGCTCTCTGCTACAAACTCTTGTTTTTACGCTAGCTCTCGTATGCTCTTCTCCCTCGCTCGGTCCGGGCAAGCCCCGGCTATCTTTGGCTGGGTGAACAGACGGGGAGTTCCCGTCCCTGCACTCTTGTATGTCCTTTTTTCTCACCCTCACCACGAGTTTGTCTCATTCCGTCGTTTCTAACTAATTCAAATCGAATCACCTGCTACACCTTTATTGATCCCGATCTCTAGAATATCTCTAGGCATATCGTTCCTCACCTTCTTAACTACCATCTGGGGAGAAGGCGAGGTGTTCACATGGTTTCTGAACCTCGTGGGCATTTCCGCCCTGCTCGTGTGGGGTTCTATTGGTATCATTTCCCTCCAATTCCGCCGAGCCTGGACTGCTCAGGGTCGGCATTTGAGTGACTTGCCGTACACACAACCATTATACCCGTTACTGCCGTGCTTCGTGGTTATCCTATCGGTATTGATGTTCGCTGCCGATGGGTATGCGAGTGTCATTACGCAACCATTCAGTGTTAAGGTGTGTCTTTCTTTGGACGCTTTCACACCATAAGCTCATTTTGAATCCGACTACGTGCTTAGAACATCATTGCGACGTACCTAGGAGTCATTTTCTACGCCGTTCTCTACATTGGATATGCTATCTACGAGTACTTCTTCCTCAAACCTCCCCACCACTTTGTCCCTCTCAGAGAAGCAGACCTTGATACCGACGCGGTGTGGAAGAAGGGCGAAGGTGATTTTATTCGACAACAGGAACGCGAACTCAAGGAGAAACTCGAAGCTCTCGAGGGCGAGGCCCATGGCATGAAGCGATGGATGCTTCGATTACGAAGGATTAACGAGCATGTCTACTGAGAGCTTTACTCAGGACGCAAGACACGATGGTCAGATACCAGTGCGATATCGTTGGAAGAAGAGAAGACCCAATATATACCACGACTGACGGACTGACCCACGACATATGATTAGATGCACATAATACCCCACCCGAAACACACATTCGTTTACCCCCTTGTACACGCGCAACCCCATACCCTCTCCACTCGCAGGCTGTGATATTTAATATGTATCAGGATATCCATATTCGACTTTGACATGCTGTATCCCTAAAATTGCTGGTATTTTTATAGATATATTGCTTATGATTTGCTCTTCACTCACTGATGGTATCTGCCACCCTTATGAATGTCTGTCTCAGTTCTACCGTGGACCGATGGACTATGTTCCTCTCTAGGAGACCAAGGCTTATACCACCCTTGCAAGAAAAGCCATTCGGGTTGAACGTAACATACAGGGTATATTCCAAATAGTCCCAGAGGTAAGATTACTCGCGCACTCCTAGAACTCGAGGTTCATCTAGATTGTTCAGCAAGTGACTCTAGGGTTCCCATAAGGCTGAGGAAAGAAGAAGGAGCTGCCGAAACACCTTTCCCCGTGCTGCCTACGAAAGGTTTCAACTGAGCTTTCTCCTTGGCGATTCGATAGTCTTCAAGATACTTCACGACCTTGCCCTCTGTTATCCCTACCAAATCTACAAGTCTGCGGACAATCCGCTTCATATCCTGGCTGTCTTCCGCTAAACCTGTCTCTGCAAGGCAGGCTTGGTATACACCGAGAAAGGTTTGTCCTCTGCCGTTAGCTGTGAGGAGCTCAGGATGGATGAAATATCGGTATGGTTTGGAGACGAACATGAACCGGGGGTGAGTGAGTGTGGGTTTCAGGGAGGAAATCTCGTTATTCGGAGGGATGGGTATGCTCGAGTGAGATAGATCAAGGCCTATGCGAGGAGAGTTGAACAGACGAGGATGCTTCGATTTAGACTTCGCTGCGTTATGGATGGATCTAAGGAACATCGTCGTTGTGCGAGAAGCTGCGTCATGAGAAGGTGGTAGGAAAGCGGAAGTGTTCCCGTTCCACTTCGTAGTGACGAGCTCGGAAATGTTAACCGCTTTGCTCACGCGCAAAATCTCGTCCACCAGGAGGGAAGGCCCAGAAATTACTTTACCGTCGGAAAGACGTCTTAAAGAGCGTAGAAGTGCCCCTCCGCAAGGCTCGTTTGCAGGATCATATTTCTCGTCAGCTTCTGACGTGAAGAAATGTGAGGCGACCTTGGGTACTGGCTTTCCTAGCGTGAGATCGAGTCCTTTACGCGTCCCGCCTCTGTAACCACCTGCGGCCGTAGGAGCGCGATTCGACGTTTGAATTGTAGTTATACGTCGTGGAGCCCGGTGAAAGTACCTATGAGAAGCTACAGATTAGCGAAGTAACAGGCACCATGGTCGGCACAAGTAGTTACCAATGTCCGCTTTGTTTCTGCTCGTCACTTCCATGTGTAAACGGGTCTTCATGACATCCCGGCTTTATGAGGTAGAACTCCAGCTCGAGAACCTCATATTCCATTTCTTTTCCGTCATGAGTAATGACCAGCCTGTGGTCTTGTATGACGCTTTTAGCTATTTCTCTAAAACGAGAGGATATTTCGTCTTGAGTTTGAAGGCTAGTGAAGTCCAGAAGAGTGAGAAGGTTCGTAGGCAGGGGTAACACTTGGGTATTGGAGGTATCGCTCGAACTACGCGTAACACTGATACGAGGAGTCTTGGACTTGGACGTTTGTTTGGAATCGATCTCCACTGAACGCTTTCGCTTTACCGCGTTAGCTGTCATGTTAAGGGAAGAGAAAGCTCAAGAGAAGGAGCGATCATGAGAAAACAAGCGTCGCGTGTTCGGAAACGTGATGTGAACTTTCCAAAGCGTTGCCAGGCCTGTCATTATAAATGTCTGCAAAGTGCGGTTCGCTGCCTCGTCTCCATGGTCTAAGGTCAGTAAAGACTATAGTATATCTTAATCATGTTTCAAAGACTCCGTAACCTGTGTAAGCAGATGTTACTCAATTCCCGTAGATCTATTCAACTGACTAGGATTGGCCATCACCGTAATAACAGTAGGTACAATTACACCTAGACGACAGGTTAACAGTGCCAGCCAAAGAAGTGCTTCTCAGGATAACAACACCCGAAGCAGCACGCCGGATAGCCTTCAGGCAGCCCTTGCATCGTGGACCTTAATCCTAGACGAGCACATTTTCCTTGACAGAATCATCACCAACGACTTGGTCTATGACCTGATCTTCCATGCCTGCACAGCGAGAACTCTTGTTCGTCTTCTCAGGACATGCCGGGCAGTCAACGTAGCCGTGAAAGAGTACATCTCGAGAGCCTTCAACGTTCATCGTCTCCTCTCGCGGTATTTCTCTGACCCCATGGCGTTCCGGTACATTCAAGCGTGCACTGGGACGTTGATATCGGGCTCCGCCGCGTTACAGTTCTTTGATAGGTCTCTATATCCGGACTCAGATCTGGACCTCTATGTACCTATGCCATGGAGAAAGAAAGTAGGACATTTTCTCCTCGCTCAAGGGTACAAATTTGAACCCTATCCATTTCAACACCCGACGTTCGACGTCGCAATATCAGATCGGCGAGTAGTGACTGCCCGAGGGCTATACGGTAACCTCAAAGGGATTGCGGGCGTATTCACGTTCGAGAAGAAGTCCGCTCGGGGTGAGGAGTTGAAAGTACAGATCATAGTTGCTGTACGATCTACCATGGAGGTTATCCTTCGCTTCCACTCAAGTAAGCAATTGTGCTTATTTCGTCGAGGGTTGTCCTCCTTAACCGCATGATGCACAGCATGTGTCATGAATGTCATTTCGTTTGACAGAGCGTACTGTCTATACCCTCTCGCTACCCTCGAACAACGTCGCTCGTTAGTCTGCACAAGCAGAAATGACGAGGTCGCCCAAAGAGTATTTGAAAAATACAGTGAGCGGGGATGGAAGATAGTCAAGTCCTTCTACGTCCCCCCTGCCTATTACTGTATCGAAGATCCAGCATTCAGCTTGGGTCCGAGGTGGATCGATGACGGCTACACCTGGTCAATTCCCCTCAAACACTCCTTCGATCAGTGTATCACTCCTGTCAATCCACCTTCTACTCCTCTCACTCGTGACCCGGTATCCGCTTCGAGCTGGGATATCAAACGTGCTAGCGACGGTATGGGTGCAGATATGGTGTTTTCACCCGTACATGTCCCGCAACTTTTCTATCACTACATTCTCAATGATACTGCTTGCTTGGATACTCCTTCAATTTCGGCTTTGTTGAAAGCTGCTGCACTGGCTAACTCTTGTCCGCCATCCTACGTGTGGATAGAGGAACGTCGATTGTGAGTCGTTCGCTTTTCAAGCAAGTGCAATGCGACTGATGTCGCCGAGTTAGTGTGGACGATCGATTCATACAGCTTTGCCACGACTACCACCGTATAACGTATTGAACTGTCTTACACATACTCTGCATAACACAGAAATTTAGCCAAGCAATACGCGGGTCACGGTTCTGCGCGACGCGTTGTTTGCGCATGTTTGTATCCCCGTGCATATATGTCGGTTTCGCTTGAAACATTGCTTTTGACCACGAATTTGACTTTTGACGTATTGTTCGTCCCAGTCTTTGTTCCAGTCTTTGTTTTCGCTCTCCTTATATCTTCCGGTCTCTGGTGGAAAGACCGCGCTCGCCTTCTCTCGTGCCGAGTACTACGTGTAACAATCTTGACCAGTATGTACTATATCCGAAGTGTGGTTTTGCTTTTAGCGTTCATCAATGGTATCTTCCGCAGTGTCTCAATTCAGCCACCCAGCTCCAGTGTCTACGAAAATCGATGTCGTTATCCTTGACCCTCTCATCGCAGACTCATCGCTCTTCCTTAATAGAATCATCACGAATGACCTTCTCTATACCAACGTCTTCGCCTACTGCACACCAGCGTCCCTCTTCCGCCTTGCTCGTGTTTGCAAAGCGGTACATGACGCAGTAAAGGACTACATACAACGCGCGTTCAATCTCAACAAGCTTCTCTCAAGATTCTTCATAGATCCGATTGCCTTCAGAAGAATGCAACAAAGCACGAGTACGCTCATATCAGGCTCAACAGCTCTTCAGTTCTTCGATCGGTCGTTCTACCCCGATTCAGACCTCGACCTCTACGTCCCTATGAAGTTCAGGTTGTATGTTGGGCAATGGCTCATGGGCGTTGGGTACACGTTTGTGCCGAACAGCAGCCAATCAGCCAAGTTCGAGTTAGCTGTCATAGACCCTACCGTCATTATCACCCAGGGCTTAGGCACGTACTCTGGGATGGTTGGCGTTGCCGCAGTCTTCACTTTTGTCAAGCCATCGCAAACCGAGGCGGGTAAGGAGCTTAAGGTTCAGGTCATCGTCTCCGTTCGTGCGCCTATGGAGATCATTCTATACTACCACTCAAGTACGTCAAGCTTTGTCCTGTCGAATTAATGGACTGACTTAGGACATGGCATAACAGCGGTCGTCATGAATGTGATCACATATGAGAAAGCGTACTCTCTCTACCCTATACCAACTTTCGAAGAACGCCGCTCCTTGATTTGCCGCAGCTGGGGCATAAAGCAAGAGGAAGGTATCGAGAAGTACGAAGATCGCGGCTGGGAAATGCTTAGCCGTCTTCCGTCCGGAGAATCTCTCGAGAAGTCATCCTTCCTCATAGGCTCTCGATGGATTGGCGACGAAGATGTCTGGGAAATCGATCTCGACATGGAAGGCATTCCTTCAACTGTCCGGGCGCGCAGTGATTCCTCTAAACCTCTCACCCACGATCCGGCTAGCGTCACGAGCTGGAAACTGCACTGTGGACATTTTGAAGGTGCCGTCATGGTGACCAATACCCTAAAATCTGAATACCTCTTCCATCAATATATCAGCCAAGATGGTGGATTCTTAAGTTCCTTGGAGTATCATGCGGATAAGCATAAGAAAGGGGAGTCTGTGGAAGGTCCACAGAGATAGTAAGTGAACCAGCCATTTCACAGTCTGCCGGTATGTATTGACATTCTGTTCATTTCAGTTATGACGAGGAGTTCATACAGATGCTCCAGAAGTCCTTCTCGACTGTCAAGGACTTCATTTAGCTGACAGGTATTTATACCTGAGTTTTTATGGTCACAACTATTATTTGTGTATTCTCATCCTTTCTCTTTTTTCTACAGATGCACTATTTGCTTTCATGTGATCTTACCCTCATTGTATGTCATGAAATATCTAGAATGGTAGACTTTTAAGATGATATGATATTCTAGAATTAATCATCATCCTGAAGGAGCCTAGCACCAGAGTGAGAAGGTAGCATATAGTCCTTAGCCACTGTTTCCACTATAGCTTGAAGCCCACTCTGAAATTGGAAATGCAAGAGACACAGTGATATATACTCTTCATCATAGCTTGAAGCATTGGTGTTAGAGAGAGCGTATCAGAGATGAAAGAAATGAGACTTACTACCTCTGCACCCCTTTCAGCCTTCTTGCTCTGACTTCATGGGAGGGAAAGAGTGAGGTTACAGAATACAAGAGGGAAACCATTTGCTCAGATGCATACACATATTTGAGCTCCAAATGGGTCTCAGATAATGAGTCAAAATGCATAGACCCTCCCAGGATGGGATTATAGATCAATTTCCAGTTACTTGCAGCCACAGGATCATGAGTCAACATAGAAGAGACCTTTCCAATCCCAGGCTGTACAAGTTCAGTTATTGAATCCTTATCGAGAGGGATGGTCCAACAGTATTTATCACCCATGTATCGGCAACTTGCCCTTTTGAAGTGGAATAAGTCCTTGAGTTCTGCGACGCTGGTCTGTTTGACCATCGTCCAACCTCTCTCCTTGTATTTCTCCATAGCAGGTTCTTGTTTAGGACCATCCGTAGCGCAAACGAGAGAGGATCGCGCCTCAAATGTCGCCTTTGGATAGAGACTATAAGCATTCTCAAATGAAATCACATTCATGACGCAGGCTATGAAGACTGTTTCAGGAACGTAAGTTAGGACAGCACATGAACCCGTGGCTCACTGGAGTGGAAGTTGAGGATAATCTCCATAGGACTCTTCGCAGCAACGATCAGCTGCACCTTCAGATTAACAGCAGAACCACTGGCAGCAGGTTTCTCAAACGTCAACACTGCTGCAACGCCTCGAAAGGCATAAGCGCCAGCGTCATCGGTCACCCTCCTCTGCTCGACCGCCTTGTAAAAAGTGGCCTCCTGTCTCTGTCCAGGAATGAACGAGTACCCGCATCTCAACAAGAATTCGCCAGCTTCGACGCGATACTTCTTAGGAACGTAGATATCCAGATCGGACTCCTTATAAAATGATCGATCGAAAAACTGGAGAGCAGCTGAGCCGGATATGAGAGTCCCCGTGCGAGCTTGGAGTTGACGAAATGCGAGCGGTGGGTTAAAGAAGCGGGAAAGGATACGATCGATGTTGAATGCTCTGCACATGTATGACTTCACGGCAGCATGCGCAGCGTGACAGCACTGTGACAAACGAAGAAAAGTCGTTGGGCTACAGTGGGAGAAAATAAGATCGTCGTTTGTAATGATGTCCTCTAAGAATCTTCTGTTTTCTTGTTTGATCGGAAGTGAGAATTCCAGTCCCATTTTGAAATCGACAAGTAATGACATGAATTCCCTGCATGAGAAGTAACATGGTTATCAACGATGCTGAATCAAGTGATAGGTGGAACCAAAGGTTTCAACAAACCTGAAGGGTGTATCCTGGCGAGGAGCGGCGCACAGACCACAATCCAGTGTCGAGTTGAGGGTTGAAACTGACAGGAACACGCACGACACGTCGCGACTTGCGACACGCGTTATTTGCACATGTTTCCGTGTAAGCGCCTATCCAGTGCCTCAGCTTCACTCCTGCTTCTGATGGCGTGCATGAGTGCAAAGCTACAAAAGCTACAAATCTCTATTACATGTATGTCAGTATGGACTGAATGGACAGATCGCTACACGAAAATAAAAAGGGTCAGAGCTGATGGGACAACACTGCGCGATACAGAAAAATCAAAAAAGGACAAAGACGTGAGTGACCTGATTACGGACGAGGAACGAAAACGAAGTGTACGAGTATGTGTGGTTAGTTATGACCGATTCCACGGAAAAGAGGTACAAACGAGAAGATGGATGGGAGGGTAGGACGTCCATAGAGGCGTATATGCATGCGAGATATGGAGGTAGCGATCCGATGTGAATGAATCGATGGGAAAAATGAGAGGGGTTATAACTCGCTACTCCCAAGAAATCTCGCGAGATAATCCACGACTTCCGCGGGGTGACTGAGGGTGATATCATGCTTCCCGCCTTCGATGGTGATGAGCTCTGCTGTTGGAATAAGGGTTTGCACACGAGCGGCATAGCGGTAAGGCACGACACAGTCTTTCGTTCCCTACATAGAAGGTTCAGTACAATTCCACAACAAGAAAAGTCTTTAAAAATTTGCGGAAATATAGATGAGACGTACCCATATCAAAAGGACTTTTCCGCCGCGTTTCCTCGTCTTGCGACCGACAGAAGCAAACGTCGGTGCTAGATTACGGATCGGCCCATCGCGAATAGAAGAAGCGATTGCAGGATTGTAGCCTGGCAAATGCGCTGATTGGATACGAACGAGTTCCGAGATCGGATCGTCTATAGATGACGAGTTATTGGCAAGATGTCGCAAATAGAGCTAAAAATGAGGTCAACAAATTTAACACCGCATGGTATGAGAGCCTACTTACTCGGAACGGCGAGCTAGAGGTTATCACTTGCATGATGGGGGATGAGAGGAACTTGGACGTTCTCGACATATCTGCAGGCTATGGAGAAGATGTCAATATTGTTACAGAACAAGTGCTACGTACGTCCCAACTTACCTCGACGATCCCGGCAGATGCAAGTAAGGCCAGTCTGTCACCGACTAGATGTGGGAATTGGTCTACGAAAGCGGCGGCGATTCCTCCGCCCTATTCGCAGACGTGAATAGAGCGCATATACACTGTAAAAATAGCAGCACGTACCATAGATACACCCACGACGTTCGTCTTGTCCCATCCGATGTATTGCAGTAGAAGGGCGAGTTGTGTAACGTAAAGCGCAGTATCGTACGTTGTTTGCGGCGCATCTGAATAGCCACGGCCATAAAGGTCTGCATATAATCAGTCAAGTTGCGCAAAGCGAGATGAACAACAGAGGCCCACCGTATAGGAGAACACGGAAGCCCCGTGCAGCAAGCTGGGGGGCTATATCTTTCCAGATGATCGCGGGCACCGAGAGTCCATGTATGAGCACTACCTGCAGATCGTCTCAATATAACATTTCCGAATACGACTGCTGGATGCTCACCCTCTTTCCATCCTCAGGGCCAAGTAGCCAGTATCGTACCTGCATATCATGAGATATGCATCAAATGAACGTAGGAAAAGGATAACTTACGCGGCCGTATGGAAATGTGACGTATGCGCCACCTTCGAAGAAGTCCTCTGCATAGATATGCCAGCTCCGTGAATCCTTGGAGAGACTCGAGAGAGAAGGGTGGATAACAAGCGAGTCAGGCATGTGTGGAAACGAAGTGAGAAAGTACACAATGAGCGTGATCGCAGGTAGCACAAGGAGCGATAGAGTAATACATTGAAAGCTCATGCTGGAGGAGTGCGCCATGATTATACACAGTGATTACGAAGGAGAAACGAGAGCGACTGACATCTCCAATGTTGGATGAGTCGATATCGGGAAGGGCGTGGGCACTGTGTCGCCCGATGTCGAAATGTGAAACTTCAACGAGGACTGCTGCAACTTGTGAGGGAGGTCTGCACGGCCCGACCAAAACGGGATCCCAGTAAATAAACGTCACGTGGTGTGTCACGTGTATAGTCGCGCGTTCGTGACGAGTTGGATGTTGACGCGTGTTTGCGATCGAAAGGTCTCCCTCGACCAGCAAGCAGGCCGCAGGTTCCGTTCCTGCGCCCACCATCCCTCTAAAAGGGCGCGATATGCAAAGTAACCAGGATGGAACCGCCCTTGTGTTTTCAGACATCATGCATACACCCTCACCCTCCCCAAGGCCTTCACCGCCATTGGTGCAAAGCTCTCAACAAATTGAGCCTACGAGTATTTTGGCAGGACCGTCCAATCATGTCATGCCACCACCCTCCCATTGGACTGGATCAACGGAGCCAGAGCCCCTAAACCAGGCCGATATAGACAGCATGCGAACCAGACTGCAGGAGTTGAGTTTAATGAACTCCGGTGACTCAGACAAAGTCTCTCCTCGAGAGAATGAGCTCATACAGATGGTATGTGTACACCATATCTTCAATTTTGAGTTGCTTGTCACAATATTGTAGGTTCTTCGATTAACTTCTCACCCACCAACGTTTCCCGACCCCATGCAATTAGCTGTTCAAGCCGATATAATTGCTGGCTTAACGCAGCAAAGAAATTTTCTGCTCGAAGAGAAAGCCGAGGAACAACAACGTTGGGAAGCCGAGCGTGAGGGTTGGGAACGTATGGCTGAAGCGCTGATAGGTAAGCGCAAAGCTGCAGCCGATGCTTCAAGCTTGGATGACGTGAGTGTCCTTTTGACCCTTTGGTTTGGGTTGCTTGACAGAATTGTTACCATGAAGTTCTACTCCGCTTAAGGACGTCTGTGTCGCATGTCGTGCTGAAGGCGCTGGAACGGCACATTTCAGTATTTGAACTCTGGATGTCCATTGATCGATATCGGTCACTTGTTCCATACTTCTGACATTGTCATTGAATATTTGTGCACAGGATACCCAACGCCACATTTCGCGACTGGCGGATGATAACAAAGCGCTTAGACAAAAGGTAAGATCCCAGATCGCATTTTACTAAGAAAACCATTTGACGTCCTTCTGACACTTGTTAGCTGAGTGAGACGCAGCAGCGTCTGACATCACTGGAATCAGATTTGAACCGTCTTCGCCCTTTGCTCCTCCTGCAAACCTTTGCCGCACGACCTGATGCAGCGAGTTCATCGGTTCCGCCAAAGCAAACAACCACCAGAAGAAAACGAAAAGGACAAGAGTCGTCATCGCAGGTCGATGATGGTGATATCGCCATGATTTCCAGCCAAGCTACCGAAATCCTGACTGATGTGAACGCCTCGCAATTCGCATCTTCTTCTCGGTCTCAAACGCATTACCGTTCCACCAGAGACTTAGAACCTGAAGTATCCCAGACTCCCGGACGGAAGTCCAAGAAAATCAAGAGCGAGCCTGTCACTACTGGACTGGGCCAGATGCCGGCAACACCTCTGTTGTCAGACGCCCGTTCCGAGATGTTGCTCTCTGCTGCACGTAAGATTGGAAGACTAAGAGCTGGAGTCGTAGCGGGACTCACGAAGCAACCCGAACCTGAACCTGAGAGGATTAAGGACACTGACGGTCGTAAACGTCGACCAAGAGGAGGGAAGGACAAGCAAAAAGCAGCCTCAGCTGCCCCACCTACTCCTGGTCCCTCAACCTCTCGACGAGCTAACTCAAACGCAGCATCTACACCACGCACGCCTCGCCGCACAGCTACTGCTCCCAACCTTCGACAACAATCACACCTTCCATCACATCTTCATCCCTCGATCTCACATCCAACAGGGATCGTTTATATCAACCCAGCTGTCCCACCTGTAACTGTCCCGATGCATGCAGGCGCACCAGGCGTACCCGTCTTAGTCCCTCTACAAGCAGCACCACCTGGTTCATGGCCTGTTCATCCTGGCACACCTAGTGGTAGGCAGCAGGCTCAGAATGCAAACTTTCAGACGCCTCCGAGCACGCGTACACAAAAATCACGCAACGGAGGGAAGGGCGGTGAAGACGACACGTCTTCTCAAGGCCCTGGGACACCGTTTAACTCATTATTGACTGCGGCTAGGACGTTGATGGTGGACGAGGCCTTTGACGATTTCGATGATGATGCTCGAACAGAAATTGCGGATGGCGCCGCTACTCCTCGGGGGGAAGGTTCTTTGGGTTCTTTTACTCCTAGACGAAGACGACGAGGAGAGCCCGCGGACACCATGGAAAGTCCGATCCAGAACAAACGAAGAAAGCTAGCAGCCGCAAGCTCGTTACCCTCCACTTCGTTGACTTCTACTCCCGAGAAGGGTAGAATTCCTGCAATGAGGGTGAGAAGTGCACTGGACGTCCTCGCGGATCAGGCTGCGCAGGAGCAGGAGAGGAGACCTTCCGTTGATCCCTTGAGTCGGCGGCCTAGTGCCGAACCAGAACGAGGACCTGCAGCTCCCAATGGCAGGTCTGCAAAGGGCAAGGGCAAGGCAACTGATCTGTCGAATTCCTTTCCACTAACTACATCCATGGGTGATATCACCGCACCACGACGTCTGCCTTCTGCACCGCCAATAGCAACGTCTCCATCGGAAAGTACTTACATGCAAAGCTTAAGCGATATAATCAATGGGCACAACACCAACATAGCTGGATCGATACCCATCCGACCTTCAACACCACCGAATAGATCCACGCGAGCCGCCAGCGAAGAACCGAGCCCAAGTCGAAGGTCACGGTCTCAGAAGAAATCGCAGCCACAGGCAAAGCGTACGGAAAGGGCAAACTTGGGCACCCCTCGGAAGATCACTGTCATCTCAGTCCAACCATCGAGCACCGACAGCAATCCTGATAGTCAAAGCTCAGGGAACGCATAGTTGGATATATCATAATTTGGCAACATTGCATTCTGAGGGATAATGGTACGTTGTAATGACTCAAACCCACAAAGCTTCCTCATCCGTGGACACAGTTCAGGGTCAGATTGATATTCATCTAGCAGCCATCGTTGAGGATGATTTGGTTGATATCTATTCATATATTGTACAGTGTACATTGTCCTTTCACGTCGTTCTTTGCAAACGGTGCTCTCATTCAATTACCCCAACCATCATCTTCGGTCCCCTGTTCATTTGAATTCGTATGTCAGGTCGGGAGACCATTCGAATACCCGAAGCGAGAGAATTTCGCGTTTCTTTAAGGCTGGCAATCTTGCGAACGTATTCGACAGAAGACGTTCTCTGTCCGGCAGACTGGCACTTTTCCTGTAAGAGACCGCGATCTGGACGCTTCTCAGATATTGAAAGGTTGGTCCTTCCAGGATTTCGTCAAGCCGAACCCAGTTGAGACATTGACCCAAGGTGTAATAGATGGTCCCTTCGTTACGGCTTTGTCTCAAGTAAATCTTGATCTTGAGTTTCGTGAGACGAGCTTTCCGTGAGACTTGGGAGAGAACCGTATTGATCCAATCGGTGTTTGCTTCGGAGGATGTGTGGAGTGAAATGGTCCGCAGCCTCGTATTGTGTCGGATACCTACATCATCTATGCACGAAATCCCATGGAGATTTTTAGGCGAAGCAGCTAACGAGGGAATGGGTAGGAACTCACCCATAGTGGACAATCTATCTGTCGCGAATTCCGCCAAGAAATTTTTACCAAGCGTGAGGTGCTGAAGTGCTTCTCCAGTCACAGAGAGTAAGAAGGGCAGCGCGTGGACACTCCTGACTGGTGTAATAGAGAACTTTAACTTGAAATCACTGTGATAGTCGGAGGGAGACAGTAACTCGAGTGCCTCTGCCCATTCAGATGCACAACAGCGTTCATAAGCGGTAGTAAAAGAAAGACACGTGAGTCTTCGCATAACCTTCTCAAGAGTCTCGTCCTCGCTCAGTAGTGATTTGTAGTTGAAAACGTTTGAAAGGTCCGTCGAAGGCCAAGTCACATCGGAAAGTTGCAAATACGATAGGCTCGGAAACAAGATGAGGAACGATAGGAAACTGGTTTTCGCTTTCTTGAAGTCCGCTTTGTACAGCTCGAGACGAGTGAGGTACTGGAGACGTGGCACGTAGAATCTTAGAGTATGTGTGATGAATCGTGGGTTGAAGGGAGCCAAAGTGAGGTGTTCGAGATTCGTCAAGCGTAGAAGAATATCCCACGTATCGTGGTATTCGTCCAAGGCTACCATAAATTCGTCTTCATCGTCTTCTGAGTTCATATCCTCAGTAAGGTAATCTTCAATCGTCAGGTGTTTGACATAGCGAGCCACTTCTGGAGATGAGTAACGATTGGGGTCGATCGGTCTAGCAGAGCCATGAAAGATTCTTGTCTCCTGGTGCAGATGTTGTTGGCTAATTTTGACCCAACCTTTGCAGGTTAGGCAACATGCTTTGAGGGCTTGACGGTCGCCACAGACAGCTACCCAGTCAATGACGCAGAGCCACAATTCCGGGGGTAGTATAGGATTAGAGTCATCGCATGAATCCTTAGACGTTGATGAAAGTAAATTCCTGACACCATGAAGCCGTAGAATTAGTGATGTGACAGGCAGATAATAAGTGGCATACATATCGGCGGTACCTGGCTCTCGTGAATCGGATTCTAGAAGACGTCTCAGCATAGGCATGATCAAGGGGTTATACAGGCAATGAGCAGTCAAAGAAGGCGAGGGTGAATAACACTAGACGATGATTAAGGGCCCATAGCAAGAAAACCTCAGCAGGATTGGTCTACTTATATCCAAGAGTCTACAATGAACTTTGAGATATGAGAGCTGTGCAAACTCGTTTCACTGAGGTGGATCTGCCTCATGTTCATGAACAATAGTGGACAATAATGAGGCAATTGTGTGAGGACGATTCAAGTATCCGGTGGTGGTTATATAGTTTGCTCGCAAATTGACAATCGCGGTTCAAGTTGTATTCAGCTTCCGAATTTGGCAAGGCCTTTACGGGGCGTCTCCAGCTCTCCTTTCGATCGTACTACTTCAACCGCTTTCACTGCCACTGCAATCGTATGGAATTCAAGCCAGCCGTATTTATAATGCATATAGGGAAACAATATCTTTATGATTTCTTATGGCCTCTCGCGGATTGTTGTCAGCCTGGCTACCCGGAATATTTAGCAACATGACACACGGCGTTCTGCTGCATTGACTCGAAGGATGAAATCATTGACTCCTCATCTAGATTAGCTACAATGAGTCCGCCGGCCTTCTACTAGACAGCTCGTGTTTTGAATCCTCGTTCAATGGTCTTGGTGTTGGGTCGTGGTCCTTAATACTAGCTCTTCTTACGTCGCACTCTGATTCGCTTGTCAATGCAAGTCAAAGGGTGCTTAATCCTCTTTCGCAATGAATGAATGCTGATGCATTTCATCTCCGTGGTTTTAACAGTGAACACGCCGCACCTCCTCTAAGCCAGTGCTTCCTCTCGAACAACCATTTGACATGTCATGAAAGCCTCTGCGTGTCCTAGTTACACGAGCATTGCATGATGCTCTTTCAAAACAACATCTTTCTTCGGAGACGAGAGACATTCCTCAGACGGGTCACTCTGGGCATATCTGAACCGGCAAAATGTATAGCCTTGTTGAGCTACGTTCATCTATGTTATCCGGCGGCTCGCTCGCCGAAGACTGTTATACAAGTGGGTGTGGCATCCTACTTTACGCGACCAAAACATCCGGCAACACCTGCAATTAACACCAAAATCATGCCAGCTGAACACACCTAGTACTGGACCATTTCTTCCTTGAGACAAGGATAAATCCCAAGTTACTAGTAAGTATTCCGGTGTTATTCCAGTGTAAAGTTTTCCACTCTTATATTTAAGGAAGTGCCTTGGCTGCTATAAGTAAGCAATACTATACAGAACACTCTCCACCGGAACCTTTCATGTTATACACGCCCTTCCAACATTGACCACTGTTGAGTGATTCAGTTCCAACTCCCCTTTTCCTTTCCCGAAACGGCACACCGCTGGGCGCTTTGTGTTCTAAGGATAGCACGGATATCCGGACCGCAACCCCGTTGAAGTCGCTGCTGGTGAGCTTCCGATAAAACCGAAAATCCTAGCCAATGATGATGAGGTCGAAGAGGTTTATCTTTACACTTCTTTTACTCATGTACGTACCGTGTTATTGTCGTGAAGAACGGCGGTTACCCATGTTGCAGGGTCAGTTCTCGACGCTCATGTTGACTGAGGCGGTATAAATTGCATCTGAGCAGGTTTCGTCTAGACAAACCTACCTGTCATTCCTTACCCCGTTGACGACTTTACGACTCGATGGCCTCGGCAGGGTTCCTGATCTACTCAGGTGTAATGCCTCTTATCAAGACGTATGTCTGCCAAGTCATTGATCGTTCGTTGATTTGATTCCACTCAATCTATGCAGGTTTCTGGCGATCTTCATCGGTTATATCTTGGCACGCAAGGACTTGTTCCCTCCCGCAGCTTCCAAAGGGGCGTCACAGCTCTCGATGAACGTGTCCCTCCCGCTACTCATATTCGCCAATATTGTACCGGCATTTACACCTCAGAACATCTCTGCCCTTGGTCCGCTATTTCTGGTCGCTTTTGTGTACCAGATCATCGGATTTTTGTTTGGTGTGTTTATTCGAGAAATCTTTTATGTCCCTCGGAATTTCTGGCAGGGAATTCTTGTGTTGTCTGGGATGAGTAACTGGGGTAACCTCCGTGAGTTGATCATTTCGTGCTTTCATCGCATTCAGATCGAGCTCAAATTTTATCCTGGACAGCTAATGCTGTCGTTCTCGCGGTGACGCAGCAAGCGCCATTCAACCCAAACACTGATCCGGCATGTATGTATGATTCCTTACGCTATCTTATTTGTGGGGCCTTTCCTGACGCGAAATTCGCTTTAACAGTGGGCGTTTCATTTGTAGCTATATTCATCGTCTCGTATCACTTGGTATTTTGGGTATGTGGCGCTGCGCATTCACTTTCCTGGGATTATCTTCCTGGTATTCCTCAAGGTGAGGATGCGGAGCTTCATGTTCCTTGGAAGCAAAAACCTCTCGGATCTCTATTTTACCGCTATATCCTCAAAGAACCGGTATCTTCTCCACGGTCTCCAATTAGAGACGACATGAAAGAGGAAGTTCTTGTTGACGAGAAAGGGAAGGCGCAAGATCTGGAAATTACAATGTCGGGCTCAACACCACACCTTGATCGCCTCGAAAACGATCCCGATTATCAACTCGCTCGTCGCACATCCCGTATGTCCGCTATATCCAGACATACATCCACGGGTCCACTACCATCCTCCTCCCTTCCTCGCCCCGGTTTATCTCTACCACCCCCAACTCGCCCAGCTACACCTCCTCTGCCTGTTGAACCCGAACCCTGTCATAGACCCTCATTTATCCCTTCAACGATCCACCGTATATTCCATCCTCTTACCGCGGTCGTTACACCTATTACTATCTCCCTTGTGATATCACTTCCTATTGCCCTGATTCAACCACTCAAGGCTCTCTTTGTCGATGTATCGAACTTGGGAGGTCCCAATTGGAAGGGTCCGGATGGGCGACCTCCATTGGCATTTGTAATTGACACTGGTAAGCTAACTTTCGATACATCTGCGTCAAAAAAATGGATTTCTTATATTCCTCAAGCCGACTTCGTTGGCACTATCGCCATCCCTCTGGCTTTGATTGTCCTCGGAGCCTCATTTGCCCGTTTGGCCATCCCGCGACCATTTTCCCGTCTTCCCATTCTAGCTATGATCGCAGTCGCTCTAGCGAAGATGCTGGTCCTGCCCGTGATTGGTGTATTCACTGTACAAGCAATGGTCAGAGGTGGACTTATCAATCATGACTCTAAAGTTGAGAAGTTTGTCGCAATGTTCTTGAGCGGCACTCCAGCAGCGGTCAAGTGAGTCTACTTTTCCTTCAGGGTCCTTGACGAGGCGACCGAAAATCTAATTCTTGTGGAGTCAACTCATTGTCGCTAGTCTGTACTCACCGGATGGTGATGTTGACACACTCGCAGTAAGAATATCCTATGCGTATCAATTTCGACCAATAACTGAAAGATTTGTTTTTAGGCGTTTCTTCTTGTGCAATGTAAGTCATCGGAGTTTATCTCGACTTGTAATCTTATGAAATATGTCGACAGATACATTCATGTTTTTCTCGTCATCGTACGTAAGTTGGACTCTGCTACTATCCACAAACTGATGCAATGTTTCAGGGCCTTGACTGCCGTGGCATTGCTGTTATCGTAAGCAATGATAGAATACAGTCCGCCAGACGATGTTATGGAACATGCGGCACCCTAGAGCATTTACGTTCGGCGAATATACCGCCACCTGTCAGACTAGACTGCATGATTTTACAGTTATTTCGCATAGCATGTATCCATAGACAAATAGATTCCTCCACAGAAATCGGATCGAGGTCAGCCACTGATCGACAGCTTGCAAAGGTCTCCCTCCCTCATCCACCCTCTTCAAATTAATCCGATACTTCCTCTGATGTTCAAATACGCGTACTTGAGAAATCATATTTGCGGAGAGTGAAGAGGCTCTGCAATGTTTCTTAGCATACTTAGTCTTGACTTCAAAGCTCAGGCGTCAATTGCCTTAGTATGTACTATTGGCAAACTCCGAAGACCATCTAAAGATTTTCAGTCTCTCTTCGAATTCAAGTCTCTCTTTCAGCCCAATGATTCTACGGATAGGTTAGCTCTACTACCATGGAATCTCGCTTTCTATGCTAGGGCTTTGCTGTGCAATAGGGAAAGCTTTCTTTTCACTAAGTTTCACCTTGATTGACGTTACTTTCGCCGCAGATGTGAGTAACTCAACAAACATGACATCCACGCATTCCTGGGACATAACTGACGACTCGTGGTGACTCCACGTTGAACCAGAATATTGTTCTACTGATTTACATACAGTTCGCTGGATAGCTTTAGGCCACACGTGGCGAGTCTGACCGTGTCACCTCAACTAACATGACTGCGTTGTAAGCACCTCTTCCCGCCGTAATGACTGATGTCCTCTACTTACAAGGAGCGAGAATGAGTTCATAACGAGTTTCTTCTGTCTCCTCTACTATCTCCGGTTGTCATGCAGGTGAAACGCCTACCTCATTCTAGTTGTATGCACTCCGCAGCGGGAAGACTTTCATTGTCGTGAGTGTGCCGTGTCGTCGTTCTGTTCACAATGCTGCGCTTGCTGATTTCATAATTCAAAAAACTTGTGTAGGCAAAGGATGAAGGTGCTCTGCGACATTTTATTGTTCGCACGACCCCTGCCGTACTTGCACAACTTCCCATGTACGTTTTCCCATCAAACTTCTTCCATCAAGAGGAGAAGTTGCATCTCGACTAGTTCAAGCATGGAACCTGTACATCACCGAGTCTCCGGGCCTCCATTCTCGGAGTACCCGTATGGTTCGTGTCGATGACTTTCCATACGGGGATTACGACGAGACCTGTTTCCTATTGTCAACGTTTTCTACTGAATATTCGGTCCATCGATACGTTCAATGAAGAAAACTCTATGGCGGTTTCTACACAATGCATTATTATCCTTTGCGCAGCGACGTGGGCAAAGCTTGGGTATCAAGCACAAGTACTTGCCTTGGCCTTCTCTTGCTAATGTCGGCGGTATCAATTGTCTTCTCTCCTTCGCCCACACTGTGCGCGCCATCGCAGGTCTATCGGATGCACAAAGCGGTTAGGAAGCTTGTGTAATCAGTGCTTGCGTCAAGTCTCCCAAGTCGGGTCAGAGCGGCTCCGCTCGTCCTACCAGATGCCATGGCCGTGTGGAAGATCGTAGCGTGGGTACTTGCGACCGCCAGTCGCAAATAGAGCTTGGCCTTAGCTATGAATATGTTCATGATAAGAATAGTGCTTCTTTTACACACCTCCTCGGCTTCGTCAAATGCAACGCCTTCCTATTGGTATGATCGAGGACTTGGCTAAAACTCCAGGTTTCCTTTCCTCGATTTCCTTTCCTGAGCTGCGCACGCCAAGCTTGAATGCAGGATGATTTCGTATGCTTCAAAGGATCTCAATACCCGGTCGCATTCGATCACTACCATCCACAGAGTGCCAAGCAAAAACAGTCAAGAAACTCGTGTCCAATAATGGTTCAACATGAAGCTTTTCAGGTTATCTTTACGTGACCCATTCTGTACCGGTGTACCCACCGTGGAGTTGGCTCGAGAGAAGCACACTATCGTGTTATACTTGTCAAGCCTTTTTGACCGAGGACTATAAAGCTAAGACAGGGTCGGTCTTTGGGAACCAATCCAATACCCTCTCGTTCCGTCTCCTCGTTCTCGGGTCAAATAATACGACACGATGGCTTCCGCCGGTTTCCTTATCTACTCGGGCGTGATGCCTCTTCTCAAAACGTATGTTTACCATGGGTTCGGTCGCTTGTTACTTGATGCTGACACTCTCCTTCATGCAGATTGCTGTCGATCATTGTTGGCTACGTGCTAGCACGCATGGAGCTCTTCCCTCGTGCCTCCTCCAAAGGGGCCTCGCAACTCACCATGAACGTTGCTCTTCCGCTCCTGATATTCTCAAACATCGTGCCGGCGTTCACCCCGCAGAATGTCTCTGCCATTGGTCCAATGTTCTTGATTGCTTTCATTTACCAAGGCTTTGGGTTCTTTTTCGGTATCCTCATCAGAGAGATCTTCTATGTACCTCGAAATTTCTGGCAAGGCATCATTATCGTGACCGGCTTGAGTAATTGGGGTAATCTACGTAAGTCAATTGATCCATATCCACATACCAGAGGCTCAATAGAACTGTACAATCTAGCGAACGCTATCGTTTTGTCAGTGACGGCACAAGCACCATTTGACCCTAGCACTGACCCAGCACGTACGTGAATTCGATGCATTAATTTTATTATCAGGCGGCTCACCTTCTTCCACTAGTGGGTGTATCATTTGTCGCCATTTTCACCGTCGCCTATCACATAACGTTCTTCGTTGGTGGCGCAGCCCACTCGCTATCCTGGGACTATTTACCTGGTATCCCCCAAGGCGAAGCGGCGGAGCTTCATGTTCCTTGGAAACAGAAGCCTCTCGGGTCCCTCTTTGCTAGATATATTCTAAAGGAGAACGCCTTTCCTCCACCCTCTCTAAGCAAGAGCCCCATGGAAGTTGAAGCAGCCCTCGATGAGACGAACGAGGGGAAGGGTCTGGAGGACTCTCCTTCGGGGTCGACCATCCATCTCGGCAGCGACGAGGAGGGTCACCAACTCACACGCCAGACGACTCGCGTGTCCATTGTCTCGACTGGCCCATATCCCGTCCTTCCTACACCATCTCAATCGTCAACACCTCAAGCGACGTCCGTACTTAGCGAGAACGACCAACGAAATAAATTTTCATTTATTCCCCCGGTAGTCCGTCGCGTTATCCGTCACCTATCCACAATTGTCACACCTGTCACGGTCTCTCTCGCCATATCCCTCCCTATCGCTCTAATTCAACCGCTCAAGGCTCTGTTTGTCGATATATCAAGCTTGGGAGGTCCGAATCTCAAAGGTCCGGATGGGCGACCTCCTCTGGCTTTCATTACAGACACTGGTGAGTCAAAGCTTGTTGCATCGTTAGGTTCCGGACATTTCGCTGATGATGCCAAAGCCGACTTCATCGGTTCGATGACGGTCCCGTTAGCTTTGATCCTTCTAGGAGCTTCGTTCGCCCGCCTTTCAGTTCCGCGACCATTCTCCCGCCTTCCTATTCTGGCAATGCTCGCGGTCACTTTTGCGAAGATGCTAGTCTTGCCTGTTATCGGGGTGTTTGTTGTCCAAGCGATGATCAAAGGCGGACTCATAAACCATAATTCAAGAGTCGAGAAGTTTGTTGCAATGCTTTTGAGCGGTTCTCCGTCAGCGGTAAAGTGCGCAAATTTTTGCTGGATGTGCCTTACAACAATACTTAAAGTTTGAAACATTAAACAGTCAGCTTATTGTTGCTAGCCTATATTCCCCCGATGGAAATGTTGATACACTGGCGGTAAGCTATCACCATCACAAGGCTGATTCCGTCGCTGACCAAATTCTCCTCAGGCGTTTCTTCTCGTTCAATGTGAGTCATCAGTACATTCTCTATAGTTGCCGCGATACAAATATTAACACTATCCCGTAGATGTCCTCATGTTCATCTCGTCATCGTACGTGACTTCTTCGACGAACTCTGCTACCAGCTGACATGTTTTTGAAGTGCTTTGACCGCCGTTTCCTTACTTTTGTCATGAATAGACGCAGCCGACATTACGATTTTGAGCTTTGTTGCTGTATCAACCTCAAGGACCCCATTGATTGTTCAATCAGCTTCTACACTGTATCCACTCGGTTTAGACATGACATGTATTTTTGGTGCGTGCATCTATAGACAAATAGATTCTTATATGTGAACACTGGAGTTTGAGCGCTGAAACGCTTGTGATATCCTGGAATACAGTCCTCGGGCCGGATACTTTCCATCCTTCCAGTTTATTTCTGTCTTCTTCACTCATAACAATGCTCCATGAATATCATCCAATGGCTGAGAAGAGTGGTCGATGACCAATGTATCAACGATGGCCGAGCTTGCTGTGTTAATTATTCAAGATGATGCACTCCCTACTAACGAGCTAGTTCATTAGTACATACGACCTTTCAGATGCCTTCAGCGGGGTTCTTGATATACTCCGGCGTGATGCCCCTTGTCAAGACGTACGTTGAATTGCATTCCCAACCTCCATTTATCGCATTGATATCGTCCCTTCCCAAAGGTTGTTGTCCATCGTCGTGGGCTTTATTCTAGCGCGCAAAGACTTCTTCCCAGTCTCTGCAACACGAGGGACATCGCACATCGTCATGAACGTTTCGTTACCTATGTTGGTTTTTGCCAATATTGTACCTGCATTCACACCCAGTAACATAGCTTCTATCGGCCCGCTCTTCCTTGTCGCCTTTGTGTACCAGGCCATGGGGTTTTTCTTCGGAATCATCATTCGCGAAGTTTGCTATGTTCCTCGCAATTTTTGGCAAGGCATAGTCGTTTTGACCGGGATGAGCAACTGGGGCAATCTTCGTAAATATGTTTTTGCTGCAAATTTCAGATGTTCTTACTTCTCTCATGCAGCCAATGCCATTGTCCTGAGTGTAACTCAACAGCCGCCGTTCAATCCCGATACAGATTCAGCCTGTAGGTTACTCGTGTTTAATATGTGGATACGTATTCTCATTAAATGCTTGGACAGTGGGCGTGTCCTACGTGGCCGTTTTCATCGTGTCATATCAGCTGGTCTTCTGGGTATTCGGAGCAGCGCACTCACTATCATGGGACTATTTACCAGGAATACCCCAAGGACAAGATGCAGAGGTGCATCTTCGATGGTCAGAGAAACCTGTCGCATCGTTGTTGCGTCGCGTTGCCAGGACATTCCAGCGTCGGAGTTCGTGGTTTTCGCGAAACCGCTGTGAGCAGACTGTTGGTGACGATGATCCTCGTGGAGAAACTGGTACCGTCTTAGATGAACTCAATACTCCCGACTTCGGCGGACTAGAAGCATCTCCTGATGTCTTGTCTACTTCCAGGGACAGTGGTCTTGATCTCAATCGTGATACACCTAGCGAAGTTGTTGGGAGATCCTCTTCTAAGAAAGGTGGCATGTCTCGTTTGCTTCGCACACTACTTTCACTTCTCACACCAGTCACGATATCGCTCTTCGTTTCACTTCCAATCGCTCTGGTGCAGCCTCTGAAGGCATTGTTTGTCGATTCACCTGCGGCAGAAAGCTTTCATTGGAAGGCACCGGATGGTAGGCCCCCTCTTGCTTTTGTCATTGATACAGGTAGGGCCTTCGTTATTGAGGGACGCTGTGGATAGCTCACGACTCATTTGCAGCCCAGTTCATTGGTGACATCGCTGTTCCTCTTTCCTTGATTGTTTTGGGTGCCTCCTTTGCCCGCATCAGCATTCCTCACCCTGTGTCGAGGCTGCCGATTCCAGCAATGGCGCTGGTCACCTTCGCGAAAACTATTTTGCTCCCTATTTTTGGAATACTGATAGTTATGGCAATGGTTAGAGGTGGCCTGATTGATCACAGTGCCAAGGTTGAGAAATTCGTGGCCATGCTCTTGAGCGGCACGCCATCTGGTCCAAAGTACGTTTGCTCAGCTCTCGAACTGTTCAACTACGATTCACATACTGGTCGGCCAGCCAGTTGATTGTAGCGAGCCTGTATGCTCCCGAAGGAAATGTAGATATACCAGCGGTACGAGAGACACTTCATGCCTCACTATTGAAGCTGACTGGCAACGCAGGCATTCTTGCTCGTTCAATGTATGTTGCTCAATATGACACCTCTGCAATGTTCTAAGCCAAGCTAACATGATCTGAAGACACTTTTATGTTCCTGTCATCTTCGTATGTTTGTATTTTGTCTTAGCATCATTATATATTGCTCAAGGGTTACCAGTGCTTTGACAGCAGTTGCCCTACTACTTTCATGAATCTGGGCATTTATGATTCGATATCTTGAATACGTGTTGCCTTGAATGTCAATTACGCTTAACAGCGAGGCCTGCTCTTAGCCTAATTAATCACTACGTGAAGCAACATGCCTTAATTGCTCCGTGTGTTTTGTGATATCCTCGGATCTGTACGTGACAGCCTATCAACGTAGTATGATACAGCTGTAGATACACTTCCTTCTCCGAACACGTTCATTCAAGTTGTCAAGAAACCGAGCTCACTTGCGGAGATCCGCCAAAAATCTAATTATGACCACCGCAGGGGTCGAACCTGCAATCTCCTGATTCGTAGTCAGACGCGATGCCATTTCGCCAGGCGGCCTTATTCAATATCGTAAATAATTTTTCTAAAGATATTTTCAAATTTGAATTTGAATTGGAATGAAACGTCGCTGCAAGAGTTTCAGTCCATGCTTGCAATGTAAGTATCCCAGATCATTGTTTTGAAAAACCCAAGGGTGCGCCAATGCGAACGTTTGAGCCTGACTAACAAACATTACCCTAGCACTGCATTCCCTGAGTCAGACTTGTGTTCAAGGCTAGCAGTCATTCGACGGAACCCTGCATGAGAGTCTGACCAAGACAAGCACAGGAAAATGCTACTTGGCCCTGATGGAATCACCTCCTTTCGAAGGATCGGCCAAGTGCCATGCCTCGTGATACCAGTCCTGTTGGGGATGCTGATAATAAAAGGGCCGACGTGGATCTGTTCAAATGTGACTAGTCAGACAGGTACGGTACAATCTAGATTCGATTCATACGCTTAGGTTCAGATCGGGGCTGCACAATACAATGATTGAATCTCACGATCGCAGCTTCACAACATATGAAGCCGTTTAAAGTAGTTGCGGGAGATGATTGCTCCGCTGTGTGCGAACTCCTTCAATTGTGGGCTGCACATCTAAGCTAACAAAGATCTTCATGTCGAGCGTGGACAGCACAAGAAGGAATGTGGAACCACAAGTCACGTTAATTAATCGTCGGTTATATACTGTAATTAGAATGAATATAGGATACGACTGATAGAATGTAATAGTACGGTGATTAGAGTGTGTGATACGAATACTGTTTCCTAAGAATCCAAAAGTCCCAAGACACAGCGATTAGTGATGGTCAGAGATCATCAAATTCCAAGTCCGTGGCAATGTCTTCCCAGACGTCCAGGGTCTTCAGTACCCTGTCGCACTTATTCCGCACGTCCCTATACGCATCTTTGCCCATGAACAGCCACATCGGCCATTCCCTACCGTACGCCCTACCCTCCCCTCTCACAACGTCAACGAGAAGCTCCATTGCCTTGTTGGGATCACCACGTTCAGTTCCCGCTAACGCAGCGAATTTCTGTGCCGCGGCCTCCCGAAGCATATCGTACTCAGGTACATGTCTGTGGATCGTCATAGGCTGCCCGAGGACGTTTTCTGTACGAAATGAACCCGGAATGACGACCATGACACGTATCGAGAATGCAGCGAGCTCCGTGGAATAGGTCTCGCCAATAGCTGAGAAAAAGAAGGTCAGAATGATTGATGCACGCCACCAAGCACGGTCAGGGACATACCATGAATGGCTGCCTTCGATGCAGCATAAAAACCTAAGACGGTGCTATCAATAACTTGTTGACAGAAGTCTGTCAACGTGGTTCTCACCTACGGGCTACAATTGACCGTCAGCACTACATCAAGGGTCGCGAAGGTGCGAACTCACCGGCATGGCAGGGTTCCAACCAGAACGACTACCAATAATGACAACGGTGCCTGACCTACGCTCTCGCATTTGTGGAATAACGGCGTTGGTGACATTAATGACACCGAACACGTTAGTCTGAAACTGGGTCAAGGCAGCGAGCGAACTAGTAAGCGAATTAGAGTTAACAGATCTACCAATGATAAGTTTGAAGCCTGACATACCCGCCTTCCTCAATTGTTGCTTTCATACCGTAGCCTGCGTTGTTCACGAGAACATCAATACGACCCCATACTGAAAGGGCGTCGCCGACGACATGTTGAATGGTTTCTATGCTATCGGTAATGTCGAGGCGTAGAAGATGTAATGTTGAAGGGTTGGCTCCAGGTAACGACCGAAGGGATTGAATTTTCTCCAGAGACCGAGCGGTAGCAATGACTCGGTCACCCCGATTAAGGATTGAGGCTACAAGACGCTTTCCAAAGCCTGAGGAGGTACCTAGAAGAAAGAGTTTAAGAATTGTCTGACCCTGCATATTATTGGTGATTATACCAGTGACGAGCCAAACTCTCTGGATCAGAACCATTGTGGAAGGAAGGAGAAAAAACTGGGTGAATAACGAGATGCGACCCTGCCCGTTTCAGAGAGACTTTATACTCATGGTCCCTCGCAATCTAGGATCCAAATGACAGCGGTGCAAGCCCCAGAGATTACCGCCAGTCCAAAATGAACACTTTTGCAATACTAAAACATATTTGGACGTGGGAAAGTCGGAAAGTTACAGCCACGAGTGATGTCAAAGAAACATCAACCATGTCAGCGCGTCAGCTCAGAAGAGAGCTCTTCTGGGCACTAGAGCGACGGCTTAACCATCATCATGAGAAACGGAGGTGTAAACTTGGGAGTAGAGGCTAACACCGGGAAGGCTATGACTAGGTGATAGTGTTGATGGTGTGACCCGAACGGAAGTGACTCGCATCTCTGCTCGGGTCAACAAAGCAGTTTGAAAGTCTGTTCGAACGCCCGAAGAGCTTCAGAGCCATCACCCACACGTAGCGCAGATTTTGCTCTGATCGAGCTGAAAGAAGATATCTTTGATGGCCACGGATGTAAGCACGCGATCGAGCGAAGAGCTCACCTGCCTCTGCCCTCGATTGCTAGACGACGGGCAATGAAGGACTGAGTAGATCAACGCTTCATCCTCAAGATCCGCATCCTACTACCTAATGGAACCCGCTCTCCCGTTTCTAAATCCACGATCGAATGGTGATCATTGCAGGATAGCAATCTGAACAGCATTGAGGAGAATGAAAATCAAGGTGATACTGCAGAATTCCGTCCAGAATCGGGAATGGTGTCCTCGAGGTTGTCTTTTCTCCTACCGATAACGTACCTGACTATCTCACAAGCTAAGCGAGGATAGCCATACACTACCGAAAGAACTTGGTGTCGCACCTCGCTGTTCATGGTCACAATGGCCGTGCACTTTGATGTCTATTGAAGACGCCCCACAAACAAGTGCAAACGCAGGGATGACCGGAAAGCGACCGAATTTTCAGTCTGTGAGTCCGACTTGATGGAGATTACTCAAGAAAGGGCTGACGAAGTCTACAGCATGACGTGGGTAGACAAAATATTCCACGCCAGTTATCACACCGAGGCAGCTACACATGGTAAGTATACGCCACACGTCGTGCATATTCAGTCAAATAGAAACAAAATTTTACTATCACGCATAAGGGAATGCTACGCTGAGCAGGGCATATAATGAAATTATACGAATGGGCGCTGCTCGCAGCCGACTACTGACGTCAGATTTGCAGAGATGACACTTCACAGGTCTTCTCAGTATTATTCTACCGAGTCGGTGCATAAAGTTGTTTATCTAGTTCTTCAGATCCACAATGACAGGAGAGTATGGACCCATTCCGAACTTTGCTCGCTTGCCTGAGGGCATGCCTTCGGTCCCATAGGCCAGTTCGCTGCATTCACGAACACGGTCCGTACTTCGCCGTCAACCGTCATTGCACCGGAGCTGATATCGTGTTCATGGGAAGGCCACTCATGAACCACGGCTCCGTGGTCTTCGTGAATATGACCAAAGACATGTAGTCGCGGTCGCAGCTCGACTAATCGGTCCGCAAGAGCTTCACAGCCTACACGGTCTCCCGCTGTGACTCTATCAAATATGCCAAAGGGCGGACCATGGGTGAGACTATGATAACGTCGTGATCTGGACCAGACAAGAATGTGACGAGAATAGTCAGAAATAACATACATAATATCGCTCTTAGGTATAGCAGAGACGAATCCTGTGCAAACAGTGAATAACCTTCCAGCGGAAAGTATCGGGTGCCCATACTTTGTGCCTCGTTCCTGCGATAATTGAAACCCCATCCTGCGAAATACGGCGACCACTCATTTACAAAGACGCTCGTAAGAAACAAGCTTCTGATTATGGTGAATGCCGGTCAGGACCTACCGGTGAACCGTACACAGACCATAGCCTTCCATTTTCTTTGGTTCGGAACTGAAATACCTCCTCTTGAAGGTAGACTAGGCCGGAAGCCTTCGCTTCCCTGCCAACTAAGAGTTCGCGAATGGCCTGGACGTCCTGAGAAGGCATAGGCTCAGATAGAATCATTCATGAGTCTAACACAGATTGTAAATGGGGTACCTCTTTTTCTTGACCATGCCAACGCTGATAATGTGTATCATACCATTCGTCATGATGGTCCAATGACAGATCGTGATTTCCGGCAATGATACTGGATGAAAGCAGTATACAATTAGCAACGTTGAAACAAACAGTAGTTACCGTACATTTTCTTGGGGTGAGGAAGACCCTTTAACCAATTGACAGTACTTTCAAATTGTTTGAAGGTACCAGTTTGAGTTAAATCACCGCCGTGCAGAAGAACGTCACCAGGGGGGATCTGGAATGTGCGGCTATGTGTATCACTGATACATATGAATCGTGTCCAGCCAGGACCTGGCACGGTTGGCACGTTGTCCATGTCATATTGTGTATGAACCACGGCTGTATCTGATGAAATTGTGGAAGGTACCGTGTTTTGTTCCGTGCTCATCCTGGGTTGACAGCACGACATTGACTGCGTGGGATGTGCTGATAATTACCTGAGAAGCCATGCCATTATGCGCTGAGCATATGTCTTCCCAGTCCGCAGCATGCCGCCGCATTGCCAGATGAAAGTGCCTACAATGTGATTCAAGTTGTGTTGTGACCGCGATGGAGAGTGCAGCGCAGCAATTACCGCGGCGCTGGTGACCAACAGCTAATATGTGAATATCGGGAGCACAGTAAGGATCCTTGGAAACAAAGTCGCGGTACTCAGTCCTGCAAATGATGAGTAACGCAGTGGTGGTAGAGGTCCAAGCTGGATTAACCTTCCCGGTGAATCATTGGTGGCGCCCGGGCCGGCGAGTTAACTTCCGTTAAATATGGTGCGAGGCGTTGTGCATTATCCCTCCCAAGACACCAATCTGAGTGAATATCTTCCGTCTTATTCTTGGGGCATGGTACTTCAAAATGATTCATTCTGGGAACAGGACCACTTTATTCAAGAGCTTTGTGAAGCCGGCGGAGAAACCTTAAAGTTTACTCCCAATTACTACACTTCCCTTATTGAGCAGGACTTGATATTCCTTCATTAATGTGCGCAAAGATCAAGAGGATAGCTCTACATCATCGCCTAGTTCAATCCAGTGCTTCAGGATAAGCTTGGACGATGAATGCAAGACAACCTGAACAGCTGCCACTGACCCGATCTTCAGTTCTTGCAGCTCATGACGTGATCAAATCGCGGGCTCATCGCACGCCGATCTTCACCTCTTCCAGCCTTTCCGCGGGCATTACGGCAGGCAATAACCTGTACTTCAAGGCAGAAAATTTGCAAAAGGGCGGTGCCTTCAAGTTCAGGGGTGCATCCTTTAACTTATCCCGCCTTTCCCACGAAGAGCTGCAACGTGGAGTTTGCACACATAGCTCTGGTAAGTGGGTGAAATTTCTCGACGTATCGGTTGCAAGAAACACAAGGTGCACAGTTCGGAAGTATCTAAGCAACTTTACCCGTAGGAAATCATGCCGGTGCCCTAGCATTGGCCGCTAAAGAGCGAGGAATCAAGTGCTTCGTTGTAATGGTAAGCCTGAGTGCAAAGTTTTCTCTAGTGTTTAGACTCCCTTGCATGTAAATAATATCCCTCTTAGCCCTCTAACTCGTCCCAGGTTAAGATAGATGCTGTCAGGTCTTACGGCGCCGAAATAATGTTCTGCGAGCCAAATGCGCCCGCACGAGCGGCGACACTTGCAATGGTACAAGCTCGCACCGGCGCGACTTTCATACCGCCGTACGATGCTATCAACACCATCCTAGGACAGGGGACAGCTTTCTTGGAGCTTTCTGAACAAGTGCCAGAAAAACTCGCAGCAGTGATCACACCTGTTGGCGGTGGCGGCTTGCTTGCGGGGACTGCGCTAGCAGCAGAAGGGACAGGTGTCCGAGTTTTTGGTGCCGAACCCGCCGGTGCAGACGATTGTGCTCGAGGTCTTGAGGAGGGCAAAAGACGGGAGGATGTTGATGCTAACACCATCGCCGATGGACTGAGAACTCCAGTCGGTGTGCTCAACTTCCCCATCATACAGGAGAAAGTCGAGCGAGTCATCGTGGTCTCTGACGAGGTGAGATCATCCTACGAGATCCTGTTTCAGCTCTAAATTTCGTACCTCATCGTCGGTCTTGTCGGCTGGTAGGAGGTCATCGAAGCCATGCGATTGTTGTGGGAAAGGTTGAAATTAGTAGTTGAGCCCAGCAGTGCTACAGCGTTCGCGGCTGTTCGAAATCCAGCTTTCCGGGAGTTGGGTATTAAGGGTCCCATTGGAATTATCCTCAGCGGCGGCAACGTTGATATGTCGAAACCCTTACCCTGGGTTGTTCTTTAGCGTCCGAATGACGGCGTAGTTGGCATATCGATATGCAGACAACAATGACAAGGTCAGGTTCACGTCGACGATTTGCCCTGTGGGCATCAAGAACCCGATAATAGACACGGTCTCACGTGGACATACTGACCTGTTTGCTTTATTTCGAATCAACGAGTGTGTCATATAAAGGTTCTTGACAACGAATATTTCTGTCGAGGGTAATGCGTGTATAGATAGACATGCTGTGAAAACGATAGGTACAGGATGGGTAGCGATGTAGTAACCGGGAACCGTGAAATGGTCGTGAGAGGTCGTAAAAGAAACAAAATGGTTGACTAAATACCCTACATACTCTAATCGTCCTCGTAGACTCATTTGCCCAGGCTGGAGCGGATTATGTTCTGCAGGGAATAGCCATCGTCCTGAAGTTTGACATTCATTAACGACTAGAATGGACTGAAGGAATTCAGACCATACCTGATCCAGCGACCAAGTGAAACAGCCTGCCATGCCATTCTGCTTGGCAAATGCGGCCTTGTCAGCCAAGGAGTACGTGTCATCGTACGTCACAACCGTCTGACGCGAGACGTTGAACAGGAACTGAAAGATGTGATGAGATTTTTTCTCCAACAGCCTCGTAGAGGAAAGTACACACCGGTGTATCACTGCAGTCATCCCATGCTACAAAGGAACCATCAGTCTGATGCAGGTGCTGGTAGTACGTCGAACAATGTACCTTGCGTGAACCCGTTCGCTTGCACATACACGCTACCAGATTTCTTCAGCGCGCCCAATGCCACGATCTGACTGAATGGAATCTGTTGATTGTAGTACGAGCTCAAGTCGCCTGCCGCCTCCGCTTCGACATCTTCCGGAGCTTTCTTAACCCGTTCGTGCTTTCCATCCAGGAAGTTCGGTTCCCCAAAGTCTTCGTCCTTGTTAGGTATCGCGCACTTGACTGGGGTATGAGAAGGAAGACCAAGAACCCGCTCCTTGTATTCTTGCAGTTGGAATCCGGGTGGAGGCATCGCGATGCCAGTAAGGTGGGTAGCAGTGCTCTTAGATACGTAACCGTACAATGGGAGACCAAGCAACAATTTGTTGGCAGGGAATCCGGCCGCCTTCCACTGATTCAAACCTGCTTGCGCGCTTGCCTGAGGTTGGCGGGAGGTACCACAAAGGTTACCTAAAGGAGCGTTGGGACCGGGGTTAGCGGATGCACCCTGAGAAGGTACATATGATATTAACAATCGCAAAAGATCAGGAACGGAAAGATCCACTTACCCAAGTGTCGTAGTTCATTATGTTGACATATGAAAGCTGGGCAGCGTATGATGCAACATTGGTGAGGGATTTACCATTAGAACCTGTCCAGGGTAAACATGTAACAGCAGCTGATATGATCTTGGAGGACCCAAGGGCGGAGCGAAGGGAGGTGAAAAAGGATAGTAAGTTCGCAGCATCATTCGTGGAATGAGGGTTGCCGGCGCCCGACTGATTTGGGTACTCCTGTTGACAGAATCAACAAGGGGTCTTTCATAGTGACGATGATACATACCCAGTCAATATCAATCCCGTCTAATCCATATGTATTCACTGCACTGACAGCAGCGTTTACGAAGGTCGACCTGTTGGCGGAGGAACTAACTGCTTGAGAGAACCAATAGCTTCCACCCCAACCACCTAGAATCAAATTGAGCACGACAGTAGGACTACAGCCGATGTGCATACGAACCTATCGATAGAACAATTTTGGTTCCCTTCCCACTATTGCGTGCACTAGTGACCAAGCGCTTCAGTATGGAAGTAGCGCCGGAGTCCCATGAAATGCCGCTGGAAGAATTGGGAGTAGCGAAAGCTTCGACAGTTTCAGCACCAAATGATAGCAAAGCATCCATTTCCGCTACTCACCGAAGAAGAGGATATCGAATTTAGAAAAGTCAAGCTTCTCAGGCGGCCAAGAGCTAACAACCCAATCTGGATAGTAAGCTGCCGCTATAGGGCTAGCCGCAGCGATCTTAGCTTGAGCTTCCAAGGCCGTCTTCCTGGACAGCGTGGATGGTAGAGCATCTTCTAAATTGAAGTCCCCAGAACCGGCCGTATCCGCAGAAGATGCTAAGAAGCCCTCGACGGCAGCATTGGCGCTGTATTCGTCAGACAGCAAAAGAGCATTGAGGTAGGCAGTCAAACCAGCCTTGCGTTCATTGATAAGGTGGTCGTCGACCCAAGCGGATGGGATGAAAGAAGTAACAAGGATCCGCTTCGGAGGAAGAGTGAAGGGGTCACCCAGTTTGTTGTGCAACACTACGAACTATAACGCAACGTATTTGAGCCAGAATCAGACGGTCTAAGTTTCGTGTTGAAAACATACGTCTGAGTAACGCTTGGTAACCTTGGATTTGACACCTTGGGTATTTGTGATGTCCACGAAGTACACAACGTGAGGTCGAGGGTTTGAAGCAGTCGTGTGTGTCGAGATAGATACGGTCGTAGAAGCCATGATAACGTGAAGCAATACAAAGAGTGACAATGGGGTTCGTGGGTGGATTTGCAGTCAATGAGACTATGGCGAACCTGAGAAGGGACCGCACTACGTTAGCAGCCTTTATATCAGTGGAGCTCAGAAGAATGGACTACAGAGGATAATCCAAGACATACGACTTGGGTCGGTCTGTATCTCGAAGAATCCTCGGTGGTAGTAAGGACGTCCACATGGCATGCTACCGTGATCCAGGATACCCGCCGGCTGGCATGGTTGCATCGACCTGTATAGGGGCAGACCGCGGAGGGAGCTGGAACTTGTTATCATTGAGCTCGGTCATGATTGAAATGCACGAGCAGACAGCAAGTCACAAGAGCTTGCCACCCCTCGTGAGCAGAAATTCATCATGCTTCTCGACCAAATTGAGTTTGACAGATCAGAATCGAGCGAAGACTCGGAATGCAACCATGTGATGGTACCGCACCATTACAAGTATTGTCGTCTTGCACATCCCTACAAGGGCATCCGCACGAAATGGCTCACAACGAAACCCGAGGAGAGAATGCAAAAGTGACAGTCTCAAGTATTACGATGGTTGCCTGCTGTCAAAGTCTTTGTCAAGCGGATCCGAATGGAACCTCCATAATACAAATGCCAAATAAAAAAGTTCGTACGCCGTGGTCGCCACCCCCGCAAACCCTTGAATGGAAGTCGGTTCAGCGAGACCATGCTAACTATCACAAGCAACTTCCTTCCTGAAGATCTAGACCATCTGTTCAGGGCTGTTGTTAGGACTGCAGTGCCAACCAGCCTTGGATTCGATATAGCGAGTGCTGTTCGCGCACAGGTCAGTCATAACTAATCACTAGTTATGAAAGAGACTCGGAACCAACTTTTCGAATTGTTCCTGGAGGAAGCAACCGCATTTGCTCTTCAACGACAGAATGCACGGAGAGCCCTTTGTTTGGCATGGTCAGGGGATTATCGTCTGAATTGCAACAATACTCGTACCTGAGATGATAAAGAATTTGAGGGAGAATTTGAGGGAAGCAACCAGACAAATGACATATCAGCAGGCCGGCTTCTTGGGGATGTAAAGCACTCGTGCATCGCACAGGAGATATCCATCCTCAAGAAACCAATTGCGACATAATACAGAGACGGGATAGTATGCGAACAGTCCTAAATAGCAATACAAAGATGAAAAAATGACAAAACAATAGACAAGTCCAAAATGTGACACGACTAAATCCACCCTATCTCAGCTCCTTCGGTGGTATCCACTCTGGTATATTCCCCCATTCAAACTTCGGTGCTTCGAACGCCTTTCTAGCAGCGGGTGGTATCAACTCCAAATAGTTTTCCGGCAGCAGCGCATCGTATTTGTCCAATCCAGGCTTATAGGGTGACTTTATGTTATAGAACTCCGGCTTGGTAGATTTCGGTTTAGGCGGAGCAGCACTACCTGATGCGAACCCTCCACCCTGAGGTGCAAGTGCGGCCGCAGGTTGACTAAACGCGGATTGTGTCGGGATTTGCATAGATGCGAAGGCGGATTGTGCTGGTGATGGTTGTGGTGGCGCCCCAAACGCCGACGGTGCCTGTGGGGCCGGAGATCCAAACGCACTCTGTACAGGAGGAGCATTTGAAGCAAAGGCAGAGAAGCCCGACGAAGGAACGGACGATGGTGCACCAAATGCTGATTGAGTCTGAGTCTGCGCTCCGAACGCTGATGGAGCGCCAAAGGCTGAGGGTGGGTTGACTGCAGGCGTCGTGGTGCTCGACACATTTCCGAATGCTGACCGTCCGAAGACGGATGGAGGAGTACTGGGAGTTGCGATAGTACTCGGAACATTTGCAGCGGCGCCAAGACCGAACGCACTTGGTTGTCCGGAAAACGCTGAGAATCCTCCTCCACTTGCAGGCGGGACAGGTGTCGTGGTTAAGCTGGAGAACGCGCCTCCTGTGGCGGCTGCTGAACCGAACGCGCCTGTGGCGGGTTTGATCAGAGAAGATTGTGGTTGTGAGGTTTGGCCAAATGCTGATTGGCCAAACGCTGAAGTTGGCTGTGAAACCTGACCGAAGGCTAACGGCTGGGACTGAGCAGGGGTGCCGAAGGCTGAAGTAGGCTGTTTTGGTTGTCCAAATACAGACGTTCCTTGTCCTTGAGCAGGTTGCCCGAAAACTGAAGTCCCTTGAGCAGGCTGCCCGAAAGCCGAAGTACCCGTAGAACTCGGCTGTCCAAACGCAGATGTCTGGCCGAACGCCGACGTACTTTGCGCAGGAGTACCAAATGCTGAAGTTGGTTGTGATGGTTGGCCAAGAGACGACTTTCCAAACGCTGAAGTGGTGGCGGCGCCGCCAAACGCAGATGGACCCGAGCTTGCAAACGCTCCAAATCCAGATGGTTTTCCGAATACCGATGTGCTTGCAGGGGCACCAAACGCAGACGTTGATGACGACGCTAATGGACTGCCTCCCGATGGCCGAAACCCAGACGAAGTGGGTGGCGAACTGTGAAAGTTGCGAATTGCTTGTTGATACAGTTCGCTGATGTTTGAGCGAGCATTGTTGAATGTCTGGTCTGCAGCTGCAATGTGATTGGCTTCGAAAGTAACCTGAAACACACCATGTTACCTATGTTTATGGATTCTAGAAATATTGGACACGAACGTATTCCTGTATGTTCCCTGCCTTCAACGCAGATTCAGCCTTCACACGCATCTCCTCAGGGCTTTCGTCCAGCCCCGGCACGAGAGTCGGCTGGTATTTGGCAGGACCATAGGATGATAATGGCCATAAAGGCTTGTCACTCCTCGGATTAAGATCCCTTGTGATGAGTTCTTGGCTGAAAAGACCGTCATGGCGCATCATGGTAGAACAGTCAGCTTTGTGCCTTGACTAGATGTAAAGGAGGAAGGCGAACGTGAAGAAGTTGGCAGGATTCAAAGATGTAGAACTTGATCCAGAACCTGCACCTGAGCTAGCGGTCCAAGACTGATCTATAATCGACCAAAGGACCAAGCGTAGAACAATGAAGATTAGTGAGCTTGGACCTTGTTGTTTACGAATGAGACGCACTGCCAAAGCCTCCGCCTACTTTTCCATCCGCTGGGTGTTCGTTTCGACACGATGAGCCAAACCTGCACTGTCCACGAAGAAAGAACTGACATATAGCCTGCGCAGGACATTCAGCATGTTTCGCCGAATCGACAGGTGCAAGCCAGTACTCACCATGATCGTGGTACCGGACGAACAGTATATGGGCGCTTCGCTCTTCTTCGCGTTCTCGCGGGGACCTCTTGATTCCTCTTTGCTACTTCCGACGTTTTAACCCTTGATTGTGTTCTCTGCGAGCAATATCGTGCCAGTGCATTCCAACAGACAAACCAAAAGGCAGACATAGTCCATCATGGCAGAAACCTCAAATGCATCCTCGGCTATTGATGTCGCGGAACAGGAGGCTCTGAAGGCTTCGACTTTCAGACGTCTCCATCCTAAAGTTTACCTAGAGAGGTTTGTTGCTGAGAAGGTCCGTCCCGATGGACGCGAACTGGATGAATGGAGAGACGTGTCTGTCAATGTAGGTCTGTACCACTCGAATTTATCTCAGCGCCGGACTAAGCGTTTTTTGTTACGTCTTGTAGGCTCGATATCCACTGCGGATGGGTCTGCATTAGTTCGCTTAGGAGACACGACAATTGTCTGTGGCGTGAAGGCCGAAATTGCTGAACCTGAGCTAGATCGACCTAACGAGGGCTTTCTTGGTATGTCATTTTTTGATAGACAACGTTCAAGAACTAATTGAAAGTCTACAGTACCAAATATCGATCTACCCGCATTATGCTCTCCGAAGTTCAAACCTGGACCCCCAACAGAAGAGGCACAGGTACTCTCCGACCGTCTGAACGATGTCCTTCTAGCGTTAGTAACACAAAATGAGATATTTCTGCCCTTCCATATGTTGACGAACAACGCGAAATAGCTCAGGAATCATCTCACGAATATCACTCTGCATCGAACCAGGAAAATCGGTCTGGGTGCTCTATATAGACGCGATTTGCCTCAACTACGACGGTAATGCGTTTGACGCAGCCCTCTTAGCCATGGTCGCTGCCCTACGGAACAGTAAGCATTTGAGTTATCGCCAACAGTTCATCCAATCTAACTGCCCGACTCAGCTCGATTACCAAAGGCGGCATATAACGAGGAGACCGGACGTACAACCTGTTCGCGCCGATCGCTCCTACCGCTGCAGGTTAACAAACTTCCGATATCATCGTCGTTTGGTGTCTTCGATTCGTTCGTGCTCTTCCTGCTTTCTTTTCGGTATCCTTTCTGACATTTTCTCAGGACACATGTATTGGCAGATCCGACTACGTTCGAGGAGCCATTATTGGACACCACTTTCAGTGTTATCATGAATGAAGATGGGAAGCTCGTGTCTGTTCTGCAGCTCGGATTGGGTCTTGTAGGACAACCGGGCACATTGGATCGATGTATCGCTGCTGCGAAAGCTCATTCTTCTGATATTCGGAACTTGGTCTATGACACATCCAATACATCGTGATACTTGTTTGCAATATCTTTCAGTTCTGAACAGACCCAACTGAGCATCGTATGGAGAGAGCAAGGGATTCAGAACAACGATGCATCAATTTCTTGTACATGTAAGGTACGCGGACTCTGCAATGACAACAGCAACGAGAAGGCTGGTGAAAAAAAAGGCACAAGAGGACTATACTGTACTCTACTAATCTTCTCTAAAGTATGCAGAGCAACAAAAAAAATTAAGGTATAACAGTCATAACAGAAGGGTATAACAACAATAACTTATGACGATGGAATGAACTTGCTCATGCAGAAGCTCTTGAGCGATGGTTGACATATCCCTCGATCATCCTCATCATGTTGCCTACGCGGTCAGTCTCCTCCGGGAGCCACTCGCCGTTGTTCACGCAAAGGACCTTCATGCGTTCGTGATACAAGAGGTCGGCGAGAAGCTTGGGTGTGATTAGGAAGTATTGGCCACTGTCGGATTTGCAGGTAACTTCGACAAGAGAATTGTGGACAGCGCGTTCGGCTCGAGCGTCCATTCCCTGAAGGGAGGTTAGGATGATGTCAAAAAATCAGCAGCAAAACCTACCTGATTGATCTCGTCGACCAGAGAAAATGGAGTACGCGCTTCTTCTGTCAGACTCATCAAATACATGATAGTGGTCAAAGAACGTTCCTGGAATATTATACTTCAGATTGTCGTCCACACATGACAGATATCGTACTTACGCCTCCGGATTGCCGTTCGCCAGTCAACAACTGAAGTTTCTCGTGGTCACGGAACTTGACAAGAATATCAATCGCCCACTTGTCGTAGTCTTCGTGGGGAGTGAGTTTAATTTCGCCAGCGCATCCAATGCCTAAAAGAACTGTTACTCGCGGGTCAAAGCACGGAGTAATAAGAAAAACTCACGATCGAATGCTGCAGAAAACTTCTGCCCAACGCTCTCTACAAGCCTAGTTAGAGCAGGCTCCCAGTTGTCTCGCGCCAGTTTGATAGCACGCTCCTTCTTCTGGACCTTCTCCTCTCGCTCTTCGATCTGCCTCTCGAGCTCCGCAATCTGAACAGAATGGCTATCAATATATACGAGCCAGCAGTGGGACACGGAGACTCACCGCCTCTTGACGCTTCTTGTACTGGTCCACCACGCCAGGATTGGTGTGCATACTCAACTCCAGTTTCTCCTGCTGCGTTTGCAACTCGACAGTCAGCTCCTCCACGGAGCGTTTCTGGGCTTCGCCAGTTTGCTCCATCTCTTGGAAACGCGCGCGAAGCTCCTCATCAACTGAATTGATCTTCTCTTTGCTAGCATCCAGTTTTGCCCTAGAATCGAGTTTGGCAATCTGGTACTCCTGACGGACTGTGGCAAATACAATCGTTAATGGGGATCATTACAATGGAGGTTTGCTCACACACCTTTATTGAACTCGGCAAGTGCCTTCTGCATCTCATCCTCACGTTCAGAACACATGGCCTTCAATTGAGCGTGATTCGCAGCAACTTGCAAGGCCTCCAAGGCGACCTTAGATGCTTCAGTTTGGCTTGCGATGGCTTCTCGTGCGAGTTTCTGTAGGCAGATTAGAGAAAAAGATTTTGAACGAAGCATAACATATTACCTCGTAATCTTTCAGGACTATGACACGCTGGGCGGAGCACTTGAGGATCTTGCTCTTGAGTTTAGCCCGTTCCGCATCAACAGAAGGTTGCTTGCGCAATCGATCCAATTGACCCTGCTCGCTGACTGAATTACGATCGCGTAAGAGCTTTGTACAACTGTGAGATTGCAATCTAAAAGGTAACCTACCAAGCTTCAGTTTCATCGTTTCGAGCTTCTTCTTGATATCGATTGCGGCCTTCTTCCGCTTCTCTAAGGCATTCTATGAGCTGCATCAGCACTTGAGCCATTGTGCAATAAGACCTTCATAACATACATTCTTTGAAGAGAACTCATTTATCTCAGCTCGGATCTTGGAATCCTCCACGGACAGTTCATTGATCTGCTTCTTGCAACCTTCGAGATGGAACTCGGCTTCCCGAATTGCATTCTCCGCCGCCGCCTTCTGCGCAGGATCAGCTGAACGAAAGTCAATACGTCATCAACATCGTTGATGCTGTTCACCTTACCATCAGCGAAGAGGAAGAATCTGGCATGTCGAATATCTCTAGTTTGATTCTGGGCTTTCTGCTGACCGTATCGCGATCTGGATACTTGATTATAGGTGTTCCCAACAATGTAGGAAGCACCACCTGAACGAGCCACGACTTCCATCGCACGCCCAGCATCGACTCGGTTCGGTGCTTGAACCGCAATTGCCTGTATAAACGAGTTGGACACTATCACAAAAAGTAGAGTAGTTGACTCAAAACCAACCGTGCGGTGTAAGTTGAGAGTACTGTGCAAGAAAGGTCTAAGGCCATCGGGACACTGAATGAAATCGGACGCGTAGCCATCGAAACCAAGTCCTCTCAGCTTTGAAAACAGTGGTTCAGGATCGACATTGGAATATCCGACGACAAAGATAACACACCTCTTCCGCGGACATTGGAGGATCGGCATATTCTGGCCTGGGTCGGAACCACGAATTGATGCGTACTCTGCGACCCAGCGCGTCCGGAGAGTCGACAACAAGCCGATTCAGAAGTGTGGCATCTTCCTGACATTGAGCCACGAATGTCTGATAGGATTGTATGAGCATACAACTCGTCATGTCTGTAATCGACATACCCGGAGGTCATTAAAGTTGAAGCAAGCCTCAACTGCAGTAGCGAATTTGGTATCAGGAACAGCGCAAGAGAGGATGGGTGGTTCTATGATGTCCATCCTGAATCGATGCCGATTCTGGCGAAGCCATTGCACAACGTCTGCAGCGTCTTTGTCTACCTTTTCTAACTCCTTGAGTCGTCTAGAGTTTACATCGTCAAGCTGACGCAGACTACGATCATGTTCATTAGTGACTCCAGAAGACACATGCTAAGTACTCACTTTCGGCGGGCGTTCTCTAATTCCATCTTGTGTCTGGACTCCTCTTCAATGCACGTACGTTGCCGTTCTTGCAGATCCCCTTGCCTCTCTGTAACGTCACGGCTTTCGGCTCGCAGTTGTTTCTAACGATGTAGTTTTAACTGTTCGCTCAACTGATCGTAAGAGCGAAAAAAAATAGGTACGAACGAGCTGCTCTTTGATCGCCTCCACATCTTCGATTTTTGGCGGGTTATCTATGTTCTTCTGCAAATTCTCAACAGTCTTCTCCGACTTCTGAATCTCTTTGAGGCGGTTCTTCTCTCGTGTCTTCAAGTTATCGAGTTCATTCTTGAGTTCCTCGGCCTGACCCTCCTGTACAAAAATGAGTACATCGGCGAGTGGCAATAAAGGCGAGACGCACCAGAGTCAAGTTCTCCTGCCATTTCCGTTTCATCGATGCAAACTTCTGCTGAGTGGCGGATTTTTTCTTCTCGCGCAAATCTTGAAGGTCTTTGAGTTGTTTGTCCATTTTCCTTGTTGCAGGAGAAGATTAGTAACTACCTCACTGCAAATGTAATAAATGATATACTTGGTTAGGTTAATATAGGGAGCATTACTCTCGTTCAACTTCTTGACCTTTTCATGCATCTCCGTTTGTGCGGCCTTCAGTTGGTCGTACTTCCGCTTTGCCTCGGTGTACTCCACGAAAGGCAACATGAGTTCAAGGAGTTCAATCTGTGGATCATGAATATGGACTGGACAACTTGCGGGAATATATATGCTCTACCTCTTTCTCAATCGCGCGCCGCTCTTCGTAACGCTTGACGTCGCGCTCAAGGTTCGCGTTCCGCTCCTGCAACGTCTTGAGTTGTTCTCGATCCGCAGTCAAGGTCTAGGAAGAAGCTAAGTAAATGGTTGTTCATCAACATGACAACTACTGACCGTCTCAAGGTGCTTTAGCTCCTTGCCAGCTGTGATGAGAGTATCGTGCCAAGCGGTCAAGTTCTCATTACCGGCGGCTCGCTGAGTCTCTCGCAGCAACTGTTGAGGGCTCATACGAGCAAATTCGGCAACTTTGTCTTGCGGCAAAAAAGAGCTGCTACAGGTCAGCGTCACTCAGATAATGATATGTGATGAAGTACACACCAAAGATTACTGACTTGGACGTTCAGCTCGGCCATTCGTTGATTGACCTCACGACCGCTCATAGCGTGACCGTTCAAGATGAACTGTGAACTTTTGCTGGTGGCACTGAGAGTACGTCTGATGACAAGGTTTGGCTTGCCCTTGGGGCCTTTCAGCTCAATCTCAATATGACCGTCGGATGTTCCGAGCTTAACGAATGCGCTAAGTTCAGAAGCACGTCCTAGAACCTACGCACATATCGTTCAGCATGCGACTACTCATTGATATACGGTTATATGCTCACACTGGGGGGGAAGTTCAGACCAAGGCATATCGCGCAAGCGATGCTGCTCTTGCCAGTACCATTTGGACCTAAGATCATGTTAAGATGAGGGCCGGGGAAGAACTCCACATAGTCGTATGTGACGAAGTTCCTTAGTTGGATGCGCATAATGGAACCGGGTATGAACCTAGGATCGTGTATAGTGAGATGCTGCAGAGATAATTCAGAATGCATGGCATACCCATCAACATCTCGAGGTAGAGTGACAGCCTTCTGTTTTCCCTTGACGTTACCGTCAGTGGGATGGGAGTCGCCAATTGTATTAGCTCTGGCGCGTTTCCGCCCTTTGGGTGAGCCACCGGTGTCTTCGTCGTCTGCTTCATCCTCGTCTTCTATCTCACCTTCCGCACCGTCTTCGTTACCACCTTGGACATCCCGAGCCTCGTCATGGCCATTCAAATGTGCATCATCTGCGACATCTTCATCATCTTCGGCGCGTCGTACACGCTTATCTCGTAACGTTTCTCTGCGCATTTTGGTGGGCTTCTGTGCAGAGACCGGTGCGCGACGAGAGTTTTCTTTCAGGGAGTCGTCCGTCGCGTCGGACAACGCTCTGCGTACCATGGTGATCGTTGTGGACAGAGGCAATAACCCGCAAAGTCGCGGTCGCGACTGCGAAAAGACCGCCCCTGAAGTCGCGTCTCAGGTTAGGGTTACCCGTGACATTGCCTATCACACCTGCCGTGAAATCACGAATTCTTGATTCAGTCCTTCCAGAACCCGAAAGAAAAGTTCTATATACTGATCATAGTAGTACATGAAGACCTCGTCAAGTATTATCAGAGATGACCCCTGTTAATAAACTATAGTCACCGGTATACTTTCTCTATTCCGCTGAAACCGACGGAATGTACCCCTTCAACACCGCCAGCTCCGCGTTCAGGATGCTGCTGGTCGCTGCTCCAATAGCGACATTGTTTGCTAACACAACAAACTTAATATCCAGCACTCTGCACTGTCGAACCCTTCCGATAGAGACACCCGCACCCATCTGATAGTCCCTGTCTAACCGCGGTTGCGGCCGATCGGATTCCTCGTGAACGAAGATTGTGTGGCGTGGAGCGGAAGGGCAGCCAAGAGCATATGCATCCGATGTGTATGCTGCAAGAGCCTCTCGGACTTGCTGGGGGCTCGGGGGTGGTCGCCGTGCGAAGCGAACTGAGACGCATTCGGTATGGCCTTCGATAACAGGTACCCGATTGCACGATGCTGAAATACGAAGGGGATGCCGCGAGTGCATATCAAAAGCTTTTTGGCCATTATCATCCTCTGCGATTCCACCAAGGATTTTGAGTGTCTCCCACTCAATCTTCTCTTCTTCCCCACTAATGTAGGGTACAACGTTATCCAGGATGTCAAGACTAGGTATACCGGGATATCCGGCACCCGAGATGGCTTGCATCGTGGTGATCATACATGATTCCAGGGGTCCGAATGCTTTCTCAAGCGCAGCCAAGGGTACCACAACACCGGTGGTACTGCAGTTAGCGTTCGTAAGAATGAAACCCTTTTTCAGAGGAGGTGAATGGAGCGCCCGTTGATGTGGAACCATGGCGAAGTGAGAAGCATTGATGAGCGGAACGATGAGGGGTACAAGAGGATCTCTTCTATAATTCTTTGCGTTCGAGAAGACGATAAGCTCGGCGGAGCGGAACTCGGCCTCTAATACGGGAAATAAGACCTTCATTGACATGAGGAACATAAACGAATGAGGGAATGAAACACACCGATGTCTCCTGCCACATCGGCATCTAGCCCAGAAAACACGACAGCACAATCCTTGAAGAATTCAGGCTTGCATTCGGTCACCACCATCTCACGAACGATACCCGGGATTGGAGAGGTCTGTTTCCATGTTACTGCTTGAGAATAACGCTTGCCGGCAGACCTCTGAGATGCGCCCAATCCATGGATTACAAAATACGGATGTTGGGACAAGAGGAGGATGAACCGTTGCCCAACGGTGCCTGTCGCCCCCAGGACACCGACTTTGATTTCTTTTGGCTCGAGAGGGGGCATTTATGTGCTGCGATGGAAGTCAGTGACTTAGATGAGTGCAGATCTTGCTTTTTGGGATCATCTCGGCAGCAGTGTCACTCTGTGACAAAGCTACCATTCCTGGCCTATCTAGTTTAGAATATTACCGATTGTAGGCCGGTGTTACGGTCACAATCCCGATCATGTCGACCACGACGACCACGACAGCGGAAAATGCAGCACAGTTGAGGTTCCCTCCAAATGTGCAATACAACGCATCCAGAACTTACACCGTCAAGTTTCTATCATCTTGCTTTGCTGGAGCAGTTGCTGGAGTACTAGGCCTTCAAAATTGGCTCGGCTTTGCCCTCTTCGTACTTGCAACTCTCCTCACCTCCGCGTGTCTTTATGTGAAATGTAAAGCACGTCCTGCAAAGTATATGGCAGGTGGCTGGTGGGAACTTGTGAATCCTGGGCAGGAGAATATATTCTCCTTTGTATTGGTCTGGACGTTATTCTACGGTATGTTTCTAGGAATTACGCCTTCACTCCACCTCATGCTATTTTTTGTCGTTTCCGTCATGACTACAGGGATTGTACACGGTAGGACACAGTGGATCTTAGAAAACCCCTGTACTTCAGCTAACCTTCCTCCTGCCAGTGTATGATTAGTTTTGGTACTCAGTCCCAGTAGCTTCACTACCTATAGCTGTACACACCAGGTACGGCACCATTTATTATCCTTTCCCTTCTCTCACCATTCTTTGACAGATACCCATCATACAATGCAGTACGAATGCCATGATGATGCCTTGTAATATAATCTCAACCGTGGAAGACGTGCAATCTCCGGATACTTCAGCAACGCACGATTTGCCATTGACCTAACGACTCCATGTCGTTCTGTAGGCACCGGTGACGATCCATAAACTTGCGACGGTGCCTTGCCCATTACGGGTTCAGAACGTTGCACTATCCATGCGTGAGAAATCGCCTTATGGTAGCACCTCTTTCGTGTTCCATCCAGAGCAAGTCATTGAGGTGGTCACCGGCCATCTTCCATTTTAATGCAAATATTGTTCGAACATAATCTAGCACCATCGTCCGCTTGGTATAATGACCTGGTCGATCTTCGTCAACCGATGTTGTGTGCTGTCTATTTACTCTCAACAATCTAGCAACTCAACTGAGGCCGCGATTCATGAAGTTGTGACAAGTCACAACATACTACAGCATCCACATGTATGAGCGAGGTTAGCAGCATAATGAATTCAGTTGGTACCTATGGACGTTGGCCCGGAGTTTTGTCGGCACCCTTTTGCGGAACTCCGAAATGTATCGGTTCCGACCCACTCGCAGAAGGTTGTGGTGCGTCCTTGCCTGGCTACGTCCGCTTCGAACCCGAGCATTTCATAATTGCTATTTGATTGCTAGAATTCCGTAGGGACCGCGAGACAAACGCTTCACATGCCCCAAGTGAGATAGGACCTTGTGCATATGATTGGATGAGTTAAGGCTCATCTGATGTTCTAATGTTTGCACACATACAGTATGTATATCGAACTTCGAAGAACGGACGGGTTGTTACAGAAAGTCCTCGTCAAGTGTTTCAGAACCTCGATCAACATCTCAAAGCCACGTTTTCAACCTCGTGCCGAACACGTGGAATATTTGAAGGTACAATCGGCGTCTGTATTCACTGCCTCGGAAGGTTCGCCTTGTTGGTAGGATCACCCACAAATATCAACTATGAGCCCGTTCACTAAACCCACCATCTCCAAACCCTCACTTGAGTGGCGGCCATGTCTGGGCCGTACGTCCTCCTTCAATTCGGGGCGGATTTTTACAACGTGCGCTTCGAGGACTTGGAAGGCAGACTCGCCTTCACAGTGTGAGTCGATTCTAGCATTACTAGCACAGCGAAATCGCCATGTCTCACGGCTATTGAGCAGGAAGATGGTATGAATACTTGAAAGTGTGACGTGAGGATTTTTTTCATGGGACTGAATTCGGTGTAGGTCGATGAGAGCCCCAACCTCATACTCAAGCTCACTCGAGAGGCTCCCTGGGCACAGCAACATCCAGATATTATGGGGCCAAGCTCCTCATTCTTCTACTTTGGACCCTCTCGCACGCCTGGGTACATTGTGTACGGAAACAGTCCGACACAGCCTATGACACACTCTCGCCGACAGAAGAAGGAAGGTAGCACGTGAGCCTTCGCTTTCGCTTCGTTCACGAAGAGGTCTTTATTTGCCTTTCAGTTCGCGCTACTTTACGGCTCGGAGCGGCGCCGAATACAAGTGGAGAATAACCCCTACGAAGCTAGAAGTACGTTATGGGTAAATTGTATAGCGCCAACCAGCTGACATGAGTTGGTAGTGCGTAGATAATAAGGGAGCCGTGCAAGCTATTTGGGAAGCGTCGCAGCTAGAAGACGAGTTCCATGCAAAGCTTACCATCAAACACTCTGGATTGGCTATTGTCACCGAGATTCTAACGACCCTCGCGCTGAATCGCATGGCACATGCTTTCTGTTGGTGACTTCATTATACCGACTCGTTCACCCTGCAACACACCCCAACCTCACCTTTCAATCAGATACTTGATTGTACCTTGATTCTTCAGGATATACAGATTGTGTTTCGATATTTACTCTCTGCCGCCTGTTTGAGTAGCACATCTTCTCTCCCAATGCCCACACACATGGCAGGTCTAATCAATGGAAGCCTATCACCGTTCTCATAGATGCTTCTGACATTCCATTCCTATCGCATCGTCATCAGTTAACTTGTCATGTCCTGTTGGAGGCATGCTGACCTCGTTTCACTAATAAGCGGCAAATCACGTCTTCGACCTTAGAGACCTCAATCCTCCTTGCGAATCTCCTCCAATAAATCCACCAATCTCGGCCACTCCGGTTCATCCTCAAAGTCCTTCGTCCTTCCCATGAAGGTCCGGATAATACTTCGGGCCTGCAACCGCCACTTGAATCCTTCTACGCGTGGACCGAAATTCCTCAAGACGTCAACAATCTCTTCCACTTCCCGAACACCCTCCTTCCATTTCTCCACATCAGTCTCCCCCTTCTCTATACTTCCTGCGGCACCATTCCTGTAGGCCTCTAAGTATGCATTTATGGCATCTTCCCATCGACCCTGCCAAGTGAGTAATCGTGCTCGCGCTCGGAAAATCCTGGGCGAGGAAACCCGCGGTAGAATGATTCGGTCGAAGAGGTCAGACACGCGACGCAACAAACCATGTCCTTCATTGGGGTTCGTTACGGCATTCTGGGCATTTCCACTTTCTGATGCGTCGCTGGGGTTCGCTGGCGCTCGAGTAACGGCGTCGACCAACCGATCTAGGACATCATCGTCTACGCAAGCGGCTCCATCTTTGATACTACGCTCCTCAACCACACGACCTAGCGCACGACAAGCTTCGGCCAGCTCTCCGACATCCATAGCCACGATCATGTAATTTGACCACATGCGCCAGTTATCGTAGCTGAACTTGAGGCCTTGCTTAAGGGCGTGGAATGCGAGCATTTTGTTGGCGAATGGTATACCTTGGCTCGTTTCATCTGCAGTGGAGTCGCCCGTCTCAGACTGCAATCAGGACATCAGCAGGGTTCATCAGAAGGCGTAAAATACAAGACATACCTCTTTTGGTATTTGATCTTTACCATCGGTCTTTGTTTCGCCCATGCGAAGATACACGCTCGCCAGATTGTTCCAACTTTCACCATCTTCGTCATCGATCGCCACGCAACGACTGAATGCCTCTCGAGCACCGTCCCATTCTTCCTCGCGGACATAAGCACATCCAAGGACGAACCATGACCGCCCCAGCAATGGATTGATGGAAACCCCACGACGTAGACATGGGATGGCCTCTGCGTAATTTCCCCTTGCGAAGTAATAACCACCCAATGACCTCATCGCCCTACCGGAAGTCTCTTTTGAAACCGTCCAAGCGTGGTTGTAATGATCCAAAGCATGCTCGGGTTCGACATCACCTAACAAGCACCACAACTTTGCTTCCCGAGCAGCATCTAAGGTCTGTCGACGGGTTGATGCGGTCGCTTTGCTTCTAGAGATCACTGCATCTGCTTCAGCCTTCCGTCCTTCCAGGAGATCCCGAACCAATGCAATAGCCTTGTCTTTTCTTTCCATGCTCTGCCAGCACAACACGGCTTCCTCCCACATCTCCAAACGTTCGAATATTTCCAGAGCCGACTTCACAACTCCGAGAGATAAAAAACGCTTCGCCAGTTCCTTCTCCATCTCCCATTTACTGGGAAGCAGTAAATCATGGATGTACAGCAAACGTTCCGATACCGAAGAATCCGCTGTAGGCATCTGATCGACAAGTGCTTGCAATTGCAGGGTTGATCGTTCAACTGTACGGGTGCGGTTGGCTTCGAGGCGGGATCGGAGCAGAAGAGCCATGGTGTGGATAGACCAATTTCTTGGGTGCGAGATAACGCGTGAAACATAGGCGGACATCTGTTCCGCAGTGAGACCATGAGCGGGAGAGGTATTCTTTATGTTCAAGCACAACGCAAGGAGAATACATTGGTCCAGTGGATGAAGAGCAGGCTGTGCGGAAGGGTCAAGTTCACGTAATCGAGCATTTGTACCAATGGAAGTTGAAGACGTGAACTGTGTATGTTCTAGCAGGGTATCATCATTCAGGACGAGGGTTTCCGGAAAATTGAGGCTTTTCGATGTGTCTGAAGCAGCCTGCAGGTTCTCTTCCGATTGTTTGTCTTCTTTTCCTGAGTCGTCATCTCGCTGGCGTGATTGGGCAAGAAGTACAAGCTGAGTAACGTCGGTTTGCTGAAATTTTGTACGCTTTCCGAGGGCACCTGTAAGTTCATACTCCAGTTTGGTTTTCCTGGCAGCGCGAACAAAGAACTCTGTCGCAGCCCTGTCATGTCCAAGATCGTGTTCCAGTAGACCTTCCTCTAAGACTAGACGTCCCAATTGATCGGGGTCAATGGCACTAGTCAAGGGTTCACAGTCCGAAAGAATAGCTGAAGGAACGCCGAATGGTTCATCCAGGATTTCTTCATGAATCCGTGTGATTCGCAGCTTCCACCAAGGAGCTGATTGACAATGCACGAAAGGCAAATCAATCAGAAGGATCGCGAGACGTAGAAATAGAGGGACGGCAGCTAGATGGTAGGCCGGCTCCCCACCGTACGCAAGTTCTTCGATGGATTTTTGTCGAAGAAGGTCGTCTGTTATGTGTGACGATATTTCCGAAGGTATGTCGAGGACATCGAGAGGAGTTACATCCAAGTTCGGGCCTGTCCAATTAACTTGAATGAAAGCATGTAGGCATGCTACAGCTAAGGTCAATTGCAGTAGTTCCTGCTCTTTTACATCGTTGCCTGAGACGGAAAAATTGAACCATTCGTTCAATTTTCGATCCACGATCTTTGCATCATTTGGGATCGAAAATAGGGCGCGAGCCTGTGATGAGATTAGGGCCGTGCGGAATGCACCCTCAACCACATTTTTTGCGATCTCTACCACGGGTGAAGAGGTTTCTATGTTATCTGTCCATTTTCCGGTTAGCAAGGCTTGTTCGATAAGTTCAATACTCATCGCCAGTCGACTGAGGTTGAGAAGATTGAAGGTGGACCGGATTTTGCCGCGCCGCTGAGAGCGAGTGTCAACAAAAATGCTGACTGAGGACGATCGGCCAATACGTATACGTTTGCTCGAGAGAATGATAAAACAATAGATTGCTTCAAGCACAATTAACCGTAAATGAGAGGAGCCATATATACTGTAGACTATGCTATGTGGTATCTAGTGTTTCCGTCGCCCAAGAGAGTCCATGAAAAATGAAAATATAGAGATCAGAAGTAATCAATCGGACCAGCCATAGCCATAAACGGGCCCGCTGTTATAGATCCTTTTCCAATGGACTGAGCTATCGCCTTCCGTTTCTCCTCCCACGTCTTAATCGCCCGTAAAAGCTGCACAACCTTGTCTCTCTTGCCTTGTCTAATATCGTTGATGCTAACCGATCCCATCTTGACGTCATTGTCAAGAAGGAAGTCAAAGAGCCGGAAGAGTCCATCGATTTTGTCGTCGTCTGGGTGTGATGGGAATGCCGAGTCGGGTACCGGCGGCGAAGAAGGTTTGCCCTTGATGTTCTCTGCGAGACGTAGGAGCGCGAGACCGCCATACAATGCAGTGGTGGGGTCTGTCACTTGCAGAGCTTCCGGAAGGTGAGAGTTTGCCCATTCTATCAACGACTTATCCAGTGATTGCTGTCATGTTGGGGGAATAATTGTCCGTATTGGGTATAGTAATAAAAAAGGGGATATAAGGGGGTGAAAAAAAGAAGGGGTATTCAGAATCTGTAAGTATAAGCGGCTTGAAAATAGCCTACATGATCATTCGTTGAAGTAACTCTGCCCATTTCACGCGATGGCCGCGGTGGAGCCGAACTCTTTAGCGGAGGGCTTTTCTTGGTGTCTTTACCCTTGTTGGAAACGCTATCGACTGTGAAGAACGAGTCCAGCCGTGTACGATCGCCATTTCCATTCAAGGACTTTTCCTTCGCCGGCATGCCCATTAACAGAACTTCAGCATCCCTAGTGGACAGCTGATTGGGATTGTCACGGCGATGGGCACGTTGTGTGGCTTCACGAGCTGTCGGCGAAGGTGGGCGCGGTGTCGGGTTCATCGCTTGTGCCACGGTGAGGGGTATCGTGGGTATGTTGCTTGACGATACCACGGGGTCTGCGAAAATCAGGATAAGGCTAATCATACGTGCACATGGAAAAAAGTAACGTACTGGTGTAATCTCTCGTGATTGTAGCTTTCATGAGAGCTTTCATCCATTCCCGAATAACGATTTGCTCGTCAGAGCTGAAGTAGTGGGTCTTGTCGGTGTCGTGTACGATTTGGAAGCCGTAACGACCCGGATCGACGTTCTCATCGGCTTGTACTCGATATCCAAGGATATTGACATAACCCTTGATTTTTGTTTCCTGCAAGAAATATATATATCGTCTCAGAACGTCACAATACAGTAGAACTGGATGACTCACCGACTTGTTGTTGCTCCGCAAGCAATATAAATGGGATCCCTTGAGAACAAAGTACCGCGTCTTCCACGTATTGTACCGGTCGCTCTTCTTTCGCATCCAGCCATTGTGGTCTGGTGTGCCGATCTGCTCGAGAATACTCCTGCCACTTACTAAGTTAGGACCGGGTCCTTGCACTGCCGTTGCGCCGGGTCTAATGACAGAAGCATCTACAGTCGACGTTGTACGCTTGCGGAGAATGGAGCGATCTTGCGGTGAAGCGCCGCCTATCTTCTCTTTCGGACGAGTACCATCCGAAGTTGAGGGTCGGCTAGAGCTCCTCCTCTCGCCACTGTGGACAATACGAGAGAACGTACTCATACTCATATGAGGCTTGTCCTCGCTCTTCTCCGCAGAACTGTCAAGCTCGTATATCAGTAAACGCCGGGAAGTAGAGACCGTATCACATACGTAGAGAGTCTTGGCGGTGGTTTCCTCGACTTCCCAATTGTTGAGGCAAAGGGACTTCCAAAGAGACTGAGTCGATCAGAAGCCTTCCGCTCCCCATCTCCCCCTTTCTTGCTACGCCGCCTCACTGGAGGAAGTTCGTCCGCAAACTCGCTCTTTGTGTCATTATTAGGTGACGCAGATATAGGTGTGGTGGCGATATCCCGGGAGTGTCGACTACTACTGGTATCCTTCAGGGAGGCCGCCTTCTCCTTCAGGGAAGAAGACTCGGTTGAACGACCGAACAAACGTCTTCGCTTTTGCTTGGCGTCAAGTGCATGGGTGGTTTCACTCTGCATTGTTATTCAGTAAAGAGCGAGGCCCGCCAAAAAAAACTAAAACATACATCGCTCAGAACACCTCTGTCATCTACCCCATTCACCGATTTCTGGTCATCAATGACAGCAGACGCTTTCAATGCACCGTCGCTCGGAGAAAGCATGAGTTGTGCCGGTCGATTCTTCTTCAACAATTCCGATCAATACGCCGACACTGGGAAACATACAGAGAAGGAACTAACCTGAAGTTTCCCATTGATCGAAGGCGAACTCATGGAAATAGGCAACCCCAATCCCAACCCAGCATTTTCCCTTGGATGCTGATCACCAATAGCAGTCGCAGTGACTGACCCAGGATCAGAAGCTCTCCACCCATTAGGTAACCCCTGCGATGCGAACTCGCCATTCTGCGGTGAGTTTTCTGCAGTCAAGAATGCACCACCCATATGGGTGTGAGGTGCAGATTGCGAAGACATCATACCCATATGTGACGACACAGGACTGAACTGAGGACCAGTGTAGTACGGAGCGTTGTAAGAGTGATGGGCAGAACTCTGCACCGAAGCAGTGTGCGAGTGAGAGTAGCTGATCGACTGTGAGCGGGACGTCGATGCGGCAGCGGCAGCGGCAGCAGCTTGTTTCTCGGACTCCGATGGTGAAGGTGGTCGCTTGAGTTCAGCGATAGCATTGATGATACGTACTCGTTTGCCAAACGCGAGGACGCCAATCTCGTTCTTGAGAATATTCTGGTCGAGCTCAAGCAAAACGTCACCTGTGATTTCTTGTTCTACACATGCAGTGAGATGGAGAACGTAGAAATGAGTGCATAACGTGCATAAACTCACCGATAAATTTATCACAGGTGCCTTGATCAAAGCCTTTCGACTTGAGCCATTCCACAACTTCTTCAACAGACCACTCGTACGCACGTGTCGAAGAACTCGTGCTGACCGGAACTGACGGCTGTCGCTGAGCAGGCGGCGCCACAAGTGGAGCCGCAGTCTTGAAAGAGTTCACGGTAGTGGCTGGTGTCAATGTCTGTTGACCGATCGAGCTCTGAGGTCCAACTGAGCCGATCGTCGAGACCGTAGGAGACGCCATAGGGCTTGGAGCAAATGGGAGTTGTTCCCCTACTCGAATCGTGCTTGGAATCGACTTGAGTAAGTGAGGGGCATGCGATAGCTGAGGTGTCGACTGTTGCGATTCTGGTACAGGTGATGGAACGATTGCTGGAGGTGAAACCGGTGGAGCAGGAGCAGGAGATGAAGGTGTGGTTCGGACTGGTTCGGATGGAGGTAATGGCGGTAGCGAAACAATAGTTGAAGATGGAGGTGTTGGAGAGGCGGGCTTGGGGACGTCAGCAGCAGGGGTAGGTAGAGGAAATGAGACCTTCTCTGCTGTAGCAGTAGGCAAGTCAGACTCATCCGGTAACGGCACAACGAAATCCTCGGAAGGTTCGATATGCGAACTGGCTGCATCATACGGTGCAGGCGGAGGAGCTGGCAAGTGAGGTTCTTGAGCGGGCGAAGGCACCTTGCTCAGGTCAACCGTCTGGTCATTTTCTTCCTCTTCCTCTTCCTCTGGAATATGGGGATGCTGCCTAATGGGGAATGGGTCGCTATGTCTCTCACGAAGAGTTGCCAGCTGCTCCTCATCCTCTTCGCCCTCGCTCTCGTCGCTCATTTCCACGTCAATCGGCGGGGCAGTAAGTCGCATAGGCGTCGTAGGCACCGATTCCGCAGCCTCCTTCGCCTGCCTCTCTTCATTCTCCTGCTTCGCTCGCATGGCCAGCTTCTCACGGGCGCCCTTATGCCAACCCAAAGCCTCCTCGTCCTCCGAATCACCCTCAGTCTCTGTACCTGACCTATCAGTGTAATCTCCGTGAGAACTCACGAAGCTGAAGCTCCGCGCGCCATCGCGGTCGTTTCTCCCCAGCTGCTCAATGGCTTTTTGGACGTCAGTCATCGTCGCCTGCATCATTTCACCGCTAAGCGTTCGTCCACGATCATCCGGGGTCGAGGTCGCATTAGGTGTAGTCGATTCTGGCTCTTCCGCTAGTGTATCGAGAGCGATGGAAGGTATCACGGAAGAGCTCTCTGCAGAGGTCTCGCCCTTGATGGAAGTCGACGAACCTGGAAAGCTCACTGTTGATGAAGCTGGCGGGTGTGTCGAAGTGTATGTTTGAGGAAATAGGCCAACTAGGCCTTGAGGATTGCGACCCTGGGAAGGAGAAATGAATGAGTAAATAGAACGGAACATTGTCGATGTGTCAAACGAATTGGCAGTTTGAGGACGAGGTGTACACTTCCTCAAGTATTTATGCTCGGGGTTGTTGACTAAAAGCCATGCCAAATGCGAGCTGCTTTGGCATGGTCAAAGCCAACGTTGCCAATGGCTCACACGTCCAAGCGTGTGCATACCGACACCTCCATTGTCAAATAAGTACTTACCTGCCACCAACCATCTTGGTACATATCATCCTTCTCAATCACCTCGATTCGGTCGCCGACTTTGAATGGGACCTCGTCAGGTTTCTCGGGGACAAAGTTGTGTAATGCGTAGACGTATTCGGGCATGTTGATGTGGGGACGATCATAAACTGGAAGAGATGTGAATAGAGAGAGGTAAGGAGAGGTGAAGGATATAAGCAAGAAGAAAGGAGGTGAAGCAGAAAGCAAAGAGACAAGGAGCGGATATGACGGTTGAGCTGAGAAACGGTGAGAGCTTCCTCGACCCGCCCCGAGCTGCCGTGGGCGCGGGGTCTTGTAGGCGCCCATATCGACCAACACCCTGTGCTTCACTTTCTTTTTCCAGAGGGACAAGTTCGTCTTGATACCTCGACATGTCTCAGGCCATCGGAAACGTTTGTCGACTTCATACCCGTGCTCGACACTATTCTCACTCTGGTTTGCTTGCTTTTAGACCGCTCTTGCCTATGCCCGTGTGTGGCACCATGTCGACGCTTCAGACCGCGTTCTGGGTAAACTTGCGGAGCGTATAGCTCTCGTGCTCATGGGCAAGCACAAGCCAATATTTGACCCTGGTGGTAAGTAGGCATCCATATGAATCAAAAAGCTGATGATTGACTGGCATGTTAGTCGATTGTGGTGATTATGTTGTCGTGAGCAACGCAAGGAAGGTCAAGGTCACCGGAAAGAAGGCCGAGCAGCTAGTGTATAGACATCACACCATGTTTCCAGGTGGCTTGAAGGAGATCTCATATAGGGACATGATGGCGAGGAAACCGGACGAGGTGCGTCCCCATTCCATTCACTTACACAATGGTAGGCTAACTTGGCTTTTATTGAACAGATCATTCGCAAGGCCGTGTCAGGAATGTTACCCAAAAATAAGCTACGAGAACGAAGACTGGAACGCCTGCGCATATTCCCGGACGAGGATATTGGCACATTCCAGCATAACATCCTGAAACGCTTCGAGGACGGTACCCTTCGGTGACTGACCGTCTCTCAAAACTACCTATAATATCTCGAGGAGTCTCTCGCTTCTTGTAATTCTTACTTCGAATGGATCTCTCGTGACTTTATTCCTGCTCGTCTGATTCAGAGTTGGATTGTGCTAGACTTAAGAATGTCCGGTGGTTCTGTGGTTCGTTTTCCAACCTGCTCTCCTCCTCTGCATTATCCTCTTCCATGTGACGATCTTCTGCTTCCACTTCCACTCCGCTTTCTACTTCCGTCGCAAGGGGCTCATCCGGCTCAAAGCGCCCAACCTTTTCTCTAACATACTCCTGCAGGAGCATACCTATAAGCAACACACATTAGGACCACCGGTAAAACAATCAGCTTTGAGCACGCACCAAGAGCAATGAGTGCGGAGCCATCAAATCGCCTATACATATCCTGATTCCTGTACGCCTCAGTCCAATCTTTCTCCTGCCTTTTCTTCCTTTTGCGTTTCCCGGCCGCTCCCTTCTTGTCTGTTTCTTTGCCCTTACCCTTGTTTTGACGCTTTCGAGGGCGTAAGTCTTCATCAGCGTCCGGTATGGGCTCATCTTCGTCAGTCCACAGAGTGTCAGATTGTTCACCGTCATCCTCAATTGCTTCATCTTCGTCTGGGCCGTGCGTAGCCTTTTGCTCTGCGAACTCGTCTTCATCTTCATCTGAAGAAGCAGCTGCACTCTTCCGCTTCTCTTCCCGCCTCTTTTTGTACAATCGCCTCACGAAACGTTTCGCATCATGAAGCTGTCCCATATCGTTATAATATACACTGGCAAAGTAATGGATCGTTTTAAGGAGATCCTGTAGTACTCGAGATCAGTGACGTTGTAAGGATGTGACATTGGGAAGTGCTCGCCGATTCTGGTACTGGCATAGTGCCTGGCGGATGAGGGAGGTCATTAGCTTTGTGCTCGAGGTAACTCATATCTTCGTAAAACCGTCGTCTTTGGCGTCGTCGGTACTCCTCTCCCTCCTCTTCCTCTTCCTCACCTTCTCCCTCTTCCTCCTCTTCCACTTCATCTTCAAACTGAGTCGTCTCCCCCTCATCATCCCTCTTCTCTTCAGAGCCGCCCTCCTCATCATCAGAAATCTTCTTGTACAAGGGAACGCGCCCAGTCCCGCCAGCGTCTTTCGCTATCCAATTTCCGCGTACGTCCCTCGTAATCTTCTTATCACGCCTGTATGCATAATTTGAATCAGAGCTTGGTATCCGAAAGTCGTCGTGGTGAATTCGTAAAGCAGCAAGGTCGTAGACGGTATTTCGCCGTTGTCCAGTGGGCGGCATGATCGTTGAGGTTAAGCGTGGGAAGTATGGTCATACACAGAAATCCTGACTTCAAGACCTTGTTCTTGAGCCGCGTTTCTTGGTAGCCACCTCTTCATTCCGGCCTCTCTGGGCCTTTCACATTAAAGTATGTCCGAACGTTGCAGCGAATGGTCTATGTTGATGAGAGCACGTGCACAGACACTTTTGAGCGAGCCAACGTCGGTTGGCACACGCCTCATTGTTTGGGCACCATCATGTCCGGAGAGTCATCGAAGAGGTCAACACTCATTGACATGTACGTCCCAGTAAAAACCCTGCTACAGAATAACTCTAACATACCCCTTAGAACATACCAATACCTGCATACCATCCTAGCCAACCACCTAGAAGGTTCCTCACAAGCCGAAGTCTCCGAATACCTTAAACACCGCGTCGATCAACTCAAGAATCTATCCAATCCATTCGGCACACCCTCCGACGCGTCCAAAAAGAAAGTAGAGTCAGGATCAGTTGCATTACGAGATGGCGTCATCATACGCGTGGAAGATACGGACAAGCCATACGTCTTTGCCATCAGCAAGGAGTTCAATATCGACGAAGTCGAGGCTTTGATCCTCTTGAGGTCGTTCATGTACAATGAAGGTCTCCCTGCTGAAGCTACTTCCGACGAGTCTTCATCGTATGTGGATGAAGTTATCACTCACATCACGCCCTTCTATTACTCGGAACGTCTCTACGCTCTACGTGTGCTCATCCCGTTGTTGAGCTCTTCGGACGAGGTAATCAAGGAAGTCTCTGCAGAGTTCCTTCCGAAGATTGCTCCTAACGGTAAAGAATGGGCTTTGACGCTTCTTTCCGAATATCTCAAGAGGACTCAGGCGGACCTTCCGGGGAACCTCGATAATCAGCCACGAAAAGCCGCACAATGGGTGAAGGAGAATGCCAAATCCCAGTTGGTCCTTCTTGAGGTGTTGTTCTGGACAATGTGGGAATACGTTCCCGCCAGCGGTCCAATCGTATACCGTATTCTCGAAGTGGCTTACCAGACAAATATGGGTTCCGTTCAACAGAACGGTAACTTCCTCCTAGACGACGAGGGTATTCAGCTCCAGCAAGATAACGCCGCTATGTGGATGCTCGTGCTAATCGAAGTACTTGAATTGGAACGAGCAGCTGATGGTATCTCGCTCTCCGCTGATCAAGAAGAATCAGAGGTCTACTGGACATCGCCAGAAGACCTCGAACGGTTACATCAACTGGTTATCTCTCATGACAGCAGTCAGTTTGCGTGCCTCTACCTTGGATGGGCGTTCATTCTATCCAAAGTTGTTCAGGCAACGTCAGAGGCAAAGGAGCTTCCGCAAGCATACAACAAATTCATCTCCTCTATTGTCCCCCAGATGGATAGATCGTATGCAAAAGACAGAGAGCCTGTCCACGTCCTCATGACGAAGACCTGTCTTGACCCTGATGCTGGGTTGTTCCCATTGCTCCTTACCCTCCTGACCAATACACCGTTATTCGTGGCGTCGCTTGCATGGAAAACTGGTTCCGCCATTACGGATCCTAACGCGGTCGCATTTCGTTCCGTGCTGAAAGGTCCGTGTTTAATTTACTACAACCTGGGATAACAATCCTCACCTTATTCCTCCCAGGGTTGATTATTGCGCTGGTAGAACTCGTGCCGGTAGAACTCATTCCCCAGTTCGACATGTTTGTCGAAGTCTGGGTGGCGCTTTTTGGCGGCAGCGAGAGCGTATCAGTATCAGGCATCTGCAACCAATTCTGGCAATCAGACTGGAATGCCGGATCGTCTCGCAGAGCTGTCTTGGACGTCGCTCGTTCACGATTTCCTGTTCAGCCCAGACCGTTGCTCCGACTTCTGCGTGCATTGTCAGGCGCTGGTACTCTCAACTCCGATCCTTCAAATGGGGAAAATGGTACTGTTCTACCACTCACGGGTGAACGAGCAACATGCTCCGCTAATGTCTTCTTATACTTCAACCAACTTCCGACATATACCCAAGTCGTCCCAGCGAGCGCCTGTACAGGTGGACATGCATTATACGAGAAGTTGCCAGAGCGTTACATCGCATCCGGAGTGTCTACTGGTTTGACTTATTCGAACCTGCGACCTCTTAAACTGCCAGGTGGTTCTACTCTTCCCGCAAAGTCCGTCGGACGTCTTTTGAATGGAGATGGGGGTGATCTGGTCGTCATATGTTGGCAGCACGAGCATTCGGGGTGGAAATTGCTATTAGAGATCTTGACAGACTACGTGAACCGGAGGAGGCTATATTCTGGGAGCGGTTCGCACCATGACGTTTCATTTGCTCGACGCGGAGACCACAAGGTGACGGCTGTCAAACTGGAAGACATTGGCGTAGAGATGGACCCTGCTGGCGATGAAAATATTGTCGTCGACGCACTCGATCTAATTAGGAGCGTCGCGCAGGACAACCCCCTCCTTGCTCAAGACCTACTCGATACTCTCGAAGCAGGAGATGTTGTCGTGGCCCATACTACCACCGAGACATCACCTCCAGATTTGGTCCAACTTTCCACGATGATCCTCGAAGAAGCCCTTTCGCGATCATCACCTCAGCATCGAACCGCTCCTCGTACTGGTCTTATCACGTCTGCTCTGGGTGTGCTTTCAGCTCTTCTAACGCTCCCGAAATATTCCAACCGCGTGTGGCTGTATATTCGCTCAACAGCATCTCTCTTTGGGTCTGAGCACAACGCCGGCATCACTTCAACGGTTTTGGCAGCGGAGCGCCTGACCGGCCAATATACCATGACCTTGGCTCTGCTGAGCTTTGTCCAGCAACTATTCAGCGAAGCTTCATACACAGTGGCGTCGGTGCTACAGGACAACCCTAAGATGCAGCAGGTGAAAGAGGAAGTCCTCATGCGAGCAACCCGGTTCATCCACTCGGAGATCTGGATAGAACACGTCGGATGGAAGTATTCTCAATTGTCTGACCGATTCAAGATAGGTCGACGGGTTTCGACGTTGTACAATTCAATCCTCAAGCATTCTCCTCCTGTCCTTCGCGATGCTCCATTCACTAAACTGTCTCAAGCAGTGTCTGACTCGCTGCTTGCCAAAGCCACCATGTCGACGGTCCATCCAATTGTCTCCGCCATCTCATCAGGTGGTTCTGTCCTCTCGCACCTGTATGCTTCGCGTCGATATGGCGATGCAAGACGTCTGGTGTACATGATGGATAGTCACTTGCGACTCACACGCACGATCCTGACATACAAACCAAAGTCTCCTTATGCATCGCAAATATGCCTTTTGGAAGAGGTTCTGTGCACCCGCGGGAGTGCTGGTTCGTCTAATCCCAGCGGATCACGTACGGATCCAATTGATGCACTGGCGGCGTACGTGAAGCACAGAGCGATGGGCTCAACCGTTCCTATCCTAGCAGCGCAAGTGCTTTTTGCACTCTGCTCGTCTCTTTCCGCTTGTGATGGGATGCCTCCTACTATTATCGGACACCTGTCAGACCCAGAAGGTACCGTGGCGGCGCTGGTGCGCATTGTTATGCACCCGTATGATGATGTTGCCTTGCGTCGTGCAGTGTGGAATTTCATCACGCTGGCTGTGGATAAGGAACCTGCTCTTGCCAACCTTTTTGTTACCGGGCATATCCATGCAACCAGCACGAAAGGGAAGGAGAAAACGGACGACAAGGGTGCTAAACCGAAGCTGAGTGCGCTATCCGTCGCAGTGGACATGTTGGAACAATGGAAAGAGCTTTGGGAACTCAATCCCCTCTCACTGGCATCTCTACTCCGTTTCTTGCATGTCGTTTGGGAGCATGGTCATGAGCATAAGACAGCACTGCAAACCATTCGACAAGACGCTTCGTTCTGGGACTCGCTCGCATCCATCGTGCGCGAAGAATTGGGCCCATTGCCTGATTACGTAGTAGAGACGTTTAGCTTTGTGGAAGGCGTGCAACGTTCCGACCTTCATGAGGCGGTTTCCGTGCATTCTCTTCGAACCGCTATCAAATCGCATGCCCTCAGTATCATTGGCCTGGATATCCGAATGGCCTTACAAGCACATGGCGACAAGGGCACGGCGACAAAACCTGCCAGCTATATCGCTTTACAGAACGTGCTGCAGTCTGAGGAAGAGCTGACAGACCTGATCGGAGAAGCAGCATCAAGGACGTACGACCCATCACTCCATGATGAGCTGCTGACACTACTGCAGGAGCATTTCCATTCGCTCTCAATGGACCAACTGCAAGTTCCAGCTCCTCTCGTGGAGCGTGAGTTTGGTGATGGATTTGCATTCTCTTTGGAGTTGATCCAGGAGCGTTTGCAACCATTTGAAAGTGTCCTTGCGGAACAGGTTGACGAGGCCGTCCGCAAATTATGCTCGATCAACCTCAATATTTCACTGGCTCATGCCCAAACCACCCTCACCCAGTCTTGGCAATATTTCTTGCTACAGGTTGTTCCCTTCTTACGCGGAGTGTCTTCGGTCAGACCTACGCTGCTCGCGATTGCTGAGTCCGTGTCAGCGGATTTAGCCGGGGAGAGTAGGTCGGGGGAGATGATGGCAGCTATTCATCATGCTCGGCTCTCACTGCTTCTCGCGTTACTGGAGGTTGCGTGGTTCTCATCAACAGAGAAGAAAGAAGAGATCACTCATTTCATTGCCCTGGTCAAGAATGTACGCGGAATCATTCTCAACAATGCTCAATCACCTGCGAAATCTTTCCTTGGTCAAGTTTCTATACCATTCCATCGAGTGATCCTCCAAATCGCCTACTTCTGCATGCGTCACAGCCGGACTCTCTGGCTTCGACCCAAGATACTCAACGCTGAGCAACGGCTGATAGTTACCTCGACAATGGAATATACTCTCATTCTTGTCATCGATGCCCTGCGTATCTCTTTCGAGGCCGCGCGGACTAAATTGGACTTGGACGTCGATCAAGACTTGGAGCTGCTGGTTGCCGTATTTGAGCAGTCCACCAGACTGGATTTCAACTCCTCACCGAGCTTCTGGCTGACAAGGTGTCAAGAAACCGATTTAATCAGGGCTGGGCTGGAGGTATTCAGCCGAATGGATTTGGTAGGGTTCTCCGACCTCGGTCTGTTGAGGGCTCGCAAACAACCTCTTTACGCTCCTCATGTTCTCAGCTTCCACGTGGCTCTGGCGAGCATTCCGTCGGCAGCTGAGAGGCTTGCGAGTGAGGGAATCCTCACTGCATACAGCGAGAATCCTATCAGTGCCGCTATCAAGGCAGGTTCCATCGACGTCCTTTTGCCTGAACTTCCCAATGAGCATAGTCCAGCGCATGCTGCTTATTGTACTATGTTATCTGTGGTCGCCGGCGTCGCCGCCGCCTTAGGTCGACATGGGCAATACTTCGACGCCGAAGTCAGCGGCCTCGTACAGCTTTGGTCAGAGCAGATACACCACACCCTGTCGTGGACGAACGGCGATCCTCTCACTCTCCCTCTGCTGGAGGAGATTGAGCAAGTCGTGAACCTGTTCTCGGCTATCGCTCAGAACTCTCCACTACCCAACCGATCAGAAGCGGTACAACGTGCCTTGGCTTTCTTCACAAATGATGCTCTGCTCTTGCTTCAGCAGGTCAATTACGCCTTGACTCATCCCAATCATCTCGCTAGTCTGTTCGAGCCAATTACCGCAAAGGAGAGGGCTGACTTTGAAGCTGACAGTCGGGGCAAGACTTCGATAAGCTCGCCTACTGATGTCGTTGATCCCATGAAGAGGCCGTTTTTGGCAAAGCTTGTCCACCGGTTCTTCAAGCTGTCTGGTTCGATTCTCAATGCTCTGATTGCGATCAGTGGAGCTGAGATCGTACTGACTGGCGAGCCACAAGATTGGCCAGTGCATCAAACTCTTGTTGTTCCCGTAAGTTTTCTAGACATTTATCCACACATACTCATAATCATTGACATTTACATATCAGCATTCCAAAGTCGTGCTGGGCGAACCTGCATCGATAGGAACACTCCTTGAACTGGGTAACTGTTCACTGGATGTCCTCCGTGCTCTAGTCAACCGTCCGGCTATGCAAGCCATTACACCTGCTAGCTCAATCAACTCGAAACCTTTGGATGTACGAGACAGCGTGATAGTTGCTAGACGAACGTTAGAAGCTGTCCTCTTCTACTCCGTCACGCAACTAGCATTATGGCTCTCAAGACCAGATATAGACACAACTCCGAACGAAATGGACGGTGACGATGGCATGGGTATAAGTATGTTCGGGCGAGAAAGCCGAACGGGTCAAGACAAGGACAGGAGGACAAAAACCCAATCGTCGACTTTGGCACAGAGGTTGAGGAGGGGTATGACGGGTGAGATGGCATCAGATGTGCAAGCTTTGCTTGCGAAGGCCAAACCGATTGTGGCGAAGACTGAGGGGATTCTGGGGAAGAAGAGCGTGGATCTGACGGCGGTGCTTTCGAGATTCGTGCAGGAGAGGATCTTGACGTAGTTCATAGTTGCTTTATGGTATATATTGCCTGTTTCGGACTCGTTTCTCTTGTTGCATTAAATCATCGAGTGTTTTCGGAAACGAAAAGTCAGGAATTGGATCAGGATGGTCGTTCTCTGGTAAGTACATCCACCCCATGTTCAGTAATAAGTATCATCTCTTCTGCCTGCGCACTTCGTGCCCCGCTCTATATAAATAGAGATAAGCAAATGGTTTTTGACCTGATCGTGCTAGCGGCGCAAGAGAAAGACGTACCACTGTCGAAGCTGTCCATCCATCAGGAAATATCCATGTTCGAGGGTCAGTTCCCTTTATAATGCATGGCTGCCATAAGATGGACCCATTTATCTTATCCGGATACAACAAAGAGCATGCCGACGAACCTCAATCGTGAAACAATGCCCAGGTAACATTTCTCCCGGCTCTTCGTTCACTACAGAATCAACCATTCGCATTTTAATCCCTTAACTCAGATTGTCGCTTAACTTACAATCATGAAGAATCCATGGTGGACGGTGGAACATCCTTCCTATTCCATGCCCAGTAAATTGAGGAGAGACACACCACTGACCACTACCGTGACTCTGGAGGATGTTGTGAATGGCTCTCGCGATGCCTTTGAACGGTTGTCCGGGTCCACAAGCTTGGATTGCTGCATCCAGAGCCTCGTTCGTAACTGCGACTAAGGACTTTCCTATGTCATCCTGAAACACCTGATTTAGGTCTTTCTCAAAGAAATCGGAGTACGTGCAACTTACGACATTACCCACGAGAAAGGTTCGCGAGGTATCTCCATGATACCCATCGAGGTAGACTGTAACGTCGACGTTCACAATATCCCCGTCCTGAAGACGTCGACTAAGATGAACGAGCCTTCAGCATTCTTGAATGGACCATTAAGCATGCTCACTTACCTATCAGGTATACCATGGGCTACGATGTTATTGACACTCGTGCAGCATGATTTAGGGAAACCAGAGTAGTGCAAGGGAGACGGATAGGCTTTGTGAGAAATTATGTACTGGTGTACCGCCGCATTAATCGAGCTTGTCGTGGCACCTGGCTATAGTTGTTAAGCTAGTACTGCTCAACACGTCTCTATGTACTCACCTTAATAAAACCAGCTGCATAATCGAGCGTTGCTCTGGCTAACCGTGCAGCATTCCTCAGATGGAACACCTCTCGACCTTGGAACTCAATCCTCCCGTCACCATCGTCGTCATATGATTCACCCACATTGGATGGATCCTTTCCCAATCGCATGCATTCAAGAGTCTGCTTCACGTACGGCGGGTAACGTATATAAGCGGGTACCTCTTTACGGTGTATATGGGAAACGCCCCATTTGTACGGCTCTTCAGGAAGTATCATTTCGTATAGCCCTGGATCCTGGATGATAACGTGCTCGGTGACATCGTCTTCAGACTCGTTACGGTTCAATTCCGGAGGAGTGAGAGCCGTGGAGACAGATATGTTGCGTCTTGCATGTTTCGTGTATCCATGCAGGCGACTGTAGCAAGCTTGTTTGCACAAATGTTTAGAAGCATTTGAAGAAAGTCTCAGGAAGGTATGCATTTCGTAGGACCAGACGATAAAGTTATCGTTTAGGCTTTAGGGATAGAAGTAACATAAATCATTAGTTATAAGACTAATCAGCCAATAAACATGGCCGCCTGGCGAAATGGCATCGCGTCTGACTACGAATCAGGAGATTGCAGGTTCGACCCCTGCGGTGGTCATACACTTCCGATGTCGTGACTTTTTTCCTCGGACGTTTTATTTGCGCGATCGTGATGGTTCATCACGCATCTTCAAGCTTCAAGTGACAGCATCATATATGCAGGATGAAAACAGCTCGGAAGCCATGACATTAAATAAGAGTACTATAGCAAGGACCACAGGAATTGAGGCAAACACTTGGCAATCATGTCCATCCTCTGGCCGAGCCCTTTCCGCCACCATGACCTCGCTCCTTCTCAATAACAAACAATGCATCCCTCAAAGTAATCAGCCGTCTACCATCCTCCTCCTTGGGAGGTGTCATCTGCTGTGTGCTAGGCTTAGACGAAACATATGGTCTAGCCCAACCTCCCGCACCACCCGCACCAACTGCTGGAGCGGTCGTGGTCGCAGGCGATAATCCTGACGAGCCGGTACTCGTAACAGGTTTGGGTTTGGGTGGTGCTACAGTAGCACTTGCAGCCGTCATCCAAGCATACTTTCCCGTACCCAAGCCAGCAGCTTGACTCGCAACCGCGTTTGACATTTTCTTCCTAACGTCTTCCGACATGTTGCGAGCCGTAACACCTGGCCCTTCCTTCTTTTTCTTCTTCTTCGGCTGGCCATCTTCCTCACCATCTACTACCATGGCGGATCCGCTTGCTGCTTGCTGTGCTTGAAGGGCTGCAGTTTGAGCTGCAGCGGCTTCTTCACGTTCTCTCCTCTCCCTCCTCACCTTCATCTCTTCCTCCTTTTCGATCTTCTCCAGCGCTGCTAATTGCTTGCCCACGTCGCTTCTGATGACCAGACCCCACATTGGTGAACCGTCCCCGTATGTCGAAGGTGCTCGATCAAATTGAGTGTTCGTTCGATGTGCTGAAGCCTCAATCATGGCGGTGACTAAGTCTTGTAATCGTGCACGAGCAGCCAAGGCAACGTAGTTGACAGAGTCTTCAGGAATTTTGGTCACTTTATGCTTGTTCCCAATGTCACGCATTGTACCTCCAACAATACGAGCATCGAAATTGGGTCTCGGTGGTTGTTTTCGAGAGCGATCCTCGTAAGGTCTGTATGCTTGATATGTATCGAAGGTGCGATGTAGTGTCTCTTCTTCAGCCTGACATCCTTTATTAGCAAACATCATGACATCTAAGTATGTCAACGCACCCGAAGGTCTACACCAGCACTTCCTAGTGCATCATTCAACGTCGCAACGTCCGCAGTATCTAGTGTGCTCGTGATTGTCGTAGTCTGCATGGGTTGGATATTCTGCCGTGCGGGTTGAGGTGCCACAGCCATAGTGGCCGCACCCGACGGAGGTTGAGCATGGGGGACATAAGCTTGCTGTTGCTGCTGTGGCGGTTGTTGAGGTTGTTGTGGAGGCGGATATTGGTAATGTGAGTATCCCGCTTGAGCGGCGTAATGTTGATATTGATAGTGCGTGTATGTGGGCCTATGCACGACTATCATCGATGACTGTCCACTGAAATTGAGTGACATCGTGAGTGTACTTACGTTGGGTGCGGCGTGGGTTGTTGCTGCTGCAAAGCAGGGTCAATGGGGATTTCTATCAAAGCAAATCATCAGGTATCGTTGTCAGTGCATGCAAATTTCACATACGTGATTGGGGACCCCATTGGGCGGCGGAGAATGTAGTTGTAGGGGTTTGTGAAGGAGTGTCTTCCGCCTTCATGCTGTATTTTGTGAAGATATTGAGGACAGAGTGGTGTGGAGGAACAATGGAATACCTCACTTTCAATGTATCACAACACGTCCCTTGCAAGTAGACGCGTGTTTGTTCAGGGGTAGCTAGGACTTCACAGGTCTCTCCTCTGAATGGCAGAATGTCCCTGGTAGACGGTTACACAGATTCCCTGAAGTGGACGCCTTCAAGTTCCTCTGTGCCTGGCGTAGTCGTCGAAGAGTCTGAGTTATCGAGCTTGCAGTTTGATCAAATGCTTCAACCTGTAGCGTACACGTACGAAAGGGGCGGATATTCGTTCAGGCAGCAACGAGAACACAAGAATGGGTGTCAAAACGGTGGAATGTTAGAAGTTAAGATGAGAGAGGAGGTGATCGCGCGCGCGAGGTCAGCATGTCCTTTCACAATCTTATCTTATCTACCAGACGAGCGCTAGCCATTCATCTCTTCATCTTCCACCCCTTCCACCACGACAACTGGATAAGTCTCCAAGCGACAAAGACCGCACCTTCTGACTCATATCCAGTATGTTTCCGACACTTGATCTCCGAAGATCAACTTGGTTCGAGTCAAAAGCATCATAGGAAAGTGGTCTCTGGTTCCTGCAATACATTACGATCAGCATTCCAAACGTCAAGAGATGGCAGACAAAAGATTGGGTGCGTCGCATGTATGCTACTCAGGTCACGCCGAATTGCTCATGTCTATGCTGGCTTCAGTCTTCGTAACTGGTAACCCCATGAAGCTGCAGGAGGTCCGGGCTATACTCTCTCAATCGGGTGTCGAGATCGATTCGCAGAATTTGGACAGTATGCCGGATTTCAGCCATCTCCCCGTGACCCGCTCAACTTTGGTTTCTAGTTCCGGAGCTTCAAGGAACTACGCAGGAGATCGCTATTGACAAATGTCGTCGTGCAGCCGAGATCCTGCAGGGACCTTGCATCACCGAGGACACTGCTCTTTGCTATGAAGCTCTGAACGGACTTCCGGGACCTTACATCAAGTACTTCTTGAAAGAATGCGGACTAGAAGGTTATATCGACTATCTTTATGAGACGTTTTCTGTTTCAATTTACCATCATGAACACCCAGGCCTAAACAAGCTCTTAGCCGGCTTCGAGAATAAGAACGCCTATGCACTCTGCACATTCGCATACAGCGCAGGACCAGGGACAGAACCTATTCTCTTTGAGGGTCGTACGTATGGGAAGATTGTCCCTCCAAGGGGTGCGGGAAAATTTGGATGGAACCCCGTCTTTGAAGCAGATGGTACAGGAAAGACGTATGACCGATTCGAGTTCACGCAAGACTTCGTATTTCTCACTCTTGTACAATTGTTACAGGTTCGCCGAAATGACCGAGGACGAGAAGAACGCCATCTCGCATCGTTTCCGTGCGCTCGAAAAGCTCAAAGTTCACTTGCAATCTTTGAAGTCATGAAACCTCCACAAACGCAACCATGAGGGAAGGTGTTACGATGCATATACCCTGCGCATAGAGTTCAGGTCTAAGTTTAAAGAATACAGACCTGATGTATCTAGATCTGTCTACGGTTTGGCTTCTGGTATTCCGGTATTCGTGTTCAGTTGTCTCTTCAACGCTGAAACGGTTTGCACCGCAGAAACAAGCAGGCGACCTGACATCTTGTCAAGAACCTGTGCTTCATCTAATCGACATCTCTCTCGTCCGATGAGAACGGACACTCACTTCAGATCTACTGGCAGATATTCGTCCTTCCATAGTCAGCGCTGTGCTAACAATTCTCAGTCTTGTTCCTCTAAGATGGTAGAATCATGGGTTAGAAGCGGTCCAACAGTGCTAGAAATTACTGAAATGCAGGTGAGTGCCAGATCAGGTTCATTGCTTGTGAGACACCCGAAGCGTCCTTTCCAATGACCGTGCCCAGTGCAAAAAGGGCCGAGAATGTGCATCTGAATAGGTGAGTCGTTCTATGTCCAAGCACAACCTTAGCTTTGTTTGTCCCACTTACGTGTCTAATATGTGTGCAGCGCAGCCTCCAGACAACGTTCCATGTACGTTAAGCATTCCTAAACCGCATGTCAAAGGTCATTTATTCACCAAACCAGGCCTGTCTCACCTTCTTCGACATCAATCTCGCAAACAGTCTCAGCCACCCAACTCCTACTTCCCTCATTCGCCGGGGCCCGCTCTGTAACGTTGATCTCCACGAGTTGCAAGCCTTTGATCGCGTCATGACCGAATACCTTGCTGCCTGGGTAATGTGCGACGTGGTACGCCAGGATATTCGCGTTCAATTGCTTGTCCTTCAAGCTTAGGTTCCCTTTGATACCTTCCGGGCGATTATTAGGCGGAGGCGCCAGTGGAAATGCACGAAGTCTAGCAAGTGGATCCATTTTCCTCGTCCCGGTGTCCAAACTTCTGGTATCTGCATATGATATCGATTTGCTCTAACTGGTTACTGCAGGCGTTGGTATTTAAAGAGGAAACAAACCTCGGTATCTGGTTCGGCGATTTACACAAGCATAGTTCAATTTAAAACTGAGCACAGGGTTGACCCCTTTTGGTCTAGCTTGCATAATGAAGCCTATCTCGGTGATACCGACGCTAGCATAGATGCCGGTTACGATCGCTTGCTTGATCTTCAGCGTACAAACGTGCAGCCACCGATACTCAACGTCAACGAGTTGGACCGGACGGATGGTGCGCTGTGGACATCTCGATATAGGAGCAGATATGCATTCGTTGGAGAGGGTTTTGTAGACGTGACCATATGTGCACGGGAATCTACGTGTCAGTATGTGTTATTTGACTTTTGAGGACGGCAATCCATATGGATGTTGAGCTGACTATGCAACCCTCAGGTCATCTAACCCTTCCGATCACCATCTGAAAGACCTACGCGGTTGACGTTCCATGACTCTATCGGCGGATTATACTTGACTCTCACAAGCAAGCCGTATCTTGACTCATGCCCAGAACATCGTGAAGCCGTCCTCCTGTTTGCCATGGGCAATAAATCCGAATGCCAAGGACATCAGCTGGCTGCGTAGTTGCGTCGGTGGCGGCCAACGACAATACCTTCCGGATAAGGGAAACTTAGGATAGCGTCTTCCCCGCCTTCCGCAAGCGCATCCGAGCCGTCGTACCTACCCAACCCCTCTTGCCCTACCCTTTCCTTACACCCGATCCTTCCGTTACCCGCTTGACCTATCCGCAGTGGAGGTTATAAGTCGCCCAGCCATGCACCTCGACACTTTCAACTATTTGCCACGACTCTCACTATCGTTACCATACTGCATAACTCCTCAAACCTATTCTCTCACCCCATCGCTCATCCGCTATGATTCAAATGAGCTCTATATTGCCCACATTCGTTGGGCACATCTTGACTTCCGGCAATCTGCGGTATCGACTCCTAGAATCAGTGGGCTTCGGCGCATATGGAGTGGTGTATCTTGCTCTGGATCTTAACAGTCCGGAAGAGAAACCTCAACTTTACGCAATCAAATGTCTTCTCAGACATCCAGACGACTCCGAACTAGCACGAAATCAAGAACGCGAGATCAACCTTCATTGTATGGTCAGCCCTCACCCAAACGTTGTCACCCTTCACCATGTCATTGTCGAGGAGCACTACGTCTTCCTCGTGATGGACTACTGCTCAGGTGGTGACCTTTTCGGCGCCATAATGGACCGGGGTCGTTACATCAATAACGACGCGGCGGTGAAGAAGACGTTCTTGCAATTGATCGATGCTGTAGAGGCATGTCACAAACAGGGCATCTACCATCGAGATCTTAAACCAGAAAACGTGCTATGCTCGGCAGACGATGATCAAATCTATCTCGCAGACTTCGGGTTGGCCTCTCAGACAGAAGTCAGCAACACCTTCGGATGCGGAAGCTCGTTCTATATGAGTCCAGGTGAGATCTGACGCCGACCATGCTGGAGTATCTCTTTACTAATGGTCCTCATCGCAGAATGCCTGGGTATCATTACCTGGAAAGCGCCTTACTTTCCACGTAACTCTGATGTTTGGTCGCTGGGCGTCATTCTCAGTAATATGCTCACAGGACGCAATCCTTGGCACGTCGCCTCCGCAGACGATCATGGCTTTGGGGAGTTTCTTCGCAACGGGGCCCCATTTCTCCGTCGAGCCCTTCCAATCTCCCGGAGCGCTTCCCATCTGTTGACGCGCACGTTCGACCCAGACCCAGACGTCCGATATACGCTACAGGAGTTGAGAATGGGAATTATCAATATCGACACATTCTTCCTTCCGCAAAAGGCACTCGACGTACCTTCGATACCTCCAATGATTGTTGTGAAGCATCCTCATGTCGACACTCCCATGGAGGACGCGACCCTCGCTACCGCCTCTGTCGCGTCTGGGGTACCTCCGACGCTGAGAGTTGACATTGTCGCCGCGCCCTTCGCGGACGAATGTGGAAATGCCTCACCCGTCGACATAATTGACGAGTTTGCGGAGCCGCCCCCTCTGTCTTCATCACGATCGGCATCACCAGTTGAAAGCGATGGACCTGCCACTCCAGTCAGTGTCGTCCACAATCCCCATATTGCCGATCTACCGGACCTTGCGCTGGGTGTGCGGCAGGGTATGTCGAAAAGCCGAGGATTGTTTAGCAGACACACGCTCTCGCTTACATCAAGCAGGACGAAACTGCATAAAGGCGTCCAACGATTTGTAGACGCCGTGCATAGGGTGAAGATCATGTCATGAGTTTACATGGGGATTAGGAATAGTAATGGGTTTGTCATCGCAGGCGATGATAGCGCGAGTAGATTTTGAAGTAGCAATTTAAATGTATCTAATAGGATTTGTATCGATAGCGCGAGAAACGTTGCAGAAAGGTGCTAAGCAATGATTTACAATATGCGTAATGATGTGAATACGAGAGAGTAACGGAACCCAAAGTAAAGCGACATTAGCCCCGAAGAGGGATGATACACATAGAATACGGATAAGCGAATCCCGAATACAATCCGATTTGCAGACAATAGGCGTTCGCTCTCAAAGCTTAGCACCAGATGGCTCCATCTTCACGTGGGTACCCGAGGCCACCAGGCGACCGTTCGTCACATCGTATATCTGCCAAAGATATATGAGAAGAGCTTTGATAGACAAGAGGATGCTGTATGAAATCGAACCTCTGTTTGCGAAGTCATCGTCCGCGACTGCGCACCCATGGAAACGGTCGTATTCACAATCTTCAACTTGGCGCCTCTGTGAAATAAGAGGTTGTGAAACATACAAGATGAATTCGTATATTGAATTGCCTACATGGGTGCTGGAGCATGATAAGTCATGTTGATCGTTTTGGAAACATGTCTTCCCCAGTCCTTCCTGGAATGGCATTGATGAAGCGTTATGACGATACTTCCACAACTACACAAACCAATAAGCACATTATCTTAGAAGGGAGGCTGGAGTATAGACTCACAAATCCACAAGGAACGCGCTGCATCCCCCATGCAACATTTGTGCGTCATTCACCATCCCTGTTCATAAATCCAACCTCAGCACCGAACTCCGCGTATTCGGACTTCATCCCTACCTCGGTCGACTGTGAGTTCACAAACCGCGCGAGCTTCCATCTTTTTTGCCTCATGAGGACTTGGATAGTACGATAATTCTACAACTTGGAGCTTCTTCGCCAGTTCATGTGAATAGCCTGGTGTGTTGGTCAATTTCTCGAAGGCATTCGCGAACGGCTCCCTGACTTCTAGGGAAATATTTCCTGGTGCGGTTCGGATGGTTTGGCTAAGAATGTTTGGGCCTGCGGTACGAGTCATAGTTGATAATGTATGGTACGCGACGTTGGAGATTAGTGTGGATGTAAGGTGATGATTTCCCTGGGGGCTTCAAGCCTTCGAAGTGGGGTATACAACTTGTATGTCAGTGACTCTATATAGGTTTTGTAGGCCACATTTAGTGGTCAGAACAAAGTTTCGGTAAACAGTACGGACCGAGCTTATAATTATCTTGACATAGTCTTACGAGCTGTTATGGCACCGGTTAAAGGCGCTTGATGATTCCCTTCGAAGATTAACTACAGCATTGAAAGACAACGTGGCAGACTTTGCTGTGAAGAGAATTCCATCTTTATTCAGTTATCGAGAGGTCTGTACACAACTATAGAACATGACCTAAGCCAGGGGCAGGACAAAGCACAGAAAGCGATGCATCTTGAGAGTCAATTCAGACTTCCGAGTCATTCTGAATCTACTTATCCAGATTCTGATGAGATATGACTTGCATAGGGACCGAGCAACTATGCCGAAACTGTCATAATTTTTGACAAAGCGTCCATAGTCAGGAAAGTAATGATACGAATGCATGTCGGTATATTACAAAGGGCGTCGCCAAGATGTGGCTCGTGAGAATCGTAAACGAGTCCCGGGTCATTGATAACATACGCCACTGTCCAAGTAGACACAGGGTCGATTATTTCTCGAGATGTTCGACGTGAATTGCAGATCCCTTGTCGTTCTCCTTGTACGTCGGTGTCACTGGTGGCTGAGCATCTTCGATGTGCTCCTCAATACGCTTTTGCTGCTCCTCTCGCATCTTTTCGCCCTCGAACACTATATTACAGCGCACGGTCAGCATGTGATGGGTTGAATCACAAAGGAGACAGAGGAGACAGGACGTACGGAAAGCAAGTTCCTCCAAGGAGCGATGCGACGTCTCCGGGAATAAGAAGTAAACGAAGAAGACTTCGAAGAGTAGGAAGATGCAATAGCTTATGTAGTATTTCCATCCTGTCGGAGATTTGTTTCATTGAACCTTGCTTCAAGCGCTGAGGAGCTCTAGACTTACCAGCATTATTGATTCCAATCGGATTCACGAACTGGTTGAAGAAACCGGCTGCCCGACCCCACCATTGGAAGATGGCAATACCCTTAGCACGAACGTGATACGGGAAAAGCTCGACGAGGAAAGCTGAGAAATTCATGCATCAAGCAGCATTCCTTGATATCTTTCGTTAACTTACTATAAGTCAAAGCGTTAAAGGCCATGTTGTACGCAGGACTATACAAAAAGATGAAGGCAATGACTGCACGAGACGAGGCTTGGTCACCGTTGATTGCGTAGCGTGCACTTGCGATGGTCCATCCAGTGAAAATGAATGTTAAGGAGATGGTGCACGCCTACACGATTTCTATCAGATCGGAGAAAAGAAGAGATTTCGCAAGAACATACCAAGTACGCAACACGACGACTCATCTTCGAGACAGTCAAGGCCAATGCCGTTGCATTGACGAAGCCCCAGCAGGTCATAGCGAGGTTGATGAGGTTCTTTTCCCTGTTATCATGAATACCCACGTTTTCAAGGATGGGTGAGAGGAAGTATCTGGGGCACAACGTAAGACCTTAAGCAAGGACTCGAGTAGTACAGAGACTGAGCATCGCTTACGAAGTCAGACCGTTTCCACTCCACTGCGTGGCAAGGCCAAGGAAGGAGCAAATCAGGACACGCTTTCGCATTCCCGGAGTTTTGAGGAGCTCCTTCCAGGTCGTATTGGAGCTCTCCCGTTCAAGTTCAAGTGTTTTCTCAATTTCAGCATACCTAGAGCAAGCTTAATCTCTGAGGGAATAAATAAATGTGGAAAAAACACTCACTCGGCTTTCACGAAAGGAGAGTCGATGTCACCTTCTGCATGATATTTAACGAGGATCGCGTATGCTTCTTCACCACGGCCCTTGGCGACGAGCCATCTAAACTCAATACCACAGAATTGGCACATTGGCACAGAACTCGTACAGATAAGGAACATACCTTGGAGATTCAGGCAAGGACCAGATAAAGATGATCTGCAGTAAACTTGGGCAAATTTGAAGAATTGAGGGGATACGCCAACCCCAGTTGGTGGGCATAGCGAAAGTACCCAGGGTCACTCCGGCAGCAACGATAGCGCCGATGAACCAAGATGAGTTGAAAAGCGAACCGATACGAGCACGCTCCTTAGGATAGGAGAGTTCTCCGATCATGGATGAAGCAGCAACGATAGCGAACGGAATGCCGAATCCTAGGAGGAATCTAGCAATGACAAACATGGCGACTATATGAAAGACAAATTAGCATGATGATCGAGGCCCATATAGACATGAACTAACAATCTTGTGAAGCAGTTTGCAGGACAGCACCGATCATCATAATTATACTACCGACAATGATAGCCCATCTTCGACCGAGACGATCCGTAACAAACGGAACGAAGGGCAGGGAGCAGATGGAGCCTAAAGAATACAAGGCGGAGAGCAGACCAAGGATAGTAGAACGCGGATGGTTAAAGACTAAAGCAGCAAATGAGTTGAAATCGCGCGACATCTCTGAAGGCAGTACTGACACTCTTGCCATGTCCCGACGGCTTGCAAGCCATTCATCATGGATGAGTCAAATCTGAACCAAATAGGGTAAGTGAAGAGGCCCCGGTGTCTGCGGAAGTCAATAACTCGCCCACTGGTCATCTCGATACCGATACATGTCGGGAACATCAACAAGTACAGAAGTCTCAGGTTAGGCTTCTTGTACCAAGGTACCTTGTCTTCAGCGATAAAGCGTTCGATATACGAATCATTGTGACCACTATCGCCTCCGGCCATGTCGTCTGAAGATGTTCTGGCAGAAACGACAAGGGGCGACGAAGCAATTGGCAAGGAACAAGGGGATTCGAGACTGGTTGAAGAAGCTGATGGACGTCAATGCGGAGAATTTAAACCTTTCCCCCATACCCCACACTCAACGCGGTCCGGAGCATGAGACTCAGTAAGTGGAAGAGGATCTTGAACGGCAGGGCGAAAAGATCCATGGAATCACCGACGGACAAGTCCTTGCCATCTTTTAGCGAGCGTGGGGGCCATGATATAGCAGCAACGTGAGAGCACGCTTTGTGATCAGCTCTGAGTATCTTTAGTAGCCACGGAGGCCACCTCTCGAGTTGGGTGAATGACATAAGAGTAAGAGATTGCGTACTTGCTTCCAATACGAGATCGTGTTCAAAAGAAGTGAACCTCGCAGCATCAAGAAGGCTAGGAGGTTGTACTTTGGACGAACGTAGAGGATATAAGGAGCAAATACGGAGAATAGTCGGATGGGATTAAAGCCTTTCCCGCCTGCCGTTCCATTCCGCAACCTAAATTAGCGAGAGACCGAGTCGTCAGTGAGATCTGCAGTCGAGGAAGGTGGAGAAGCACCTACGCTTGAGAATCGGATTAGAGATTGTATAGCTACGACAGAGCCATTGGCTTGCCTTGAGGTCGGAGGCCGGCCCCGACATAGGTTGAACAGGACCGTCGTGTGCTACCTAGACCAGAAGCGGAGACGGAACTTGGGAACCAATGCGAGGAAACCTATATGTGCCTGACATCCCATCGACACAGCTAGATGCTAAAGGTTCATCCATAGGACAACTTCACAGTCAGACAAACGCCGCCAAGGCTGTTATAATGCTGTCGAATATAGTGAGCGGCGTAAAGCAAAGCAAGTATATGAATGACAAACCAGCTGATCACGAAGCAACTGAAGAGATTTACATTGCAAGTCCCGCGAAGCAGTAATTTGAAGTGATCCATTGTACAATAGCTTGAAGCAATCGAGCACGCGGTAAAAGGGGATTCGCGTGCCAATTTGCATCTAGAATTAGAGGTCGATAATTATGACATGCAGTAATAAGTTGCGGACGTTCCGTTAAAGTATAAATCTAGGTACAACTTTGCGACACAAAGTGCAACGTCGCATGTAGGACTCGGACACCATTGTATGCGCCTTACCCAGTTAAACATGATCAAAGACAACGTTCAGCATACGAATGCAAGCCGATGCGCAATTTTTCCGCCCTTCGTATAAGCTTGAAGAAGACCGGCAGCATCGTAGTAAAGAGACAAAGAGAAATGGCAACATTGTTCGACAAGAAAGGATCGATCAAAGGACACTCGGCATGTTCCGAGAGGTGCGGGCGCGTAGATTTCGCGTACGTTTCCCAATCGGGGGCACGCGTCTTGCCTTGCCTTAGATTCGACTCTGCACAGGATCCTATAAGCCACTCATACCTCCTTTCTTCCGTTCTTGACCTTGATTCCTCTACACGACCAAATTTAATACATTTGCATTGAAATACAATGTTGATCAAAGTCAAGGTGTGTAGTCAAAAGACTTGATCGAGCCAATACTATTGAAAGCGGCTGAATAATGCATGCATAGACACTTACTGGCAAGGAGGTGTGTTTGCCTTCGATCTGAAGGACAAAGGCACATTCTTTGAAGCCAATAAATTATACTGATACCTGTCTTGCTTGATTGGGTGACAGATCGAACTCGATATCGACCCAGATGACAAGGTGAGTTTGATACTCTTATGCATTCCAACGCCACTCTGTCCTAAGAAGCAACGCGCGGTCTGCTGAACGAGGTACTAACAGATCGCTTCGTTTTCGTTTAGGTCACCCGTATAAAGGAGAAGGTAGAAGAGCAATCCGGTGTGCCACCACCGCAACAACGATTGATCTTTAGCGGTCGACAAATGTGCGCCACGATCGTCCACAACCGTGGTTCCGTGATATTCTGACGCTGATTTTGATACAGGGCTGATGACAAGGCTATCAAGGACTTTAACATCCAAGCTGGGGCCGTACTGCATCTTGTCCTTGCGCTTCGTGGAGGATGCTAGTAGCAAACGGGGTCTACTGTATCCGGGACTAGACATGATATCTGGAAAGGTCAAGAAGAAGCCTACGATGTATCCATTACGCTATTGTTGAAGTATCCATATTTTCTTCTCGCTGTATAGTTTGTACTCCGCGCCGATCTTTCAGCACATCGATCACTGTCTCGATGTCCTCCGTCCTGTATCGAGGTGTCGCCCTTGACAGGATACTTTGGATGTACTTGATTATCAGATTTACATTTTGTCTATTCGTTAGTCGCTGGTACTCCAACAACGTCTGCGCCTGGCAGAAGCCATCTGAACGTGATACTGACTCGTATAGATCTATCTGTCCAAATACCAGTCTCATCGCCCAGATGTTCTTGGATCAAGTCAGCCTTCCGACCTTCAATTTCATGCGTCCATCTATAGCGTGCTTCTCCAGACATGACATACACGCTTCCTGGAGGCAGGTAGACATCTTCTACATCCTCCGCCGCCCCTTTCACATCCCCACCATCCCCATCACCGGTGCCACCAGCCCTGTCATGGTAATCCGGGACCGTCGTCCCCCGAACTTTACGAAATCGCATAACACATCCACTCCCTAAACTCACTCCAATAATCCCATCGCCGAACCTATCCAATAGGTCGACATGTGGTGTGATACCTTCCCCAGGCAAGTAATGATTTATGATCACTTGTCTTGCTTGAGGTGGCGTGTTAGGTGATGGGAAGAGTAGGGCGTGGGTGGCATTTGGGAGGAGAGGACGAAGGAGCACGGAGAGGACCTGGAGAAAGGAAGTTAGGAATTGTGGGAGCTTGGATCCAGAGTCAGCAGAATTCGGTTCGGTAGTAGTCGAGACTGATCCTACTTTGTTCAAGTCAGGATATTGTGGCCGTGAGATGATGCTCTTACCGCCGGATGTGGATAAACTCGTGAAATCATGCAAGGCTCGTTCAAATAACATGACCTGATTGACGTTTCCTTTGCTGAAATACTGGGTCATGCAGTTCTGCATCAAGTCGGCGGCACACTGGGGAGGTATGAATATAGACGGATCGAAATATAGTCCTTGTATAGACGGCACAGTGATTCGGGCTAAATTCAAGCATGTGGAGGCGCCGTCTGGTGGGGTATGTGAATGTGAGGTATTTGGAGTACAGCTTGAAAATGGGGATGCATCCTTTTGGGTATCTTCTGGGAATATTTCGTCAAAGAGCGAGTCGAGGTCAGAGTCGCTGTCACAATCCATCCTGAGTATGGGGGGTCGACTCGACGATCAGTGCATATCAAATTTAGAGAGCACCTGAGAAAGGCGTTTCAGACACTTTCTCTGAATGAACTGTGCAATTGACGTGTACATACTTGTCGTCACTCTACATAGCCCAAAGCTGCTTCAACTTGAAGTGCAGAATAGAAAGTTAATGAAGACAGCGTTGAATCGTGATGTGAATTAACAGGACTTTCCAAAAGCGGATGAATATGCTTGCGTAAGCGGTCCGGTTCAGTTCATCAATAAGCATACGTCTTTCCAGCATACCGCGACCGCGACTGGTATTAACTACTCTCCTGCTTAATTTCTTGACCAGATATCGCTCTCATGACTGAAACGACGCCTTCAGGAAAACCCATTGTTGCTCGTGAAAAGGTAATAATTTGTTGTGGGAGTGGAATTTAAAGACCTATGGCTCACGGAAAGTTCGCTATTGCTAGACCGCACCGTTTCTCATTCGGACCTTTGTGAAAGTTGGGACTTTTCATCGTTTGTCGCAGTTCGAGGATGGTCCTCTCCCAATCGCGGATGAGCAGCAAATATACACATGGTGCGTCAATTGGCCTTCCAGCCCATTCAGTGGTACTGAAGCCTGTTAATCACAGGAAAGATGCAACTCTTCGCGAAGTACTCACGACTCTTAGAACGATCGCGCCTCACACAACAGAATACCGTCATCCACTAGCCCGCTATACCTTTCGGGCAGTCTACGCGGACGCAGCCAGCCGCGGTCGCTTTGCCCAAAAGGAATTGGGGACCGTCTACTCCCGGGACATCTTAGGCGAGCCCGGTACACTCACCTCACCAGCACCACGACTCCTCCGCGACGATGACGAAACAACTGACACTTCTGGCGACGCTAATATGGACCCAACAGAGGAGAAAGCTCGAGAAGAACGAACGCTTGACGAATTAAGATTCGTCCCGGGGGATTACATGTGTGTCATGGTAGTATTACCCAAGAATGCTTCCGTACCTGCTGCGCTTTCGGGAGAATTGTCTATCAAAGGTTCGGGTGTGGGTGGGCCGCCTGCTGCTAATGGCTGGAAATCCAGTACCTCGATTGGTGGCGGTAGACCGGGGGATAGTGGATGGGGAGGAAGTCTTGGGTCTGCGCCTGTGTTGGGCTCAGGACGCGGTGGGGGTCATTGGCGAGGTGGGTCAGATGCGCCTAGGGGAGGGAGAGGTGGTGGTAGGGCTATCGACAGAGATAGAAGGGTGCCACCGCCGAGGAGAGAGTCACCTCCGAGACGAGGGGGGTGGGGAGACCGACGAAGATCTCTATCCCGGTCAAGGTCAAGGTCTCCGCCAAGACGAAAGAACTCAAGATACGACTGACCATGCTCACACTCCATACACTTCTTGTTGTACTTATGCGGTCTTATTCGTCTCATTTCAAAACCTGTATGTTTGGCTGGTTGACAGGATAGCTGGAACTTGAAGCTGTCAGATAGTGAGAAATAAGAGGACATTTAGAGCAAACAAAGAAAAACAAAACAAAACTCACTACGCGATTCTAACGTGTCATAGAACGCCTTAACCGCTAGGCCGATTAGCCAACATTGTCTTTCATGCATCATCAACCACTAGCCGAACCTGAAACAATATATTGGAATTCCAATTTGTAGTTCCTGCTGAGTCCTGACAACCGAAGTTACTACTAATTCGTCGTGTTCTTCGTGTTCTTTGGTGATATGGATCTTCCTCCGCCATTTGGATATCCGCATTCCGTTTGGTCAACTCCAAAGCAACTCGTACGTAGGTGGTACGTGCATGTGGTCATTCGTGAGAATAAGACATCCTGCTCACGTTTTCCGACTGCGTCCTTTCAGGATCAGGCCGCAGCCAGTGATTCGAATCTCACCTTCCTCCAGTAACAGGCTAAGTATAGGTACGTGCCAACGCTAACCAACCTTACGTGACAATGATGTGGAAAGTCTTTGCTCTCTACAGATTACTGCAACATTCGTATAATTTTTACACCTGTCTGAAGTCACCTGATGCCATTGGATATTAAACTGAATGACTTCAGTCGGGGAAGCTCGACTTATCGCTTTCTCAGTCCCCCTGGTATAATTATAGACACCATGGAACGTCTGTTAGAACGACACTCGCTATCTTTGGGTGTCTATCCTCTTTAACAGCCTATCATACCTCTCTGCTGCGAGCGAACATCAACATCAACATTCATGCTATCGTGTCCGGTACCTTGTTGAGTGTCTACTCGTGTTTCTATCACCGCCATTTCCAATGAAAACCTCATGGAAGGAATCTGTATCAATGTTACGTATATCCGACTATAGCCTTCTCTTTGGTGTTACCTATGACTGTCGCTGTCTGGAGCCTGGGCCTCCCTTGTTCGCTTTCACTCTCCAAACTTGTCGATTCTAGGAGCGCTACTGTCACTGTAGGGAGTATATAGGTCCCTCTTCGAGCTCCGGCATTACATCCTACCTAGCGCTGCTCCTGCAATTCACGCTAAACAAATCGGAACATGGGGTGCTCACTTTCCAAGCGTACTAACAAACAGGCTGAGTCTTCCCCGTCCAAGCAACTCTACAAGCTTGTTCGCCCTGCATTGTATCCTGATGCCTCTCAACGACCATCTTTCTATGCTGCCTATGCGCGTGCTGCCAGACGATATGGCTTCGACGCTGGTCGGTTCTCAGGCTTTGCAAAGAGGAACAATGTTGTCGTGAAAGTCAAGAGCGTCCACGACAAGGAGACGGACCATGAAGTGCCGGCCGAGTCTATACAGAATGGTGAGTTTAGCTGCGGAAGCACTGGTGTTAACTTTGGGTACTGACCTCTGCCCGTATCTCATAGAGTATGTTAAATGAACTGCTCGGAAATTTTGGATACTGAAAGGTGTGCAGCCTTGAATACGTTGTACAAGTGAAGATTGGTACACCCGGCATAACGCTTAATCTTGACTTTGACACTGGGTCGTCTGACCTTTGGATATGGAGGTAATTCATTCACAACTTGACGCGCATCAATATTATCCTGACTATGCTAAGCTCCGAGATGTCAAATGCAAAGAAGTTCCCGGGTCATCACATATACGATCATGCCAAGTCCTCTACTTCTAAGAAAGCGAATGGAACATGGAACATCTCCTACGGTGATGGCTCATCCGCTTCAGGAGATGTTTACACAGATGTTGTTACTGTCGCGGATATCGCTATTCCGAATCAGGCTATCGAATTGGCTAAGAAACTGAGTCAGAGCTTCCTCCAGGATGGTGGTAATGACGGTTTGTTGGGTCTTGCGTGGGGAGATATCAACACCGTGCAGCCGAAGAGAGTGCAGACTCCCGTAGAGAATATGATCTCTAAGAAGCTGATTGACCAGGTATTTTTTTCATATATCTAACGTTGCTTAGACTAATTGCTCCTTCTCAGCATTTGTTCACGGTCAAGCTGGGAAGAGGAGATGAAGCCGGATTCTACTCTTTCGGTTCGTCGCGCTGCCGCCTTTCCCCTCCAGTGTGCACAGTAGCTCACGCACTCTCAGGATTCATTGACACGACTGTGACCTCCGACCCCATCAAATACACTGATGTCGATAAGTGGGTACTCAATCTAACATTTTTTGAGAGGGTCTGACACCCAGAATAGTTCCCAAGGATTCTGGCAAGTCGCTTCAACGTCCTACACACTGAACGGAAAGTCACACTCTCGTGCTCGCAACACCACTATTCTCGATACTGGAACAACACTCTGTCTTGTTGCTGATGATGTCGTCGAGGCTATCTATGGTATGTCCAAGTCTTTGCCTTTTCTGGCTGGATTGTCCCAATTGGGAAATCGTGATCCCAGCGTGCTCGTTGTTTCATTCATACTCTCTTTTTCTTTCTCGATTTCCGGCATGTTCCATTGATACTGGACTATTCTCGTATTCAGAATCCATTGAAGGCGCGATATACGATAACAGTCAGGGTGGTTGGAAGTATCCAACGAACGCGAAGACTCCAGAAGTTGCATTCGCAATTGGCGACACGCTCTACAAGGTCTGCATAATTCATCAATTTCTTCGCTGCTATCGCTCGTATTCAAGCCAGTTTCAATATCTATAGGTTAACGCAGCGGACTTCGGTTACGGTCCTGCTGATGAGGGCTTCACTTTCGGAGGTATCCAGAGCCGGGGGGACCTAGATTTTGACATTTTCGGTGACGTATTCCTCAAGAGCGTGTATGTCGTTTGTGAGTGCTTGCTGCTTGACTCGGATAGCGGTAGTATTGATACCAGATATTTCAGTCAACCAGGGAGAAAAGAAAGTTGGACTAGCCCAGCGGGATGATTGAGTTGCTTGAATCCCTGTTTCATGATTTCCTACGCCATGTACCTATACCAAATTCGGACCTCGTTATCACATTGCCCAACAAGCTTTTAATAGTGCAAATAAGAAAGAACAACATTGTCCTGATATATCATTCAGAACTTCACGAAGCAGCAAATATAGGAGCTGTCATTCTTTTTCCTGGATAAGACCCTTCGCGTTGTAAGTTACCGCTTGCCGACTTCATGCACTACGAGCAACGGTTCAGGAAATATCTAGGATTATGCAACAATGGGCAAAGAGATCGACTTACAATTCGGATAGGTCTCCAGAATGACCGTTGGAATTTGACTCTCTATACAAGTGAACAGGTCACGCAGTTTCCGAAGATTGAAGATTTCAAGAAGTTCCAAAAGATCGTCCTGATCCTCGATCACCTCCATCTTTCCTGCATAGGTGTAGTCTACCACAATGATTAATTATGAATAAGTCTCGAATTGTCTGTCATCAGACGTGAGGGTGACACTAACGAAAAGTCCCTTGCGACGCCGCTCTTCGAAGCTCCATCAGGAAAAAGCATTAGTGTACAGACAACTGTCAAGACGCTTGCGCTGTTGCATATCTTCCATACCCATACATACCTCCAAGTGTGAAGTACGCAACGAACAGATGATGTGTACCCTTCCAGACTTGTCGCCATGAGATCCAGTACATATATAGCTCCTGTACGTACAGTCGGGAGGTTCGTGGGATCTACAGTATACACAGATATATGAGTCTTTCGAAAGCGAGCCAGTACTTCTTCGGCGGGGGAAAGTTGCAGCTCTGGACGTACCTGAGCACTAGTTGCCAGAAGGTCTTCGAAATTCGTCAGGTATGTTCGCATATTTCGCTGATTACCCTCGTCGGGACCATTGAAGATCAACCGACTCCCCCGCACGAATTCCCACTTGTTGCGATCAGGATGATCGATATTGAGAGATTAATGCTCAACTCTGTAGGATAGCAAGAGAGGTTGGGAGTCAGAGAGGCATTTCTGTAACCACTTGTAGGTATCAGTCAAGTCGGAGCGTAACGCGCCATCAGTCAGAGTGGCTAAGTTTGAGCAACAAGTAGGGTGCCACAGTGGTGGCACGTGCGTACTCCGCAAAGCGCCGGAGGTGATCCTCAGTTTTCAGAGACTCTGACCTGCTTCTGAAATAGGTTGGGCAGATTCTCCACCCCAAGGTTGCGGAGGAACTTAAGAAGAAGATCGAAATTGTATTCGATACCGGCTAGTCGTTCGCAAACTACAGGAGGTAATGGATGCTCGACTTGGTCGTTCAAGATAAATGTTACTCCTAGTAGTTCATTGAGTTCTGGGTCACCTGGAAATTCTTGCATAAGTCTAAGAAGAGTGCGTGCCTACTTTGCGATATCTTCGCGTACTTCCATCCCACCATGATGCGTGATCGTCACGAGAGCCTGTAAGCTGACTATTCGTAGCTTATAGATCCTTGTCGTTATTCAAGTTAGTAATATAAACAAACCAAACGATCTTAAATGTCCTGTCTACATACAGCTACATTCAACATGATAGGTACCTCCTCAGAAATTACACTCAGGTCGGTGGGGGGCGGTGCCGCCGGAGTTGTCTCGCTAATGAAGGGCCCAGAGACGGAAGAGGGCGCATGGTTGACTAGCCCTGCAATCCTGCCTCGGTATCGGGCGCTGAGCATTAATTAGCGGATGCTGAGCCTGTTTTTTTTTTTGCAGGGGCCTCTCGTTATGAACGTGGCTGTAAGTGTACCCACACTTTCTCGCAACGTTGCAAGCTCAGGGCATCTGGCGCCTTGCAAATACTAAAGCGAGAAGCTACGTGGCTGACAAAGCTCATTGTCTTGATATTGCGTTGATTGTTCTAGACAAACCTATTCAAAGTTGCACATTGTTGTATATTTCCGACCGCCTTATGTTCAGGGTTCATCAAGGGTCCATTCAGGGATCGTTTGATTGCACCTACGAAGCCGGACCGGAGTGCACACAAAAATTGGCATGTTCTCACGATATGATCTGGGATCTTTCCGGATTATGTATGCTTGTGTGAACGCCACCATATGCATACATCGGTGATCGAGGCATCTACGACCCGTTCGCCCTACTATTTGGAGATAACAGTTGACCCGTACCTCCTCCTAAGGTCGCACCAGTAATCTCTGCACATCGTTTTCCGTCATGGATCGCGAACTTTCCCTCGTTGTATACCACTCCCCGCTTTTCCCTGCACATTGGGCTCTCTATATACCAAGCATGACAGATCCTGCAATCGGAAAGATCGTTCATGTTACCGGCGATGCACGCAATGGGTTTGTGCATGAATTCAAACGCGGATATCTACCCGCGGATGACGAAAGAGGACATAGCATAATCCCACTCGCCCGCATTTCTGCCTCACACGTCGTGGACGTTCTTAGCCCGTCTGGATTGTTGGTGTACACTGCACCAGACGATAATCTTTTGGCACTCGCAGTGGATAACGTTGAGCGAGAGTTGTTGAGCATTCCTGCACCTGGCAAGAGCCTCAATGTTGTCGACAGCTTAGGGAGATCACAGGTGGGCGAACTTTTGTGTTTGCGCGTTGAATTAGAACTCATGGTTGATGTCGACAACAGGGAAGAAAGGTTGCTATCAAGAACTGTCAGACGTGGATCCGAGATGCTGTTGAAAGGCTCGTGCATGCGGGTATTGTTCCTCAGGAAGCATTGGGCATAGTTGACGCAGCGCCTAAGAATTGACCTCATTGTTGTCTCGCAGAATTGCATCCAAATTCATGGTAGTGATTGCTTTTTCTCGGAACTTCGCATTGCTACAGTATTACTCGCACGAAGGTGCGGATCTCCTGGTTGAAAGTTGCTCAAATGAATAACCGTATTGTCTCCGACAGTGTGATGAGGTGTATCGGATGATTGCATATCATCACCAGTCATCAGAAGCCTGACACAAGGGTCCCAATAGTCAGGGTCCTTCTGCCAAGCTTCTGATATATCAATTTGCAGTTGGCCGTCTTGATCAGGCCGTAATCTACCATGATATCGATTGTATTTCGACGCCTCATTGGAGCTTGGCCTTTGCTTTAAATTCGACGTTGCTTTGTTCCAGGATGCATCAGCGATCCTCCCCATACCTAATGTCTTACGATATTGCCGTTATATCTTTCAGTCCAGGCGGCCTATTCAAGGCCCATTGGGCACTTTACGCCATTGAAACGAATGGCAACTCCACGGAGAACTGGCTGATCCACGTCGAGGGTGAACCTTCGTCAGGCTTCACGCACGACATAAAGAAGTACGACATTGCCTTTTCCCGGCGCAGCCATCACGTCCATTCCCTCCTTGGCGGCGCTCATATCACTGCAAGCCAGCTGAAGGGCATACTTGATGTTGCGACTAGTATTCCTGCACCGGGAAAAAGTTTGCGCTCCGCAAGCAGTGCAGGCAGGCCTGTATGTCGGAGTCAACTTGTTCTCTCCCCTACACTGACCTGTAACAATTCTACAGCAGGGACGCGTCAGGCTCGAGAATTGCCAGACTTGGCTTACGCAAGTGGTGGAAGGATCGATTCAGCAGAACTATCTTCCACCCGAAGCCCTCACCGCCCTCCATCAAGTACCCATGAACTAACGAGGTTCGTATTCTGATATCCTGAACTGAAGTATAATGCGACTCAATCCACAACACCGCTTCGATTTTAGTCCCATTTTTGATGTAGTAATAATGTTTCCAATTGCCTCGATGAGATGTATGAGATGTATATGACATACGAACCTTGATCCCATTCCGTACGAAAACGGTTTTGAGCTTGCCTTCATCATAGCATCCACGGAGCTCAGGACAGAAAAGGCATTGTGAGAGAAACTATCCGTATGGAAGTCTAGTGATGCATCTTGTACATTGCGGTTAAGATGATTGCTACAGTGTTACTCTGTACTCTGACATGTAGACAGCGTTACAGGAAGTAAGGAAACCTGAAAGGGCAACTGAAGATGCCGGTATTTGCAAGATATTCATCTTCAGAGCATAAAATGAATACGAGTGTCTTGAATCGTGATGTCCTTGTCGTAGTGAGACTAGGAGTTCTCAAACGGAGGACTTGTACATTGGATCGAGCGTATTCCAAGCTTGCTCTCACTCTAAGGGTTTGTATTTGTCGTCGGTCTTCTCAGAGGGTTATAGCCCGGTACATTCTACTATTGCAACTCAACTGGAATCTGTCATTCTTGTAGTGAATGGATTTTTCTATAGGATCCAAGGATGAACAAGCGACACGCAGTAGCAAGACATGGAAATGGAAGGCATATATACCTAGCACAGTCGGTAGAATCCAGAGGTGATAATAACGAATACATCTAATCATGGCGCCACGCTCCCCAAAGCTAGACAAGTGTGCGGGAAAACCATTCGAAAGCTAATAATGCCCTTGATTCACGATCAATAGCACCGAACACAATCGGCAGGTAGACATTTCGCCATGAGTCGGAAGGCGCAGAATATAAAGCCTTGCAAAGCTCCCAGTAATTTGGCATCCATCCCGCTTGCTCCCAATCGATAATAGCGTTAATTTGAGAACCATCCGGGGAAAGAATGATATTCTGTCGATGGAGGTCTCCATGCGTGAAAGTGATGTGACAGTTATCAAGGAGCAAAGAGCGTAGGGGATGGGGATCATCTGGATTATACTGTCCACCTCGAGTAGCAGCAGAGAAGAAATCGTGAAAGGCGGCAACCGACGTAAAAGGACCGCGACGATCGGGAGAGATGTTCGAGAACATATACTCGCGAATTGGTCCACCATCGATGGCGCCTACAGAGAAAGCATGGGCACATCACAATTAAAACGCTGGGAGGAACAGACACGTACTAATAACTGTGGGATCGTGCTTCAACTTGCGCAACTCCAGGATCATGGTGCGCAATTGCTGCGATATGTTTGTCTTATCCTGATCGGTTAGCAAATCCCAATGATCATGGAGGGAAACGCCCTCGACAAGCTCCATATAGATGAACACGTCGTTGCCATCAGTGACCCATCCGTACACCTCCGGCACCTTAACTCTTTCTCGAAATGCACGACGGATTGCCCATAAGCACTGACCCTCCGCAATTGAAATGCGGCTGCCCCACTTGACGGCTAAACCAAGAGCCGGAAACATAACTGGGGGTATCGGACGCCAGGGTGAATCATCACGCCTGGTAGACTTCTCACGAACCTCAGTGGGATCAGGAAGTGCAGTATGGGGACCGTTGCGCTGAAAGAATGTTGAGTCTGTGAAAATGAATGTTTTTTCCGTGGGTAATTCAGCGTCCAGGAAGACACTGTCGGGATCGACTGGGATATCGTTGCCGTTTATCGTATCCTCCTTGGTCTCAGCGAGGATCTTCTGTAGTTCATCAAGTGCGCTCCAGTCTCCTCTATCCAAGTCAACTAAAAGCTGGGGAATAGTGCGTGAGCGTTGGCTATCCGCAAGGAGATCCTGGATACGAATGCCTCAGTGTTCATGCAGAATTTATTGAGCATATCCACATACCACAGCATCTATTGTATCGCCTTCTGCTTGATGCTTGGGACCAGCCAGTTGCGTTGTTTGCGACGAAGTCATTGTGTTGGGGAGCTTGTAGATGAAAGTGCTGAGTTGAAGATGTTATCAGGATGTGTGATGATTTATATGTATTTCGCCTAGTTTAGATCAGTATAACTGAGCGCTGAGCGCTTAACGCCCATAGGTTGAATCAGTTCTTGTTGAACTTGGTCGAAAAAGGCTCGAAATCATCGTGTCTACTCATTATCTTGGACTTCTCGCTGCAATTTATGATTCCTTTCTTACCACGAAGTGTAACGAGGAAACTACCAACAGCATCCACACGAAGCACTCCGGGGCGGCATTTGACCTCAGGTCAAGCGACGGCTTCGAAGACGCAAACCGTTGAAGCTATTGAACCCCATCCGTCTCAGTCGGATAATAAAGGGAAACACAAAGATGTCTGTGCGAATCCGGCGTATGACGAAGAGTATGCCTGCCTTGTATACTTATCCATGTCGGAGTATGCTCTATGGTCCAACCCGGATCTGAGACGGAGGCTGGAGATGAGCGACGAAGGATGTAAGTACATATTGTCATATTCCACACATATACGCCTATAGACTTGACAAGCCTGAGCACGTAGTTATTCCCTTGGCATACCTTATGGAACATTTAGCCCCTTTGTCTCCCATAACGAATGAGCTCACAGAAGCGACCCTGGTTAAGACAATTCGCACACATGCTGCGGATACCTTCGACGTTCGTATGCTCATGGAAAATCCTTCTCGAGCTGGCTGGTACGGAAAGGATATCTCACATGAGACCTCCAAAGGTGGTTTCGAGGTACGGCGCAAGGATTGGAGGGAAGTCCTTTCTTGCGCCAGGAACCGAAGTAGACGCGACTGGGAAGGTTTAACTGTATATGTGGTATGTCGGCTTCGCGTCACGTCTCCTATATCGACGTTTTGACAAGACATCGGTAGGAAAATATCCCGCTGCAATACCGAACTGTTCCAGGAATATTCAAGTTTATACAGTCATTGACGGACGTAGCGTACACTACGGCCATTTCAACCGAGTTGCAGGTGCAGCAGATTTTGTTACCCAAGCATTTTCGAGATAAGGCAACAGACCAGCCAAAGTGCAAAGGCTTCGCTCTTGTCACACTGTCTAGCACTGAAGGGCTCGAATACTTGCTTCACCGCTGGCCCTGGCAACGCCGCATCAACGCTGCAGATGAGGATTGGTCACCTCAAGAATGTGAAGCTCACAAGTTCGGCTTCCGTGTCTTACCCAAGGCTCAATGGGCCACATTAAATGAGGAATACATTGCATACCGACAATCCCTCCTCAATCAGATCGCAGAGACAGAAGTTCCCGAGCTTCACGCGAAGAGTGACTTGGAGGAAGTTGTAGAACGTGAAATTCCCGCACTTACACCTGCACCGCCAGGGCCGGAATCACCAGACCATGGACAAACTACCATCGCGTCCCCCTATCCTTATAATTGCCTCGTCTTCGTACGGAATATCCATCCAGAGACGAACAAGACCACACTTCGTACACTATTTGCAAAAGCCTTCGTGATCTGTGATCGTATTTTACCTTCCGGTGAAGGAGTGGATTATGTCGACTTCAACAAGGGTATGAATACGGCAAGTCTCGCTCGAGCATATTACCTTCCCATAGACTGACCAATCCTGTAGTGTTTCTTACGACTAGCTACTCCAACACACGCAGAAGTTCTCATCGCACATTTTTCTTCTACACCTACGACGCAAGCGGATGGCCTTGACGCTGGCGGTCATTCGCCGACGGGCAACAAGAAACCAATCGCTGTGGAACTAGTGGATGGAACAAGAGAAGAGTTGTACTGGGGTAAAGTCCCAGAGAAGGTCCGGCGACAGGCCGTCCAGCGAGTTGTTGCTGCGACTGCTAGCAATTTCAAAGTCCATGGAACTTGTAACAAGGAAGAAGGCGGTGGAGAGTCGCAAACAGGTCCGAGACGGCGTCGCAAGAGACGGAAGATGGACTCATAGTGTGTCTGTAACAGTAGTGCACTAGTTGTATTACAGTCTATTACTGACATAGTCATGAGTTCAATTGACTAGGAATTCGGCTACAAGCTTCATATATTTCTGACGCTCCTCCAGGAAAGGAGTGTGACTAGAATTCTCAAAGGTCACCCATTTGGCTTGTTGTATCCCTTCGACAAGTGGTCTGACTACGAAGTCCTGTGCCATGTCCATCCGGCCGTTGATAACCAAGGTCGGGACCCGGACGAGATGGAGACGATCGATTATACTCCAATTGTTGAGGATACTGATAGAAAAGGTGAAAATGAGCGTATGTGTACCAAGTGAGGAAGGAGAATATATACGACGCATGCGCGACGGTCGAGTCGCCGTTTGGACCAAACACCGATAAGAGGGTGTCAAGGTATTCCTTCGGCATGGGCTTGAGAGTACATCCATGGGCGGCATGGAACTGCTGCAGTGCCTCCCAGTGCTTCTGCGACTCGCATAGGCCACCTCTCAGACCCTCTTGAACACTTTCCGGTAAACGCTCCATTAACTGCTTCGTGGATTGTTTCCAGAGCTCATTTGAAGCAAGCGAATTGGATGCTATGATGTGTTTCAACCCTGCAGGTTGCCTCCGCACTTCAAACTCAAGGGCTAAGATACCTCCCCATGAATGACCTAGTAGGTCAAAGGAATCTGAGATGTCAAGGTATGACAGCAAGTTCTCGAGTTCGTCGATGAAGAGGTCAATAGTCCAAAAGGTGGGGGGTTTATTCTTGAGGTGCGTGGACCGACCGTTGCCGAGTTGATCGTACATTATGACGGGAATATTCCCATCCTTCGCCAGGTCAGAGAGCGGCATCAGAGCATCGTGAATTATACCCGGTCCTCCATGAATACAGACAAGAGGCCGGCGGGTACGACTTCTAAGGTCTCCGTACACCTTGTAGTACGTTTGGAACGTCTCACCCCGATATTCGAATGGCAGTAGTCCTTCCTGTGAGGGGTTTGGATATGACATCGTGGATTGAACAAGGAGCTGTAGAATGAACTTGAGCAGGAATCTAGAGTATTCTGCGATAATGTACGAGAAGACTCACCAAAGTTTAGTACAGGGTGTTGATCGTAGCTTTCAGTGTTCTGCAATCGCGGTTTAGGGGTGCTCTAAGGTTCAGATAGACCGAGGCTCACGAAAAGTGTCGTCTAGACAGTCGCGCGCCCTCGGCCTCAGCTATGGGCTATTCCAAAGCTTGGGTGTTTTCAATAGCTAAAGCAATCCAAAGGTCGGCTGCTGTTATTAAAGTCTGCAGGGAGCCGCGAGGTCGCTTCAGTCGTGTCCAATTCGACGCTACTCGTCCATATGCATGTCACGATAGACAAACTAAATAGACACAAATTGTGATCGGGCCTCAGCAGATATCTGCCTCATGAGTACCTTGGCATTCAAGCTACGACTCCGAAGACAACGAGTCGGAAGAGAAGGATTACAGTAAATGTTTGACGCCCATAAAGTGAACAATGCTTCTTGCCTTCACGCGTCGAAGGAAGAGTATTGTATAACATCCCCTGCACATGGCTATCGTGCACTAGCCTCGTTGCTTTCATTCTCAATACCATCGCTGCCACTTTCACGTCTTACGAAGTTTAACGTCTCTGATACCCCCACGGACTTCATTTCCCCTCCACAATACGATCGCGATCTCGTACACATTTGGCAAAGTAGTCTAGGGAATTAGGATACATCTTTTGATAATGGGAAACAGTCCATCACGAACCTATGGAAGACCCGAAACTGTGTACCCACCAACGCGACCTACAGCATGGCCTACCCACCGTAAACGTTCAAGAGGCGGTATGGAGTCCCGTGCATGGTATCCTGACGATGTAAGAAACCAGTATCCCCAGACACGTCCTCCATTTCCTCAGGCGCAGTTTTATAACCGTATGCGACAGTTTTGCTCTTTTCTGTCATAGGATGAAAGCTCATTAAATGCTCAGCTCAACAGTTCTACCCAACGTATGCCCCGCCAGTCACAGTGGCTCCAATACCCTTTGCTCCTGTTGTAGGGCAGCCAGGCATGCCACCCGTGATACCCCCAATGCCAATATTTCAGACTACACAGTCCGCCCCTCAACATTCTGCTGCACATGCCACCATGCCGGCACCTCAAGTTGCATCCTCGACGTCCGATCAACCTGTATTCCCACCTGCCCCCGTCCTTTTCCCTAATGCCACCACTCCTGTGATACCCCAACAGTCCTCTTATTCCAGTTCACAGGAACCTGTCGATCAACCTACTCGTCGTTCCGGTTCCCCTTACATACAACCAGGGGCACCATTAGCCCCGGGACAGTATGGACCTCGAGACACTTATGACGATCACTCACGAACGCCATCATCAGATCATCACCATCATTCTCATCACCACCAGCGAGGGAGAAGCGATAACATCGAATACGACCGGCGGCATCGGAATCCACTTCCCTCTCCTCCGAAAGACCTCTTCGAACTTTCACCATATATCACCCTTCTCCGGGATCTCAAGCTGCCGCCTGAGGAAAGTACTCTTAGAAAGCACGCTCCTGCTGCCCCCCGGTCTGTCTTGATCACACCAGTGGTCGCTCATCCCCAGCATCAGGGATCACAGTCAAGCCGTGAAAGGAAACAGAGAAAGGGCCTCTTTCGTTCTCTCAGTTCTCGTCTTGCACCCAAACATAGAGAACATCATGACAGCCATTATGATAGACCCATGTTTTTCCCTTCTACAGCACCTCCGATAGTCATCCCCGCGCCGGAGGGTCAACGAACGCCGGGAGGAGGTATGCAGTACATATACTCTGCGCCACTGCCTGGAATCCCGGAGCCGCAGCAAAGCATGTTTAGCCAATCCCCAAGAGCACCGCCCGCAGTCATACCGAATCGGACGCCCTCACCTACAAACAGAATGCCGTCGCCTGCTCCTTCTCATCGAGCCCCACGCGCTCGTACGCCGGCACCTCAGCTCTCACCTCCAATCAAAATAGATCATGAGAATCACCTTTCTGGACTCGTTCATTACTCTCCTCATACTGTCCATTTCAATCGGAAAGTATACCCTACGGCCCACCACCTTTTAGAAGCTCTCAAGTTTATGGAGCATCGGCCAGATGTTGCAGAGCGAATTCGGACGTGTGGCGGAGGCCCCGAAGGCGTGGACACTGCAAGTCGAATCGCTGATGAAATGCGTGATTTTGTCAGGTCTGATTGGGATCAAGTCGTTGTACCCACGGTCCGTAAAAACGAATTTCTTTCTGCGCATACACCTTGTTTACCTAGTTTTCCAATAGATGGAAGAGGTGTTGTATAACAAACTCATACAACATCCAGATCTACGGCGATTCCTCATGGAGACCGGTACTTCCGACCTGCTCTACTCGTCTCGTGATGATTTCTGGGGAGATGGGCCCCTCGGTCAGGGTGCGAATGAATTGGGTAAAGCATTGGTACGTGTAAGGGAGAGGCTACGGGAGGAAGGTTATACCGCTGATATGTAGGTTACTTGTCGTATAATCCTGGCTATCATGGCATGCTATTTCATACTTTATCTGCACTATGAAGTCCGTCACCCGAATTCATCGCACATGCGAACTTCATTTTGAAGCGACTGAGTTCGATAAAAACGCGGGGGCGCAGACGAATAGCCCTCTTTATATTTTTAATTTTGAACACTATCGTGCCTTCGATAGCTCAGTTGGAAGAGCGCGAGACTGTAATATATGCATCTCTCCCCAGGTGGGGAGAGATAAATATGATGCTCAGAGAAAAGGTGATGCTTAGATGGGGGACTAATATCTTGAACCAGTTTGGGCAAGTTCACAAGACAGATTAAGTAAAGTTCATCTCTCCCCAAGTGGGGAGAGATGAGTATGGTGTATAGTATATAGCAAGTTGAATAAATTACAAAAGATTGCATTGAGTAATGCTCATCTGGGAGAGTGATATCTCTGGCCAGTTTTGTCTATCAAGATCAGAAGGCCAAAGAGGCACACTTTCATCTCGGGAGAGATATAAAAGTACGGTATGCCCAGTTGAATAATGGAGAGATGCAAGTGTGGGAGATGATATAAAACAAGATAAAAATGTCAGTTTCTTCTATGGTGCATCTCTTCCCAAGTGGGGAGAGATGACCATTTGTACTTGGAGGATTTTCATTTTTAGAGAATACTGCTCAGTGGGGGAATTGATATCTCTGGCCAGTTTTGTCAAGCCCAGGAGATAGATGCATATTATTCTAGCAGAATTCCACTGCCAGACTTGCAGAAAGGGTGCTCAGTTGGAAGACATGTGTTGCTGCACATGTTTTACCCTATGTCTACAGCCCAATGGTTTCAAGGCAGAATATGCAGACATATCTCTCCCCACTTGGGGAGAGGTTGGAACATTGCAAAGGTCTGTCCATCTCATGCGTGGATTCAGGAATGTGGGGATATATCTAGTGTGTAGAGCATGTCCGGCCTAGACATATACATAAGCGCTCACTTGGCGGATGTGCTCAGTTGGAAGAGAGCGAGGGGTTTTGTCAGTTGCTGAAAACTTTTGCGCGCCGGTTTCGAACCCTACTTTTTAGGACGAAGGTTGCTGGTTCGATCCCCGCTCGAAGGACTCATTTTTGCACGCATTTCTAGTGCTATAGATTATGGGCGTCTCTTCAACTAACAGTCGTACTGCTAACTTCCACATAGGTCCCGAACCCAAACATTCGTTTTCACCTTTATAGAAAGCAGCTTTAGAACCACCCCACCATGGATCATAAGGTGGCACAACTGCTTGAGATGGTGAGTGGAGGTCGCATTCTCTTTACCAGAATACTCATATGTTGTTCTAGGGTGCTACTGCAGCCCAAGCTCGGGCAGCCCTGAAACAATACAAGGACGTCATGGCGGCGGCTGAGCGCATATTCGATGGATCCTTCGACCACGTTAGAGACGACGATGGTGACATTGCGATGTCTCCTGCAAGAGATGTGCCAGAACCGCGAAAGAGTGGTATGATTGTGGGTAGTTGTCATACTATAATCGCGCCACCGCCTTACGTTCCGTTTCAGACTCCAGAAGCGGACGATGACGATGTTGAGGATAATGATGATGAAGACGAGTACGACTCAGATGATGGTGTGTCACACGGATTTCAGCCCGTGGTGAGTCTGACATGCCGTTCCAGTCGAGGATTTCGCAGATTACGACTCGGATTATGAAAGTAAGGCCGATGTAGGGCAAGGAATGTCCAAGGCAGATCCTTATGCAGGTGAGCACTCCACCCAAATCCCTTACGAGAATCTCTAATTATGGTCAGGCGTTTTCTTCTCCAAGGATCGGAGAGAGGAAGTCATCGAAGTAGAAGAAGAGCCTGAAACAGCCTTTGTCTCGGAGGAAAAGGAGGAAGTGAAACTCATGACTCAAGGCCAATGGATGAAAGGCTGTCCGGAAGGCGGCGAACAGAGCTTTCTCTTTACGCTGTACAATGAGCTCAGCGAGAGCGAATGTCGATGTCCAAACGGTTGCGATTATTCGGTTCAAAGACAGAAGCGCGATTTCTTCCCTCTTTTCGTGAGTGCTTGAAACTCCATCGACTATTCGTTATTCGTAACGGTTCGCAGTCCGAGTTCTCCACCTATACCAAGCATCTCTCGAAGATAGTCCAACGCACTTGCCTGAAATGCTCCAAGAAGTTCTGCTATGCTTGCGGCGAACCCGTCGGTTCCTCAAAGTACTCGGACCAACACGACTGCTTGTTCCACTGTCCAAATCTGCAAGGAGTGATCCTAGGCGTTGGCTTAGCTATGTTAGAGTCCAAATTCACCGAAGATCTAGAGCAATCGGCAAGCGATAAAACTCGAAAGCGACGACAGGTTCAAATATCAACCCCCCAACCTCTTGAGGTTGATGTGGAAGAAGATGACGATTTCTATCCTCCAATTTCGCAGACTAAGAAGATGAAGCTGGGCATCGGGTATGCAGGTGATGCAAGGGAAGATGTACGAGTTATATGCCCTAATCCTCAGTTGTTTGCATGCTTACAGAGATCTCTAGACATCTGGTCAGCTGGAAGCCTTGGCCGCCCAACGGGCGAAGGACGAAAAACTGTCGAAGCTCTTATCTGATATTCGAGTATTCCTACCATCTATTCATCGAGCTGGCGGTGGCAAACCCAGTGATTTCCTTGTACACCCGACGGCTCTTGCTCATCTTCGACGACGCTTCAACTTTGTCAGCAGCCAACTACTTCGGAATGACTCTCTCACTGACATGTCGGATCGTTCCGTGCTGTACTTTGAGCTCTTGAACTGGCTAGAGGTAACTTTTCGCACTTATATTGATATCATTTGTCTAACGCTTCACAGACTATTTCTTGCCACGAAGCTCTGGCCAGTATGATGGCTATGCCGATCATGGTCGTTACGTCTGTTAAATCAATCAACTCCAGAAAGTCCAGTACTTCTCATATTCGTGAACGAACTATTGTCTACGAAGGTTCTTCTGGGCCTCGCGAACTCCTCGAAGCCATCGTCATTCAAGCGCAGGCCGCTTTAAAGGGACTGGAACCCATCAAGATTGAGGAGGAAGAGACTGTCGAGATGTCCGAAGAGCAAAAACGTATCACCAACGACGACAAGGGCAAAGGTAAAGACGTGAATAAGGCCGTTGCAGAGGAGAATGAGAAATTGCTCGGCTTCTGCACCAGGATCCTTGCAACAGCCAGGGCGATTGATAGATCTCTGAGGGACCTCAAGGGTGATGCTTTCGTCGATCGCCTACATACCAGTTTGCCAAAGATTCCTGGCTCAGCATCGGCTGGAGAGGACAGACAAGTGGTCGATGCCGGCGATACGGAGGAGAGCGCACAGAAGGCGTACATTGAATGGGCAAATCGAGTGCGATTCGAATACTGTGACCTCACCGTCTCATCGTCAGACACTAACGACGATGTGCCAAATTACAAATTCTATTACAATAACGAGGCTCGTATGTTGGCTTCTTCCGACATTCCTAAACGGTCTTTGGCAATCGCGAAGGAGGTATGTCACTAGAAGCTGATTGTATGCGTGTCGAATTGACGGTTCTCGTAGCTGGCTGTGCTCACGACCAATTTACCTGTTGCTTGGAACTCTTCTGTCTTCCTTCGGGTCGATGAAACACGAGTCGACATCATCAAAGCCCTTATCACAGGCCCCGAAGGAACACCGTAAGAGTTCCTGGCGTCGCATTCTTGGTTGCTGATACTGATGTCTGATTATCTTTCAGATATTATAATGGCTGGCACGTCTATTTTGCGCGATTGTATCCAGATGTTTAATCTTAACAATCTTATAGCTACTTGTTTGACGTCTTCTTGGGGCCGAGCTATAACCATGCACCGCCAAGTGTAAAGTACATGACGGTAAGTGGGACCAATCTCGACTTATTGGCCCCTCATTGCTCATCTTTTCTCCAGACCAATGGTGGCAAATTCCGATTCAATCCTAACCTATACCAGGTTTGGCCTTCACAGTGCTCTTGAGTTTGCAGTGACTGATTGCAGTTTAGGATGGTAAGGTCTGCCTATCTCTCTTGGGAACATGGTCTGGGCCTGGCTGGATAGCTGGGAAATCAACCCTGCTTCAAGTCAGCAACTTGATTTCAGTCTATCGAACGCCCGCTGAGACATGTCTTTAGGTCCTGATTTCCATTCAATCTATGATCCTCTGTGAGGAGCCGTATCTGAATGAGCCAGGTTGGGCTACGGCGGCTGGCACACCACAGTCCAAAGCTTGTAAGTCGCACTCAGATCATTCAAGCTTTGCTGCTCAACGTTTTATCTGTCAGATTCTGCGAATGTTAGGAGAATGGTGGTAAAGACTGCGATGCTTGGTAACCTCAGGAACCCACCAGAGCCCTTCGCGGACGTCATTCGCACGCACTTCCGTCTCAAAGCGAGGTCCATCATGAAGCAATTGGACGAATGGCTCCAGCAAGATGATGGAAGACCAATTGATGCAGCGAACCAGGGCGGCTCGTACAAGGCTGTTGCCGGTTCAAGTTCTGCAGGATTCACCAAGGACGTTGACGAGTTAAAGGGCCTCCTGCAGAAGCTCATCGACGGCGAGAATATTGAAAACGGCGATGGTTCTGGGACAGCATAAATGAATATGTGGCATTGTATTATTTTTCTGGACCGAGCTTTCCTTGATTGTAACAAATATATTATAATGCAGCTGTTGGGCATATGTACTCAGCACAATCCTTTTCACGCATGTGCGCAACGTCCGGTAACATACAGTGGTGGCGCATGTGATATTAATGGCGCATCCGCATACAGACGCGACTCTGGCCTCCACTCTACACCCGACGACAACCTGCTGCTTGCACCGACCTCGTAAGACTTCCTGTTAACGTGCTCGTAAACGAATATAGAGGACACATCTACTTCTTGATCCCGACTCATAATGCCGAGCGACTCAGTTATTCACTCACTCGCAGGGGCAGCGGGCGGAATTGTCGCAATGTCCGCTACATAGTAAGTCTAATATCTGCATCATTTGAAAACACTCATGAATCTTCCAGGAAGCCCACTAATCTTCCTATCAACCCGGGCTGCAGTAGAGACTAAGAAAGAGCATAAAGTGAGCCAACACCAATGCCTTAGACAGTGGGCCGCGCGGAGCTAATGCGGACCGCTGTATCTTCTAGTCTATATACCAGGCCATTGTCGACATCATCAAGCGAGAGGGTGTCCTCAGCCTCTACAGCGGGCTTAACTCAAGTTTGCTTGGCATTGCAGTAACCAATGGGTGAGTGTTTACAAACAATGCTGTTCCATCGAATGCTCATCGTCGCGAAGAGTGTATTACTATTTCTATGAACGCTCTCGGGGAATTGCTCTCGGCGTAAGGAAAGGGGGAAAAGGCTTGTCCACACTCGAGTCAATAATAGTTGGTCTCATCGCAGGTGGGTGTTCACAGACGTCACATTCTACCTATTTCAATATGTCAATTAGGTTCTGCTACAACAATCCTGAGCAACCCTATTTGGGTCGTGCAAACCACCCAAGCTGTTAGGACGTTAGACCAGTCTGACGCGTCTCAACCTCGACCCATCATCAAGCGACTAGGTTTGATTGAAACCATGCAGCATATCCTCAGAAAAGATGGTATTGCCGCATTCTGGCGAGGCATCGGACCTGCCCTTGTGCTTGTCATTAACCCTGTCATCCAATACACTATCTTCGAACAGTTGAAGAACTTGTTCGTCAAGCAACGTTTGGCCAAGCTTCGTGCCGCAGGGCCTGCAGTGACAGCCGGCATCTCTGTCCTATCCGACTGGGACTACTTCTTCCTGGGCGCTCTATCAAAACTGAGTATGTATTACTGTATTATATTCACTCACTGCGAACTAATTGTATGCGTAGTTGCGACTTCTTCAACGTACCCATACATGTACGCATCGTCCGCTTACGATAATTTCGGAGACTGACAATTACTCCTTACATGCTCTGCAGTGTCGTCAAGAGCCGATTGCAGGCAGGGCATGCCAGTGCCTTACGATATAAGTCGGCGTTAGATGGGCTTCTCACCATCGTCCAAGAAGAGGGCATTGAAGGCTTGTACAAGGGTGTCGGAAGCAAACTCACTCAAAGTGTCCTGACTGCAGCCATTTTATTCGCATGTCAGCGAAGGCTCTACGAGATAACTAAGAAGGTATGTGTTGTATTTTTGTACGTTGAGCCGTGTTGACGTCGTGTATCGCTTAGGCACTGTCCCCGTGAAGCTTCACCTACTTTCAAGAATAGATTTAACTAGATTTCACTGCAACATTCGATGCAGGGATTATATCTCCAGTTCGTGACAAACATGTAGACCATGCGTACAACGATCTAACTATAGTGAATCAAAAAGCTTTACGCGGCGAGGGTTCGATCTATAGGTAGCCTTCAAAACTGCACGTGTGTTAACTAGTGTCACATGCCTAATTGAGAATAAAAACCACCATACTAAGTATATTATTGGGTAAATCAGACGGACGACGTCCAGGCCAGCTGTTCTCTGTCCTCGATATGCGCTGTCTCTGCATTTAAACCGTACAGATGAGTGAGGTCAAGAAATGATTGACACGTGTTTCTTAATGAGCGGAAGAACAACACTCCTCGCCTACATCGGGCCAACGAGTGGCACAACGAGTGGCACAACAAGTGGCTAAACAACCTTGTTCTTCCCAAAGTGACCATCTAAACCTGATCGGATACCGTTGTGTGCGAGTTGTGTAAGTCCGTTTGCAGCGACTGTCGCACTTTTATCCCTCCAATTTGGTGGTTAACGGTGGTCGTTGTACTCTAGATATCTTCGTTTGTACGCTCTTCGCAACCCGACACCCTCCTCGGTCCAAGATCGCATCCAACCTCATTGTTCTGCCCGCAGTGTGCCAAGTCGTCCACTGGTTCTATAGTGCTCCATCTGTGTCTAGGCGGATGTAAGTGTCTCATTTGTTGCCAGGCATCTTCCCCGGAAGCATTATACCGCCATGGAAGTCGCCTTTGTCGCTGATCTTTTCAGTGCTCTTGGCCATCGCGTACTATATGACATGTCAAAGAACTTGCATAGCCGACTCATCTCTCCTTTGTTCACCATGTTCTTTGTTCTAGCACAGAAACTCCGCTGAAGAAGTTGAACGATATAAGAAGCCCACGCGTTTCTGAAGGTCCCCCATTAAATCCCTTTACAACTCCCCGAACATTCGCTCTACCAGCTACAAGCAATACTAGGTCCGCATACGTTCTACCTGTGCTCACTGCCCTCAACTTACCATCATAACAGATCACTTTTCTAGAGGTCCTTTCTATCATCCCGATTCAAAGCATCCAATAGACCATCATGTAAGTGCTATTGGTCGTGCTCCTGTGATCCACACCCCCGATGACTTTTAATTTCAACCCAGGTCTCTCCAGCCGCGACTTCCAGAGAGCGTCCAATTGAGGATCATCGCGCATGTCCCTGAAAAGGCCGCCAAAATCTTCAGGGCTTGCTCCCTCACCTGTCGCGCATGGCGCGAGCCAAGTCAGCGACTCCTTCACAAGTGGGTCTGGATACAAGCCCCGGGCGCACAAATGCCCCTGGACGCGGCCAAGCCATTGTCATTGGACCGCTACTCTGACCCACGAGTGGCGTCGTATGTGACCGAGATCAATTTGGAAGGTTTCGACTTCTCTATCTATACACCACCAACTGCTCAACACGTCGAGGTCACCGGCGATGATATTGCGTTTAGATTGCTGGAACGCTTCCCGAACCTTCGCCTCGTGAAATTCGATGACTGCATGAGGATAGAGCGACCTAACGGCGATATATCAGCCCTTGAGAGGGTGTTCCGAAACGTAGAGCGTATGAACGTATCGGACTCGGACAGTTCCAATTTCATCGGCTTCTTCTCGTTCTTGTTCTCTTTCCCACGTCTCTCCGTGCTAGAGCTTACAAGAGTTGCGTGGTATGACAACGAACACCCCGACCTGCAGGAGTTTATGCTTTCACAAGACTCGTTCGCGCTGGTTACCCATTTAGAGGAACTCCGGTTTTGTAATGCCGTCGCTGATGATCACTGTCCGGTTTTGTTCGACATTCGCGGATGGCTCTCTGTGATCCCCCACGTCCAGTTCCACCCCAACTTTCGACTTGTATTCGGATATGCGAAAGCCTTTGAGGGTAGATACCTGCCAGCCTTGCTCAAAGCTCTAGGACCAGCCCTGAAGCGTCTGCACTTGCGCGACATGCCAAAGCCACTACGTGTTTTTAATTTCCGTGAGCATCTTCATAGTTGCAATGTTTTACCTCGCGTACTGATGCATTGTTTATTATATAGCCCATCTCCTTATCTTCAATACCTCGCTTCGCGAAATAGCTATCACGATTGACAGGAAAAGAAATGGTCCGGAATGGGTCCGATACGTCTTGTCCCAAGTTGCGCCGACTGCATGCATTCGTAAACTCGTATTCAAATGTGATGTTTACGACAAGAACGCTTTACAAGCATGGACGCGTGGCGGGATCGATTTACCAGAACCCGAGCTGGAAGGAAGTCTCCCTTTCTTGCAACTCAACGGTCTCCTCTCCATTCCTCAGTATTCAAGACTGGAAGAAGTTGTCATCAACTATCACTGGCCTGATGAATTACCTGAAGATAATCGTGAGGCTATGGAGTGGATGGAAGAATGTTTGCTTGAGGATTTAGAAGAGGATCTTCCGAATTTGTGTTCCAACGTGAAGGTCACCTTGAAGCGAAGGACTAAACTGATCACACAGGTAGATGATGACTAGATTTCACCCATCACTCAAATTGTATGTTATCTGTAGTGCCTATACTATCTATGCCATATGTTTACTATTGTGATTTGTACACACTGACTCGTAGGAGATCCAGCTAATCATGTGTTCACTATGGGTATACAATACAAGTTGAAAGTTGAAGTATTATGATCACTGAAAGATGCTTCCAAGGAGTGTGCGGGAATCAGGTATGCGACCCTGCGCACCCAATCGACCCCGAGTGCCTTTGTCACTCTCAATTCTAATGATCCACCCAATAAGCTGCGCACCTCCCCAGATGAATAATCGAAGGAGTGCCAGACCAGCTAGCAAACCAGTGATGAAGACGATAAAACCAATGAAGAATTCCTTGCGATGGTTCGCGGGATTAGAAATGACGTCGTGCGCAAAGGAGCCTGGGTGTAACACGACAGCGGCGATAGCGAACAATGTCGTGAAGATGAAGAGTGGATAGATGTGATCAAAGACACTCTTCTGAGAGAGGTCTGGGTTCAATTGGAAGCGAAGGAGCATAGCCCGCACGTCCGATGCTGGTGGGCAAATGGCTTCACCCCACGACGCCGCCTCTTCAGCGATCACGTCGTGGAAGCCGAGTTTACGAGCTCGTGAGGGTGTACTGGAGGGAAGGAGAAGATCGGATTCATCCTCATCGTTCCCCCGAGTGATTTTAGTAGCCATAAGTTCGGCATACTCGTAACCAGGATGATAGCGTTGGATAAGACCGGGCATAGCAAAGATATGTGGGTTTAATTGATCAACAGCTAAGTGCGAAAGAGAGTGATTGTGGGTTGGATGAAAAGAAATTGGATTGACCTTTGAGCAGAATTGCTCGTCCTTTTATCTCTTTCAGTGACGGATGCGGATGCGTGTGCCGACGCGTCGGGAGGTGGAAGACATGCGCGCCGCTGTCCGTCATCCGCGTCATCCTTCCGGTGCTATTCCCGAGCAGCTACCTTTCCCGCTGCGGATGTTATTGTCGGGCTGGAGAGGTGAAGGTAAGATTCAGAAATTATGCCAGACCGCTCAAGCTGATCGTCTCAGGTTGTAGCGATCAACTCGCGTGGCTCTCTTTCTTCCTCGATCGTACTATCCACCTTACGCGACCCGAGACTCGAGTAGCCTGTTCACAATTTCCACTACTACATTTGTCAGTGAATGCTTCTAACTTTCATAAATGGCCAGACGAGAATAGCCCTCATCAGCATGTTTCCTGAGTCTGGGTGGTACAATACCGCAGGCGGAAGGCTCAAATTGTGTCTATCTGGATTGAATGTTCGCCTCACATCATGGTAGTGCATGACAAGGCACCCCTCCCGATGTCTATTGCGGATGAAACGCACGATGGCACATGGAAATGTTCATGAGGTCGCGCCTGAACGCGCTTGTCGAACGATGGTAATACAAAATCTCTTATCATGCAAAGTGACCAGCGTTGACTGCTTCTGAACTGTCTATGGTACCTTCCGTCTCCGCGCTGTATAATAGGCCGTTTCCCAAAATACCTTAAGCCGACATCTTGGATAGCCTCTTCCTCTCACGTCTGACGACCTTATCACTAGATACGAACGCCCTCCAGATGCTCTGCTTGCACCTGACCGTACCACCCGCCCTTCTACCGCCAGCCTCCGGCTTGCTCTTGGACTTGACGAAATACCAGTTAACCCTACACAAAGTCACCGATTAAAAAAAGGAAGTGGAAAGCACATCCTCATGATGTCCTGATGTTCCCATCAAACCGTTCAACGTGGTTGCTCGGCTAGCCGTAGGTCCGCCGGCTGTAAAAGAACCTCAGTCTGATGAATCACCCGAGATTCTGACGGCTCTGCTTGGCTTGTATCTGAGTTTTACTGGAGCAGAACCACCATTCATGTCAACAAGACATGCGGTGCGCCTTGCAGGATTTCGTTATATAGGCATCATACCTAGTGAAGAACTTCCCACCGAGTTACCTCTTCCAGGTCTCACTCGCCGTCTCCTCGTCACTTGGTCGGCTGTTAGTAGCTATGGTCTTGTCATCTTGGCAGCTCGTGTGTCTTCTTCTCCCCTTTGCGTCTTTGGCACTTGGTCGACGCGCGAATATTCCTCCACGACCTTCGGTTCCACCAGTACCTGCTCCTGAAGAAGGGCCTGTTACAAGTAGGAATGGCACAGAGATTCCTCCGTATAACACTACTTACTACTTTGATCAACTGATCGACCACAATAATCCAAGTCTGGGGACATTCAAGCAAAGATTCTGGCATACTTGGGAGTTCTACGAGCCGGGTAAATAGTTCTCCTGTCCTCTATCGTTACTGCAACTGAAGCCGACGATGCGCAAACGCAGGCGGTCCCATCATCTTGATGACACCGGGTGAAGCAAATGCCCAACGTGAGTAAATCAGAACGAATATCATAGCGCCGACGTTGAATGACGTACATACCATTCTCAATAGCTTACAGCGGTTACCTAACGAACCGAACAATCAATGGCCAGCTCGCTCAACAAGAAAGTGGCGCCGCCATCGTCGTCGAGCATCGTTTCTTCGGTCTCTCGAACCCGAAGCCCGACCTTACAGACGATAGTCTCAAGTTACTCACCATTCAACAAGCCATTGATGACCTCGAGTATTTTGCCAACAATGTTAAACTGCCTATGCCCGGTGGTGATCAGGTCCCACCTTCCAAGGCTCAATGGGTCTTAATGGGAGGAAGTTATTCTGGTGCACTTACTAGTTGGACGATGGTCAAGTAGGTTTCTTTCGTGTATCTGCATTTGAGCTCTTTCTGATACTTATTCTGTAGCAAACCTGGTTTATTCCATGCTGGTTATGCTTCATCTGCCGTGGTCGAAGCCATTATGTGAGTTCCCGGACTAGTCTCTGTTGCATTTTTAAACCAGACCATGAACTTTGCCTTTCAGTAACTATTGGGGATACTTCGAGCCTATTCGACAGTTCATGCCAAAGAACTGCTCGGCTGACGTCCAAGCAGTCATCGCTCATATCGACCAAGTGTTCACTTTTGGGAGCAAGAAAGCTATCAATGACTTGAAAGCATCATTCGGTATGGAATCACTGACGCATCTTGACGACGTTGCTGGTGCCCGTATGTGAAAGCATTCTGCCCAAAGCCCGACGTATTGATGTACTGATGTGACGCATGCAGTGCGGAACAACTTGTGGGATTGGCAGAGCTTGTCACCTAGTGTCGGACCCAATGCTACGTTCTTCCAATTCTGCGATGCATTGGAAGTTAAGGATGGCGTCAGCGCACCTGCCGGCGGCTGGGGTTTGCAACATGCGCTCAAAGCATGGGGCTCATTCTGGACGAAGGGCTACCTATCCGATCGTATGTCTGTTTTCGATTACCTTCTTGGATCTCATGCTCATCGAAGAGTTTGTCTAGTTTGCGAGGACAATAGTGTTATGTGCGTAGGATCCAATGAACCCTTTACGCGCTGAGGACTAAATCTGATTCTCAACAGTGATTGTCTCGGCTCTTACGACGCAAACTCGGATTTCTATACCAATACCACAGTTAATAATGCCAACCGATCCTGGTTCTGGATGGTGTCAGTATCCTGCTGTGAATTCCTTGTATTCAGCAACTGATATCGTTCTCGATTTTAGGTGCAACGAAGTCGGATACTTCCAAGAAGGTGCTCCTTTAGGTCACCCTACGCTCGTTACCCGTCTCGTGCAGCCCCCTTACGACGAGGTTGGTCGTTTGTTCCGTATGGCTCGTAGCACTTATTCACGCGATCGTCTTTCCAATAGCGTCAATGTTCCCTTATGTTCCCCAAAGCCTTCCCCAGGCCTCCTGTCCCGAAAGCCGCCCAAGTAAACAAGAAGTACAAGGGTTGGAACGTCAAGGTTGACAGACTTTTTTTCGCAAACGGCCACCGTGGGTGTACCATTGTCCTTATCATGCGCTTCAGATCATGACCGGCTGGCGTCCTTTTAGGTGATCCGTGGAGAGAAGCAACAGTATCTGCTGACGGCGTTAACGTCAAGAGCACTCCTTCGCAGCCTGTCGCCATCAGTGACGGTTTCCATTGCTCCGATCTCAGCACGGCCAATGGCAACGTCGATGACACTGTAAAACAGGTACAGCAGCAGGCATTGACCACGATTAAGACGTGGCTGGCTGGTGGTCGGCCAGCAGCCAAGCAGTCCATACTCGACACTGCCTTGGACACACTGAAGGATGTCAAGTTGTCGAGAACTTCTGGTGCTTTAGGTGCATAGGGCGGCCTAAAACCTGTTGTTGTTTGCTTTGTTTCGGCCGAATATATTCGTTCAAAGCACGTCGCAACGCCTTACACGCTATGTCACTCCAAGTATTCTCTCATGATATCGAAATGTCCCAATTGAACGTGCCTTTATGATCAAATTAACTGAAGTGAATGTATGATGTCTCTGAAGTCCTAGGCTGCTTAGGATCCGGTGGCAATGTCTTGCAAAAGAAACAATACAGAGTCTGCAAACGGCAATCTCTCCTAGAGGGCTTTGATAAACAAACCTAAATAACAGAAAGAATGGTCCCGACCGTTCCTGACTCCGACATGATCGCAACTGAATTACAGTCTCAGTGACTCGGACAGGCATGTCAATCGAAGAATGTTATTACGTGGCCCTCGGATCCCCTCTTTGTCTGCCAGAAACGCATACTATGTTGTCGTCAGAGGGCAAATGAATACACGAATGCATATACATCAGTATCATGTGTTGTGTACAACCTCCTACCGTCTATGTATACAACTATCCTATTGCTTTTCTGTTTACAACTAGCTACTATTAGAATGTACTGACAATGCCCATTCCACAACACACCTGGAAACAGAACCAAGAGAACCATGTCCCAGAATGTTTTTTTGAATTATAAAAAGGGAAAGAAGAAAGGAAATGTGAGATGGGGTTAGGTACTGTATATAAAAATATGAAGAATAATGAAAGGTCTAAAGCAACTGCGTCCATTATCGCAACCATAACCAAGAAGGGGAAGAAATGGGTATCATCGCGCTCATAAAGGGTTCATACATACATACACAATGCGTCCGTTCATTCGTTCGTTCATTTCGGGCCCGTGAGCAGCTTGACATATTCGAACCCATCGTCCCCTCTTCTTCGGGTCAAACCCTTGAAGATGTACCTATCCTTGAGGTAATCCACTTTCCGCACACCCTGACTGGCCTCGAACTGTTCTGCACTAGGGTACGTTCGACAACGCCTAGTATAAGCCCTGGCCACAGCAGTGGCATCCTCGTTTGTGAGTTTGACCCAGTCACGATGAGAGATTTGGGTCTGAAGCGCACGATGTATGGCGACGAGAATGTCACCAAGGGTGATGGGCTGGTCATATGATGCGCGGGGAACCGAGAGGTAGTTCGACTGGTCATCGTAAGGTTCCAGAGTGATTGGCCATTGTGGGATAGCATCGCAGGTGATGACCATGCGAGTGACCCCCGGATGTGTCGCCTGTTGTTGAAGCTCATCCAGTGCCAATGATTTACCTGCCCTTCGCCCTGGCGATATAAGCCGCAAAGGGTCGAATGCGTGAACAGATAGGTCAAAGAACAGCATTGGTGTTTGTGTTTCCCCATTCAGCAGAGGATGGAATTGTGGGGGTGGACGTGCTTGATACTGCGGCTGAGGGTACGCAATCCAAGGTACAGGTATCCAAGCATGGTTCATGCCAGGAACGTTGCCGTCGGAACGACGACGCTGAGGAACATACCCCGGAGGTGGTCCTGCAACGGGCATTGGCAGTGGAGCGTAAAGAACTGGAGGGGAGGGGAAGGGAGCAGGATTAGGCGGAGGTGCCATTCCAGCCATCCCCGCATGCCAAGAGGGCGGTCGCGGGCGCGTTTGTGGGTATTGTTCCTCATCCGCAAACCTAACTCGTCTAGTACCTGCGTCTCCATGTGGTGAAGGTGGAAGAGCACATGACGGGATGAAGGGCGAGTTGACGGGTTGGTTGTGGTATGGGTAAAGATATGGAGTCTGATAGAAAAATTGAGGGTAAACGTAGGGTGCATTCATGTTCGTAAGCTCTATAGTGGGTGAAGGTATAGTGAGCTCTGCGGACTAAAGGACCTGTATTTATACGCATGACATACCTCTGTATCTGAGTCACAACCGCTCTACAGGGACCGTAAGGATGTACCTATTTGGCTGAGTTCCAGCTGAGCCTAAGGCAATGTACTGTCAATGTCAGTCGGCGGAAGGGTACAGGCTGGATATACCAGAGAGAGAGCCTGTGCAAGGGCGGGAATGTACCGCGAATGGCCCTGGTTCTTATGCTTTAGCTTCCGAAAGAGCGCTCTATAATCAAAACACTTTAAGATGAGCGTGGATCTCGCGTCAATCAATCTCCAAGATTGCTGTGGAGATCGGTTATTCCCCTACCTTTTGTTTTGTGAGAAGGCGCGAGTAAGGAAGGAAACACGAGTTGGTTACAGTACAACATGGGTAGGTAGACGCCCAGTGCCTCTCGTTGAGGAATAGTGTACCTAGCAAATCATGGTGTTCCCAGACTGTGCAACAACATCAAGGACCATATGGAAGTACAACGATTAATGTTGATGGCGGTACTGAGCAACGAAGGATGTGCTGTCTCGACGACAGTGTCCACTCTGACGGCGGTGCCACCGTTGCAATCACACGATGCCGAAGAAAGCGCTGAACGCGCCTCCCGATGTGGCACTGCATGATCAGACTAATTGACGAATTTCATCGGCGAGGAGCCAAGCCTTCAAAATGGTTCAGCTTTCTGACTGTACAACGATTACCAGTGTCGTAAATTCATTCGGATAGTCCCTGATGGTAGGTACAGAGAGGTTGAGTCCTCAAGTGTCCTTCCGCAGCTTCAAGTGGTACAACAGGCCGATCGGGCAGCCAACGCTTGCAGAAGCACGGTACCAATGCTGTTAGAATGACATTCAACGAAGCACTATGCCAGCCAAACGTAGACAGCGCAGTCGTTAGTATTCGTGGCCCGCTGGCCATCCGACTATGAATGATACCCTCGAAGACTCGCGGCTGTTCCGGTACCCGATAGCTGTCGTATTGTGACTCCTTGATTAGCACATGCCTGGTCTTTCATTAGTGGTATACATACCGCTTACTGAGACGGCTCCGAACCGTCATTCCATGCATCGACCATGTTTCCATAGATCACAGTGGTCTGCTATACGCAGTCAGAGCTACGAGCGCCGAAGGAATGTTGAGGCCGCGACACGAAGTATGGAATGGAAGGATGCTCCAGCGAGATAAGAGGTTTCTAAGTACAGGCCCGTGTCAAGGTTCCTGGAATCCATCCCAGTAACTGAAATAGCACGGTAGCCCAAAGTAAGGCACTGTCCGATTTTCTCCTCGACCTGGCAAGGTAGGGAACGCCGGTTTTTCGGATGGCGGGCGCAGCCAATAATGGATCAACCATTGATATGCATTCTTTGTTCCGTGATCATCCAGACCGCAGAACCAAATACGCAGTCAAAATCACCCAATTCGGCACGTCGTCTTGAGCGCTGGCCCGGAGTCGCAGCGTTTGCAAGGCTAAAGCGAAGGGTCTGGATGAAATCCTACATTACATGACGGCAGATCTCTCCGATCGTCTTTCGGAATACAAAGCGTAGAAAGTTCGCTCGTACTAGTGCGGTACGCTCGAAGCAGTTTCTCGGATCCGTTCGCGTCGCAATAAGAGACGGATAAGAGCCCGCTCCAGACCGCAGAATTCCCCGAGGTAACCTCTTTGCTGACAACGGTTTTATCTGATATAGCAGCTTCTGGATAACCGTACGCCGAATACACTGGAATACAAATCTATGAATGAACCATACTTTTGCAGCTGGTATAGGCCCGAGTGGGTTGTCATCAAACTCACCATCAACGTAGTAGGTTTTGGTGACGGTAACCTCTAGGACTGGGGAGAATATGCGGCTGAAGAGTAAATTACCGCCGTTTATCAGCCGGCGGTACTGACTTCAACAAAAATGCAGCATTCGAGATTATTTATCATCTTTGTCACATCACCGGAGGCAGATGCTGTCTTCTAAATGCTAATCGCGCAGCTACGATAGCTGTCTATCTCGGTGGCCGACAGATCATGCTTCAGGCCAACGGTGGTTTCTACCCAATAGATTGCTTTAGATAATCGATTATGGCGTTATGAAAATAGTGGAAGATCCTTACCATGCCTGTCTAACTCAAAGCGATGTCTCCATTGAATGATGCTTAGCAGAAGCTGTATATGATGTATAAGTCACTGGAAAACCAGAAATTGCTAGTCAGGAAGGGACCTACTCTTAGAAGTAGGAATGCTACAGATTGTTACACCGACATATGAGTTTTCGCCATTTTTGTCTTGGAAACAGGAAAAGGTACGTGTTCCCAGGTGAGTTTATCACAGTTTGTGTATAACCGCATCACGACTAGGGTGGTGGTGAGAAGACTTGGACCCAAGTGACCAGGTCTGTCCAGAGCGCTATGTCTACGTAGACAGATCCCGAACAACATGTCGTATTGGGCGCAGAACTGAATGCAAAATGTGGCTGAAACATACCATACCTGCGTGTCGTGAGTCTAAAACAGGGAAGCAGAAATCGCACCAGCACCATACAAGGCCATAGCTTGGGGTCACGATATCGGAAGTCCAACGAACATAAGGATCCTCGTGAAACAAGCATCGCACATATCGTCAAATACGCGTAGAAGGCTAGCCATGGGTGGCCCATATCATGCTGCCCAAGATGGTTGAACTGTGCATATTAGCTGAGCTACTGGAGACTGGTGTGATTCATAACGTACCCTGGGTATTCATCCTCGTCAATGCTTCATCGAATCGGAGCCAAGTGGCCAGATCAGAATGTCATCCACAGACTACTTCAAGAGCGGTACTGTACGCTATGGCCAGGAAGTCAACCACGGAGTTTGTCGGCGTGGCCACATCAGACGTGTCACAGCATATTCCATCCCATAGGAAACCGGTTCACATGGCCCTAGTTGAGAATCGAGCCGAAAGAGATAAGAAGAACGTTTACAAGGGAGTGCTTGCTTCAAAAGCTAACCCATGAATAACCCTCTTTGGAATTAATGCACTGCGTGAAGACCTTACGCACAAAGGAGGCGCACCTTGAATTCAAACATAGTAAAATGAACATATGTTGTGTATTATGGCGGTATAAAGCGGCCTCGAAAGAGTGCAGTCTTGACCCATACTTTGCAATCCGCAAAGTGCAGTATTTAAGATCTCGATGTTCGAGAAGTTGCTACCACCAAAATGCAGAAGAAACTTGATCAACGCCGGCTACCAAAGGAGGTAGTGTGAACGGATGACGTAATTACCTTTACTTTTGTAGTGGACCGAATTCTTCATTTGCCTACTAAGCACGTACCGTATGTAGTACCACCTAGTGAATCGGAATTCCGCTCATTAAAGCCACCCGGTCTTCAGTTTTTCCCAGAGTTCCCTGCTATTCTGCATACGTTTCTTGTGCTGCATTGCCTTGGTCTGATAATCCATCGTCGACTTCACTATGTCGAACGTTAAATCCACTTGAAACGCTTCTCCACTCCCGGTTTTGGGTCGCATCAGTACCCTGAGTTTGTAACGTTCTCTTACCACTGGGTTTTTCTTCAAATGCCCTATCTGCAATCTCTGATTCAACGTTGCGTGTACAAAGAAGCCCTGCGGATGCTTCTTAAGCAGAGCTTGCCACGACCGTGGACCTAGATATAACGAAGCCATCAACATCAACCAACTGACGCAGTTGTTCCTCGTGTTCTCAAGCCAGACCATAACAGCCTCGCCTCCGGATGCTCTCAGCCAGGAAGAAATCAAAGATGCCATCTCTTGAGCTTCTCACGTCACGCGCACTATAAAAGGGTTGAGGGCCGCTCAGACGAATGGAGACGTCCTTGCAATCTTGTTTCTCCACTGCTCGACCAGCTAGTCGCGTCTCCTTTCCACGCTACCTGAAGTCACCACCATGGGCAACAGCCTTGCTATCATGCGGCCAGCAATTGACCAATGCTGGCCGCCTAAACCCCAGTTCTCTCCAGACCAGATACCAGACTTGACAGGCCGTGTAGTAGCTATTACTGGTTAGTCCCTTCCTCTATTCTCGCTTGCTGATGTCGATTCTAGCGTAGATGCGCTGACATGGTCTCCGACATATAGGAGGTAACTCCGGTATAGGGAAGGAGACTGTAAAGGTAACGTTTAGTTCTACTTGTCTGCCCTACCCTGATTTGCGCATCAGAGGTATTCTAATAGGTTCGGTCTGCATGTATAGGCTCTCCTGCAACATAACGCAAAAGTGTATCTTGGTGCCCGAAACAAGAGCAAGGCAGAGGCTGCGATCAAAGAGTTGAAAGAGGAGACAGGAAAGGAAGCTATCTTCTGGGAAATTGACCTCAGCAGTCTTGCCGCCGTTCGCAAGGGGGCAGAAGAATTCCTCAGGTATGAGTTGTATATCATACTAACGTTCAATCCTAAGAGAAAGACTAATGCACGCGCTCTTCAGCAAAGAGAAGGAATTACACATTCTATTCCTCAATGCGTAAGTCACTTGTGCGCCATCGCCCTTGTCCTACCCTTATCTCGCAATTCAGAGGCATCATGTGGTCACCGTTGGACCAGTTTACTCCTGATGGCTATGACCTTCAATGGGGGACAAACATAGTTGGTGCGTTGAAAGGACCATTGGTCTTCTCGCTTGGCTACACTGACATACCGTTTCTACAGCTCATTTCCTTCTCACGAAACTACTCATGCCAGCATTACTCGCCGGAAAGGAAACTTCACCGGACCATCACGCCCGAATCATCACTACGTCTTCTACCGGGGCGTATTTCTACCCCTGGATTCAATGGGACTCTTTCAAAGATCATCCTATTCGACACAAGATGGGCACGAAGGATATTTATTTCCAAAGTAAATTCGTAAGTAGTCATACCAAGCACGTCAATGTCTCCGACTAAGCCGGAGGATGTTGACAGGCTGGCGTCGTTGTCGCTAAGGAGTTTGCAAAACGATACGGAGGAGACGGAATCATCTCCATTTCAGTTAACCCCGGGAACTTGAAAACTAACCTTCAACAAAATGCTAGCTCGTTCGAGTACAAGATTCTCGTAAGTTCTTCTGTTCCTTCCCCTGCTGCGCTTTTACGGTTATTTACGTCCGCTTACCCTTGCCAGTCCGTACTGCTTCTCTACCCTGCCCCTCTCGGCGCGCTTACTCAACTATGGGGTGGAACGATGCCGGAGGCTCTGAACTACAATGGAGGGGTAAATTTCATGTTCATATTCGATAGGAATGCGTAGACTGAATGGTTCTTAGTTCCTGATTCCTTGGGCTAGGGTGGGTAAACCGCCGAAGCAGGCATTGGACAACGAGCTCGGCGAGAAGCTATGGAATTATCTGGAGAATGAAGTGAAGGACTACCTCAAGTAGCTTGGGCGTTTCATATGGCCTTTTCTCATCTCAGAGATGTGTCGCGTGTCTATGCATGTTTATTCTTGACGTCGATCCTTAGATAGCTAATGGGAAAATGTCAGGGTATACATACATTTTGTTGATTGTCAGCACATTATAGCTAGATCAATATCATACAACGATCAGGAGGGAATACCATGGTCAGGTTACAACCCGCCAAAGGCAATGTACTTGATGTTCGTGTACTCATCGATACCGTATTTGCCGCCCTCACGACCTATCAAGCCAATACCATCAGTGAACGAACTGAGGGAAAAGTATAAACCCAGCACATACCCAATCCACTCTGTTTCACACCACCAAATGGAATGACAGCCTGACTGATCACACCAGTGTTGGTACCAACCATACCAACCTCAAGTGCCTCAGCGACCCTCCAAACACGCCCAACATCCCTCGAGAAGAAATAACCAGCAAGTCCGAAAGGCGTATCATTGGCCAATTTGATGACCTCTTCCTCGGTCTCGAACTTGGTCAAAGCAGCCAAAGGACCAAAAGTCTCTTCGGAGTTGATGAGTGCATCCGTGGGGACGTCGGAGAGGATGGTTGGGGCGAAGAAGCTTCCGGGGCCTGGAAGACGTTTGCCACCGTGAACGATTTGGGCACCGCGGGAGAGGGCATCTTCGACGTGGTGCTCAACTTTGGCGACAGCTTTGTCGTGAATGAGAGGTCCGTGAGTGCTACGACAAGAGCAACGGGATGTCAGTTGAAGACTTAAGGATCTAAGGGAAAGAGCACTTACGTGTCCTTGTCTAGACCGTTACCAACTTTGAAGGCAGCAACCTTCTCGGCGAGACGGGATGCGAATTCGGCGTAGATCGATGACTGAACGTAAATACGGTTCGCGCACACACAAGTTTGTCCTGACCCTCGGAACTTGCAAGCAATTGCACCTATACAACGCGTCCAGTCAATCTTGTATAGAAAATGACGGGGGTTGTGAACCCACCTGTAACGGCAGCATCGATATCTGCGTCGTCGAAGACAATGAAAGGAGCATTTCCTCCGGCCTCAATCGATATTCTGTGAATGCCGTCAGCCCGACCATTCGAACTGAACCAGATACAAACGTACCTTTTCAGCGTACTAGACGCATATCCAGTAAGCAGCTTCGCAACCGGAGTACTTCCCGTAAAGGAAACCTTCTTTATAACCGGATTTTGGCACAATTCCTTTCCGACTTCCGCAATATTGCCATTTGTGGTAACGACGTTGATGACACCTGGTGGAATGCCTGCTCGGTTGGCCAGTTCCACAAGAGCAAGACATGAGAAAGGTGTTTCGGCGGGTGGCTTGATTACTGCGGTGCAGCCCGCTGCGAGTGCGGCACTAAGTTTACGGGTGATCATGGCAGAGGGGAAGTTCCAGGGAGTTAGTAGTGAGCTGGAAAGGTAAGTATGAGAACTGATTTGGTTGCAGAGTGTCTGGAGGCACACACACGACACCTGCGAAGTTAATCATAAGTATTCGATAGTGCAACTTGAACATGAATAGCCTACCGATTGGCTGCTTCACGACAACATTTCGTAGGTTCGAGATAGCAGACGGGATGATCTCTGGTATTATGAGATCAGTTCCTCATCCTTTGCAATACATTGCATCGATACAAACCTCCATATGTTCGGACAGCTTCCTCAGCTGCAGTGCGAATTCAGTACCGTGCGAAGGAGTGGAAGGGGAGGATCATACCAAACCACTAAAAAAATCATCAGTTATTTTGTAAAGAAGCAAAAGGAGGTGTGTGCACCTCAAGGTAAGATGCACTGTAGGCATTCTCGCCCTATACGTAGTGTATGAGATAGAACTCCCATACTGATATGCTTAGCAAACCTTCGCTTCAGCAAGCGGTTTGCCATTTTCTAAGGTCTACGGTAGTGTAAGATTTCTAGTTGGTGACTTTGTGAGATGCAATAGCTCACAATGATTCGTGCCAAGTCATCTTCGTGCTCCTTCATAAGGGCAAAGAACTTTAAAAGAAGATCATGCCGTTGCTACGTAGGGGGAACACATATGAGAACATAAACACCAACGAGGCTGATGCGTCTATAACGCACCTTGGCAGTCGTTTTGCTCCACGTCTTGAACGCTCTTGCGGCAGCGTCGATAGCCTCTCTGGTTTCTGCTAGACCCATCTCAGGAATGTGACCCAGCTCTTCAAGAGTCGCAGGGTCTATTGGATGTAAAGCATGTTAAATACGAGTATTATGAAACGTTATTCAGCGAACGCACTTGTTACGGTGACCGTTCCACCCTCCTTTGCGTCCACCCATTTCCCGTCAATGAATCCTTGGGTACGAATGAGTGAGCCATCTTTTAAGCCAAACTAAATGTGCGACGACCACGTTCAGCACACCCTTCCATTTCAACACTGAAGAGGTAGGTACTCACTGCTGAAGCCGCAGTGCTCGCCATCCTATACAATGCCAATCTAGGGTATGTTCTCGACCGGAGCGGTAGGGTTGAAACGTTGACGGTCAACAGCCGTCGAGTAGGATGTGAAAGGGAAACCATGTTGGCATGAAATCCGGCGTATCTTAAGGGATAAATGAGGAGGTGAATTGAGAGGGTGAGAATGACTCCCACACACCGGGCAAGCGATCTGCCTGAACGTTGGCTTTACGAAGCGCCCACGTTATCCTCAAGATGACTTCATTACACGGCCGTCCGTCCCGAGATTTGGCGTTGTTGTGCTATGCCATTGATACGATTCCCTTATCAAGGACGAGTCATTATCAGGTCTGGACTCGGCTGGGCGGAGATCTGAGTAGATATCGACGGCGTAAACATTTCGTGAGCATCATCTACACAACGGGGTACATAAATAGCAAAGCGAAACTACTACGACGACTGGCAAAGCGATAGATAGATGAGAGAGGGCGAGACAAGAATAGCTGGGGTTGCAACGATAGCAGAACGTGTGAGAACCAGTCCGTTGTGCGAGAGAGAGGGAAAAAAGTCACAGAAAACATTCACGATAGGAAAGAAATAGAAAGTAATCAAGATGTCCTGATCCGCTGGGGAGTCATGTGGAAGAAACAAAAAAAATCAAATCAAATCGAAGACGTGTCGAAGGCACTTAACTCAAACCCCATATACCAGCCTTTCTGACGCCATCAACAAGCGCATCGACGTTTCCGAGCATACCGCCCAGAATCTCCTTTTTCTCCTCCATAGTACGTGCACCCGAGGGGCGAGGCAGGGCAAAGGCAGGGGGCTGCAGGGGCATTTGAGTATCAATACTGCTTTGTGCGCGCCGGTGACCCTTCTGGAACCCGGAGGTCTTTGAAGTGGGAGGAGAGAGAAGACCGAGGTTGACAGGACTAAGTCGAGAAGAGGGTTTACGAGGAGTTTGCACAGAGTCTGTGCGACGATGTGTGCGAGAATCATCTTGGTTGGTTCTCGGTGTCAGAGCCTCTCGTTGCTTTGAGGGAAGACGAGGGGTGCCAACACCCAATTTGCTTATCTGTGCTTTCTTGGGGGTGATGGGGACGAAATCGATGTCCTTGCGAAGCATCGAACGTGGATAAGCCGGGGTGATGATCCGAGGCGAGGGTTTAAGACCTGGTATAACTGAAGCCGATTTAGGTGGGGAATTCGATTCCACCGGACTAGAGGAACCGTTGAAAGAGGAAGAAGAGAACGACGTTGCGTACGTTGAATTGGACGCAGTGGTGATATCGGAAGCTGAGGAATAACTCGAGGAAGGCGAGTCGGACAACTCCGTACTGCCTATCGTTGAACGGGTGGACAGGTTGGCCGGAGAATTTGGCGCAGTAGGTATCGCAATGGGGCTAGCGGCCTTCGGAGACGATATGGTAGACGTTGCAGGTGGAAGAGGTGCATTTGTTTCGTCCAATAGATAGAAATAGAGGAACTCGAGACATTTCATTCTAAATGTGGACAGGTCAGACTTTGTACCCGCAAGGTATGATGTCATAGTTGGGTTTGAGACACTTGCCTTACTTCTCGAGGTGTGCCTGCTCGTTTGAGTATCTTTACAACATATTGTACACCGTTTGACTCTTCGAACACGCGCAGCGCTGGAGAAGAGTCGACGAGAATGCAAAGCAGGGTGTCGAGAATAACAGATGAAAGAGACAACGAGAGTGGGGTGTTCTTTGAAGAACTAGAGTCAGTCGACTTTGAGTTGGAATTTGAGGGTGAATTTGAATTGGAAGCATTCAAAGGCATGGGTGAAACGTGACGTGAGGCCATGAAGAGATTGAGGAGCACTTCGAGTGCGCATCGACGACCGAGCCATTGCTTGCTTGGGCTATGATTGAGAACAACCCCCTGAATTATGGAGAGTGCTTGCATCAGTTGAGACGACAAAGTTGCCACTTCGGATTCTTTCTCAACTATTTGAGGTGTCAATGAATTACGGAGTGCAAGATGGCAAATAAGACTTACAAGCTAATGAGCCCTTTGCAGTAAGTGCATCCAGCCGTATAGTTGACTCCGAGATCCAAGAGATTAGTCGCGAGGGAACTAGGCGCACAGCCATCAATACAATGAAAGAGAAAGTTTAAGGTTGCCTCTTACCATTGCACTGGAACGTATCCTGAAGAGCCACGAAATACTGCAACGAGTATCTCGACTCTTCATCCGCTCGTGTACACAGTTCCGCAAGCAATCGTTCCAAAGTGTTCAACGCATCGCCTTTCTGAGCCACAGAAGTTCTCGTAGACGCAAGCTTAACTCTCCACATCAGCCCGACGCTTCAAAACACATATTAGACTAACACATACCTCGTCGAGAGCGTCCTGAATCGTGTCTTGGAGCAGCATAAGGTAAAGTATAAAGCCGTCAAAGAGGCTAGAGCAAAAGACCGTCTGTAATTACGGATAAAAACGTTTCCGCGTGCTCGAACCGCATACGCTGCAACTTGAACATTGGCGCCTAACGAAACGTGCCTTCGCTTGAAGCGGCCCGCCCTTGCAAGCTGAGCGCTTAGACAAAGAGGCGCGGATTGAGACGGCTTTCCGCAACGATGGTGTGACACCGGTGTTTGCACCATGATGCAGTCAGGAAGCTCTTGCAGGCGTGTATATAGCACAATAATAGCGTCCTGGGCGTGGTCAGCCATCTTGCCAACTAACCATGGCCCCCATACGAACGGTATGTTCTCATATCATCCTATGAATTGACGTCTCCTCATGTCTCTGTAGCAATGGACGCGGCTTATACGCTTCGTGGCGGCTGAGACTGCTCAAGTTCATATTGGTGAACCTATAGACCCCAAGATTAATGGTGCGCATCTTATCTTTCCAGCTTTCCCCCTTCGACTAAACTTTGTATTTGCAGTCGGACTCGCGTTCAGACAGAGAAAGCCTATCAAAGCATATGAGATCGTTGGAAGCGTCCTCGACCCTGCTGCGGAGGTCACTAAGAAGGTGTTGACCGTAAAGGAGCTCTTGTCTCCCCTCTCGCGAGAGCAGTTGGGGATTGTGCGGTGTTTAGGCTTGAACTATGCCGATCATGCTGTATGTGCCTTGTTCCCCCATACCCAAATTGCCTGAAATTGATGTAATCATGATTTGCACTAGGAAGAGGCGAAGATGGCGAGACCAAAGTGCGTGTGACCTCACTGATTGCAGATACGTTTCTTACACAATCATTCAGATATCCTATTCTCTTCTATAAGCCGCCAACTGCTATCATTGGCCCCGAAGCACCTATCCAAATTCCTAAAGTCACTCAACCAGTCGAACAGCACCTGCCAGACTACGAGGTGGAATTGACCATTGTCATCGGCAAAGCAGCCAAGGACGTCTCGGAAGCCGATGCGCTGGACTACGTATTGGCATATACCGCTGGAAACGACGTAAGCACGAATTTCCTGCATTTAGACATCCGGGTATACTTACGCATACTGTCGTAGACGTCGTTTAGGTACCATCAGCTGGCAGTCTCTCAATGGGGTTTCTCAAAGGGTTTCGGTGAGCAGTTTGGTCACTTCAGTGTTTGTGGCATAAGTTGACACTTGTTCCTCAGACGATGCAACACCTCTTGGACCTTGTCTTGTCGCAGCACGAACGATTGATCCTCAGAATCTCCCATTGAAGACGATCGTCAACGGCAAGACACTCCAAGATGGAACCACATCGTAAGTTCACACCCTCTCATCTTTCACCTAACCTCTAATTCAAATACTCCAATGTACTTATTTCGGATTTATAGTGACCAAATATTCACTGTCCGCCAAACGATCGCCCACCTTTCGCAAGGTACAACTCTCCTTCCTGGATCAATCATCATGACAGGTACACCCAAAGGCGTCGGGTTTGTCAAGAAACCTCCCATTTACTTGAAGCATGGAGATGACATTGCTGTTTGGATTGGAGGTGGCATTGGCACTTTGGCCAATCCTGTGATTGAAGAGGGGAAGACTGGTGGTCTTAAGGCAAGGTTATAAATCTGTGAATTTGATGTGACAGATGGATTCTGTATGTGATTGGTATTGGTTTAATCCGTGGCTTAGAGGGCTGATGTGGGTTTATAGTGTATGTGTAGAATCTATCTCGTACGTTTATGTGTATGAATTCATACAACGGCAAATAACTACATCACGACACCGAACGAGGGAGACAGCAGAAATGCAATGACATGATGAGAGAGGGAGATATCATGCCGTAGACAACCGACATATCTTGGCGCAAGACGATCACTCTTGACGATGTATTTGGTGGTACGAGAAATCCTGTAGATATGCTGAGGGAGGCGAAGAGTGTGTGTCAATGCAATCCAGAGTGCCTATTCCCATGGACTACTGTAGTGTTTTGGAATGCCACTGGCCAGGAAAGAACTGCCGGTTGACGGCTTTCATATCGATGCCAGCTTGAAAGCAATTCGTTCGAATTCACTCTTTGAAGGACTTTTCGTACGGGGTGTCTTGGCAGCCGATCACGTAGATCGACCCTCGATCGTGGTGATCGCCAGTAGCCTGGATGGTGTTTGCTGGTTTCCGTTGTACCTCTCGATGATGACTTTGGACTAGTCTTCTTGATATTCGTCTTTAACTCTGGGTGATGGCTACCAGATTAGTACTGGCGCTGCAGCGTTCATTGTTTGACGTCTCTGATTACAACAAAACTTTGAAAGATAATGCTCGAGACGCGTTCTGAGTTGAAGGGCAGCTGGAAGGGGCACGAGGCATACCTCTCCATAGCATATCAACATGACTCCCATGCGGTCGAGAAATTGTGGCAACTCGAAGGTCGTCTATTCGGTATCACGCTCTGATAAACGGTCCGGAAGTGTATGCACTTTATGTTCCTAGCTGGGACGCGGCCCACCGTGCCCATCCTCCATGGTTGAAGATACGGTTGCCTATCTAAAAGCCTTTCGATGCCAGATTGCTTCGGTACTCAGGTTTTCTCAGCCGTGAAAGCTTCTTGCTTTTGATTCGTCTTCTCAACCCCGGCCTTGGCAGGCTTTGAGCTTTTCTCGTACTTCAAATGGCGCTTCAACCCACTCCTGAGAACCCCATTCCTTCCTTGGAACTTATCACGGAAGGTGCTGTCAATGATAGGAAAGCGAAGACAAGATCAAATGCAGAACTGGACACCGCTGTGGTTGTTGCACCTGTGTCTAAAGAAGAGCCTATCGTCACTCGGAGGGTACGTATTTGCAAGTAACGCGTTGTTCAACAGATTCTGATTGGTATATAGGAACTTTGGAGCTACTACTGTAAGTTGAAATAAATGTAATGTCGTCGCGTTGCTGAACCTCTTTCGCATCGAGTGTACTATAATGGTGACAATGTATGTGATCGCCTTCTATAAACTTCACGAATGTCTCACTGTTCGATTTGTAGGGTGTTGGTCCGAATGGTATGCGTTACGACTGGGATAATCACTGGAGTCTTTGCTTATTGTGAATTCTGCCCCAGGATACTCCATGACCCTCTTTCAGTCACTTGCCACTGCAGCAGGCTACGATCCACTCAAAGGCCCCGGTTCATCATGCTTGGCACCGGACTCCTCAGGACGATGTGTACTGCCCTGGGCAGGTGCAACTAAAGCAGTCAGCTCGGTTGTTCTGATCGCAAATGGTGTCAGTTTCGCCGTCATGACTTTGATTTTCACCACGATTGGGTCGGCAGCAGATTATGGAACTTTTGGCCGCTGGTTACTTCTCGTTATCACCGTCATATGTTGGGGAGCTCAGTTTGCGGGAATGTCTCTAACTTGTAAGTTGTTTCTCCTACACTTCAATGCCCGTGTATGCGCGTGAACCCTTGCATCGTATTGTGTAGCTCCGGATCGATGGGGAGTCTCTATGGGTCTATACATGATTGGTTTCATCACCTATGGTGCAACCTTAGTCTTCTATGCAGCTCTCTTCCCTCGTCTTGCTCGTAACACTCCACACGCGCGACAGTTGCGAGAGAAATACGAGAATGGCGAAATCCCTGCGGAGGTGTATGAAACTGAGGAGAGTTTGGAGAAGAACAGAATCAGTAACATCAGTACAGTACGTTTATCCGTATCTCGGGAGAGATTGCCTTGGCTATTCTTAGTTTCATGCTGATTGTGTATTGTTGATGCCTTGCAGATGCATAGTAACATCGGATATATAATCACCCTGGCTTTGAACTTGTCACTTCTGTTACCGAGAGCAAACGACCCTAAAGTTGACAATTACGTCCTTGTGTTGTGCGTAACCCTGTTTCTGATCAGCATGACCTGACGTATGATTAACCAATAACAACAGAACGACAGGATACTGGGTTATCACTGGTATCTGGTGGTGTACGTTTTTAATTCCTCCCACGCAGTTTCATATTGATTCATGGGCTATCACCGCAAGATAGTTATCTTCCAACAACCTCGACCTGGACCGTCACTTCCCAAGGGTGAACATTATCTGACAGTTGGATGGAAGCAGGTCGGCGCTCGTTTCGGTTTTGTTTTTGTTATCTAACACATGGAAACGCTGTTCGTAGATATGGCAAGCTCTCAAGCAATACAAGAAACTCCCATACACCTTCACCTATTTGTTAGCGTTCTTCCTTCTTGCCGACGTGAGCACAGCGGAACGCAAGTGGACATCTGAGGCTCTAGGTACTGAAGTGTTGTTTTTCTCAGGGCCTCAATACGACTGGTACTCTCGTATCCATTTGTCAGAATGACAAATTCCAGTTCTCGTTCTTGTACAACACATATCTCGGACTATCGCAAGCTGTCACTTCCACGATAAGGTGAGTCAAGAATTGTTCCTGACTGCTGGTGTTGGTACAGCGAAAGTGATTGACATGGTAACAACATGCAGCACTCTCGGCTTCTGGTATATCCAAAAATACTGGAAGATTAGTACAAAGAAGATGGTGTGCTTTGTGCTTTGCTTGCTTCCTCATGTCGGCTTGATGGACTCATGAATTTGCATTGTTGTAGTTCGTTGTTACCAATGTCGTCACCATCATGATTCCTTTGTGGGGCATGATTGGGATTTGGACGACCAAATTTGGGTACGTTCGCCTTTTCCCTGTCGAATAGTTTGCTGAGATATTCGCTGGTTCGATCCAGGTTCCATAACGTTTGGGAGTTCTGGTAAGCTTTACTCCCAGTCTTTTTCCGTCTCCATGATATATGTCAAAATCTAGGGCATACAACGTCGTCTTTGGACTGTTCCAGGCACCGTACTACGCGTTCTCCCAAACTATGATGGCGGAGCTTTCGCCACCCGGATTTGATAACATGGTCTGCACCCTGATTATGCCAACCAGGGTTGATGCAATGTAACACTTTTCAATAGTTTTTTGGTCTTTTTGGCCTTTCCAACCGCGCTTCGTCCATGATCGGACCCAACGTCATTCAGGCCATCATTGATAACACCGGTGATAATTGGAAAGGCTTTCCATTCCTATTCGCTCTCTGTACCGCCGCAAGTCTCGTCATCTGGTTCAGTGGGTCCTTCACTCTTTCTCCTTCCACCCCTCAGTCTTGGCTTCCATAACTCACTCACTGAATGCTGAACCTTGGTTTTCTCAGGTGTCGATGTAACGAAAGGACGACGCGCGGCAGTGGCGTGGGCTGAGAAGAACCGCGGATATGCTCAGACGGGCATGTTTGCCGAGGAAGTGTCCGTGGATTCAAAGGATTATGGGAAGACAGATTAAGATAAGCATGACAGATGTCTGATCTTGTGTCTTTGATATTTCCTCGGCTTTCATTCTGTTCCTGCATTCTGGCACTGTTAACGAGATATCATGCTTTTACGACACTGTATAGTCTTAACAGCAGGCAGGTATCGCTGAATGACTATGTGTCTGTTGGCTTACCGTCGTTGCAGGAACTTTGGCCGGGGAGGGCTTACAGCGTGTAATGAATATCAAAGCCTCTCTATCGGAGATGAGATCGCATCTCGTCAATATGTCGATGTCCAACACAAACTTTAAGTATGCCATGAAGCATGAATACAACCACAAGAGGTTCAAGGTTCCCTCCATCGTGCCGGTCGCTGTCGAACATTGACTCGTACGATAACTTCTGAACGAATTGCATATCATGCATGGAAGTCATAAAATCCAATCCCTACCAAAATCTAATGAATACAAAGCTCTTGTTGTATTGGGTGGTTATCCGATAGAACCACTTGCTACCGTGTTACTCTCAGTGGCATTCACTTCACTATTTTCTCCTATCGTTCGCTACTATGCTCGTCAATATTCAAGATGTTGTCGATAAGTCTTTTGACTACATCATTGTTGGTGAGTTGAACTCTCATGCTTCAGTACCATTCGCAGTTGACGATAGTTATGTGTTAGGCGGCGGTGTAGGGACGCAGGCTTTGGTTGTAATTTCCTACTGACGCGTTGTTTGGTAGACTTCTGGACTCACTCTCGCTGCAAGACTGAGTGAAGACGCTGAGACAACCGTTCTGGTCTTGGAAGCAGGAGAGGCAAACCTCGATGATCCAGAGCTATGTGTGTAGTTGATGGATGGTTTGCTGGGGAACGGCTGAAGCTGATGTATACATGCATCCATATAGTAAGGCCGGCGATGTTCGATCAACACTTCACAAACCCATCATATTCTTGGAGCCATCGGACTGTGGGTTTGTTCGGTTCACGCAAACTGTCCATTCCTATATATCAGGTGCATGCATTTTTCAGGTGAAACAAAAGTACACCAAAGACGCACAGCAGGATTGGATTCGGTAGGTACTTTGTTTTGGGCCCAATCCATGATGCTGATTTTCAGGGTACCATTATAGCGGAAAGGGCCTGGGTGGCTCATCTGCCATCAATTTCATGTGCTGGACGAACTCTCCAGCTGAAGAGATCAATGGTAACTTTGCTCGATCGTGTCAATGCATTATACAATGACATATCTGCTTCAGATCTCGAAAGGCTTGGTAACCCAGGATGGAATTGGTCCATGTTCGAAAGGTTGCAACAAAAAGTAGAGCGGTATGTGGTTATGAAAGTGATGTCTCTATTGCCATTAGAGCTCACGGTGTTAAGGTTCGTGACACCCTCAAAGGAAGTACAGGCCAAGTTGAAGATAGATTTCGACTCTTGGACACTGGGACGAGATGGTAGCTCTATTCTTTCGTTGAAACGTTCAGCTATGTACTGAAAAAACCCCAGGCGCCGTTAACCTTACATATCCGCCTAATATCGAGGAGGGTGAACTGAAGTTGCAACAGGTGTGTGCGAATCAGCTTTGTCGAACACGTCTCATTACCCTACTTCTCCTATAGACGCTTATTAACGCAGGTATTCCCGTTGCTGCTAATCCTGTGAGTGATGAATGTTATAATTACTCACCATACAATAATTTCATCATGCTTGCGGCACTTGGTACAGTATGGTGGCGACGTACGTCCTGTTCTTCATGCTCTCCTGCTTGCCTGCATCTTGACTCTGCATTGGCAGCCGAAAGGCGCCTTCTTCGCTGCAAATTGCCACGATCCTCAAACGTACACGCGCTCATATGCTACTACAGTACGTTTTTCTCCGTGATCAGTTTGCTTGTGTTGCTGACTCTTTAACAGGCGTATTATATCCCAAATAAATATCGCCTCAACCTATCTGTCCTAGTCTCTGCTCACGCTAACCGTATTCTTACTACTCGGGCGGATGATGATTCCGTCACAGGTGGCCAATCCACGTACACAGCCAATGCTACGAAGGAAATCATTCTATGTGCGGGGTGCGACAAACAACACTGTCATTGGGCTATCTGATCCTAACTTTTTTTGCATGTGTTTTCCGGTAGCGCTTTGAAAACACCCCAACTTCTTGAATTGTCAGGTTTTGGCGCAAAAGATATTCTTGACAAGCTCTGTATCCCCGTAGCGAAGGAACTTCCCGGTGTCGGAAATAATGTACAAGAGCATGTTAATATTGGGCCGAGCTTTGGTCTCTTTTCTTGCCAATCATGATGGTCGAATATAGGCTAATTTTTGGTGCAGAGGTTCGAGACAACATTGAATGGGATACCTTCGATCTTTTACGTGATCCCTGCTTGGCGGCTAAGCAGCTGGAGTTATAGTGAGCTCTGTGCAACCCTTCCGTTGAAGTCATTGCCAACAGATTAATGTCAAGTGCCGCTGGTTCCGGCTTATACACCAAGGGCCCGTTGGGGTTCTGTTTTGCCTCTCTCTCGATGATATATCCTGATACCGACGCCTTCCTGGATGCGGCGGAGAGGTCTATGCAGGAGAAGATAGCAACGTGTTCCCCTGGCTTGAGAGATCAATATAAGATTCTGTTCAACCGAATCCGCAACGGATCACCGGGGTTCGAGTTCATTAGCCTTCCAAAACTGATGTCTCTCCCGAGTGAGCTCAACAGTCCGTAATCTGTGACTTTGGCGATACTAACTCTCATATTGGGAAGATCCGCCTAAACCTGGCAAACGATATGTCACAGTGATGACGCTAGCCAATTATCTCTTTTCAAGGGGCACCATCGTAGGCAGTTTCATTTATTTGTCAGGTAGCACCACTTACGTCTAAATCTATTAGCATGCTAACACCAATGATCCATCGGAAGACCCTGAGTTCGACCCTCATTACTTTGAGGAACCTATTGGTGTGTTTACGGCAGGATCACATACATTTTGGATGCTCATAAGACCACCAGATCTCGATGTCCTCGTTGAGATGGTAAAGTTTGCTAGGAGGCTCGCGGAGGTGCCGCCATTCAGAGATATGATCGGTAAGCTCTCAGGCATTACTTGACATACCATTGAGCTCTCAATCTTTTGTAGTTGGAGAACTGAATCCTGGCCCAGAAGTGAAGAGCGATTCCGAGCTGCGAGGTTTGTTTCACCATGTTTCCATGCAAAGGACTCCTATAATAATCGGTGCTTAGAATGGATTATGAAATACTTTAGCACTACTTGGCGTGAGTCGTCATTTGGTTCAGCCCATTCAGTGGCATATATTGACATGCGCTTGTGCAGATACTGCCGGATCCTGTTCCATGTTGCCTGAAGACAAGGGCGGCGTCGTTGATCCCAACTTGAAGGTATGCGCTGTGATTCATCCCTTAACGGACCCGAACGATGAGTTATTTTGTAGGTTTATGGAACAAGCAACATTCGAGTAGCCGATCTATCCATACTTCCACTACACATTGCAGCACACCCTCAATGTACGACATTGTTCTTCGCACGGTACTCCTGTCTTGATATTGATCACTGCTTTCTTTTAGCTACTGTATACATTATTGCCGAACGAGGTGAGTTCTCTTCAAGTCGGCTCAATTTTAGATGTTTACAGACGGAATAGCTGCCGAGCTCATACGCGAAAGTTCAACAAGGCAATCGACTGGAAGAAGCTAATAAGAGTTCGCAGTCACTCTTGTGAAGACTACGGAACCCGCTACTTCACATGTTGGGTATCCTCATGTAAACAGAGTTTGGGAGACTACGAGTGAGAGATAGTACTCGTAGTGTTAAGGCACGTTGTCCTGTCTCAATTATTTCCAGTGTGCCAGTCTGTTACTGCCCGTGATTACAGTGCATTTTGTGAACAAGATCATCGAACTGCTTGTGGCACTGAGCGTGTAAACACACTGAATAAAGCAAGGAATATTAGGCTAAATAAAGAGTGTGGTGCGCAGTATACAAATGCGATAAAATGACGCAAGTAAAGTCACGGTAGGAGACAGTAAAGAGCGTGTGGCATTTATGCTATGAACTGTTCTGAATAAATCGACCATAACTTGTGTCGTGAGTCCAAAGTCAGCATGTGAGGCATCAATGGAAAAGAGTTAACGAGGAGACTTACCAATTAGTACATATACACAGAACAAGACTGGGAATAGGATCATCGCAGTACGTGGCAAATATGCCACCATATCCTCGTAGTCACCATGTAGCGTATATGGTGACCAACATCAGGAGCTCCTCCGCATTTCGTCATCTTCAAGCATCAACCTTGCGCTTCTTTCTCGGCTTCTCTTCCTGCCTCTCAGGTTCCGAGTCCGGAATGATCATCGAAGCCCGCAAGCTCGACTTTGGTTTCCTCGAAGGCGAAGAATTCATCCTCGTAGTAGAATTCCTAGTCCGACTCTGCGAACGTGTGCGCGGGGGCTCGTCACGATGACTCCTCGTAGGTGAAATGGAGATAGAAGGACTAGGACGTTTTCGACCCCGTTTCTCTGCAGCAGTAGGCATACTATCTGTTTTAACCAGTGCCTTGCTCTTCGGCGGTCTGCTCTTGCGCTTTGGAGGTGCAGAGGCAGAAGCAGAAGCTTCTTCGCCGTCCTTCTTCGATTTGGGAGGACGAGCCCGAGGACGAGAAGCGCTTGGCTTGCTTTTGGCGCGACCACGAACGCTACCTGATTTGCTCGCGCTCTCAGCCTGACCTACAGACTCTTCTTCGGCCTTTTCCTCATTCTGTTCATCGACATCCATTTTGTCTTCATCTTCAGAGGCCTCCTTCGCCTTCGCCTTGCCTTTGCCCTTGGTCTTCTTGATCTTCTTGCCCACGATTTCCTCCATACCACTATCATGCTCGCCCTCGCTACCATCATCTTCTGAGCTAGCTTCCTTGTATTGTATACTATTGCGAGGACGCTTGCGCGTGGACGAACGGGGCATTTGGGAACGGATGCCGTGACAGTTAAGGCGCAGGCAAGAGACCAGTTTGTCATTTTGTGGCGTGGAGTCCGCTCGGAAGCGTGCACGCTTGATATCAGTCTACATTGAGGTTCAACGTTATTATATGCGCATACATTTGAACGTAAAATGAAAGTAAGAAACTTACGGTGTGTTTCCCTTCATAACACCACCCGTCCGGCGGGCCTTGATCTCCATTCCCTTCAGTCACTTTCCCGCAACATCCCCAAAGAGTCTCATATTCCATTCCTTCAGAAATCCTCCTTCCCTCTTTCTTGGCAGTCCTTCCCACCCTTTCTACCTCGGCACTTTCATCGTCGTGAGGTACCAAGCAGCTGCGATCGTCGTTTTCTACGTCGACATAGTCCTTGTGGCAACGGACGCAGTGCAGCTTTGGAGGAGGGGTAAGTGTGTCGAAAAAGGTCGCTAAAGACTTGAGTACATCTTCCGACGCGTCGGGAATACGTGAAAGAGTATATGTATGTAGCACCTTTGCTGGTACCGTCTTGATAAGGGATGTGAGTGAGTCTGGTGTAGGATCCAAGGGGGCCCTAGGCACAGCATCGACAGCAGTGGGTCCTACTTGAGAGAAGGGAGTACCTGGACGTGCAGAACCAGAAGAGCGACTGTTAGAAACAGTCGATGGAGGCGAAGCCGAATGATAAGCACCGTGTGCTACAGAGTCCACCGAAGGAGAGGGAGTTCGTAACTGTACTTGATCATGAGCTTTCGGTGCTTTGAAAGAGTTTGGTGAACGCGCAACTGGAGGCGGCGATTCGGGTAGCGGAACAGATTCGGGTGGTATTTCAGGCGCAGGCTTTCTGGTGAAGAAACCAAAGACCATGGTAATTGGTATGTAATAATGTGTAGCGAGTACGATTCAAGTCAAGAAGTTGTGATCAGAGATTACGCTGGGGGATTGCTTCGCAGAAGAATCAATCTTTGAACCGAAAGTGAAGAGCTCGAGGGTGAAAGGCGGACAAAGGACTTGCACACTCGCGACATCCACGCCCGCCTTGATATCGCGAAGCACCAAACCCTCCGTGGGAACACAAATATCACACTTTTGACGTACAAAGTCACGCCGTCACAATGCATGGCCTAAGTCACACCTGATCCCGCAGGAACTTGGCAGGCAAAACGCAAGGAAAAAGCATGGAAAGAAGGGCCCGACGATCTCGACAAATGCCATGGGACCAATGCGTTTCATGACATGCGGCTGACGCTTGGTTCCCAGCAGCACCCTCAAGTTTCAAGGCTCACGAATCATAATCTACAGAATCAACGTTCAGACTTCATCGTTGATCCTACAAAGTGAGTCAAGTCCGGTCCCGACCACTTTGACCGGGCCCCCGCACTTTGACTCCACGTTGACCCCATATGTGCTACAATTTGGAGTCAAAATAGAATGAATCACCCGACTAGGCAATCGTTTACAGGACGCTGCACAACAATGTCAAACAACGCGCATATATTGTCGCGTCTTCCCAGTTGCCATCTCTCGAGTTGCGCCAATCTCCACTCCGCCACTAGCCAGTGACGTTACTCCCTTGGCAAGCTTTGGGGCAGTTTCGCGCGAACGTTACATGAAAAGAGTGATTTATACTTGTCAGACGACAGCAGCACCTTCAATCTGCCTGATCGATTGCAATCGAGATTCTTCAAATTGGTGCCCCTAGTAAGTGAATCGACGTATAGACTTTTGCATCGAGTCTTAGTGCTTCCCGTGAATAACTCCACACTTCACCCATACCATCTGACGGCGCGAACATCGCATCGTCAATTTGATTCCAAAGGATCCGGAACGTGGTCCGCTTGACTTAACCAATCGCTTTCGTTGCCGTCCTAACCGTTTCCGTAAACAAACATGTCCGTCGAAGCGCAGCCATCACCCCCAGTAGAGCCTACACCTGATCCAGCCGCCGCCGCCGAGCCTCAAATTCCCTGGCTCTCATTTCCTCCATTTCCTGAGCCTCCTCCAGGTGTATCCGTCATTCCATTCACAGAATTCAAACCTTCAGGCTTGTATATGAGGATGGAAGACGAAGATAGTCCTGAGGTTGATCCTCTGGGCATACCTACCGTTACGCTTGGAGTGAAGCATTCGTTGACCGAGGAAGAACAGGCCAGGAAGAAAAAGAAAAAGAAGACTGTGTATAGAGCTGGTGGCGTCATCAAGCGCGTTCTGTGGTTCGAAGAATGGGAAGATGGCGAGAACCTTCGACGTTCGGTCGTCAATCCGTATGTTTCTAACTTTGCATTGTTTGCCGCCATATCTCAGTCGTTGGTAGGTTGGCATCTCGAGTTGATCGTCTTCATCAGGCTTGTCAGGATTTCAAGAATCCTGCGAATAGAACTTGGCCAAGTCCAACGTCTGGTGTTCCTCAACTTTGGGACGCGGTAAGTTTGATTTTCGCAGACGCCTGACTACCACCACTAAGGAATATCATCACAGTTCCGTCTCTACATAGGCATCATCGCCAAGATCTATCCTGCCATGTCTAAGAAGAAACAGGCTCAACTAGCAGAAGACGAGATGGACGAAGATGACGAAGGTGAGGACGACGAAGTCAAGGGTGGTGCCAAATCACACCAGGTAGAGATGGTCGACAATCCAGACGAAGTTAGAGAACGCAATATTCAGCAGCGGCTGAAGGAAGCCGAAGAAAGGCGGAAGAACTTCGACGAAGCTGCAAAACAACGTTACGAACGAAGAGGTGAACTGAAGGAAGAGAGAATGGCGTATTTCTTCGATGATCCGGAGCTTGCTATGAAAGAGTTCTTCTCTGCTCACTATCGCGACAAAGGCTTAATTTGGTTTGTCGCCTTTCCTCTTCAATCCGGTATCATAATTGCTTATCATTGCTGCGTCTTGTCTAGGGACAAGCCTCGATGCAGAGACGGACCTATTCTCGTCGAGTATTTCCTCAAGTATCTACTGCGCTCCAATGCACTCCCTGAGTACGAAAAAGGTCTCCGTCGAGCCGTCGAAGTTGTCAAATTGGCCCAGAAAGAACTTCCTTTGACCTTCGTCGTGGGCGAAACCCTTCCAGATCCTTTCAGCTTAGGATGCGAGAAGCTCTTCGGTGGCATGACCGGAGGCATGTTCACCTGGGGTGAAGATGAGACTGCGGAAGACAAGGATACCAAAAAGGACAAACCTGACGAGGAAGAGGCCAAACGCAGCCAACAGGAGCTTGCGGATTTCGTCGCTAGCAACGCTAAGGCGAGCGTCCAGATTATCGACCCAAATGACCCGAGCTTCGGACTCGGCCAGAAGTTGCAGCAAGAAGCTGTTGCAGATAACGTCGATATCAATGGCGTCGAGACTGCACCGACGTCTGGCTGGGGTATCCCTTCTTCAGGATGGGGTGGTGGTTGGAACGACGCACCTACTGGTAACTCTGGCCCCCCACCTGGAGACTGGGGATCGGCTGGAGGCTGGGGTGCGCCAGAACCAGATGACAATAACGCAGCTAAAGGTTGGTTCCCCGAACGACAGTCATCTCTCATCGACCTCCTCGGACCAACGGTCTTCCCTTTCACCCACACAACCGGTATTATTGAACGGTCGACTAGACGTATTCTCAAAGTCGTACGACCACCTCCACCGCATCCTATTGCAAAGAAGAAGAGTAAAGGGAAGAGTACAGCTGAGCTTGTTGAAGAAGAATTAGAGAATAGACTTGGATATATCGTCCTGGGACCTTGGAAGAAGATCGGAAACGACGTTCGTTCGGACGTAACTGCCCCCTCTATTTTGCCTGACTCGAGAGGTCCGACGACCCACGATGAATCTGTGGCTTCAACTGAGGCCTCCAGTACCCATATTCATAATCCGGAGAAAGACGAGATCATCATCTTAATCGACCCGAAGACCGTTGAGACAGTTCAACCAGCCATTGGACTTGGTCTACTTGCAACGTGGGTCCAAATCGTGCGTACTGATGCAGACGCGACGGAAGAGAAAGCCGGCACTAAAGCTAAAGGCAAGAAGAAAGGAGGACCTGGTGTCAACGGTGAACCGACGAAATGGTGGTACATGGAGCAGTTGATGGCGTCCATTCCTAGTTACCACACTGATCGACATTATGAGAATCAGGCATAAGTCTTTTTTGTTTCTTGTCGAAAATTTTCTTGTGTTTCTCATACTAAGGATTTCATTGAAGGCAGTGTATGAATAGATGTAACATAGTGAAATGTACCTGGAAATGAAGTGCTCATGTCATCCCCAATCTAGACATTCTGCGAGGCAGTGAATCTTAGTGCACATGCCAGCCATGCCTAACAGCTGTCAGACATTGGCTATAGTTCACTCGAAGTACATCATAGCTATAGTCTCATACTAGTACAAAGTGTCACTAAATAGCAGCAGCGGGTTCGATCTCGCCAAGAAGCATGGTACCATCCTTGCTTCCAGTGAGGACTGTAAGAGATATTTTGTTAGCTACGCTAAGAAACCAGTTGATAGGATGTGTGACATACTGATGGGTTCCTTCGGGTGGAAGTCAACAGTAGTAACTGTTCCCTTGTGACCAGGCAACTGGAAGATGAATAGTTAAGAATTGAGTAATGCCGACGAACGGTAAGGTCTTGAATGATTCACCTTATACAACAGCTTCCCACTGTCAACGTCCCAGATACAGACGGTCCTATCCGCCCCACCAACAGCGACGCGTCTACCCCCATCGTCTTTGCTCCAGGCGCCCCTCAGCAGGGTGTTCTCAAATCCAGCGGGTGCACCCATGAGCACCCGGTGCACTCTCGAAGGAGAAGGCGAGAAGGGACGGACATCATGGATGAGTGTCTGTGAAGATAACGACGATGAAAGAAGGAAATTGCCGTTGGGCGAGAGTGCGAGAGAGGTTGGAGTGTCTGTGTGACCTTGTAGGGTATACACTTGTTCGTTTTTGCGAAGGTCAAGCACCTTTGAAAAGGGTCAAACCATGCATCTGAATTTTTAGAAGTCACTCAAACGTACGTGAATCTCGTTGTCCAGTGCACCAGCATAGATGTTCGCCCCGTCCGCGCTCCAGCAAACCGAGGTAACGGGACATCCTACCTCGAATATCGCCACGGGATGTTTACTACCTTCATCACCACCTTCCCATATCCTAACTGTGCCGTCATCACTTCCAGATGCAATCAACTCCGTCCCAGCTCCTCCTGCAACAGTTCTATCAAGTGAGTTGATGATACCGCGGTGTCCTCTGAGTTTTCGTACGCGCTCTCCAGTGGCAACGTCGATGACATTGATTGTTGAATCCGCAGACGCGGTATAGAGCAGCGATGATATAAGAGACCATTGCAGGTCAAGAATTGGTGCTTTGTGGATATTGGACAGCAGGCCATAGTTTGTATTTGGAGAATAGGTTCGCCATAGTGCTAAAACGAGGGAGAAAGTGCGCATTAACAACGGACGTACAAGTCACAGAAAATGAGTACTCACAAACGCTTCTGTCCGCCGAGCATGCGGCAATATTCTGGCCTGTAGGATCGAATCTACAGCTCAGGATTTCGGCCTGACATAATCTAGTTAATTGGGATACACGAAGAGAGAACATAGACTAGCATACCCCATGTGAACCAGAGAGACTGATGATAGGTGCTTCCAAACTACTCGTCCGCTTCACCGTTCGTATGAGACCTTGCTGTCGCTCATCATTCGACGAGGATATCGCGATTTGGTTCGCGACAGGTGAGCGTGAGCGTGCTTTCTTGATAAGAGCACCACCGGGTGGAGGGGAACCTGCGCGTTTTGACATGATTTAGAAGATTGAGTGTAGCAAGGTTAGGACGATGAGAGGTGGCTGTACTACAGTACTTTCAAGTTTCTATAAAACGCGGAGGGAAAACGTTGATCAGCTGCAAAATGACCACCGCAGGGGTCGAACCTGCAATCTCCTGATTCGTAGTCAGACGCGATGCCATTTCGCCAGGCGGCCATATCAGATATTGAAGACGTTTTTCACAAATTGGCATGATTTATCTTTAAGTCTCGTAAAATGGTGAAACCCATTTAATTTTGAGTTCAATGCTTGCTCATAGAGTAGTTAGAGTCGTGCTATGGATTATATCATATCTGGGTCGAGGCAATTATGGATACATATTGTGCACAAAAAAATTGGTCCATTGCTCTTTGATTTCAATTGTATGAAGTCCTGCAGCGTATTCCATTTATACCAAGTTAGAAGGATACGAGAAATCCTCTAGCCCCACAAAGTTCTCCTTGATGCTCCTCGCGGAGACGAAGCGGTAGTAGATAGAGATGCTTCCAGCCTTATCGTTCGTTCCACTGGCGCGGGCACCACCAAACGGCTGTTGACCGACGACGGCACCAGTGCACTTCTCGTTGTAGTAGACGTTTCCGGCAGCGTTGCGAAGCTTGGCGCTGGCATGGATAAGTGCCTTTCGGTCAGATGCGAAGCTAATAGGAAACATGTAGTGTGAGTCGCTGAAAGCTCGGGTATGAAAAGTGAACTCACATGGAACCAGTAAGACCGTAAGCAGTACTGGTGTCAATGAGTTCCAAAGTCTTCTCATAGTCCTTGTCATCGTAGACGTAGACCTAATGAGATCATCAGTACACGAAGTCACACAGCGCAGAAGCGTAACACACAGTGAGGACAGGACCGAAGATCTCTTCCACCATCGTGACGGACTTGGGATCCTTGGTCAGAATGACAGTGGGTTGAACGAAGTATCCCTTGGAGTCATCGCCTGTACACGACCGGCAATTAGCAAAAGAGACTCATATTATAGAGAACATGCTTACCGCTACCACCGATGAGAACCTCACCGCCAGCATCCTTCGCCTTTTTGATATAGCCGATAATCTTGTCGTATGCCGGTCGACCACTGCCAAAAGAGAAAGTGATAAGCCTTTATGAACGACACTTCAACACTTTGAGTTTGTATACGTACATGACTGGTCCAATGAAGTTCGTCCAATCTTGAGGCGGGCCGACCTTCAACTTGGCGACTTCTGTGAGCAGCTGCTCCTTGAAGCCGTTCCAAGCCGAAGAAGGCACATAGAGGCGAGAGAGAGCAGAGCATTTCTGACCTGAACGTTCATCGATTAGTGGAGATATATCTCAAACAGACGATAACGAATTACCTTGATACTCGAAAGCACCTCGGACAGTTTGCAAAACGGCATTCTTGACCTCGGCCGATGGGTGAATCAGGTGGAAGTTCTTTCCGCCTAAGATTCCGCATGATGTTTAGTCACAATCTCTCCGGAATGTTAGATAAGGGTACTCACCGGTCTCGCCAACGATACGAGGATAACTTTTATAGTTGTCCAAGTTAGCAGCGATGTCCTTCCACAACTTTTTGAAGACGAAGGTGCTACCAGTGAAGTGCAACGCAGCGAATTCGGGATGAGCGATCACTTGCGCAACGACTTCGGCGGGAGGACCCGGGATGAACTGAATCACGCCGGGAGGAATACCAGCCTCCTCAAAGATCTTGTACACAATGTAGTTAGAGTAGGTAGCGGCGGGTGAGGGCTTCCAAACAATAGTGTTTGCGACCAACGCGGGGGCTAGACCGATGATAAGAAACTCGAAACGTGAAAATTTCGTCGCTGCACTGACCTCCTGGCAGGTTACCACCAATGGCAGTGAAGTTGAATGGCGAAACTGCGAAGACGAAACCTTCCAGAGGACGGTACTCAACGCGGCTACGTGGAGAGATAAGAATCACTGGAGCCATTTCTCAGTGATCCGAGACTCACTTCCAGCTACCAGAAGAATTCTTTGGTGGTTGGATGGAGTAGAGTTCCTCGACATACTGAACGCCGAATCGCAAGAAGTCTGACAGCTAAAGTCCCATGAACCCATGTCCCATGCGATACTGAAGACATGTTTTACCTCTGCTGCAGCATCAATCTCAGCTTGCCAAGTGTTCTTTCCTTGACCCAGGATTGTAGCAGCCATCAACTTGTAGCGATACTTGCCGCTAACAAGGTCAGCAGCCTTCAAGAAGATCGCAGCTCGATCGTTCCATGGCAAGGCCTCCCACTCGGCCTTAGCAGCCAATGCACCTTCGATCGCACTTGCGACCGTTGCCTGGTCTGCTTCATGGTAGGTGCACAGATGATTGGCATGATCCCAAGGCATGGGCTGCTTCGCAAGTTTGCCCGTTCGGACCTGAGGCCAAATTGAAGGTGAAATTATTGTATGACTCTACAGGGGCATTCGGACTCACCTCCTTGCCGTTCACAATGCAAGGCACTTCAAATGGAAGCTCTTTCTCCATTTGAGCAAGAGCCTCTTGCAAGGCCTTTCGTTCTGGAGAGCCTGGCGCATAGCTTCTCTATACATACAAGTCCGAGCATGTGAAATTTAGTTGAGCATAGGAGAAATCAGACAAGCTTCTACTGACCATAGGCTCATTGACGATCTCTGGGACCTTGAACGAAGCAAACTGAGCGGATGCCATTGTGAGCGACTTGCAAGGTGTAGTGGTAGAGCAACTGATAGAAGCAGAGACTTATGTAGTTCTCCACAATGACTCGGTCGGATCATTCATACTTCCTTCGCTCTTATCGGCGCAAGCAAGAACCCTAGAGTCTAGATGGGTCATCGTTCCTCCTCAAAATGTACCTGTATGAACAAAATGCAAGATTGCCTCAGGGATTCAAGTCAGCGGAAGTAGTATGAAATTGTTGTTCTCGTTCCTCGATATTATACAAGATGGTGTCTCATACGCAACGCCTTCTTGAGACCGAACCGGCCCTACTTGAACGTAGAAAACGAAAAGATACGAGTTATAATTAAAAATAAAACTGAAGTGCACGGTTATGACCACCGCAGGACTCGAACCTGCAACCTTTTGGTACCGTCGGCAATCGAAGCCAAACGCGCTACCATTGCGCCAGGTAGCCATACTTTGACGTCTCATAAAATACTCACTACCCTAATTCCTCTCAGGCTTTTCCACCACTCAACTACGTGAACAAGTTGCACCGAGGACTGTTTGAGGAAGACGATGATAGCCAGCATACTCGATGCACCTTCCTGAAGAACTTATAGTCCTCTTTACTAGATTCGCATCTCACCCTGTCATACAGCAAATCGCACCGTTCGTCGTCCTTGTGCTTGTTCCTTTCCTGGTCTTGGTCGGTCAAGCGCACATTGTCTCGCTATTTGACTCATTGTCCATGGCCTTGGAAAATCTCTCATTTATTCTACCCTGGAATTGGTCTTTTGGAAATGCATCTAATTCTTCAGGACGAAGGAAGCCTAGAAACAAACTTGTGCGCACCCGAGCAGAACAAATAGGCCTGACCGGAGATGCTATCGGTATGCCGCCACATCTTCATGACGTCTTGTTTTACTGACCTCATTACTCAGGGAAGAACGAGAATGGCCTTGAAGATGGGGGTTACTACCCTGGGATTGTGAACATCTCTGGGACGTACTGTTTTATGGATTCCACGCTTCAAGCTATGGCATCCCTGTCGTATCTTCTGCCGTACATAGAAGAAATACATTCTCAAGCGGAAGCCTTGGATGTACCTACACCGGTTATTGATGCCCTACGGGATATTATTCACAGTATGTAACCATTGCTACCCTATCATATTTCATTTGTGACATCTCGTCGTAGCACTGGACCGTCCTCAGCGCTCTCCTTATGCAATTCGGCCCATTGAAATGATCGATGCATTAGCCCGACATTCACAAGGGAAGCACAATTCACTGTTCTCTTCACGCGAACATCAGGATGCGCAGGAGCTATTCCAGCTCATCTCAGAGTGTATCAAGACCGAGGCAGCTGCAGTTGACAAGGAGAGCTATCGCGATCGAGGACTTGGCGGGCTTTCTCATGGCTCACCGCAAACCAACCGAGACCTTGGAAAGAGCGTGTTCGATGGCCTGACTGCGAACCGACGTAGCTGCAGAGAATGTGGCTACACTGAGGCCGTTATGCATTTCGCCTTCGATAACTGGCAGCTTACGGTGCCCCGCGTAGTACGTCATACATTTATCTGAAATCGTTTTCCGTATCCTCAGTCTTGACATCTGCACAGTCTTCGTGTCATCTTCAGGATTGTTTGAGTGACTACACTCGAATAGAAATTCTCGAGGATTGCATCTGCCGCAAATGTTCAATGATCTTCACATACAAGAAACTTGAGGAAGAAGCCGAGAGACTCACTGAAGCTGCCGGAGCCCATGAAGCTTCGCCTTCTAAGAAAAAACGTGCACGAGAAGCCCGAAAACTAGCTGCTCGGGTTAAAGCTGCACTAGATGAGGGCAGGATAGAGGAGGACATCAGAGGTGTGAAGATGGAGAAGGTCCTCAGTCGAGAATCTACTAAGCAGGCTATGATCGCTCGGGTATGGCAATCTCTTATTCCTATGCCACAAATCACACTGATTTATTTGCGTCCCTATAGCCACCACCAGTCCTAGCTCTGCATCTTAATCGTTCAATGCATTGGGGCCATTACGCAACTAAAAATACCTGTCATATTTTCTTCCCTGAACTTCTCGACCTGAGTCCTTACACTACATCTGGCAAACTCTCCACGATACCGGACAAGCCGATATCCGAGCAGGGCCCCTTCATTCCACGATCTACGACGCCAACACCGGCGACTTACGCTGCCCCTCGCGTTCTGTACCGTCTATCTGCCATAGTGTGCCACTATGGCCAACATTCTTTTGGACATTATGTGTGCTACCGAAGGAAACCACGGCCGATGTCTTCTGGGGCGAGACGATTTGCACCGCCAAAGCTAGTATGTCCATTAGGCTGTACCTGTGAGAAGTGCCAGATGTATGGACCTGTCCGCGATGAGGCCGAAGATGGAGAGGAGAAATTGATTCCTTCCCGGAACGTACCTGGTCGAGGTTGGTTACGAATCAGTGACGAGTCCGTACAAGAGGTCGGTCTGGAGACCGTTTTACGTGAAGGCTCGGGAGCGTTCATGCTTTACTATGAACGGGTGCTACAACCGGGTGTATACATCTCGCCTTCACCTCGGGGTTCAGAGGAGACACTTAAGCCGAAGATGAACAGTTCGAACGCTTCGCTACATAGCGTTCTCACTGATGGGACCAAGACCGATGAGGCCGTTGAGGAGAAGAAATCGGTTCCCAAGGTGATTGGTCCTAGAGTTGTTCGGAATGTGTCGACACAGAGATCAAGAAGCTCTTCTGCTTCGCCTCCGAATCAGCCTTCGGTGTTGAGTTCTGGATTACCACATCCGCTCGCGAGTGTTCAGGAAGACAAGACTTCCAGGCCACTTCAGAACGGGGTCTCTTCACATACTCCACCAAAAGCAGAAGCATCGTTACCACCAATTGCACCATCACCGACGAAGAAGGCAAAAACTTCACCTCTTCAGCACAACACACCACCTACTGAGCTCCATATATTATCGCCGACACCGGTACGCTCTTCGTCTACTGAAGCGCATCCGTTGTCCTCAACCTCATCATCTCCACCTGCCAGACCCCCTCAGCGCGCGAAGTTGGTGAAACCTCCTCCAATTCGAGAACGAGCGGCCTCTCGATCAGCACGAACGGTCGATCTTCGGGCGTAACGCCATAACCTTACAGTCCTAGAGCCTTTACAGGAAGCAGGCACATCTTCTCTATTCTGTTTGCGCATGTTGTACATTAGTATCTTACCCTGTAGCTTAGTATCCTTAAACTTCTATTTTTTCGAGTACTCATTGTCGCCACGCTTTTGGATTTAGTCGCCCTGCACTTGACCGTTCTCCACTCAGCCCATTGTATTCCAACTAAACGCAATATACACACATCCTACAGGTCCTCCAGAAAAAATCCCATCCTAAATAACTGAACCACCCAAATACTTATATGTACAATCCACTCCTGAGTGCGCTGCACCATCCAGCAGTCATGAAGGCAACGCAAGACCGCGGCGACGACGATAATGGTACAGGGTTAAGTGAAGTCGTTCGACGATCGTGCAAGGCGCGCATCTATGTGAACTTAGCGATGTATGGGAAACTTTGACGAGCCAGAGTTCAGAGCTCCAGGTATATCAACGACGAGCAAACCGCAAGACTGATGAGAGTGATATAGGTCACCAGTAAATGGTACGTTGGATAGTTCGGTGCTTGTGTGGGTTGGGGTTATTGTAGGAGATGGTGCGCTTCACGCGGGTGACAGTAGGATAGCTAGGGACTTCGTGAAGGATTGAATGGAAAGGGACGGACAATAACATACCATGCATGGTAAATGTCTCCAGGTTCAAGCTGGACTTCCACGATCTGTCGGCCCTAACGTAGACCTCAGTTTCTGGATACACGTGAAAGAGACGTGGAGAACTCACGGCGTAGTCCCAATGAGAGCCAACAACGAGGCCTTCTTTGCGGCCCACGCCATTGTTGACAGAGACGATGTCTCCAGGCTACATCAAACCGTTCAGACGGAAGCAATACTCTCCAAGTACAAGGAGACATACAAGGATCTGATCATCACCAGAGGAACTTGACATGCTGTTTAGTCTTGAGGAATCTTAAGGAGGTCTTGATGGTTGGGCTTAACGGTGTCGCAATCGACGAGAGCGGTGAAGGGTGAGAGAACAAAGTGAGAGAAAATCACCGGAGAATGGAAGCCTTTATAGATTAGATGGGACCGGAGGACGAGTTTAGCGGACTGATGTCCGTGCGGAGGCCATGAGGCTAAGGAAGTCATGCTTGTTGTATGTAAAGCGAATTTTCGCACAATGCTGTGATGCTTGACTATTGTTCTCAACGACCAGGTCGCGTAGAGCCTACATAAAGCTATCATTTATTGCTTCCGTTCTATGTGGTAGTTGAGAGACAAAGTGGTCGTGAGTGGTCGATCGATGCTTCAATGTTTCGCCGACGAAGTTGTCGATCACTTTTACTTTTGCTTCCGCAAGGAAAAGCTGGCTCCATGTCGAAAGCCTCGTGGCATCAAAACGTCCTAGAGATCAACCTCAAACCTTCCGCGTGTTAATAGAATGCGATGGATCGATGACACCAAAAATCTTATGACAATCGCAACTGTCATAGTAATGTAGCATGAGGTGAAGTATGAAGACAACGTTGGACATGGCTGGCAAAGGCCATGATCAGTCGCATCTAATCATGGTGTTACACGACAGCTGCACGACAGGCTATGGTACATGGAGATCCACTAATTGCTACAATATCAGTACATCAGGCATTAGAAAGAATCAGACGGGTACAGGTCTGATGTCAGGCCATCGAGCTTCAGGTCCCAGACCGTCTTATGAAACCAGAGAGCCACTGTTTTAAGATGTCGCGCAGACGTATTGGTGCTAGGTCACCTCCTGACTCGACACCCGTCTTCCCTTCATCGTCGTCAAAGGCGCCCTGTCCATTACGTGGGGTCGTGGCCAAGGTGTTGGCCCGTTTGGCGATGCCTCGAAGGATGTCCTCGGCACTGTCCCGATAAGCCTTCTCGAGTTCTGCGTTCCGCATGTAGTATGGTCGACGGACAGCATAGGGTGCGAGACCATTGTACTTCCGCACCAGTGCGTTTAGTTCTTCTACGGCAGCGTCGTGATAAGCTCGTTCTCGAGCTTCCCATTCAGTGTCACGTAATGAAGTGACATCCGCGAGAGTGAGTTTGGGAAGCAACGCTGGTGGTTGTGACAGTGTAAGCATTCGAATGGCCCGTCGAGTCCATGATTGTCGCAGGACATCTCGAAACGCCATGGTGGCTGATTCGAGTTCTATGCCAGGAAGCTGTCAGGATAGAAGAGCATCGTAAAATGAGAGCTGAAGCATACCTCCCTGTATCTCAACCCATGGAGGAGCCGCACCGTTTCGCTGCACAATACGATTCATCAAAAATTCTTCTCGTGCAATAAATGGGTTCTTCTCGTCAGTCAACGTCTGCAAAGGTTGGCCACGACCCTTGACCGTTTGAAACTGGCCCTCTTGGCGAGCTCGCTGTGCGCATAACATGATAAGCTAAGAAGATATGCCAACGCAATTGTAAATTAATACCAACCTCAATTCGTTCTTCCACTAAACTAGCCCAACCCTTCAAGGTAACGGGGTTCGGCCTCCTAGGCTGACCACCAGTTACCTTCAAGCCTAGTCGATAGTCTAATGTTGACTCTCTCGCCCTTGACAATCGTATGCCATGTTCAGCCCGCTTCTTCATCTCCCTTTCTTTCCTTTTGGCTTGTTCGCCTAAAGGAGATGCAGGAAGAGGTCGTTTAGTAGGTGGAGCTGGTATGTCTCCATACTTGATACTGGAGGAATGTGAAGGGACATGGAATGTAGTATGCCAAGGTTGGTGACCTTCGATCGCAGGGAGGAGAGGGACGTTAGCCATATTTCTTCTCGGAGGTTCAGATGAACCCTCAGCATCGTTCATCGAGGGGATAGATTTAGAGTTCTCTTCTTCAACATCATCCACGGTCAATGAAGGAGTGGACCCGACTTTTGGAGGGGCTTGTTTCAACTTCTCGTCCGCAGATCTAATAGGCCCAGTCCTCAGAGGCTTGTACTTGTCAACAAGCATACGTAACACAGCGTCCTGCATCGATTCTTCACCAGTCCAGTTGTCATGCTGGTTCTCGAAAGCGGTTAGTCGACTAGACCGAGCTTGTGCTTCCTGCTCTGCTGCGTCCTCTTGAGCAGCATCTTGGAATAGTTTCGAGCTCGCACGGTGATCGACCTTCTTCGCTTCAGAGTAGAGGCGAGCATGTATACGATAACAACAGGGAGGTCGAAGTCTTTGCGATGAAGGAATTAAGCGAACAATATTGGTCATGAACTATTAGGTCGGAGGAGGTTGAGAACAGCGAGGCCGGCGCTTGCACATCCTTGCCTGAAGATGGGCGCTTGAAGCGTTACTACACCCTTCTCTTCCTCCGCTTTCCGAGTCGCGATGTCGGTTCTCTTGGAGACATCTCTAGGAGACATAGTCATCGATCTTGAAGTCGAATCATGTCCTAATACATGTCAGAACTTCCTTAAACTCTGCAAGGTCTATTATTACAATTTACACGCGTTCTTCAATGGTAAGTTCACTACCCTCGTCGTCCGTCCAATCTTAACGTCTTGTTGTTATAGTTTCGAAGGATTTTCTTGCACAAACTGGTGATCCATCAGCTACAGGGACAGGAGGCGAGTCTATATGGTCTTTCATAGGCTCACAACAAGGCAAACAGGTCCCACGCTACTTCAGCCCCGAGTTTGTTCCTCGCTTAAAGCACAAGCACAAAGGAACGGTCTCCATGGCCGTCGCGCCAGCACTAGAAGGCGAGAAAGGAGGCTGTGGAAGTCAGTTCTTCATCACTCTAGCCGACAATATTGATTATCTGGATGGGAAGCATGCGGTGTTTGGCCATGTCGTGGAAGGCCTCGAAACCCTGGACAAACTCAATGAGGTATTTGTCGATCAAGACGGGCGGCCTCTGAAGGATGTGCGTATTCGTCACGTTGAGATACTTGGTAAGGGCCATAGTCCACTATCCGAAGCGCTGATTTGACCAGTGCATTCCTGGTCACAGACGATCCATTCCCTGATCCTGAAGGCCTCACTGTTCCGGACACTATCCCTACGAAGCCACCAGATAACTCTACTCGGATTGCTGAGGATGAAGATCCGCTGGCTACGCTCCCAGAGGAGGAAGCCGAAGCTGAACGCCGAAAGCAAGCTGCAAGGGCGTCTGCGTTAACATTGGAAATGGTTGGCGATCTTCCATTTGCCAATGTACGACCCCCCGAAAACGTGTTATTCGTGTGCAAGCTCAATCCAGTGACTCGGGACGAAGATCTGGAGCTGATATTCTCGCGCTTTGGCCCAATTATGAGCTGCCAGGTTATTAGGGACAAAAGAACGGGCGATTCGCTCCAATATGCATTCATTGAATTTGATAAAAGAGAAGATGCTGAGCAGGTATGTGGACTGCGGTGACGAAGATCTTCACACTGCGCACTAATACCGCTGCTTCTTTTCCACATAGGCCTACTTCAAAATGCAAAATGTTCTAGTTGATGATCGCCGGATATGGGTAGACTTGTGCGTCTTGTTGCTCTTTTCATTCATTTCACATACTCACGCATCAAAAAGCTCGCAATCGGTCGCGAGGCTGAACAATACATGGTCGAACGAACCCAAGATGGGACCGAGAATGACGCGTGGAGGGAAGGGCAAAAGCGGCGGCTTTGGCGGTCGAGAGGACCTTGAGCCCACGCGGAGATACCGAGAAGGGTCAGAGGAACAGCGGCACTCCTATGGTTTGGTATTCGATGTTCCATCTGACGAGCGTTCTCGGCATCGACACAGCAGGAGTCCGAGGAGGGCCAAATCAAGAGAGAGAAGGCGCTCCCGGTCTCCTCGACACCGAGATGGGAAACCATATGAGCGCGAAAGACGAAGGAGCCGCGACAGAGATCGACCGTCTAGGGATCGGTATGACAGACGATAGTATTGTGTATGCGGTATCGTGCCTTCCATTTATTCACGCCCGTTTCGCAATTTCTTGTCGGTTTCAACTTGGATTCAGGCTCAGAGTCGACAAGGTAATACTATGTTTGTCCCTATTTACATCCGAATAAGGAATGCCTGGAAGGATGCATCGAGTCCGTCCGGTGTCGTTGTTGTGTCGTTTTGCATTGACCATACTCGTTTCATTATAGACTACCAATGTGCCAGCCTTCTTCGTACCGGTTGTCAGCTCCTATCATTGCAACGCCTCCCGGCCCATCACTACCGATCTGGCCTGGTTTGGCACCACCCTATTGTCTGGGAAACTTAAAAGGGACCGCTGGCTGCCACATCTTCTCACCCTTACTCTCATGCTATCTTCCCTGTTTAATTCTCCCGACGCAGACCTGGTGTTGCGTTCGGCCTCGCCTCAATCTGTTGACTTTCTCGTGCATCGATGCATTCTCGCTGCCGCCTCACCATTCTTTAGGCATATGTTCACTCTGCCACAGTCGACCGCTGACGCCACAAACCCTTCGCCCGTCGTCGACGTAACCGAGTCGGCAGCGACGCTCGAAATTCTACTTCAATTCGTCTATCCCATTGCTGATCCTACGATTCACTCTTTGGATGTCCTTACGGGCGTTCTCGGTGCTGCGAGCAAATACGATCTGACTGTGCCCATTGTGAATCTGGGGAAGCAGCTGATCACGTCTCGTTTCATCAAGGCAGAGCCTATACGCGTATATGCCATAGCATCACGTTTCGACCTCGAAGAGGAGGCGAAGATCGCGTCACGCCATACACTTAGCATCAACATCGTTGATTATCCATTATCTGAGGAATTCAAGTACATCACCTCGGATAGTTACCATCGTCTTCTTGATCTCCACCGTCGCAGAGCTCAAGCTGCTCAGGAGCTGTTGAAAATTCCCGACAACGTCAAGTGCATTCTCTGCAATGGCACGCACTATGGCGTATTTCTAGCGCCGAAATGGTGGAAGGACTTCGAAGAGAGGGCGAGGGAGGAGCTGCGCGTACGGCCGGCCACCAACGTGATCTTTGAGGAATCGTTCTTGGAAGAATCTGCTCGGACAGGATGCGAATACTGCAAACGTTGTGTTAGGGACGCTCGTGGGTTCTTGGACGCGTTGAAGAAGCAAATTGACGATTTACCTGCGACCATCTAATTTCATTCCTTCCTTCCTTTATGGATACTATGTCGCTCCTTAGCTGCCTTCATTCACGAAGATTCACGACTTTCACGCAATTCATCATCTGCTCTGTTTGTATTTCATGTCTTCATCCTTGGTTCAGAACTTGTAGCTTTAGTCCTCGGACATTGGGTTAATGGACCTTTTATGATCCCGGCGTCCTCTTAATGCCTTTGAATTAGTTGTGCTGGTCGATCGACTGAGGGTTGGCGAGACTAAAAACATAATACCAATTTCTTTAACTTAACATTATAAGTTAAGGCTACCTGGCGCAATGGTAGCGCGTTTGGCTTCGATTGCCGACGGTACCAAAAGGTTGCAGGTTCGAGTCCTGCGGTGGTCATTTTGTTTTATATGCGGTGCGGTTTCCACCCTGTAGTTTAATCGACTATGTACAGTAGTGACTTTGAAGGACGTAATGTAATGTACATACACTTGTGCCTTCCTACTGGCATTGAAAAAATGGTATACGTTAGCTAAACATATACCCATACTCCTCCTTGTGAAACTCGCAGGGCTGCTTCCCAATAGCGATACCCTCTCCCTCGCATAATCTCCTCACCTCGGTTTCATCCCCATTCCTCCCGTTATTCACAAAAACCCTCACACATGGCTCTTCTGTATCCGGGTCGAGGAAATGCCATTCCGCACAGATTCCCTCACCAAACGGATGAGGGAAGAACTCGTCGTCTTCCACTTCGTCTTCGTCTCGAAGAAACGGGTGATAGAGAGCTTTCCGAGGTGTTATACGTCGTACTGATTCCGGATGCATGAGTTGTTCAACAAGGTCGAGTGCATGTTCCATTTCTTGTGCATATGTTTGGGGATCTGGAGGTCCTGGTGATGGGGAGCGTGAAGATGAGTATCGCGAACGGGGAGATGATGAGGAAGGAGGCGGATGTGTTCGATGTCGAGTGTGACAAGTATATGGGTAGTAGCGTGGATCTGGTTTAGGTGGGATGCGAAGGTCAGGATTGAGCTTTTCGACAAATTCACGCCATGTTATTCCCTCGTTTGTGACGGAAGGGACATTTGTTTGAAAGACACGATCTTGAACATATTAGCAAGGCCGTAGGGGTAGAAAAATACTCGAGCATACTCACTATGGAGAGTGGCTGTTTTCTCCATACGTTTGCGGCCAACAATGGACGCAATTTCCATGAGGGCTTCAATGTCATCACTAGACTGGAAGAGTGGGAACTTCTTCGTAAGGAAGAACAAGAGAATCATTCCCGCCGACCACATATCGATCGCTTAGACAGAATAAGGATAGATCTTTAAGAGTTACTATGATGCCTCACCTCCCGTTTGCTCGCCGCATTTCAACAGAACCTCAGGTGCACGGAAGCCTCTGGTACCCGCACGGTTCGCTTTTGAATGTGGTCTATGCCAATCAGTCAACGTAGCGCATGCAAGCCAAGTGATATGTACCTACCGATTGTCCTTCTCAGGATATCCTACTTTATCTGATGGAATGTTACACCTTAGACGTGCTTCTTTCTGCATCTTCTTGATATGATTAATGTCGTACTCGTCTGGAGGCTTGATACGCCCATGTGGATGTGCTCTCGTTGGTGCTGTATGTAAACATGCTCCCAATTTAGGCCCGCGCTCCATTCGCTGTAGTAGTCTCAAGTTTTAGCACATGTTAATAACACGAGACCAGGGACTCGTCTCTATTTTTGGGACTTACGCAGGCGAGGCCGAAGTCGCACAATGTTCCGATCCCGGTACGTGGGTCGAATAGGAAATTGGCAGGCTTCACGTCGCGATGTATGACTTGGCGTGCGTGGATATCACGAAATGCGCGAAATAAGCACCGGAAGTACTGCTTTATGCCTTCAAGAGGTAGCACGCGGTAATAATCCTGAGAACAACGCGTTAATGAGTCCAGAACGGATGGTTGACTGCATGTCATACCCTAAAGTCTTCGTTGCGATGAAATGGCATAATAGCCACAACCTGATCTTGATGTCGAAACGCAGTGATAATTTGGGAAATATGTCGACACATCCGACAGTCCTCCATAATTGCTAATTCGTTACGAATGCGTTCTGGCCCACTAGTAACATATATGCGCTTTACTGCGACGAAGACCTTGCTACTCGGTGGCCGAGGTGTCGACTGGTACCAAGCTGACGAAGAAGGTGGATGAGTTCCATGCCAGGCAGCGTTATCCCACTTGTCATGGTATCCAAGATCTAGAGCTTTGTATACGGATGAGAACGTTCCTGTACCTAGCCGGTCGAGGATCTTGTAGTCCGGTGATAGTTGAGGTACGGCAGCTTCAAGTTCAGCTATCTCTTCTTGTATCTCTTGCTGCTCCTCGTTGGACTTGAGTAATAGTGTCATTTCCTCATCTGTACCTTCGTATACATCATCGCCATCCACAATGTCGGGGTCATCCTCTCCCTCAGCGTCCTCGTCGCCATATCCTTCGTCTTCGCTCGCTGCCTCACCCATTGAGAGGTCAGGCTCGCTAGGCATGTCTTCATCGAGGTCGACCATACGCATGGCTGTATGCTTCTGTTTAGACTGGTTCTGGGGTATGTTGGAGTCAGGGTATAAAGTGGCAAGGTGGTCGTGGTATTGTTCGAGTTCAGGAGGATGGAAGCCACTTAGGGCATCACTAATGGCAGAAGAAGCGATATGACCGGCGAAATAACGCGTCTTTGTGGCCTCTCGATACTTTCGAACAGCTGTTCGGTTTCGGATATCGGAGGAAGAAACCTCGAGAGGGTTCGAGGAGTGTTGTGAGAGAAGAGCTGCCGTTGCCATTAGAGTACGGTGTGAAGCAGATCACGAGCCTGTTAGCGAGGGCCCTTGAAAGCAATCTTTACGACGTAAGATGGGGAGGAATATAGCGAGAATGCATTCGGGGAAAGAGATCACGATAATGTCAACGTTGTCAAGTTTCCAACTTTGCCGCCACAGACGCGTCCAGAGCGCGTTGCGATGAGTGGGTCAAAAACAATGACCACCGCAGGACTCGAACCTGCAACCTTTTGGTACCGTCGGCAATCGAAGCCAAACGCGCTACCATTGCGCCAGGTAGCCATGATAACGTTGAATCGTAAAAAGGTAGTAGCCCTGGCGGGCCCCGCCTGGCAACTTCGCGCGTTGCCGAGCAGGCTAGCGGCCGATATATTACCTTGATATTCGAATCTAGCATCGTCACTCACGACTACACTGCTCCTTGCACTGCTCAGACTCTCACTAAGTATTAGTCACTAAAGCAGTTCTCATCTTATACCTTGATACGTATCCCACCTTACGCCTCCAGCTCTCATACCCTACATAATCCATACCCCATCTACTTACTATTGTTACAAGCCAGAGCAACAAGATGTCATTGAATTGGACGATGCTCAGTCCCGATCGGTCTCCGATCCCTCTTCCAGATGAACTCATCATTAGGACTATCGACTCTGGTGCAGAACTCTCCCTCACCATCCCTGATGCACCTCCTTCTCGTTCATCTACCTCTGGCGGGTCCGGCGGTGCGAAGAAGCTGAAGGAAGTTGGGAGGTTGTGGCTTACAGACCAACGGGTGCGTTCACATATTCTTCTAGTCTCTTGTATTACCTTGCATATTGACATTCACCTTCCATCTTTCCTGCGCCAACGTTGACGTTTACTTACAGCTGATCTTCATAGCAGACCTACCTAAGGGCTCAGCCAAACCCTCCTTCGAATCCATATCTATTCCCTTGACGGCGTTGCTATCGACCAAGTTCGAGCAACCGTTTCTTGGCGCAAACTATCTCGGTTTAGAGATCAGACCTGTACCTGAAGGTGGATTGACTGATGGTACGAAGGCTGAGATTCGGTTGAAGGATAAGGGAATATTCGAGTTTGCGAGCTCGTTGGATAAAACGAGGGAACGTGCCATTTATATGAAGAGGCAACAAGTCGAGGAGGAGGATAGTCTGCGTAGGTCTCGTGTCTTTCTTCATGATATTAGTTTTTGATTGAAGTATCATCTTGGATACAGCAACTTATACCGCGCCTCCATCGGGACCTGGTCCTTCGTCGTCGTCCTCTGGCCCGGTGTACGACGATCTCCCTCCTGGTTACGACGCATGATCTCATCATGGAAGATCATTCGAACCCTGGGCATGTATTAGTAGCGGCGATTTGAATAGAACACTCAACCTTGTTGTACAGTCTACCGGACAATTCTCAATGGTATTTTATTCATCGAGGCCATTTCCCAATAAATGCATCGCGCAATCCATATGATTGTAAAGCACCGAGTACGGAGAACCAGTCGAAAAGAATATCAGTAGGGCTTGAATTTCCGAGATGACTTTAGTTTCTCCACATTCGCCTTGTCTTCCTCCCACTTCTGTTTGAGACTGATCAACTCTGCGAACAACATGGTAAGTCTAATCATCACCAAAGAAATGTGAAGCAAAAGATGCACATACCCTTCCGTTTCTTCTCGTGTATCTGGAATGCATAGAACGTCTCCTTCTCCTTTGGTTCCTTCCTATTCTTCCTATTGCGCTTCCCACCTCCTTCCCTCACCTCACCCTGGAACTTCTTACTCGCAACACCAACTCCACCACCCAACGTCTGTCCATATGCTCCTCCTCTTGTAACCAACGTAAACCCTTCTTCATCCACGATAGCTTCCCCCTTCTTGTACTTGCTCTTCTGTTTCTTCTTCTCCTGCTCGTATTCAAAGAGTTCCATCCATGAGTCTGCATGTGCTCTGACAACGTCCAGAGGTGGTCGAAGTGCAGCATACAAATTTTCGTAATGTGCAAAACCTTGAGGTGATGTTGTATCCACCGGCCATGGTTTTGGTTTTGAAGGTGCAGTGAGAGCGCGAGAGAGGGAAGACGGATCGAGAAAAACAACATGAGCAGATCCGCCTGTTCTTCGATATGCCCTGTCCGGTCGGGGTGGAAGGGGAACAACCTGTGGAGGTGCTTGCTTCTCTTCTTTCAAGATTTTCCTCTTTTTACGTGGTTGTTCTTGTGTATCTTCTTCATCCTCGTCTACACCGTCCACTTCTGAATCCATGTCTTCATCAGCATCACTCTCCTCCAGCTCTTCCTCCACTTCTTCTCTATCTCCATCAAATACCACCCTCTCCACTGTCCCTGCAGACTTGAAGAGCAGTGATATTTCACGTTCAGTTGCATCAGGTGGAACGTTCACCAAGAAAAGAGTGCGTCCTTCCGGGTACGCAGGTCCCTTGCCCTTCACATCAGGCTTGTTCTTTTTGGAGCCCACATTTCTACGCGCATAGAGAACGTGGGTCGCAGACGAGGAGTATGTTAATGGAATGGGCGTGAAGCCTGAGACGGAGGCAGGGAGTTTGGGCGACATGAGAGGCAGACGAAACAATTTCAGTGAAATTTCCTTTCAGAGACTCGATCTGAGATCCCGATCCTACCAAACGCTCAAAGCTTTACGCCAAGGCTTCGACTATCGGAAGATAGACCAAAGATTGACAGTAACACAAGGGCGAGAACATAAGCTATACAGTGAAGATATATTCAAAATATACACAACTTGAATTAGTTGCAAGTGACATTCAAATATATGAAGGAAACTGAACCCAACAAGGAGTGAGATTGCGACCGAGAAAACACAAAACTGGAGGGAGAATTGTTTACTGCTACGAAACAGACGACGCTGTGTTTGACGAACAGTTGTACATGTAGAGAGTAGATATTGTAAGCTACTTGAGGTGAACGAATTGGAGAGAGGTGGGGATAGTAATGCGATTTGGGATCGTTAAGAGGACAAGAGGAAAGACAAAATGAAACGTGAACTGCAGATTCCGCACGCAGGACATGAAGAAAAGGAGGGAATGCAAGATGCGTGACTTATGTGGCATGAGAGAAACAGACGTGGCAAGGCCAGAAGAGAAACGAAGAACGAGAGAAGCCTGCCGTTACACGAGAGCGTACAGACAAAGGTTCGAAGGATAAGACAGCCTGGGATAGTATATCGAGACAGACGTTGAACATTGACGACACAGGCAAAAGGAGGAAAACACAAAACCAGGAAAAACAGATGAAACATTCGAAGATAAGGGACATTGTGAAATTGGTATCCATGGCATGTCGACATCGAGGGACGACGGCGTATATTCTTGAGCATTAGTCAGACGAGGGAACGGCGTTTGGGCCCTCTCCGCTGCCAGTCTTCCAGAGACTTTGACTATCCAAGTCAAGACTTGCTAGAGTTCCGTTCAGATCATGAATTGGATCGTAGTCAGGTTCGCGACCATGGAACTTCTCTGGAGAGATGAGCGTCTGTGAGGCACGGCGAGCCGTATCAGGTCTGGCTATGGGAGCCTCTTGACGACTAGAAGCACGAGTCTGGAAAGGGGAGTTGTTCTGGGCTTCTCCACCGAGGAACGTTGCGAAGCGTTGGTTAGCGCTTGGTGGACGAGCGGTCTGGCCAGATGTTGGTGAGACCTTTCCGTTGTTGCTGGTAGACTTCTCTTCCTGCTGAGGAACCGTATACCACGGGGCATAACCCTTACCACCAGCGAAGGCAGCAAAGTTCTGAGCTAAAGCGGGTTGGGGTGATGCGCCTTGGCCATTGTTCTTCCCACCCCCGTTGAGATAGTTGGGATCAGGAGAGAATGGCGAGAAAGAACTTGCGCTGAACTGTCCAGACGACCGAGAGTCGAACGAGGAAGAAGTGAAAGATTCATATGCAATTGTGGCATCACTTGGCTCACTCTTGACTTGAGTTGCAGGTGCAGAATGGTTTGTCTCAGGGTTGGCATTCGGTGTCTCGGTCTGCATGGCAGCAGGGTTCTGGAGGAAGTGTGAGATACCAAACTTCTCCAGAAGCTGCATTGCTTGCTCGGGTGTGAGCCCCGGAGGAGGGGGAGGGCGAGCAGCAGGGACATGAACCTCATACTGTGCCTGAAGCGCGGCTGCCTGAGCCGCTTGAGCCGCTGCTTGAGCAGCTTTGTCTAGCAGAGAGTCATGAGCATCACCGTCACATGGACCTTGCATGAAATCATACATACATTGACTACGACCCCAACTCAAGCGAATCCGGCTACCACCGATAGGAAAACCTTGCATCTTCTCGATTGCCCGCTCGGCATCAGGTTTACGCACGAACTGAACGAAACCACAGTGCTTTCCGACCGGAACCTTTACCTATAGTCGGATATTCAGTAAGCGTTTAAAGTGGTTCAAAGAAAACAACGTACGTAGTGGATGTCACCGAAAGGTGCGAAGAATGTGCGAAGAGTATCCTCAGAGATCAGAGGAGACAAACCTCCGACAAAGACTGTCGTGTTGTATGGATCCGACGATGTTAGCTGCTCCCCGTTGGGACCGATCAAGTTTGAGAGGATCGCGCGAGCTTGAGCATGATGTTTCCACGACTCCTCGGGTATGTTATACCTCTGCGCCATCAGCTGGTCTTGAGTAGGCTGAGCCAACCCGACCGAAATGGAGTTGGGAACAGCTGAACTAGGCGCAGGAGTAGCGGTGGAGGTTGGAGGTGCGCTGTTCACCGGTTGGGGAGTAGTGATGATCTCCGTATCAGAAGGAGCCGACGCAAGCGTTGAAGACGAAGTGCTGCTTGAATTGGAGCTCAGCGACGGCGCGGACAGAGAAGATGATCCTGACACAACAGTGCTGCTGAGCGAGGTACCAGAGCCCGACGTCGACGGAATAGCAGATGAGGCGAGCGGGGTAGAAACGCTCTTAGTCTGGTTTGTACTAGGCAACGGAAGCGCAACAGTCACCGGCTGTTGCTGTTGCTGTTCAGGAACAGGACTCATGTTCGGAATCAAACCAGGATATCCGAGTTGACCATATTCCATTCCAGGCATCCCCGGAGCAGGCTTGAACTTTGCAGTAGCTGGCGAAATTCTCACTGGAACCAAAATCAGAAAGACATGATGACAAGGAAAGTGAGATTTACATACTTGGACGAGACAGACAATAAAGACCATGCATCTCAATAAGAGCCCGCTGTTGGTCGGCTTCATCGGTGAAGCTAAAGCAACAGAAGTAAGTTTCCCCCTGAGTATGTGTGGGTTCCAACATACCGAACGAAGCCATATCCTCTCGACACGCCCGTGACAGGGTCAAGCATGATCTTCGCGCTCTTGCAGCTTAGGAACGGACGGATGAAGCGCGGCTCCCTATCATTCCTTAAACCTAGGACTGGGTTGCGGAAAACGGCGACGAGGTCAGAGTTCGACACCTCTGGTGCAAGATCACCAACGAAAATACTGTATTCCTTGGGGTACTGAGGGTTCTGAGCTCCAGGAATTGAAATTGTGGGAGTCCCAAAGCCAGAAGAGAGAGGCGCGGCGGGGACCGACGACGCCCAGTTGAGCGTGAATGGTCTAGTTGAGTTGGGCATAGTGAGATTCCCGGCGCTCCCGCCATTATTGATTTGTGCGAGAACAGACGCGGCATGTTGTTGTGAAGGGAATGTCAGGAAGCAATAGCCAGGATTATTGGCCTGTCTACCGGTGAGCGGGTCGGGAGCAGGACGCGGTACCTTGATGTTGACGGGGTCCCAACCCATGAGGTTGCAGACCTGCTTTGCATACTCTTCATCCATCCAAGGCTCGAGTTCTCCCCACCAAAGCGTGGAGCGTGGAGAGGTGGTTGAAGTGGGGGAAGAGGGGAGCGCGTGTTGTTGGAGGTTTACGGGCGGGTTGTTATTAGTCTGCTGGTTGATACGAGTGGTATAATAGAGATCTCTGAGAGCGTCTCTGTCTCGTTCTGTGAACACTGAAGGAGGAGAAGGGGACGCAAAGGCTGCAGAAGTGCGGGGAGGGGAGGCGCGATGGTGGTGGTTCAGTACCAAGCTCTGAGGGCCACCTGGTTGGACTTGGGTCACCGGCGAAGAAACAGACGCAGCGGCGTTGGGGCCGACGCTGGGTCTATTATTGCTCGGCGAGAACGACGGAAGAGCCGCAGCCCAGGCGTCATTGCTGCCCAAGCTTCCTGCAGACTGTCCCGCCATGTACATTCTCGGCGGTGAGACGACCGACGAAGCTAACCCACCGGAGCCAGTACGGCCGGCGTCGCCCGCGATGTACGCGTTGTTGGGCGAGGAGGAGTAGATGCTGGCGGGGGAGAGGGCGTCGCGCGGCGGGAAGCAGGACGTGTCTTGAGCTGGATCCCGCGTCCCAAAGGGGTTTCTGCGTAAAGCGGCCGTGGCGCCGGGATCGAACTGGATATCGCGACCATGGATAAAGTCATAATCAAGCGGATGCTGGTGCATATGCGTCTCCGGACGTGACATGGCGTTAACGGAAGAAGCACAACGAGATCGGTGCAGAGTCTGGGGATCGATGACAGGTCAGAAGAAGGCAAGTCGTTTTTGGTAATTTTTTCTGTTTCTGTGTTTTCCTCTTCTTGCGATGCGACGTCAAAGGAAGCAAAAAAACAACAAAAGACTTGGATAGCGAGAGAGGTAGGGAAGAAAAAGAGAAGCGGTGAGTAGATGAAAAGCAGAGAAGAGCGAAAGATGCGCAAACGACGAGTCGATTCAGCGACAAACGGTGAGAGAGCGATTCAAACAGAAAAGGGTGATTCGACAGCGATACGAGAGGAACGGTGTGTAAAGTAGCGAATAGCGTTGTGTGGGTCTATGGATGTGTGAGGGCGAAAGGACACCTCAGCGTGGACGAGGCAGACAAGAGGAACCCACTGCGGAGTGAGGTGTGCTAAGCGTTGCGGAGTTTCCTATTTGTACCTATCAGGCGGCTACAAACCGTATTTCCGCCACACGAGGCTACGAAGTTACAATGGGCGGAGCAGAAATTGCTGGCTCAGATGGTACGAATTATCGGTCCTGGCCGGCACTATCATGTATCATAGCACTGACTAAGCACGACAGAAGGAGCACAACGCGTTTCCGGGGGACTTCAGATGTTCAACTTCATGGGACGCCTCCTGGATGTGGCGAGACGGTAGAGGATGAGAACAAGCTTACTTCCGGTACGTAGCAGCGTTTAAAGCGGCAGCATTTGATCACATCGCTAACTCACGTAAAATTCCCGCAGGATCTTCTGTGTGGTTCTGTGGGTCCACACCTAAACCCCAGCTCTCCCTATGGTTAGCATTCTCAGCACCATGTGGCTTTCAAACAGCTTTTCATTTCGCTCCCACTGTTGCTGGCAGCGGTGTCAAGCACCGTGAGCTTGGTCGCACCACCTCACCGAGGGAATGCAAATGTTTCGCTTCCATGCACTCACGTCGGCTTTATACCCTCTTCCAGGCCAGCCCCATATGTTGTTATGATGGTTCTGCATCAGCGTTCCGCACTCTACAGACTCATCAGTCGAGTTCATTTGCCTTGTAGAGCGAACAATGGAGAACCAAAAACCCATTGTTCGGCGGAAGATCCATCTTGACGATGTAGTCAGTTCATGGAGGCTTCTGTTCCTGCTCCTGATTGCTCGGTGTTCTGGCCACGGTTCCATTGTTCTCTAGGGGCTACCCTTTTTTGTGCTGGTACAAAATTCAAGCGCACGTAACGTCACTTGTCTACAAACCGTCTGAAGACATGGTTAGACACGCGATCTGGACAATAAGGCGCGGCTTGTGGGGTTCAACCCACAACATCGATCTCACTATGACAGACGTTGGTTTGTTGGCTTTGATTCTCAGAGGATTGTGACTTCACTACGTTGAAGTGATGGAGGGCACAAAGCGCACACGCTAGCATGCTATGGCAACCGGCCACACGATACCGTGGAATGCAAGAAGCGAATAGTGATCTTAGTTGCTCCAGTATAAGTAGTCGGGCCCTATTTCACTCTTTCGAACGCGTAGTTGCTTATTCTTGGCATTTCATTATCGTATTACTTGTTACATAAAGTCCATTCGGACCTCTTGGCCGTCTTCCAAATGCCATGGGAACCTTCATCGCGTCCCATTTTCGTCATTCACGTAACTCGCGTTTACAGAAGTATGTCTATATGAATTCCAGAGAGCCAACCTTCTCAATCATGGAGGGTGATCGAGGGTTTCCATTCTCAGCTGTAGGCTGGAGGCTTATGTACGCAAGCGCCGGAATTCTGGTCTTGCACAGTGCACCAGCAGGTCTCTGCCACCAATAATTGCGCCTGCACCCACGCTCTCTTCGTTGCTTCGTCGACGTTTCCAACTACAACGACCTGGGTGCTCGACATCCTTTTCAATCGGATACAAACTTTAAGCTGCGATAGCCATATAACTCATAGTGGTCGTCCAAACTGGCGGACCACTCGCGACGTGTGCAAGCCATGCCACAACGACGTCCGTCTGCAGCTGGTCAGGCCACTGCGAGTTCGTCGGGACGCGTTCATAAGACGAATGGCTCAATATATAGCGGGTCCAGCCAATCTCCCCACTCAAACAACCAACCTCTTCCCCGCAATGGCGCTGGAGCCCCCCATACCCCTCACTACAGGATGGTGCATATATTAGTGACAAGGCTAAAGCATAAGGTGTGTTTGTGAAGCTATGTATAGTACCAACTCAGCTATAACGTGTGTTGTAGTTGCCATGTAATGCTGGGACAACTCTCACAGAGCTTGAAGACGATCTAGTTATCCATCAAACGATAGAAGCTCTCGTGGACCTTGCGGGAGATTCCTTAGGTCTCATAGCTCATGCATTGACGGATCAGCTTCACAGGTTGGCACAAGTACGTATCTAGTACATTCTCCTGATGCAGTATTCTCAAACAATGCCCGCGTAGATCGAAGCACCGTATCGCGGAGTGGATGTATTGCAGTCACAACTATTCCTCCTGAAGGTGCTCTCTGTAGCCATGGCCTCTCATTCAAATAGGTTCGATGATACTCGACCTAATTCTCGTATTGGCAAGGCGTCGGAAGATCCCGCGTCGGTACCAAGTTCACCGTCACCTTCGATGCACGCTTCGCGGGGCCGGCAACCTTCTTACGACAGGATGAGTATTAACTCTACCAAACACGAAATTCCACCTCTAGTTGATGACGCGGCGAAATACGTCTTGAGCATAATGATCCTATTCCTCCAACAGACAGCCCCTCCTGCACCTCGCTTGATGTCTGCAGCGAACTTGAACTTCAACGCTTCCTATCATGACTTTGAATCGGTAGAATCTCAGGAAGGTCCGAATCCTCTCGAACATCCACACGAGATCCCGAAAGTGAGCTCTAAACCGAAGGCGATGTACGAGTTTAGAGATAGTCATCTGAAATCAGCGGACACTCGGAGCATTAACTCCAGCTCTTTTCACCCTTTGCATTCCGCCCATTACGAGAAGACTTCGACGGTTGTGTCTGATTCGTGCCTTTCGCTGAACAGCTTGATTGCCAAGTTTGCTGGCAAGGTCATCTATCACCTTTCCGCGTCCAACTGGTCAGTGGTCTTCGACAGGATCCGCATCAAGATTCGAGAACTCGCCCACATGCCCGATAATGCGAATATTCCGGAACTCACTGACCTGCAACTGCTCATGCACTGTGCTCTGGATAAGACACGGCTAATTCAATCTCTGCAAGGTCTGCATTATCGTACCTTTTTTTACTGGGCTAAATTGACATTTCTATCAGAACTCGCATCTTTACTCGTGCATATCCGTAAAGAGGTACAGGCTGCTATGTGCCAACCGCTTCGTACAGCGATATGGAATTGGATAGAGAACTTTCCTGACGAGTTCAATGAGGCATTGCTCTCGCACCGTCGGCTCGAAGGTGCTGCTGAGCGTGTTTTCGATCTCCTTTATCCTTTGCACGAATGGCCTGACAAGACCTTTGTTTGGCCTGCGCTCACCGTCCTGCTGTGCATCAGTTCTGAGAGGACCAAGAGCGAGTATCAAATGGTCAGTTTGGGTCCGATGCCGCCCCGGCCAGGTCCCCGCAAGGTACGCTTTCAATGGCGATGGTTCGATGCACAAATTTGATGAATTTCCGACCCAGGATCGTACCTTCGCAGACCAGATCATCAGAACGATGACAGGGCGGGGGAAGGGATCAGAGATGGCTATGGTTTGCGCGCTGGACATTTGTCGGGCTGCCTCTCGTGTACGGCCCAACCCTGAAGTTGAGGTCCCTCTAATTTCTGTTGCAAACGATGTCGCGCATGAGGTGAAGGTTAGTTCATTGGTGCTTAATACGTCCTCATGTTGCTTTAACTTCCTGTATGCAGGCCAGTTTGTTCTCTTGGGGTCCGGACTCTCTGCCGTTCTGGGCGACGCTGGAAGACATTGATGTCGCACTCATGGGCGACGCCCTAGTGACAATATATAGATTCCTACCCCCAGCGGATATACTCCCTATCTTCCATCGCTGTCTAGAACCTACGCGGTCTGACGCTGTGAAGACTGCGGTCGTCAAGGCTTGTATCACACTTGTTACAGAGGTACGTCATAATAAATCCCTGAGAATCTCATGCTCAGTGCTGTAATACTGGATAGGCTAATGCGTTGCCCTGGACACTTTCGCCGGAGGAGCTAAGAGTTGCCATCTGTGAGCGTGTCACGAGTATTTATCGAGTCAGTACTATGTTATCTTTGTCAGTCCTTCTTGCTCATCTATACTGCAGCATTCCGTCATGCGTCGTAGTGAGATCGATGCAGACGGCATCATCAAGAAGCCAGCATTGAGGCCCAAAGGCAAACGTTACACGGCCGAAACAGTATCCGACCGGGAACTCTTGTCACTTTCATGCCTTGCTTTGTATCGAGCTGATGTTTGGTGGTTCTTATGTGTTACCCACGTTGATACAGAACCATTGTGGGTGCCAGGTGCTGTTGAGCTGTGGCTTGCGCCCAGCGATGCCTCCGTCAAGATATCGATGAACCGCACCACTCGATTTGCCTTCGATGCTATCACGCAAATGTCGCCCGAACATCCGGCGTGGGATCATTGCGCTTCGTGGATGGCATGTGCCATGTATGTCTCGAATGTTCTCTAGTCTTTATTCGCAGTTGCTCATGCACGTTCAGGCCTGCAACGCTTGCGGCTATTTGCATCAATCTTCTGGATTCTCGAACCGATTTCAAGGCTCAACACATGTACATTTCGATGGCTATTGAGATCATGCATCGATTTACTAGACCTTCAGCGGTAATTACCCAGTTCCTGGTGCGATCCATTGTAGGCTGACATTCCCACAGCAACATTTTGTCAGAGTTCAGAGAACTGTCGAGCGCATCCCGGCGTTCTTGATTGCTGAGATCTCATTCTTGGTTTCTCTTACGTCTGCTGATCGTAACGTATCAGCAATTGCATGTCAATGTCTTCGTCTTCTAGCTGTGGCGGAACGACAGCCCAACGCACCATGCAACACTCCCTTCAACGATGATGAGAGGCTCAAGCGCTACCCCATGTACGACCAGCTTGGAGCCGACCAGAAATCGGTACTGGGTGTGTATCATGTATCTTTAAGAAGTGTCTCGCGCTGACGACCTTCTTCATGCAGGGCGTGTTGCACATCAGAAGCGCATTCGCAAGATCATGCGGATGCTCACTCTCCCTCCTGCAGTTCACATGGCTGTTTGGCAAGAGTGTTACTTTCGATGGTGTACTCTGAACGAGCTTGCTATCAGGATGTCATTGGATAGCGATGATCTCCAGACGCAACCCACAGGTGATAAGAGTCTCACGATGGAGGTACGTCACGGGTGTTCTTTGCATGGCAATGTCGGATTTACATTGTACCTTAACCTTAACATTTCAGGAGAGACAAGCGCAGTGGCAGAACCTAACTCTGTTCATGGCTTCGTTTGGACCCGCTGTTCTCAAGGAGAACGTGGATGCTCCCGCCTTGAGCGCGTTAGTGCGCGATGAATATCTTCCAGACCAAATGCGAATCATGCGGGATCCTGGCGACCTTCTTACTATCTTCCTCACTGAAGTCATCAATCTTCTTGTTCATGAATCAGCTCAGGCTCGAAAAGTGGCAGAGGAAACTCTTGGGAATGAGCTTAATCCGAGACTGTACCTCCGGATTTTGAAGGAATTAGACAGGTAATGGCTCATATTCTTTAGTCATCTCTTTATGTCTTTGCTCACTCCGCCTCACCCCAGTGTTCTGCAAGATATTACAAACCGCGACAACCTTGATTGGGAAATGCTCTCTATATTCCTGGAATCGGTATGTTCGCCATACAATTATAACAGTATTCGCCTGATATCCTTTGCATAGTTCATCCCGATTGCTACTGTCCTTTCTGAGAACGTTAAGAATGTCCAGGATATTCATGGTGTCGATATGGGTGCGACTCTCCATACCCTTGCAGATTTCATCAGGCGCTTCCAGGGAACATCTGGTTACCGCCTGAAAACCAGATTCTGTGCCCTTTGCGAAACCGTATTCGATCCCAAGACCTGCGTTTCTCCCCGAAAAGATAATTCCAGTCGACAGACTATTGCCGAATTCATCATTGAATGGGTTGCAGATCCGATTCAGGTCAGTGTATGTGCGGTCTACCATTGTTCTGTTGTGTTAACGCTTGTCATCAGGTGGATGCCGAGCATGCTCAATTGCAGCGCGATCTGAACAGCGCAACACTGCGGACGGCTGTGAAAATATTCGACCACCTGAAACTCGAGTCACCAGACGGTCTCGCCGAAGATGACGCGGCTCATTATGTGTCACGGCTCTTCATTCGTTACACGCAGTTCCTACAGAAAGTGTCAGACTTCGGTCGTTCTGAGTTGGTCAGTTGCATTAGTCGTGTTTTCATTGGCCCCGTGCTCAAACTGTCCTAGCTCCGTGATGAAGGCGTTGCGGACCAAATCAGTATAATTCAGGTCAGTTTTATGACCGTCACTGTGATCAACAAACTGACATAATTTTCTAGCATCGGACGTCTCATCACCAAGAGGGCGAATATCGTGAATTAGTCGTAACAGGCCTGGCTTCTCTCATCAGTTCCAACACAGAGTTCGGTATCAAGCACTGTCTGCCTCTCGCGTATGATCAGGATCCACTCAAGCAGACAACTTTCACACACGTCTTTGCTCGAGTACTTAGTCAAGGTGTCACGCTGAGTACTCGAGATGCATCCTCCAATATCAGCCGTCAAAGTAAGCTCTGCGAGGTATGCATTCATTTCGTTGGCTATCAATCACTTACGCTGACAACCACGTAGCTAATTAAGGGTCCAGATGTAGGTTCTACATCTTGTTTCGGATTCCATCTTATTGCTAACACACCCTGACAGTCCTCTCTTGCACTAGCAATATGTGAAGTTTGTCCAAGCGATCGTCATGACGAGATGATTGAGGTCTTGCTTGATGTTTTCGACACGAAATCGTCTTTGGTAAACCTACTTAAAGCAATGGTTGACCGGGAGATTGCTCGGACTGGTTCGTGAAAACTGTACTATTCGCATGATAAGGCCTAACGTCTTTCTGATCATGGATATAGAAAATGAAGCCGACCTTTTCCGCAGTAACTCCTTCTATTGTGTCTTCATGTCCACTTGTGCGCGACTTTATGGATACAACTACCTTAGGAGCCTGTTAATCCCGCTTCTCAAGACGATTGCTTCGTTACCACCAGGTCATAAATTCGAGATCGATCCAGTGATGGTCGGAGAGCAAGCAGCAGCCGACAATCAGCAGGTCGTCGAGCTTGTGGCTTCTTCATTCATTGATATTATCACTTCTTCAGTACCTGCATTTCCTTCGTGAGTTCTTCGACCTCACTTCATACGCGCTTGCTGATAATTTTTATGTAGTATGTTCCGGGAGGTTTGTGCCCACATCGTGAGCAAAGTGTAAGTGCCATTATCCTTTCTTTGTGCTGTTGCTTATCCTGCCGCAGGACCGCTAGGTGGTCAAAGTCTAAGTTCTCAGCACTTGGCGCGTTCATCTTCTTACGGTTTGTTTCGTTTTTCAACCAATTTTGGGAGCTCTAACCTCATGATATATCAGTTTCATCAATCCGTGCATCGTATTTCCGCCACGCGTAGACCTTCCGCTTGATACAAAGATGATGGCTGGCCTCAAACTTGTCGCAAAGATCATACAAAATCTGGCGAATAACATTCTTTTTGGGAAGGAAGCACACATGCAGAGTCTGAACCTGTTTCTGGAGAAGAAAATATCAAATATCACAACCTTCTTGAGTGCATTGGCTGTGAGTTTCACTTAGAGATGTTTGAACATCGTACTGATATTTTCGTAGAAATACACGCCCTCCGGACCAGAGGACGAACACGAGGAATGGCTGGAAACGCCTTACGACGATACTGATACAATCTTGTTGCAGCGCTTCTTCATGAATCATGTTGACAAGATTGGCAAGGAGTTGCTCAGCTCTCCAAGGATTCTCGATGACACTGGTCCAGATGGGGAAGCTACTAGCAAGAGTTCCTGGCAAGCTATATGTTCTGCCATCTACGAGAGTAATGTGCACACAGAAATTCCGCTGCCCACTGATGCCACTACCTCAACTCATGCGCCATACAAAGAACTTATGTCAAGATTCGGCCTTCGGGATGTTTCCTCCGTACAACATCTGCTTGTTGAAACTCCTGTACCAAAGGCGAGCCGCCTATAACACCTCTTTGATCTTCGCTTACGATGTCTTAGTACGAGCGTGCCGTGTTCGTCTTGTCTGTTGCCAAAATAGATGTCGAGGTTCTGGATTTGGAGTTGCTCCTCTATCATATTCTGCAGGTACGGCCTATCTTTATACCCATTTGAACCCACCTCACAACTTCTTTGATCGCAGACGCTCACAACGCCCCAAAACATCAATCGGGAATTCGAGATAATCTTTGACTGGACGTATTTCTCTGCGGCATCCAACGTTCCCATCCAGTGGGTAAAATTTGCCTATGAGGTCATTCCAAAGGACGTTCGACAAAGGCTGCGGGTCTCTCACTTCCTTACACCGAACGATATGGCTTTGCGATATATGCGGAAACTTGCCATTATCGTCAATGGTAAGTATCATTATTTTCTAGGTTTGTCTGCTTTCCTCAATTTTTTATTTTATTTTACGACGCAGGATCCCCGTTCTCCGACAAATACTTGATACATTCGTCTGTGCATGAATTACTCGAATACTTCCCTCCTGGTACCGTCTTACATCCCCTTATGGAAGCATGTGTGTCCCTTCCAACCTAATCTCACATTGAACAATGATCCCTGACCCCTTTTGCTCATAGATATGCAGGAGGACGAGCCCCGGGAGTTGTTCACTGATGTTACAATGCGCCTCAGTCAGCCCTTGCATGCGCCAATACATCTAGAAGTGGCTGCAAGCTACCTTCGCATTACCACGGTATGTATATGTGTCCTGGTTCATGGAGATTCCGTGTTAAATCGTTGTCTCATTCCAGATGAGGCCTGTCTCATATTGCCGTACTCAGAAGGCTAAAGCCATAGAAATCATTCCTTTAACGGATGTCAGCGATGCCTATAACGTGTCCACGGGGCATGAACTGAACGAGTTCGTGATCCGGAAAACGCGACACGGTAGCACTCTTTACTTTGCTTCTCCCCTACGCGAAGCGATAGTGAAGGTTCGTTCCGTCGGTCATGTTAATGTGCGTTTAATGTATATTGATGAACTGTTTTCCTCTAGACCATACGTTGTGCGAAAGGAAACGTCAAGAACATCCAGCGACCTATCACTGAGAGATTTTCGAAGTTGTCTAATGTGGTGGCAACACTTCTCCATGTTGGTATGCTCAATATTGGAAGTCACGACGATGAGCTCCGACTCGCCGCGTATGATCTCCTTTCCGCCATCTGCATCTATCTCGATTTCGAGGGCCGCCCTGTTGTGCCTGCCAAATGTACGTATCATCCTAGGTTTTACTCGAACAGTTTACTCACAATAGCTTTAGCTGTATTCATTCCAGGTCATCCCGGACCGTTCGTAACACAACTCAGTGAGAAGTTGGCACCTTTTGCGCCGCATCTCACGCTGGATTTCATCGCTGCCATAGCAGCGATGGACAAAACATCCATTTCACAGAAGATCAACTGCCTGCAGTATCTTTCTCCCTGGATAAAGAACTTGTCGTTTTTCATGGATCCTCTGCATCGTTTGTTTGAACCATCTGGCACAAAATTCCGAGATTGTATCCGGACATTGATTGACCTGACTCTCGCTGACCCCGAGGTTTGTGTTTTCATTTTCTCATACTTCGATTGTTGTTGATGTATAGGATTAGATCTATGCTGTCCTGCAAAGGCATATATGGATAGAGGTTGGCAAACTTGATAGCAACGTCGTCAATGCCGTGTTGGATGAGTTGATGCGAGCAGCAGTCGATGGTGGAATGGGATCGCAAAGATGTGAGATAATTGCCGACGTTATGACGGCTGTGACATCCATCAACGTGCGAGGAAGGATATTTGCCCGTATACGCAAGGTGAGTTGCAGTATACATGAGACTTCTCTAACGGTTGGCTCAAAGGCTTCTAGGTATTGGGCAAGACCTCCACCAAACCAACGAAGGATCTGGCGGACAATCCGCACTGGACGGAAATTGCGTGTCTCACGCGCCTCGCAATGGTCGCAAATTATCATCCTCGTAATATTGTCCATGCTCAGCTTTACGTTCCGGAAGCTGCCCATCTGGTCACGCTCATCGCTGGCACAGGTGAAGTGCTTGTCCGGCAGTCCGTGTACGGCATTGTTGTCAATCTCCTGAATGCTGTCTTCCTGGCTCGTTCGGGAGAACTTACTGGCCTTGACGTAAAGGCACTCCTTGATGAATGCATTGATCCAGGGATCTTGAGGTCTTTCGGGCTCCGCAAAGCATCGCGAGGCAACGACTTTGAATCGTATGATCCTGACACGGACAAAGAACGCATCGACCTGCTAGAGAACTTGACCAGCTTCCTTGGGCGAATCATGAAGGCTATCTCTGGTAGTTCTGGTATGTCTCCTATCGGGATCCCAGCCGGAGATGACCAAATTGACTATCTCTGTTTTGGTAGGGCTTCTGAATGTCTGGCGTGCAAGATGGATGAGTTTGATCACATCATCTGCATTCCAATTCTCTCCCGCAATCCAGACACGCGCATTCATCTCCATGGGAATGCTAGCCACTTCGGACGTAGATGATGATTTGCTCTACCAAATGCTTGTTGCGTTCAAAACCGCCCTTTCTCAATTCAATGAGAAGGAGACGCTTGCCATGATTAGCATGCTTCGCTGCATGTACCACGTAGTGCCCGCTTTACCACCTCATTCGCGTTATTTGCCACAGCTTTTCTGGCTCGCCGTGGCTCTCCTGGAAACTGGCTTCGTGATGATCTACTCCGAGGCGATCCAACTATTACGGGCAACGGTGGAGCGTATGGACGTAGACAAAGAGTTCGAAGTCAAGGGTGTTGCCGTAACACTTATGGACGCACGAGCGCCGCTTGAGAGTATCTCTATCCAACTCGATCACTTGCTGTCGTTGTCCTTCCATACCAGCTTCCACTTTTCCCTCGCAGCCATCATCTTCAAGGGCGTCCGACACGCAGGTTTGCATAAGCAAGCGGAAGCTGCTCTCCGCAGCCTTCTCCGTATCACCGTGCAAAGTTGCGGAGAGATTGGCCTAAATCATGCTGAAGCTGGCGCAGGGGAGCCGATTTGCCAGGAGGTGCTTGGATACGTCATTGCCTTGATTCCGCTGCACACCTCGCTTGTGGCGTATCAGGAACTTCTTCTTGGAGCCAAAGTTCATTCATCGTGGACGTCAGAGGATTTCCTTCCCTCTGTGATCGACTATGATGAGGCTATTCATGTACCTTTGGGTCTGTTGGGTATCGTTGATCGACGGACAGCCCTTTTCACTACGTCCTTCATCAGCGCGATGCTGCAGACGGCTCAGGGAGATGATAAGGAGACGGAGATGCTATACGGCATTCTCTCCGATCTTGCTCATAGCCATCCTGAAACCATTGCAATTGCGTACGTTTGTGCACCTTCTGAATCTTTGCTCCCAGTTGACGTCGTTCCGTTATATAGCTTTGACAGTTTCCACGAAAAGCTGAAAGATGCATTTACCATTTCTTCCCGGCCAATGGTCCTTGCGTATGTCTCCAACATTTTCAGGGTTTCGACACAAGAGAACATGAGGGGCCTTCGCGGTCAATCCTCTGCATCAACGCTGAGTACTGTGGACGAAAAGCCTGAACGCATTGGCAAGAAACATCTAGCGGAGCTTGATTCCATTGACATGGGTGGCCTCGCCAATTCGCTTCAATTCGTTGCTCCCTCGCATTATCGTCAAGTGTCGAGGATGATCAACTTTCTTTCTGAGCTTGTGATGAAGATTATAGAATAAATTCGGATGGATTGATGGCTGGTTCCGACTCTCGATTGCTTTCTTCACTTCATATCCTATTTCGCACGGTCTATTTTGCTGTACAATATCGCTGTCTGATACCTTCCAACTCCTTGGTGTAGCTAACATTGGAATTTCGTTTACCTTCATCATATTATTTGCACTAATCGTTACTTTGCAATGTGCTAGTTATTACCTCCGCATCATGTATCTAGGATTCCACCAATCAGTATTATTTGGGCACCTTTCAACTGGCTTGCCCTTTTGTATGCACTTCTCACTGAAACGGAGCGCCGGCAGTTTAAGTTATATAGAGCTTCAGTTAGTTCATTCGCACCTACCATTTTACCGCTTGAGGAACACCCTCCACTTTGCATGCGGTTTCACTTAATGTACTAAGACAACGAGGCATTCTGCTATATAAACAAAGCCCGACATCCTTGTTCCAGACAGGCTCTCGAGCTTGCTCATAGAGATGTCTTTGGATTCACGTCCAGAAACACCCGACTCTCCAAGCAGTTTGCGCAACGCCACGGCTACTATTGACGATCTAACCCTTGCTCTATCTGACTTCTCTCGTGCTCACTCACCTGAACCCCCAAACGTGTCGACCTGTTGTTGTGGAAGAGAGGATTGTGAGACGACTCAGGCATGGTGTGCGTTCAAGGCGAAGTTAGAAAGCCGCCTAGTCCTTAGTGCTGGTGAGTGTAGAAACTTTCGTGTTGACACAATTTGACATGTTATCACGGTCAACAGAGGTAGGCCAGGCGCTTTTGGAGAGGCATGAGGCGTATGTACGCCGTCATGAGGTCTGTTCTGCACGTTGCTGTATCTATTTCCACGATGTAACCCGCAGAGTCCCGGAAGTTAGCACGCCAAGTGACAGACCGAACATCCTCAGCGATGAAAACTTGGGAGGGATTGAACTCGCAGCGAACCGAGGAGCAAGTCGACGCTCGCGTTGCGGACCTGGTGAGAGAGGTGCGTTTGAACCAGAACCCTTGACCGCGATTTCATTGTTACCAAGGCAAAACCCTATTAGAATGCAGTTTTGGAGAAGGTGCTTTGCAATTTATTGTATTGTAGTAATGCGAAATTCTAATCATTTATCCATAGCGTCTGTCCAAGGCCCTTGTCAATAGCGAAGTCGCAGAGGTATCTCATCACACTGTCTTGCAGGAGCTGAAGCAGGCAAAGGAGACAATCAGTCGCCTGTCTGCTCAACATGCGCGTCTGGTTGGCCTCGATCAACGTTTTACCGCTGCAATACAAGAGAAGGACGATGTTCAGCAGGAGAGGGACAGCGCCGTCCAGCGTGCACGACTAGCGGAAACTCGTTTAATATCACTCAAGGAGAAATGCTGTCAGTGTGAGGACCTTGCTTTGATGACTAGCGTTGACGTCTTTATAGCAAAACTACAGGCCCAGGTCAATCGACTTCGTGAAGACTTGGATATGCAACGTTCGCATCGCCAAGAGCTATCTGAGGAGATACTTAGTGATGCCCGAGAACGTTTGCAACAGTTGCAGCAAGTCGTGAGTGTCTTATCGTTGAGGATATCAATATTCTCATGCAATGCAACAGCAACTTGGACATGCATCGATGGTGGATGAGACGGAAATCACGAAGGTTCTCGAGTCACTGGTTGCTGACAATGAGGCTCTAAAGCACGATTACGCCGAGGTTCAAAATCTTTTAGCGGAGACGCGCGAGGATCTGCGGGCATTGCAGGAAGAGATCGATGAACGTAGAGCCAATGATCCGACGCTTTCTAGGCATCGTCATACAAGTAATGTCGCGTCTGTGGGTCATACGGATGCTTCGACGTCTCTGTCGGCAAATTTTACTGTTGGCACCGCACCCACACCTTCCATCATGCATTCCAACTTTCGTAATGCCAGAGCTGGTCCTTCCCATGACAGACGTGCTGCAAGTATGGAGCGGTCTCCCCACCGTGTCTTTGTAAGAAATTGTATTTCCAAATCAACTGTTTACTGAAGAATTGTATGACGTGTAGGAGCCTCTCACACCTGAGACTGGTCTTCGATCATTGTCTCCTGCAAGATCCTACCTGACGACGGACGCAAAGAATACGTCCTTCAGCCGCCCACGCTCGCCTTACGCTCCCTCTCAACTAAGCTTTGAAGCCGATGACGACAGTCTACGAGAAACCCGCCCCATACCTCCAGAGAAGCCTCGAGGTAACAAGTCCTTATCATTACTCACCCGTTCCCAAGGCGTTCAGACAGACGGAACGGGGTCCTCAAATAATATCCTGGGTCTTTCGGCAATACCCCGTGGACTGGGTGACCTTCTACCATCGTCTTCTCCTCGTGATGGACTGTCAGAATCGTCCTCCATAACTGATGGCCAGACCTCGGTCATCGGGGCACTTATCGACAGACTATCGACCCTCATGAACCGTCTCATTCAAGCGGACGCGCTCACATTGACTAACCGGCTGAAACGGCAACATCTCCTAGGTGCCGATGTTAGTCACCTTTCTCGCAGCACTGTCAGTAGCATCCTACAAGAAGTCAATACTCTACGGTTACAATACCGTGCTTTTCTCGAAGACGAAAAGATTACAACGACATGCACTCGGAAGGACCTTCGCGGGTTGTTCAAGCTGTTCAAGGACATGTTCTCAGAGCTCGGGCAACTCCGTGTGACCCTAAACGATGTCATCCTCGACCCGGCTGTAGCTGGCAAGGTTAGCGACATGGCTCTTCATCCATCGAAATCCGAGGCCAATCCTTCAAACACCGGCAGCGGTGATGCAGTCACAGGCTCGTCAGGGTGGATAGCACCGTTGTCGAAGCTGCTTGGTTTGCCAGGAGGGTCTTCCAATCCAGAGCAGGATGCAGCGACACGGGCGCTATCGCCACCTGCAAGGCCTAGTAGCCGAGGTAGAGGTCGACCACCCCCACGTATTGTACTGAAGCGGGAGCCAGCACTATCGGCATCTGCAATGACAGTAAATGTCGAGTTCTCTGGCGCAGGCGTGGGGCGAGCTGTGACAAGCACATATTCCGCTGATCATGACCGGTTTCACCCTGTTCCATCCCAACCACAAACAACGCAGCTGTCTCCACTGTCCGGCGTTACTAACCAAACACTACGAAGTTCGGCTTCGAGGAGTGTGATGAATATCTTCGCAGGCGCCCCTAGACCTACAGCAGACTCTGGTGACCCTTGGATTGTTGTGCCAAAAGCCCAACGAGCCACGCAGCGGTCTCCGGATGTTAACGGGAGCGCGACGATTGGCCGTTCTGGAGTGCGCAACCTGACGGTTGATGGTTCCATGACTTTGCAGGCAGGCAGCCGTCATCCCAGTGCAAACAAGCGACTGTCTCGCATTGTTGATGCTGTGATAGACCGCGATCCAAGTCAGCAAGGTTTCTCACCGACACGGGGCCATGATACTGATGAAGACGATCCAACTTCTGAGGGGAGGGACCTCGTTCAGGACACCCTGTTAGAGCGTACCCTCAGACCGAGAGGTCTGTCCGACTCTTCCATACATACTACCTTCATGGCGCATGGTGAACGCGACGAAGCTCAGCGCCAACCTCAGTCTTCAACCGTAACACGACAGTCCGTCTTACAGGCACTTAGCCGAAAAGTGCAGTCTTTCAGGTCGGCCAGCACGTCCCTCGCTTCATCTATCCCGGTGTCATCGCAAGTATCAGCAACGATTGCAGCTGTTGTGTCTCGTCCACATACCCCTCAGGCACCTCCAGTTTCCACCAATGACCCTGATACCTCGGTGCATCCCAGTTTACCTGTGCCGATGCCAGGTGCGCATAATAGGGCAATCTCCCCTGGCGGTGCGAGGTTGTTCGCCGGTATGAACTTGGCTGGGTGGGCCGCAACAGCCGCCACACTAGAGAATGAATCGACACCTTCCGCAGCGGGCCTTCCACCGTTCTATGGTAGTCCGAGAGACGAGAGGCTCAGTACTAGGGGTTGGACGAGGGAACGAGAGTTATAATATGGGGAATCGACCTTCTGGGATAAGGGATCACACTGATTCCTTCTTAATTAGAGACTTTGGAAGTTTGGATACATGTAAATTATACTCGAGTCTGATAGTTTTTGCGGATAAACGAATACATATGTTATTATGATAGATTTGAATTAGATATGGCCGCCTGGCGAAATGGCATCGCGTCTGACTACGAATCAGGAGATTGCAGGTTCGACCCCTGCGGTGGTCAGCCATGAGCAGGACTTCTTTTTAAAGCATGAATCTCGAGATTTTTTTTGACATAATATACAGCACAATTATATGGTTATTTAATAAAGAAGTAAAATGTATACGGCTACCTGGCGCAATGGTAGCGCGTTTGGCTTCGATTGCCGACGGTACCAAAAGGTTGCAGGTTCGAGTCCTGCGGTGGTCACGTGCGAAAAGCTTTTCCTACTCAGAGGAGTCAGATATTGTATTGCTTTTGTGTTGCAACGTCTTGTTGATGCAGTCGCATTGTCTCCATATGCTCAGCTTACATGGGCGCATGTATGTGTGAAGCATGACGGAAGCAAAGTGCGAGATTCACGGGCTTGGTCGATCATTGCGAACTCGAAGCTTAGCTTGATCGGCGGCGTTTCCTAGTAGCTACCATAGTGAGTTTCAACCGAAGGTTTCTATTTGCTTGCATCCGTGCACCAGGCTTACCAATTACTTTCAGAACACTTAGCTTCCTCCATGGACAAGGAATGGGAGTATATCCGGTACTCCGACATTTGATCTCTGTGTCATAAAGTCAGAAAGCGAGACAGGTGTATGCTGTTGACCCGACTATTGTCATCGGCGACAGTTCATGTTCTTCTTGCCGGCGGAACACCTGCTAAAAATGACAGTCTCACTCCCAAACTAAGATCGCTTGCAGGGTCTCCGTGATGGTCGAAACCACTGGTGCAGAAAAGGACTAACTGTACTACTACTTCTACTAGTAGGTACTCGGTGCGCTTTCTAAGGGAGAAGTTGACTAAACAAGAACTTCCATGTCGTTTCATGTTGCTTCCGCGGCTCCATGGGTGCTATTACAGAGCACTTCCGCATGCCGCTGTATATGTACCCTTCCCCACTGCCTGGTCTCCTCCTTGTCCCTCCACCCTCGTCGCTTTTGTTCTTAGGTCTTCACTGAATCTGCGACCGAAATATGCCGTTCACTTGGAGGTTCGGTAAGAGGGTGTCTCCACTTGACAGTGTTACACTGGACCATGTCATCTCGGGCGATACATGTGCACCCATAAGGTCAATTATTTGTGCTCATGTGCTCTTCATTTTATGCTCATATTATCCAATTTTGTTTCAGTCTGCCAGACTTTGAGGCGTATTTGGCGCACAAGGAGTACTCCATTGAGAACTTGCATTTTCTGTCGTGGTACCAAAATTACCGACGCAAGTTTTTTAACCTTCCTCAGCACCTCCAGGCACTCTCGCCTCCGCCTTCATCTGTTTCTCAAAAGGACCACGACGCAGTCCCATGTCCAAGTCCTGTGAAGACCGAAATGCGTCTCGAATCGTCGAAACGTAATTTCGAGTCCTTCACGTTGGCTGCAGGTCCTGATGGCATGCTTGCTGCCGGAGCGTCACCAATATCACCGACGTTCTCCACGTACTCGGCTTCTTCCTCAAACAATATCTCATCACCCCTTGCATCACCTACTAAGTTCCAATCGTCTCAACCAGACTCAACTATTTCCTCTCCCACACTGTCTTCGACGCTCCTCGCTTCCTCGGCGGGGTTCGAGAGCGTCAACGGTGTGAGAAAGGAAACTCAGCCGTTTAGACATGAATGTATGTGTGTCGTACAGACGTTTGTCAAGGCTGCGAGTTCCAAGGAGATTATGGTGGATGGGCGTATCAGAGATATGGTCATCAGGGACTTGACCTGGAGTACGCATCCAGACATCGTATGTATTTTTTTTTACGATTACCACTGTTTTTCTTCTTCCTGTATTTCCTTTCTGACTCAATTGGTATCACAGTTTTTACCGATATACGAACAAGCGTACGACACACTCGCAGCAGTCTCCTTGCCACATTTCCTCACCCTCTCTGCGACCAACGTTAATCGGCCCAAAGCGTTCTTCTGGCTAAGCGTCGGGACGCTTAATCTCACGATCGCCCTCCTCATCTCACTCGCCACCATACTGAGTATAGATGATTACACGTTAAGGAAGCGAGTGACTGGAGGCTGGGATAGCGGTGGAGAAAGTCGACTTGCGAAGGCGAGAGCCTGGAGGTTGTTTGCGGTGCCGTTTGCGACGTTGGGTGGGATGCAGTTCTACAGTGCTTATAAAGGGTGAGTACTCTATTGTTTGACTTACTTGCAAGGTCGTTCAACCGGGCTAATATGATTTTTTTTTCTTTTTCTAGATTCTGCAGTGACGTCTGGGGTCGCGGACGTACCCAACTCAGACCTTGGGAACTTGACCTCGTCGAATTCGACGGGACGTTCGACGACAACGTTTCCTTCCCTGAGAAAATGCCTGATCCAGAGAAAGGGATGAATGTCGTCGGGATGGATAAAACGCGCTCGAGCTCGTCTTCCGGTTTCGCCAACAGAAAAAGTGAGGATAAAGTGTTCCCCAAGGTCTCCGGAGAGTCCACTCCAAAGAGGACGTCTATCAAGAGAATACCTCCTCCTAGGATCGATACCGGGTTAGCAGAGGAAATGAATCCACGCAGACGTAAAGAAGTCTGGGAGAAAGATGCCTCTGTCGCGGTCAATGTCCAGGGCATGACTTTGCCATCTACAGTTGATTTAGGTCCGCCTTTCGACTGTCCTCTACCTGCTCAAGATCCAGTGCAAGGATCAGCACAAGACCATTCATTTCCACCTCTCACCGACCCGCAGTCAACGCACGGGTCCCATTTTGGAGATGGCAAGAAAATCCCGATGTTCGGTCCGGAGAGAGTGGTACTTGACAAGAGGATTGCTGCGGTTCATCGACAGGTGTTGGTGGATATGCTTTGGATTGGACTGGTTTGGGGGTGCTTGTTTACTGTGCTTTTGTTAGGCGTTCCGGGGAGGAGGTGGTAATGCTCATGTGGGTTGAAGGTTTTTGGTTTGCTGTAGTATAGTATACCATGTCTTGGTTCGTACAGTCTATCAAAGGGTTATTCATGATGATCATGTTGAGCGCACAGAATGAACGTTGAAATTGTTGCGCTCGGTGACCAGGCATGGCCGCGCCTTCAGCCTGCATAGCTTGTTCGAGGAACTAAGTGAGAGATTTACGCCGTTGTGACTTTTTCTGACATTGTTCGTTCGCAGCAGCGTCCAGGTACGGTAGAAAGTGATTATGGATCATTTGGGCGCGATGAGAGCGCAGACCTCGATTGAGCCTCCGAGGGTCAGGGGAGGTCTTAGCCTAATATTTAGACGTATTATGTTCTCCTCGCATGTTGTGCGAGACGACCAGTAAAAATTGAAGAAGTTGTTATTTGTCACAAAGTCTCCACTGAAATCGGTTCCGACACCACACATTGTTATTAGCAGTGTTGCATGTGGCGATTCAAACCAGTGACAAAAGCGCATACGATGACAGGAAAACCTTACCCTTGGAATCATGATCAATCATGACAGTCGCGCTCATGGTGATGCAAAGGGTCTCCGAAACACTCCGAAGCAAGCTACAGGCGGTTCTAGGTGACATCGACGTCGGTCCAAAGCCAAACCTTCTAGACATCAAAGATGTCACGTTTCGAAACATCAAAGTTACTGTGAGGAGCGCAGTCGACGTCATGAGGTCTTTTTCATCGGTCAGGTGTATAGTGGGCACAAGTTGCGGTACATCGAGCATCTTGCAGTGAGAGTTTATTTTCTACTCTCCAGCCTTATGTGCAAGAATTCGAAACCGTTGCAGTGCATAGTAAGTTCAAGCGAGAGTTGCTATATACGGGTACATGATAAAGAGCCCGATCCTCGATCAGGATGCGGGGAAAGGGGTACATTCTCGGCTGGAGACTGGAGGCTGTGGGAGCGTTCATTGAGAAAAGCATCATCTGCCATTCCCTGAGAGCGTTGCCTTCCTCAACGGGTGTTGCTGCGCATCGAATGTGAACCCCTTCATGAGTACTGCGCATCCCCGAGTGCTACACCACATATAAGTCTCCGCCCGTGTGGCCTCGTTCGTTAGCAGCTGCTCTCTTCAGCTTCATCGACTAACAAGACATGTCTGATTCCAAATACCGAGCCTCGACGCCCAGTGATTCAGGTTCTCGTGGGAATGTCGTGGATCATACATCCCCGCACGGTTAGTTCTGTCATCCTCCTTCTTGCTGTATTTCCCCGCCCCCTTTCATTTACTCCCGCAGTCCTTTTGACTCATTCCACCACTGCCTCGTGTGTTCTAATAGTCTTGGCTTTAACGTGCTACTACTTATTACAATTGCCTGGTTTATCTCTTGAACCAACTTGTTGACTGACAACATGGCTTCCTCAGTGACCGATGACCGTCCTACCACTCAGGGTCCCAGTGTAATCAAGAGATCCAATGGTGACACTACTCACGTCATCAAGGTCCAACCATTGAAGCGTAGCGAGATGCAGGTACGTTTTTGGCCATTCTTGTTACTCTTGATGTCGTCTGACATCATCCGTAGCCTTCATATGCACAAGATTTAGGCACTGGCGAAGTCACCCATGGAGTCTATGGTTCCCTGCTCCAAGTATTAGGAAGTTGTGTGGGATTCTTAGGTGCAGTCCCTTGCTGCCCATGCCCCAACCCCTTCAGGAACGTCCAACAAGGCTCCGTCGGACTCGTCTCCCGTTTCGGTCAGTTCTACAAGAGCGTTGACCCAGGCTTGGTCCAAGTCAATGTCTGCACCGAGAGTCTGAGGGTAGTGGATGTCAAAATCCAGATCAGCCCTATCGGGAGGCAGAAAGTTATCACCAGGGATAACGTCGACGTCGATATGTATGTTTTCTCCTTCGCTCCCCTTGTGTCCAGTGCGAGTACTGACTTTCTCATTCAGTGACTCCGTCATCTACTTCCAGATCACGAACCCCTACCGTGCCGCCTTCGGTATCTCCGACCTTCGCCAAGCTCTCATCGAACGAGCCCAAACCACACTTCGTCACGTCGTCGGTGCACGTGCCGTCCAAAGCGTCGTCACAGAGCGCGAAGCCATCGCGTTCGAAATCGCCGAAATTGTCGGCGACGTCGCAGACAAATGGGGCGTCGCCATCGAAGGTATCCTCATCAAAGACATCATCTTCTCCCCCGAAGTCTCCGCTTCCCTCTCCTCAGCCGCCCAACAAAAGCGAATCGGTGAATCCAAGGTCATCGCCGCTAGAGCAGAAGTCGATGCTGCTAGATTGATGAGACAGGCTGCGGATATCTTGGCTAGTCCGGCTGCGATGCAGATTAGGCAGTTGGAGGCTTTGCAGACTATGGCTAAGACTGCTAACTCGAAAGTCGTTTTCGTGCCGATGCAGTTGCAGAGTGATGTCGTGAGTCAGATGGCTGCTGCCCCTAGTGGGTACCAGGGTGAAGCTTCAGGATCGGGGCTGAGGGAGGAGACGGGGGAAGGGTTGGGCGCTGCTGGGAGAGCGGGTTTGTTGAATAGCATCTCTGATGTTTAAGACCTGTTCTTCCCCATCTCGCCTCGTTCGCCTTTCCTTTCCTATCTTTGTATCCGCTTTGAATTCTCTCTCGCGTCACCCATGCCTACCACCTTGTTACGATACCCTTTTCTTACGCTACGATTGTGTCTCGTAATGTCCCATTATCCTCCCTGTTGTAGTTATTATTCTTGTCCTCTTTACGGACTGCTCGATTTTGTTCGTTGTACTTGCTGGAGTTCTCCCTTGGATGGATGGATGGATTACCTTGTAACCTTGTGCGTGTACATTAGCTTTCCAGTCCCAGCTTTTGTACCTCATGCACGTCAACTTGAATTCCTGTTCGTAAAACAACCCATCGAGTGCAAGTAATAACCTATGTTATACGTAGGGTCCTAAGCGTATGGTCTATTCGTTTGTCTATTCCAACGTCACGTCCATTATCGATCCATTAGATATTTGTAGAATTATCACTTGCAATTATTCGAGGGGGAGATGCAGTTTGCACATGTTCCTGCAGAGACTACTGTATCCTTAGGCGGCGACCAAAAAGAAAAAGGACCTTCCCCATTACTGTATTATTGTGAAGCATGCATATCAACAAGAGGATGCATAAAGTGGGACAAAAGGAAATTTCCACTGAATGACCACCGCAGGGGTCGAACCTGCAATCTCCTGATTCGTAGTCAGACGCGATGCCATTTCGCCAGGCGGCCATGCTTTTCATTATCAAAAACAAATTGTACAACAAATGCGAATCTCTCAACATACATATTCTTATAATTCTAGCCTCTAGGTGCCGGTGGCAAATAGGTGGTAATACTATGCCTAGCAACTTGCAAGAAACGACCTTCAGTATACAGCGACTGTATTGAGACCAATAGCAGACGACTTCCTCGACAAAGGTCGATTCTTCGTCACTGGCACTCCTCCAACCTGGACTCCCAGACCATTCAGGTTGCTGGCAACGTTGTCGAGAACGCTGCTCACGGCGGAGAGGTAGCTTCGAGTGGAGTTGGCACGAATGCGAGTTTGGCTGGTGGGCTAGAGTGTTATGATAGAATAAATTAACCGGTGTCGTCATGAATTAGGCAAACGGTCTGGCATACCTTGATATAAGTGTTCCCGGAAGTACCCCCAACAAACCACTCATTTGAAGCAGGGTTTATTTCAACCCAGTAACTGAAATTTTCTCCGGCGCTGACAACCTGAGAACCGCTTCGACCCTTGATGCTAATGCGAGGCCTCAAGGTTGAGTCATTCCCGTCGAAGAAGCCGTGACCATTAGAGCCGGTGCTATTGATGCCGCTGTTGAATGTTCCATTGGACTTAGGTGAGAGAGGAGTGCGGAGGTGGCTTTCCATAACAGAAAGCAACTCTCGCTCGGCTTGATCGCAGCTTGTTCCATAGGGAAGGGTGAGTACTAAGACTGCGAAAGTGCTTCCCTCCTACACGACAGGAGATGCTATGTAAATATAGGGAAGACTTAGCAGCCTCAAGGTGAACGTACCGTGTAAGTGAACTTCACTTGATAGTTCTTGTTAATCAACTGTTCGGCGATATACTTGACACCTTGGACAACATTCTCAGCGAGTGCAAAGGCCAAAGTCGCAGTGTAGACCCTCTAAATACCCAGTACTCCATCAGCACTTTCATACACATCGGTAAAAACATCCGAATTCACATACCTCGCGTCGCTCAATTTCAACCTTTGGCAAATGAACCACCACAGGTGGTACCTGATCATGAGTCGTATTTATGACCGTTGCGTTCAAGTTCAATCTCGGTTGGACTGGGACCACAGATCCTTGAAGCACAATCGTAGTCTCAGGTTGCAAGCTCAACAAGTCCCCTTCCCATACAGGTTGAACGTTGGAAAGATCTCGGTCAATGAGTTGACCTTCGGTATAGTTGCCAATATCAATGTATGCGCGTAAAAGGGGGGTGAATGTGTCTAAGATGGAGAGCCCGTTGCTATAAAGGGAGAACGTTAAGAAGGGGGCACGCAACGTTCGAGAAAAAAATAGGAAGGCGACGCACGGGACGTTGCGGAAGACACTCGTAGGTATCATTGTCTCATTAGGTTGCTCTGCGTCAGTGATGAAGCCTAGACCAATGTTCGCAGCTTGCCCCGTGAGGTTAGTCGCTTTTACGATATCGCCAATAATAGAAGTAGGATCCTATACGTAAATCAGCAAATGACTCTCGGTGGAAGGGCCAGGAACATGGATAGTCTGGTTACGACATACAGAGAAGTAAAAGACCGGCGGGCGAACATTAGTCTCCACGTTCAACGTCGTTTCCTGTCCAACCTGGATAGGCACATAATTACCAGCGGTGACAACTCTGCGTCCTCCGATTTGAGCACTACAGAAGCCAGGACTAAAACGAGACATTAGGGCAATAGTTTTGGTGAATGGAGGAAGACGCACGAGTTCACGAATGTAGTGGTCAAGGATGAGTAGCCATGGGCCGAAAGTGTCGCAGTTCTGTGAGATACCGTACTTCGTTAATGTCTTATGAAGTGCGGAAAAGTGTCGAATACGGACTTCCAAGCAATGGGGTATTGCTTAGCTTTCAATCCATTGGCATCGACGCGGGTACCAGGGACAGCGTCGATGGTCTCCGAGGTAGCGAAGCAGAGAACGAGGTTAGCGTTTTCGCCAAGGTCAGAGCTAAGATACAACGATCAGCATGAGTACACGAGCATTGCATTAACTAAACGGGATGTACCTTTTGAAAGTCAGGGTACGGGTGGTCATTTTGGGGTGATTGTATTGTTTAGAATGGAGAATGTGCCGATGCTAATCTTATTCGAGGATGTGTCGGATGGATCAGCACGTTTGAAGGCCAACGGCTTATATACCTTCGAGACTAAGTCTAAGTCCGCTCTGCGTTCCAGGTGAGGTCTGTTGCCCTGGAGTATGCCAAACATTGAACGCCTCCAATCATGCTGCCAACGGCACCACAGGTTCTCCGAGGCATAAAGACAGCAAGGGAAGGACGTAGACGTCCATGCGTGACGGATGGTCCCTGCAATATTGATGAAAGTACTCGTTAGTGAAGATATGCCAACGGACTTAAGTTCAAAATTGTTCCTAAATGTCCACATACCTTGTTCATCGGTTCAAAATGGAACCGAACAGTGTACCAAGGGAACGACAGGCACTGGCGGAGCACAATGTCTCCGATGGCCTGACACATACAACGCGCGATCTTGAGCTCGCGTAACTGAGCCCCGGGATGTCCCTGGTCTAGAGCCTGCTATGATTGAAGGACCGAATTAATGCACGTCAAGTGGGTCACATTCATATATCATATACTTGACAACAGACCTCGTGCTGTTGGACACTGGTCAAAGTTAGAAAGACGAACGACAAATCTGAACCATGAAACCGTAGTCCCGATAAGGCTAAGCCTTTAGAATCACACAACGCCAAACAAGCAACTTAACTCGAGGTCGCAAAAATATTCCATTACAACAATCCGTATTCACAGACAAGCTTGAGTGAAGAGCAGTAAATATACATATGTAGGGAAGGTCGAGACTGAATGCAAGCCACCCAGGTAGTAATCGAGTGTAACACGAACTAGCCAAAACACCATACGATGGGGGAATATGCAAAAAGGGTGAAGCGTCTGGGAAGTGAAAACTGAGTAGTGAAAGAGTATAAAAAGGTGCAAAACGTCAATAAGGAGAACAACAACAGATAACAACAAGGAGCCGAGGTGTGACAAAGTGTATGGAGACGGAAAAAGCAGGCGGCCGAGCAAACGAGGAAGATTATGAATCGGAACCCTAAGTTTCGTTTATGAACAATGTGTACGAGCGTGTGGGGGAGTATATGACGCAGATAGATAGATGGGGTACCGAGAGGAAGGGAAGCGTAAGGCGAAGACGTCCGAGGGAAACTATGGACCGAGACAAAACTATGCAGCAGGGGTAAAAGTAGAAGAAAAAGGGCAGAAACGATATTGAGGGATGTTCATAGGATAGTACATGCATGAGCCACAATAATTTGATTGACGTGTGATTGCAGAGGATATGACGATGTTGCTTTGTGCGTATGCGTACGACAATAATAAGGGACTTCATCCCGCCCGACTAGCCTCTATGTTGGCGGAAACCGATGAGAACACATGGGAATTGAGATTGCTGAGGTGATGAGGAAGATGGTGCTGGGGGTCATTGATATTTTCAGCACTGGGCTGATCGGGTATCGTAGAATGAGATGGTGAGATGCCAAATGGAGAGAAAGTCGACGATGCAGAGTTGGAGCCCGGTGAGAAACCAGCTGACGGTGGTAGGCCATACCCCTGCGAGTTGGCTCTAGGAAGAGCTGCTGTCGAGCTGGGGAGCGGTGCATTAAATGCCCCAGAATTGGCAGTCGGGGCGTTGAAGAAACGCGGAGGAGGAGACGACATAGTGTAATGGTAAGATGAGGTAGGGGAGGTCATGCCTCCGGAGGTGTCGCGGCGGATATGTCTAATGCTGTCTATATCTCCTTGGCGCTGAAATGCATCACCAAAGAACGGCGTGGATTGGGGTCCGTTGAGTGCCTGTGGTTGACCAATTTGCTGCTGCTGCTGTAAGCTTTGTCCAGTGCCTCCACTTGTGGGAGTTCGAACACCAAGAGGGTTCTTACTGTACGAGAGACGAATGCCTCCGCCCTTGACTAGCCCGTCAAGAGTGTGGCCGTACAGTTCCTTCAGAGCTTGCGTCGCATAAGCCACGTCTTCAAACTATAGAAAGATCAGTAAAGCGCATAAAAGAAAGCACGGGTGCACAAACCTCGACAAAGCACATAGGCCCGTTACTCTTTTGCCTAAAGCAAAGCTTACGGTACCCAGGACGCTTGGAAAACAGGTCCCTCAATCGTTCTTCGAGGATCGTGGGAGGTGATCCACCGGAGGCAGGTGACGTTGGCAGATTGCCTACGTACAGGGTATTAATCGGAGGGTTCTGATCACCAGGGTTCCTTCCTGTGGCTGAGCTGGCACCGCTTGCGGGGGAAGGTAGTTGCGGACTTGTATTTCCCTGGCTCGTACTTACAGTCAGAGCATTGACGGCCCTGGCAAGATCCTCATCGTGACCATTCTGCGATCCAATCACACTACCGGCACTTGAAGCAGGCAATGAGGTGCTTGGCAGTTGCTCACAGGAGGGGGAAGACGCGCGTGCACGAGGTAATGAAGAAGAGGTTGATTGAGGAGAGAAGGGTGCACTAACGCTAGTGGGCAAAGTACTGTCATTCTGCGAGGACGCAGAGGTTGGACCAGACGGAGAGCTGGGAACGGTCTCGCGAGTCGGCGGCGATTGCTCCGGAGAAACAGACGATGGACGATTCAGCGAGGTACTAGTAGGAAGGTTAGGCGCGGATATCTTCCTCAGAGCCGCGCTGGCACTAACATCCCGAAGCGAACCCCAAGGTGCGATGCTTGAGCTCACGTTGTCCTGTGGAAAACCCATCCCATACCCAGTACCGTTGGGATCCGGGATGCCGTTCTCGGCGGACAACAGCGAATTAGCACCTTCACGAACCATCTGCTGTGGGACCGAATGGAACGCCTCGAATGCGTACGAGTTCTGCCTCAATCTGACAGCTTCCTTTCGTTTCTTCTCCCTCTCGCGTTCGTCTTCTTCAGCACGCTCTCTCGCCCCACGGGGTCCGAAGGCCATAGAACCAACCATACCAACATCTGAACGACGGCGCTCCTCTTCTTCGACAAGCCTGTCTCGGCGAGTAGGAAGACCGACGCCTATGGCGCCCAAAACGCCAAGCTCCCTGTCTCGCTGGTTGAACGCTTCCGTCGGCTGGTTGGCAGCGGCAGCCATAGACATGAGATTGCTAAGAGCAGCAACGTTTGCCAAACTCTCGGAATTAACGTTGGCCATGTTTCCTAACGAGGCCGACGATCCAACCCCAGGTCCACGCTTGGTATGGAGATTCTTCTTAGCCATCTCCGCCTTCAAGACAGAGCCTTTCTCAAGGTCAACGCGACGGCCCTGGAGAGCATCGCGTGCGTCGAGGGCCTCTTGACGAGTGCGGAACTTGGCGAAACCAATGATCTGCTTGCGTGGTGGCTGGAGGGTTGGAACGAAGTGACCGTCGTCCGTTGGCGGCATGGGCGCTGGCCACGACGTTGTTAGTCCATCACGACCGTTATCAACGACAACGCCTCCTTGGTTAACGGTGACGATATTGTAAGGGTCATTTGAACCGCCGTACTGGAAAGGGATGCTACCAGGACGGGCGCTTGTATTTGTACCCGTGGAACCATAAGCGGCAGCTTCCTTATTAGGGATCTTCAATGTTGCTGCTTCGAAGCCTGGGCAAAAGGTGAACATATTCTGGAATTCGCGTTCCTGCAAAATAATTCAAGTTGAAGCGGAAGCGATAAGATAAGAGAGAAGAAAGAAGAAACGTCAGTACTTAGTCTAGAACGCATTCGATGTAGACGTACCGTCATGTCATCTGGGAAACCGACGACAAATATGGTCGAGATCTCCTCCGTCTGCTGTTGCTGTTGGCTGTCCCGAGCGGAACCGTTGAGATGCGTCACACCAGGTGCGCCACTCAACGGTGTGCCTTGCCCAGCCCCAGACAACGAAGGACCGAACGGTGTCTGGCCTGGCAATGGACCATGATGTCCGTGAGAGAGACCATGCGGACTTTGGAACGGCTGTGAACCAGCCTGAAGCTGCGACTGCAACGTCATTGAACCATCGCGCATCAACGCCAGATTCATAGCGAGAGGGTTCTGCTGCTTGCCCAAAAGAGCTGCACCAGATTCCAAACCCATCCGATATGAATCGAGACCGCCGAATGCTCCGGCCTTGGATTGACCGTTTGGCAGCAATCCTTGATTAGCCTGGGCACCAGCCATGGCGAAGTCGAATGGTCGTCCTTGGTTATGCATCGACTCGAAGGACGAAGGCTGTTGAGAGCTGATGGAAGGTGGAAGGGTATTGGTCACAAATATATCCGATTGCGACTGGGAAAATTGAGGTGCAAAGGACACAGTGGCATTGTCACGGGAAAAGGAAGCCGGGTTTCGCGAGCGAGAATTAGAGAAAGATGCAAAGGATGCTGACGATCCTCGGAGCGGGCCCGAGAAACCATTTGCTTTATGCTGTTGATTAAGCGAATCGTGCTCGCCGGAAGGTATAGAAAAGTCGGACGAGAGAATAGGGAGATTGTTCATGCTGTTATACACGGGATGAGATGGTGTGGTATTTTGCGTATTGGGACTGAGTGAATCTGCACTGAGAGGAGGAGATCTGAGGTAGTTCGGCAGGATACTGCTGTGAAGTGAGTCAGGAGTATGAGAAAGCTGCGGAATCTTGTATATGATCAAGAAAACTCACCTAGCACCAACAACCGATGACATGGCAAACGAAGTCGCCGGCGGTGGATTAGCCTCCGAGTCAGAGGAGGAGAGGGGCTCTGCGTCGGCCTGAGCGTCCAGGCTATCCAAAAGAGAGCGGTTGATAAACTCCTCGTCCGCGGGAGCTGTCGGAGGGAAAGTTGGAGCACGACGTGGGGCAACGGAGGCAGCCATCGACGTGGAAGATCGAGAGGGTGTGCTTTTGCAATAAGAGGTGGGCAATGAAACAGTTGAAGACGAGAGACGAGAGGCAAAAGAGAGATTCAAAACATCAACAGCCGGACGGCAACAAGGACAGCGAAGCAGGAAAACGCGACGATCTGCTGTTACAGATACAGACAGAGAGTGACTAGACTTATTGAGGCGGGATAAGGTATGAGGCGGACGAGCCAATCGACGACGACGTGCTTTGAAACGGTGTAAACGCGACGCGTGAGATGTGCTTAGTCGGACGCGAATAGGGCGTGAAGCTCGAGGACAAAATATGCTGCGCTCTGGGGACTAAGCAGCAGAGACCGTTGTTGACAGCGAGGAGGACGTCGAGGATGGTGAAGACGACGGTGCGCTCGCTGTGTGGGACGACGAGCAGAGGGTCTGGGATGCGATCGAGCGATGATGGGGGAAGAACGGATGCGGCCGGCGGCGTGAGTGGGCAGAAGCCCTAACGCGGGGTTATCGTATTTGCAGCTGTTTGTAAACGAACCACACGCACAGACCACTTGCAAATAACCGAAAACAGAACGCAAACCTTAACCCTACGAGCACGTGACGACAACACTGCCGCCGTCGTCAGCGAAGGCGAGCAAGGTCGTCGTCATTGTTCCCGGTGAAGGTCGCGTTCTGCACAATGGCCAGACGACTTACCTGACGATCCTATCCATTGTGAGCACTGACTGCAAAGATACAGCAATGTGACCCCCTCCAGGCATTGTAGCATAGATAGCCCGACTGAGCCAACAGTAGAAGAGAAGACAGGAGACTAAGAGCAGAGGCCATTGTGGTCTGGTCGTTGTGATGGTTCGTTTGAAAGAGAGGAGGGAACAGGAGCCAAAGCAAAGAAGCAGCGCGTGTCCACGCGAGCCGGCCTGGCCTTTCACGGTGATAATGTAAAAGCTGTGGCTGCCGATTGGACAAGTCTCCAGCCACCGTTGTCTTCAATAGCGTGTCTTTGTATTCGCGACACAATTACACCCAGTTGTTATACTAGGTACAAAAGCAATCCAGGGCTCCATGCCTTTAAGGCTTCTTAACTACCGCAATCTCGTAAAGTAAATCAATCCAAATCCAAATATTCTCCAGAAATCCTCCCACTGCGCAGATCATGAGAAAACCAGCGTGCACGGCACACTGAGGTCCGACGTCAAATGAATGCATAAACGTCGTCAGAGGTCGTCAGCAGTCATGTCCAAGCGCCAATCAATCGTTCCGACTACGAAAAGCGTATTTGAGAAGGGTTCTCTTTCTAGTGATGTAGATAAATGTCAGTATATGCTCAGACCTCAAGGCAAGCGAAACGCCCCCAAAACCCTCAGCTTCTCACCTCATATTACGCATCGCCGAGCGCGTATGTCCATCATGGACCAATTATTACGTGGTACCTCGCCTCCAAACCCATCGCCATCCCTGCTAGAGCCATGATTACGACGGCCCAAGCAACAGCCCCGACAAACCGCCAGCGTGCTCTGGAAACAGCTTCCACTAAAGAGTGATCTGAACGAGGATCGTAGTAAGGCAGCACATGTGTTTGTCGCTGAAGAAGTGGTGCGGGAGTGGGGCCGTAAGGTTGGTGAGTACTGCCAGGTGGTGGTGAGATGGGTTCAGCGAACTCTGAGTACGCCGGCGGAGGTGAAGATGGTTTCGAGGGCGGGATGAGAGGCTGTTGCGAAGAGCTCATGCTGGCATCTGGTCGAGGTTCGTTTGCCTGCTGCTAGAGGCGTTGGAAGCAGCACACTTCGATCGGCTGCTAGCTTAATTTTGTGTAAACGCATTTAGCTTGCGATGATAACGTCATCAAGACCCTAACCTAAGGAAAGCATAGAATTACGTTCATCGTCAACTGGCGGGTGCAGAATCAGCACTTGTGAAGTTGCTCAGTACTGTAATGCAGCTAGCACTATAGCATGTGCTAGTACGATAAGATCAGGCTCAGCAAGAGACTGTGTATCGCGTCCAATTACCCAGACCTAACCGGCCTCCAACTGGCCTACCTATTGCGAAAGAAAGTGCCAACTAGTTCAACCCTCCGAGCAAGAACATACAGTACGTAATGTAAGTGAATGCCCCGTCTCTTTTTGAATATTCGGAATTCCTCCTAGAGAGCCACAACTACGTCCCGTAGCCGAGCCCCGAGGATCTGTCAATTGAGTTTGACAGACACAAGACAAGGGTACTTAGACCAAGGACAGCTGCAGTAGTGAAGGTAACAACTTTAAGCTGGGCAACAGCATAGGGAAGCAACCATGCTAGAGCTGAGTGAGCTTGGCGGGGTTTGGTATCTGTAGTTGGTATCCGTCACGAAGTTAGACTGGGATTGACCAACACGATGGAGTGGACAGCCGCTCGAAGCGCATAAGTGTCATCCTGGTGTGATCTAAACAGCTCTGGGATATGCAAGCAGCGACATGCGGATAATACAGCAAGTTCGGAGAATTGAAGTCGGAGAACATTAGTCACAGATGCCTGAAATATGAGAACAGCCTACGACATCAAATACCATATCTAAACATCATCAGTACATTCTTCGGAAAGTCAGCAAATACGTGCACAGTTGAATAAAATTGTTATGTGCAGTGTTTTCTCACATATCGCTCCGTTTGTCTGAGCGGTCAAGTATACGTTTCCACCTTTATCCGACGGAATCATCGAACCAACGGTTTTCCTACGAGTTTCATTTTCGACGATTGATATTCGTCCTGCTGGCACATCCATAGCCTGGGTGGTAGTTGCTGTTGTGAATCGTAACGATAGACAATGAAAGCCCGCAGAGTGGACTGAGCTGATTATCCTTGCATCTTCATTTATTATGCCGAGCTTTAGGAGTTAAGATATGTGCAACTTACCGAGCAAAGATATATGCGACATGTGCTGAAGTGAACATATTGCTCTTGAGGATACGGATCTCCTCTGAAAGGGATATAACACCATCCCATATCAAAGAATGAACACAGTTCAAGATCTTTTTTCCACAGTCAAGGATAAGGAATGGACCTATCCCGGAGACTGCAAAGAAGAGCCTGATGGATTCATAGTGGGGCCACATCCAGAATGTGAGAGTGGTTAGTGGGTTTGGCAGAGGTGAGCATGAAAGAGTACCACTGGTCACTACTGGTTGAGAACGTGCGCAGGTGAAGGGGAGGGAGTGCGCATTGTCCATAAGTACACCTATGGCAGTGGTTGGGATCATAGAAGTATCAGTTACGGAGACATGTAATCGTTCATGGTCAGTATAACGTACTTGAACACAACGTGCTTAGACAGATAGCTTGATCTTTCACAACCGACTGAAGGCAGCGCGGAATCCCTGGGAGCGACTAAAGTACCAAAACGTCGTACATTTCCGAGCGGTACGACTACGGAGCGTAGGAGGAAATGTAATATGAACCTGCAGCAGCCAAAACATTAAACGGTGTGAAAGAGTTTCAGAAGTACGCCATATGTAGAGTAGTCAACCTTGATCAATGATAGGCTGAGGCCAACACAAAGTAGACAGAAAGAGTCGCGACAGCCAATAGATAAGGAGAATATCGTCAATATACCACACTGCGGGAGCGACCTTGTAACGACTTCAATGTTGTGATGAGGGCCCCCGTTAGAAAGTTCATCTTGCGTTAGAAGGCCGGAATCATTCTGCTCGTCACTGCAGCTGCCGAAGACGATATCATATGCTTACATAATCAGCCAAGTTTCCCATTTTGGGTGAGACCAGTGTCGACGAAAATTCTTCGACATCAAGGACAACGACGAACTCACTCTCAAAATGGCCCCCAACGTCATAGCACACGATGATCTCGAGGATGATATTGACTACTCCGATATTGAAGCAAAGTATGCATGAAACCTACCGCCCTTCCTTGCTATGTTGACGTACGTGCTTGTCCCCAGATACCAGGTCGAATACGACGAGGGCCTCGACAATGTCGTTGTTGTAGATGGGGTTCCTGTTATTGATGAATCAAAAGCGGAGAAACTGCTTGCTAGAGTGGCGAAAGAGTTTAGCAAAAAGGGTGCTCCCGTGAAGGTAGATAATATGATTATTCCTTGGGATGAGAAGACGGGTAAAAGCAGAGGGTATGTTGTTATTATTCCACAGTAATTCGCTACTTATTCCCATATCACCCCTTAGGTTTATTGTCGTTGAGTTCAAGAGTCCAGAAGATGCGGCGTACGCAATTGGCGTCATGCATGGACACCCGTTCGATTCCAAGCATAGATTCTCACTCAACCGATTCACCGATATCGAGCGTTATGCGAACCTTGATGAAACCTACGTAGAGCCTGAACCAGAACCATACGTGCAAAAAGTAAGGTTTACTGTCGCTATCTCTTGACACAATACTCAGTTTTTCCTGCAGGAACATCTTCGTTCATGGCTGGCTGATCCCCAAGGTCGCGACCAATATGCGACTTACCGCGGAGATGAGGTGGAGATTCACTGGCATGGCAAACCTTCGCAATGCGAGGTAGCACACAATCGACTAGTGCGTACAGCCTTTCAGTTAGCATTGATTATGAGTTCGACTGACTGTACAACAGAACTGGACCGATCTCTACGTTTCCTGGTCACCACTTGGAACCTATCTTGCCAGTTTGCACCGACCGGGTGTGCGTCTATGGGGTGGTGCCTCATGGTCTGGCCTTCAACGATTCGCGCATCCTCTGGTCCGACTTCTCGACTTTTCACCGAATGAAAACTACCTTGTTACTTGGTCCCACGATCCTATTGTTGTCCCTGAAGGCGCGCAGCAAGGGCCTCAGTTCTTCTCTCCAGAAGACGAGGGCAACAATATCGCCGTTTGGGACATCAAGACCGGCAACCTTCTGCGAACATTCCCTTCGGTATATCCTGAAGGCGAAGATGCCTCAAAGAAGCAACAATTGCAATGGCCGGCATTGAAGTGGAGTCCTGATGACAAATACGTTGCTCGTGTAACACCTGGTCAACAAATCAGTGTCTACGAGTTGCCGAGCATGGGACTTGTCGACAAGAAGAGTATCAAGATCGAGGGTGTGATTGACGTCGAGTGGTGCCCGCTTGGAGACAAGGACAAAGAGGAAGAAGCAAAGTTCGCTGCTGGCAAGAGCAATAAGAAGCCTAGGGAGAATATGTTGGCGTATTGGACTCCGGAAGTCGCCAACCAGCCTGCTCGTGTCACTTTACTCCAGTTCCCGAGCCGGACGATTCTGCGACAGAAGAACTTGTTCAACGTTTCGGAGGTTTGTTTCTGTTATCCTCATTAATCGCAGTGATATATTAACATATCACATACACTCAGTGCAAACTCTATTGGCAAAACCAGGGAGATTTCCTGTGCGTCAAGGTTGACCGTCACACGAAGACCAAGAAGTCAATATTCTGTAACTTGGAGATCTTCATGGTACGGGAAAAGGACTACCCCGTCGAAGTCGTGGAGCTCAAAGGTGCGTAGCATATGGTGCAATTTAACTTCGCATACTGAATTTTCATCTGCACGTAGACACTGTGACCGACTTCTCGTGGGAACCAAAGGGCGAACGATTTGCCATTGTCTCCACGAGCGATCCCAACTTCGGCAACCCTGGTCCTGGTATCACTCTCAAGACTGATGTCAGCTTCTACGCTCTTGAGCGAGGCAAGGGCGACTTCAAGCTTCTCCGCAGTCTGCCAAACCGAACGAGCAACACTATTCGATGGTCACCCAAGGGCCGTCACGTCGTTTTGGCTACCGTTGGATCAACGACCAAGTCAGAATTGGAGTTCTGGGATCTGGACTTCCACCATGATGACACTGGCAAGCGGGAAGCGCATAAGGATGAATGGGGAAGCGGCATCCAGCACTTGGGTACCGGAGATCACTACGCTGTCACCGACGCTGAATGGGATCCAAGTGGCCGATACCTCGCGACGAGTGCCAGTGCATGGAGGCATACGGTCCGTTTCTCACCTGTTTTTGAAACCAGTGGTTACATCTGACAATTTCTTTCTGGCTATAGATCGAGAACGGTTATGCTATCTGGGACTTCCGTGGTCAAGAACTCGAGAAGCATATTCTTGATCGATTCAAGCAGTTCCTCTGGCGGCCAAGACCAAGAACGCTCCTCACCAAGGAACAGCAACGTCACATCCGCAGAAACCTTAAGGAGTACAGTAGACAGTTCGACGAGGAGGATGCTGCAGAAGAGAGCAACATCAGTGCCGAGCTCATCGCTCAACGGAAACGTCTCGTCGACGAGTGGAATGCTTGGCGGCTGCATTGCAAGGAGGAGTTGGGGACAGAGCGTGGCGTCGTCAAGAAGCTCAAAGAGCCACAGGAAGAGGAGGAAGAGAAGGAGGAGATTGAGGTCTGGATAGACGAGGTCATCGAGCAAATCGAAGAGGAACTTCTCGAGTGATCTCGATAAATTCGCTGCTTGCACGATTTACTGTTGTACCTACCCCGCTGTTGTTGTTATGTCTCAATGTTTTTCTTTGGTGCTTCAGGTTCGGTCAGGGTGGGTTAACGAGTGGAGAATATTTATGAATTGTATCAATATGAACAACGAAAAGGTAAGGAAGGTATGTACGTATGTATGACATAGTAAGAGCCAAATGAGTGAATATGTGCATCCGAAAAGTCTAAGTATGCCACCGATAACAACAAACAACAAGGTATGGTGAGTATATACGTATGTACGTACGGCGCTTTCTATCATAAAGCAAAGCTAACCTGTATCCCCATCCTTCGCGCCAGTACTTGAAGGGAAAGGATTAGCAATAGTCGGCGAAGATAACTTCAGCTTGATCTTTTTGGGACCTTCCTCCGCTGGTTTCCCCAGCCCGGTGGCTTTCCCACTGACTTCAGGTTTGTCTTGCCCAGGACCGGTACTAAGGCGTTTCGCTTTACTAGCCAGTCGCTCGAGCAACTCGTCATCATCATCCTCTCGGTGTCGTTTCGAGCTGAGATTGACTTCCGGTGGCTTGATAGCATCTGGTAATGGCGGACCGCCTTTAGCTACCAAAGACTCCAATAGAAAGTCTTCCTGGTCCTCGCCGGGCGTTAGCGATATGGAAATGGGTTTCGAAGCTTGCTGTGATATTCGTGGACTGCTCATACGTGCTTGCGAAGGCGAAGATGGTGAAGTAGGTAACTGTCCTTGAACACCGCCAGCAGCTTTGTCCGCCTCCGCGCGGGTTGGCTCGTCAGCATCGTCGTAATCAACCAGACTGCGTAGGGGTGGTGTCCGAGCAAACGGTGGTGGCCGCTGTGGCAGAGGCAGACTTGATCCTCGCGGTCGTTTTCGTTTGAGGGTGTTCGGAGCAGCTTTCGGAAAAACTGAAGTACTGAGAACAGGCAGAATCTCATCCTCGTCGTCGTCCGTGTTGAAGTAATCTTCTTCCTCTGCTTCCATGAGTCTACCCTGGCCCCACTTCCTGATACCGATCCCGTTCGGTCTTACCCTATCGAATATAATATTCAGATTCGCGTCAACAAAGAGTTATGAACTACCACGTACAGTTCGACTTTCTCCTCCTCCTTTGGTGGCGGTTCAATGTTGATTTCCCACCGGCGTATGAATCCCTTGAACCGAGCGGAACCAAGTTGGGTAGCTGCCAGGGCTTTGACCAAGTCTTCATGTTTGGTCATGCAATGGTTAATCAGCTCCTTCAAGTTTTCCTATATCAGGGATTATTAACGATGAGCGCATCAAAGGGCCGACGCAAAGAATGTACCCTTCGTATGAAGTCGAAAAGCTCTTGACATGAGGAGCTAAGGAGATTATCTCGTCGGGATTCTTGCAAGGTGAGTTCAAGAAGCGGTTTGAGGATATCATGCTTGATGAGGTGATTGAAAAGATTCCGGTTGTTGAGCCGTAGCAACACTCGGAAGAATCGGAGCGCGGCTGTCCAGCAGAAGCACGGATGAACATCAACCGAATACGTATCAGTGGGAACGACGCTTACCCAAACGAAGATGTTTATCTTTTGCTCGAAGTAAAGATGCGACTCGCACAGCAACGTTGGAGGAAAGCATGTAAAAGTGACTGCGGAAGGAATGCTGCAAGGCAAAACTTGAAAGCAGTTCGCAAAGATGTAGCAAAAGGTTTGTCCGTTCGCGAGATAGTGGCAATGACGTTTCAGTCATGGTCTTGAACTCGGGAAGGTCAAAGAAGGGTTTAAATAAGATTTCAGCGCACTGCTTATAGAAGTAATCCAGGAATTTCTCCATCGCTGGATCGTCCTTGGCGCGTTGGTACATCTTCGCTCCAAGCACAGGCTGAGGAGGGGATCAATTTCGTTCATGCACGCAGAAAGATTTGCACTCACATGAGGTTCGGTTTCCGAAGAAGGCACTTCCAGAATCAGCCTGATGTGCTCGCCGAGTTGACTCTGGATAGCCAGGTCTTTGCTTCTCACCAAGACTCGGCACAGCAGCATCAGTAGCGTTTCCCTCTCCCTTCCCTTCTCCCCTTTCTTTGCAGCCTCCTTGTCTCGTTCAATCAACCCCAACTGTTTGACAACATGTCCACGAACGCCAATCAAGTCGAACTCTAGAAGCGGGGTGAAGATATCGCCAGCAGCAGCGATCATGGCCTTGCCCTCTGGGTCCGACTCAGGTTGTGCAAAAGCCCACTGAACAAGGAACAAGATCCCTCGATCGACTAGAGTTCGGAGAAGTGCCGTCCGCGCACCAATTTGAACGTTCTTGGCCATGGCGGACAGCTGTTGAATGAGGTAGACAACTTCCCGTTTTCGCACCACATCCTCTTCCTTCGGAGCAGAAGTGACAAGGTGCAAACCATTCGGTTTTGGCGACTCGTCCGGCTCCGTCTTCACTTGCTTCTCTTTCTCCTTCGCTGGATTGCTCAGTCCTAAACTCGCGACCAGATCTTCATCCATAAACATTCCTACGACCTCTCTCAATAACTGCGGATCGGTCTGGACATGTGTAATTATGTCAATCTGGTTGAAGATGATACACGAGTTGAGCACGTTGAAAGCCGAGTCATCAATTGAGCGCGCAAGCACCACGTCCTTAAGGAACTGCAGTCGATAGGTGTGGTGTACCTTCTTCTGGATTGTTTCGTCGCGGATGGGTATGGGTTGATGGTATTGAGCACTCGTGCGAAGGAACTCGCGATAATTGGCTTTGTGAGTTGGAAACTCCGGGTCGTCTGTACATAGAGGCAGTCATTAGAATTGTGCTTACGCGTGCAGAAGCGAGTTTGAGCGACGGACATTCGAGCATGCCGACAACGCCGAAGAAGATATCGTCGTCCAGAATGTGCTCATACATTGAATGATCGTTGAGCGCGACTACTGATACCTCAGCCTAAGTACAAGCAACGAAATTGTACGAATACGCACGAATGGTTTGCATACAAGTACATAGCGCATGGAGGTTTTCGATGCTTTCTAGGTCTTCTGCCAATGTTAGGACTTCTATGAGGCCCTTGATATAGTCCTGCTAGAACGTGAAATGGAGCCTATACAGCGGCACGTGCCACCCACTTACCTCGGACTGAATGTATTCGCACACTCGCTCTTTCAAGGTCGATGTCCGAGTCAACGCCTTGATTGCTTTCTCGATCTCGCCAATGATTCCGAGCGTTGGTTGCGGTAGATGTCCTGTTCGAATAATGTTTGCGGTGGTAGCGGAACCTTCACCGAGCAAAGGCGATGAAGACAATCCGCTTTCTAATTTGGGATCCCTCAGTGAATATGAACCGTAGTACAACGTCACACTGAGCGTACCTGTTGCATTCATATGCCTTTGGACCTCCTGAATGAAATTCCATACTTCTGCACAACCCTCTGGATCCTGAAAACTGAGCGCATAATCGACTCCATCCGGTTCCGTCCAGACAATTAAAGTATCTTGAACATGATCGGAACTTGTAAAAGCTTCAATTGTGCGGTAAAACTCACCTTGTTGTCTTTGGTATACATCACTGGCACGGATAGTGGTGGAAAGGATGACATGTTGATAGTCTGCTTCCGCACGTGCAATGAGAAGGGCCTCATTCTCATGAAAGTCTCCGAAACAAAACGCGGTCCCCTGGTCAACCCAACGCGCCCCGATAAGTTCATAAACCTTGACGCGTTTGAGGTCATGGCTATCCTCGTCCATCCACTGCTGGCCATCATCGGTAGGTAGATTTTCAGAGCCCTCGCCGGTGTTAATTAAGACCATAGGTTCAGAGCCAGGGTCCCCTCCGTCAGGGCCAAGAGGACCATCCATAGCAGAGTCGAGCATCTTTTCAGCATCACTAGAGCGGCCATCCGTGCTCGGTTCAGTGTTTATAGTCAGGTTTGGCTTTTCTGCATTGTTTTCCCCAGTATTTCCAGAGGCAGCAGGGTCAGATGGGGTCGTCGTCGGAGAGGCAGGCGGTGAAGAAGATGGTTGCTGAGGGAGGGTTGATGAGTCGGCCAGAAGGATAGTTTCGGTATTGGCAGCATTGACACTGCTCATGACAAGCGCGCCCAGTGTGCAGGGTTTTGTCGACGACGACAAGAGTGTCGAGGACGACCAGCGAAGGCGGTGGGTGGTGGGTGTTGACGTCGAGGAGCGTGTTTGACCGTGTTTACGCCCGACGCGCACCTTGCCACTGGTTACTAAACTTGGCCGTGACCGCGACTGTGCCGAACAGGCGTCAGCGTGGATTCGACCCTCTCCTCGCCATCCTCCTCGTCTAGCATGGCACCCAAGCACTGGCTCATGAAGGCAGAGCCCGACTCCCGTATTGTCAAGGGAAAGGACGTCAAGGTGCTCATCTCCGGGCTTGTTATAGTGGCGTCTCGCTGAGTTTAACGATCGACACGCATCTGTAGTTCAGCGTGGATGATTTTGCAACGGTCAGCACGACTGCCTGGGAAGGCGTAAGGAATGCCGAGGCTAGGAATATCATGAAGAGCATGCACGTTGGCGACAAAGTTCTGTTCTATCATTCCAATTGCAAGAATCCTGGCATAGCCGCTTTTGCGGAGGCAAGTCCTCGATCGGGATCTTTGAGACTAAACCCTAAGCGAGCCTTATACTTTTAGGTTTCCAAGGAAGCGTATCCAGATTGTGAATGCCGTTCTTTCATATGACTGCGGAGGTGTTGACTGACGACCATAGGGCATTCATGAGATACCGCCTGGGACCCGTATGTCACTCCATACCAACCTTCGATCTCGATCGCTTAATTTGAAACGTTTAAACACAGGGACCACCCGTATTATGATGCTGTATGCGACCTTCCTTACCCTGACTGTCAAAATGTTCACTAGAAGCCGTACCTTTAGAAGACCGACAAGGCAAACCCAAAGTGGTACATGGTCGATGTGACCTTCCGCTCTCGCGCGAAGCACTTCATTCCTCTATCTCTCATCAAGCATCTGGCATCCTTGTCCTCATCTTCGGTCTCGGATCCACCTGATGAAGTAGACTACATAGGCAAAGAGGGCATGAAGGCCATCAAAGGTGCGTCCCATCACATCTGCAGCCTTTTTGTACTCTTAAGCTCCTGGTCACTTTAGAGATGGCACTCATCAATCGAGGAAGATTGAGCGTCCAGCCGGTCGAAGAGACGACATGGGCCGTCTTGGAAATGCTGGCCGAACGGGGTGGTTGGGATGATATGAATACCAAACCTTCGAAGCGGAATACCCGGAAGGTACCAGCTAAGAAGCCCCAGACTCAAAAGACGAAAGGCAAATCTTCAGCGAAAGAGGACCTTGAGGCTTTCCAGGATGAAAGCAATGTAGAGCAAATCGACGCGGGGGAAGATTATGAACCAGGACATGCGACCATCGGTAAAACGAGAGGTCGCAAACGGAAGGCGGAGACGGCGGTCGACGCCAGTAGCGAAGAGCCGCCTGCTCGTAGATCCACGAGGGCAAGGAACTGAACTAGATACCCCTTGGGTTTTTCCCGATATACCTTGTCTTCTTGCATGTTGTAGATAACAGTTCGCCATACCCTTCCACTGGCTTGATGGACCTAGTTGTTTATTGGCCTCAGTCAGACATATAAGCTGAGCATCGTCAAGTAATGCTACAGTGAGTTGATATATTGGCAAGAAGACTACACTACGGTAATTACAGACAAGACGAGTGATCGATGGGCAGCGAGAAAGGGTGGGATGGTGATAGCAAAGTGGATGCAAGCGGAAGATAGACAACGTAAAAAGAATGATAAAGAAACATAAGTGCAGACCCAACAGAGAAACATAAGAGATCATGAGCCCGCCATGATAATTACCAGACAGATTCGTAAAGCTCGTTAGAAATGCTCGACCGTGAAAGTCCATTTGCCCTCCTCAATATCGAAGCTCTCAAAGTGGGTATCCTTCATATGCTTCAATCGTTTGGTGTGTTTCATCACCAGAGGATGCTTCTCATCCTTGATCGGTTCACGAGTAGCCTTGTCCAGGGCCCAGCACCTCACAAGGATGATACGAGCACGAACGTTCAAGCCTGAACCGGGGGGTGGTTTATCCACATCTTCACAATCCGGGTACACGCTACATTCCTTGTCATCGAACCTGACCAACTCTCCCAATAATGCACCAAGCTTGGGGAGGCCAGTCAGATCAACGGGTTCTAGGAAGTGGATCTCGCCGTATCCTACGCGGCCCACGACCAATCCTTCGAAAGAGGAAAGTTCTTCGTAACTCGCCCGTTTGAGAAGTTCAAGGTCAGGCTTGACATAGTAATCGCCTTCTTGCAACTCGACCGGTTCTTGCGCTTTCTCCAGTGGCAAAGTCGACTTGGTCGGCGACCCGGCAACAGATTCTGCTGCCTCAGCAGTAAACCTATTTGTTCTTCGTGGAGTCTCCTTCGCTGGAGTGGTAGGCGCTGCAGGTCGAGTCGGCGATGTAGTAGCAGCTTCCAACTCTCGCGCAGCCACGCTGAGTGCAGCATTGAATGTGACCTTAGACGTCGGAGAGATCCCGCTCTTAGCAAAGAGATCGGAAGGCTCGACTTTCTTGTCGAGGATGAGCTTTTTGACGCTCCGTCGGCCGCCACTACCAAGTCCAGGGCTGGACACAGTACCATTCAGGAATGCCTCAGGTCCAAGAGTCTTGCCGGCCTTGCTCAACGACAGAGCATGAGGCTTGCCTGCAGCCAAAAGACCAGGTCCAGTTGGACCAGCAGTCGAAGTAGTGAAGCCACGCAGTTGTGACACAGGAGGCTGATAGTTCAGCTGAATTCTGGGCACTGGTGAGCGAGTAGGCATTTCAGTGAAGAATGCAGGCTTCTTCTTTGGCAGCTGATCGAGCGTCACGGCCCGAGGGCCAGGCGGGAGCATGCTAAAGATCGGAAGATTTGCACCAATAGGCTGAGCGATGGACGCGGTCAAGCCTTGTTGAGCTGCAGCAGGAGCAGTTGGGGCTCCGAATGTGCCGCCGAAGATTGAGCCTCCGCCGAACGCACCCGTACCAGCCTGAGTTGACGGTTGAGCACCGAGGGTACCAGCCGGCTTGCCGAACAGACCGCCACCGAAGGCACCCGTCGTTGGTTGGGTCGCCGTTGGCTGACCAAGTGTTGAACCAAACAAACCTGTCGATGGTTGTGTCGTTGTACCGGCGGCAGTCTGTCCGAACCCACCACCAAAGAGTCCCCCGCCAGCAGGAGCAGCAGGCGCGGCGGGCTTCGCACCGAACAGACCTCCACCACCAAATGCGCCAGTCTGTGCCGGCTGTTGCTGAGCCTGCTGCTGTTGAGCTTGAGCGCCACCAAACAACCCGCCTCCACCGAACAGACCGGTTCCAGCCGGCTGCGCCTGGGCTGGTTGCGCGCCGAACACTAAGATACATTAAAGTAAGAACAAACGATGTGCATGATATTATAAATTGCACTTACATCCACCAGTCTGAGCCGGCTGCTGTTGCGGTTGTTGTTGTTGTTGTTGTTGCGGTTGTCCGAACAGACCGCCGCCGCCACCGAACAAGCCACCACTAGGTTGTGTGCCTTGCTGCTGCTGAGGTTGTTGCGGTTGTGCACCAAACGCGCCAAAGCCTGTAGTTGTGGTAGATGGCTGGGTGCCAAAGATCGAGGGCTTCGGTTGAGTGCCACCTGTGTTCGAACGTTAGCTTTAGCCGAACAGTCTGATGCTAATGAGAAACACACCGAAAGCACCAAATGCGCTAGGCTGCTGCGCAGGCTGTTGAGTGGTCTGCCCAAACAGACCAGTGCCAGTACCAGTCGTTGGTTGTTGCTGACCGAATGCACCAGTACCACCAAACGCGCCGGTACCACCTGTGCCTCCTGCAGAGGGAATCAGCTCATCAATTCATGTGCACTATTGTTTCTCGAGTTACTCACCAAATGCGCCAAATGCAGGCTTTTGTTGAGTTTGCCCAAAAGCACCAGAGGTACCAAACAGGCCTCCACCAGTAGCAGGTTGTTGCTGTTGTGGCGCTTGGCCAAATGTACCGAAAGCGCTTGGCTGTTGTTGCTGTTGTTGCGGTTGAGGCTGCTGACCGAATGCACCGAATGCACCTGTACCTGTGGTGGTCTGTGGCTGGCTTGCAGGCTGACCGAATGTACCAAAGGCACCGGTGGTGGCAGGCGCAGTACCGCCAAAGGCGCCGCCGCCACCACCACCACCAAAGACGGACGTCGACGGCTGAGCAGTGGTAGTGGAGGGTTGGCCAAAGATACTCGTCGTTTGCTGTGGCTGCTGTGCAGGTGCACCGAATGCAGTTTGGCCGAATGCGCCTGCCGTCTTCCTACCTTGTGCATAGTCTTGCATTCGCAACTCCTGCAGAATGATATTAGTCACCATGATCCTCATACAGATATACAACCAAACTCGCCTCAAAGGACATGCCCCGATACGCGGGTGCGCATGTTATGCTCTGATAATGAAGTACAGCGCCCGTTGAGGGGTCCTTCTCGTCGAACACGGCATATGGTGGATTTGCTGTTCCTGTGGTTATGGGAGCTACCCCGTCATAGGGACCGGCATTAGGATTTGCTATTTGCGCCATTTATGCGCGATAATAAGAGAAAGACAAGGGAAAGGACTCACTGGCTGTTGTGCCACCAAAGGTGCTAGTAGCCGGTTTGGCCCCGCCAAAGATACTTCCACCACCTCCAAACGCACCTCCAGTACTCGTCGAAGAGCCAAACAGGCCAGTTCCAGTGCCCGTAGTGGGCGCAGGGGTAGATCCAAATGCTCCGCCACCTGTCTGGCCAAATGCTGAGGTGCCCGTTCCTCCGCCACCAAACGCACCGAAACCTGTCGCTGGTTTCGGCGCACCAAACACACTCGAGCCCGTACTCGCAGTGTTCGTTGAGCCAAAGGCCCCAAATGCTGAAGTGCCTGTGCTCGGTGTAGCGGTAGAGCCGAACATGGGGTTGGCTTGTGGTTGAGCAGGTTGGCCAAAAGCGCTTCCAGAACCAAAAGCTGCGTGACAGGTTAGCGGTGCATGCGAAAGGGGGCTTATGACTTGACGTACCTCCAGTCCCGGATCCGAAGGCAGAAGTGCTTGCTGGCTGGCCAAACGCAGAAGTCCCTTGTTGCGGTTGATTTTGTTGAGGTTGCTGCTGAGGCTGCCCCCAGGTAGATGTGTTTCCAAACATAAGGACGCCTTCGTTGTCGTTATCGTCGTGGTCGTTGTCCAAGTCGCGTTGGATTTCAATCGGAGCTTACCCTCTTAGGCTGTACTCTTTGCGGAGATTGAAACGCGACTCTGAACGATCCAGCGTCTAAATCGAGCATATGGGCGCCAATATTTTTGGTAAAGCTCATTGAAAGCTTCGCGCGGCGGCAGAGGCTGCTCTCTGGTTTGTCCTCGTCATCTTGTACAGTGACCATGCCCGACGGTTCATTTCCTCGAACCGAGGTGAAGATTAAAGATACCTTTGATACCATCCAACGGGAAAAGAACTTCAAGAATCCGCCTCAAAAGGGTCACTCAGTACCCATCCTCAACGAATTCGTTACTCCTCACCTCGAATCTTTCAACGCACTTTTCGACGACTCTGGTCTCCCTGCTGGAGATGGAGATGGTCGCGGTCTCCTATCCCTAGGTCTCAAGGACATTGGCGAGCGTGTCGTGTTTGATGGTAGAGGTGAGATCGGGAGTGTAAGCGGGCAGAGAGGATGGGGAAACCGCCTATCCTGTGTGTACTTTCATATCTCAATGTTACATCTCGTAGACTGATTTTATGCAGTTTGGTATGAGTCGGTCTCTGTAGCTCGACCTATGGTTCCTGAGAAAGACCAGCAGGCCCGAGAGCGGAGAGTATTCCCATCTGAAGTGAGTAAGAGCAATACAAACTCTGGCAGAGTTCCTCCCCATTTGTTCCCATACGAACGATGCTATGTTTTGATCTCGCGTTGAACCCGTACTTACCACTTCGCTTGCAGGCCCGCGAACGTCTGACATCGTACAGAGGTCGAATGTCAGTCAAATTATGTTGGCGGCTTAATGACAACCCAATAGAGAGCGAGACACGAGACTGTGGTCTTCTCCCTATTATGGTTCGAGTAAGTATGTGTTCCCAGGAGATATGTTCCATACGCTGAGTTCAATTCACTGTCAGTCTGTTCGCTGTAATCTGCGAGGCATGTCCTCAGCCGAACTTGTCAAACATCACGAAGAACCAGAAGAGTTCGGTGGTTACTTCGTCATCAATGGCAACGAACGTCTCATCCGATACCTCATTCTTCCACGGCGAAACCATGTCATTGCCCTCAACCGACCGTCATTCACAAACCGAGGTCCTTCCTACACTCCTCACGCTGTCCAAATACGATGTGTCCGTTCTGACCAAACTGCTGTCACAAACACCCTCCACTACCTCTCCAACGGAAATGCTATGTTTCGCTTTAGCTGGCGCAAACAAGAATATGTCATCCCAATAATGCTTATCTTGAAAGCACTTGTCGGGGCTTCTGACAAGGAGATCTTTGAGGGTATCATTATGCAAGACTACGAAAATACGTTCATGACTGATCGGGTTGAGTTGCTTCTGCGAAGTTTCAAGATGTATAGTTTGTGCACTGGTGACCAGTGCTTGGAATACCTCGGTAACAAGTTCCGCGTTGTGTTGAACATGCCTGAGGATTGGACGAATAAAGCTCTCGGTGTTTGGATTATCCAGAAGCTTGTATTGGTTCATCTGGAGACGCCTAGAGATAAATTCCGCATGCTTCTGTAAGTTGTTGTATAACATACGCCTAGATATGATCTGCTCACATTTTACTCAGTTTCATGTTGCAGAAGCTTTTTTCGGTGGTTTCCAAATCATGCACTGTTGACAACCCAGATTCTCCTCAACATCAAGAGGTTCTCCTACCCGGAAGTCTGTACGGCATGATTCTCAAGGAGCGACTGGAGGAGGCGCTCACTTCGATACAACGTACCATTGCTATAGATGTTTCTCGAGGCGAGGGCAGCGTGGACTTCTTCGATAGTGCGCCGAGTCTGTTTGATGTCCCAGATAAACTGTTCGCTGACGTTGTGATTCAGAGCGATACATCAAGAAGGTCATCGCCCGAACCAGCTATGACATTGGTGCAAAGATGGCCAACTTCCTTGCTACTGGAAACCTGGTGTCACCTACCGGTCTAGATCTCCAGCAAGCGTCTGGCTTCACCATTGTCGCTGAGAAGCTTAACTGGATGCGATACATTAGTCACTTCAGATCTATCCATCGAGGTGCTTTCTTCGCTGAGTTGAAGACCACAACTGTCCGTAAACTGCTACCAGAAGCATGGGGTACGATTTGTTCTCTCTTCACACCCAACGTCCTCGTACTAATGTAACTCGGTCAGGTTTCCTATGTCCGGTGCATACGCCTGATGGCACTCCTTGTGGTCTCCTAAATCATCTTTCTCGAACATGTCGCATTGTCACCGCTCCTCTAGCGGTCGCCCACATCCCTGCCCTCCTCGCTGCTCATGGTATGACCCAAGCCTTCAGTCCCTACATCGACGGACGACGAAACCTTTGCGTTCAATTGGACGGTCGAGTCATTGGCTGGGCTCCACCACAGACCCTCAAACAACTCGCTAGTAATCTCCGGATATGGAAAACCGAAGGCAAACATCAAGTTCCTCTGGATCTGGAAATCGGGTACGTGCCTACTTCGCATGGTGGGCAGTATCCCGGTCTGTATCTCTTCTCGACGAGAGCGAGAATGATGCGTCCGGTAAAATACCTCGCGAATGGACGTGATGACCAGATTGGTTCGTTTGAACAAGTGTATATGGATATTGCATGTACACCTGAAGAAATCGAACCGAATGTATCGACGCATGTGGAACATTCACCGACAAGCTTCTTGTCTATCCTAGCAAACCTTACACCGTTCTCTGACTTCAATCAGGTGAGTCGCAGCTGAGACGGAATATCGAATTATTTTTAATCAATCCTCTAGAGTCCGCGTAACATTTATCAGTGTCAGATGGGTAAGCAAACCATGGGTACTCCAGCAACGGCTTTGCAACACCGAACAGACAACAAGTTGTATCGTCTTCAAACTGGCCAAACACCTCTCGTTCGACCTGCCCTACACAACACCTACGGAATGGACTCGTTCCCTAATGGTACCAACGCCATCGTTGCTGTCATTTCATACACCGGTTACGACATGGAAGACGCCATGATCTTGAACAAGTCAGCACACGAACGTGGCTTCGCTTACGGTACTGTCTACAAATCTCAAACTGTTGATCTTAAGGACATCCAGGGTGGACGTTCGACTTCCAATTTAAATCTTCATTTCGGGTTTGGCTATGATATCCGAACTGAAGGTGAGAAGCAGCACTCATGTTGTGCATTCTTGGACCTGGACGGACTGCCATTCGTTGGCACCAAGTTGTCACCGGGTGACCCTGTCGCAGCATATGTCGACGACACCAGCGGACGTACGAAGTTTGTCAAGTACAAGGGAGATGAAATCGCCTATGTCGATACCGTTCGCCTGTTAGGTACGTCAAGCAAGGTGATTTCTACTCATATCAATCAATGCTTATGTCCTTCTCAGGCAGCGATGCAGGAGATTCAGAACTACAGAAAGTTCACATCACTTTGCGGATCACTCGTGCACCTGTCATTGGTGACAAGTTTTCTTCACGGCACGGTCAGAAAGGTGTCTGTTCCCAGAAGTGGCCAACGGTTGACATGCCCTTCACTGAAAGCGGCATGCAGCCCGATGTGATCATCAATCCTCACGCTTTCCCCAGTCGTATGACGATTGGCATGTTAGTCGAGAGCATGGCGGGCAAAGCCGGTGCCATGCATGGACTTGCTCAGGACGCCACCCCGTTCCAGTACGTCTTCTTCACTGTACGACCTGTTCAGCGCCTGATTTTTGGCGCAGGTTCACTGAAGAGGATACCGCGGTTGACTACTTTGGCGACCAATTGCTTGCTGCTGGGTATAACTATTATGGGCACGAGCCTATGTACTCGGGCATCACAGGCCAGGAATTCGCTGCTGACATTTACATCGGTGTTGTCTACTACCAACGTTTGCGACACATGGTGTTGGACAAGTTCCAGGTCAGAACTACGGGTCCTGTCGATCCCCTGACACGACAGCCAGTCAAGGTGCGCATTGAACGTAGTAGATAACATGAGAAATATTAATGCCTTGTATAGGGTCGTAAACGTGCCGGAGGTATCCGATTCGGTGAGATGGAGCGTGACGCCTTAATCGCACATGGAACGTCTTTCTTGCTACAAGACAGGTTGATGAACTGTTCAGACTACTCGACTGCGTGGGTGTGTCGCACATGTGGTAGCTTGATTTCTTTGGGCTATGACGATGTCACCTTGGGAGAACAATACATCGGTCCGAACGCTACACCCAAGCCTACAGGTCCCGGTGGTGAATACTGCAGGGTCTGCCGTGCTGCGGCCGAAGATGAATCTTCAAGAGCGAGGAAGGCCTTGGAGACTGGACAGAATGGTGTCAAGGGTGTCCACAGTGACCTCAAGGTCGCTATACCCTCGCAACATGTTCTCGGTCGCTCTTCTAAAGGGGGTGACTTGGACATCGTTGCTATCCCATACGTGTTCCGGTATCTCTGTGCGGAGTTGGCAGCTATGGGCATTGCGATCTCGCTTGAGGTTCAATAACTATACTTATTCCACTTTCTACCATTCTTCTCGCGGGTTGTATTTTGCCATTCGATCTGTTCAAGTTCTCGCATCTTCACTACTCATCTTCACTACTGTTCCACATTACTGTAACATACGCAAGCATTCTATTACAGGACCGATATCCAACAAAAGTAGAGCATATACGTAAAGCCACTGACCATATACATATAATGACACGAAATAGGCGAATAAGTCAAGAAATAAACGAGGGAACGCGAGAACGCTGGAAAGTATGTAGGTGGTAGATGAAAGAATGTACTAGGAAGGGGTGCAAAGTAAGAAAATTAGGTATATGTATGTACGGCTTACGCCTCTGGCGGATGGGGGATAACAGTCTCCTCAGTCTGTGATGGAGGCACAGCGTCCACTTCCTCTACCCCTTCAGCCTCCTCTTGTTCTCCACTGAGGAGCAATCCAACGAGCGCCCGCTCTAGTGAATCATTCAATGCGATAAGGTCCTTGAGAGCCTGGTCCGGCTGGCGGGAAAACCGAACAAGAGCGGGCGTAGGCGTGGACTCGATGGCGGCAGTGGAAGAGCCGTTCCTCGCCAGGAACATGTCCACTAATAGCCGGCATTCCTCTGCAGTCGTAGCGATTGCAAGAAGCTTGCGCATTTGAGCTACATCTTCCTCGGACAAGAAAGTACCAGCCACTGAGGTTGACTCGCCTGCTGTCTCCTTCTTGGACTCCGTCTTGGGCACCTCCGGCACGTGTGTGTCTATCTCCACGGCCTTCTTAGGCAATTTCTTTGACGATGATCTGATCGGAACGGTCTGCAACACCTCAGGCACAGGCGAAGTATTTTCCGACGGTTCAGATCGATGATCTGTTAGGGCCGACGAGTGCGTAGAGTCCGTCTTCAGCGAACTCTCCTTGCGTTGACGAACACCATCATCCTGCTCTGCATGTAGCTTAGCAGCTCCATTGCCATTCACAGGTCGAAGGATGGAAGCCGCCTTTATATCTTCGATACGCGTTGGCGGCAGAGGGAACTGTGAAATAGCGGTACCGTCGAAAACTGGCACAGCTTTGCGTGCTACAGACTGGCGTCGAGTGGGAGTACCGGGTGAGCTAACACCGTTGATATCTTCAGTCGAAGCATGTGAAGACGGTGGTGGCGTGGCTTGTGGTGGTGTAATATTTCGGAGCATAGAGGGTGGAGGTGGCGGAGTAGCGACAATTACATTAGGCATTGACCGCTTCGAGTTGAGAGACGATGGCGAAAATCCAGGGGATGAGGTCCCGATGGAACCGTAAGGACTTCGAGTCGATCGAGGTGTCTTGGGTGCTTGCATGTCCCCTCGTCCATTCAAATTCTCCCTCGATCCACCAATCGTCAAACGAGACATCATGCGCTGGAATCGTCCCGACTTGCTCTTGGAAGACTCAAAGGAGATCATGCTGGCGTTGGCTGGAAATAGCTTTCGCTCCTCCGGTGGTCCCTCGTCAAGGAAGTCGATCAGCTCGCGAGCAGCCTTAGAAATATATGGCTTCGGAGGTCCTGTCCCATTTGAGCGCACAGGCGATGGGGCAGGAAAGACATCTGACGCCTCCTCTTCATCCGAAGCATTCATAATATCATCTAAATCCAGAGACTCTCTCTTCCTCCCCATCTTCCTCGTCCTTTGCGGTCGGCTGTTGTCCGTCATTTTGGCACTCGCCGAGACCGACTTCTGTAGTCTGGGTGCTAGAACGTGTGAAGGAGGAGGTGGAGGTGGCATATCACTCTTGGACCTGAGAAGAGGGACCGCAGATACAGAGATAGAACGCGCCCGGGGATTGCCAGAAAGCGGTGATGTCGAGGTTGAACTTGATCGCGACAGACTGCTTTGCCTTGAACGGTTCGCGGTTTGCTGGAAAGCACTTGGAGGGGAAGATACCACACTTTGAGGATTATGAGACTCCTCGTCCTCAGCAATAGCATCGACGTTGGGGACGGATGGCTTGCGAGTAGTGACACCACGCTTGGCATCAGTTGATGTGGGACTGGTACCCCCGTTTTGAGCCTGTCGTTTCCGCTCTTGCTTGTAAACCTAGGATATAGTGAGTGGACTGGAAACGAAGGAAGGGGGCAAAGTGAGACTCACCTCCATGCTTCTTAGTCGGTCAGGTGTAAGAGAAACCTTCATCGTAGCCCCAGACCTCATCAGCTCGTCAAACTCTTCAAGAAGCGCCGCATCCTCCTGTGAGAAAAGAAAAATGATCTCTAGTGAGCCAGACCAACGGCGAACATATGAATGATCATGATGGAAGCGCACCATAAATTCTAGCGAGTGTCCAGTTTGAGAACCCCCACTCTGGGATTTCATTTCAAGCGATCCAGTCTCGAACCTGTCTCCGTTGTCACTTGACGACCGATTCATGATCTTCGCGACTCGGGACTTTTCAGTCGAGGACCGTTGCAAAATGGGTGATGCACCGTTTACCGCAGTCGCCAGCGAGTCTGAGGATATGCGCAATCGAGTAGCTGTTGAGGTGGATTCATGGAGCTCGTTTGCAGGTGAAGTTCGGCCGTTGCTTTTTGAGAACGACTTGCTGCGGCGTGGAGGTTGAGCTTTCGATACACTTTCGATTTGCTCGTATACTGTGGACTCGTTAGGACAATGCGTCGTATACCGCATAATCAAGTTTAACCAACCCTTCATTGCCTTGAACATGCTATACATCGAATCATCTTCACATAGTGCAACGAAGAGGTCTTGAACTGTAGCCACCGTCCGACTAGAATCACGGGAAGCCACTCGACTAACACTAGAAAGAATGTGCCTGTGCCGTTATGAGACAAATGTATCTCGGGACCGAATCTAGGTACTTACTCGCAGACATGCCTTCGGAGGGAAATTGAAATTAAGCAGGAATATGCAAAAAGTGCAAGATAAAGACTCACTCAAGGATCGCAGTTAGATACAGGGCTGCTGGGGCGAGCAAGTGTGTCTGAGGAGGAGCGGAAACACCGACGCTCGCCATACGCCCAATCAGCCGCTTCTCCGCCTCGACGTCCTCATCTCCATCGTTCATGGTAGTGTATGCTTCACATTTAAGGCGCAGTAACTACCCGGGGCGATTAGTAGACACCGGGTACTCATAATACGGTAACGCACCTCGAAAGACAACTGAAGATCAAAGTCCCGCCCTGTATCTCCAGCATTCTGAGCAGAAGGCGAAGCTGTAGTGCGCTCCCAATACGCTTTCAGTTCGATTTCGGCCTCAAGAATAGCTTCTTTGCCAAGCGTTGTAGGTAGTATCTTGATGAGACTGGTCTTAAGCTTGTCCGTAGTAAGCGAGCCGGCAGCTTTGAGCAAGTTATACAGGAATTCGTCTAGGAGAACATTGATAGAGCGCAAGGCATCCAGCTTCAGCTTGATAGGTCGAACATCGGAAAGAATGACATCCGCCGAGCGAGAGGAAATGTAATTGGGACCTGGATACCACTTCGGCGTGAGTTCCGCCTCATCATTGAGCGCATAAAACGGCGGAAATCGCACCTGTCAAGCCCTCAGTGGTGCCCGTCATGACTAGAAAGGAGAGACAAGAGAAACAAAAGAATGAGAGACAGATAAAAAGGCGGACGTCGAACAAGCCAGAGGGATAGCAGCCAAAGGGCCAAGCGCGCGGAAATAGTATTTGTGCCAGCTATGGCTAGCCCCCATGTCTCTTTCCAAACTTAATCATTCCCCTGCCGCCTGCTCGCTGCCTCTTCTGATCCTCTTTCTTTCGCTGTGCATCGTGGTATTTAGTGTATTATGTGTATCTTACGAACAAACAACAGAACGAATATGGCAGAGCATGATTCACAAATCAACATGGAACAGAGGAATGCAATTTTAATGATGAGTTTTATCTTCGCCTCCCTCCGTGTGCAAAGGAGTCCATTGGGGCTGCGATAGGTGGTTATCCTCTGTCCTATCTCCTTGGCCACCATAAGCATCCGCATTCGCGGCCACAAGCCAGTCCAAGCCAACGGAATAGACACGCTCCTGCGGGGACAGCCTATCCATCACCGGTGCACCTGATGCACTCGGTTTCTCATCATTGTTTGTGGGAGGCGTGACATCAATAGCCCCAGCATCATCTTCGACGTCAGAAGCTGAGCTTTCTGTGTCTGATAATTCCACCTCGGGTGCGTTGGGATCCTCGAAAATAACGCCTCTTTCCACGAGCCGTGTGACCCACTCCGAGGGAAGATTGTTGCAGAATTCGGGACCAGTATGGACCGTGGAACGAAGGTTTTGTTCTTCGATTTTCTGTTGGATAAATCGCTTCGCCTCTTCCGGTCCTTGACGCAAAACCCTCTCGAGCGGAGCGATACTCGCTGGAACTTGACGCCTGTTCCGAAGAGGAGCCGTTTGCCTCGACTTCGTACCAGGCGGTGCATAACACAAGATATTCGCAAGAACCTACGAGTTCTTGCCTCAGAATCGAACAATAAGATAGGAAAGGCAAAACATACTCGTGCGCCAAGGGTATAATGGTGATCGACCTCTATGGGAAGCCTTTTGACGTGACGCGGGACCGACCTGTAAGATGGCATTCTCGGAGGTAAAGGAGGCAATTCGCGAGCAACGTCAGGCCGTATGAGAGAGGCTTCTGGTTTCAACTGTGTGACATTCCGATGTTGGCGTGATCGGAAGTGTCGCGCTAGCTCCTCCTGAGACAAGAATGATCGGGAACAACCTGCATGAAGGAGTCAGGATGTGACGTTTGCAAGTTACAGAGTGGAATAGTTTCATACCTTGACATGGACAAGTTACAGGATACTGCGCGTGTTGCTTGGTATGTTGCACCAATTTGACAATACTGGAGAATTGCTCAGTACAATCCGTCCATTCGCAACGGAAGATACCCTATGGACGAATAATTAGAGAGAACAGCGGCGACATAGATCTTTGCTCACCGTTTCCAGCTTCTTCTTTGCATGAGCAACAGCATGCTTTATCAACTTCGCTGGTGACTCGAGGACTGCATCACAGCTCGCCCAAAGGCAAGGCGACCTTCGCAGACGATTGAGCCCATTTCTTGCGAAAATACGGCCTTCTTGCTCTATAACGCGACATGAGAATAATGTTTATTTATTCAGATACTACAACTAACCTCTTTTCTCGCGAGTCGGTTCTGAGTCGAACATATTGCATGAGTTTCGGACAAAGAAGGAAAACGATGACTACTCACCATCTATCATTGGCTCGGCTTCAGCCTCGCTCGCTGAAGAGGTCACACTCAAAGCCTCTCTTTTTTCTTCCTTCTTTGCTTGCAGAAATTTAACGTACAGTGGCAATGGCGGTGCCTCTACGTAGACCTTATTCGTGGGCCTCGGTGATGGTTTCGAATGCGGTGGAGCAGCCGCCTGTACACCAAGCGATTTTGACCGAGCCCGTCGCTCACTGAGCAAGTCCAGCTCGTCATCGCTCAAAACCATTCGCGTTCCTCGCATTGTTGCTCTCACATTTGTAGAATCAAGCATTGGAGATACACTGGGTAGCAAGCTGGTGTCAAGGATGAATTCATCTGAGAGGCTTGGTCCTGGTAGTTCATGATTGAGCATGCCACTGTCATCTTCATCATCTGAGGGCAAGAAGAGAGGCTCATTGGATGTGCTTGCCACTGACTCAGAAGTCTGCAAAGTAGACTCTGGAGCCACAGGGATTTCCAATGAAGGCTCTGGTGGCAGTTCTGGTCCAACATCAATGGACATAGCTGAATCTAAGAACCATCAGCAAATGAACACCAGGCAGATCATAGAACCAGACCTTGAGCAAGCAGGTTCTCAGGTGCAGGAAGACACTCTTCAGGTGTCATGGTCCCAGAAGTGGGTGGTCCAGAGGCTACAGATATAGGAGCAGATGAAGACCCTGTATGTTGAATCCCATCTAAATTCATAGCATGAGATCTAGTCTCTGAAAGGTCTGAAAATTTGAGAAGAAGAAATTAAGAAATACCACCATACAGGAAATTGTGATAATGCTCACCCATTTCCATTTGTAGTGCACCTGCAGTCTTAATTTCCCCAAGAAGCTCAGGGCTGGTTGGTGTAGATAGTCTAACACTAGAACTGGGAGGTGTTGAATATGCAGGCTGAGAAGGCTCTGAAATCTGATATAAAAAAAGTCAATTAAAAATAATTGCAGACACAAGTCATGAAACACACATGATCTGTTCTTGGTACAGTTTCAGAAACTTCAGCTTGATTTGGACCTTCTTTCTCTCCTTCCTCCATCTTCTGCTTCTTGTCAGGTAAGGATGCAGCAATATTGTTGCTATCTGCTCTTTTTCGCTTGCCTTTAGCATCATCCTCAGCTTGAGTTTGAGTCTGAAATGTCTGGGGAAAGATAACAGGAGCACTAGGAGAAGATCTGGAAGCTCTGCCAAGTGACCTTAAGATGTCATGAGCAAGTCTAGACCTATCTGCCTTTGCAGGTGTCCTAGGACTTGAGGGTTTTGGGGGTGCCTGGGCTGCCTGAGAGATAGAAGTCTGAATAGAGGGACCTGAAACAGTAGATATTGTAGGTTGCTGAGAAATGGGTTGATATGAAGGTTGTGGTGGAGAAGTTGGAGTAGTGGCTCTTGGCAATGTGGATGGCTCAGAGACACTCAGATCTTGAACAGGAGCAGAAACTGAGGAGGTCTGGGGAGTAGCAGACCTTGGCCTATGAGCCATAGAGGCAGTGCTAGCAGGGGGTAGTCCAAACTTGACCAGGTACTCTCTCACAGCAACCTTTGCAGGTATTTGCCCTGAACTAGGTTTTGGCTTAGTTATTAACTGATTGAGTGCTGTGTCAACAGCAGTTAAAAATAGAAGAGAGTGACCCTGAAGAGGATGTTCAGTACTTATAAGACACAAGTGAAAGACATTATGGCAGAAAACTCACATTCAGCTTATTCTCTAGCTGAGCCATCACTGCAACCACTGTTGTCTGGTCTTGAAGATCAAGAGGCCTAGAAGCAAATGGAAGTCTGTAGTTTGGAGGCAAGGAGTGCTTCATCTTATTCATCAGTCTCCTGACAATCTCATCCTGGATCTCTTGTTTGAAGGTCTGTTAATAAAGTCAATAAACAGGACAGCATTAATGGATAGAGAACTGAATTACAGCACAGAATTCAACCAGCTGATGAGCAAAGGCAAGTGGTTGTAGAGTTCCTAGATGAGAATAAGTTATTCATTGGCAAATGTGTACAAAAAAGTATATCACCTTCTGTACTTTGTCTATTAATACTCTGCGGAACTACACTCTCCTTAGTTGCGCTCTGTGAAGGAGGCTGCCTGGCACTTGTACTAGGACGTCCAGGGACTAACACGACCATCAGAAAATAAAGTAACAACCAGCTAACAAAGAGAGTACCTCTATGACTTATCCCATTTGCATGCGCAGACCTCGGTAAGGGTATAGGTTGGCTAGCCTGTGCGGTTGCAGGAGTCCCCGCGTGACGATAATATGATCTTGGCAATTCTGGAGACTGAGCGGTTTGGGGGGCTTCAGTGGTCTTAGCCTGCACGGGAGCACGCTGCCATTGAGGATAATGCGTCGTTGTGGGGTGGGCCCCAGGCTGAGAATATTGCGCCGCATCTGCTTGCTGCTCATAACTTTGAGTTGGATAACCTCCGCGAGCGAGAGATGGATGTGGTGCGTATGCAACGCGTTGGCCTGTGCTAATATTTTGAACAGACTGAGGAAATTGTCAGGTTACGTAAAGATGGTGATGAGGACGCGATATACCAAGTACGAAGAAGACGAGGCTTGAACCACAGGAGCATTGAGTTGCGGAGATGTACTAGGCCCAGCGACGGGTTGGTGGTTTGCCGGCCGAGCTTGAGGGGACGGAGGACCAGTCGTCCTGTTAACAAGCTGTTATAGTACAAATACATAGAACAGCGTGTGTGATGCATACCCGCTCTCATTACGTGTGGCTTGTAGTTGCGAAAGCAGGTGTCTGAATAGAGATATTGAGTGCTAGGAAAGGCCTGATAGTTGCAAGGGAACGCACTCGGCCTGCCTACCCGCCGCTACGCGATCCTCCAACACTCTCTGCTGCTCAGCGTACCAGCGATCAAGAGCTGCCTGGTTCCGTCTTTCATACTCGTCAACGTAGTTTCGCATCCACTGGATTCGCTGCCAATTCTCCGCGTGGCGTTCCGGGGTAATGCCAGAGGTTTCTGGAGGTAGTTGAAGACCTAGCTGCCTCTCGTGAAGAGATTGGCTTCCCTCCCCATTATTCATCGCCAGCGTTTCCAGAGAGTCAAGAAAGATGAGTGAAAGAGGCTCGCGTCGAATGGCAAGTGTCAGACACACTCAAGACAGACGTCGCCAGTGGAGGTTGATCGCAAACAGCTGTTTCCCAAGACGGTCTTCATGCTGACTAAACGCGCGTGACATCCGCGTCAGAAGCAGTCACCTGGACGCGACAGCACGTGTCACAACGCGTCACGACTCTCCTGGTCTTCGCCTCCAAGGTCAGGATGAACCAAGCCATCCTCGCTCGTAACGCAAGGAAACTCCTGCGAAACTCTCTTGTAAACAATAGATCTTTGGCTTCAATATCTTCAGCACCTCCGAATCCAAACTCGGTAGGACCATTTCAAGTGTTCGACCGCAATGCGAAGCGTCTTCAAAAGGACCGAGCTGCTTCTCGTGCTGGAGGCGAACGAAGCAGGACCGTGGACTATGTGCGCGACGCTGTTGCTGATACTATGATGGAGCGACTGCTGGTTAGCATGTTATCTCTGGATGTACCGCGAACAGATTCAAGTAGCTTCTAAATGTATAGGATATCAAACGAAAATTCAACGTCATCCTTGACCTTGGCTCTGGTCCAGGTCACTTTTCTAAGATGCTTGAACCCAGTATAACCAAAAAGGTTGTAATGTTGGAGTCGAGTGGTATCTACGCATTCAACTCGATTGGTTGATTTGAGCTGAGTGTTATTTCAGAGAAGACCCTACACCGTGACCCAGACTCCGAGTTTGATGGTTGGTAATGCTGCCGAATTGCAACGAGTTGGAATTTGACAGTTTATTCAGTCGAGGTGGATCGAATTCATGCAGACGAAGAGAACTTGCTTGAAACGATCCCTCGTAACTCACAAGAGGCCATCGTATCGTGTCTCAGCTTGCACTGGGTGAACGACTTGCCTGGTTAGTTGTCATTGGATACATATCTCTTCAACTTTAATTCTTCTTCTTCTTCTTGTGTGTAGGTGTGCTCATTCAAATCAAAGAAGCACTACAACCGGACGGCGTATTTCTGGGAGCATTATTTGGTGGGGATACGCTTTTCGAACTAAGGTAATGATAAAGCAGCTCTTCTTTTCTCCTTTCATCTCTCATTTTTTTATAGAACTTCCCTTCAATTGGCAGAACTCGAGCGTGAAGGAGGAATTTCCCCTCACGTCTCGCCAATGACCGGTAAGCTCGCAGGTAGTCATCTCACTCCAAACCCAACACTTGGTATACAGACTCTCGCGATATGTCGAACCTCCTTGGACGCGCAGGTTTCACCCTCTTGACTGTTGATATAGACGAAGTGAAAGTCAATTATCCTACTATGTGGGAGCTTATGGAGGATCTCCGTGATATGGGCGAAAGCAATGCCATCATCGGACGGTTCGATACCCACTTCCATTCGGTTTGTCCATAGCCTGACTTTCAGACTACAGGCGGAACTACATCCACAGGAACACTCTGGCGGCCGCTTCTGCCATCTACAAAGGTTAGCCTCTCCACGCATGACCTCAGTGACAAGTATACCCAATGACGTTGTGTAGAGCTTCATGGAAACGAAGATGGATCCATCCCAGCGACATTCCAAATCATCTATCTCGTGTGTAACATTTTTCTCGCTTCAGATTGTGGTTGTGTTAAAACCGGTATGATAGATTGGTTGGAAACCTGCACCCACTCAGCCAAGAGCTCTCGAACGAGGCACCGCTCAGACCAACTTGAAAGATGTGCTGTAGTACAATCTGAATTTGATTCATTTTGCAATACGTACTACGGTGGCACTTCTTTGTTATCATCTGGATCCATGACTATCGCAGGACCGTTTTCACTCGAAGTCATAGGTTCAAGAGGAGCAGCAATAGCAATCCCAGCCTCATCACCACTATCAACGCCCTCGTTATCCTCGTCTTCTAACTCTGCCGCATCAACCACCATTTGCTTAACACTGACACCGTCAGTAGTCGCAGCTTCAGGTGTCTTCGCTGTGGAACCCGCTATATCCTGAAACTTTCGTTTGGGAACGACTGAATATAATGCTTGTTCCCAATCTCGCGTCTCGACCCATTTCAGTAGGATCTCAAATGTTTGATTGACCGTGAGTACTTTGCGAGTCTTGAGTTCGGAAAGGTAGGTTCCTATAGGAAGGCGAGCTGAACGAATGCCTGTTGTCTGAGATTTCTTGAAACAGAGGTTCTGCGAGAATTGACTTCACTGAGCATCCTGGCTATGAAATGGTAAATAAAGATATTCACACCTTATAGCGGTTGTGGTCGCAGAGTCCACCGATAATGTACGTCTCATCTTCCCTCAGTTCGGTAAGTTCGTCCGCAGAATCTGCCGTGAGGTAGACGATACTCTCTCTGGGGACAGCTTGCGATTCGGGAGTCTTCTCGAGTTGATCTCCGTTGGCCTTATTAGTTCCCTCATTCGTAGGTTGAGCTTCGCCTGATGTACTTGATTCGCCCGCAGAAGCTGGTGGACCTTCCCACAGCCGTTCATAGCTTTCTGACCACCACTCGGAGTTATGCCAACGCCTGTATGCGGCATCGCTGATAGTCTCCAGACGGGTATAAGTTCGGCCATTCAGCGATGTGAATAACAATGAAGAGAACGGCTGGACTGCTTTTCGGTTTGCACTATATGTGTATGCGAGTTGGGAGGTCAAAGACTTGATTTCCTGTACCATACAATATAAACAGAATTATCGGGCGTAAGACGCGTCACAACCGCAATCGAGTACACTTACATTCTCAGACATTAACTCATCGAAACCCAAGTCGATCACGATCCTCGCATTGAACGGTTTCTTTGGCACAATCCTAGCTTTCTTCTTCTGCCTGGCCTCTTCTTCCTCATCCAGTTCTCCAGCAGGCTTCTGCTCCGCTCTCTGCCGCTTCTTCTCTTTTCTCTTCTCCTTCTCATGTGCACGCCGTTCTTTCTTTTTCTCCGCTAGAGATGCAGCTTTTGCCAGCCGCTTTTGGGCATTCTTCGAAAGGGTTTGAGCAGGAGCAGCTGTTGGGGCTTCATTGTTCGCTGTAGTATGTGCGACTTCAGGCTCAGGAGCAGCTTCCATAATGTGTAGAATAAGAATAATCAAGAAAATGTTCGAAGCAAAGAAGCAAGTACTACAGTTGTAGGCGCTTATAGTGTATATGCAACTCTATCTGCGATTGCTCTACTTGACTGCCATCCCTTTCTTCGTCTGGCTTGTCCTCCTTTTTAGGAGCAGAAATCCTTCTGAGATTTCCCCGAAGCGCGATAAAATGGCATCACTTTCACCGTTGAAGTTTGTCCAGGTCGCGGCTCGCGCTAAACACTCCGCTACAGTGATCTTCGTGCACGTTAGTGATGTTCTCAAGACTTCGCCTGTTAGCGACATATGTTGAACTCGATTATGACATTTACAGGGTCTTGGAGACACAGGCTATGGATGGAAGCCCATTGCTGAAATGTTCAGTGCCGATCCTGCGTTGAGCCATGTCAAGTGGGTTCTCCCGCATGCGTGAGTAGCAACCTCTCGTACTTTGGTCCGTCATGCACCGGTCTTTCAAAGAACAAGTAATTGACTACTACATCACTTCAGTCCTACAAGGAGAATAACCGCTAACATGGGCATGGAGATGCCCGCCTGGTAAGTGTATTCCCCCATGCCACATAACTTTCATATTCAGGCTATGTATCAGGTTTGACATTGAATCCTTTGACTTCAAGACTGAAGACGAAAGGGGCATGCTCCAGACAGTGCACCAACTGAATCAACTCATCACTGCTGAAGTGGACGCCGGAACGCCTGCCGATCGCATTGTTTTGGGTGGATTTAGTCAAGGTGGAGCTGTGACTCTACTCACAGGACTCACGACTGAGCGTAAACTTGGGGGCTTGACTGTGTTGAGTGGATGGGTGCCGCTCAAGAGCAAAATCAAATCCGTACGCATTTATTCTTGATCTCAGCGGAAATTCGGTGTTCAATGAAGTGCCCTAAGATGGCCTCGGACCACGTCAAGAAACTTCCTATCTTCTGGGGTCATGGTAAAGCCGACCCGCTCGTGCGACATATCTGGGGTGTGCAATCGGGTATGCTTCACTATCCCGACTCTCGTGTTTATCTGAGAGTAATTGCAATTATAGCGGAATTCCTGAAGGATACCTTTGGCATCAAGACAGCCGATGAGTCTGAGCCGAAACTTACAGGCATCACCTTCCGTTCTTATGACGGCGTACCTCACTCTACTAGCGAGGCGGAGCTTGAGGATCTCCAGAAGTGGCTGCAAAAGGTCATTCCGCAAGAAGCCTGACTAGCTGAGCCATTGCGTGCCCGAGACATGGAGTCAGTGAGACCTCGAAGTAGAATGTGACCAGACAAGAGATGTACAATATGATATACCTCACTTAGATTGACACATGCCTCAGAGGATGGACCAAACTTGCAGAAGACAGCGTACGACGCGCCAACTAAAACCCAAAGAGAACTTGATAGAGCAGTATGCTACACATGAAATACATGGAGACGATTGCCAGGAAACTCTAAATGCAATGTTCCAGAGAGATGCGAGGTCTATGCAAGAAGGAAAATGCGCGAGTTCATGATCGTCCAAACCGTAAATGCCTCGTGGAGAATCATCAAAGTCGTCAGTATATGTACAAGAAGGTACAAAGAGAATGAGAGAATCCAGATTGTGATGGATGAATCGGTCCATGAGTGTGTTGTGAAGATGAAAGATAAAAGCACATGAATAGAAAACAATCTACAAGAAAAGCATACTAGCCTTATGCACGTTGGCTACCTGAGCCGCTCCCACTTCGCTTCGATAACCGTGTATAGGTTGACTTCGGACTTCCCCCAACGGTCGAAGATGGTAATGGAACCTTTGCGGCTGCGCTAATACTTCCACTCACACCACTCCTCGAGCTAAGACTTCTACTCGGGGTTGGTGGCACAACCGGCAGAGGATAGACGAGATCAGGCGGCGTGGGTGCGGTAGCATACGTTGGGCCGGGTGTCTTGCGATACCTTTGAGGAGGCGTGGTCAACGAATCCATAGAGTCTGATAGACTGGAGGAGATTTCGTCGTCTGAGGAAGAGTCTTTGTGAAGGGCGGCCCTACTGTATGGTTCGGACTGTAGGCCTGCATGAGATAGGACGCTGGAAGATGGTAGTGGGATGACAACTGGGTCGGCGGTTCCCCCAGGGAAAGTCCCCGGGAGGACGGAGCCTGCGACTGAAGGTGTTGTACCTGAATTTAGTCGGTGAATGGATGGCGCAGAGGAAGGTGGAAGTGGAATCGCTGCGGGAGTCATTGGATTAGCGTAAATAGCAGAGGCTGGACCCATAGCTGTGTCCACAGGGATGGGAGGACCCATTGGCATGAAACCAGGTGGAAGTTCGCTGTTGGCTAACACATCGATTGGCATGGAGGGGAATGCTGTAAGCGGAGATGTCCCCGTAGTGGGCCGGATGTTCGCTTGGGATGTCGCTTCACCGGCAGGAGCAATAGCCTCAGCATCACTCGCACTCAGAAGGTTTGGATGCTGTTGTGTCCCTGATGCACCAGACTGATTGGAATCCGGTCGAGACTAACAGATGTTAGAAACACTTAGAAAGCGGCAAACAGACATCTCAGGAACTCACCGGAGGCTCAACATTTATCGCAATACCAACATCAGAAGACACGCTACCCTTGCGACTTAGCCTGGATTGGCTTTGAGACCTCGAGGGAGGCGACCTGGGTGGATTTACCAGCCCTGCGTCAGAGAGGGAGGAATGTGAACGTGGTCGGACGTAGAGGTTCTCATGAGACTGTCTATTGGTTAGTCCGGCATGAATGACTTGAGGCGTCTGGCCCTCTGGTCTTTGCATCATGCTGGGACTAGAGCCGTTATGATAAGGAGACTAGGGAAAGCGTCAGTGAAAGAGGTTCCTGAATGACGTCAAATGAAACTTACGCTCCCACCACCTTGAGGAGATGACATTGATGAACTACGCTCCTTCTCTTCCACAATAGCACTAAGGACATTTGGTCTTTCGACCAGATTCCGAGCAGACGATGACACGGGAGGTAGTCCAACGATCTCAAATTGCGATATCGTCGTAGACATACTTTCTTCAGAGTTCCGACGTTTATGTTTTGGGCGACGAGCCGCAGGTGTAGTCGCACGAGACTCGATATCTGACAGCGTCACATTGGCATTCATGGGTGTCTGGAATGGTGGAGGTATCATTTTCATAGGTCCATCCAATTCTTCCGTCATTTTCAGGGTGGCGGAAGCTGAAGGAGAACCTTTGGGTGTCGGAGGTGCAGGTGCCAACTCGTGCGGAGGGGGTAACCGTACTCGTCCATCATCGTCAATGGTTGGGATCCAACCCTCAGGAGGATACTCTACGGGTGCGTTAGATGGTGGGTCCACTGAAACGTTGTGAACCGTAACGGGGTGCATCTCGGTGTTCTTCATATTTAAGGGTCCGGATGATGCCGGGGAGCTTCTAATATGAATGTCTTCTGGAGGAGACCCTTCGAAAGCCGGGGCTAATGGTCTGGGCGGAGGTGAATCCGAGTATGAAGATGACGAAGGAGAAGGACCGCGTGGCGGGGACGCTGGGAGCATGATAGGATTCTGCGATGATTCTCGACTAGGTGGAGTGGCTCGACTTCTGCCATACCCAGCATTGCGACCTTCCTCATAACCAATAGCTCGTCCCTGGGCGACACCTTCCTTGAAACCCTGTAGTCGACCTTCTTCACGAGCTAGAAGGACAATTTTCTCTTCCTTCAATTTCCGAGCCGTGCTTCGGGCACGCGCCGCTGCTTCTTCTGCGTCATTCCTCTGTGCCTCAAGAGAATCAAGCACTTCCTGAGCTTTCAAGATCTCCTTCTGCGCATTATCCAGCTGTAGCTTGTACAGCCTCAACTCCTCTGTCAAACGAGTAGACTCCTGTTGCGCGGCCAGCCGCGCATCATTGACTTCCTTGAACTTGAGGACAGCGTCCATGGTTCTTTTCTCCGCATCGTCGGCACGCTGCGTTTCGTCTTTTAGTCGTTCGGTGAGGATATACAATCTATTCCGAAGATCCTTGACCTCGCCTTCTTGACGAACGATGACTTTTGCGAGTTCCTTGGATGAGCTCATTATAGAGCTTCGGTCACGTTCCTTGCCATCTCGGTGGTGACGTCGGGAACGTGTGCTTCGATGACTATGGTTAGAGGGCTCAACGGGAGAAGTGGAGGTGGGTGAGTCGGAGTCATCCATAATACAACGTTGCCAGACGTAATGTCAATTATACTGGGTGGGTACCTGTGAGTACGGCATGCAACAACACGAGGTAATAATTCGAAGCTCACTGAAAGTGAAGCAAGGGTATATATACCGGCGCTGAAGGAAAATTTCGCAAGACTGTCGTACAGAGTTCCCAATACGTTCAGCACGGATATCAAGACAAGCAGCTGCGCGAACATACCTGGAGAAATATAAATGAGAAAGCCTGACTGCCACTGGCAGTTTTGAAGCTGAAATAGTCTGTTCAACAAGACGCCCATAACAATGTTCGGCATACCCGGACCGCGCCGATCATGAAACAATAGAGACCGCCGCCTGACGATGTGAAAGCAAGAAACAGCATGAGAATAAGTACTCGAGGCAAGCGGTATTGTATGCAATAGGGTATAGGGACATTTATAAAGCGAAAAACTAAAGTGAGGAGACGTGAATAATGTGGCAGGCAGATAGTGTGTCGAACACAGACATCGAAGCCCGACTTCAAGCTTCAAGCTTCATCTCGAGTATCCTCCTCTATACTTCGGCCCCTTGTCGTACTGTCGAGCACTACGGTCATCATAGTTATGACGCACATCATAGTCACGATCGTACGACCGTCCTCCCCCACCACCAGAATTCTTTCGGTCCCTATCCCTCTGTCCTCTGGAAGCAGCTCCCCGAATCTGAATGTTATCTGTCTCGCGTGCAGGTACAGGGAGATCAGCATACCTCCCCCGACCATCGCGATTGGATGACCTTGGGAAGTCCACTTCGTATCTCGTCCCTGAGAATCGGTCTCGATCCTTACCAAGGTCGCCGAACGCGATCTTCTTGCTGTTCCTGTCCCTGCCACTCGAGGGAGTTCCCTTTCCTCCACCGCCTCCGCCGCCATTCCTCGCATTCCCAGAAGACCCTCTACCTCTCCTTGCAAACCAATCCTCGTCATCATCAAGCTGCACCTCTTGAGCCCTCTGTTCCATCCTTGCACGTTCCTTCCGTTTTCCCTGCTTACCCACATCCATGGGCGCTGCAAACCCATATCCGTCTGCCCAAGTTCCATCCTCACGCAACCAATCTCGTGATGCTTTTGCCCTTCTGGCCTTACGAGATGATGATGAAGTTGGCTTCTCTGCACGTGTAGGGTCGAAAAATGGTCCAGAACGCGTGTTGTACGCACTGAATGCTGATGGCTCTTTGGGGAAGTCGTGTGCGTGTGGTTCCCTACAATCCTGTATGCGAGATGAAATTTGAGAATCGAACAGGCGACACCGGAGCGAAGGATCAACGTACGTCTCCGAGGTGCCCGCTACCCCCGCAGTTGTAGCACCATTCGTCCGTGGCGATATACCCTTCTCCACCTTCGCCTATCCGTAGGTCGCTCTTCTCTTCACGAATGCGTAATACTTCCAGCTGTTGAGCCTCGTCCACGTACTCGTACAGTCTCCATAATGTGGGGCATTCCTATCAATCCTTAATGAGAACTCAATACAACTTATAGGGAGAAACTGCGTACTTTCGTACTGTGTAGATCCGAACCGCACCGATCACATTCATCATATCTTGAAATAACTCCGTTGCTATATCCAACTGGACATTTCTGTAACTCGCTTTAGATCTGAGATTCAACTCGAGGGACAGCTAAAACACCTACATTCCTAGTATGACCTTTCATACCACACGTGAAGCAGGTCTTGCTGATAGGACAACTGCGTGTGGGATGTTCATCTCGAACGCCACAAGTCAAACACTAGAAAGAAATCCAATTACAACACATGGACAAACAATCGAAAGTGACACTGACTATCAATACACGACACTCGAAGGTCTTGTGGTCACCCTCTGCACCACAATGTTTGCAAACGATTGTTTTGGGTTTGACTGGAGTAGCATCTGCTGCTGCTTCAGCTGAATCTTCGAAATAACGAATGACACCAGGTCCCTGATTACATTGAAAAAGCAATCAATTAAGACATTGAGGTCTACACAGTCGTTTACGTACCTTTCGATTATCGTCATAATCCACATATTCGATACCACTATCGTCCTCTAAGTCTTCATCGTCTGGAGGCAGGATTTCTACGGGTATAGCGCCAGTCTCTCCGAAAACGACAGATACATGCGCAGGTAACAGCAAAGGAGCAGCTTCCTTCTCCTTCCCCTTATCTGCTGCCTTTCCACTTCCCGATCCAGACGCTACTGCTGACATCGAGTTCATCCCAGAAGTAGATGGTGGAGGGGGAGGTTTTGCAGCAGCAGGTACTTCGGCAGGTGTATCATCAATGAAGAAAAGAGAACTTGAAGCCTCAGGTGAGAGCGATCGTCGTCGGTTAGAGGAGGGTGTTGGTGCATTGTCATTCTCCTTGGTACGTTTTCGCTTCTTGATACTTGATTTCGAAGGCGTAGCAGTGCCGCCATTTACAGGCGTACTAGGCCCGTCTGAACCTCGCAGTCGATCTAGAAGTGATTGTCCGTTTCGCATTGGTTTGCACGTGGAATCTTTCGAAGAGGCTGTATGCGAGGACTCGCCGTTCCGAGAGTCTTCTTGGGTATCGTTTTTGGTGGTACCAGTAGTGATTGAACTACTCTGAGGCTTATCCTCTTCGCCTTCCTCGATCTCACCCTCCTCAGGTGGCGTGACCACAGAGGTCTTCTTTTTCTTCTTCCGCCGCTTCTTCCCGTTTGCGTTCGATTCGGCCACAGTCGAATTGGTATTCCCATTAGTTTCCAATTGCTTACTCCTACTCCTGGTATTGTACCGAGTATTGGAGGAAGGTCCGCCATTGGTGAGTCGGCCTTCTAATGAACGTTTGTTGTTTGAATTTGAGGCACTGGGCGGACCGGGCAATATTTGAATCTCGTCGTCATCCGAGGGTACCGGAATAACATTGGGTGATGGAGAATTGTCCCCCGTTAAATCGATGACTTCTTGCTCTGCAAGAACCATAGTGAGTGAAAGAATGAAAGCGGAGAGGACAAAGAGCAAAGATGGAGAGCAGCGCCGCACTCAGCAAACTGCAAGTGCGAGTCCGAAAATGGATGTCTGTGCTTACGTGAAGTTAGCCGCCCTTCTTTAGGCAAGTGTGGTTGTAACTCATTGCTGACGCGGACAACGAGCTCGACTCTCATTAATATCCTGTTCATTTATTCTGACTCTTGTTGGAGGGCTCTTAGATGACTACTATGGTGGAACAGAGCTCTGCAACAAACGAGATATGGGCAAAAGACTTGACGTACAAGCATGCCCACGAAGTGGAGCCTTCGCTCATCAATATCTCTTTCGCTCTTCCTAAGGGAACACGGACCATTCTAGTGGGGGCAAACGGAGGTATGGGTTGTTCATCTGAGACATGCAACTCGTGACCTAGACTGTGTCGCGTAGCCGGAAAGTCCACTCTCCTGCAGATCCTTGCAGGCAAGAGATTGCTTACACAAGAAGGGACGGATGTTCGTATCAAGGATAAAGATGTATTCCGTCAGTATCCACCTGGCGTGACATTCTTGGGTACTGAATGGTAAGTGTTACATCTTCACTCTCATTATATATCATTGCTATCAGCTTAACGGTGTATCCTTCGCTTATGATGTATGTTGTTCATTCGGCTTATAATGTTGATATCATACCTTTAGGGCGATGAACCCAGTTGTTCGAGGCGATATTGTCGTTTCGGATTTTCTAAACTCCGTCGGTGGCTATAGACACAAAGACCGCAGAGACATACTATTGGACATCCTTGACGTTGACCTGGACTGGCATATGCACGCCATTAGTGATGGTGAACGTCGTCGTGTCCAACTTGTCATGGGCCTCATGGGACAATGGGATGTTCTACTCTTAGACGAGGTGCGTCTATTTCAGTACCGCCTATTCTTGCTGCGGCTTCCTTGACTGATTCACGGATAAACATAGGTCACCGTCGACTTGGATGTGCTTGTTCGAGATGATCTTCTCACCTTCTTGAAGAGCGATAGCGAAACGCGCGGTGCCACCATCCTATGTATGTATTGGCTTTTCTGGGGTTCTTTCTATTTGCCATTCTTATACTCTCATGCCAAAACAGACGCGACACATATCTTTGATGGACTGGATACTTTCCCCACTCATGTTGCGCACATGCATCTTGGTGCCTTTGTCACTCCACCTACCTCTTGGCCTTTCTCCGATGTCACAGCTCATGGGTGTAGCCCCCGGCTTTACAATGTTGCTCTTGAGTGGTTGAAGAAAGACCGTGCGCACCGACGTGAGTTGGAACGGAATGGCAGAAAGGCTAGAGGTGCAAATAAGTCGGAGGTGAGTTGTTTTCCCACGTCTGTCGATGAACAGATGATTGACGGATGCGCTTTGCCATTTGTAAAGGTGCCTTCGGACTCGGAAACCTTCTACAGAAAGCATGTTGCTGACTTTGTCTCATTGGAAAGGACACGACTAACACCCGTGATGGACAGATACGACTACAGTCACTGAACGAACTTCACCCACTCGACCGCAGCTCAACCTGGAATACTTTACCAAATTAACCCGCCTTACACATATCAGAATGCGCTTCAAAGCGCCATCTCCTATCACCATCATATTCAACATTCTTCGTAGTTGAACACTCGCATTGCATTCACTTAATTGTGCCACTATCATCATCCTTTTATTGTTTCAACAACAATGTAGCAATATATCAGCAAACCTTGTAGACTACTTTCAACAGGCATACGGTATCACAGAATGGACATTCTGGGCGTCCTTGTAGCATTTGCCCACTTCTGACGTCTACCACTGAGGAAGCGGTTTCCTTCTACACGAGGTAGGTGCCTGGACTCTCGCCAGGGTCTGGAACCCTCAGTTTGAGAGTCGAATTGAGGGTTCGGTGTTCCCAAAGATGCGACCGTCGTGGGTGGTCGAAAAAGTGTGAATCTGGTCCGCATACAGGCCGGGGATTACTGGATTTGGGGATTATCCGGGGACCTTGGCAGGGCAGATCGAGCCGTGCCGACCGCTGCGGGGAGGTAGGTGAGACGAGCGCTGATGGATTGGGAGGGTGTTTGTTTCAGGCTTTCGCACTCTACGCCGTCTGTCGTTCCCGTCGTGCTGGTCATCTTAGGGCGTGCTCCTTGTCCTTTCACCACCGACTTCCAAGCTGCTCTCATAAACCTTCACGCTCTTTCAGTTTCGCTTTCTTTTTTCTCTTTCGTTTCGGCTCTTTATTCGTCGCCATGGTTCCAAGAAACTTGAATGCTCTTCTCGTCGCACGACAAAGCGACGACTCAGATTGCCCTCCTTGTCCCGACCCCCCTCCGTGCAATTGTGCAGACAACGAGCAGTGTATTGTGGTAAATAGGTGTGTCTAGCGATTGCCTAGAAAACGTCATGCTGAAACGCCTGTATACGCGAAGGGATTGCTTCACTTGTAGTTTCAACAAGTGTATTCCTCTCGCTTCCGACACCAAGTCCGGAGGTGTGAGTGCTGGGGCTGTAGCGGGTGCCGTTGTATCTGCTGTAGTCTTCCTCGTCGCTGTCATTCTCGCTTTCCTCTGGTACCGACGCCGTTCACATCGTCGTCAAGCTGCTGCGCCTGCCGGGGAGTCCAAGAAGGATGCCCCTGCGCGTGCTGAAGATGTTCTCAATCGACCTGATCCTAACGAGAAACCAGTAACACCTTCTCCCGAGCAGCAGGAGACTGGCACGGTTCGCGTATACGGAGGCAACTCGATCACTACTATTAATCTCGACCCCGAAATGCAAGGCAGCTCTGCAATGGGTACTTCTGGCCACGATGGCGTTCGTTCGTCCACGCAGTCCAATCCATTCGAAGACAACCATTCTATCCAGACGACATCTACGGGCACTCGATCTAATGTTATTCCTATTGCCCTTGTCGCCCCAGGCTCCGTCTCCTCTGGTTCTGCTAGATCGAATCCTGTTCGCCCTTCCCGGGACCCTTCCCTTAACCTCAATTTGGACAACAACAGTCCGCAGAGCGAAGCCTCTCGCTCTGGCCCGTCGTACGCTCAGTCGACCAGATCTGGTTTCACTGCCTATCGCAATTCGTACATGACCACGGGTAGTTACGCTAGCGACCTCTTCAGCGAGGCGCCTGTCATCATTACACCGACCCATGGTACTATAAAACAGGTTTTAGGTACTGCCAAGGCGGAGGTCATCAGGACGTCACCTTCGTCTGTCGGCGATGGCTTGACCCCTCCTGCTTCTGCAGAGAGCGGCCGTACGAACTTCGCCGTGAATAAGCCTCCTGCGCGTTCTCCGCTTGCTGCATCTAGCTTCGGTCCTGCAGATGTTTTGCAGGAAAGCAAGGAGGAGCAGGGACAGGATGTCTCAGTTGACAATGGGCCATTCGGCGATGAGCATTCTCCATACATCGTCAGCGGTTCACCTCAGCCATCACCCGCAGCGAGTTCCAACAGCTTTGCGGTGCCAGAAGTTACCCCAAGCGCATATTCTTCTCAGGAAGACTGGTCGCCCAATAGCCCTCGTCGTCCTTGGGAGGGTGGCAAGAGCAGACCTGATAGCGTCAGTACTCAGGCTCAATCTATCATCGGTGCAGAGTTTGGAAGCGCTACCCGCGTTAACGTTGGCCTCAACCACCTTTCCGCCAACAACACAGTCTCGTCACGCTCAGCCAACTCGGATACCCTAGACACTCCCGTAAGCGCTGCCCTCAGCACTCCTCGTACTCCCTACCGAATGACCAGTGGCAAATTGGTTGCACCACAAACTGGACCACAAGCCGCTAGTTCCCCCACGGGCGGGGCGTTTGAGTTGCAACAAAGACGTGCGATGGAGGATCTTGATGCTGCACAGAGAATGGATCGGTCATCGGTCGTAAGCTCTGCATCAACCAGGGCTGATTCGATATTGGAAGGATTCCCATTCGTGCCTCCGTCACCTATCAGTGACAGACCCATACGCACCCCTCCCCGATCACCGCTTGCTCAGCAGGCGTTCGCTAATAGCAATGCTTCTGCAGGGTCTCCTCCTCGATCTCCCGTTCCTACCGCTCAGCCACCCGTTCAGAATCAGGCGAAGGAAGATGACAAGGCTCAGAATGTGACCGTTCGCCAAAGGGCGCCGAAGAAACAGCCCAACCTTCCTCCTCCATCGATGAACCGTAAAGTTCTCGGTCTTTCTACGGCCTCTGAATCATCCACAATGTCCAACGGCCTGGGTTCATTCCCCTTCCAAATTGATTCGGGTGTTAGTATGGAGAGCAGCGAGTCGAACAGCCCGCCATCGAGCGTCAGTGGCAGACAGCGAGCGAGTTTGGATACGCTTGCGCTTACGAGCGACTTGTCAAGTTACCCACTGGGCTTTGACAAGAACATCATGAACCACTATCCCGGAGCGAAGCGTTAATCCGACAGGATCATTACTACCTATTGTTCGACCCCTCGTTCACGCCCCTTCATGATGTCGCTCCGTATTTGCTCACGTCTCGTCACGTTCCTAGTCTCTGTGTACCTCTGTAGCTCTCGTAGGTAAATCTCTTCGGTCAGGTCAAGATCTTGTTTGCATATTGGGTGTACGTTATCCCCCCCTGTCTCACTCTTTTTGGTATTCTACCAGCCGTCCCTGTTCCGCATACAGCTCTTCGTTGCTGCCTCTTATCTCCGTGGCCCATTCGCTTGGTTGAACCGCGCCACAAGCCCTTTGCTCTATGTGTCCCTGTTCCCCCCTCTCCTCACACGCTCCAAAAATTTCCCATCTCTCCTCAGCTACGTACGTGCCCCCACAGTCTCGCACTCGTACCTCTCTTCCTTCACCTCCTTATGCATTCCTCTTCCCCTTCTGCCCATGCTGTGTTACGTAGATTAGGATTTTTCGCTGGGTTGCCATTGTGAAACGTATTTATTTTGATTTTTCTTATACCATATAACTTTCGTTGCTGGCATAGGGTCTCCTCGCTCCTCTTTACCCGTTGGGACTGTCAGTTCACCAGTGCACTATTAACTTTCAAGCATCATAGGATGCTTTTGCCTTTTTTCTTTCTTTCGCTTTTGATTGATTTGATCTTGGTGTATTGGTGTAACACTGCGGTTCTGGTAGGGGTGAATTCTCTGTGGTTATTTAATGCGATGACGGACGCTTTTTTTTCATCCTTTTCTTTTTTGTGTAGCACTGCGGGCAATGTATATAGTCACATTTGCGCTCTGAATCGCTTGGGTTAGCAAGTTCAAAACTTCAATCCTGTTCATTCCGGACATCGATCTCCCCGTCTTGGTCGGCACGGTCAAAAACCTGACATTCGGCCGACATAGTCCATAAATCTGACAGTATATGATTTTTTTTAAAGTCGTTCCTATTCCAGAGGGCAGACTTCTACTTACAACGTCTGGATAGTACTCATGGCCCGAACCAACGATCACCAATGGAAATGTCATCATTCAAGACATCATACGATAAGTACGTTGAAGAAGGGGAAAAAGACCATACCTTAGGACCATCGACAGTCAATAAGATGCAATGTGAGCATCTTTTTCGGTCTCCAATCATTTTGAAGGGATACAATTCCATAATCCTGTTCGTTGTGTTCAAACTGCATAAAGATAGATCAGGATCTAAGTCTGTCAACCGGCTAGCAAAGGGTCGTACTTGATAGCATGTGCCATAAGTCGAGACAGCTGAAAATATCTATCAATATCTCATTCGACGGACGATTCATGCTTCAATGCACGTCTGGTCAACCAGTCAGTCCTTGTTCGCCATGAGAAGACGTGCGAAACCTTTTAGTTTCGATTGTGTCGCGGCAGTGATAAATCCATATACAGATTGTCGAACCCACTGGCACGAATGCTTCACTATGTTTCGTTCAGTCGCGACTCCGCCAGGGCGTCCTCCAACCAATGGATCAGGTTCCGACTCACTTGTGGCGCCATCTAGGGCCCGAATCACTAGACAATTGTCAAAGCTATCATGTCTGACTGTATGAATGAAATACACTTACGTTGTGACCTTCCAAGTGTTCAGAGAAGCAATCCGGATTGACCAAGCCAACCTGATACGACACAGGTATGGATCAACCACAGAATCACCATCTCATCCTGAGCACCCGCCGGCATCACCCCATCCTTGACCAAGAGCAAGGAGTACGACGGACATAAAATACGATAGACTCACTGTCATAGGTTATACACTGCTCACCAGAGGTAAACACTCGCGTAACATATCTAATGTCGGATACATACTCGACTGCGTGCCTATTCCGTCGCTAGATGAACAGGACAGATTTCTACGGAAGCCACAGCAGCATGTTCTGCAGAGTCTGAATTTCGGACACGTATCACCTGTGATTCACCATCACTACTACCTACATATCGAATGCTTCTAAATCTGGACGCTCACCTTGGGACCATCGACACCTTCGAAGAAGTGATGGATCACCTTAGATCCGGGCCCTTCGGAGAAGGAATGGAAGACCGCTTCACCGGGTACTGGGGCGAGCCAGTCACTTGCGACGGGTATCTGCTCGAAAGGGATACCTGTCGCGCCGAGTGTCTCGCCGTCCAAGAGGCGATAGAGGGTCAATGCGACATTCTTCCCCGTATTCGACAGATCCTTGAGTTTCTTTAGAGACAGTGAAGTCTAGGATGGCCCCAAGGTTGAAAGTACGATTGCCCATCACAGCAAATGGATAATGAATAACCGAATCGCAAAAATGCGCTCCTCGAGGTCCCCATACCTCCCAAGGAATCGTGACAGGCGATCGTGGCATTGCACGAACTAGACGACCTGGCAACAGGGCCGACAAAGGTACATATAAGTTAAACAATTCGGTGCGATATGAGGTCACGAGATGGATTAGAGCCAGTTCTGGATAAAAATCCGATGACCTCGTCGCCAATGGTCCAACGGAAGTATTTGCGCAGAAAAATGCTCCCAAGATCGGTAGGTGCAATATCGTGCCTCAGAGGAGGCAAACTTCAGCTTGCTACTAGTTCGGGGCGCGCCAATTCGTTGAATGCTACGGTGGTCGATTGGTAGACATCGAGGAACATGGCAGGTGACGGAGCTGTTTGTAGTCTGGCCACCAAGACACAATTACTTCCAATGGGTAACGCGGAAATAATGTCGGTATCCACTCTAGAAGGGAAGGTCTGAATCAATGCCGCAGTGAGTGGCCTCGGGCACAGAATGAGATAACGCAGCACCCACAGTTATGGCAGCACCGGCGGACCAGTCGTACAAAATAAACTTGTTCACATCCTCAGCATACATTTGCATGACAATAGTTTTGCCATATGCCTTAAAGTTACCCAAGAAACTGTCTGCATCTGCATTGTTGCACGTCACTTGGAAGGCGGGAAGCTGCCGAGAAAGGGGATGAGTCTTTCCGTCTTGAATGGATAGAAAGTGAACGGTCCAGTCTAAGCGCAGTGCGCCTTTGAGAATATTGCTATCGATTACCAATATAATCAGCAATATCGAGCCAACGGACGTACTCTTCCTCTGTTTCTTCCTCAGTTGATATGATCAAAAGATCTTGATCAGGAAAGCAAGCGAATTCTCGTAAGGCAGGATCAAAATCCAAGCTGCGGACCTGCCGAACATCTACATCCGCACTTGCAGTGATGATGTCCAGTTGCTTGTATTCCACTGATCCCGGAGGCTGTATGCATCCTACAATAACGTCGTTAAAAACGCGGAAATCCGCCCATTAGCGGTCAGCTACCATAACTACCTCTCAGCTAAGCCGATATGAGGGCTATCCCAAATGCGCTGCGAGTCTGAAGCGTTCTAAGTTCTTCTATCGTCCTAGCACTAGAGTGTGTGCAGCCATCTTTATAACCATGTACCTTGAGCTCCAACAGATACTGGAGGTAGTGTGCCTCGTTGACGATCTTGTCCCAACGAAAACACACCTGAAGAAGATATGAGCAAGTTGATGATTAGACTTTTCATCACCAGGTCAAGGAATAAACTAACACGTTGACATCGAAGTATGTCTTGATATCGGAGACGACTGAAGATATCGGAGACGACTGAAGATATCGGAGACGACTGAAGATATGCACCAGAAGCTCATTCGACAGGCTGTCCATCATAGAGAGAAGGGAAAGGCAGCTGCTTCAATCCCATTTTTGCGGGATAGGTATAGTTTTCATAATGCTCGTGGTGTAGCCAAATTCCAACTTATTAATTGGAACGTCGGCAGATATTTGGCATCGCTTGCAAAAGTGCAGCTTGAACGGCTGTGACATCCCGTGCACGCGGCGTGACACCACGCGTTTGTCTACTGCCATCTGTCACGCTCCTGCTCTTTCACTACTCCCCTAGCAACTCATTATTGACTAAATCATGTCCTCGACTGCCACAAAGCGCAAATCAACAGCAGGAGCGGGGGTAGCATCGAAGAAAGCACGTACAGACAACAGCCATGAAGCCGCTCGGGCCCTTGTCTCCGAAATCCTTGCAAACCCTGACGCATATGCTATCCCCGAACGCGACGAGGACGTTAGAAAGATATTAATAGAACTTGCAGAGTATGCGCGGGCGTTGGAGGGGCAAAATGCCTCAGGCTCCGCCGGTGCACCTCCCAAGTCGAAGGAACAACTTGAGGAAGCGGCGGAGAAGATACGTAGAGCGGCGCATGCAGGTATCAAGAAACAAATGAGTGTGCGTCATTCGTTCACAAAATGCCTTTCTATGTAAACTGAAATATTTTTAGTGGAAACCGTCATGTAAGACTGGCGGTGCCAAGTGGTCCTACGACGGAATATGCCCTGACCCAAATGTTTTTGGCGTCCTCATGGGTTTAGATGGCCCTCCTACGTGGAAGATGAAGAAGTTCACTGTCAACGAGTTTGACGAACTCATGGGAGAAATTACTTCTTCAGCCAGGTTTGTGACTCATTTTCTGTGTCTACCGCTTATATATCTGTAACTTCGTGCTGCTATAGGTACTCGGAACTTAGACTTACCGGCACGAATGTCAATGCGCGCTGGTCAGACACAGGAGAATTCAAGTTCAGTGGTACCTATGGCGTTTGAAGTGTGTTCTTGTCGACTGGGTGTGATATTGCATGCTTGTGCTATAATGTGGACCCCTTCATAATATCAATACATAAGTACTCTTTCGTGATACCGTATTGTATGCGTTCTAATTGCCATATGTACTTACCTTCGTCTCGTCCCAATACGCTTTGTGTTGTACCATGATTCATCTTTCACCAGAGCGCTCAAACTCAAACTTCATATACACTTTCGCAAAGAATACTATTACGAGACAAGGCATCTATGACGCAGTTACAGTAGTACAACTTGAAGCACCTCGAATTATTTACATATCATATTGCCAAAACGGGTTATCTGCCTGCCATTTTAGATCGCTTCAGTTTAGGCGCCGATGCATCCACTTCTCACCATGACTGCCATCCTCGCAAGACCGATTTTAAATGTAGCTGTCTCCCGTCCACCGCCAGCCACCAGAAACCTCTTTACGTTACCTGACCTATCTTCACTCTCTCCGTTCTCAGACCCAGGAAGAAAGCCAGACGAACCTCAAACATACCACGAACGCAAAATCCTGCCGTATGTTTCGTTGCCGGGGTTATGGCGTCATTTATACTGAACGTGCATTTTGAAGATATCAACTTAGCGAGCTATATAACGTAGTCGCCGATGTTGCTTCATATCCTCGATTTGTGCCCTTCTGCACTGATGCACGTATCTTGAATAAATCCACTCCAATCACCCCAAGGTTAGGTGGACCTAGTTCCCCGCAGACCTTGGCCCGTGTGATGGAAGCCGAACTGACAGTTGGATTCCTTTCATTTCGTGAGAGCTATATCAGCAAAGTCACCTGTAAACCGAACGAGTCTGTTGAGGTTTGTCGTTTTCAAATGACCGTTAGATATGGCGTTGATACCCATGTAGGCGGTGGCATCCTCCTCCACCCCGCTGTTCAATTCATTAACAACTACATGGCGCTTCCAACCGGCATCCGCTCGTTCCTCACACCCCAGCGCAAGTTCACCCCCACAGAGAGGATCTTCTCATCCCCATTCACACACCGGTCTTCCTGGGGCGAGTAGCCTGTCCTCAGACCCGGACCGTGGTCCCACATTAGTGACGCTCGACCTTACATATGCTTTTGCGAACCCAGTACATGCGGCCGTGTCCGCGGCGTTCTTTGGCCAGGTCTCGAAGATGATGGTGAATGCATTCGAAGAACGGTGTTTAGAGGTTTACGGCCCGGGCAGAAAATGAGGAGATAAAATATACCAAACAATACCCTTCCCCCTTCCTCTTCCCCTCAGACTACGCCCATTTTTCTTTGAATGTGACACGAAATAGAGGATTGCATCCCTATTTTCTCAATGCTGTACATTAGAAATGAACCTAAACTACCACCTGCATGCGGTACATGATAGGGAACGACGGCAGCGCATGAAAGCACTGAATAAGGTTCCAGCATTTATCAGTATATAGCGATCTCATCATGGCCATATCTCAGCATACCTCCCAAACTTTGAGTTCAACCCATTCTGCGTGCGTTACCGCTTCTTGGTAGGCTGGAGGAGGAGCTCTGAAGAGGTCTATCACCCTGTATGATAATTGACTACATTGAGTAGAGCAGGATGAAATGACATGGATACACACTCAAAAGGAGGCCATCGTGCAGCCTTACAAGAAGCTGGATGGAACGCCAGCCGGAAGGGGATAAGCTTTACGCTGAGAGGACAAACAGACACCTGGGGTAAAGGAAGTAGAAAAGAGCACAACTGTGTTAGAGTGTGTGGATGAGAGGTGTGTGCAAAAACCCACAAAACAAAAGAGCGGACAAGTTCTGTGGTAGCGTTAATCCTCAACACCTGCACTATATAGCATGCACCAGCGTCCGATGAGTAATGAGTATTGCGGAAATCCATACCAGACGTCCCAACGGCATTCTCCTTTGATCTACTAAGCACATTGTGAGGTCTTATCCCGATTCCAATCAGATGGACAGGCTGAGGAACGAGAATTAGTGGAGCAAAATCTTGAGTGCTTTGTATACAATTAGGCACACAACTGCCAATGGCGGAATTCGGGCGGGCACATGAGAATCTTCGACTGGTCCATTTTAAGGCTTCTCAGTCTTCGTGATCATCGCAAAGATACTGTATCTGAAAGACCAAGACAGGCGCAACATAGACTTGGCCCGAACAAGCTTAGCTTGTGTCCGGTAGGTCCACAACATTGATCAAGACGCCGAATGCAAAAGATCGTACCGAGCACACGGCGACAGGGCCGTTAGAAGCCTAGCCCACCTACGAAGCATAGATAGAGCGATACTGCGGCTCTCAGTCAGTTGGCTTCGAGACTTCTTGGTGAAATCTCCCAACCTTTGATTTGCTTAGCTGTCAGTGAAGTGTCGCCATTTAGCTGCAGCTCTAAAGATATCGAGCGTGATTCACGATGAACCCGCGTCTCGCGCTATGAACGCAGAGTATTGAATCCGTCAACGTCCTGTCAACCGCGAGTAAACAGGGCAACGATGACATACCTAGACTCGTAAGCTTATCTGAATCCCTTGATGCCACGACCTTTGATAGTCTATGAATAAGACTTCTGGCCAAGGCTCCCCGGCGGAAAAGACGATACAGTCATGCTCTTGTTCACTTTACAGAATGCAGGGCCCTAGTCAAGGGACGCGAGCCCCGGAGACTGTCGTGACTCTTATTCACATGGACAATTGTGGGCCGGAGTGACCGCTGCTAAGAGGCCACAGGTCGCTCCGAAAAGCAAGATACCAAGACAACTCTGGAGGCTTTATGGTGCTGAAATCATCGGCTCTTCGTTTTAGGAGCGAGTTGATCCCATAATAATCAAATTCGAGGACTCGGGACGCCATCAAAGTATGTAGACGACAGACGTGATAGAGTTGGTCCCATTTCACAGATGAAGAATTTCAGTTGTGGGCGATGCAATGACGTTGCAGCGGCATGAGTCTTTGCGGAAATGAGCGCTCCGTTTTTGAAGAGAGTGCAACACATATGCACGGTATACGCGGCGTCTCTGAATTATCCTTGCCATGAGAAATCCTGATATTGCAGAAGTCCCAACATGCATCCAAGAACCATGATCATCGTTCCGCGGGTTCTTTAAAGTAAGGAATGGAATCCAAACGGCGTATGAGAAGTCCGAGTCTTCTACGAATTGTGGGTCCATCTTGGAAGTTCCAGACCTAGAACTGAAGTGTGATACCCAACCTATACGAGCATAGAACTTCCATAAATATACCATACATGAGGAGACCATTCAAGTACCGCACCAATACAAAGGCAGTTGGGGTGCTTGCGACTCGTGGTATTGATATGTGATGAATACGGAACGGTAAAAAGGGTTGCGCCCGTCCTGTGACCCTCGTCGCGGTTCAACGGGTCCGGTGAACAACTCGTCGATGTGCACGGAGGAGATGATTTGGGTCTAGTTGCGCTAATAAATTCTTCCAGAGTGTCTGGAACGAAGTTTCTGACATCGATGAGTGATTTAACACAGGGTCCTACTTTCACAAACGGCATCTTCCACGCAACCTCCACGCATTACTGCCCTCGCTGTACGTGTTTGACCCAACATAGGCGGACATCAGCACGAATACGACACCGATGACAGAGAGCGTTTCGTAGTACCTCGGGCGTCATAGTGTGAAAGGCAGGGGGTGTCAACGTGCAAGGAAGACAAAAAGTTCGACCGGAGTAACGGCGCAGATCTGCGCATCTCTATCTGCACGAATGCCAAGTGACTCTGACTGTACGAAGCCCATACTTTACGGCAGGGGACGCATTAGATGTCAGCAGCTGCAATATACGGGGAAGTTCACGGCCAACATACCTTTTATGTCAAGAGACTTAAGGACTTCACACAGCGCATGACAGTCAACGGGAGTTCGAATAAACGATGATAATGCTCATACACAAAATAACGGCGAATAAATAGAGCAGATCATAGAAGAGAAATCGTAACACATGTCGTTTTATCAAACATACTCTCTCTGACACAGTACGTTATTCACGTGAATGACTTCAGGAGGCATATTCTGCGTTCTCGGGGCAATCCCTGGCAATCTAATTTGGTGTTTGTTAGTTATATGACCGACTTCCGAAAGAGAATTTCTTACATGTCCCTCCTGCTGACACTTATAGCAGGTCTTACTCTTGTTGGCGTTGACGGGCGGGCCGCCAGTAGCATCGCCAACGTTCGTGCCCGGAGGAGCCAGGCAGTCCCTGAAGAAATGTAATAGGTTAGATATAGCAATGCACCGTGTGAGGGACTTAGTACCTGGCCATATGGTTGGGACCTCCGCAACGATAGCACTTCACGGGAGGAAGAGTCGAGGTGTTCAAAGACCTTCCTGGAGGGGGCGCTCGGGACGCAAAACCATTTGTCCCTCCTGCACTAGGGCAGGAACGTGCAATATGTCCGAAGCGACCGCAATTCTATGAGCAGCAGATGACTAAGTCACGGTAAGGCGGATAGGGGGTGCAAGAACTACGCACGTAGCATTTCTGGCCAGAGCTTTGAATCCTCAAGCTGGGACACTCTGCCTGAATGTGGCCAACGCCACCGCAAGAATAACATTGCTTAGCAGCAACGGTGCGAGGCGAAGGGCAAGCCGCAGACTCATGTCCAGGTTGGCGGCAGTTGTAGCAAAGGCGCTGCTCCGAAGTACAGTTCTCCGCAATGTGGCCGACTGTATACCAGTCAGAATTAAAGAGGCAAAACATCAATCTTCACGCACGGTTGCCACACTTGAAACACCCCTTCCTAGAGAATTGATATGCCATTCTGCCAACTACAGATAACCTGCACAGTAATCACGGTGAGGACCGCTCCAGACCCTCACAAACTGAGCTACACACCTCGCTTCTTCCCTCTCTTCCAACTAACCCTATACCTTCCGCCGTCCTACGAAGGAATGGGACTTGCAGCGAGCGAGATGGTTGTGGTGGATGAGTGGGAATGTCGGCCAAGGTTGCGCGCTATGGGAACGAGACCGGCCCTAAACGTTAAACGATCGTCCTCCCCAATCTGGTTAACGAGTAGGAATGGCGGCTCCATGAACGGACTACCACAACCTCGTCCATTTGCTAGACTGTTATTCTTCCTCTGTGTACTATCAACGGCTTGGCTTTCTGGTACGCTTTGATGATCTAGTGCGAACGTTTGGATAAACACGCAAGCAACGACTATGGCAACTTGCCTACTCGGCGGGAGCTATCTCGGGAATCGCATACCGGTTACAGTCGCGGAGTTGCTTGCTAGCTGCTGCTCATTTCACTAGCCAGACGGTGGCCGCATGGGCCGTGTCTTCAGGAACGCTATGACAGTCAGCTGTAACTTGGAGTTTTCGAACCGTTCCAGCACGCCTCAATATTAATCACATCGTCTCCATTCTCCGAAGTCCTGTTGCAAGAGGAAGTGACTTTCCCTAACGCTGCTCGGTCTGGTCGGATTCATGCTCGAATTGTCGCAGCTCATATGCAATTGGGAATTGATGTCGATGGCACCAGGTTGTTATTTGAGACGTGCGGTGCGCGCGGGGTTGACTTCTCCATCCGGCGCCTCAAAAATTGCTGTAGCAACTCTTCACTACCGCCCAGGAGAAAGGGCGTGCTGTTGGATTGTCCTATCTTGATCCGATCTAGCCTGTTGAAAAATTATAAAAGGTCCTCTGATGTTTTTCGATAGAACGGGTTTGCTTTTGCGCCCCCACTTACAGTATGACTCCCCATGGTATGCCGCAATGCTCCAGTACCTTCGCCGCTATACTTATGATACATATATAGTGTGGTAGATGCTCAGAGGTTCTGTCACGCCTCCTAGCGTCGAGCCGACCTCCCCCCACCCGCATCCATCGCGCTTCTTGTTTGGATGCAAATTCATTTCGCTTAGGGTACGTACGTTAGCCTACGTCAGGATTTGCGTTGCAAACGTTGACAGCATCAATCCGAACACAGTGGTTTGCCGGATCCCTTTTCGAAATGGTTCCCCATCCTAACAAGACGCGTAGTAACGCGTGGGTGAAGTACGGCTCAGCGTGTAGGAGGGAGTTCTTCTCCTTGTTACGGTGTTGAGCGCCACAACATGCGCCTGAACGCCAAGGTGGGCCCTATACTAGTACCGATCATACAGCCTGGTTCACCATTTGATAGGATTCAGCTCTACCATTGCTATTCCTTTGTATGCTTCTTTATCTATGATGTCTATGGTCCTTCTCGTTTCATATGTGGCTTCGCCTCTATCGAAATACATTCCATGTGCCAGATTCGTTAGAGTTTGCATAGAGTTCTCATGAGAAGTTCGATAAGATCTAGCGCGATTGCGTGATCTGGGACTCAGGTCAGGCAACCACTCGAGGATGAAACAAAGTGTCATATTATAACTTTGCGCTCAACTTGCAACACAATGCACTCTTCGCTTTTCCCGGCTTCCCTCATCGTCTTAAGGCTCGTTTCTCGCAGAGAAACTCCACTTATATCACTAGCGCATCTTGCTATCTGTTCAGCATGGCTTATCAGTACGCATACGTCTTAGTCATGCACCATGGACTATAATAACATCTGTTCGTCAAGCTGCGGGGATTCTGATTCATTTACCCACACGTCCACCACCCTCGTCTCTTGAGCTCCTCCAGACGTTGGAACAGGTATCGACATGGCATTGGAGAAGCATGGAAAAGCGATCGATCTGTCGCACCATCTGTCGGACTTGTCTCGTGCCAGAGGAACCTCTCCCTTGAAGGGTCTCATAAAATATGTGACAAAGCCGGGTACTATCTCTCTGGCAGGAGGTACATATGATCACTTGCAAATCCTAGCTCTTTTGGCTAGTCCTGAATGAATCTTTAGGAATGCCTCATCCCAGTTATTTCCCATATGCCGATATATCTGCTAATGGTACGCCCACAATTATGTGTATATTCTCAATTGGTGTGTTTATATACATATGAATAGCTCTTGCATCGGACAATTTCGCTCTTGAACCAACTCGACCAGACTCATCTGTTTCATGGTTCTGGAAACTCTTTGGGGCCGGGTCCTCGAAAGAGAAGATCATGCCCATCACGATCCCCAAGTGTCCTTCACAAGCAGATGACATCAATCTAGCTGTCTCCCTACAGTACGGTACGGCGCAAGGCCTTGTTCAGCTCCAAGAATTCCTCAAAGAACTTGTGGGAAAAGTCTATAAGCCCGCCTACAGCGACTGGACGACATTGGTCCAAACCGGCAACACCGACGGTTGGTCCAGGGCTCTCCAAACACTCTGCAACCCTGGCGAATTGATCCTAACTGAGGAATGGACGTACCCCTCTGCTCTCGCTAACAGCCAACCTTTCAACATTTTCCCTGTTCCGATTGCAATGGATAGCGAAGGTATGCGAAGCGATGACTTGCGAAAGGTTCTTTCGGAATGGGACGAGACAGCTCGAGGCGGGAAACGGTAATATATTATCTTTCTGAGTGACTGACGTTGTATTGATCGCTATATCAGGCCACACGTCATGTATACTGTCCCCGTCGGTCAGAACCCAAGCGGTGCTGTAAGTTCTGTCATCTATGTTGCCGCGAAACTTTGTGTGAATTGAGTATGCTGTTCCTAGACCATGGGTTTGGAACGCAAGAAGGAGATCTATGACATCTGCGTTGAATTCGGTTTGTGCCGTCGCTTAGCATTGGGTTTGATGCATGTTGACATGGAATAGATATCATTATCGTCGAAGACGACCCGTACTATTTCTTGCAGGAAGGACAGTACAAGCCTAAATCTGAACGTTCTAGCCAATCGGCTCACAAGGATCCTGGAGACTTCATCGCGAACTTGGTTCCCAGCTACCTAAAGTGAGTATAAAGTAATGGCATTTGGCGCTCCGTCATGCTAATGTGAGCAATTAGGGTGGACTACCAGGGCCGTGTGATTCGTTTGGATACATTCTCCAAGGTACACGCCTCTGCCAGCGTTCCTGCACCACTGGGAGCTAATGCACTGATTATTAGACGATTGCCCCTGGCAGTCGGCTGGGTTTCTTCACCTGTAACCCAAGGTTCGCTGAACGTCTCGAACGTCATGGTGAAACAACCACTCAAGCACCTTGCGGATTCGGCCAGGTAAGTTCTTTCGGACGGGACATAAACCTAACGCAGCTGATGGAACGAATTTTGCGCAGTCCCTGATTACTCAGCTACTTAAGTCTTGGGGATATGAGGGCTATACCCGTTGGCTCCATGGCCTTGCCGTACAATACACTGGACGTCGTGACTACATCATTGACTGCTTTGCGGAGGAATTCCATCTCCGGAGTTCTATTGGGACGACGGGTATCTGGAACGGACTCGAAGTGTATGACCTGTACGCGAAACCCAAGCGCAATGCGTCAGGATTGGAGAAGTTCGACTTTGGGCCAAAGTTAATTAGTTTTGTCCCTCCAACATCCGGCATGTTCATCTGGGTAAGCTTTTTATTACTTACGCGGTAAAAATAGTTGTGACTCACTTTTACGTGAAGTTGAAGATCAACTTCAGGACTCACCCGTCGTTCAAAGAAGGTGATGAGGAACCTCTCGAGACGCAACTCTTCATTAAGTTGGCCGAGGGTGGAGTCCTCGTTGCACCTGGTTGGTTCTTCGCTGCGACGGATAACGTCTTGGACAGCGGTGAAGGGCACGTTCGGATATCCTTTTCCAACGTTGACGTAAGTTTCTACGTTTTTCATTTTGATCGCGTGTTGATGTTGGTTGCATCTAGTTCGATGCATTGAAGAAAGCCGTTGGCATCTTCGGAACTGTCCTGCGCGACTTCTTCAAGGAGTGATAGATATTCTTCATCGAGTTATTTGCTTGTGGATCTTTCTGGAAATGTATTGTATATGTAAGCTAGATCTGGATTACGATCTGTGTGTGTGCTCTGTCATTGTGTGAGAAGTAAGGTGTGGTTGGCCGCAATGGGATGGCTGTGAAGGTTGGTCGTTAGGTTCGCGATGGAGGGTGTTATTTGTGGAAAGATCCCGCCTGAACGATACATATTTTCGCGAGAAGCGAAATCTGCTATACTGAAAGCTCATGGTAACGACTAAAGCTGCGTGTCATCGGTATATTTTTGACATGAATAAATCACGATGAAGGGTGTTTCTCGTTGTTGACTTCACACCATTCCTTCCGAAGCATCCCTAACGATCTGACCTCTACATGTTCGGGCGTACCCCCCAGATCCCATTTCACCATCGAAACCTGGGGCATTAGTAGGGGATTAGGGTTAGCACAGCCATTTCTGTGTCAAGCCGAGGAATGCATACCTTTACACCATCTTCGTCTTCGAACACACTCATGCGGCCCAGATCAAAGAGGACTCTCCAGTAGGGTAAGTACGTTCTAACTGTGCCCGTGAACAAACCATCGGAATAAGTCCTGAGAGTTCCAGGGATCTCCTGCACACCACCTTGGAGGACAAGGTGCGTAGGCATCCTCAGCCTGAACGGGTTGAACTCGACAATTTCAGACGACGTAAATACGCGATATCCTGAAACGTGCCGTACGTCTTGATGGGAAAAGGTACTTTGGAATAAGTAGCTGGAATAAGGGCCCCAGACTTGCCACGGAATTGGAGCTTCCGCGCGTTCTGTAGCGTGACCTCGAGGCTCAGGGAAGAACTCTCCGGGGAGGAAAGTCGCCAGGGGGGTAATGAATGAGTACCGCCCTTGACTAGATTCGAGAAACAGACAGACAAGTGAAGGGACAGAGTATATCTCGCTCTGAGAACTGGGAGCTTGGGATGAATGATCTTTATGTGGACTGAAGTGCGCCTGCATATAGCCTAGTCGGGATTGGTTCAATGTCGGGAATTCAAAAATTGCAACCCGATAAACATCCGCATATACAGGGTTGTCCAATTGCACGAGGAGATAGACATCTATAAATAGCCTTCTACTTGGCCGCTTTTGCAAGCGAACCAAAAGGACATATTGATCTCGCACTGGCAGTGCAGCAAGGTAGGCTACTTCATCGGAGGGCTGCCAGGTCTACGAAACTGAACATGATGAAGTCACACTTGCGAAAGGAACGAGGCTTACGATCGGGAATGTGCATGAGGGCCAGTGCAGGAGAACGATTTTATCACGATCAGCTATTACAATAATGTCGCCGGACACACGACTTGAAGGTTGATATCCAAATTTAATAGGTACCGATGTGTGAGCAGAACTTGTAGGAAACTGAGTTTGCAGTCGAGGGTGCACCAAGCCAGTCGACAGACACAAAAAATGATAAAACTTGAATCTGCTTCAAGGTTTAGCTGGTTTCAATACTCTGAGATGATCATACACACCTAGTTTGGTTTTCTGTTCCCATTTTGTTGTAACAGAGGATTAGAAGATCTTGAGACGGGTCACAATCAAAATGAGAAAATCGAATGCCGGGGTTCAATTGAAAAATACGCGAGCCTGGATCGACGCCATCTCTGAGCCGAATGACCTCTATTCCCTCGTACATCGTGCCAGCAGGCCCAGAGTCCGGCCGTAGAGATGAGACAATGATGTCGTTGAACTGCCTAGGCTGCAGTGCATGCGGAGGGATAGGAAGGATGAGATGTGGAGGTTCCAGCACAGGGCTCCTCCATGTATCTTGAATTTTCTGCAGTAGCTGTAGGAATTTTTTGGGCATATAAGTCACTGCTCTGACCGTCTTGTAGCCAGAGAGTTGACATGCAAGCAACAGCTGTAGACTGGGTGTCTCAGTCAAAATTACGTTCCACCTCCTGCTCACCTTTTAAGGTCAAGTTAGTTTCATCATTAAAGCATGAGTGATCTGGGAGCTTACACATCGACAAAGGATAAGCTCTCTGACATGAAGGTGCAGAAAGACCTCTACCAATAATTCAGTAGAAAACCTGTCCATGATGACCTTCACGAATTCAAGTTAGCCAGCGGACAAAAGAAAGCTCAAAAGAGTGTTGGAATATTCCTTGTTCTAGGTATATGGAGGACGTGACGGTCATAGACTAAGGGACATGCTGTATCGATCGCAAGATCATACTAACTTTTAACTCAAGTATGGGATTCATGACGAACAGACGCTCACTGCAACAGACTGCAACTCTTTCATCCTCTCCTCGAGAACACAAAACTTATTACTTACGCACTTTCCACTCACGCACATATTTCAAGGACTGTATCACACAAATGGCCACTGTGCTCAAGTCTTGGGTTACTTTCTCCACTCCAAAAGCTCGCAATGTCGTCCGGACTATCCTTGCCAACTCGAACAAGTTTGGACTGACCACGCAAGACATATACCATGCTGCACAACAGCAGAATATAAAATCAGAACTCGTGCGCCCAGCTAAGGCAGACCTCGCGCCAGGTCGGAGACCAGGACCAGAGCCGTCTAATCCAAACCATCCCATTCCTTCCATGAGGTTCGCTCTTGCAACAATATAGCGTCCTATTCTTTTACTGATTTCATTATCGTTCAGATACTTGAAGAAGTTCGTTCTCGAGGACCTAGCAGCTCGTGGCGAAATCGCGAAAGTACACGTTCGGAGAATCAAAGTAGGCGAATTTGGCGAGCCGGTATATTATGCCAGAGCAAAAGGCACCGTGCCAGTGAAAGCTGATGCAATTGTGACGGCTGGAAAGGAAGCTTGGGTCTGGAGACTCAATACAAAAGGAAACGCTTTACCTCCAAGCCTTGAAGATGAATCCGGTGAACCACCGGTTATGGGAGCGATGAAGCCCGAAGGCGTTGACCTCGAAAATGACGAGGTAGACGAGGACGAAATTGATATCTTCGGCGACGATAAAGGTTGGACGACCAAGTCCATTCGATTCAAAAACGTTCCCAATCTAGATCCAAACCGTACACGTTGGGATTGATATATACCACTGCGTCCATTATACTTTGATACACCACTCTAGTGCGTTCAAACTACCCGATACGCAACATTCAGTACAGCAAAACTAACTCTATATTGCAACAGAACATACTAGTCATACATAGATACATACAATTCAAGATTACAAGCAATAACTCAAAGCATAATCAGCAAGATCGTTACTATTCAAGCACATACATTGTCCGAGTCCATAATTCTTTCTCGCACGATCTATCCAAGCCTTCCAGAAGTTTTACGACTTCTCGGTAAACTCGCATATGAAACGGCAGGAGAGGCCCTACTACTGGGTCTAGCCAATCCAGCACCAACCGTAGCGAATGACGCATTGGCCCTGGTATTCGCAGCCGTCGTCGGAGACTGCATATTCGCCAAGTCATCCGAACTCGCCAAGAACGCGGGATCCACGTAGTCCTTTGGTTCATAATGCGAATACGAATTTCTCGATGTCGCGCTTCCAATGGAATCCGATGACGGGACGCGTTGCAACTTGGGTCGATGCGCCCCGGAAAGCGGACGAGGGATCATAGCTGGTGTGCTTCCGGCGTTCAGACTAAGGCTTCGATGATGTCCACCACCGGAAAGACGGGAGGTGACGGATTGGGGACTATTCATGAGTGCTGGGTCAGGTCTTACGGGTGGAAGAGGGTATTGTACACCAGGTGGAGTCGGTGCAGCTGTATAGTATGTCCGGCTCGGCGTGGTTGATCGTTGGGGTCCACCAGACATAGACATACCGGACGACGGTCGAACACTTAGATCATTGCCTACATTTTTTGTTTGGCAACTATCGCTACTCATAGCACTGAGTTGACTGGTAGACCGTGCTCTTGTGTGTTTAGACCTGGGTTGGGAGCCGTATTCGAGAGAATCGGGAGATTCATAACCACCATAAATATTGTGAGGTGTTCGTCTTGGTGAAGATTGAGCAACCGGTGGAGGGAGTACAGCAGGTTTAGTATTAGAATAGGGAACGGGAGGTCCTGCAGGCATGAACCCAAATGGAGGACCTCCAGCTTGAGGAGGATCTGTAGGAAGCATACCCATTGACGGGTATGCTTGCATCATTGTCGGCGAATTAGGAACGGTAGGTACAATTGGCTGCGTAGGTGGCCTAGGTAATGGCTCATGGGCAGAGTTGGGTGAAAGCAATCCAGAGTGATTGGCCACAGTTGGAGAGAATTCAGATCCCGAGCCAGACTAGGCAGAGCGCATTAGTATCTATGATCCCTTGAATGCATGAATGCGAAGACATACGGGAGGAATAACATCAATAAAGATTTCTCCCTCAGACGTTCCGGTTCTATGTCCCATTGAAGAGCCATCATGATGGTCAGAAACGGGTGTCCGTGGGGGACGTGAACGTTGTGAACCTTGGAGATTCCCGGGAGACATAGGTCGTGCACCTAATGGAGAGCGAGGACGACTACCAACAGCGGAAGGCGGCCGGTTCCCGACCGAAGACGATGGTCGAATGCTTTCTTGCGCCAAAGGCGATGGCACAGTCACATTATGTGGACGTCGAAGGCTAGGTCTTGAAGACTGCGAACGAACCTAAATGACATTAGACTCGTAAGTTCACCCTCAAACGTGGTGTATAAGATTGAGCACATACCTCCTCTGCGGCCGCGCTTCGCCTCCATTCTTCAACAGCATCGGCATTTTCATACCTCAACTCATCAGCCAAGCGTTGACTTGTCTTTCTATTCCTAGGCGTACCCCTTCCATAAACGTCTCCTTCGCCCTGAACACCCCAATCTGACGGAGAATTGCTCGCACCAGCAGGAGTGGGGAAGGTGACAGGATCGGGCATTCGTCTATTATCCATTCCCGGACTTGGACTGCTATATTCCACGGAGCCTTCGTGTATAACGCTCAATCCGGACTTGCGTTCCCTTATGTCCCGGTCCCGGTCTCGGTCTCGACCCACATTGTTACGTGACGAACTCCTTGGCGAGCTGTTCACAAGCTCGAATTGTGAGATTGTAGTTGAGGGGACGGATTCCGCTAACGACCGTGGCGAGGTTCGGCCCCCTCTCGAATAGTTGTTATTGCGATCCTGCGTTATAAAATTGGGTACAGCAGCAACGCGAGGTTGTGGTTCTGGGATGGGCAAAGGTTGAGCAGGTGAGTTGGGACTAGGTGGGGGACGACCCATTTCGTGAGGAGGAGGCAAAGGGATGAATCCTTCGTCTGCTCGGGGTATGTATCCGTCAGGAGGTATGGGTGTCGGAGGATGACTCGGAGATGGAGGGGCATTATAAACGGGCACGGGCATTGGTGAAATATAGTTCTGTTCCTCTCTTGCTTGTCGTGCATGTTGTGCATTCGACGGGTATAAAGATGAATTCGTCGGCGCTGGACTAATCCCATGCTCTCTGAACCTAGAACCTGGCGCACCCTGACCTTGACCTTGAGGCACCATATTAGGAAGACCCAGCATAGATAGCCCATCCAGAGCGTCCGTGTGCTGCACATCCTCCGCGTCATTGTCTGGGACAGGAAAGTCTGGCTCGTCGTCGTCTTCCTGTATAACATCGTCCCCCATAGTTCTTGTATCCGAACGAGCACGACGATAGCCGGCTGCACGAGCTTCCTCCCTCGCCTGCTTAAGACCTTCTTCGTATCCTTGTCTTCGACCTTCCTCTCTTGCACGAAACATGATCTGCTCTTCCTTGAGTCTTCTCGCGGTGGTCCTAGCTCTCGCAGCAGCGGCTTCCGCATCGTCCCTCTGCGCCACAACGTCCGTTATCATGTCCTGTCCTCTCTTCAACTCCTGTTGAGCATGGTCGTACTGAAATTTGTACAACCTGAGTTCCTCATTAGCGCGAGTGAGCTCATTCTGCGCAGCCATCCTCGCTTCGTTCACAACTCTAAACCTCTCTGCCAACTCCAACGCCCTGCGCTCCGCCTCCTGCGCTCGTTTGGTCTCGCTCTCCAGACGATCAAGAGCCATACGGATGTACCGTTTCGTCCGCGCATCTTCGAACTGCTCGTTCACGAACATCTTAACCATGTCACGGTTCGCACTTGACCGGTGATTGTTGTCTCTCGATTTCCTGTGTGAAGACCGACGATGTGATCGGTCTCGACCAGAATCTGGACCATGACCGCTATGAATGAGAGAAGTAGAAGACCTGTAAGTCAAGCGGGGGGAAGGTGGCGTAGGTAAAGAGTCATTATCTTGAGGTAAAGGCGGTAATCGACTATCCACCAAGTCTCTTAGTTCTGGTCTGCAGACGATGACGACGATGTGATAAGATAGTGAGCAAGGAGGAAACGAGGCACAATTGAGTCGGTCGAGATTCCAACATACCCTTCTGAACTGTCTGAATATCGCAGTGGACCACTTCCGCCGACGTCGCGGTCGACGTCGGATTCGTCTATCATTTTTGAGAGTTTTTTAGGGTATACAGATGAAAGGTATTGGATGAAAAGATGGATTACAGCAGCGTCTACAATAGGAACGACATCGTGGGGAGGCGACCAAAATAATACAGCCAAGTCAAAATGGGGAGTCACTCAGGCTGTTCAACTGCAAATCTCCGCAAGTAACCGGTGGGCGCTTGAACACCTCACTCTGATCCATCCCGTCTGCTCTGCCAGTGGTTGACTTGAGAGAGGTCGTTCTTTCCTATGTATAAAAGCCTTCACGACGACGCTATGTTGCAGGGCGCAGTATAATCTCAATCGGGATAGTGACGATTGTGCATGACTTTTTTCCGATCTCGACAAAACGAATATCCCCTTAGACTGATCGACAACGGAAGCATTTTTATAGAACCCGGCCATTCCAGGTCTTGGTGACCGTTCCTGGTCTGTTCATCGCGGAGGCAACACTGGAAAGGTCTATGAACATATAGCAATTGTCTTTCTTGTCGGCCGCCACGTTATGAAATGGTTTGGAGAGCGTACACACTTTCGTGCGTTGTAGCATCTACGACGTCCAGAGTCAAACTAACAAACTGCCACTACGGAGAGCTTCTCATCAACGGGACATTTAGATCACCAAGCTAAAATTTGTAGTCCGAGTCAGACTTGCGGCTGTAACGGATATCCGACGGTCTTTCTCCACGATATCCCTCCTAGGCCTGCTAAGTGGGTACGTCGTCTTATGAGCTCGCTCAATACTGCTGTCATCGAAGGTGTGTTACAGAGTTGCAGCACATAGCGCACAATTCGCACAATGTACATAGCCGGGGAAGGGGTCCCGCGAAGAGTATCAATGAATGCCTTCTGCTGATCTTGTCCTAGTTCCGTCTTCATTGCGTTCATGCGTCATGCCACGATGCGCGATAGAACACGAGGCTGTTTAAGATACTAGCATATTTTCTGTGCTCGATATTATTTCTTTTCTCTCTCTCACTAGACATATAAACGTGGCGGCGGAGTTTACCCATGAATCCCAGGTACGCCCCCCATGTTACCCAGGGTATACTTCTTCCTCTTTGACTCTAAATTCAAGTTATTGCTCGAGTCCTGAGGGGGTCCATGTTTCTGTGTCGATGTGCTGTGCCCCAATCTTCGAGTTCTTCGCCACAATCATCGAAAAGTCCCATCTCTGTTCCATCGATATATACTTGAGTCAGTATCATTATCCGCGTTTCATCACTCGAGTTCTCTGGTTCACTCAATATTTGACCCTGTGAAGAGTGAAGACTATACTACATTAATTCACTGCCCCCACTTATTATTGACCTCATGCTTTAGGCCCTATTGGATGACAGGAATATAAGGGCCCCGCCTTGCTTTGACGGTGGAGCAAGCATCGCCCGGTATATCAAGGTCCTGGGTTGGAGTTAGCTCTCTGCTCAACTAGCCGCACGTATGAGACCTTTTGCTCTGGCGAATTGAGGGTTTCTGTGGGGCAGCAAAATTTCCTCCCGTCATATTATCATGATCTGCAGTGATTGTGACATGTCTAAGAGCTGCAATAATTTATACTCTGAACATGGACCGTTGCGAACCGCATGTCTAAGACAAAGGGCACGCTAGGAACGGTGACGTCGACGCAGACTAATAAACGCACAAGTTGGCGATATCACCTTATTGAGCGTGAGAACTTCCCGATCTGTCACCGAGGTTCTGCAAAAGGCAACGCCATCTATCGCTTGGCTATTCACATCAAAGCATCAAGAAACGTGTTCACTGGTCGACTGCACAAAGTGTAAAGCCTGAAAAGCGCATCCTATCCACCGCGCTTGGTCTCATTTGCAGGGCCACATAGAAAATGGAATATTCTGCAAGTCACAACGTGTACATGTGGACTGATATATACACCTCTCGCTTGACTTCGCTTGATGTGCCACCTCGGTTGGATAAAAATCTTCCTTTGCCGGGGGAGATGTTTAACCGCCCACGAGCAGATCAATGCAACTTGGCTTTACGCTTCTGCCCCCCGTCCTGAGTTTCCTGTGGATCAACATGGGTATCCGTGTGGTTTACTCGTGTTTGTCAGTTTGTTATGGTCTGTTGGAGGGGGGAAATACCGTATAAACCAATAGAAGTCAGGCTGCTGTTAAAAAGAGTGGCGTGGGGTGATTGGAAGCCTCTCCTCGTCCCTCTTGCTATCTGTCCTATTGCCACTGGCTCTGCATTCCCATGGCTTTGTTGAAAAACCTCTCTTGGGCCCTTGTTAGCTGAAACACGGTGATGGGGCGCCTTGTTCGTAGTATGGACATGACCTCAGACATGAAGTCATCCAGTAGTCGTCTTCTGATAGTCGTCTACCCGTTTCTTCTGGGAACTCGAGACCGTTTTCCATCCCTCTAGTGTCCTCTCCAAGTTACGTTCTACACCGTCCTCTTGTTTCCCTCCACGACGATATCCTGCAGGTCCGGCTGAGTCACTGGCTGCTAGCCGAGATCAATAAAGCAATGCGATATCGATTTGTTGACAGGCACATGGCAAGATGGGGAGAACATACGATCGGCGGGAGAAGCTACGCAAGCGTTGGCAAGGGCTGTGGGCGGGTGTGGGACGACGGCGGTTACCAAGTGCTCTTTTAGCGCACTCTCTCAAAGTAAGCCTGCAACTCTCCTTTGATACCTCCATTCTCGCAGCTCTGGAGGCTATGTCATCCCCTCGTCGACCACACCTGCTGTCGATTATTTCTATGCTTAACACCGATCCCGGTCGGGCTCTTGGTACTGGACCCTCATTGGCCCGCGCGCTTCTCACTGTCTGGACTTCACTTCTGGTTGCACGGTGGTCGTCCAGTCTGGGGTGAATTCAAGACAGCTAGGGCCCCTCTCTCGCCAACATAGCATACATCGAATTGCGGCGAGGAGGGGAAGGCAGGGGAAAGCAAGACAGAAAACACGGTCACGTGTAGGGATCGCGTCGCGGGTGGCAAACAGGAACAAACAGAGGTTGAATATGACCGCATAGCCTTGGGTCGGATGCGAAGAGCACCGATAGCTGCTCTCATTGCCTGTCTCTCTTCCTGACTCCCTTTATCTTTTGCTTTTCCCTTTGATTTGTGTTCTCTTTCTCTCTTGCGGGCTAGCGATAACTGTCAGCTTTCATGGCACTGAGCCACTCACCACGCAAACAAGTCCCTCTAGCCACCGGCGACGAAGACAGACCCACTTTAAAGTCCAGATCAATACCCAATCTCACAAAGCGTGTATTCTTCTGCGGCGTTGTTGTGGAAAACCCCGGACATGGCAGACAACTCCCACAAGGTACGTCCCCGGCTCCAGTTGAAATGAACAATAACAATAGAACTTGAGACATCATTGCACAGACGTACAAGATCTTGTTGCTTCCTTAGGAGAGCCTATAGAGCTCGATCAAGATGACTCCGAAAGTGCAAGCTCATTAGAAGCAAGCACGGACCCATCCAAAGCGGTATGTTTGCTTTCAACTCTGATGTTACACGGGAATCTTCCTTGCAAGCGCCGGTTGCATGAATACAACATTCGAAAAGCAGAAGATACACTTTCTTCATGTCATAGTGGAAAACGTTGGGATGACATCCTATATGCTAGAAAACGAACCCCCTGAAAGTTACCCCTATGTTTTGCAATGCTTTTCAGGGTTTCTCGGCGATGGCTATCTTTCCTATGTTTTGAACGATGACACGAGAAAGACATATCATCTGTCTCTTCCGTATTGCCTCCATGCAGTCCATGGCTGCCTGAACATGTCCTCGTTGTAGTTCTGCGACTAATTCTCCATTAGGATGCTCCACATACTCGACGGCGAGCTTTGACGAATACGTCTGCACTCGCGGACGTTACCAATGAATTTGTATCAACGGAACGGTCCTACGTCAAGCGACTATATTCGCTCAAGCACGACTATGCCGACCCGTTACGGACGTTCTCTCGCAGCAAAGATACCGCAATCATCCCACCCTACGAAGCGAAGACGTTGTTTGGCAATATTGACCAATTATTACCCGTTAACCAAGCCTTCCTTGAAGACCTCGAACGCATGATGGCACCGGACGGGGCAGATACGGTAGGAGGCATAGGCGATGTTGCGTTGAAGCATTTCAAACAGCTACGCGGATTCGAGAACTACAAGCAGTATTACTCGAAGCGGGAAGAGGCACAAGCGATATTCGAAAAGGAGATGCGCAAAGCGGGTGGCTTTGCCGCGTTCATCGATGTAAGCACCCTTCCGTCGCATTTCTTTTGGCTCACATCTCAATATCCTCGCAGCGAATAAAGTACTCCTCTACAGATGTCAAGAATCGCGTCGGGCTGCGGGAATTACTCATGGACCCAGTACAGCGTATCCCCCGATACACGCTCATGTTCCGACAAATGATCAAACATATGGCACCCTCTGACCCACAACGCGCCAAACTAACAGAAGCGAACGAGATTGCGAGCAAGATCGCGTTAGCGGAGACGGATGAGCAGACGAAACAGGCGACGATCATGTATTGTCTAAGTGCCACGATTGACGAGTTCCCAGCATGGCTGATGAGCCATTCAAGGAAGTTTGTGGATTGTATAGATGTGGAGGATCTCGTCGACTCTCCTTATTCATCTTCGTATTCACATTCGAGACATGGTAGTGCGAGTAGTGGGGGACCTGGTGGTGGGTCTGCGGGAACGGGGAATTTACATTGCAGTTTGTTTCTTTTTGACGACAAACTGATGATTGTAAAGAGACCGGCGGAGAAGGGTGCACGGACGTTGAGTGGGTTGAACGATTTGGATAAGTTCACCAAGTCTGGGTTACCTAGTGGGTTGAAGAAGAATGGGATGGCATGTAAAGGCCTTGTCGACGTGACAGACCTCGTCGCGACTGATGTCGGTGGCGCAGGTGCGTCTTCTCTCGTGTCTTATCAACTTCTCTTAATTGTTCTATGTCATTCATTAACAGATATGCACATTTACCTCGAAAGTCCACCCCAAGACCAAACAGACCGCTGGTCAGGCCGTCCCTTCCGCGCGCTCTCAGTCGTCCACCCACCTTCCCCCATCAATCTTGAGCCTACACGTACCGAATCCTCCAAACAACGATTTTTGGAAAACTTGTGGGCTGTTCAGGCGAGGTACAGGACACGATTAGGTCAGAGTGTGACATTGTGTGCGGAGGAGAGGGAGGTGGAGAACCGAGGAGGGAAGATTACGAGGGCAAGAACGTACTTTAATGTATATCAAAGGACAGCGTTCTTGAAAGAAGCTAAGAAGGTACGTTATGATTTCTATCACTTTTGCTTCTGCGTCATATCGGACAGGCACGTAAACTGATGGCTTGGGTTTTGGCTTAATAGACCAAGATCGTACTTCATATAGACCCGACAGGTGCGGCCGATCCTGTACCATTTGGCATGCGAGCCCCACCGTTTGTGGTCGTACGCGTGCAACCTATGGCTGGTGAATTGTCGCGGTATACTGTATGTTCGAATGACCCAAACGATGAGGACGAGGAGGATATTATTCAAACTGCTCGCGTCCCCGACCGAATCGTTCAAACTAGTGAGTAATCTTACTTCTATCTCTTCATGTGTGCATGTCATGTTGATCATTACCATTTTGATCTTGTTCATGGCTCGGTAGTACACCAGTTTGGGCTTTTCAAGTTCAGAACAGGCAATATCTCCATGCCTGCCACACCTACCGCATCTACACGTTCTCGTGCTGCCATCTTCAGCTTAGACACGATCTCCCGAAACCTTTTCAATGCCCTTCCGGGTTCCTCTAAAGGCGATATCTTCGGTGGTTCCATCAACAACCACAGGCGTACCAAGACTATGGCTTCTCGTTCCTCTGCTTTGACTACCAATTCTAGTAGTTCAGGTGATAGTGGAAGCCTAAGTCGGTTTTCGAGGACAAGGAGTAACTCGACTGCTACGAGTGTGTCTATGGGAGATGACGATGATAGGAGTCTTGGCACTGGGAGTACGAACGGGAAGGGTAGACCTAGGAGTATGTCCCGTGCGAAAAAACTCATTAAACGACCCAAATCTCCTGGGGCGCTCAGCGAACCAGAAGTACCCTCACCTGGTCGGTCCAGTTCTTCGCGAATATCTAGGACGCAATCGGAATCTGGACATGGTATGCCCAACGGTGATAACTATAGGCGAAGTGGTTCTGTTTCGACTGAAGGTGAAAGCGAGGAAGAGGATGATGGCGATGATGATGGGGAGAGGTATATGGGGAGATTTGGTGATCATAGCGGAGCGTTGGATGAGAGTGAGAGGGATTTGGCTGCTAGGTTGGAGCTTGCACGGAGGAATTCTAGGAATCAGCATGAGACGACGGCTGGGACGTTGCAGTTGGAGGGTTCGGTGGAGGGGACGATATATGAAGGTGATGTCGTCTTGCACAAGTACATATACCAGTTTAGGCTGACTCTTTTTTTTTTGTAGATGACCTGCTACGATCACCCTCCCGCCAATTGCGAGACCTTCCAGACTTACCCAACGACGCCGAAAGTCAACATTCTACCATTCGCCCAGACCGCCCTCCAAGCCGAGGCTCGCACAACTCCCATACCGAATCCGTAGATACCGCATCTACTTACCGTCCCAGTTCCCGACCAATGATGCGTCAATCACTTGACGATCGTCGTCCCCATGGTCCCCGCAGTCCCTCTCCTCTTCCTCCCACAAGTCCACGGCTATCATCTTCAACTAACTTACCACCTCTGGATACCGACTTTACACACGGTGAAGATACGTTGGTAAACGTGCAAGATACACCGAACACTCCTGTGACACCGAGACGGAATCGAGCTATGAGTCTGGATGACCACCTTTCCATACCTAGAACTCGACGATCCTTCGCACCTATGTCAATGAGCAATACTACGGACGCGACACCGAGGCCATTCAAAGCAGCTGTGGACGATATATCCAAGGGCGGACAGGATTCCGTTGAGCCTTTGAGCATTAAGAAGAAACCGTTCTCGGGATTATCGAGTACCAGATGGGAAGGATCGCCTGCCGGAAAGCCTAACAATGCGATACCGAGGACTCAGCCGCTACATAAGATGTTGCCTTCGACAAAGACGAATGGCATGAGGGAAGGTACTGTGTCGCCCACGAAGGGTTTCAGGATACCCATGTCGTCGAACCATGCTGCGAGGCTACAAGATGCCGAGCAGCTTATCGAGATTGCATTTTCAACCAAGGAAGATGTAAGTGAAATGGATTGGTCCGACTCGAAAATCCACATACCAACTTACCTCTTTTGTAGATTGAGTCTGCTCGTCGTGCTCTTAAGCGCATCAAACTTGAAGCAGACAACTTAAACGGATCAGCCCCAGGTTCGCCCCCCTCTGACATTGAACGAGGCTCGTCGCCTACAAAAGGCATCCGAACACCTCCCCAACGCCCCGCTCCACCATTAGTACGCCTCATTCTGACATTCATAATTAGAAGTGCTTACTGACTTTCAGACTCAGACGAGGGAAGCCCAGGCACGTATGGAGGAGATGCGGCAGCTAATTAGCAAACGAAATGGCGAGACTACACCCCGTAGTAGGCCATTTAGTATGATATCGGAAGGCTCGTTACCGAAGCTCTCTGAAGCAACACGCTCAGATGATATTGGTCGGAATATTGAGGAGCTGGCTTCTCATGCAGATCAAGAACTGTCCAGGGCGGTTAAAGACCAGGAGCACGTACATACTGAACTGCGACAGCTCACCGACCATCTCAAGGAGGTATGTGTTTCATATCTCAAACCTTCCAAACATGTGGCTAACCAGTTTGTTGTGGTAATCAAAGACTTCAGCTGATCTTGAGCGAACAAGACTGGAGTTGGAAGGTGCCAAACGACAATGTGAAGTCGTGAAGAGTCTTTTGGCTGATGCCACGGATGAGAAGGAGATTCTATATACCGTAAGCTTTTCTAACTAGTTCTACCCAGACCGTCGGACTCATATTTGTGTATAGGCCTTCAACGAAGAGCTGGACGGGATGTACGAGACGGCCAATAATCTGCCCCCAGATGATGCCTGGGTAGTCATGACAAAAGACCTTCGCGAGACGAAGGAAGCTCGGAATACGTTAGCAAAGGAGAACTCGTAAGCAACAACCAGACAGTTCTGGAGAACAGTATTGACCAGACCTTCTGTTTAGACAACTGAAACGGAGACTGGCGGAGCTGGAGTTGCAGAATGAGGAGTAAGTTCACGCCCTTGCCATCATCTCGATGTTGGTGACCAATAATGCTTCACAGATGGGGTGCTATGCTCCGGGCGTACGGACTGATATCATAATTTCTTTCTTGGATCTATGTTTTCTCTTTGCATTTGCTTGCTTGATCTCTTTGTCATGCTATGTCGTGGTTTCTGTATTATACCATCTGTACCGATATCCTACATGATACACGCATTACGATCTCGAAATTATATAGGACTTGCTGACTGGTAAATGCAATCAATCATGGAGTGCAATCGCGGAGACTTTCTAATGGTACAGTGGGTATGAATCAAAATACAAGGAAAGTGCAGAAGTGCTTGGTGGAAGTGATTGATCTAACATGAATAAAAAAAATGTGATAAAATTCAAAATAATGCGTGCATGAGGACGTGAAGGAAGACTTGGGAGAAGATTGAGGTACAAACAAAGGATAAGAAATGGTGATGGAAGATGAGAGTCATGGAGTCCGGTTGTCTGAATCAACTGGTGTAAAAGAATGAGATCGTTGAAATAGAACGCTCTTGAGTGTCCTACGAGGTATCAGTGGTCCAGATCCTGTAGACTGCAGAGGAGAAGCTGGCTCTCGGCGTATTGAAGAGGTAAATAGAGATCGTCGCCTAGCAGGTTTCGACTCCGTGAATGCCACTCGACGGGGAGAGCCTGCGAAGATGGGTAAAGATTGACTTTGATCCATGTCAGGCTTCAACGGTGGAGGCGGCGGATCGTGAGGAGCGGTGTTATGTGAATCATCAGACTGACCGGGTGTTGTAGAGGAAGATTCTTCAGTTGGGTTCTCAGGCGAACTCTGAACGCGACGACGGAGAGAACCTCTCCTCCACCATTGAACCAAACCACCAGGGGAGCCTAGCTCGGTGTCCATAGATGCGACAACGATGGTTGGTGATTCATGACCGGAAAGTGATGGTGTAGGAGACACCGAGCGGGAGTGGAAGAAGTATCGCACATTATCAACCATAGATCGTGCTCTCTTCGGTTTGTAGTCCTCCCTTCGGATCTGAAGGACGTCCGATGCACGCGTCATTATTTGATACGCACCAGGAGGTGTAGGTAGGGGCAGAGGTTCATCATTAGGGCTGGGTAGAGCCGAATTGATGTTCGAAGATGAAGCAGACGATGGTTGGGAGAAAGGTGGTGGTGAAGCGGACAAGCCATCAGGACTTGCAACTTCGACACAGGTATGAGACTGAGGGTCCGGAGGTAATATTGAAATATGCTGTCGAGGCTGACGTCTGGCAGAGAAGGACCGTGGCCTCTTAGAAATCTTCAACGTGCCTTTTGCGGAATTCTCTGGATCGCTGGTGACGTCCATTGCGCAGTTCTCCGCAGAGTTCTTGCGCTTGTGCGATACGAGTACACTGTCGTACCTCCTCTTCGTTGCAAAGTTCATAGCGGTGGAGATACTCAGGCCGGAGTTTGACCGAGACATCCCCGCATGAAGCTTCTTGCGGACCTGGAATAGCTCGCCGTCACGCATCTGGGCCTGGGATCGCACAGTGATACAGCTATCAGAGAACACATCGTGTAATCCATGATCCACTTGTTGACGAACTTGCGACGAAGGACGAGAGATACGACTCGAGGTTTCAAAGGTCAGGGGTGCGAAGAATGCCTTCACCGATGCGGTTGAAGATCTCCGACTGAGAGGAACATAACCTGAGCCCGTTTGCTCGTTTCGTAGCGCAGATCCATCAAGTCTCGACATGGTCTTGAAAGGCCTGGAGTATGTCCGAGGGATCTGCGCTGTGGCGTCATGGTCTTCGAGTTCACCCATAGACTGGATGGTTGGAAGAGGCGTAGTGTTATATTCCTGAGGTTCTTCGACGAGTACTGAAGATGCTTTCTCCTTCTCCCCGACAGGTAGGTTAGAGACTGGTTCATTTTTCCAGTTGGGCGGCTGAGATATTGCGTCCTGGATCCCTGCCAACCAGATCTCTTTTTCATGATGGCACGCCGCGGCGAACTGTAGGTGGTGACCGTTGCCGCAAAGGTGGAACGAGTACGGAAACGCAGCTGTACGTGTCTTATTTTAGACCTACGGCGCAAGGACTCTGAGGATCGCACTTACCATCATCCTCTTCAACGTCAATCACGTCGAAGCCTGCAAGTGAGAACCAGTACCTGGGCTCATACACCTTCCCGCTCTTGGGGATCTTGACAAGAACTAGGTAGCCACCAACGTACAGGAACCCGCCAAGGTACCTCGCGCGAGACGAAGAGGTATGATGCACCACATCTAACGCACCAGCAATAAGACAAGCACCCAATGAAGTCAAAAACTCTGAGCTCAAAGTTGATGGCTTTCCCTCATGCTGAGAGGACATGATTCGCGAAACGATGAGAGCCGACTTGATACTATGCGCTTGCTTCATGCTCGCATCGTCCACTAACCCACAGACATTGCGCATTGCTGCACATGCGCTCTCAATGGTGTCACTGCCTCCGACGCTAGTCCTTGGACCTTTGGTCTTGAGGAGATCTAGAAGTAAAGGATACTTGCATATCCGCTGAACGGGTTTAATCAGGTAGTCGAGGAACTTCAGCCTTCCGAGTTGGGAGTGAGAACCATCAGTACGTTGACGGGTTCGTTCATGGATGGGCTCCGATTTATTAACGTAGGTCAATGGCGGCGGTGTGCTGAGTGAAGGCGTGGAGTGCCGCCTCTTCTTCCTCAGGGATTCGGAGGAGTATTGGGAGGGCAATTCAGGACTCTCCAAGGCATGGGCGACTAACAAAGAACAGCGCTGCTCAAAAGCATCCCACTCCACCGGGTACTGATCTTGGACGTTGCGAATCAGATTGGCGGCTTCATTATGTCCTGGGCAGAAGCCCTGGTACATCTCAAATGAGGATGTCTGAGGCGAGAAATGAATTGCCAAACAAGGTCAAATGAAACACCATGGCGCCTTACCTCGTTCACGAAAACTTCCGCCACTGCTTTCACTGCCTCGTCGACACCCTCCATATTCACATCGAACGCCATGTTCCCCTCAAGCACATGTCCAAAACCGAACGGGTCGACAGCACTCTTCAGCAAACTGACGAATCGCTCATGGAAAGCCACAACATCATCAATGTTCCTTTTCACTAATGCGAATTCTGACTCCGACAAGATAGGTTTGCGACTGACGGATTTCATAACTCGTTCCCTAGCTCCTAGTTCGGGAGAGTTTGGGCGGCTATGTCCATGTTCACTGGTGTCGGGAGGTCCAAGAACAAATGCCGTGTTAGGTTGATGGGAATAGGCAGAGATATGCGATCGAGACGAAGGGAATGAACGGGCGAGTCCAGATATAGAGAGCGAGGAAGGTGATGGACGAGAAGGTGAAGGCGAAGGTATAGGAATGCTAAGGGCCTCCAACTGTGCCAAATAAATCTGAAACAGCAAGATGGGGTCAGTGCGAGTTGAAGGGCAAGGAGCCTCGATGTATGCGCTGTGAACGCAAAGATCGAAAGCTAACTCACAGAAACCAAAGCCTTCAGGTCCGTCAAGTATCCAAGTTCTGTAGTCAGAAGCTCCAGAATGGCATGATACCGTTTCGACCGGAAGGGAACCTCAACACTTTGGCGAATCTGCTCATTTTCCTTCTGAATGCTACTCTCCCTTGATAGTTTGGCTTCCTCGCCTTCCTCGCCATCATCATCATCCCCATCCAGATGAAACAACCTCCTTCCGCTTCCCCCATCTCTGGAACAACGAGGACTTAACTCTAGCAGCCGAGGACTTGATGCTGGACTAGACAGGGCAGACTTATAGGAAGATCCGAAAGAATCGGACGTGTGCAAGGGCGGAAGTGTCTCTCGATCGTTCAATCTTTCTGGATTCTCCACAACATTTGCATCCTCAGCCATGATGCCCATACGTAGCGGACTAGTGCCCCTCAATCCGAGCTTCTTAGGGACTCGAGACAGACTAGGGAGGAGGATATTCTCCACTGGATCTGTTTGCACCCCAGACACAAGATGGTGTGATGGAGAATTAGGAGGTCGGGGAATGGAGCCTGAGCGGGGAGAGGTGGGTGAGGAGTTCGTGGCGTCGTAAGAATTCAGGAATTGAGAAGGTAAAGGAGAGGATGGAGAACGAGAAGTTGCATGTGGTATTGGGGGTAAAGGCTTTCCGAAGTTTGGTGGCAGGGATTGTCTTCGTTTCATTATCTTTGGCTGTTGCTGCGCGCCGATGGGATGACCAGCGTCCGCGCCGGGAGAAGTGTGTGCTCTGTAATGAGCGGTCGTCGACAATGAGGAGAATGGGTCTCCGTTGGACATTCCTTTTGGGAATACCCCGATTGATGCCGGTCGAGGTTGATCAAACCCATGTCTTCGCTGACAGTCACCAACGGTCACTCTCGTGTAAGGTACACCTGGACCGCCTGCGTCGAAAACAAATGCGCTTTTCTGCGGAGGTGTCGGAGGTGTTGACGTCCATGATGGCGTGATCAAGCGGTCCAACGAGCGCTGTCCTGCAGAGACGTGCAATGCTGCGTCAGAATCTAGTGATGGCGCTTCCGAAATAGGAATAAAAGTACCCCTCGTGTCTGACTGCAGGTTAGACTCTTGCTCGGAGTCTAAACAATGTTGACCAGCACAAGCCTCGGTGTCCATTCTCACCGAAGCGAGTGCGCCTCGACGTTCACGATCCTCATGTACAACAGCACTCATACCGTCGGAATTCGCACCGGGGTCTGGTGTCAACCTAGGTGAAGCCATGATCGGTGTCAATGGAACGAATGGGAGGAAACCCATCGCTGATGACGACCCCTGGACGATCCCAGATTTTACTCTGCGAGGTACACGTAGAGTCGCTGTCGCAGTTGTTGGCGAGAATGAAGTGGACGGTGAGAGTGAGGGAGTGATCGGCATCGGTCCGTGAGCCATAGAACTCGAAGAACTCGCACTCGAAGTCGGCGTGAGAACGAAGTTTAAGTTGGACGAAGAAGCAAGGGGTATGGGTACCGGAGTGAATATATGCGTCGGCGATGATGAAGACAACGAGAGAGTATCATCCAGGACAGGAACACTTCGACACGAGCTGCGTCGAGCAAGCAACGGGCTCTCAGACGCTCTTGGGGAAAGCGAGATAGGTGCAGGAGGTGAAGATAGGACCTCCATGGAGGAAGGTCGGCGAGAGGTGAAGTGTAACCGCGATCAGGAAGACTCCGAAATTGAGTGCTTTAAAGCAAACTCAAACAGCAGGCGCGACAACACGCGTCAGCTGAGCTTCGTTGTTCTCCGGGTGCGATGCGACGAGTGTTGAGCGGGCAGAAGAGGCTTCGAGCAAAGGGGCACAGAGTGCTCAAGATGCTCTAGCAGAGAAGGGCCTAACGTATTCGGTCGCGAAAATGAAAACAAATGAGAAGGGTTCGTGCTTAAAGACGCATGGAGTACTCACCGCCGTCACTTGTGCAACACACCCCACGCGTCTTCAACCAGGTGGAATGGTGCAGGTAGGAACAGTTGGACACTCGAATGATAAGCCAGGAATGCCGGCGAGATAAATATTCTAGCACGCCAATGACGGGAACGAAAGGCAAAAGTGCGCCGTGTGCGAGACTCTGCGTGGCCTCGGTGTGTTGGATGTGTAGTGCGAGGGGTGCCGGACGGAGGAATATACTCCTCTCTCCTCCAGCTCCTGATTTTCGGGATATATAGGGTCTTAGCAGGGGTATCTCTTGGTGGAGGTATACACACAAGGCCTTGAAATGAGCAGGGGTCAATTGTGGTGTAAAGGCCCAGGGAATTGCGACAAAAATGGGTATAAAATGCGCGTGTCGGCCGCAAATGTCGATCGCAACTGGTCACAGTCAGTTAACCGGTTCGAGGGTGGGCCTGTAAAGTACTGCCACTGGCCCCTTTATCCTATTTACCAAGAGTCAGTAAAAACCCAGTTATATGGGGAATGAGCAGTGACCTATCCGACTGAGAAGTAGGACAGTGGAAGAGGAAAGTTCAAAACAGACATCGAAGAGAAAAAGCACAGACTCCGCTGCAGGTTGGCGCATTTCCAGCCACCGTCGCTCACCAGGCACACGCGCTACACTCCGGCCGGCGTCGTGCCGACTCTAGCACACGTTTGTCCCGCCGCCCCCGACGACCCTCCCGGTGTCTTCGTACCCTTCTCCGTAAACACCGAATACGCTCCAACCAAAATATTGCTTTCAGGGGTCTTTCTCCATCTCAGTAACTCTTAGTTACTCTGTAATGCTGCCATTACACGAAAGATGAGTCGTGTAGACTCGATGATGCCTTTAGCTGATCTATGATGATAGAAATTGCTGACGCCATGTTTGACGCAATACGAACGTTCCACAGATCAGAAGACTTTGACTTCACCACCACCACAAGTGGTGTTATCTTGCCCAAATCGGGACACACCGTCGAAGCTCTCGCATTCATCCTGTAGTACGAATGCCTTGCTAGTGTCTGAGCCCCACTGACCTCAGGAGCACAATGATTGCCACGGTTGTTCCTCAGTGCCGTTCTACAAAAGCAATCCTCATTGCAGGTTCACTAGTTCTTTCTGTTTGATCCACGTCCGACAGTCAGCTACTTGGATTATCGTGATCGTGCAATCTATTACATACAACGCTAAGCTTACATGAAAGCCCATTCATCGTGTCCTTGTCATCCACTTGGCCCCTGCCTCCTTGCCGCGACGTCGGTGGTCTTTCGTAATAAACTAGTTCCATTCTTCGCTCCCGATATCGGCACAGTCTTCCGCCTCGGGGAACCTGGCCCAACACCCCACACGAATTTCACACCGTTTTCAATTCTGGGGAACCGTTTACCTGTGGAGCAACCTGTGACTTCGATAATGAAATGTCTCCGGCGTTTCAACTGAATTGTAATAAACACTCTCGGAACCTTGCAGTCTTCGTCATCGCTATTGGATAAAGCAACGATAGGGGGTCTTAGGGTTGTGTAGGTCATGATAAGTTTCTTGGAGCTGCGCTAATCGCATTCGAGCGCGATGGAGAGGTTCGATGGTGACAGAACGACATAGCAAGCTCGTTATCAATGTATCCCTCTGTCATTAGTATTTCCACGGGGTCTGACTCAGTGTCGCTTGGACCTCAGCTCTACTGCTTGCAGCTCGAGTAAGTTACCTAGCCTTCTGCCAATGATCGCCGACAGCCTCCAAACGTCCATCACCGATAACGATGGGGTAACTGACAATTTCAGGAACTGAGTAACCTCCGTATACGACAGCGAACATCGGATGAATAACCGTATACGTTTTCACGAGCAAGTCGATTGAGCAGCCTTTCCTCCTTACTTTAAATGTCGATCGCCGCCGATCAACTTGGGGCGCGACGCGTCAAGCGCTAATAATTTATTTGTCTGTATTTGCCCACTTGAAACTTTTAGCATAAAGCCGCCAACCTTGCCTCTTGCCTTACTCTTCCCAACGTTCTTCGTCTCTCGACCTGACAGGAATTTTGTTTCTGTTTTCTATCATGTTTCCAATGTCACGGCAAGTTCAGAGTGCGATGTTCTGACGTTTCCCTCTCTGGATACCTTCCAACGGTGGCGAACATCGAAGCACCGCGCCCCGAGCCTTCCCGTCCTTCTGTCGCCATCTTCGTTACCCCGTCTCTTCTTGTTTTCCCTTCTCACTCTCCACTCCTCACGCGTGAAGTGATGGCATCTTTCTGCCCGAGCAGCTCTGTAATGCATCCACCCTGCATCGGTTCTGGTGAATTGCCAAGATCAACCGCTCCCGTCTTCCCCCACAGGAGGATCGGGAGGGTGACCAGAAAAGTGCGGACTGCCGTTTCGAACGTTGATAAAGCGTTTTTGGTGTCTGTCATGGTCTGTGTTCGCCGCACATTCTTCCCTTGCTTTCACTTGTATTTATTAGTCGCTACATAGTTTGGAAATTGAATGGCATACTATGTTGCCAAAAAAATACTTGTTTCCCATCTGAACGACGGAGTGTTTCACATGTTATTCTCCAACGAGCAAATGCCTTCGATATCATGAGCTAGGAATCCCGCTTGTCACTAGGGCTGTCAGTACAAATCTTCGCTATCGTCACTTCTGGGAGTAAAGATGATATTCCTGCGTTCTGCTTCCCTCCGCCGTCGCAGTTCCTTGTCAAGAAAGAGCCGAAGTTCTAAAATTTTACCTCCGATGAATACGCGATACGGCCCTTGCAACCTTCTATCGTATCCCTGCAAACACCGATGACATATTCAGCCCAAAGTCCAACTTCATTTCACGCTCGAAATGGCAGAACGTACCGAAGGAGCAGATTCAGAGAATCTTTTTACGCCCAACCTCCTCAACGAAGGTAGCCCAGAAGCACTGAGGTGCTCCAAGTTGGTAAGCCTGGATATTAATGTATGTACAGCTTCTAGCGAAAGTTGATTACACTGAGAGACGTGGAGACGCATCAAAGTCGGAGTGTGTTCCGCGAGGAAGAGAAGAGCGTTGTCAGTGAGTGCATGAAGTCCTACGAGGGAAAGGCGGCGCAGGTGCGTGAGAGTGCCGATTTCAAGGACAGACATATCTGTCAAGTTCGAGCAAACTGTAATTCTCGAGTTGAACAATATGTGCATGACTGATTTACATAACAGAGACTTACATGAAAGATCTATGGACTTCAACCTCGGACATGCTCTTGCAAAAGTCACTACACCTTTATCCGTCACGCTTTCGACATGTCCCAACGAGACCACATCTAGGGACTGTCCTAATTTTGATATACTCTCCAGACTTTTATCCGTCATCTCCACACAACCTGTAAGGTTGAGGTACTGGATCTTGGGAGCATGAGCGACGGCACCAGCAATAGCGTTGTCGGTAAGTTTGTAGCAGTAGCTTAAATCAAGATGTCGAAGGTCTCGAAGAATATGGTGTGGCGGGAGGCTGAGCGGCGGGAGGATGTCAAGCCAGCTAGTTGGTCGAGGATGTACTTCTGAAAGATGAAAGTAATCCGAGGAAGATGAATTGGGAATGATGTCTTCTTGGAATACGTTCGTCTTCGCCTTCGCAGCTTTCGCAGAGCGAATACCTGTGTCTACCTCTCCATGAGATGAAGAGACCGAAGGAAAGCCTTTGTCCGTCAGCTGAGAACATCTCGCCAGCCTGAGTTTCTTCAACTTTCTAGCGAAAGTCCAAATGTCTCTGGCAGAAGATGCAGTTAGGAAAGGCGAATTACACAACTCCAACACAGATAAATGAGCCAGAGATAATGTCAATGCGGAAATAGAGGGATCCGTTATGGATGGGACGTTATTGAGCTTGATACTTTCAAGCGCTGTGGCCTGAGAAGCTAACTCGAAGATAGTGACGTTCGAAACCTGTTGACAACCCGACACATCAAGTTCCTTCAGGTTGTTCGCGGCACGGACGAGGATGATTACTGTGCGATCAGTCAAGTCGGGAACTCCGGTCAGAATAGCTGTCTCGATGTTAGGACAATTGGGTAGAACGGAGGCGAGGTCATCATCTGTGATTCCATGTTTACGGTTGGGGAGAATTTCGAGATGTTCGATGAGAAGGCATGTTTCGGACGTGCGAGGGAGGAGGTTCGTGAATTTCATACCAGTGGTGTGTGGCCTGCATAATGGGATGCAGAAATCATGTATATGAGAGTGAGAGGCAGAGCACCCGGCTGAGGCTCAGTCGCGCGTTACCACGACAAACAAATAGACGCTGAACGTAAAGGGCCAACAAGTCAAATGCATTGTATGAATAGCCACGGAACGACAGTAGGGTCCAGAACAAGTAAACAAACGATCATTGGCTCATGTGGAAACACCAGCTGTGGTGCCAGGACCTGTGCTAGAGCCCGCAACAGGGGTACTACCCGTATCATCGTCCGAATCGACAATGGTTTCCGCACTGGTTGCGGCTTTAGTCTTCTTCTTACGGCTGGCGGTGGGTGGAGGTGGAGACTGTGCCTTCTTGTTTCGGAGAATCTCCATGATTTCTATAATGCAATGGTGTAATAAATTCGAATTGAGGTCGGGGAAATGCATATATGCGTACCAGCATGAGACATATGTTTACTGTCCTTGACGCTGTCCTTCAACGTTTTCCATCGTCGTTGAAGTTGATGTGCACTCCAGATATTCCAATTATCATCTGGAAGCTGCTTCCAATCAATCTCACTATCGTCCCTTACATTGAGCGAGGCAACCCTGAGATGCAGACAGTTAGTTAACTCATGTAAAATGAACGACTAGATACTGACTTATGAACGAGTAGATATGAGTCCATCTGACTCCACCGAGGCTTCTGCCCTCGATTTTTGAACTGATTGCTCAAGGAATCAGTCCTATATTGGGACATCTTTAGGACACCGTCGATGATGCGAAGAGACGCTACATACCACTTTATTCGACATTGCTGCCTCCCTCGGCGTCCACCCATTCGTTGACTAACAACACCCCAGAAGACCTCATTGTCGATATCTTTGTTCTGCTGAACTGTCATCTCTAGAACGATTCTAGTGAGGTCATCCTCTTCCTCCTTAGTCCAAGGGCCTGAGTATTGCACTCCGGAATTAGACATGTTTCCTTTCTGATGTAGTCACGACTCACCGTTCTGTCGTTTGTCACGGTTCTCTATATGGTTTCGGAAGCGGTCTCGACAGTCGCCAGAAGCACGACCAACGACCATACTTATCTTTTCCCATTGAGGACCATGTTCTGCGTAAGCCCTGAACACAGTGCATGTCAGCAAGGCCTTTTATGAAAAGGACGGCTTGACTAACTTTCGCAACGCATCATCCTCAGCCGGCATCCAGCGACCCTGTTGGCCCATTGGATGATATACGCGGCGGACATGGTGATAAACTGCAATGATGGGACGCAGATGCAAGGCCGCCGCTATAAGGACGGTTTGTTGTCAGTATTGAACCAAGAGAATTTATTTCTCAAGACCTTACTAATTTCAGGCCAGAAGGTGTCTCTCCCCTTGTCTTTGGCGAATATGACCTCCAGGAGCTGCTCTTTCGTGAGACCCTTTTGCTGAAAATCCAAGGAGTAAGGCAAATATCACGATACACAGTGGTAATGAACATACCGAACGCCAATTCTCGATGGCAGCGTTCAATTGTGCCTCCTCGATAGCTGAGAACTTGCCCTTCTTATATACGAGACCTATTGCCTGTCAGTATCCCGTGCACATATATAGTAATGTCTACTCACCTTCTTTCCTGGCCATTTCTGCGAGCTTCGTCGCATTCATCCAAGTATTCGCTAGCATGTGCGCATGATCTGGATTCACTGCTTCACCTTCGGGAAGAGGGGGAAGGGTCGCAGGCAAGACCTTAGGCTGCTTTCCCTGTTTAGACTGCTTCCCAGGTCGACCCAAGATAGCATCTGAGCGTACTGGAACCTGTCGAACGGGTGGTGGAGCAGGAGGGGCAGGATTGTGAACAAACGGTGGGGGAGTATTGAGAGAGATATTCGCCATTTCGCCCAGTGATTTCACCAGGCTCGCGATTTTGTCCATATCGAGATGCTGCAAACCCCGCATAATGTCCTCACTTGATGCATTCGCAAGGTCCGGTAGTGCGAGATTAGAGAAATCCGGATACATGGGGGATGGTTGGGGTGCATGGCCAAAGGCACCCGGAGCTGGTGGAATATATGGCATGGCAGGTGGATGCGTATACGGGATGTAGTGTTCTGGATAAGGAATCGGCGGTGGTGGAATGTCAGGAAGGTCTGCAATAGATGTGGGTGAAGGAGCTGCGGAGGCTTGAACATCTGAAGGATGGCCCTCTGGGGATTTGGTCTTTGCTGCTACTTCAAGCACCAGAGACAAGAACTGCCTGTCTTCCTCGGTGTTCTGTACAGCTTCGAATGTTCCTTCAGGCGGCTTGGGGTCCTCAACGGCACGTCCCTTGCCCTTATCCTTCTTCTTCCGTTTCCTTGCAGGCTCTGTTGCATCAGGCAAGGCTACGTCAACGGCAGATGGAGAGACTCTGGATTCAGCATGAGAATGAACCAGCTCTTGAGCCAGCTGTTCCTCTTCATGAGCTTCGTCATGTTTCTTTTTCTTCTTCTTTGATTTCTTCTTAACGGGCTCCTCTGCCTCCTGTGTGATGTCTCTCTCCTCCCTAGCACGCTTCTTCTTCTTCTTCTTCTTTGGATGACTGGCAGCAGTGCTGGCCACGTTGTTCACAACGTCGACAGCCTTCTGAAGTTCGATAGCGAGTTGGTTCGACGCGTCTTCCGAGTCCGACATTGTGATGGATGGACGATGCCTTTAGGGCTGGTCAATTTTTGGATGAGGGCAAGTAAATTGGCGTCGAGATCGCGCTCAGCGCGTGTAACTGTAAGCGCGGCGGAGGATGCCGTGCGGGCGCTCCTCGCGGTGGGCTCTTCGACTCCTTGTGCGCTCAGTCTGTATTGTCCACCGTACTGATGTCTCTGCCCGACGTATCTTTCTCATCGCAAAGTCAAAGCATGCCTACTTTAGCGGACCCTCCCAGCCAAGAAAAGGTTCAGAAACCAGCTCCTCTCTCTGTGCAACAAGAAGGTACGTCAGCTTTCGACTTTCAGCTCATCCCGAAATTCACACCCATCTTGCAGATGTCATTATACATACTCGAATCACAAATGACGAAAAGGCACTACGAAGAGTGACCAAGAAGTTTCACAACTATACCTCAGTTGCTTACGATCCTATAGTCCCACCCTCGCCTTCGACCACGACGTCTGTAGACGATGCACGAGACGCATTCCTCGTCGAGCTTGCTTCGTTTCATCTTTCACTCAGGAAAAGTTTGATGGTTTGCGAGGCAGAGGCCAGGCAAGTTGAAGAGTATCAGAGGGAACGAGAGCGAATAGGTAAGCATGTTTAGGTTTGCAAGGTGGTTGTGTATCAATGAGTATATTCCTTGTTGTAGCGAATGAACATGAAAGGACAAAAGACCAGATTGATGAGCTGAAGGCTTCATTGGAGCATGCTCAGCTTGAGCGGAGACGAAAGATGGAGTATGATGTTATCGCAGAAAAGATTAATGCTCTCCCAACAAGGGATGAGCTCGAAAGGTACGCTCCTCGCATTATGAATTTCTGTCACCACTCTGAATGCTCCGCAGTTCGATACGCGCATTGGAGAACGACATGGCAGCTATCCGCACTGAACACGAAACTCAGGACCGTACGCTTCTAGCTCAAAAGACCCGCCTCGACATGATCATCGGAGACCTTTCTGAACTACGCCTCATGGGTAAAGTGGACGTGACAGACCTTGCGGATAACGAGTTGTCACGAGCTGTTAGTCCCCTCCCAGAACTTCAAGTGTCAAATAGCGACGTCGAGATGACCGATGCAAGAGAACGAGCGGAGTCTGGGGAATTGAATGAGGAGAAAGACGACAAGGATTCAGATGAAGAAGATATCCCGTTATCCAAGTCTACTAGCTTAAACCCCTCGGCAAGAGCGTTCATGCCGCATAGCAGCTCAGGCACGCCTGCACCGCCGGTCAGTTCTGAACAGGCATCTGCGCCAGGGATGTCATCAAAGGAGGAAGGAGAGGAGGATGAGGATGTGGAAATGGGTGAGCTATCAGAAGACGGGCGGGATGCTGGGAAAGTGGCAAAGAATAGGAAGGCAAAAGAGGACCTGGAGGAGGGTGAAGCGAGCGACTTGAGTAGTGAGCTCTCAGATCCACCTGATGATTAGTTGGCTGGATTCCTTGGTTTTTTTTTCCCTGTTGTATTTTGTCCTATCTATGAGTCTTCTGACAGTTGTCCAAGAGTCCAGTTGGAGTGCTGTGAAGGCGATCGAATGCGCCGATCAGCAACAGGATACGCGATGGATGACTTGCAAACCAACACTTGTATCGTCTCTCACATAAGCGCAGTCGCATGGGCAGAAGGCTGCCCGCATCTTCCCGGTGTGTGAGACGAATCCACATAAGTTGAGATAGGCATAAAGGTGGACCATTGCGGTCACACGACACGCAATTGTCGCGTCGTCCGTAAGTAGAATGCTGAATGTGAGTATCTACTACGTGAGACGTAGACCTTAAATGATACACATGTGAGCATTATACGGCCGTCCGAGGAGCAAGAAGTAATATATAACTATAACTCTTCCAATAAGTAAAGGTGCCGTTATGGGTAGTCACGGTACTTTGAGATTACTATGAGTCATGCGGGCTATTGAGCTTTTCTTCCCTTGGGGTTTTGTACATCTACGAATAAATAATGTAGACATTCGACCGTTCAGGGAGGAAAACGAGCAAGAAAAACATACTGTGCCTCATGCATCCTCGCAGCTTGAACGGAAGAATGCAATCTGCAGATCTGTCAATACTGAATGTGCCGAAGGGTCGGCTCAAGAAGCGAACTGAAGAAGCGTCGCTGACAGAAGCGCTCGCAGGATTAACCAGTAGAGGCGCGCACGTTCGTGCAGAATTGCCATATTTGGACGTGATGACCAGGTCCGAACTTGCCTAGGGGCAGAATGCAAAGCGTCCAAAATACCTCCATCCCGGCAGTCCTCCACGACTATAAGGCCTTTCCAGTAGCCTCCATCTTTTTCCCCTCGTCTTGCCACCATGTCCACCCAACCTCTCTTGCAGAGGACCGCTGCAAAACGTATTGCCTTGCCTGTAAAAGTCGAGCCCAAGGTATCCTTTGCTAATGAACGAACGTTCTTATCATGGCTACACTTCACGGTGGTGCTTGGTGGTCTGGCAGTTGGTTTGCTGAACTTTGGTGACAAGGTACATTCGCGTTTTATTTGCTCAGAATAAGTGAGTGGCGGTTTGCTGAATGAGCTGCGCACTTTGTAGGTCGGGAAGATTAGTGCAGCCATGTTCTCGTTTGTCGGTACGTATCACGATTCTGATCGCTAAGTCGCCTGTGGAGCTAATTCGCCTTTTCATCCATCAGCCGTTGCAGTAATGATATATGCACTATGGACATATCATTGGCGTGCTGCGTCCATTCGGAGAGGAGGTCGCGGTCCGTATGATGACAGAATTGGTCCCGTACGTCTTGATCAACTTCTGAGTATACCTCTCATATGTCCTAACCATGTTCATTTGCAGACCGTTCTTTGTGTCGCATTACTTCGTGCGTACACTTTCGCATACGTCATACCCATTTCAACTAATTGTACTTTTGACTAGTCGCTATCATCATCAATTTCATCCTGCGCTTCACGACAGGAGACGAGCCTTAACTTGCCACCGCCTCAGTCGTTATGATTCCTCTCACGTCGTGTTACCCTGGACTTGTGTGCACCGTTCAAAGTACCCCTGGGCCCGCCATCTGGTCGGAGTCGCGTGAACTGGGCTCATCGAGTTCTTACAAGTTATCGAAGATGAAAAGCAATCTACTACGTCATGTTCTGATCACATTCTACGACCCACTCTACCGCACGGACTCTTTCTGTGTTACCACCATCCATGAATTAATTATTACCAGCATGATCATCCTTCGTCATGTAGTGTTCTCTTTCTTGTACTTAGGATTGTAATACCTTATCAGCATGCTACTTCTTCGTACACCTTCGCAATTTAACACAGTCTACGCCGTCCATCCGCTTCATAGCTGACTTGCAGGCGGCTTAGATCAGAAGGCAGGGGCATATGGTTGGAACCATGAGAGGTAAAATAGAGCAGCAATCTATTGTGTCGAACTACTTCTGTACACCAGTGAATACCGGTCGCTTGACCTCGTGAATAGGCGTTTGGCCTTCTGGTGTGCCAGGGATAGTCTTGGTGAGACCCTGCAGTTAGCAGTGAGCGATACGAAGAGTAAACGTAGACATGAATCATATTCAAACCGTTCCGTAGATCGAATACAAGGTGTAGGGGAGGAGATACTCACAAGCTTCTCGAACATACACTTGTTGAGAGTGCGCTCAGGTTTGCGACACATGTAATACTCCTGTACATGCAAACAAGACACGAATAATGCGGAAATGAGGCAGCAAAAGCGTATGATGATCGTGAGTGAATACGCGACGAACTAAGTGATCACTGTGACGTACATGGTTATTCAACTCCAAGCAATTCCAGTGTTTATCCCATTCCTGCAAGCAGTTCTCCCTCATTTTCGTAATCCTATTCACAAAAGAGACGACGCAATAACAGTGGAAAGAACGCAGGTCATATGTCAATAAAATATGGATCGACGTGGCCTGAAGAAGAAACGTACATGTCTTGCGCACAGCGCGTCACACGTCGGCCTTCCTTGAGACAATGTGCGGGATCACGGTTCTCGTTCTTGCAGAGCATGAAGTCCTCTACACAGAGGCGCAAAACGAAGTTAGCATTCTCATACATGCCCTCCGATTGACACTTTGTCCTCCTCCATTAAACCACTTCTAGCTTGACCGTTCCTTCCCGAATCACAACGTCCGGCAAGCAGTTCCTCCTCCTACTGCATACACTTGCCTCCAACACCATTAAATTATAGAATACTCACCATTGTACTCCTTGCAATGAGCACCAATGAAGAATGCAGCACTCTTCAATGGTGCACTCGTCGTACCCAACTCCTTGACCTTGGGAACATCGTCCGGCAGAGGTGTCGGCTCTTTGTAAGGTTTTGAGGAGTCTTCGGGGTTGTGAAAGATGCTCATATTGAAGTCGAGCGGAGGCCCTCCTTCACGGTGAACTCAAGACCACGAAAGGTTGGAGAAAGTGAACTCGAAACGGACTCGGGATTGCAATGAGTGATTCCGGATTCGTCACAGTGAGAAACGCCGGAGCGGTTCGACTGCAGGTTTGACTGGAAGAGCGCTGACCAAGGCTGATCGATGATCTGGTGGACCCACACACGCGTCGCCCCGCCTCGTGGTTCGGGAGGTCGATTTCATATTTTCTGGCAGGCCCTTTGACATTAGACCTTGCTGCCACTAACCTTCTCTCGGTAGAATAGTCATGAATTTTCCAACAGATGTTTTGGGTCGTCAAAGAGATAGACCTCTTTGGCCTTTCATTTGTGGCCGTCCTGGATCCCAGGAAGGGAAATTCAGGAAAATGACGCACAAATCAGGATAGACTATCAGGCCGGTCAAGTGCTTACCAGCCACAATTGTCCTTCTTTGTCCTGATCCACAATATTTCGCAACTTTTCCCTCCGCGACTCTGCGGTGGTCCAAGCACTGCTTCTGCAAAGTGCGGATGTGACCACTGTCGGATAAAGTTGGGTCACAATCGGACCTTGGTCAAAGAATCACTTAATTTTAGCGAAGCCAAAGAGAGGTTCGTCTCCTATATATAACCGCGTCAACTTGCGAGACAAGCTCCTCACCAGCCTCTAGTTCTTAACCTGCGCCCCCGCAAGCTCAACAGCTTCTCGAGACCTCAAGATCCCCTCAAGATTTCACCTTCCCTTCATCGACTTATTCTCGATCTCGATCATCCATGTCGTCTAACACGTCTGGCCCCAGTGCGCTACAGGCTTATCGCACTGATGATAGTATAAGCTCTTCCGGCTCCTCCGTCAGCGACCTCTCCGCTCTTGGGCGCAATTCGACCATTACCCAGGGCTCCTTCTCCAAGTCGCGCTCTCCCGCCATTCGCCAGCGACAAGATCCTATCATCGCCTCGATGTTGGCAGGAGAAGGTCGCCGAGTCAACCCCAACTTTACAGACGACAACGTTCCTGCAGCTGGTCCCTCTCGCGCTCCTCTCACTCCTGCCAGCTCACAGTCGACCGTCACCGCCGACGATGACGACGACGAGGTTGGTACTCAAGCTTCGGCGGATGAGGTTGCTACTCAGGCTTCAGCGGACGAGGCTACTACCCAGTTTTCGGCAGACGAAGCTGCTACTCAGGCTGCAATTGACGAGGCCACTACTCAACCTTCGAATGACGACAGCGACGACAACGATGACAGGCGCGTCGTTCCATCAGTTAGGGGTAGGGTCGTACTTTCGCGGAGCTCATCCCTGCATCGTCTTCGTAACTGGGTCGGTACCAGTCTTGCCCTTGCCACCGTCTTCAGAGCCCGGAAGTCGGAAGTCAACGCCATCAAGCTCGGAGCTGCGCGTGAAGGGTATCATGCTGATGCCATCAAGTATCCTCTTTTCAAGGACGAGCTTCAGTCTTTGCGCACCACTTACGGCAATTCTGTAGCCAAACGGCAAGGTTCTTGGGTTGTGGTTGTTGGGAGAGACCGCAAGACCGTTCGCCACCTTAAGAAACTGCACGAGGAAGCTCTGATTGATGATGACGATGAGCCTGAAGAGGGTCTCGCGTCGGTCCTCGAGGAAGCTGAGGATCTTCAGAATCTCGAGGATGCTATCAATGCCGACTTGGCAGAGGAGATGGACTACCCCGCTACCTTGCCCATCCGCAGAGGGTTTTTCTTTTCCTACGACGTTTTGGTTCTTGCTGTCTTGATTATATTGGCTGTCTGGTACTTTGCGTTCATCTAGAGCTCTCAGTTAAACGCAACGAACTGTACTTCTATTAGAGGTTTGGAAGTGATCACCTTGATGGTGGTCTCGTCTTGGTATTTGGTTTTGGTTCATTCTATGCCCGTACATCTATGCACCTCCTTTTTGATATGATCTATGCCTATCCATTTCTATCTATGACATCTTCACAAAACATCCTCCGGCTGATGAGCAAGCCTGCATATCGATGTTGTCATATCAAGGTCGGTTTGAATTTGTCGGGGACTCTAAAATCAGATGCAGTCCGATCCAGATTCCAGACTGAGAACATTGCGAGACACGCTTCCCAATACCACGCGGTCGAAAACGCACTTCCGGTGAGGCAGATTCATTTTCAGGTATCTATGGCCACCGTGGTCTCAAAAAAGCGAACAATAGGCATAAAGGCCACTCATTGTCTCAGGTTGCCACTCGGCCACAACTCTTCCACTTACCACATCCTCTTCGCCCTTTTCTTTTTCTAAATCGGAAGCAATGACCCAATCACCAAGGAGTCCTAGGAAGCAGCCACAATGCAAAAAGTGTGGGACACTGATGGCGGGCCATAAACGTCCCAACGGGATACCAATGTGTCCTACCCCTTCGCCCATGACAACGCCAACAAAGAGGAATGTCAATTTCAATATACCACCACCAATTACTCCTACTGCAAGTGGAAGTAGACATGGTGCGAAGAAGGAAGAATCAGATGCCCATCCGCTGGTCTTTCAAACTTCCAAAGGAGACCTCTCGGCGCCCGTGTCATATGATTCGTCTGTTTCTTCTGTACACGTACATCTCGCAAGTGTCAAGAAGGATCCTGAGATAGACAATTCGTACCCGCGTCCATCCACATCCAGAGCCCCTCCCATCCCTCGCATCAAAGTCACCAAGCCGTCCGATGCCTCGTCATCGTCCATCTCATCCGCTTCCACTTCATCCAGCCTTACGACGAAACTCAAGAGGACTGTGTCGTGGATCGGAAACAGTACACCGCTGGCATATGTCTTCTGTGCTCGGCGAGATGAACTGACAGAGTTCACGAGGAAAGCACGAGACGAAGGGTTCTATACTGCCCTCGTACACAATCCGAACCTAGGAGCAGACGATCAGAGTGCCGACTCCTACGTGCAAGTGATGCGTCATGGCTCTTGGGGTGTCATCGTGGGCACAGACCCCGGTGTTGTCGCGCATACGGCTGATCTCTTTGAGAAGGATGCCAGGGGAGTTCTGGCCTGCGCTGGTGATGACGGAAAGGCTGTGTCAAAGAGTGGTCGGACCTCCCTGAGTGTGACAAGAATCATGATGCTCGGAATTTGCAGTTGCAGCATCGTGTTGTTGGGAATGTACAAGTTGTTGCTATACTTGTCCGTCGAAAGCGACGAATAGAGAGGTTAATGTTGGGTACAATACGATGCAAAGCCAGTGTTAGTTGTGTTCGACGTTCTACGTGGGTTTTCTGTTGGTAATGCATTATAACAACACCTTGGATCAGTAATGCGGGTAGCCCCAATAACATGATGGACTTACGGATAGGCAGCATGACATGCAATGCCAGTGTCCAAAGGAGTGGAATCTACGACGCCTGTAGAGTAGGTGAGTGGTTAGTGAGTTCATCTACAAACAAGCATAATGAATCGGAGGCAGCATACACTGACAACATTATTACTCAATGAGCAATGATTCTAGTTGCACTCGCGTTCGGGTATTTGATTTCTGACATTCCACGAGAGAGCGAGCATTTTCAAGGGTAACCAGCTGATCATGAACGACGAGAAGCATTGATTTTAGTAACTCGTGAGTCCTGCTTTGTGCTCCTTCGCAAAGTTTGGCGAGTCGAGTCGCCTGAGATTCTACATGTCGCGCCTGTTGTATAATATTATCTACAGCGAATCATTGGAAAGTCAATGCATAATTGCAGACACGCTATAAGGTCATCGTACCTATTGTAAGAAGACAATCATTGCAGCGCCGGATGGAAGTTGCGTCTAGCACATCCGGCGAGAGCTTGAGAGCACTGGAAATGCTTTCACGGTGAGCTGATGCCAGACGTAGGAAATTCTGAAACAGCTCCGGGAGTTCCGTGGAGAACTGCACATATTGATGTAGTGAATCTACGGTTTCTTCTGACAGAGCAGACTCATTTACAAACCTGCGAGTCTGATAATTCGTCGCAAAATTCCAAGATTTGTTCAGCTTCGAATCGGACTCGAGCATCAGCGACCAGTGCCTCTTCGGCTGCAAGTTCGTTCGAACGATCCTGTAGTGAGTTCAAGGTCGATCGCTCAGTAAGTTTATGAACGTGTTGCAGAGTAGCAGTCATGTACTGCCATGAGTACGCTTCCGCCGCAATTCGGAGAGCGTCCGATCGTGTTGATGCAGGGGCTCGAGAAGCAGATAATGCCTGAAAGACACAAACAGTGAGACGATGCAGCGAACCGGCAACGAAATTGTCCTACAGGTACATCGTGCCTGACTGGCCGGGAGGCTGCCTTCGACAATGGCACTGCTGGTTTCACAGATTGTGTTGGCCTGAGTGTTCTGTTTACCGTCGAGGAACTAAGGGTACGGTGAGATGGAATGGCATGCTGGTCACGAAGGACTGTCTTGCTAGGTCTATTGGTACTAGCGATGCTCGAAGTTACGAGCTTTCTACCTTGGCATTTATAAGAGTGTGATACACGGAGTTCACATCATAAGCTCACCTGTCGTTTCATTACTTCTACCCCGCCTTACGCCCCCTGCAGTCGATGTTTCAGCGGTTTTATTTCGTGCATTGGACGCCATGATGAGGACGCGTGGTCGTGGAGGTAACGGAAGAAATACGCGTGAAGCGCTGCATGCGTGGATGGACGGTCAGCGCTCAGACTGCGAAAGCACTTTCTCTGAGCCATCTCAGGCTAAACTTCCACGATCCTTGGCGACGAAGACTGCGACATAGCAATGTCGGTCCTCTCATATGTCGTCAAACCCTTGGCTTATATCTCTGTGCCCATGTACCTTCTCTCCAAATTTGTTAAAGTTTCTCCTTTCGCGCGGTACTACATTCGTTTGGGACTCTATCTTTCGACGTTGGGAATTTGTTCAATATGGGGTGCAGTCTGCTCAGTAGGGATGAGTTTGATAGGACAGAGGTTTAACGCAAACTTTGTTACCGCAAGGTCATTCTACAATCTTGCTAGCCCGGTGGTCGATATTCGAATCGAGATGGAAGGCGAGGAACATTTGGAAAATAGACCTGCGGTGATCGTTGCAAATCATCAAAGTATGCTGGATATCTTAATGCTTGGACGGTAAGTTGATTGCCATTCTTCCAAGTTTTTGTCTCATTAGTGTAACTTGAATCGTTCAGAGTCTTCCCCAAACGGGCTTCGATCATGGCGAAGAAGGAATTGCAATGGGTTCCTCTGCTTGGTCAATTTTTGCAATTCTCTGGGGCCATCTTCGTGGACAGAGGCAATAGCGCACAAGCTATACGCTCACTCACGGCAGCCGGAGAGACCATGAAGGCTCGTAATCAATCCATTTGGCTCTTTGCTGAAGGAACGCGTTCCATGCGTCCATATCACGACATGCTACCATTCAAGAAGGGCGCATTCCACCTGGCTGTCAATGCCCAAGTACCGATCGTACCAGTGGTTGTAGAAAACTATTACAAGCTCTATCGTCAAGGCGTCTTCGAAAGTGGTGTGATCAAAGTGAAAGGTGAAATCCATTTATGAGCCTACTCCATGCCCTTACTCATTCTGCATTGCAGTGTTACCACCTATTCCAACGACTGGTCTCACCGCACAAGATGCTGGACCACTGAGCTCTCGTGTACATGACCTCATGGTAGACACTCTCCGACAGATATCAGGACCGGTTCCGCCATCTGCATACCCAGCTGATTACAAACCCTCGACCCCATCTTCCCCACCTTCAATTCCATCCAATATACCTCCTTCCCAGGCACAGATCAAACAACAACAAGCGCAAGACCCGCTGTCCGTAATACCTATACCAATAGAATCCGACCCCACGTCGACTTCTCCATATACTGAATCTAGATCAGAAAGTCGCGCCTCTACTTATGGCAGTGACTTCCCTCCTGGTTCGCCTGCCCTGAGCCGGTTTGGAGGAAGTGAGAATGGTGTAGAGACAGAAGAAGACGAGGGTATGGTCTTGGTTGGACGACCACAATCATAACAAACCTCGAAGACAATGTGACGATGTGACGATGACGAGTAATAGGAAGGTTACAATGAAGGGGATACAAGTACTTCCTCTCCTTTTGCTTTAGATCTAATGCCTGTTTATGAAGAGCGCAGATCTTGGGTTTCATCTATAATATTCGATCCATGCCTTGTCTTCTATGGAAACTTCTACTCAGGCACTTACTCTGTGGCATTTGGACTTGGTAATTACAGCTTCCCTAGACAGAGCCTTAGATGACCTGGACACGACACTACTTATGTCGATTGTTCACAAGTTACTGCCCTTCCGTGTTCGGTCGTCTTTCGTTTCAAGAACGTACCAAGCTGTTGCGCCATTCCTCTGAGGTGAAGCTTTCTCGTTGTGTTCTACTTATTGACTCATCTTGACAGATTTGTAACAGACAGACCGAGGCATAACCCTCTCCCGTTGAGCAGCTTTATGTGCGCAATCATCACGCTTGATTTCAACCGGGATCAGAGCCTTTCTTAAGGTTATTCACGGTGAATAAGCACCTCCTTCCACTTTCCAATTAGCCTGGTTCAATGGGTTTAGGCCACGCGGGATAAGTTCCACTAGAATGGCTTCGCTGTTCATTTAGATGCATGACAAGAACGAACCCAAGCAGGCTGTATCAGAAAAAATGTCGCAAATTCATTATGTCTTGTGCAGCTGTCAGTGAACTTCGACAAGGTGCTATGCGGAATGTTGGAGCACCCCCTAGTTATGTTGATTCAATAAACTCCCAACGCTCATTGTATTCGGTTCCCTCTTGCGCAGTAAGTTGACATGTACTGTGTGCCGGAGCTGTCCTTGTCGATGTGTCGCCTTGCATTCCATTTGTTCTCGCTGTATGGGGATAGAGGGGCGCAATCGAGCGTTACGTAGGGGGTGGGACGCTTTTACAACTTACGGATGATGCTGTTGCCTGTGAGTAGCCTGAGTTTGTTCCACCTCAGCTGCGGATGTACTGGAAGTTGCTGAGCTTATTATTACGAATCTGAATGAGCTCTCTTCGTCGCTAAAGTATGGGCCTCCAGAATGCCGAGAATCCATTGGCTATGAACCTCATGTTCCGCAGTCAACACATACTACGGCACGGAGTAGTGAAAACGAATAGACAATACCATGGATATTTACACATGACCAATAAGGAGATATCTTTGTTGTACATCCGAGTGGCGCTGACGCGAGGCTGTAAAGTATAAAAGGTATAACTCGACGATCTTTGCTGCTTCACTGCTCTTGCCTACCAACACATCTCCTCACAACAATCACCTCATAACAATAAAGGAAAGAGAACTATAATCGCATGACCCGTACTAGAGCAAATACACGTAATACTGCTCAGGCTACGTCCAGTCATCCCGTAACGCCACAGCGCCGGGCGAGGCTACAGCGAGCCACTGCTACACCTATCACCACTGACCAAAGTGAAGGACGCAGACGTTCGCCAAGGAATCACCAGCGGGCAGGTCCTTCGCAGAGTCCTGCAGATGCCTCCGTAGCAGAGCCCAGATCTCCTCGACGTATCGTTAACGTTCCTCGCATCAAATACAACCATCTTGAACACGAGGAAGAGCTAGAGAATATTTCGCCTTTGAAAAAGACCCCACGTCGTCAGCAGGCGAGAGAGCCAGTCGTTGTCGAGACGAAACAGCCAGAGAATTATCCATCCATGTCCACACAGTCCAGCCAGCTCTTGAACAAGTTGATGGAGGCAGGAATGATGACAGATGATATAGACGGTGAGGATTGGAAGTGGCAAAGACTTCTCCGATGGAGAAGTAGCGTTAGCACAGAGGGTCAGGGTGCAGAAAACATCCACTCTTGGCCACAGCAACGACCTGATCCTCCAGAAAACGAAGTCGCCATGCAGTTGGACAGTTCCTCTGCGACGAGTTATGGTAACCAAGTCGCTGAGAATAACTCCTTTGACACAAACTTCCGTGTCGTGAACCATTCCGACCTGCAACAAGTCACGGACGAGTTTGCCAGGCAAGGTCTCAAGTATCGAGTCTTTTATCCACGTCGAAAATCTTCGTCAGTGGCCAGAAATGTCTGGCTGGCGGTCGGAGCGAATGAGAGCATCGTCGAGACCGTAGCAAGGAGGATCATGTCGGGCAATGCTTCGGTGCGACACGCCTGAATCACCGGACTATAGTCCGGCTCATCATCGAATCGGATTTCTTGTTGTTCTATTCGCCACCTGCAAAGGATATACATACATTAGCCACTACCCAGCTGCAGGCCTACCCTGAACGGTAAACTGATGCCGCTTTTCGCTCCTCCCAGTCCGGGGAGTCGACCACAGTGTAGTATAGGTATTTAAGCCCAATCATCATGATTCTCAGGTACATTACTAGAATAGCAAAGGTCAGAAGATGAGATGAGAACAACTGTTTGTTCTGTTGCTAGAATGGTGGTGCCAGTGGCCGGTCAAGTTAGGGCTGTACATAGCGCTTGTAGCAACCAGCTATGTAAAGGCTCGTGAAATGAAACGGTCTCCCAGTACACCCTTTAGTCCTAACCACCTCCTGGAACGCATTGAGTAGCCTCAGTTATCACCAAGATATGTCCGGCCAGCCGGATATCCCGCAGATGCCAGAAAGAGACCAACACGGAGGAGATGACCTTCCTACATACGATGATCTTGCAGTACAGAACGGCCCAAACTCAAGGTATGTCTTATTCTTCATATTCGAAATCCTGCACATCGGTTGCTACTAAACTCCATGATGGATTTGTAGGTTTGGGCGCTGGAGGGGGTGGATTGAGAAGAGGTTTGTACTGAACTGACCTGATGGCGAACCTTGTTCTAATATAGCTTATCGTTACTTGTATCATAGAGCTGCTGAACGGTATGCAGATCTTACACCCGAAGCCTTAGCTCATCGACGGCAGAGAGGCTGGGATGTGAGTTGATCTCCATGGCATCTATAACATGTCATTCCGTTGACCCTACACAATGTCGCATTACAGCTGGACCAACATCCGACAGCAGAGGGTGTTTCACATGCAGCTTCAGGATCAGCCACAGACCCTCCTTTCCAGCTACATATTCAAACAGTCTTCCCCAATCCGTCACTACCGATTGCAATACCTATAGTACAGAAACACTTACCACCGACTCCTTCTGTAGGAGAATCCTTGAGCCCGACTCATCTGGAGCTCCATAGTTTCGGCTCGCGTTTCCTGCCACATACTACCGCTCCTATACGATGTTTACTACCGATCCTGGGTGATCGTATTCTCTTAATTGGCCACGATGACGGCCTTTCGGTCATGGATATGTACCCGAATGAATGGGGCGAACGAGGCCTCATTGCGAAAGGACCTAACGATGCAGCAGCTCATCCAATATGGAACGGCGAAGGGTGAGTGTGAATGTGCGGTAGGTTGATGTACATTAATAATTCATGACTCTCAAGCGTATTTCAGATGAATATACTCGAACTAGAGAACACCGGAGACGGTACACCGCAAGGCGTAGTCCTTGCCCTCGTAGGACCTGACGGTGAAGAAAGCGTCAGGTCCCTGCGGATGTACAGTCTTGCTAGTCTTGCTAGTCTGGCAAAATGGGCAATCTCGCAGAAGGTCCGTGCTCAATCCGTTTCAGTCTGCTGTCCTGAATATGACATCGAACTTCAGGGTAGCCGACCGTTGAATCTACATAACCCAGCTCCAGGAAAAACAACGCAGACAACCCCGAAGAAGCATCGTAATCGCCCCAGTCTTGCAAAAGGGCTGCGTAATCTAATCGTTGAATCCCCTGCAGCTTCCACCGGCTCTTCTAGCAAGTTGAACTCACTTTATGCAGATTCCCCATTGGAACCTCCACCGTCTATACATATGAGCCCGTTATACCGTTCTAATTCCAACGGCTCGTCAAGCACGATTGATTCATCATGGGATGTAGTCGATGAACTGCCATTACGTTGGGCAACAGATTATGTTCCGTTGGCTCCGGCTGGATCTCGTCTGCAGAATTGTTCCGTTCTGTTTTATGCCTTGTGGCGAGATGAGAACGTCCGGGCTAGGGGTGGTGCATACCTAGCTATTGTCGTGAGGAGTAATATTCTGCTCTACGAGACACCAAAGGGGGAGCGGACCTTCCGCTTTGTGAAGGTCAGAGACTAAAACCGGTATCAATTTCTATCGTTAATCACTTGAGTCTCCAGGAATTCTACACGCCACTGCAAGCACGTAGTCTAGCGTTCGTGCTGCAGTCTGTGCAGGATCCTATGTCTCGCAGCTCGTCAGATGTATCTCCTCGCCTTCACCCAAATCAGCATCGACATTCAAAGTACCTGTCTGTGAGCGTATCATCTCCACAATATCCACCTCAACTCAGTCTCTTCGTGATATTCGAGAAGAAGGCAGGAATGATTCGTATAGCGGATGCAGCCGTAGGGGAGGTCGATCTGGGTGATGATTACAACTATCATACCTTGCTATCGCCCCTGGCTGGCCCTGTGGGCACTCTGAGCCGAAGGTCCCGATCCTCATGGGATGGGAAGGCCTTCCATAAGGAGCCTAAGGCTGCCTGGTCACTACCCACAAAATTCGTTGTACCAGGATTTGGTCGGGAGAAGGGCCTCTACCTCCTTACACGGGGGAAACAATCACACATCTATCCCCATCCACTACCTGCTAATATTTCAGTCACACCTTCATACCGAACGTTCAGCTGGTCTTTTGTTCCCTCATACGTTTGTCCTCGGATATGTAAGCCGCAGGATGGTAATCCATCGTTTCTCCAAGTGGTTGCTTTCGGAGAAGATGGGGTAGAAGTCCTCGAGGTTCCACTTTCATCACTGACGGAGAACAAGGGTAAAGGAAAGGCGCAGGAGCCCCTGCACGCTGTTGCTGATGTTGGGGGTGACACTGGATTTCTCTGCTTCGGCGGCCACTGGGACATATCTTCATCGCAACCTGTTCTAGTGCGATCTGATTCAACGGCTAGCACTGACTCAGAAGATGATGGGGTGTTAAATCAAGCCACCGCATTGCGAGAAGAAGCAGGGATCTATGGATGGGTAAGGAGGGGACATGAAGATTGGAGGGTATTCTGGGTGGGCGGCGGACGTCAAGGGTAGCATGATATAATGGTATGAAAAATGTATGTATACATGCAATGGGTTGTATCGCTTACTAGCTTCCAGATATTTACGAGGATGGCAGACGAATTTCGTCCCTCATCATGTACACTAATTGCTGAATCTTAGTCCAGTCCATGAGATTACCTAACAATAATTAGTATGCATGGAGATGGTAAGTACGTGAATAACCACAAGAGTTTCAAGTCGAAGCAGGACTTGGATCCTTTCGGTTCCCTCTGATAACCGCGAAGGACCTCTGACCCTCCGGTTCGGAAGAAGCAGAGGCACCATTCGACGCTGCAGTACCAGGCCTTTGTTTTCTCACTACCATGAACGAGCGCCCTGTATCCGGTTCAGGTGCAGGGGGGTCTAAAGGATGATCAGCCTCTCCAGAACGGCGGCCTTTCCTCAACTGATACCAATGCTTCTTCCTGGGCTGAGCCGGAGAAGACTCCGCATCTCCGTCGTCCGGTCCACCCGCAGGACTGAAATTCTGCATCGTGGCGTTCTGTGATATTGGACGAGAGCCCGATGCAAAGAGTAGCGCGGAGGCATCTTCAATGATCGCCGTTTGCGATTTAGTACGAATATGTGCTGGCGGCATTGCCCCTGGTGGGAGGTCCTTGAGTTCAGCCTTCTTGGCAGCGCTGGCTACCGAAGGTGTCGGAGGTGGTGAATACTCGTAAGGATTTGAATGGGTCGACGGTTGGTGATTCAGTGAGTAATTGCGTTCCACGGATGGGAAGGTTTGCGTTGATCCCGAGGCGATCGCATATGGGGACTCATAATGAGCTCGACCACCTCCGACCCGCGCAAAGCCAGACTTTGGCGCCTCTGTTGGCGGTGTTGGTGGCATATCATCCACTGCGCTGTAACCTGGACGCGGGAAGCCTTGCCAAGCACCCATTATGTATCCTGTCTCGTCGTCACTCTCTTCCTTATACGGCTGCAATGCATGTTCAGGCCGAAGGACAGATGGTGGCGCTGAATGTGTGGGCGTGACATCCTTGTATGCAGGAGTTGGTCGACTGAGCGGCAGAGCTGAAGGTTGAGGGTCATCAGGTCGATATCTAGAGCGTCTGGGAATTGCGGATCTACGTCCTCCACAGCATCCTAACTGGTTCAGGGCGCCCAACAACCCGCTATCCACTACGTGTTTGCTTTGGTGGAACCCAATGCCACCAAACATTCGCACGAGTGCTTCCACCAATTTCGCGATGAGCATCAGGAAGAATGCCAGGTAAACAAGCGCGAGGATGAACAGAATTGCATATGCCACCCATTGAGCAGCGCCAGTTGCGACCGAGACCTGTACAATAAATGGCGGAAGATGTCAACATGAAACGGTTCCAAACTTGACATCGTTAAAATATGACTTACAATTGGCGTTAGAATGACCAAGAGTACCGCGATGACGATACGTGCGACACAGAAGAGGAAACTGATCAATCCCATACTTGCTCCTTGACCCCAGGGCAGCCAGATGCTAGTCCCTAGTGCAGACATAACTTCCACCACCAGAATGATGATAGCTTGGGCAGTACCGCTTTTCTGACCACACCCGATGGTTATGCCGAACGCCAGGTTGGTTGCGAAGAGCAGACATGCAAATAATTGTGATCCGTGCCTGTAATGATTATACAATGGGCCAAGGAACAGGAGGGTCCAGGTCTCGTCGTAGAGTTTGGTGGTGTTTGTGATCGTGAGCCGCACAACCAGGAATATGGGAATTAAGACGGAGAATATCGCAAACGAGAGTGCCGCAAGGACAATGGAAACCATGGATGCTTCAGGTCTTCCAATCGTGAATTGGTAACAGGAGAATATAGTAACGGGAAGATGGAAGAGGATGAGAATCCTAACCAAATTCCCTTGCAGAACGCTACCATGGAGCGAAACGAAGTTGCTGTTGATTCTCCACCAAGGTCTCGCTGCTCCTCCGAAGCGAGACGTTGTTCGCAGCAGAGTTTGGCCATTGACGGATCGATTCTCGTCAGAGTTTTGTAGCTGGGCGATGCTCTCCAGCATGTCTTTGCTTCCAACAGAGTACCGGGGACTCCTGTTTCCCGCAAGAGCAGGAGTCGTCTGTAAATCAGTGTGAAATGCTCTTGAGAAAATCCAATCAACGGCCCAAACAGCCACGCTAAGCACAATCGTGGCTGCTATGATCGCTAAGAAGAGCGCCATGCAAGTGCCAAAGAGATCTTGCGGTCGAATGCCAACAGAATATGCGAACGACGATATTCCCGTCGTCGCATTTTGGGGCAGCCGATAGAGCGTGTTAGGAATGGATGCATCCAAATAGAGTGGAGAACTGGGGTCATTGAGCTGGTCAACAAAGTTAGATGGCAGGTTGTACGGCTCTGCTGCCAGAGGATTCCAGTGGAACGGCTGCTCCTGCACCAACGAAATATCTGTTTCACGGTTGTGAGTCCATTGCTTCTTAACAGATCATGGCACCTACTGTAGGATAGTGTCGACCAAGCGGTCTGCGAGAGCAAAGGGTCTAAATCCAACATGAGTTCCTGATAGTAGCCAAATAATAGGACAAGACACTTACATGCGAACTCCGGCCACTGAACAGCCACCATGCTGAGAGCGGCACACCATTGGGTGTGGAATATAACGTCGCGCAAAGATGGTGTACCTATGGATAGGTTGAATAATAATTCCTAGACCGAGTTGGCATTACTTACAAAACCGCATCAATGCAGGAGAGGTTGCAAGCCGTTCGCCACTAATTGCGCTTGCCAAAATAAAGCCGGCACTCTCAATTCTGGCCCATAGACCGGGCCCGCTCCTGGTGGAGCCCCTTCCCCATGCTGAAACTAGGCGTGCGAGACCAACGACTAGCCAGTAGGCAATAGCGAGGCCAACAGTCGCCCAGAAAACAATGCGCGCGTGACCATACGGTGAATCTAGAGGACCTGGGTTCAATGGCGTAGTGGTAACGTCTAAACACAACAGCTCGTTGGAACCTGGATCGAGAGCACGTATCCGGGTGTAATAGGTCGCCAATTCAAAGCTCCTTCCTGGTGTAACTGTAGTAGACAGACCGAAGGGACCAGGTTGGAGGGGACAGTAATTCTCCTGACCGTCGCCCAGAGGCGGTAAAGGGGAAGCTGGTCTGACTGAATTGCAGAAGAAAGTGTTAAAGTCCCCAACAGGAAATGTTAACATATTGCTGATCGTGAATAGGGTAGCTATGTGACATCAGTGGAAGTCTCGAAGTGATGTAAGGCACGACGTACTCGCGACCGGATTATCTCCTCCAGAAGATGGCTGAATGACTGCTGGATTGTCACCCAGTACGGTGAAGTTGAGGACTCTTCCTCGAGGGCCTTCCTTCTGGAACTGAGCATAGACGGTGGAGACATTGAGTTTCTGGCTAGTATTGCCAGTGAAGCAGTCATCGAAGAGAAGGGTGGCGGGTTGAGCTATAGTACATGATATCCAAGAAACCAAGAAAGCGAAAACGAGAAACGTATGAGCGAAATTCATCCTTGAGAGGTTGCAGCCATTGCTGCCTGCCATTATTGTCCAGAACCATGAGGCGCGAGCCAGCAACTGATCCTGCACCACGCACCGTGACGGCGGCGCTGTGACACCGTATACAAATTGCTCTAATCATAGCTTACCGTGGAGATAGTGTCGTGACAGTGCAATACAACTTACAATATGGCGTGACGTCACAGGGGCTCAGTATCAATTGCGGCAGCACTTCCTGGTTCACTCCTACCATCGCTGGCCTCTTCAAGTGCATTAGTGGTAGTGGTTTCTGGCGTATCTTTAGCACCTATTGAAACCGTGGGACGAAGGCGAATCAAACAATGCAGTTACGTCCAGCCTCATCAACATTATTGACCAGATGGTTGGTCAGACTCACCGATTAGTTCGGATGGCCTTCGAGACCTACCGACGTACTGACTCATAACAATGCCGATTTGAGCAGATAAATGTTAGCTGTTGTTCTCACTCAAGATGTTCTCTACACCACGCACTTCCCATGCTAGCCAAGGATTTGACGTACTTGGCTCTGCTACCGGAAAGACCGAGATTGACAACCTCCTCTAACCTATACCTGTCGGTCTGTGTCATCGAGCCGCTAACGTGCCGGACTGGATGCAAGGTGTTCAGGAAGTCCGTACGTTGGGTGTGTTCACCCTGAGGTCTCACTTCAGCAATGCCTTGTAGCCGACGCCCGCCTATCGTGACAGTGTCCTATGCTTCCATTCGTCGCGTTCAAGTGAGTTTGCGAGATCACGATTTGCGCCGATTCACCTTTTTGGGCCACTGACGTCAAAATATCGTACAGTGCGTATTCCTCCAAAAGACCTTGCATTTCTCTGCGGTATCTTCGGGAAAACGTCCATCGAAGTTCGCATGAAAGCATGTGTTCTGTCCTGAGTGTTTCCTTTTGCTGGTGCGCTTGCATATATCGTAACGCTTCAGGGCCTCACTTCGTTCACGGGAACACGCCAATCTCAGGATAATATGTTGCGGTGTGTAGCAATGTCTAGCTCATGCATCGAACATGCTCCGCAGAAACTCTTGCCGGATAGAATTTTGGTCCCTGATTCCAGAGCACCACATACCGCCGGTAGCTAGACATCGTGAGAGCACGCAAGTCTTTATCCACTGCCATGGGTTAATGGTATGTAGCAATTCCTCCCTCTCTGTCACTGTTCGAGACAATTGCAATTGCAATTACAATACTGGTATGTTCACCGTTCAATTTACCAAGAACGGCATTATCTGCTCACTGTATATTGATCCCTCATTGGAGAGACGCCTTTCGGCCATTCCTGTCCTGCCGCTTCACATGTACTTTGCGGGGATCTCCCCGTGAGATACAGTTCAAACCATTGACGTTACCAGCGCCGCTCTCAACTTGTTATGTGACCGTAGACTCCGCTTGGTCGTCGGTTTTCGCTCTTATTCCCGTCCGATTTACTTGCGGCGAGAACTCCATTGACATGACCCTTGTGTTGAACCTGAACCTACGCCTTGTACGGAGGTTCTCGCTGCATACCCTTGTCTTTAGGGCTTATCTCTTTCGTTACGGGACTTGTAGATACATCGAGGCGAGCTAGAATCTGCTGACGTAGCTTCTGAGGTGAACCAGTCCCGAGACGAACATATCCTTCCACGCTTGCTGCGCCACTCTCACAAGCTGCCGTCATTGTCTTGGTTGCGTATACCCCTTCTTACTTGCCCTCAATGACCTTGTGAATGACTACTCGACCGCTCTCATGTGGCATCATCATAGTCGGCCCGCCGGGCTTCGAGGTGAGTATATCATATCACCATGTCTAGATTCCTGAGTGTTGGTATTTGATAGACATTTTGGGGTACATGCTGTACAGAACACAAACATTGGGACGAACGATATATTGATGATGGGAGAATACATAGTCAGTCGTCAGCCAAGGTCAACCAAAATACACATTGACGGGCGGAGTTGCATGGAGTGTACAGGTGCTCCAAGACGCCACAACGGTGCCATTGCACAGCGTCAGAGAGACACGCGTCAAGCATTTCCGGCGTCAGGATATCTAAAGTTCTGGATTTCTGCGAAAGTGGACACAAGGTTCGTGTTTCAGATTGATTGAGCGAAAGACTCCGTTGCAAATTTGAAGTGCAGATGATGCATTTTTAGTATGTCATGCCCGAACATTGGCAGAGGAAGCAAGGAACCAGAAGGGTCAAAGTATTGGAGAAGCAAGGGGTATGAGAAGCCACTTGCGCGACTTAGGTACGCATTCTGAAGTCGCGGTGCCTCTATAAAATTTCATATCGGTTGTGAATGTTGAACGGTGCCGTCTTCTATGCCACAACTGTGTGTCGTACTCCAGTCCTTCGTATGTGCATGTCATTCGTACGAGTTGGAAGGAACCCCATGACTGTCACTCCATCCCGAGAATAGACAATAGAGTCCGAGCCCGACAATAAGCGAACCGGGTAAAGGAATCGCCAACTGACCTTGCACTCCTTCATGACATACACGTACGAATAGCTCAGCGACACGATATGGGGCCCGGATGCCCAGGGGATGATTGGAGGAAGCCACGTGTAGTCAATCAAGACAGTTGGAATAATGTGTGAGGGGAAGATGGTGCAGGTCCTACATATAACGATGGCGCTTATGCAAAACTGCAAAACTGGGTTCCTATCATGCTCCTTACACTGCTTCGCAATAAAGAACAATGGAGCTCTCTAAGGCCTCCGCAAAGTTCGGCGCGTTCATGTAGTTGTAACAGTGACTTGGACCAATTGTGAGGGGGAAAATGAAACCTGTGTAGTGCAGGAGAAGGACTCGGCCTGTTGAAATATTCTGTCATGACGAGAGAGAGAGAGGCTGCGACGCGGAACTAGACAGGAAATGTGGATCATTGCGACGAGATCTCGGTCTACGTCGAACGAGCATATGGCACGACGGCATGAGCATTGTCCAATAAATTGCTCCTGGTTCCAAGACCACGGCGCCAGAGTACTTATACAATCTGGGTCCCATAGATGATAAGAGTGGGAATTCTAGCCTTGAGGGTGGTTCCGTACTATGCATATACAGTAGTCTCGCCAGGAAGCAGATAACCTACGTCAGTAACTGTGTGAGCCCCGCCGATATATGCGGGGCATAGAGCAGAACCCGGAGCAACTGATGGATTCCACAGAGAAGGACGATTTGAGCGGTGAGAAAGCAGAACGTGCATACCATAAGAGATCACGAGCATGCTTCTTGATAGCACGTTAATATCCTCGGTAGCCAGGAAACGGGTGCTCCAAGGTGCGGCAGATAGTTCTGCTAGAATCTGTGGGAGCTACTACAACGCTATCATTCAGAGTTCTGCCTTGCCTTCATCACAGAGGGACTTCTTAGCTGGGTGCATCAGAACCAAGCTTTGAAAGCGTGTTAAACAGACCAAAAGAAAGATGACATCCCGCGAAGCAATGATGATATGTACGCTATAAGACCTACTAGCCTGAGAACTAGCTCAGGTGGTTGGCCTTGGTAGATTGCCGTTCGCTTCTCAGACGCCGGGAGGCGATCAACGCCACAAAGCTGGCGCCAATGGTCGGGATTTCCTCTTTTGGGTGTGCGGAACCGAATGTTGTCGTAGCATGTGGGCAGCGACATTCTCTGGTAATTCGTGAGACAGACTCCATCGAGATGATTCTTCGCGTCTGAAGCTCGAGAGACATGAATCCACTTTCCTGAAGCTCGATAAATGTCGACGGAAATAAATGGCCAATTACCAGCCTTAAGCGGCAATCGCCGACTGACTAAGAAAGCTGCGCGATCGGGCGTTAGACGCGTTCCTCCTCTCTCCCCGACCATATCGAACAGCGTGGTACGTCGAACGCATATCTGGTTAGTGGCCATTCATCAAAGGATAGGTCAACGTGATACTCATCAGCACCACAGGAAGACCTGAGAACTTAGTGACGCTTGCACAGACTCGCGTTGGTCACCTAGAGACCGACTTCAGAGCGTTTAACGTCCAGTCTTATTCTGACCAATCATGAGCACCACAAATCTCGAAGAAGCGGCTTCAGTAGCCGCTGAATTCGTATCCAGTGAGTATATTCTTTTGAGTCTGTTACACAGCATAGAGCTCTACTCTATGAGGGTAATCCATGTCTTGTTCTTATGATGCCAAGTGGTACCTTTTTACCATTTCGGTGTCTTTCTTCACTTGCTACCATCCGTATACGAGTCTCGCTTTTTTCGCGTGCTTGTTTCGCACGTATTTCTTTATTTCTCCGACCGGACGCTCCGATTACGAATATACTAACCTATCATGCCAGGTCTTGATAATTTACCGCAAGAGGTTCAATTCCTGCTTGCAGAAATGAAACATAAAGATACAAGGACACAAGGCAAGTACATCCCAAAGCACTACGTGATTGGTACGTGCTGACCAAACATCCACCTCCTTTCAACATCTTCCCGACTTGCTATCCCCGTCCATATGGTCACGATTCTTCTTGCGCATCCATCCCGAATTCTACTCGCTGCATTGGTTACTCGCATCTGCCTCTGAAAACGGTCGACATCGGCTGGTCTTGATGGTCGATCCTATCTATTGCTTACGACACACCTGTCCCGCTTTCAATCGGACAACGATCGACGATGTTTCATCTCGCCAAACCGCCCACAATGATCTGGACTTGCTGCTACGTTGGTGGCTCATCTCTGATCCATCTCTAAATCTCATTATATTACGGGTAAATCACGATTGATCTAACCGTTGGGGACCCACAGAGCTTCAACAAGAAATTAACAATGCAAGTTCAAAGTACATCCGTCACTCCGTGAAGTCTGCAAACGGGACCGCACAACTATCTAGCAAAGATACGAATATACCTGCCATTGTCAAGGCAAATTACGCCGAGATTGATCGGCTAGCCGCAGAGAAACAACGACTCTCGGAGCGCATCGTTCAGCTTATCACCAGAGCTCGCGCTCGTTTGGAGCACGATCTGAACAAAGTTCTGATACTGCAGGGCGACCTTGAACCCACAATACAAGGTTCATATCTTGCTCACGGAACGCGGAACCCTGTCCATCAGGTGCTCGATCTGTTGAAGGGCGCCAGCAACATCGTATCTATTTCTGAAGTACCTGCAACGCCCACGCCCACAGGTGCAGCTGCCCATCCCACCAAGAGTGAGTACTCGATCATCTTTGACGCATTGCCTCATCTATCAAAGAACCTCTCGTTGCTAACATTCTCCACTTCCCTGCTTGTTTTCCCATGGTGCTGTTTTGCTACCCATCTCGCCCGCTCTCTCACGCTTTTCCTGTTGGCTTCCGATTTCATTAGGACGGAAGCTGGGCAGTACAACATCATCTACGGTTTCCATCAAGTTACCGAGCCCCGCCCCTGTGGCGGCATCGAGCGCAGCCAGTAGTGCGGCTGCGAGTCATAGATCTCGTCTGTCACAACAAGTCGCACGCCAATCACCTGCGCGTCAACAACGTAGTAGCGGTCGGGTTACTGCTTCTGTTGAGTTAGAAGCAGATCAAGACGCAGAAGGTGAAGAAGATCTCGAAGAGAACGCTGAAGATAATGGTGAAGTGGAAGACCAGGAGTTGTACTGTTTCTGTCAGAAGCTCTCGTACGGAGAGGTGCGTACTTTTTTCGTGTTTGTTCACATGGATACTGCGAGGTTTCTTCTTGCATTGCATGTTGCTGCCGCCACCGCTTCGGCTTTCGGCTCCAGAGCGCCTTTCACGACACTCGATGATAGTTGAGTGTAGCCAATCCACGAGTATATGTCATCCTGGCTCGGCGATGTAGGGAGGGAATGTCAACTTCCTCCATTGTCCACCATGTTACGTTGCTCCATGTGGGACGCTATTTGAAAGTGTAAAGCGTATTACCCAAGCCAACATGCTCCACGAAGATCCGGAACATCTTAATATCTTAGCGAATTGGATGTTGTGGAGCGGAAGCTAACTGATTTCTTTCCGGTTTTTGCAGATGGTTGCTTGCGACAACCCCAACTGTCGTTACCAATGGGTGAGTCTTTTACTTTGCTCTGCTTTTTCCATCTCCATTTGCTTTCATTCGACATCCCGGGACTACATACTTTTTACGATCCTTCCCCTGACCGATTTTGCCCGGGGTCACCTCATCGCGCCTTCCTACTCACCACCATTCTCAATTTACTCGTTTCTCCATTACCAACGATCTTTTTTTTCTAACACGGTCAATTTTCTAGTTCCACTTACCATGTGTAAACCTCAAACCGCCTCTGCCACACGTCTGGTATTGCTCCGAATGTGCAAGTCAATTTGGCGGCGTTACGACCACGACAGGGACAGCTAGCGGTGGTGCTTCTGGGGGTGGTGGCGGAAGTAGTGGGTCCGGACAACGCAAAGGACGCAAAAAGTAATCCCATTGGGTCGCTCTTCCCGCTGTACGTCAGTCCGACGTCCGCTGGAAGGTCTAGGTTCTTTTCGCTCCGTCCTCCGGAAATAGCGTCGCAAGGGATGTTCAAAGCTTCACGCTCTGAACTCACAATTCGACGCGCGTTTCCTTTGAAAGGGTGAAACTGTTTGTATTATGACGCTTGTATTATAGGATGTGTTGTATTCATGTGGATTCTCAGGGAATGGAGAACATTGTGTTCGGTATTATGACGCCGCTGTACTACTACTAGTTTACTAATTTTACCATGACAACCACTTTAGCCCGACGTCTTCACGGCATTCTCACCAAACAGGAAGAATGCAGAGTACGAAAGCGGACGTATTCCCCGTTTGTCGGCATTCGGAAGACCTGGGGCTCAAGCTTGACAACGGCCTGAGTAGCAACGAGCTATGCCCATGTGGGTCGTTACAAGAACATACCGAAAATGGATCACCAACTTCGAAGTGGATCTAAGTCTAATCACCCACTGTTCGGAAGTCGCCATAAGCTCACTGTACGTTCAACAAGTATTCAAACAGTAGGGCAGTACCTCGAAATTCCTTACATCCTGTCATCTACACAGCCCAACAATCAACCACCTCGACATGATTTCCATGCGATTTTGAGTTGTGGAAAATGGCAACCTCCCGACGTTGCGGACAAAACAAGACGTAATAGCGGCGTGTTAATTGAGGGTATCTCCGTAAGTCTGGCAGGCGCTCTGCAGGTGACCGTCATCCGCCTTTCTAGGTCGTCACTGTCATGCTGCTGACACTGACACACTGTCTGGCTCAGTGTGGATCGGGAAATGCGTGAAGCGCGGACTTGAAAAGCTTGAAGGAGAAAGGTGAGTATAGAGTGACATTGCGTAGGCGGCGCAAGTCTAAGATATGATCCTTTTTCAAACAAAGAAACGGAGGATGAATGCAGCCACAATGCCAGCCAGCTAGACCTGTCATCGCGGCAGCAGCACGAGGAAATGGGGAATAGACTTTTGGTTATTCCGAGGCCTTAAGAAAGTCCTACGCGGGAACGGCTTGAGTTCCTGAGGGAGTTGAGCCGAATTGCGTCGTAAATGAGAACGACTGCGGGGTTACTTATAAGCCATTTGCATTTGGGACACGCAGGCTTGGGGCGTGAGAGCGGTAAGTATCCCGGGTCCGGGAGGGCTTCAAGCGTTCCTCGAGGGCGTTGAAGCTTTGAAGCTGAAGCGTCAAGTGTAAGCAGCGCAGTCGTGTCAGGATGGTCAGGGTGGGGTCGCCAATGGATCCAGGAGAGCGCAGCAGCATTCTAACCAACTAGTAACCTCGTGGGATCCCTCCCATCCTCGAGGAGGCCAGAAAAGACCAGAAAGTCGCAAACAGAAAAACAGAAACGACCGCGAGTCATAAAAGCACTAACGAAACTACTAGCAAGCGTTATCTTGAAACCCAGAGCCCGTTAGCATGAGTAGGGGAGGGGGAGACATAATAGGGGGAAACCCTGAACACGCCTTTTTCTCAAACTCTTCACATTCTTACCGTGATTATCCCAGACCCTGAATTGACCTATATCACAAACCACCAAAGCCGTAAAGCGTCAGTTACATACATAGTAGGGAACGCGGCAACGTGTTTTCTGAGTTTTCTCGCTCTGTGAATATCGAATTAAGCGAGTAAGTGGTAAGTAAGCAAGACGTACTATTCCATATTGTCTCTCCTCGCATATTCTGCTCCTTTCACCTCCGCGCGCAGTGACAATTCCTTTTTCGTAACACCCTATGCCATAAGCTTCATTGACATGAGGCAGCTCGAGGCACACGAGCTGCATTCTGCATATTCAAGCCTCAAGCCTCAAGCCCAAGGGCGTCCGATAGCTCAAGTAAAGTTAACGTTAGATAATTGGCGTGGCCATCTCGGAGAAATTCTAGCCCACCTGCAGAATGTCTATGGACCGGTGACCTCAGGCTGAGCCTGTTCATTGTGGGCGCTGACATGGAAGCTGACAACCCTGAGGGTGTATGTGGATGCGATGCTAGCGTAATGAAATCGAGTCAACATAGCTGTTTATACTCCATACGGCTATTTACAGCCTTCTTGCCAGGATGCAATCGAGGGACCTGACTTTTTTTATAGCTATTTGCGGCTACTTGAGCAAGACAATACAGCGCAGAGGCTTTCGAGATCCGTTCGAGGCTGCACTCACTCAGGCTGAGACGCTGCAAGCTCTCCTCAGGCTGCTCTATGAATGATGTTCGTAATTGCCTCGGAAAGCTGCAATTACGTTCCGGATATTGAAACACATGTGCTGGATATTTTCAAAAGGTGGGATATCGTTCCGCAAAATAGCTGAATTAAGTTTCAAGTTCTCTGCATAGCCCTCCCTAATTGTCACAGATCGATTTGCTTCCGCGAAGATTCAAGTCGATCTCTAGCTAAAGAATGATCAAGAATGGGTACAGTATGTACAGCCTGAATGTCCAAAACCGGGAACCCCTTTCAAGTGACGGTGCAAGGATAGACAATGCGCATATGGTCGATTAGATGCCGCCGCCGAGAGAAAGTAGCTCTGGTCGAGCTCTGTGCTAGATTATACCAGCTGGGTATACCCAGTACCCACCCTCCACATGTACGATAACTCAAAAGGATGGAAGTCCGGAAGCCGACCTATATCGGTGTTCTTAATTCCCGGCTTGCTCGTGAAGTGCATGTTCAATAACGTTCGGTGTTCGATCGAGTCCAGTCCAGCTCCCGATCAGTGTGTTACGGGTGTGTATACGGAACGGCAAGTTGAAAGGGCCATACCGTATACGCACGATCGTCGGGAGAGCTCAGGTTCCTATAGAGTACTAGTACTGGTACGAAAGAAGTACGAAAGAAGTATGAGCTCTGTTTTCTTTAACCCCATGCGTGAAGTTTGAATTGAGGGCCCCGAGTGAAGGAAGGGCCGATGTGTATCGGTGCATGATGGTGCTACAGTAGTTAGTCCGATTGAATCCGCTGGCATGTTCTACATGTATAGGCGTGGACATTTCATTTCTATGTTTCTCTCTATATCTTAAGCTAAGTATGTATGCCTCCGATCGCGAGAAGAACTCGATATGTGTGCCTCAGTAGAAGCCGGAAGAAAGTGGGAAGTGTAGGAAGTGTAGGAGGTTGAGGGAGAAGCACTCTCTTGCGTTGGAGCAGCCGAGAAGGTTCCGGAGTTCGACGGGGGTAGTGAGTTGGAGTATAGTACATGGCTCATTTCCATGAATGCACCGGCAGTCAAGCACAGTTTCGTGTATAGTACATGTGCAATATACGTTCGCAGTTCGCAGTTCGTAGTTCGCAGCTGCGACTATCCGCTTTCATTGAGATTGCAAGTCCAGAAACACTCGAAATAAACACCGCCGCGCCCCAAGGTCCTAAGCAAGCAACCACAAAGTTCAAAACCAACACCACAAAGCAAAGCAAAGCACACCACTGGCTCCCTCAGGCCGGCCTGACGAAAAGAAGTTCCAGGGGCAACAATTTGAAACATATGTGCGTTGCGATTTCAGTCAGACGCGACTGTCGAACGCGGCACATCCCGTTACCGCTTGAAGGCTACTGAGGTACGATCTCGGTTCGGCAAACCTGGTCGGCAATGGGGAAGGGGTGGGTTTGAGTTGGAAGAAGATACGAAATATGTAAGTTACATATCGAGTGGTGGGGATCTGGCCATGGGTCACAGGTGGGTGTCTGTTCGGTCAGAGAGTTCAGGAATCAAGAGGGCCAACTTGGAAGCGATAAGTACGTAGATATTGGGAACCAGGTGGTGATAGGGAAGGTCTGGCTAGCTTGGGAACGGAAGACATACGCGATTGGGAAAGTCTTTGGAACTATTCTTCTTTCGTTTTTGCTCAGATCTCTTTCTACATGCAATAACTGTATCTACGTGCGGTTCTCGGTGCGCTGAGTATTGGAAAGAGATTCTTTTAGAGTTGAGAAGACCAAGAAGCGTAAAAGTCGGGCTTGCTAATGATGGATTCCGGGGTGGAATTCGAGAGTATGTTATCGGTTATGAGTGTGTGACTGGGGAGCGCGAGGCTACCGTACGACTGTCCAACCTTCCCCAATTGCCAACGACAGAGAGAGAAGACTCAGAGGGCAGAGAGCAATGCGATACTTGCGATGAGTAAGCAAAGTCATAAAAAGCGAGAGTCATTTAGTGTTCCGAGACATGCTTAGAGAGTGAACGTAAGGCCGGAGAAGAGCCAAGGCTTAAGTCAACCTTGCAAATCGCCTCGTATACGCACGATATCGAACCATCCTCGGAGCTTGGGGCATTGGCAAAACGCAAAAATAATTGGAGTTCAGCGAGGTCCATCCAGACGGACACGGACAGAGCGGGGGCGGGGAACGCAATTGAGGGAACGTGTGTGACGAAAAAGAGCTTGCGAATTGTGTATACGTACGTAACGTACGCCCCCGACAAGTTGCCGTTTGCAGAGCGCGGGTCAAAAGTCAGGACGCAAGCTAGGTATGCGTGTGTAAGAATTTTTTTAAATCAAGCGAGACGGGAAGAAGCCATATGCATATGACTTAGGGCGCGTGGAAGGTTTCAAAGGAAGAAAATATTTCGCTGCGTGTTTATTTTGCTTATTCAATTGGGGGTGCGATTGGTATTTGCTGGCAGGAACGGTTACGAGAAGGTGACAAAGGACGACATGTGTATACTGTACAGCAAGCAGTGAAAGGTGTGTTCAGTTTGGGCATTGCGGGAATGAGGATGCATTGCATAGAGATATATTGGGCATTGAATATATCGGGGGAGGTAGCTACGGTGCCGATTGAAAGTGACAGGGAAGAAGAGAGGAAGAGGGACGGCGAACGTGTTCGGAAGAGGGTGGAAAGATAAGATGACAAGAGGCAGGGGACGACGTATGACGGGGAGGAGTTGGTTGCGACAGGGCGAGAGAAGGAGATGGGGTGGCAAAGCAAAGAAGCAAGATAAGCAAGTTGGTGGGCGGTGGATGGCGAGGGTCGAAGACAGGTAGACTTGAGCGGTGTGTGTGATGAAATATGGGTGTACAGGAAAGGATTCTGGAAGGAGGATTGGACAGACGGGTGGAGAGATTGAAGTGCGCAGAGAAGGGGGAATATTGTGGACCAGGAGAGCGGATGGCGTATTTCTGGCGTGAGAGAGGGCTTGGGAGGGCCCTAGGTAGCCGGAAGAAGGCGCGTTCTGGGAGGGAGAATAGATTGAGGAGAGGGGAGGGAGAGAAGGCCGGAAAGAGGGCAGGAGAGGGACCCAGAGGAGTGGGACGAGACAGCGAGAGAGACGCTAGGCCAAAACGAGAAGCCATCGGAGAGCAGCACAGCAGTTGAGGGACCCTGGATACCGGGGGGCAGGACCCGGGACAGGTTGCGAGGATAAGCGGGCACAGGAGGAGGCAAAGGGTGGCAAAGCGGGCCAGTCGCCGACGCTGGAGAAGGCAGAGATGGGTTGGCACCCCATTGGCAGCCCATCGGCACCCTCCCTTGCTACAAAACCCGGCCGTACGTTCCTCCCAGAATGCCCTCCCCGCTAGCCCTTCCATTTACTCGAGTGCTTACCCTCTTCTCGCATTTACCCTCTTCTCAGCTGGCTTCCCCTCCCGTGTGCGACTTCCCCATCCCCTTCTAGAACCCCTCACCTCCACCATGGACGCGTTGCACTACGACTACACCTCCTACTCCGACGCCTCCACCCCGCGCACTCCCTCCCCGCGCACTGACATGCATCCTCCCTTCCACTCCCCTCACAACTTTAAGCCCCAGGTCGACATCCACCTCGCCCGCTCCATCTTCGACCACCACGGAGACGACAATGCCATCGTCCCCGAAACTCATGCCCTTGAGGCCGCCCACATGTGGTCCCACCCGTATCCCTCCTACCCTCAAGCACCAGGCTCGCGTGGTTCCTTGCTTGACGAGCTTTACGAGAACGACCTTCCAGAACACAACAACATCCCTCATGACGTTCATACCGTCGACCACCATTACCACCATTCCGCCGACCCTCAATACCACGGCGGTAATTGGTCTAATATACCCCAGACTGCTCACGCCGAGCACCATCATATCCAGTCCTCCATGCGCCACGCTCACGATGTCGCCATGACCCGACGTGCTACCTTCCCCTACGTTCGACACGATAGGCCAGAGGTCCTGTCATACTCACCACATCCCTTCATGGGTGGCGAAGATTCCCTCCACAGCAGCCCTTACAACTCCCGTCCAGGCACCGTCTACGGCGAGCCGCTCCCCATGGATGGCTCGCCACATATGCACGTCATGCGAGATGGTCTACACCACCTCGACGAGCCCTTTGCACATTCCGTTCCTATGCCCTACGATCACCTTGACGGCATCAAAACTGAAGACTCTGCCTCACTCATCGTCCCTTCCCAAGCCCAGTTCTGCCGCCCACCTTCAGCAGGCATGCACCCGCTTCCTTGTCTATCTCCCCATGCAGGTCTTCTCGTCCAGCACACAGACGACGCCGCGTCAAAGGAGACGCAATATCTCCGTCGACGTTGCTTCAACTGCCATACGACTGAACCGCCCAGTTGGCGACGTTCGACTCTCAACCCCGGTAAAATCGTCTGCAACAAGTGCGGTCTCTACGAACGGACACACTTGCGACCGCGACCACTTCGCTTCGACGAATTGCGAGCGGGGAGCAAGACGAGGAAACAACCGAAAGTCGCCGGTGGTGCTGCGAGTCCGAAGGCGGGCAAGTTGACACAAATGGTGAAAAAGGAGCCGCGAGACGGTGAGGAGGGCTCGCCAATGATTCAACGACGATCCTCCGTCTCTTCTTCCGCAGGCTCTGTGCATTCTGGTAGCGCAACGAGCGATTGGGACGACAATGGTAAGTCTCCCAAAGCGCCGCCTCATTAGCGCGTTGCTAATTTGCGCTCTACGTTGTATTGAATCTTAGTTTCTGTCTATTCTTCAGGCTCTGCACCACCTTCTTCCTTCAACTCCCCCGCTGTCTCTTCATTCTCCATCCCTCGCGACCCGAACTCACAATCTCCGCCTCTCCCAAGAGATGGCGGCATTCGCCTTCCTAACGCACCTCTTTCCGACATCGCCTCGCTGCAATCCTCCGGCTCCGTCCCTCCAACGCCCAGGAAAGCTGCCACCGCTCCAACGCCGTTTTACCACGCACAAGGTAGCTTCTACCCTAACGGCACTGCCGCAGCTGGCGAGAGACGCAATAGCGGTAGCATTCCGTTGACTGCAAGTCCGCAGATGCAGACGCAGTCGCCTCAGCTCCAAGCAATCTCGGAGATGCCCATGCCTGAGGTGACGGGGTGGCAGAGTGTACCTATGAGCGACTTGGCGCCTTCGCCGAGTGGGAGTGTGAATGGAAGCAACCCGGGGAGTGCGTCTGGTGTCAAGAGTAGGAGCAATAGCTTGCGTCAGAGTGTCACTGCTGCGTGAGCTGGAGCCTTTCTCGAGGGTCGTGGCTGTAGGTTTCCATCGTCGTTTTTTGCTGGGTTGTATCTTCAGTCATCGTCGTATGTTTTTCTCGCTCCGCTTCTAGATATTCTCCTTTTCTTTTCCTTTTTGTGTTTTTATTCACCGGCGAACAACAACGTCCTCACTATTTATTTCCTCCCCTCTCTTCTCTCCTGCGTTTTTCCTTCCTCCCCATTATATTCTCCTCCTCCTTGTTTGTCGTCGCAAATACTTGTTTATTCGCAGAAGTAAAAAGCTCGCTCTTGCCTATACCGTTGTACACCCCCATCTTTTTTTTTTTTACCCCCGGCTACTTGCTGCATTATTTGATTCCCCCTCGTCCGCCGTCAACTCTTTTCTGTATCACTCACACATATTTGTTTACCATGTCCTCTCCGCATGCACACAACCCAACCTCAATACACACTCTCTCATCCATAACGCATATATATCCCCCTCCTTCTCTTCTTCTCCCTTGTTTGTGTGATATACTTTTTCCTTCTGCGAGTTTTTATTCTTGTATATGCTGCCTTCTTTTTTTCTTATCCTGCGTGTGCAAAGTCCGTTTCTTGTTCGTATTGGTTGCTTGGGCTCTTTTTGTTGGACTACCCCATGGCTGCTCATATCTATTCGTCGTATACGCTGCATATTTTCTCTTTCCCTTCCAACCTTCATAAATTTTTACCCTGGCAATAACACTGTACTCGTAGTCTCAACGTCTGCTCCATGTCCCCCAAAAACCTGAATGGAATCAATAGATACAGTAATTTCCTCTGCTCTACTCTCGAACCCGTTCATCTGACCCTTCAGCTCACGAATTCGAAACTGGTCAGGAACCTCAACTGCTAACTTCAAGGTCCGATGTCGACTTTCCAAATCCAATGTTGGGCACCGTGACTGACACTGACACTGCCGTTGGACGTCTGGAGTCAGGACATTTGGTATTGCCATGCATATGATTTGCGAATATACAGTATGTAAGAATAAACAAAGTTTATCTGCTGTATATACATATGCAACTTTTTCTTTTTATACTTATGTCCGCCGCCGACCGCGATCACGCAGAAAGAAGTAAAGAAGCGCATTAATGGCAAGGAACAGCCTGAGCCAACGTGTTTCAAGTACTGTACTGGCAATAAGGTCCAAAAGCTCTCAGGAGGAAATGCCTTGAGAACACCTGACTCGTGGCTAAAGAATTCGAAGCACCCCCCACCACCACCGCCAGCCAGGGACGCGGACGGGTTTTTGTTGCCAGCCTTTCCTGCTGCTGCTGCTCTAGTGCTAGTGCCAGCTGGCGAGATAGAGATTTTATGGTTCAGGATTATCGTATTGTCAATGCGCTAGCTAGGCGAGCTTCCAGCTTCCACACTGGAGTATGTACCCCCGGAAGACAAACGTCCCCGCGTTAATAAGTACTTGCCAGTTGGTGACTGGTCACCGGTCAGAATTCAGAATCCCTTTGGGTCGCGCCCGCTTCCACTTGGGTTCAAGCATGAACGTTCTTCAGTATCGGTCTGAGGCTGTCGCCGTTACATTATGAACTGAATTCGAAGTCCCATGGAGGACGGGAGTTACTTAGCGTTGGTATATAGAAGTTGTATAGAAGCAACCAGGTAAGGGACGCGCGCGCGCGAATGTCGGACTATGGAATGCATGAGAAATGTCTCGTATCTCAGTTGGAGATCTCCCTTCTTTAGTCTTTAGTTCGAAAAAGCAGGGTGCACTAGTACTTAGTAAGTCACGGTGCAAGTACTGGCACTTATCGTACGCGAAGATCAACATATATTGAACCTGGGGTCATCGCACGATTTTTCGCCGTTTTACGCGACGTGCCAGTGTGTTCTCTTTTGTTTTTCGAATTTTCTCTTGCTTTTAGAGTTGGTCAATAAGCTGCAGGCACGGCTGGTGATTGTATTGTAAGAGGCGGCTAGCGCGGTTTGAACGGGTAGGCAGGAGCCGTAATCCCTTCGTGGCGCTAGACGTTGGCAGCATCGGCATCATGCGCAAAGGGTCCTGAACGTTCAACTTTAACCAACGACTTATCTCTACCCTCCCTGTCTCCTACACTTTGACTTCCCCGTCTTCTTGACTCTTCTCATTTCCTTCAAACGCTTTCGAGCCGCGTAAGAGCCTATACGATTCTACATTCGTTCTACGTTCCCGCTGGCCTATCATGCTCCCGACGATTCGGCCGGGACCCACGGATCCAAGCTCCAGCAGCCTATTAGAATGCAAGCAATCTAATCCCCGCTTGGAGCTGACGAAGAATGTGAAAATCCTCTCACTGCATATTCACCTTGGGCTTCTGGTTATTCACCGTGACTACGTAGAATTGGAACTGGTGCTGCTGCAGCAGCAAACCCACCTCAGTTGGATCTATGTATCTGAAATCCGCTCAAAAAGAGAAATAGAAGACCCCGCGGTGCTCGGCGCGTTCCTGAATCCCTGAAGTGCACCATATGGCTTCTCATGGAGCGTTCCTTCCCCTCTTTTGGGCGGCCAAGGAGAGAGAAAGTTCTAAGCAGTGGTGCTTATACGGATTTGTATACGCGGCGCGGTTCGCAATTCGGAATTGATTTCCCATTGTTTATTTCTCTTTTGAATTTTTCTCTTTCAGCGACTACCTTTGACACTGCTATTGAGCCACTCCGTGTATATATCTCCATGACAGCACAGCTGAGCCAGACTCCAACAGGGCTCCCTCCTCCACCCGGGGCTCCCATAGACTTGTACTAAGCTGAAAGAGTGTTTCTGAGCCTTTGAGGCGAAGTGCGTGTCGTATATTGTTCGCTTGCTATGCACAGTGGAGACTCGTCGGGTGACATACGGAGGAATATGACTGGTTTACTGGTACACACAACTGGCACGATACGCGCTTCTGTGGCTTTATTGCCATTGCTCCGCTCTGAGAATAATCCGCTCTCGGCGGAGAGTGGGTCTTTTTACGTGGACTTTACGCTGTTCTTACTCGGTTTCACTTTTGGTATTTCTCTGCACTCGTGTTTTTGTTGCTTTGTGACGTCGAGGGCCCAGGAAAGAGACTTGGAGAAAGAAGCCCGTATGTGAGCCTTGAGGCCTTGAGGCTTTGAGGTGGAATTGGGAGCTCGTACGTCGAACGTTCTTAATCCTAATCCGGCGCTGGTGTCATTGGAGATAGGCAAGAGGTTCGCGGAAGCAATTTCTACCATGTGGCTCGGCCCTTTATCCGAATAAGACATGCCTTCGTGTCACCCAGGGCAACAGAATTAACTTTCAAATTTCACAGGTCTCGTCCGGTCTCGTTGGACTCTGGTAAGGAAGCACGGACAGGAACTTAAAGCTACGAAGAGAAGGAAAACCTAGACAGCTTTTCCGTCCTGCTGTCTGGAGTTTTTTCTTCGGTCCCTTTTTTCTTTCATGCTATTGCTTCATTCACACTTCAGTCTTCTAGCTTACACGGATCTGCTTCATGGTCAGGGCAATTTCGAATGAATGAATGTAACTGGTTACTTGGAGCCTGCATATGTAATTCTGAAACGCGCCCCTCTTTCTTCTTTCTTTCTCATGCCTCGCATTGCGCCATAGGCTACTCAGCAGTCAATTGGCCAAAAAATCGGTCTTTCCGATTGTCCACATGGCTTTTTCTCTCTTTGCACACTTGTTATCTACAGTATACTGCTAATACTGTGTAAGCCAAGGGTCATCCTCTACTAGTTTGCCTCAAGGCAATCCCGCGAGTCTTATGGTGACAATGTCTGAGCAATGTTACGCCGAAGCTAATTCTATGTTCTATTCTATGTTCTATGACGTGCAAAAACTCCAGGCAAATCTCAGCCAGTTTAGGTGTCCTTTTGTTCACATCCTGGATCCTTCCGAACGGCCCTGTCCGGCTCGTCCTACAAATATTTAACCTGTCGTTCGACTCGTGCACGGGGCCTTGCCCTTGGAGGGCCCGAACACCAAACGTGGAACTTTCTGCAATGGAAAAAGGTTGCGTCGGTGCCTAACGTTATCCATGGACCATGTCAGTGCCGTTTATCGCTAACGCCACCGTCGTCTAGGTGCCCCCCAAACGTCTTCCACGTCATTGGCGTTGAACGTTGAACGCTTCCGCAATGCCTTGAGGCTACTTATCAGTTCCGGGATAAACTCGTGCCCGATAGCTTTGTTTGAGCTTGTTGAGTTATAGCCTATCGGACGTCTTTTTCGCGAATTTCGGGTTTATTTTTTGTCTTCCAGCTTTTCTAGTTGCGAGTCTTGCGTCAGTTCCCTCTAGGACCGTGAGGGTGTTATACAGTTGGTGACAGAATATACTGTTCCACTTGCTCTCCGAAATGACACCGGAAAGACAAAAGCACAGGTCATAAACGGCTTTCAAAGGCGAATACCTCGACCAAAATTTCTTGGCGACCCATGCGACAAGTCGGACTCCCGTCATTCCCTGGGCGGCGGCCTCTGAGACTTCCTCTCATTGGTCTGAGAAGATCCTACGGTAACAGAGGGTTACAGGCAACCTGTACGACGACGTATTTGCATTGCATTGCAGAAAGCCAGTGCACTTATCATCAATTTGTTACAGATCATGACGCATAGATCGTCAGGAGGTTGTGAAGGTCAGTCGCAACGACCAGCGATCTTGCTCTGACTCTGATCCGATTCGGGACGCAGCTTTTTGAGGAGAATCTCAGTGCCTCTTGACCGGCGACCGATCTCTCCAATCGCAGGCCGCCGGCTACTTCTCCCTGGTTGATTTACAATAATTTGCAAGAGGCGGCGTTGACACAGGGACGAGCTAGAAGAACGTGCTTCATACCTAATATTACTGTAACCCCTAGATTGATGCCAATACTTTGGAAAGACCCCTGCGTGGAGTCCTCGATCCAATTCGATCCATGTTATCAAGACGACTCAAAGTGGGTGGGTCGTTGGACGTTCGATCACTGGGACGATCATTTTGTTTGTTCAAGTACCCCTAATGGCTTGAGCTTTGTGGCGGAGCTATTAAACCATTTGGAGTTACCGCCGTCGTTCAACTCGGCCTTCAACGAACTTGTGCTTCTAGAACCGCCGCTATACTGCCGCAGGGCGCAACCGAAGATAACCTGACATTTACTTCAATGGGTATTCTCCACTACCGTTGCTGAAATATTTAGGAACGGGTTGTTTCATAACGCAGGTTCAGCCGCTCTCAGAGGGATTCTCAAAATACATATCCATTGATAGTACGGTCCCCGTGCAAACTTCCACCGAAGTTTGAGTTGATAACAACCTTAGAAACCCCGCGGAAATGTCACACCATGGACGTCTGCCTGCTTGGTGTTTCATTCCTGAAGACTTCTGACGCCTAATGGCAACTTGGTATGACAGGAAAACGAGGGACCTCGTAGTGTACGAGATATGACAACGTTATGACCGTTACGTCTCATGTGAGACCTATTCCCGCAGGCACGTCGGCTAAAGACGAGGAATGAAGAAGAAGCACCTCCTGGCCTTTGTTCTATTCCCAAAAGCGTCATACAGGGTCCGTGGAACGCGCGCCGCCGGCAAGAATGCTTACACTTATTCAATTGGACATGCCACATCCAGTAAACTTTACCTACCATTGGTCGTAATTTGACTCTTGGATTAGGTTATCATCCGAAGGCCATGGAAGTTCTTCAAGAAGACACGGACTCGTGTTTTGTCCTCGCGGTGTATTTGTCTGGCGGCAGAAGGCTATCGAAGGACACAGGCTACGACGGTCTGCTGTTGGTTTGAACTATTGGATTTGCTTCTGAGCTTGTCGCCTTCCAAGAGATGTAGTCACCTTGCTCTTTGCTCTCCTATCTACACGATGCACTCTTCCAAGGTTACGGTTGCCTAAAGGAATTATCTGAAGTGTCCCTGTCCTTGCTCACACGGCGGCGTCTTACATTCGCCGTCCTGCTTGCTGTCATCACCTGAAGGTCCGAGAGCTGTTGTTCCTTTATCTCGTCGCTACTGTAGGACCCCGACGGCTTCGCTTCCAGTCTTGCAGGTATACTCAAGGAGGCATGTATTTCAACGTCTATCAGTGTGCCCATTCGTATCGCGCGTCACTCGTTGTCCGCAAAAAAAAATGGGGGACCCGCAGGCACGCTATTCAGAATATATATGTTGTTGATTCAGGGCCGATCACATACACATTTGAAGGCATAACTGAAATTTCTTGCTACCTCACGACGCCTCAGATGCGGCGAACAACTAATGATCTGCATCTAGATTCTTCGTTAGTGTATTGGTCTTATTCCAACTCAACCGACAACAATGGGACACTTGTAATCCAACGACACTCTTCGATTCTGAGCAGTCATGTTTGAGTCGATCCTTCTTAGACCACTTTGGCGTTGTACACGGTCAGGACTCATCCCCGTCGCGATGCAATCACCTACACCTGGTGATAGGAGATACTGTGTATGGAAGTTAGGTATTTCAGTTTGTGAGCTTCTTTTGATCTCTACGCTCTATAAGTTATTGATGTCATCAGGTTCAAATGCCTCAGCAAACTCTACGACACGGGAGAAGTTTGAAAAACCTATACATGGTGCAGCTCATATCAACAATCTCATCACCATGCAGGTACTGAGATTGTCTTTGTCCCCCAGCACTTAGGAAGTTACCGGTGAAGCGCGAGTGTGAGTGTCCTCTTCCTTTCACGGCGCAAACCAGACCATCAAGCTTCGGGTCTGAAGCATCAGTGATGATGCCCTGACCCTTCGAGATTCTCTGAAGACACGCACCGCTGAGTACTTGGAATCCCGTAAATTCTGCGACTACTGCGGTTTCCCTGTTCAGCCTCAGCGGCTAGTGATCACCCGCAATATTCTGAACTTACTCGTTCGCTTGATGGATGTCTTTCCACAAAATGAACGATCGATACCAGTGGATGATTGACAGTTCGGATCAATCTCCTGAAGAATCAGCGTCGATGTGCGCATCTCCGAGATAGGAATCTTGTGGATATACCTGTTTCACAGCCTTGGTACGCTTTCTATGTGTTTGAAATGCATCAGGTCTAGCGAGTGGGTCCCTGAAGAAATCAGGACGTTCTTCACTGTGAGTGCTTATCACGATTATTAGGTAGTTCATGTTTGTATGCCTGGACGTTTTGGAAATTGGAGCCCACCCTGCCTAGAAGACATATATTTGAGCAGATGTAAGAAATTGTGCCACTGTAGACATGTGTGGTCCAATTGGTGGACCTCGAATTTGGAGAGGCAATGGAAATGAGAATAATGTGATTGGGCGGGCCGCCTTCCCGTCGTTGATTGGAGAATACTGTAGCATGGGCGCTCCTGCTCACTTCACGCCTGCACATAGACTATGACCACCAATAACGTTGCATTTCCTTCAGCATCCTCAATGTCCTACCTTACTAGTGTAAATGCTTCGCCAGTTACCCAATCTTCCGCTCTCTCTGTATCTCATCATGCTACAGCACTTGAAATCTGCGATATTGTTTATGGTCCAACTATCCCTCCGTGGGACACGATAGAACGATTCTACGAACCCTCTGCGACTTACGAGAACCCATTCCTTACCGCAACTTCGCGAGATGTGATCTCTGATATACACACTCTCGCGAGTCAACTTGCACAAGTGGACGTGCCCAAACCGGTAGCAGTCTTATTTGCTCTCTTCGGAATGGAGAGAAGAGGACGATGGAAGGATCCATGGTTCCGAGCAGTTCAAGTCTGGAGTGAAGTAGGCGATGTTTGCGAGAGCGATAGTTTTGGTAAGTGAATGATGCATTATAGATGACGTACCAAACACTCATCTTTGGTGTGTAGATGGACATCGTAAAACGATTGTGGAGCATACACTTCACATTTTACTACTCCCTGGTTTACACTCCTCCTCCGCCTTTCAGCCGCCAACCCCCTATACACCGGTGCGCTCTGCGACGCCACCGGAGCTATCTGTATATCCGGTCGTTCCTGCGTTGCCAGATGGCACCCAATATACCACTCTGGGACTGAACATCAATATACCATCGCCTCTACATCTACGTCTTCCCATGATGACACGATTGCTGTTTAACGATGTCGGCCGCATTACACACCATCGAGATTTTTGGGATGTCAAAGTTCGTTTAGTAATTCTTCCGAGTGTCTTTGTCGCTAACATAAACTTCGGTAAGGACGTCTTGGGTCTCGTCCCGGGCATGACGCTCACGCAGTGGATTACAAGTCGCATCTTTGCACAAGGCGTGAGAGGAGTTGTTGGAATTGCGAAATCTCTGTTCTCGACCCGCACTGCCCATTCCACGGACTTAGTCAACAGCACCGGCGAGGAAGGGGATCTCTCTCCGGCACAGGCATACGCAAAGTCAGTCAAGGCGAGTATTGGTCGTCGACGTTCTCTGGCAGGACCTGAGACTGTTGTATGAGCTATTGCATCGCTACAACCGGACCCTTCACCCACATCATCCTTCTATCTTTGATGTATAATGTGCAATTCGTGTTCAGCTCCGCATCGTATTGACACCAAGTTCACTGTTCACGAACATTTCGGTGCTCGCTTCAGCGAAGCTCCTTCCCGTCCACTAAACCGAATTCACATGTCACACGATCGTCCATGCTTCTCTCATTCCCGCCCAATGGCACAACCGATTTTCCTGATGAACCTTGGACCTTCACCACTATATCCACACTTCGTCCCTTCAGTCGACCTAATTTGGGTCACGAGCGCCGCTATCCACCTGTGACATATGCAGTGCGCCCTCTATGAACTGACCATGTGGACCATAACCGCAATGTCCCATGTCATGTCCGCTATCCTTGGACTCGAGGGGATCTTATCCCGCTTTTCGCGCATGTGCATCCAGCACGAAAAGCCCTATCCTCCAGCGGTCCGCTCCTTTCGCGCACTCATAATCATATCTATTCTCGATACATTCAAAGGGCCACAAGATTCTCGTATCGTAGCCTGCGGTGGGAATAGGATTCCCTCGCTGTCATGACGGGCTCATGCACAGCAAACACATCATCTCCTCTTCAATTCATATATAGTGGACTCGGGCTTGCTTCTTTAGTTCCATGACGTGCCGGCGGCTTGTCATGCACCACTGCAATCAAGCGGCTGTATTTATCTTTATCTGAAGACACAATACCACAGCCATGTATCCTTATCCCATTTATGCCTTTCAAGGTTCAAGTAGGGGAGTGGGAAGTGTTCATTCATTCATACTTGGACCTTGTCCGACGGAATTCCGTACGGTTGACGCACAGAAGGCGAAGTCCGCACAGACACTCAAAATTATAGGGCGAGGCAAGATTCTAATGAGACCACCACCGAATTGACCGGACTACACAGGTGTCGCAGATTCTGAACATGTCTGCTTATTCGTCACCTACTTCCCGCTATATTCACATATAGCCGCGACGATCAATGAGCTTCCTCAAGAGGTTTTGCAATAGAGCGACAATAATGACACCGGCGTACATAATACGTACACATTCGGCACAATCCCATGCGTCTGCGCTATCATCTGACGCGCCGCAGGCGTGGCTCTAGGGCTGAAGCCTTCCTCGCAGTGCCTCAATGCTTGTCGACCCAGGCAGAGGCAACCCTGATACTCAAAGAGGCGTTCTTACAAGGACCTTGTGAGAAGTTCCAGGGTGAACGAAGAGTTTCAGCATGACAGGTCCCTGTTAACATGTCAGAATACGTATGTGTCCCACGAATCTGGTCCCCCCTTTGCGTCACCGAAAGCGCTGAGGCTGTAAAGACACTAGATGCGGCATCAACGTACGGCTAACGGACTGTAGTGGAAACAGGGCAGTCTGGGATCATGTCGAAGGAGAGTTAGAATCAGAAAACTTCAGATTGCAAGGGTCCAGGATTGGCTGAGGGAGGCGTTAGGCGGAACTCAAGGCGCGAGATACGATTACGGATCAAAATCAATTGAAGGTGGGCTGGGCAGAGTTATGTTTCATTTTGCTTCCTAAGCGCAGAGACTAGGAGAGAAAGCAACCGCGAGCCTCGAGGTCGACCGACACGATGGTAGTTCTGCAACACGAGGATCTGAGGTAGGTGCCGTGGTTGGGAATCATAGGTGACCGGACGATCAGAGGCAGTAACGAAGCTATCCAAAGAAGAGATCCAACAGATCGGATTTAGACATTTGTAGTTCGGATTACAGTGGAGCAGTAAGCTCAAATGCATACGCCTTGGGCTTCGATTTCATTTACTGAATTCCCCCGATCAGCGTAACTCAGAAAAGGAGGGTAGGATTGGTAGCTGACTTTCAGTTGTTAACACCTCGAAAGACATGATAAGACGGAGGCTGCGTAAAGCGTCAGTCAAAGTCATATGTCGCGCAAGAATTTGAAAGGCGTTTGTGCAAGGTTGCATATGACGAGGTTGCTTGACTGGTGCAGTGAACTTTTGAATTGCGATTGACCTTGGCGTTGAACCTTCTTGAGTGGATGCAACGAGGATTTGATACGCTTCGTGGCGTTCTTGATTGAAGGTTATTCCACTTTTGATGGCAAAGACGAGAGATGTTTGAGCTATCCAGCCAATTGAAAGGAGAAGCGCAGATCATACCAATTTGGCAAGCGGAACATCATCTATAGATGGAATGCTCAGCCTCGTCACCCCAATGGATCCCAGCGGCAGATTGGTACAACATTAGAATTGGGTCTAGTGCCGATGCTCGGACATTGGATGCGAAACAATGCAATTGAAAGACCGTCCAAACCCATGTTAAGGAGAGGATTGCGCCCGAATCAGCTGGAGCTCCAAACACGATGGTGGCTCCGAAGGATACCGGTCGAAACTGACGACCGCATTAACCACTAGCAATGTATAATCGCCGCAGTCTCCAGCGACGTGAAAGGTGTCATAGCGATTCAAACGTACGACGAGACGGCAGGAAGCGGCCTACAAATTACAAGTGCTAGGCCGTCCACATGCACACCCAGTTTCTCCGAACGCACAAAGGGCGAGATTAAGGCCCCCGGACGACGAACGTCTCCCATGTCTAATGAGATGACCAGCAGAACGGAAGACTCAAGTTGTATCCGCCGAGAAAATATGCTGTTCCAGTAGCATTCGAATCTTGAGAGTAGTGACGGGGGTATACCAAACAACCAGGTCCGGAGACACCACGAGAATTCTTGTGCGTCAGGGTGTATGCGATTGATAAGTTACTTCCAACTGGAGGCCACTGGGCTCCATTGCGTTCAAAATGTGCTGTAAGTAGATCCCGATTCGAAGAGGTGCTCTGCCGGACGTCGAAGCAGCATAATAACTTTAACACCCCTAGCATGGGATAGTCAGACCACTATTCACATAGAAAAGGAAGATGCGGTTGGCATCCGTGACCAAGGTAGAGCAAGAAATGGTAAGAAGCCGACCAAAAAGAATATTAGGAACAACGGAAGGAATAACCATATATAGTACATAACGTGCCCAGCATGCAAACAAATTCCTCGTCCTCGACAAAACGACAACTTCCTCAGTAATAGTACAAGCTATCTCGGGCAACAGTATTCCTATCGAAAGTGGGAGCGAGGATATCGCGATAGAACTTGTCAGCAATGCCGCTAACGGATGCAACTACCTTGCCTTGTTCTTTGCACTATTCAATGATGATGGTCAGATATAACGGCACTAGAGTATCTCAACGATGAAACCCACCTCTTCACACCAGAACACATCGTCCCCGCAGGCCGTAAAACGTGTCATTGGGCCTTCCCCTTCCCAAGCAAAACAATAATAACATTGTCTCAATAGGCCCTCATCTGGTATCAACACCTCGAACTCGTAGCACGTAAACTCTTTCCCGTAGTCTCTAGGAGACTTGGATTGTTCGGTGCGCGTGCGCCCGGTAAGTTTGACTACAGGCGTTTCGGAATCAAGGAGGATGTGTATGCGAGACCCAATGAACCTTTCATCACTGTCCTTCTCAGGACTATAAGGTAGAGAGTCTGGATCGTAAAGCCAGAAGTGTCGACGCGCATATGCTTCATCAACGCTCGTATCGGGGATATTGAGCATACTGTGGATGCGTTGGCCTTGTGGGGACGTCATACCGTACGGGCGCGGATAGGTGAGGAACCATTGGCGTCTGTACCGACTGAGGGAGAAAGGTAGAAAGGCGGAATGGCGAGAAACTAGGGTGACTACTTGATTTGAGTTTGTGGATGAGGACATCATGGACTATGTGGGACTTGTTCTGACTACGACTAGGTGAGTTTGTGATGTTATGGGAGTCGCGTCCGAATGCATAGCATTCGCATAACAGGCAAACGCAGGTGGTTGTGCTTGGAAGGGTGTGATATATAGGAGCAAGACATATTGTCTCCGACGGATTCAATCATGATCTACAAGAAACAACGTGACTAGTGCTTACAGCAACATTCAAAATGATGGACCTCTCCTCAGAAATTACATTCGGGTCGGTAAGGGTTGGTACCGTCGGTGTTGTCTCGCTAATAAAGAGTAGGGTGGCATGGCTGACTAGTACTGCATTCTTCCCCCGGCATAGGTTCGCTAGCCCTCAGCATCACCGTTGCGTTGGCCGATCCTGGGCCTGATTTTTTCGCTGGGGCCTATCGTACTGTATGGTTCTACGCTCCTTATCCGCTAGCGTGGAGATTTGCATCAGTCCTTGAACTAGTGCATTGAAACCTGTGTGCAAGCGGCAGATACCCGAGGTCGCTGTAAACCGAGTTTTCGCTGTTCAAACACCTCCCATAAAGTCGTAAGGTGTGTTATATGCCTTTGGGAAGTACCAAACCGGAAGACGTTCTTTTCAGTACACCCACGTTATTAGCGCAGTGAGCGTTGAAGATGACTGCGTCCAAAGCTGCACCTCGTGAGCCTTGACTTCCCATCTGCTACTCACCACACATCACGTCAGTCCGAGCTCAATACAGTTTTTCTCTTGGCTCCCGAATCAGAATGATGCCGCACATTGTTTGAGACCTCACTGTCTTGGGTATCGAAAGAGGCTACTCCAGAAAGTATAAAATGGGCGGACGAATATCTCTTCAAACTGTGGTTGATCCATCACTACTTTTCCCCTTCGTCCTTCCTGAGTTGCGATTGTGTCGCCTTTTATCATTCACTCCCTTCATCTTGACTATTCAATTCTACTTCATTAATCTTATACAGACGATCATTATGCGCACAAGCTCAGCTTTCATGAATTTGGTGTTGGCATTTTTTGCTGGACTCTCTCTTATGACGCTGGATGTGCTGGCCATTCCGCTGGAAATCCGCGGCTCTATGGACATCAGTGGCTCTAATGTAAGTGGTCAAGAAATGAATCTCACCGCCCAGCATGGTCATGAGGTTCTGATATTGATCCTAAATTCCGTACCACAGTTCACTACAAGAGCATTATTCGGCAGTGCCCAAGAGGAATTTGTTGGCTTTCATGGGACGAATGGGGTGAGCGCATGTCTTCGCATGAAGACACACAGAGCTGTTGGCTTACACTACGCCATCAACTAGGCTAATGCACAGGTATATATGGCGAGGGGCAATGCAGCTGGTGGTGGTATTCCTGTCCCGTAAGCATTTCCGTTACAATGTCTTATCATGAAAGTCCTCACCGATTATGGAATATAGCCCTGCTTTCAACGGAGCCGATGCAGAGCTCGGTCCGGGTCTCTATGTTTCTGACGACATCACTGTGTAAACATCTTGCTCTCTTTGTTAATTGGGAGCGTAGCTTATTGCGATCTTGCTTTCTCTTCACAAAATAGGGCTCAGACGTTTGCATCGGGATCTGCTGCTGGAAATGCGAACAGAGGTAACAGGTTAAACGGTGCCAACACCCCCTTTGTCTGCGTAGTTACTGCAAATGACCAGAACGAGTGGCGAAACACAGTCAGGAAGGTTTGGGTCCCTGTGAATGAAATTGCGACGCTCGTTGGGGGTAGGAACGACCCCGGCAAACTTGCAGCTCAGGAACGGAGGATGGCAACCATCGGAGGAACAAGAGACAACACCGTACGGTTCTCCATCTGTGAGTACTTCTGTCCTTCTTTTGGAAAACATATCCTACGGTCTATAATGAATTTTCTAATCATCCTATTACAATCCTGCCAGTGGACAAGGATCGGCCTACTGCACCACGCAACGGAAACCAGATGGTCCTGCCCGCTGGCGTTCAATCTAGGTTCTCGTATGTCCCGTTATTTTCCATCCTATGGTGCCTTTACTTACGTATCCCTTGTTCTCCAGCATTAAGATCTGTGCGCCCGTCAGCAGTACAATAAATAGATTGTTAGCCGACTTGCGCAGTCCGTCATATCCCCAGTTCAGCTATATCAATCTCAGGACGCCATGGCACATCGTTTGAACTAGCATTGCCATAGAAACCTGCGTACAAAGCGTTTTATGTCGGTCCTAGTTTGTACCCTCCTTTCGTACACTACAATAAAACCACCCCTCGCTGTCCAAACAGTGAGTATTAGGGGAAGTTCACCAATGAGTAGGGGTCAGGTAGCATTCTGATCTCTTTTCTTGAGAGGAAAGAAATGTGGGACTAAATAAGAGCTTCGGTTTTTCCTTGTGGAGGGGCTGGAGTATCCTTGAAATCCTTGAAATACTATGTACACGGATGGAGACCATCAGAAGAGCATTCTTCTCTATGCCTTCTGAGCTGCAGTTGACCGGTACAGGCTCGCATTTCAGTGACAACATATATACGACTTCGAGCTATGTATTTGTTATGAGAGGTTGTCGGTAAATGCCAACTTTCAGTGTTCATATCGCCTGAGCTCGGCGCTTATAACTCAATTGCCAAAATGGGCGGAACGCGGAGAGGAATTTCAAATATATCGAGGTTGACCAATAGTAACGCGTGCACATTGATGTCGATCATACCGCGTTCCCTCTTGCCATCGCTCAAGCTCAAGGCTCCAACTTATATAGCCCGGTGAGGTGATACCAGGCTTGTGCTATGTCTTTTGAACATGCATCAGTTACAAAAGGTGTGTTGGAAACGAGATGAATCTTTCTTAGTACTAACCACGCATGTAGGGTTGATGCTCAGTCTCGCTCTTACTTCTATTGCTGTCGGGATCTTCGACGTAAAGCATTATGTTCACCTCCAGCTCGTTCCGCACTTGTCTAAGCATCACCAAGTTAGAGTCTTTGTGCTGCTATACGCTTAACATGCACTGCTAATATTCTACGCACCTAGTATTGGCGACTGTTTTCGCATCACGTTGCTTGTGCGAACTCGAGTGATTTGTTCCTCGCAGAACTGTTGTTATACAACATAGCCATCCCAATTGAACGTACATTCGGCAGCGTCAAATACGCCGTGAGTATCTCATGCTGTCACGAATGAAATCACATTTCTCTTACCTATCTCAAGTCTTTTGTACTGCTAGCCACATTGTTGAACACAATGTTCACTTTCGTGGTTATGTTGGCACTGCGAATGTCGACGTATACGGAGGCCCTTCTCAATTATGTGCCATCTGGTCCAACTGCTATAATCTTCAGCATCATACATCAGTATATTCGGCTCGTGCCGGAGGCATACCACTTCAAAATCTTTGGTGTGAGTATGAGCGACAAGATATGGGTTTATGCCCTCGCAACGCAGGTAAATAAATCAGCATAACCATCATGTCTATATTCTCACTTCCTACACCGTTTAGGTATCGATTTCGCACTTGCCTGCGACATTAATCTTGGCAGTCATCGGTTTGCTCACTGGATTGTTGTACCGATCTGAGCTTTTACAACTGAAAGGTTGGAGAATACCACATCGGTGGGTTCTACTGGAATTCTTCTCATATTGTTATCTTATGCATCACCAGATTGGTACGATTCGCGCAGACCTGGATAGCTCCATTACTCGGAGAAAGTCGATCTATCCGAAGAACAAACCGAGTGCTTCCTGAACAGCGTCCCTCTGCTGAGTCATCGTCTCTCTTGGACGAAACCATCAGTACAGCTCGAACGCCACGAACGGTACCGAGGCCCACGGCTCGTCCACCTGTTGCCACAGAAACCCCTGGTGGAGAGACACCTCCTTCTGATACTGAACATCCAAACCAGATCGGGGGCGGGATGGTCCGTCAATGGATGACAGAACTGACCGGAGCTGCAAGGCCCAGTGGGACCGCCCAAGGCACAGTGAGAGTGCCGAGCGATGTAGAAATTCAAATTCTGACAGGCATGTTTCCGGATGTGGGACGCGATGTTGTTCTGGGTGTTCTTCAGCGTAGGTCAGTCCCACCGATTTAACTCGTCACCTTGTTTGCAACCCTTCAAATCCGTTTCTTCATTGGGGATCATATCCTCCGCGGGTTCCTTGCTTCGTTCGGACCCTCTTGACCAAAAATGAAACACTATGTGGATACCATTTCCGCAGCTTCAATCTCTCGATCAGCTTTCAGGGCTTTGTGTTTGATGGTCATGATTACTTACGATCATTTCATTCTGTTTACAGCCCCAATATCGAAGCAGCAGCCGAGACCCTTCTCACATCTCAGAGGTCATAAAGCTTCTTCAGATAGCGAACGAGGCTTCTTTGATAGTGGACAGTGCGCCTGAACTTCACTCCGTTGTATATACTGAACCACATGATGATCTGTCCTGACATCGCATACGCAGGGTTCAGAGGAAGCACATGCTTCTTTTAGGTTAGGACTTGTATGTCCCATCTTGAACAATCGAAGTTTATTGTCAAGACAAAGAAGCTGTCTGTTACCCACATTTAGTTCCGTATAATGAAGAGGTCAGTCATCTTGAACACTCCATATGCAATCGATGCCTCGCCAATGCACCGCTCATGCCAACGACCCTTCACGAGGAGAGGTTCTTTGAAGCTTATCAACCTATTCTTACCTTCGTTTGACACTTCCTTGATTGATCACAGCGTTGTTAGGACAGATCCTAAACTGCTTCGCAGTATTGCTTTCCCACTTCACAACAAGAGTTGAAGGTGCGCTACAGCGGCATGCGAACATTCGTTGGAGTCGGCGGCGACGAATGATTACCAAGTTCTTTTCTCAAGCTCGGCCACCTATGGCACGCATGTAGATCAGCTGCAAGCCTATGATGAGCATATGGAGTGACGTTTATCTTGCTACTCGGACACCCCAGTGCACTGGCAAAAGCGGCCCCAGTATCCGGTTTGCAACGTCGACGGGTCAACAAGGTAATCCAAACCAGGTTACATATGGTCTCGACCACGCCGTGAGGGAGCTTTTCTAAATCATATCAACTGCCGCCAAGCGACAGCGAGCTGAAGGCGTCTTTGCATATGCCAGTCCTCAGCTACTGAGGATCGCCCGTCGTGCATACCCGATGCATACCATTGTATGACAGTGCAAGTGTGTTCCGAGAGCAGAATCTGCACAGCCTATATGACAACTGAGATCTTGTCTCAAGTGAGGTAGGGTCTTTGTATCACTTGGGGTCAGAACACCAGAAGAGGGAGGTCCTCACGGGAGACGGCGTTGGCAAATACCATCATCATCCATCATCCAGTGTATTGGGTTTGACATAGGACTCGAACCAGCGACCTACGACTTGATGTGGCTGGAAGAACGATTGAACTTATCGCGAAATATCTTTCACACTGCAAATCGACTCTCACAGCTGCCAGTTGATGTCGAATCTTACGCTCGTGAGCTTTCAGTACAATGAAGTGAGCCCAGTCGTACGGCTAAGCCACATTAGAGAGCATTCACATCACTAAAGTGCAAAAGACACGCCACCACGTCCGATCCATTATACTTAGCCGAGCACGTTCGAATAAGCGGGAGAAGCTACATACTGATAACATACATGAGGATACTGTACATGATCATGCAGCGAGCTCTGTATCTTCGCCATCAAAAGGCACATCATCATCGTCATCCTCCCCAGTGAAAGCATTCATGGGAACAGCATAGAGTCGGATCACAGGCTGCAAAAATAATTTCGTTAGTATGTAGAATGTAAGGAGATCAACACAGCGAGATGCGACCCAAAGGCATCAAGGAACACGGGGAGAAAATCCCTCGTTATACAGCGAGACCACGCGGTCAATATGCAAGCCCGGACGCCCACTACGAGGAGTGGGCAACACAGCTAGGCCTTTTCGGCCCAACAATAATTTATGCATATGTCCATGATTCCCGGGGGGTCGAGGTTCCCATTGGGTGCAAGGGAATAACAGCTCGTACATCCGAGTGATATGACATTGCTGATATTCATGCACAAGGGCATCCGCTGTAGGAGAATATAGAAGGGAAAAGAGGTCGCACCTTGTTGGGATCTTTAACCAGGACATATTTGCCTTCCGGTTGCTTCATGCAGAGGTCCGTTACGGTACGCACGATGCCCCACCCGTTGGCCAGCGAGACATTCAGCTGGTTGGCAAAATCTGTCGGCCGCACGGATTGCGTACTGAGAATAACATGGCGCGTGTTGTCGCGGGGGTTAACACGAGAGATATAGCTGTACAAAAAAAGATGGGATAAGTAAGACCGCACGGCGAAGTACCGGGTCGGCGTAGATAGCATGAGTAACCCGGAGATGAGAACGTACCCGATCTTCATTGTATCAGCACCAGCGAGCACACTCTGCACAGTCCACTTGGCAAGTTTGCAGCTGTTATTCTTCATCTCAGTAGCAACGACCGCGCCACGCTGGGAATCCAACTTGGTTCGCCAATCTAATGCGCCACCTGCACCCGGCGCGCGGGGGTCAAATTCATTGAGAGCACGGATGGTCACAAGTCCTTGACCCTGTCGAGGATTGCCCTGTCCGGCGGAGTATGCATCAACTTCCGTTCGTACGCAAAGCTTGATATCTTCGTCTTCCGTGATACCGAGATCGAACACACGGTATCGGTATCCGCATGAAGCAAGAGGTTCGGTCTCGTCTGGGCCGTAGAATGGGTTCGGTTTCTCCAGCTCTACGGCGGGAGGGGGAGGAGTCTCGATCACGGACTGGAAGCCGAAATTTTGATTAATATATGTAGCCTCCAGCGACAGCGAGGTCGCAGAGTTAATGGTTGGTGCCTCCGGAACTGCAATCTTCTCGTTGGGGTTGTTAGGGTTGACAGTGGCAGGATCCTGAGGAGGATCGGATGCATTTTCGTTCACGGTAACAGTATCGAATGGGCCACCGTCACGCTTGTCGAAAAAGAGCTTGTTCCCTTCACGAACGATGACGATATCCCACGGGTTCACCGACCGGGTAGCGCACATCAGTCCAGCGAGAATTACATCAGTCGTGTACACAGTCGCAGTCTCCTTTGCGGCCAACTACGATGTCACAAAATCGTCAATTGATATCACCTATGAGAGAATGGCGGCAAGCTTACTTCGTGAATGACGGGATCGTCGGAGGTAGTTGTATTGTATTTGATACGGTCGACCAACTGCAGGGGTTTCTCACTTCTGGTGGTGACACGGTCGTAGGATTTGTCATACGGGAACAGACGACCATATGTTCCACTGAAATTCATAACGTCAACAATCAGAACGTCAGCTAGGCAAGTTCTGCACTTACAGATCCTCGGGCTCGTCAACCTCGAGCCGAAGCTTGGCCAAACGATGGAATTCAATCTCCTCCAGCATAGACCATTCGGGGGAAATCGCGACGGAGGCTTCACGTACACGGTTGTTCTGAAGCACAGAAAGTCAGAACGTCCTAAGAGGAAATGGTTGGGGATCATACTGACCTTTTCCCAGTCCCTCCAGCCTCTCCGTCCGCCACGCTGACCACCACCTCTTCCACCGTAAAATCCACCACGACCGCCTCTTTGTGCACCTCCCCGAGCCGCATATCCAGCTCCTCCACGCCCACCACCACGGCCTCTACCAAGAGGACCACCCCTGCGAGTGGCGGCAGTCTTTGTATCAACTAAGGAGAAGCTGGATTCGTCTTCGGCATGGAAGTATGCGAATGCACTTGCAGTTCCACTTCCAAAGGCCGGTTGACCATCTCTCCTGCCTCGACCACTCATGCCACCTCGTTGGGGGCCTTGAGAGGACGCAGGACCAAAGGTCATTTGACGGTTGTCTCCCGAGATATCATTCCAGTCAGCGAATCGACCAAGTTTATCGGATTTTGAGTATGGTGCGTATGGGATTTCTTTGAACTTGAAGTTCGGAGGTAGATTCGAAGAAGACGGACCCCAGCCTCCATCAGCATTGTCATTGATGGTCGGTAGCGTGAAAGACGCCATTTTGAAGGTACAAGGTAAGAATGAAGTTATCCCGTAAGTGTGCAGTGAAGCAAGGACTTGAAGACAAATCTAAAAAACGACTGTCCCTATTACGTAATAAGCGACGCTGTAGTAAACACAGGCGCTTCCAAGTTGTACAAGCAACTCAGCCAGCATCCACCATGAAGTACGTTCGGAAACTTTGGAAACACATCTATGCGTTATTGACATGACTGCCTTGCAGCGTTGTCCGAGAAATAAGCAAAATAAATGAACGCGAACTGGAACTGGGCCTGACGGGGTCGTGGCATGATGACTACAAAGGTTAGTTGCAGTCTCTTGCTCGCAAGAATCTCACTCATTGCGTCGTGAAGAGTAGATTCTGCCTACATATTCATTGGGGGACTACATCCAGACCTCACAGAAGGAGACGTAATAACAATATTTTCTCAGTACGTTCATTTCACGTCACCCCGACCAGCCTTGCCTGATTGAAAACGCGTCTGTAGGTATGGCGAAGTTATGGACGTGAACCTTCCTAGGCATAAGGATACTGGCAAAACCAAAGGCTTCGGCTTTCTCATGTATGAGGACCAACGTTCAACTGTCTTGGCAGTGGATAATCTGAACGGAGCGAAAGTCCTCGAGCGAACCCTACGAGTGGACCACGTCAAGAGTTACAGGCAGCCAAAGACGAAGGGAGAGGAAGGCGAGTGGTTGGAACCAGAGGAGCAGAGTTTCAATGCAAGGCCTGAGATCATTGTTGGTGCGTAATACATCGTTGCCTTCTTGGTTTCTTGGCTCATGAGGCGACTTTCCCAAAGACGAGGAAGGGGCTTCAGACTCGTCCGAGTCGTCCGGTCCTGATATCGACCCTGAGGATCCCATGCGTGATTATCTACTTGAAAAGTACAAGGCGGAGAAGGCATTGAAACAGGCTAAGAAGTCGAAAACCAAGCACAAACATAAGGACGAAACCCCAGAGGAGCGGCGCGCGCGAAAGGAAAGAAAGAAAGAGAAGAGGCGGAAGAAACTCGCGAAGTCGGAAGGTATGAAAGGTGTTGAAGAACTCTTGAACGAGCTTGAAGGTCGTGTCACTACAAGCCGACGTCCTCGCAGCCCTTCCCCTCGAAGAACATCGACACCCCGGAGTAGAGAGCCGCTGCCACGAGAGAGATACCCTTCTCCAGGTAGAAGAGACAGGGACTATCGTTCCAGAAGTAGGACACCGCCTGCTAGAGGACCGTCGTCACGCCGTCCGAGATCCGGATCACGTTCCCCAGTACGTAGTCCTTACGGGGACAAGCATGCGGGTAGGCTTGAGGAAGCCGATGGCTTTAGGGATCGAAATTATGATCGAAGCTCACGAAGACGAAGGGATTATGATTGATGTTTCTTTGTGTTGTATTCTTAGCTAGCACGGCGGAAGATGGTTTTTGGGGCAAGTGCTTCATATAATTATGTTGAAAGATGATTGTTCTCGATACCAGACACAGCTTGAACGTCCTGGTCAAGTCCTGGTACATACCTTACATAAAATCTCCACAGCGTTGCAATCGGATTCGATGTCAGTGGCACGGGCACATTGGTCTTCGTTTCTGCAGACACTTTTGGATTTGATGTAAAGAACTCGAATACAACAAGTTGTTAAGATCGATCAATAAGTAGGATTGAAAGCAAAATGGCAACCATTACCCCCGGTGGGACTCGAACCCACAACCTCCAGATGCCAACTCGTTGTTAGAAGTCTGACGTCATAGCCATTAGACAACGAGGGCTTGCTTAGCAATTCCTCACTTTTTATAGACATACCCATGAAGAATTATTTTGAACCTAACTTTCGTCTCTGCGAGCCTCGAGGCCCCTGGACGAAGGACATTAATTTGCACCGACTGTCATCCAATCCCTATTTGAGACTATCTGGACATATCGGTTCTTGAATTGATCATCTGGCCAGTGCGCAGTGCTATAGTTCAAGCCAAGAAAGACCTTCGAATTTCTTCAGCTTGCGATAATGTACCGAGTGAAAAACTGTGCAACCGACATGCAGCTGCTTAAACAACCAGACCCATACCTGACCGGCATATATTCCCGTAGTCTGTAGAAGTAAACGCAGCGATATCGGACAGCAAGGACAGGTATGGCTGTATATGACCTGCAGTCGATCAGCCTATTTTCCGCTTCTTCGATCGTCTATCAGCTAAAGCTTGCAACCTTTTCTTCTTCTCAGAGATCGGTGATAGTGCAAAGGAGAGCGAAGTATGTCCCTCAGGTTCAGGTGTTTTCAAACCATTGCGGTCTTCCACCTTCTCCAACTTAACTGATGATCCTGACGCAGGCTCATCATCACTGTTCCAAAACACTCTTCAACGGATTTCGGATGGTAGGAGTATAAGATATACATACCCTGGGCCTTCTGGCTCTGACGAGGTCACAGGTGTCGTAACAGCACGCCTCTTGCGGGGCGTTTGAGCCAAAACGATATCTTCTGGGTCAGGTTTGGCCTCGGGAGTGGACGGCGCATGCAATGCTTCTACCTCCGGCTCTGGCGACGTTGCTAGCGGGTCAGGGGACGTAGGTTGCGAGAGTTGACTCCTAGAAGTAGCTACCATCTCAAAAAACTGAAGACAGCGAAGAAATGCGTACATACGTGAGTTCCGAGGAGTCGTCATTAACAAACTTCTCTTCATCTTCTTCCTCGCTAGTGTCCTCAACACCGCGGTGGTCCATGGATGCGAACTTGGCGGCAATCTTCAACAATGCATCCCATTGCGAGGAAGCGGTGTAGCGTATCATTTCGACCTCATCCCGTGGATGCTCATTTCGACACACGGGACACTTAACCTCTTCTTTATTTGGTGAGATTTGTTTGAAACAGTCATCGCAAAGAACATGATGACAAGGAAGGCTACAATGCGTATGCATTTTGAATATTACAGGACGGTCAGAAAGGCCAGCGTACCTGGCTGTCTTATCTACTTCAAGTTTCTCCATACAAATAGGGCATTCTTCAGTGCCGTCGATAGAGTTAGCAGCCATAAGGTCGCTGAATCGGCGCAGAAGCTAAATAGACCATCGCATTGAATAAGGAGTATGCAACGGCATGCGAAAGAATAGCTACATACCTTTCGCATAGGATACGCGGTATCCCCGACCATGGAAAGATCCTCATTTTCCTCGAGCTCAGCTGCATCTTTCTTAGCTTCCTTCACTTGTAGCTGTTAGATTCGCCCGTTAAATAGCTAAAATTAGACATTCAACTGGTAAACTGCACACCTGCAGAATCTTCTTCTTGTCCTTCTTCTGCGACTATGGGAAAGTCGTTGAGTAACCATGCTGTTGACAACCGGCTAGCATACGCACCTTTTGTAATTGAGATACCTGTGTCTTCAACGACCTGATTTCTTTCTGAAGGCCAACCACAGTGGGTCCCCCTCGTTTGCCCCTCTTCGGTTGGGTTTCCGCTTCTCTCGTCTTCTCCAAGTCTTCAGTGAGCTCTAAATTCTTAGTCTGGAGCTCAATAACTTCTTGCTTCAACTTGCGGAACCCATTCATAACACGGGAGAGATAGTCCTATGTTTGGAGTTCTATGTTACCCATATGGCTGGGGATAAGGGTTCGGCGATATACACTGGGACTATCCTTACCTCCATATCGCCCAAGACATCATGATCAATGGTGCTCTCTGAGTGAGAAGCTCCAGGATCTTCTCGCTGCTTCCCCTTCTGCGTCGACGTATATGATGGCTCTGCTGCAGCTCGAGTACGAGGAGCCATATGGAATGAAAGCAAGCTGAAGATAGCAAATAATAAAGATGATCAATATAAGTCCGCCGAACGGTCTAGTAATTGACCCAGGACTGCAGTCTTACATACACTCGTATTTCGATGTCAGGGACCTGTTAGACTTCCAAATGGTCTTAGGTTGACTAACACTGAACACTGTAACAGTAATGGTTAGAACGAGCCTATCACCATGCTGGTCCTAATTTTTTTTAAAGTACAAACTATTATCGGTCCTTGTCGATTAGTGGTTAGATCATCACGTTGTGGTTACACAAACCCGTGAAGACGGAGGCTCGAATCCTCCCTGGGACACTTTTTTCTCTTACTTTTCGCCAACTGAATGAACCTTGAACGATAACTACATGCTCCACAACCGATATGCTGATTTCCTTTACCATGGTACATTCCTGAATGCTAAAAGCTGACAACGAATATCTATGCCATCAACAAAAGCACCAGTAGCTTTATCTTCGGTAAAGATAACCTTCCTTGGGACTGCTTCTGCCCAGCCGTCGAGTACAAGAAATCACTCATGTTTAGCTTTACATCTCGATGGCGACGTATGGCTTTTCGATTGTGGCGAAGCTACCCAGCATCGCATACAACGAAGCAACGTAAAAATGGGGAGGATACAGAAAATATTCATAACCCATACTCATGGTATAAAATCTGGGTCCCATATCCGGTTCTTCTTACTGAGGTTGATACGCAGGCGACCATATATTTGGTGTTTTACCACTTCTTGCAAGCCGACTAAACGGTGCAGGAGGTACGACTGGAGGAGCTGACGATCCTCGCTTGCGTTCCGAGTCCGATGAAGAAAGCCAGGTAGAGTGTGCTCTCTATTCAATGAACCAATTAACTGAGCCATACAACAGCCTATAGAAATATATGGTCCCCTGGGCACTCGAGCATATATCCGGAATGGTCTAACATATACCTATACCATCCTCGGGTCACCGTATGTAGTGCATGAACTCCGTTTCCCTACAGACCCTCCTGGTGACTATACGTCACTACCTCGCCATGCTGCCGAACTTCCTACTGGTCGGGACATCCGTCAAGTTGATGGCATTTGGTCGGATATCTTTACAAACGACTTCATCACTGTTTCTGCTGCGCCTATACTGCATTCTGTTCCCTGCGTCGGGTATGTTGTGACTGAGCGACCAGTTCCAGGGAAGATGGATCCAAAACAATACATCCCTGCCATTAAACGGACAAAAACTCCCATGTCCGTTATGAGCCGTTTACAGCAGGGTGAAAGTATCGAGCTCTCGGATGGCACGGTACTTCATGGCCCGCCGCGTCGACCCGGTAGGAAGATTGTCATCCTCGGCGATACCTACGATCCATCTCCCATTTCGACACTTGCTGCGGGTGCCGATCTCCTCATCCATGAAGCAACCAATGCTCACCTACCCGGGATTGATCCCAATACCAAAGACGACGATACCTACGAAACTGTTGAAACAAGGTCCAAATCTCGGGGCCATTCCACCCCTCAGATGGCAGGGGCATTTGCGAAACGAATTGGCGCAAAACGACTTGTGTTGAATCATTTTTCACCCCGATATGCAGGAGATGATGATGTCAATGAGGAAACGGCTAGAATCATGAACGCCATCGGTTCGCTCGCTGCAGAGGACTATGGCGGTAGCGTGATATGTGCTAGAGATCTTATGTCGATAGACATAGAACTTTCGAAGTAATAGCATTCCAGATATGGGAGAAAACACAGAGCATGATGACAAAATACATAAGTAGGAACCTGCGATGGTTCTACCGTTTTCTACGCTTTGGAAGAGGCCCGGTTGCAGAGGTGTCGACAGAGGATATTGAGGATCGTCGTGACTATTGGAAGTAAGCATCGCGGATAACAAGTGAAGACGTAGGGAACGAACCTGCTTGTATCCCTTGATACTCCTTGTGCTCCTCGTACTGACGACACTCGGTGCTCTTCCATCTTCCATCTCATCTTCCACCCCTTCTGCATCTTCATCCACATCCATACCCGACGGCGTTCCAGCTGCATCTTCCTCACCTTCATTCGCTTGACTTGACAAGCGCATTTTAGCGATTCGGATATCCTGCTCGACCTTATCCACGCATTTCTTCGTCTCTACCAACGCCGCTGCGGCTTCGATCAGGCTTTCCAGCTGAGCGCAGTTCTCCTTCGTAGGCATTACAAGACGGGTATGGGAGATACCAAGTTCGCCGAGAATTTGGGCAATCTTGGCAGCCACTGCCGACTTTGGTGCTGGAAGTTTAAGACCTCTCAAGTAGACAGGAGTATGCGCGGCTTTGTTGGAGGTCGTTTGAGGGGCCTCAGTACGAATGATACAATGCAAGGCATCTAGATGTTGACATGTGCAATTAGCCATTGTGGTTTCTTGTTGTAGGGAAACGTAAAAGACATACCGTATGCAGCACTCTTCGCCGACTGCGCTTTCCTCGGTACAGGTTGCCCGAGACTAATAACATTGGCACTGTATGGGGTTGCAGAAATCGGAGTCTCAACTTCATGTGTGCCTTTCCTCTTATTCTTCTTGATATCTTTGGTGTCAACATGCAAACCTGAACCATTCAGTGGAGCCTCATCTTCCACAGGAATATCAGGTAACCCCGATTCGACTCCGAGCAAGGTTCTGAGAAGCTCGTCCCGATTTTTCTTGAAGCGACGTTCAGTCTGTTCGAGTCGTTTGAGCTCAACGTACAGAGCGTCCTCTTCTGCAATTTGGGCTTTCGTGCGATTCTCAAGGCACGCGACGTACTTCTTGCGGGTAGCTTCACGATCTGGGGGCGACATTGGCATAAGGTCTCTGCGAGACGTGTGAGACTTACCTTTGTCAAATTGGAAGCTTGAGATCAACTGAGCCTTGCTAGCTTCATCACCAGCCCAAGGTCTGTTACGAACAAGTTTCCGACAGACGCTATAATATCGGTCTTTCAGGTCCTGCTCAATGTCAGCGAAATCTAGGCAAACACACTTGCACGCATACCTCAAGAGTGCGTGGAGAACCTCCAGGATAGTCATATCGGTCTCCGACAATGTAAAAGCGTTGATCATACTCCCGGACGAGTTCGAAGAGGTAATCTGTCTCTTCTCTGGTCCATTCCTTATCTATGGCACAGTAATTCATTACGTCTCCTATCGCACGGCTATAGTCGCTGCGTACTTACCTTCTAGGAACCGGCTGTATTCGTCCTGAGAGTAGACATAGCTAGTAGGTTGTACATTATACTTGGCGAAAGGATATTCTGCAACGTGAAGTTCAACAAGAATTATATCAAACTCGCGGTATTCAACTCACCAGCTTCAGGGTCCGTTCCGGTCTTTGCCCAGTGAGAAAGGCGCAAATCATCCGTCCGCCCAGCATTCTTGAATGTCTGCCACTCCCTAATTCCAAGTTCGATCAACCATTTGGCGAAATGGCAGCCCATCTAACTCTCACCATTTAACACGCCCACCACCACCAAGGTTGGGCTTCTGTTTCAGTCGTGGTTTCGCAAGCTGCGCCGCGAGAGTAGGGGCCGAAGGACCAATGAGAGAGTATAACTCTCTTGAGATCCCTTCAGGTTTCCGTGCGCGCTCAGATGTTCCAAGAACTTTGGCTTTGGGTTGTGAAGGTCCTGGTGTTGAGGGGCTTGGTAGTGAAAGGATACTTCGGACATCCGCTGCTGAGGCACCAGCCATAATGATGGAAGTCGTGGTAGACGATAGAGTAGCCGATCACAGTACACGCGAGTTGTACTGTACCCAGACTAGAAATCGTTGTTACTGAACATTAGTTACTTTCAAAGTCCGATTGTAAGTCACATAAACCGATCAATAGAACGCGTGTTATTGGACCCGCCAAGCGCGTTTCTTTCTCACTATGACAATGTTCAGTAGAACTCTTACAGGCTCCCTTTTACGCCAAACATTTCGCACCCAACGGAGATATATACATCCCACACATATACGTCGTAACGTACCAACGTCTTTGAACAATATCCTAGCTGGGGGAGAAGCACCGGCCGTTCTAATCAGGACTGTAACGCCTGAAGGCGTTGAACTCGCGGACGGACTTGTCATTCCCTCAGCCTGCATATTTCTGGAAGGACAGACGTTCTTGTGGGATGTACCGGAGAAATTGTGGGATAAATGGACTCCCGAACATTTTGAGATTTTTGATGTAGTAGTCCCTAAACCAGGTCTGTGGAAGAAGCCTGTTTGTACTCGGAGTAGCACTGACAACTTAATTCAGAGCTGCTGCTATTTGGTACTGGGCAGAGAGTTTATCTTCCGCCTTCTCCTATACGACAGTATCTTTCCAAGATCGGTATTCAAATTGACGTTATGGACACTGTACGTACACCCTGACTCCATCCACTGTGCCTTCAACCTGACTCGCTAACTCCCAGCGGAATGCATGTTCTACCTACAACCTGTTAACAGAGGAGGGTCGTCGCGTAGCAGCCGCTCTTCTGCCAATCACTCCTCAGAGTTGGGGCAGATCACCAGTGGTGCCCGACCCTGAGTGACAGCTATGGTTCCTCGAATGTCTCGAGATTCGGGACAGTGGGCGATATTTACAACTGCAAGGTTCCCATAGCTGCATGGTTCTGCGTAGTGATAATCGAGCCAGTACAGCATCGGTTCAGTAGTGGGGTACGAACACGCCTATGCATCCGACTCAGCCATGAGCTCGTCGGGATGGGCTTTGCGTTTGCCCTTGTTGCGTGCGGCTTGTTCTTCCTCTTCGTCTTCTTCGGTCAGGGAAGGAAACGACACTTTGATAGGTTGCAGGTTGCCTGACGAGTTGAATCATGGAGTAGGACAACAATTTGGTGAGAATACTGTCATGGACGGCGATAGAACATAGTGGTGCAGAATAGATGTACTGTGCGAGGATTCGCGTTCCAAATTTGATCCAACTCACCTTGCTGATCCCTAAATCGCATGAAAACATATTCCCAGTTCACCAACGTGCTCTTGATCGACGCATTCCCGTCCAGGACTTCATATCTTCCTGTGAGTCGACCCTTCTCTTTGATCGCTCGACAGAGCTCGAAGTCGTTCACGCTCTGTATTTTTGGCACTTCCCATTCTGGGTCCTGCGTATCAACATCCATGGGTATCAGGCCATCGGAGGACGGATTCAGAGCAGAAGCGTTGAATCCAGAAACAACCTCGACTTTGAGAGAATTGATATTATTCGTTGCGTTCGATGTGACGAGAAGTGTAAGCTTGTGAGTCTTGATGAGGAGAATATAGGTTTTCGGCTGAGCTTTCGGAGGCTAAACAAATGCCTTAAGCAACTAAACGCATCTAAGACGCGGATTTGCCTACCATTTGATGGATTATTGCAGGCTGTAGTGGCGAGGGATGGTAATGATCAGGAGGAACGCGACCGAGCGCGACGCTTGCAGATGATCTAACCCTAACCCCAAAGTCACGCTTCGCGATCACTATGCTCGCGCTTCATGCAGAACTTTGAATTTTCTGTTCACCCGACCTCGATGGGTTCCATTGGCGAGCCATTCCTTCTTTCAACTTACACACAGCCAAAACGTCACAAAAGTACCTCTACGTCTAATGCTAATACCAAGAGTTCGAACGTATATGCCTCACAGCCTGAGGCAAGCTCAAGCAAGTTCGTAACCGTCGCAGCATCCGGAGATGGAGTGCACGTCCTTGATGTGAGTATGAATATTTCGATTGGGTTTGGAAGCATCCATTAAGTCTTGAATGGTCTTCCAGACGTTAAAATCTTGTGACAGACAGAAACTGACTTTTCGCTTTTCAGACATCGACACTGCATCCAGCAATATCCCATACACTTGGTCCTCAAGTCACCTTTGCATGCCCAGCTGTGACGCGAACGAAGCATGTTGACTCTACACAAAAATGCACTACGTATGCCGTTATTGAATCTGCGCCTGAACTCAAGTCGGATGAGCGAGGTCGTACAGTGTGGAGATGGGACGACGATCCTTTGGGAAGTGGTGCAGCGTCTGAAGCGCAGAAACAAAAACAGTCAGCTCTAGTATGTGATTTCTTATCTGTTATGATATATTCAATGTTAAGACTCGTTCAGTTTTCACACAGGATAGCTGCATTGTATGCGCATGAATCTCTTCCCGACTACGTCCTGCTGGTTGGAGACCAAGGTCAGGTCACTTTGACCGACCTCGATCTGAATGTAAAGGCTTCACATCAACCAGTGAATGAAGGGGAAACTCTCGTGAATGCTTTTATTTTCTCTAGAGATTCGTGTTCCTTTGCTCCCACCAGGACCTGTTCAAGGCAAGGCGCTGTTCTTGTACTGGTCTCGACACAGGGCGAAAACTTGATCATCCAATCACTTTCACTTGACCCTGACGGTGTCGTTATCCCACTTGGAACATCACCTATTTCTTCATTCAAGGGGACAGTAAGTAACGTTGCTTTGGTACCTTCTGCGATGCTGAAAGAAATTGCTAGATTCTATTGAACATCTCATGTAGCGCTTCAGGATTGCTCACAATTCTCGGTATGGCTCTCTATTCATCATCGTCTGTTTTTTTCACTCATCTAATATTCGCAGAGTCGAATGGAACATTGCACTCCTTCCTCTTAGAATCTCCCGACCAGGACTCCATCGTCGTCAACATCACCACCGATCCGATACACCTGCGTTCTTTGACAGTTATCAAGTCGACCCAAGAATCATCATCACTGCACTTCAACGAGATAGCCATCCTATCCCTGACCGCATCTCATGTACTCCTCGCTGGCGTCACCTTCGGTGCAGCGCCAGAAATTATCCTCCTACTCTTGGATATGCAATACTCTGTTGTACTTGCGTCGCATACCCTCAATATCCCGTCCTCTGTATCACGATCGAAGAAACAGGGCATGCAGATCCGGCTCGTAGGCGGGAGGCGCGATCACGACCAGGCACTCCTATTGCTTTCTCCCGACATTTCATCAGCGATGGCTAACGGTGCTTCTGATGCTGCGACTCTTGACTCCAGTGCTCGCTCCAGTATATTTGTGGTGCCAATAGCTGTTCCCAAAATATCCACGATTGCGAACGCCATGGGTCGAGCATCTTTGACCGCAAAGTGGCTTGGTCAAACAGATTCCCAGGTTGACGCTCCCGCGGGAGACTTGGACTCGAGCCAGAACAAACTCTTAAACGTCATGCGCACAGCGATGGAACAAAAACGTGTAGACGCGGCCGACCGTGCTTTTTTCCAGTGGGTCACCGAACATGATGCCTCGACGGCGCAGAAACCATCGTATCTCAGCCACCGTTTTGTGCAGCAAATACTGGAGATCGTTTTTAGACAACCGAAAGGCAGTAATGCAACCTCTGATATACCATATTCGCCAAAGGTCGTTCGAACTTTATTGGAGAAGAAAGCTGTTACCTCTGGCATGCTCGAACGAGGGTTGTTATCCGCCTTGAGGCCGCGCCACGATTGGGTACGTCCTCTCTCCACATTAATGTAGTGTTACGCCTGACATACGTTTGCTTCCATCTTAGGATTCAATGGTTACTGCCCTCACTAGCGTGATTGATATTCCTGAAGATGACGTCGTTTCTTTCCTCCACGAGGTCATTCTGGCACAGCAGAAACGACAACCTGCAGGAGGCGAAGATGCAATGCAGGTTGATTCGTCTGCCAACCCAGACCTTCCTTCCCTTCGGAAAGTTTTGTCGCTGATCGTGGTATATCCTGTCACCGCACCAGCCATGCGTCTAGCTATTCGACAGCAACTGAAGGATGCGGAGGAATTGGATGCGATACTTGAGGTTATCGTGCAATGGATAGAGGAGTGGTGTTCCGAGGATCCAAGGTTGCTCCCCGAGCAAGTGAAGAAGGATGAACGAGGCATCACTGTTCCCATCTACACTTCGAAGCCCATGACCGATCTTCCAGCTTTGGATAAGGCGAGTGCTTATCTTTCGTTACCTTTCGCGATTTAACAGTTTTCCATAGGTCCTTGCGTTCCTTCAAATCTTACTGGACTCTTCGGCCCTCGCGTTCCTCTCACACCCACATTCGCAGCGCCTCATTCGCCAAATATTCTCGCTACTAGAACCCGAAATTTCCTTCAATGATAGCATTGAACAATTGCGAGGACCTCTTGAACCATTCGCCAAAGCGCATGCTAAAGCTGCTTCGGATGTTCTGCATGGTACTCAAAAGCAAGATCCCAAGGTCGATTGGAGAAAGCGGAAAAAGGCTGCCCATGAGCAAGCTGCTGTGGCGATCGGTGTGTATCAAGTAGAAGAGCTTGTGCTATGATATGATGACATTATTGCTTTCGAATGGCTGATCTTGAAGGGGGTGATTCGTGTGCTATGATTGATATACATCCCGTGAGTCCAAACATGACCAAGGGTGTTGACATATCACTACAGATTTCCATAACGGTCCAATCCCTCAATGAAATCTTGGTCCTCCAGTCGCATCGTAAACTTCAGACCATATTTCATCTAACTTCGCATCTGGCCACCTCTCACGGATGTTCTCAGCCTTCTCCCTAAGCTCCTTCGCAACAGGAGCCCAAGCAACCTTGCACAGCTTTCCATCCTTCTTTACGATCTCTCCATTGACCATCACAAGTTCAGCATCTGTGTCGGTCGCGTGGAAGACAATACCTTTGAATGGATCCCGAATACCTGCCAAGTTGACTGAACTAGCATCGAAGACAATCAGGTCGGCTTTCTTGCCCACTTCAATGGTACCTATGCTGCCGGAAAGGTTGAGTGCCTCCGCTCCACCGATTGTCGCCAGCCTGAAGGCGTCAGCGGCATTATGTATGTTATACTTTGGAGGTGGAAGTTTCTCCTTCACGATCTTTTCGTGCCTGCGACCTGAAATTATATGAAGCTTGAAGGTGAGCCTTCCCAACGCACCAAGCAAGGCTAACCTCTGTCCCAAGCAAGTGCAACCCGCATTTGAGTGAATATGTCTCCTCCGTTGATAGAAGTACAGTCCTGCATGAACCCGATCCAGTGATCAGGAAACAGTACGTCTGAATAATCCACGATGGGTGCTCACAATGCCCAATCCACACTTCACACCTCGGTCGAGGGCGTTGAACGGTACAGGAACACCATGCGCCATACCCAATTCATCTTCGGGTGTAGCAGCAATGGCACATCCATGCTCTTTCATGGCTGCCTACATTTCGTCATCCAGCGCGGTGTGGGTAGATAACTCGTTGCAATGAGAGAATACAACATCAGGCCCAAGAAGTCCGGCGTTCCTCCATGTCAAGATGCGAGGACCTGCCAGGCAATGATGAACATCCAGCATTTTTCATATCCTATACATGCCATGTAGAACTTACCGCTAACGACATGAGATGTAATAATGGACGCAGGAAGGGATCGTGCCAACCTCAAGGCTTCTTGGTGCATCGGAATCAGCGCCTCGTCTGGGTTGAACATATCCTGATCGTAGCTGCACATGAAGAGTCAGAGCCGATACTGCAAACTTGGGACCGGACGCACGCAAAACCCAAAAGAACTCTGCCATCTGGACTCAGCTTCCCGCCATCCCTTGCAGCCCATTCCTTCAATTTCTCCCATTGCCACTTCACAGAGTCAGCTTCTTTCCCAAACTCCATCTGAGGCAAGACCTTCGTAGGTGCACTCTGGCGAGCCATGCTGAGGATGACTCGAGCCCCGGACTGGAGGGTGGCTTCTAGAGCAGCATCAGCATGTTCTGGAGAATTAGCCGCATGGAAATGGTCAAGGATCGTCGTGACACCGGAGTTCAAGGCATCAAGACATCCCGCGAGTTGTCCAGTGCGTACTTCGCTGACGGTGACATCCCCTTGCTCATGCCTACAACACTTTCGATGTTAAGCTCCACAACTTATATGGGGACATTCTCACCATGAGTTTTTTATTAGATACTCCGTAAGGAGCCAACTGCGAGAAACCGTGGTCAGTTCCCTGAACTGCTCATGAATAAGGACTAGGACTGACTCTCCCTGGGAGCCTCTCATGACGGCCATCCATATGTGTCTAGTCAGTGGGTAGTAAGAATGCGTCGTATAATCTCGCTGCGGTCTGTTACCTGTGAGTGTCCACCATTCCTGGGGTGATCCATCTTCCTGTACAGTCCACCACTTGCACACTAGCATCTGCAGTGATCTCTTGATCTATCCGGGCGATGATGTCATTCTCAACGAGTATGTCGGCCTTGAAAGTACGAGGTTTGTTTTCGCTATCGAACGTGGCGATCAAACCACCTTTGAACAGATAAGACGTTGACATCGTCGCAGTTCGTATAGACTTCAAGGACCCTGGAAGGTGAACCTGGAGTTTGGGTACACTTGCATTTCACAGAAGCCTTTATATGAAGTTATGTGAGAACGGCACATGCAGATGACAACTTTATTGGATCATACGCGCTTTATTGTCTAAAATACTGCTCGGGATCTGTAACGCCAATTCAAAAAGCGTCAGCTCCAGGCCCCACATTTTCCTCCATGCTTTCTAATCCCCACTAATACAACTAAGCATCGACTATTAATGCTTACAGGTTTAGATGTCAGACCTGGTGAAGTTCCCAGGAGATACTGAACTCATTTCGTGCCAGGGAGGAGAGTAAAGGCACCAACGGTCCCCGAGCCCGTCGATACTTGCGCCAGATTCGAATCCTGTGCATGAAGGTCAAGGGCATTACTTACCTCTTCTTGGATGACCAAGGCTTATTATAGATGTCAAAGTGTGAGCGCGCAATAAGTCTGCCAGACGAATCCTTTTCTTCTTGCGGCATTGAGATAGTAACCAGTTGGCATCCTACGCTGAGCGGTTACTCTTGACATGTTGAACTGAGGGAGCACTGATTTTCGATGTTTCTTGACTGTATGTTCCTCTGTGTCTTCCGTTCGACGGAATCGGCATCTTCCAGGTGGCAAACCGAGATCCTACTGTGTGTTCGTGTGGTGAGACGTTGGCCATGGGTGAGAATTAGAAAGTAATACGCTCGGCCGTAAATCAGACGCTGTGGAAATTACCCTGGCTAGTTCGCTGGTGCCCACCGACGCGCGGCTACTGCTCCCTCCAAAGGAGCAAGGCCACGCTATGGGCTAGCCCAAATTCTATCATGCGAAGCTCGGATCCGAGTCCCGCCTTTACTATGTTCGAAAATTTGTCTAAACATGAAGATATGGCAAGTCAGGGAATCGGATAAGGATGCAAAGGCTGCGTACCGACGCCATCAAACAGCGTCCACAACGCCTCGTGTTGATTGTTCGAAATAACTTCTGGACCTTCCAAAACGGACATCTCTTGACAATTGGCCTACTTATGAGCCTGTGTCTGTGTTGACATTCCTGACGGCGATAGACTCTCACGGAAGGGATAATCTCAACCTGGTACGACGGTGAGTAGCGAAATAAGTCAGGCATAGCTTACCTTTGAGTACGGGGGGTCTTATCGAACCCGTCACCTGCGGACATCCGACAACGACGCCTGTGAGCAAGACTCACCGAACTCTGAGTAATGACCCACATTCTGCTCTCAGGGACTCGTCTTATAGTAAAGATCAAATCAAGGGACTAGCATATGATAGATAGCATAGATGATAACTGGACGCATACATACATAAAACATAATTGTGGTCCTGACGATGGCCGATGGTCCGCTGCTGTTAGTTGCTAAGTTGATGATAAGAGCCAGAACATCATCAACGTCGTAAGCCCAGAGCAGAACAACCCATAAAGAATAAATATTCCGGCTTGGGAGGGTTGCGTGTCTGGAGGATACGCGCCGACTCTTTCATTGCGTTGCCCATAGTCAAGTGCACCTATTGCATCCTTCTCGTGCAAATTCACTAGATGCGTGACGGCTCCCGCATCCCTCCCTATAAATACCCTCCATGAACTCTGCCGCTCAAGCGGTGAGTTGACCGACGAGGGTTCTCGTTTGACTACATCTCGAGGGAAGTGAGCGATGCCTGCATGCAGACCGCGCTCCCTCGCACCTCGCGTGAGTGCAGTGATTTCTTCCCTTGGGGTACTGAAAACAGTGGCAAGTGGAACACCACTCCCAAGCCACGTGAGAGTTCGTTGAAGTCGCGTGGATGTTGAAGAGGAACTCGAGGGAGAGGAAGTAGAGACAGACTCGTTGACCATACATTCGATAACATCAGGAGAAGGTCGAGGTGCTGCAGTCTGGGTCTCGTTCTTAACAGGTGGTTGATCGTCGGCAGGTTCAGTGGATACCCAAGTCATAGGCGTGTCCCTTCTCTCCCACGTGAGCGCAGGGGCACGAGATGGTTCGACAAAGTTTGGATTGACCCACCGACCACTTGTAGGCAGAGCGGTGATAGTACGTTTGGTTTGACGCGAAGAACCCGGTGACGGAGATGTAGGAGGCGAGGGAAGGCTATCCTGTGGTTGGGGACTGGCACTGGTTGGGCAAACAGGTGCGCCGTTTGGACGTTTATGACCCGCCATGGGGTGGTTGCAGGTATGGCACTGAGGACGTTTCCGATTCGGGCTCATATATACTCTCCGTCAATGTGGGTCAAAGACAAACAATGATAGGAGCTGAAATCGGTTAAAACACGCGTAAAAATTCAAATCGGGTCGTGAGATCATGATCAGAGAACGACATGATGAAAGAGGCTACGTACCCCCCTAAACGACTTGTCGTCTACGAAACGGGAGCTCAGGGATCTCAAATTTACCACTTTGCATCCTTATAACGACACTCACGAAAAGAATATGAAACCTCGAAGGCAACGGAAAGTGACTTGACGTGGAAACGCTAGGATGTGAGTGGCACAAGGAGACAACTGAGGCAAAGACAAGAGACAAGAACGACCAAATAGGACGTTTCCGCGATTCACGGTCACCTGATCGAGCAACATTGTACGTCGTTGTATTCCGCAAAAATCCAGAGTCCAATAGAATGAAGGTAGTGTAAAGGATACATAGTGTACAAGAACAACGAAGAACAAAGAATGAATATACAACAGATAGAAGAAGCAAAGGAATCATAAAAAGTCGTAACCATCCGCAACATAGGCTATACTCAGTGATGGCTAGCCTGAAGAACCAACAAACTCGTGTTGGCGTTGGTCGCCACAAAGGCAGCACCAAGAGGACCAAGAGTCTTCGCTACATCTGACCCCATAGAGATACTCCGCTCAATAATTAACTCACGTAATTCAGACGTGTGAGATTCCAAAGCCATCCTGCATGACCGGCCAACGACAACCACGACTCGGAGGTTCTCTCGACTCCTGTGGTTGATGGTTTGCGAAGCAGCATCCAAGACTGCATGAAGAGGCTTGCTAGACCTTTCCCATTCAAAATTGACCCTGTGCAGCGCGTCCGCAACCTCTGGGCTTGCGTTATTCGAGTAACGCTCCCAGAGCAGGTTGTCAGTGGTATCGGACTGAAGGCGGGTCTGGGTATTTCCGGCACCGTACGCAGTGTCGCCAAAGGTAGTCTGAGGGAGGAGATATCAGTCAATCAGGAGGACACTACGCGCAAAAAAAAACACGTACGTTGAGGATACTCGTATTCAAAATATGTTGGGCCTTCGCGTGCTCAATCGTGCTCATCGGTGAAAGGTCATTGGATTCGACCTTAGTGTACCGCACAACAGTTGCACTCATGCTTGGGTTCATGCACAATTGCACAACAAATTGTAGCGCAAGACGATCATCCGGTCCACCGAAAAACGGAAGGAAAATATGTTGACCACCCTGTCCCTCCAACGTTTGCGGTAGTCCACGGTCCACATACAATGCAACATCCGCCGGTGTATCCGTGAAGATCTTACGGATGAACTGCGTGTGAACGACAGCTGAACTCTGCCCCGACTGTTTCTGGCCGAACATGGCTTCGAATGGGTTGCCAGGCGTACCAGCTGGAGTAGCGGCATTCGATCCCTCTGCTGCGTTGTCATTTTCAGTATTCTCGGTGAAGACAGATCCGCTACTCCAGGGTATAATGACCATCTGCGCGTTGGACTGCTTGACATGGGTAGTGACAGACGACGGGAATTCTTCCCAGCCGACGACAGACAGCGCAGTTGTCACAATCATGCGGTTGAGGTATCCGAAGGTGCGAATGACTGAGAGAACGGGGTCGCTGCGGATCAGTGAATCGGCATTTTGAGACATGAGGACGGCAGAGGTACGATCGGTCAATTCAATAAGACGGAGTGCATCGACAGACACCGGCGATTGCGCAGTGGCGTCACTATTGTATGTCAGACTGGGAGCTACCTGCGAGGCCTTTTCATCCTCCGACGTGGAGTGATCGATGCTGTATTTGGGGGGAGGGACATGGGTTGCGGAGTATTGCAACAGTTGTGTCAACGTCATGATGGTAGGTAGCTGTTCAATCTTGTCCAATACGACTGCGACCTTTGTGATGAAGGTTTCCTGGGACATGGGCGGGGAGACGTTGCCACTTTCGACACCTCCGTGCTTAGTCGGTTTATCATGGACAGTACCGGAATGAACACGGTACTTGGCAGGGTAGAGGAGAAGTGTGAGAGGCGTAGTCATGAATGTGAGGACGAGCGCGTGCAACACGAACATGGAGAATGTTCGCGTATCCAGGATTCCGGCTTGTAGACCGACATTGAGGACGATAAGTTCGACCAAACCCTTGCACGACATGAGAGCACCGATAGCGCCTGACTCGCGCCAATTGAACCCGAAGAGCTTCGCCGTAATGCCACACCCGAGGAATTTGGAGAAGAATGCGATGACACAAATGAGAACAACGTATCCCCAGGTAATACCGTTGTTGAGTAAACCCAAGTTCGTACGCAAACCGGAAAGAGCGAAGTACTAAACAAAGATTTCAGTTCGCGTAAGAAGTCATAATGAAACCGAAAGTCATACCAATGGCAGGAAAAGAATCGAAACTAAATCTTCAAGCTTCTCAACCAAAGAGATGGCGAAGCCATTCTCATGTGGGATGATGAGACCAGCAAGAAAACCGCCTAGATGACACCACTGTCAGCTGACAGACTCAATTGCTCATTCATAAAGTGAACCCACCGAAGATGGCATGAATGCCGATGATGTCAGTGAAGAATGCAGAGATGAAGACTAAAAGCAGAGTGACGGTCATCATCATAGCAGTGGGCTGACCGTTCTCCAAACTACCAGTCCAACGAGCGAGCCAATGGAATCCCCATCGAACAGGCAGCAAGAGGAATATAACGTATCCAACTGCAGTCAGGAGAACCCAAAGAGCAGTCAGCCCATTTGCGGCATTGACAAGAGCGACTGTTAGAGCAAGGAGAATCCACCCCACGACCTGAAAAAGACGATGAATATAAACTCAGGAACGATGATAGGTATCTGCTCACATCATTCCCAACGCCTGCGGATAGGACGACAACTCCAACTGTGGTATCCAAAAGCTTCAACTCGGTCAAGATACGACAGAGGACAGGGAAGGCAGTAATTCCGATTGCAACAGCGGTGAAGAGGACGAAGTAACCAAAGTTGACATCTGGACTGATAAACTGGTTATAGATTGGAACTCCCAGCGCAGCTCCTAGACCTAGTGGAACGATAAGGCCAGCCGCAGAGATGATCATTGACGCCTTCGCATTCCGTTTTACCATGCGAACGTCTATTTCTAGACCAACAAGGAACAGGAACAGTACGAGTCCGATAGTGGAGGTGAGATTGAGCATAGGAAGAGAGTCCTTAGGAAATATAGTATTGGAGAAGTTTGGGATACGACCCATGATAGAGGGGCCGAGGATTACACCTCCTATGACTTCTGCTATAACCCTGGGTTGACGGATGCGCGAGAGGAAAAGGGAAAGGAGCTGGGTCATCCCGATGATGATCACTGGACGTATGTTGTAAATCGCGAGTCAAGGACGAAATTACTAGAAGACTCACCGACTTGGATGACCCATAGACGAATGGGATCATTGACATTGTATTCAGCGGGGTTATCGCCAGAAAAGATTCCAGCCTGTAAGTGCAGTCAGTCGTCCCTGAGTGTGTTCATGGACCAGATTGAGACTGACCTGGGCAGGAGCGTCAGCTCGACGAACGAGAGAGCCGGCGACTTCGCGCAACTCCGCGGTAAGGACACCCATGGTGTGAATAGTCTCAAGATAGTGACTGTTAGAATCAAAGGGAGAGACGGGTTGTTCCTGGAGGTTTAGTCCATTTTATAACAGTGATTGCGTTCAAAGATGGAATCAGTGTTCTTGGCCAAGCGACCCTGCACAGCTGTTTCACAGGGGTGACCCGACCGGATAAAATTGAAATTCCGCATTCGCACTTACGCCCTGGGTTCGATCATTCTGGTATGATATATATGACCTACGGCGAAGTTCAAAATCATATTATACGTTGAAAGCTGCCACAGTACATATCGCGCTCGAGGATATGCGTTCCTGAACTGCGAGATATCAAATGAACGTGGGTGAGAACGTCGCGGGAAGCCGCTAAAAATAAGCGCATATGTGCTGTCCAGTCACCGATTCGGACGTAGTAGAGAAAGAACCTGATGGTATTGAGATGAACTAAGCACATTACAATAGTACAGTATAGCACACGGAGGTAAAAAGAACACAGAGCAGGTGTGTGCCCAGTATTTATCAAGAATCTGAACTGCAGCCCCGACAACCTGAAATGAAACGTCAGCTATTATGTCGAGGTGTGAACGTGAGAACCATCTTACCGCAGTGAACACATTCAACAACAGTACCTGCACGAAGCTGTGCTTTGGGCACACGGCAGATGCATGTAGAACCCTGGTAGTTCATATCCTGTAGCAGTCCGTCGGTCAGGTTTGTTAGAGCGGTAGAAGTTCGTGAGCTTACCCTAGTCTGTATACATCTCAGACAACAAAGCTTCTCATATCCAGGCTTTTTCCATTTGGCAATCAAACTAGAACGCTGTCAAGAGTTTGCTGTAAAGTAGAAAACTAGCACTTACTTGCCATCGGCGTACCCTTCCTTCAGAAGCCAATCATAGAGTTCTCTGCTTATGGCCTCACGCTTGTAGTACAGTTCATATATGTATCTTGAACGAGTGTGCGATATCCTCATAATAGGCCACAGTGATTCAGCCTTGCGCTTTCCCTCATGAGACTCGTTCTCAGCATCGCGCATCTTCTTCGCATAGTCATCGAGGATCTGCGACGATTACGATTAAGTTAGGCTTGAGTTCATAGCAGAGTCGGAACTTGTACGCACACCTTCAATTTCCTCGTAGCCTTCTGGTGGTTTCTTCGTTCTTGTTGTCCGAATCTTAGGCATCGTTATGGTCGCTGTTCTGGTCAGAGCTGGAGATTGCGGAACAGAGCGAGGACGCGTGTTACGTAAGCAAACGCGCCTCTTCCTCGTGGATGGATCGGAAGTGTCCTGACACTTCCATCTCCTCCTGCCCTTCGCGTTCTCTTCATTTTCCCCCAGTGCCCAAGATACACAATCCTACTGCTCATTGTCGTTCTCTAGGGGGCTTCTCTACATGAACTCTGTCTTAGCTCTACACCCGGATATCTTCTTTCATCCAGCACGCGTACTCTGTTAACCTCGCTGGAATAATACACCATGCCTCTCATTGTACCTGTATTACGGGTTTTCTTCACGCTCTTGAATGTTTTTGAGACATACAAGACTCTCAAGATGCCGCCTCCCTCAACAAGGAATGGTGGCCACCCGACCATTCGTGCAATGAGTCAAAGAAAGCGCGCAATGAAGGGATGCATGACTGTCTGGCTTGTATGGGTATGCTGCAGTACCCTTTAAATTTGTATGACAACATCTCATCATCAGTTAGTGCTGCCTTTTTATATACGAACGAAGCTTTGACGGTGTCGTCGGGTTGTTCATCCCGTTCTACCATGAACTGAAATCCCTAGTCATACTATTCTTTCTCCTTACTCGCGCTCGGGTAAGTGGGAATGCCCTATATATTCCGGCTGTATTTAAACCATCGTATTGCAGGGCGCCGAACCGATATTTCTCCATGTCTTGCGTCCCTTCATCAAGCCATACGTGTCCACTCTGGACGCGTTCTTTCACGTCATGCAATCTTTTGGAGATCTACTTCTCCTTATGGCTGCACTCCCCATCGAATTCTGTATATCCCATTATCGCTATTGGACTAAATCTCCGGAAGAGGAATCAGTAGATGACAACATTCCGGAGCCTCAGTCGCATCAGAATCGTGAACGACCTGCAAATGGCTTGCATCGCGTGGATTCCACCGAGTATGGCACCGTTCGTTCCAGGCGACATGCATTGGACAATGCTCACGCTAAAGCGAGCGCTGCTCAAGATGGTGTAGCCCCGCCGTCAAGGTCAGGCTCTCAACCATATGAAGTTTGGCATCCGCCACAATCTCCGTATGAACATGACGGTCTTCCGACTCCTCCATATGAGGATGCTGAATTTGACGCGCTGAATACCGAAATCCAGGCTGATCTCGACTGGCGCAAATATGAACCCTTTCCCTCGGCATACCCACCAACGCCGCTCAACCCTAATGCCAAACTGCCGCCCACTAATCATGAACCAATGGATGGAATCGAAGAAGAGCCCGGCGTTGTCGATGAATGGCGGAAATACGAACCTTTCCCGTCTGCATACCCGCCAACACCTCTCCCTCGGCGGAAACATCTGCCGTCTGAGCTTACTTCTACACTGAGTCATATACAGGAAGAATCAGTAGAACATGAATCTCCGTCTGAGGATGATACCACAATCACCCAACATACCCATCGGCGGCCGGGTTTTCGTAGGTCGCTCAAGCCGCCGTATGATCACACGAACCCCGATCATGCTGGTAACTGGAGCGACGACAAAGAGAACGTCCCGGGGGTTCGCCACCTTGCTCAAACTTCTACGGAGGGCGAGGGTGAGATGGATATTGATAATGAATACGAAGCGGACAATGATGAAGATATGGAAGATGAGGACAGCTTCAATGTGACGCTCCAGACGCCTTTCCCGCTGTCAAAACAAGAGAATCTGTCACATTTCTCAACAGCCTCAACTGATGATGGGCCGGATAATTCCACTGGTTTAAGCACGGTGGACAATGGATCGCCCTTTCGAACCAGGGCGAATTCCGAGATTCCTCCGACCACCTCGTTGGTAGGCACCAAACGCCCGTACACTGGAGTGGACGGGGAAGACCTTACTGCCCGAGTCAGACGATTGGAGGCCATGCGTGCTGCTGCAAATGCACGTAGGGTACCTACCAGCCAAATGCGGACTCCACCGCGACGTTCTACACGAGTACGTGCCACAGGTTCAACGGCCAGCAACACTGTTAGCGAGAAGGAACATGACACCAGTGACGCTGAGTCTTCATCGTCTGCTACGAAGAAGCGTAGGATTGGGTCCTCATCCGGCGTTGTTTCCGTACGTCCTAAGATAGGTGGCAAAGTGGAAGCAAGAGCCAAACCTTCCGTGGTGAAACCTGCTGTTTCCGGGACCAGAGTACGCAGAGCCCCAACCGTTTCACGGGCATCTTCAGGAATTGCGAGATCCGGTACGGAAGCCAAGTCGGGCATAGGCAAACCCCCTCTCCCAAAGCCTGTGGTTGCTTCGCAGAAGAAGGTCGCGGACTCAGTCAACTCCACGACAGAAAGGAAATCGAGGGGTTCGGTACGGCACTGACTTTTTTTTTCATGGTAAGTGCAAGGGTGTGACAACTGGTATGAAGATGCTGATCCATACATCAGGTTGATTTAGGCATTTATCGGACTATGCATTTACTGTTCTATACACACAAGCAATTCAATTTATATACCAGTTCAGCGTGCACGCCTAGGCGGCCTCGCATAATAAGGAAGCTCGTCATGTCCGTGTAAAGAATTTGCGTATACTTCAAAGATGTGCACCGCAAGTACGCGCCATGATCATCAATGCTTATGGTCTATGTGTCCTTGTATCTGTTGCACCAATAACCATGTACCTGATTGCATCGCGTTCCTTGTCACGGCGTTTTCACATTTATGCTTCTCGTCGAGTCGTTCCGCTCCAGCAACTTGCCTTTTCTGGCAGCGCACCAAACGAGCGCCACCGCTACAATGATCGAAAGGAAATTTCTGCCAAGCGCCCAGTGTGTGCTCATTAAGTTTGTGTTACGACACTGGACTGTCTGTTTCGAGACGAATCTTGCCATAAGGTGTTGCTTTTGCTATAACACTCTAACATGGCAAAGGGATCTCAGCTATCTCAGCTCAAGACCGCTCTGAACAAGGCTGGATTAACCCACCAACCACAGCATGGCAAGAAACGAAAGCGGGCTGTCTTGGATGACAAGGAGAAGGAGCGGAGAGCGACGAAGCTAAGAGAGATTCAGCAGAAGATGAATCCTTTTGATGTTAAGGTGACAAAGCTCAAGCATGACGTTGGAGGAAGGAAAATAGCGGGTGTGATGGGTCGACCTGCGCAGAGTAAGCAAGCTGGTATCGAGCAGGTGTGCATTGAATCCTCATCGATCGCTTGTTGTGGATTTCTCAAGGTTACGTTCATTTAATAGCGAAAGAAGACTCTTCTCAAAGAATATGAGGAGAGGGACCGAACTGGAGGCATTGTCGACCGTCGGTTTGGTGAAAGCGACCCGACTATGAATCCCGAGGAACGTATGCTTGAACGATTCACGAGGGAACGACAGCGTGCCTCAAAGGGCGATGCATTTAACCTGGACGATGAAGACGAGCTTACCCACTATGGTCAGAGTCTGTCCAAACTGGATGACTTTGACAATGTGGGTCTTGGTCTAGACGATGAAGAAGAGGACGAAGGTACGGTTATCTACACGCCATTGTACTCTAGGCTAAATGGATTGTCATTGTTAGGTCAAATAGACCGGAGGACTGTTGAAAAGAGTCATTTTGGTGGTTTTGGAGATGATGAGGACGAGAGCGATGATGGAGAGGGACAGGTTGTTTACTCTTTTTCTGCCATACAATATCATATTGAACAATTATTTAACAGCCCGAGCGGAAGAGATCGAAGGCCGAAGTTATGGCTGAGGTCATCGCAAAGAGCAAAGAACACAAAGTGTGTTCTTCCACTGCCTTTCTGTCACACGTGCTAATGGTGTCACGTATCATAGTTCCTTCGTCAAAATCAACAAGAGGAGGACGAGAACCTTCGACACGAACTTGACCAAGAGCTCGATTCTATTCGGTCACTTCTCTATGCTGCAGATACATCGTTACTGCCCGTCGAGTCTGCAACTACCTCTGAATCAAAACCTTCCGTAGATGATGTCCTAGTAAGACCTGCACTACCGGATCAGGACCAAGAATATGACCAATTTGTTCGTGAATTGGCTTTCGAAGCTCGTGCGAAGCCTAAGGATCGGACTAAGACTGAGGAGGAAATTGCACTCGAGGAGAAGGAGGCCCTTGAGAAAGCTGAGAGGCAGAGAATACGCAGGATGAATGGCGAAGAAGACGGGAGTAGTGACGAGGACGAAGGAGACAGGAAGAAAGGCAAACGGAGAGTGCAGGGTGGGGACGATTTAGAGGATGATTTCATGGATGAGGATGGGTGGAATGGTTTGGGTGCGGGGTTGAAGAACGTGCAGGACGATGAGGAGGGCAGTATTGAGGGCGATGAAGGCGAGGACGAAGAAGAAGAGGAAAGCGAGGAACAAGGTGGTGATGACGGAGAGTCGACGTCAGAAGAAGACGACGTCGAGGGAGAGGCCGGAAGTACCGAGGAACTTATATCAACCTCTCGGAAGACTTCGTTGAAGAAGACATCATCGGCCACTAGTCAGGAACTACCGTTCACATTCCCTTGTCCATCGACACATGACGAATTCTTGGAGATCGTCGAGAATATTCGTGACGAGGATGTGCCTATCATCGTGAAACGAATACGGACACTACATCATGCAAGCCTAGCCGAGGACAACAAATTCAAGCTTCAGGTATGTTCACGTTTCGTTTTGTCGTAAATCAACACATTGATTTGCATTTTCTTAGGCTTTGGCTGGTGTGCTGCTCGACCACATCCTCTACATCACCTCTCCACCGACACCGAAGTTTGCCCTCCTCTCATCCCTAATTCCTCATATCTATTCCCTCTCCAAATCCTATCCTATCCAATCCGCCCAACACTTCATTGCGAAACTCAACCTGATGCAAAAAAATCTAAAGCGTGGCCTCTCGCATGGCGTGACCGACCCGGAGTCGAGGACATGGCCAGGTCTTCCTGAACTTTCGCTCCTTCGAGTGGTAGGGATCATATGGTCTACAAGTGACATGAACCATCATGTCGTTTCACCTGCGAGGGTACTCATTGGATCGTACCTTGGCCTATGTCGGGTCAGGTCAATACAAGACTTGACTTCCGGGCTCTTCCTCTGTACGCTGTTCCTCCAGTACGAGGAACTATCGAAGCGTCTTATCCCGGAAGTGATCAATTTCTTGGTGAACTCTGTGCTGCATCTCGCTCCCCACAATTTCAAAGAAGCCGCTTCGTTACCTGGAAACTTCCCTTCGCCTGACTTCCGGTCAGAAAGATGCTCTAGCCTATCACTGAACGTGAGGAAGGCGAAGAAGCTGGCTCTATTGAAACCAGATATGACTTCGCTACTAGCGCGTGAGTCTCATGGGGAGCAAGCTAAACTCGACCTTTTGGGTGTCAGCCTTGATCTACTCGGACAGTTTGGCAATATGTACAAGGGATTGGATGGTTTTATCGAGCTATACGAGCCCATCGTCGATATTCTGCAGGGCATTAATTCGAAGGATTTACCCACGGAGCTTGAGGTTCGTAACAACATTTCAGATTTCTACACATAAATTCCTAATTTTTTATTGCAGGCCAAACGAAGTTCATTATTGGACACACTGGGAAGGCTTCTCAAGTTTGCTCGTCAATCCCGTCATCCGCTCCGACTGCAAGCTCACAAGCCCATTCCCATTCCTTCCTACATACCCAAATTCGAGCACACGACTTCGAACTATCTACGCAACCGTGACCCTGATCACGAGCGTAACGAAGCGGCCAAACTTCGTACACAATACAAGCAGGAGAAGAAGGGCGCTATTCGAGAACTGCGCAAGGATGCTCGCTTCTTGGCTGCTGAACAGCAAAAGAAGCAAAAGGAGAAGGATCGGGCATACAATGATAAGTTGAAGAGGGTCTTTGGTTCGATCGAGGGTGAGCGAGCAGAACAGAAGGCACTCGAGCGGGAGAAAGAGCGAGAGAAAAAACGCGCAGGTCGAAAATAGAACTTGTTAGAGCTATCGTCACTTTGCTGAATTGCATACCTGTTCTTACAAATATCCGTGTATCCTGCGCATTATTATCTTTCCTATGTGCTTTCGATGAGATGTGCCATTTTGTTTCAAGTATTACACTCGTAATCTCGCTCACGCAAGAAGAGTAACGTGATAAGACGCGCTGTTCTACGCGACGCGTCTTGCCATCCCCGACTCATGATCACAGCAAGCGTTGCCCACGACTCTCGACCTAACCATTTTTTGCTGTTCGCGCTAGGAAATACACCTGAAGATCGTGCTGCTGAAAGGCTTAGGCTATTCTTCCACAAGTGTTCTTGATTACACTCCCTTCTCTGCAACATCATCCATGTAAAGAATCTGAATCGGAAGATTGAAGTAGGACATGATTCCTTCATCAAGCCCAGGACCCTTTGCTACCTTTCAGACCGACGTATTTACTTCTCAATCACCAGCCGACTTGCTGGTCTTTTTAAAGGATGTTCTCAAGAATATCGACCAAGACAGGCGCACTCTCCCCGAATTCAGTCGCCGGACGAGATGGAAGCAACTACTCCAAGGCCTTTCACAAATAAGCTTACGCCATTTTCCATCACCTAACGAGCTTCCATGGGAAACCCTGCATGAGAGGGTAGCCCTGACAGAGAAGGCGTTCGATATTATCGACAAGTTATCAGACATACCTGACGACTTTATTGTGCTTTCTGGACAAGATGTTGGAAGAGATGTCTTTATATCTTTATTGTCTACCACCGTCGCACTAGAAAGTCGGCTCGATATCGCCGTTCCTTTCGACCCAGAATATCCGAATCCTGAAGTACTACATGCCAGGGCGAGGAAGGCTTGCGCTCAAGTCCTGCGATGTATGGGAGGTGCATGTAAGGTAGCGGATACAAGCATACCTTTGTCCAGCTGGCTTTGTTTGAGAGATATCTTAGTGGAGTGTCTCACTGTTTGTGATGGTGAGTGTTGTCTACTACGTTCCGAGTCCTTCTAACGGTCATATTGCAGACCTGTTAAATTCATTACCAACGGCGACATATCCTTTGTATCTGACATTCTTCGATCCGCCTCGAGTTTGCGAAATACAACCGCACGATTCGAAGGTAAGGGTGGCATTTGCTATTACATTGCCTGTTCGTTAACGCCAAACAATAGGAACGATCCATAGTCATCGAATCTTTAGCTGCAATACCTGGACTGCTAGCAACAATCCTGGAATTTATCGTGAAAGCTCTTGCTCCGCCGGCAGTGTCGCAATGGTATATGATCAATGTAGTCCGACAAGCAATTCCGACGTGCCGTCGCGTTTTCGAGTTCTTGCTCTATGCACCTTCTTCTGTGGCTGACGTACAACGGATTAGAGCTTTGACACGCATTGCTACCTCTATCACCGAGATCGCACAAGAGGCCTCATATTTCAGAGAACTTGCCAACTATTTGCGTCATGAACTCCTCCTTCGTCGAGTTCAATTTGGTCCAAATACAGTATGGGATGTAGCTGATGCAAAGCTTTGCGACGTCTATCAGTCTTCGCTGGATATTTCTTCAACGCTTGCCGATGTGCGGGCCATCATTACAGCCCTAGAAATGCAAGCCTGGAAGGAGACAGATATCGGAATACCGGTATGTCCCTTTTTTTCTTTATATCTGCACCTTGATTCTCATTCATCGTGCAGAGACCCGCGACCCTATATCTTAAACGCTGTATACCTCATCTGGACGAGGAAACTGTACGAAACCTAAAGGCTGCAATGTCAACACATGTGGTTAGGGGCGAATATGCAGAGGTTTTTGAAGCGATAGAGAACAAACTGGGAGCCTCCGCTTTGATGAGTATCGAGCCCATTGCTCTGATACCGGATTGGAGACAACTTATGAGGATTCATGTACAACTCATGGTTGAACCTGCCGAGTTGAATTGGATGGATGATGGTGACACGTTGTCCGAGTTTCAGTACATCAGCCGGGCTCTACAGCAAATTGAAACCCGGTTTGAAGAGTATGTTGCCTGCCACACAATGTTTGCATTATCTCACGACCCTCTATACAGTCCACTCTACAACCCATCTAGTGCTGCGCGAATTTCTCTAGCTCAGCAACTTGGACAACTTGCGTGCCTCATCACCCATGATGCTAATACTCCATGTGCATCCGCGATCCGGAAGGTGGGCATTTCAACGATGAGTGTCTGTTTGCGCATTGCCACTATCGTTCTGGACGGTTCCTCGCAAGAAGTCACTCCTTTGGTTCGAAAAGCTGTTTTTAGTGCCTTGGCTCGCAATGTCATACATCATACCGAGACTGTCGCAGGAAGGAGCTTAGAACATGCGGCAGAACTTGTCATGCGCTCATTGAAGGATCCAGAGAGGAGTGTACGGCTCAGTGCGGGGTAAGAATCTCGGTCTACAACAGCAACTTTCGTTTATCACTGATTATTTTCCACAGACGGTGCTTTGCAGAGCTCGTTCGGCTCTTTCAAGACTCCGTCGAAGAGGCGAATCATGTTGAAGCTCTACTTAGTGCCTTGATGCGGATATGTCGATTACCGGATACTCGGCTGAGGGAGACAGCCCTTATAACAGTTTCCTATGTCGGAAAGTGAGTAATTGTTTATTGTGCTCTAATTGAACTTACGCTTTATGATGTCTAGGTTGGCCAATCCAGAACTCCTGGGACAACTTCTGTTGTTCCTGGTTACTTACCTAGGAGACCCGAATCCGATCATTCGAGGAGTTGCTTGGACGCAGGTATATCCAATATTTCATTGAACTCGTCAAAACATTCACATTGCTATAGATGAATGCTTTGTCGGACCACCACAAAACACTACCTTATCAATTTCTTCAGCCTTATATGCCGCAAATTGCGCCGCATATAGTAGCCAGATTTTGCACCGAACCTCTGGCACTTTCGGAGATTGCACGATTCCTATCACTAGCTTCGCCAACGGATTTCCTTCGCGTCACCTTAGAACATTCGCTTCCTTCCCTTTATGCAACGTTGAACGCAAAGGCAATCGAAGCCGTTGGAAAGGAATTGGGGGAGACACCTGCGCTCACCCTTCATAATTACGGTCCCCACATATTGGCCCATGCATGCCTGCTCCCGGGTGGAAATAGCAGCAAGGCTATATCGTTTATTCAAGCCACCCTGAAGGAGTGCAATTCCGAAGCTACTATACGTTCTTTGGCTTCTGGCTACAAGACAAGAACTCTGGTCAAGTTCGTTATTGCCATGGGTGAAAAAGACGATCAGGCTGCTGACAGAGTAAGCACGCAAAGCCCCTTAATGAAATTTGGTTATAATTTCTTCACCGCAGGCCACCCAAGCGATCTGGAGATATAGTCGTATCCTGGATCCAACAGCATCCAACGACATCCAGCACGAAGCATCTACACTTTTGGGCGAGAACCTGCTGGGGATTCTCACAGATTTGACCAATCTACTTCAAGGTAAACAGATCCCCACCTTCAGGTTACAACTCGTACGATGCTGGGGCCCTTTCATCCGCTGCCTCGGTCCACCGATTGCCAACGTGGGACCTCAGGTTTGTTCTCGTTGTACCATCTATGTCGAATTAACTCAAGCCAGTTTCATACACAGATAACAGCGACACTACAGACACTACTCGGGGTTTCCGAATATGCCGAGATCACGATGTCGACCTGGTACACCTTCTTGACCACCCTAAATCCCGGCGATGTTGGTGCCTTCGTCGGAACAACTACGTCGACATTTGTCACCTCATGGACATCTCTTTCACCCCTCGCGCGTGAGCGTGCAAAACAATGCGTCGACTACGTATTGTTTGATATAGGGGACCATTTGGAACAATACCTCAGCGATGTAGCTGACCTGGAGGAAATCCCTGATCTGGCTATTGCCCAGCGACGATTGATGGATTTACGTAGCAACTGGACTCCCGCTCGCAAGATGGACCTTATGCTAGAGCGTGTGGCAAGCAACAACGTAACAGTTGCAACGAGGGCTGTGGATGAGCTGAAGATGTTCATTGTTGCTGAAGACGACTTCATTCGAAATCTCTTAACAGGAGACCTTTTTGATCCACAAATGGGCCGCGTCTTGACCTGTCTCGTAACGGCCGCAAGTCGGGATGAAGATGAAGCAGCCACTCTGCGTTCCCATGCCCTCGAATGCATTGGATTACTTGGAGCAGTTGATCCAGATCGATTGGAGCCAGAGACGAACGATTCCCGTCTTCTTGTTATGCACAATTTCATGGACGAGGAGGAGACTGTCACGTTCTCCCTGCATCTGATTCAGGATGTTTTAGTCGGTGCTTACCGTGCTGCAAGCGACGCGAAATACCAGGGTACTTTGGCATACGCAATTCAGGAGTTACTGAAGCAGTGCAAGTTCTCTCCAACCTTGATTGAAGGGGGTCCGCGAGGTTCTGCTCCCATGAAAGTTCGCAACAGATGGCGTGCTCTCCCGAAAATTGTCATGGAGGCCTTGATTCCACTGTTACACTCGCGCTACTCCGTCAATCCCAAGGAAGAACCATGCACAACACATCCTTTTTACCCAGGGAAATCCACCTATCGCGAATGGATTCAGTCATGGGCGACCTGTCTGATCAGCAAAGTGTCTGGTGAACGCGCTCGATCTATCTTCACATTGTTTTCCACGATTGTTCGCAACAAAGACGTTGGGGTTGCTTATCATCTCCTCCCACACCTCGTTCTCAGTGTGCTGCAAAGTTCACCTGGGGATGCTCCACAGTATATTCGTGACGAGCTAATTGCAGTGCTGGAAGATCAAATAAATCCGCAAAGCACGTCCAGTGTCGACAAGCAAGCACTCAGTGCGCAGGTGAGCTTCTTCTCTTCGGCCCATTGTCTCCCGCTGATTTATCTATTAGACTGTATTCATGGTCTTGGACCATCTCAATAGATGGGTCCGACTCAAAAGGCAGCAAATTAACTCCCAACGGAGTGAGCGCAAGCGTACTCGCCTTTCGCATGATATCAATCAGGATGAGCAAGAGCTGCTGCGAGTTGACTCAATATTGACTAGCATAGACCAGAGCCTGATGGCAAAAGCTGCTCTCAGGTGCAAAGCGTACGCACGTGCATTAATGAGTTTTGAGCAGCAGATTGTCGTCCAGCTAGGACACTATCATACTGCGTCGACTGCAATGCAAACCCAGTATGAACAGCTGCATGAAATCTATGCGCATTTGGACGAACCCGATGGCATGGAAGGCATCTCTACTCTTATCCTCTCCCCTTCTATTGAGCACCAGATCCGTCAGCACGAGAGTACAGGAAACTGGACATCTGCTCAGAGTTGCTGGGAAGTACGGCTTCAGCAATCACCAGATGATCTAGCTTCACACTTGGGATTGCTTCGATGTCTGAAGAATTTGGGTCACTACGGTGCGTACCGTCAATTGCTGGTCCTCATTTTCTTTAATGTCGAATCGTCTTGTAGACACAATGCGGACGCACGTGAAAGGAATCCTTACACGCTATCCTGCTTGGCAACCTGATTTACTAGGGTTTCAAATTGAGAGTGAATGGGTAGTTGACGATTGGGACGAAGTTGAAGGTCTGATTGCAAAATCTGAAACTCCTACAGTCCCAGTTGCATTTGCTCAAATCCTCCTGGCAATGCGATCCGGTGACACACGTTCAATTTCCGACGTACTTTCTAATGCGCGCAAAGTTGCGGGAGCCCCTCTTACTTCGGCGGGTACAAAGGGATACAAGCGGGTTTACGATGCTATTCTGGATCTTCATTTAATGCATGAGCTTGACATGATACATCAGGCCATCAATGGAGAACCTCAGGATGAAAACTTCGATGGCAGATTGCAGACCCTTCACCGACGTCTGTTGTCTCGAATGGAATCGACTCTGCCGGCGTTTCGAGTACGGGAAGCAGTCCTCGGTCTTCACCGGACTGCTTTCAGTTTGTGGTGAGCAGCGATATGATAACCATCTCGATTGAGACTGATCCAAACTGTTAGCGCCCCCAACGTACCATCATTGAGAGACACAGTGAATCAGTCGTGGTTACTGAGCGCCAAGCTCGCGAGGAAGAGTGGCTATTGGCAAACGGCATACAGCGCCACCTTGCAAGCCCAGCAGAACGAAGTGCCATTCTCGTTCATAGAGAGCGCTAAACTCACCAAGTCCAATGGCGAGCCTGTTCGTGCACTGCAGGAGCTGGAAGCGTCCATACAGCTTTCTGACCAATTCAAGACTCAGTCTGATTCAATCATCGACCTCACGAAGGAATCCACTGTAGACGACCCATCTTCGGACCCTGACTTCAAATTGAGAGCGAAGGTGAGTACCTACGTTAGTTGCTATGTTCTTACTTAACGGGATGGCAGGCATATGCGTTGAGGGCCAGATGGATGCACGAGTCTGATCGATTTGAGTCCTCACGTGTACTGAAAGCTTTCCAACTGACGACAGAACAATGGAAAGAGTATGCGTAATTTTTTTATCCCGGCTCTCTTCCCTGATTAACGTGATGCAATCTAGCTGGGAAAGTGGCTGGTTCCATCTGGGTCAATTCCAGGATGACTGCTTTAGGGCTTTGTCCCCCGAGGAGCAACCCGTAAGGTATGCCAAACAGTGGAACTCACTATAGTAACTAGGTCTAAACGATATTTTTGGATATCAGGGGAACGCGGATGAACTTGCAGACAGTAAAATGCTACTCAAAAGCGATGAAATTCGGTTCAAAGTACATCTACCAGACTGTTCCTCGCCTGTTGACATTGTGGCTGGATATGGCGGTTGAAGTGAAACCTGCAGACATAGACATTTTCAAGAAAACGAACAACGAAGTCGCAAAGACAGTGAAGAGCGTCCCTGTGTGGAAGGTATGGGCCTCTGACGACATTTACGTACCCACTGTTAATTGACTTTTGGCGCAGTGGTATACCGCCTTCCCTCAGATCGTATCTCGAGTAGAACACCCCAATTCGGATGCGTATGCAGTTCTATCGAAATTGATACATCTCGTCATTCAGGAGTATCCGAAACAAGCTTTATGGCTCTTTGCCTCCGTCTTGCAGTCGAAACGTGCAGTGCGAAAGTCAAGGGGCCAGGTTGTCATGGACAAACTGAGGGTTCGTAGCGGCTCTTGTGCAACTTTGAAAAATATCAACATTTGTTTTCAGGCTAGTGAACGACCAGGCGTATCAAACCTAATCGAAGCAATTACGACCATGACCGAGCAGCTTTTAGCTCTTTGTTCATACGGAGTGCAGGCAGAAACGCGCTCGTTGAGCCTCAAGAAGCACCTTCCCACGTTCCATTCTATGGCTCCTTCATCACTCTTAGTTCCTCTACAAGAGTCGCTCATAGCAACTGTACCCCCTGCCTCTTCGTCTGATGCCCAACATCAACCGTTCCCGAATAACTATCCGACCATCACAAGTGAGACCTTCACCCTCTTTATGCAATACGTTCATATTTAAATGTAACACAGGCTTCCATGACGAGGTTGACGTCATGAGTTCTCTCGCAAAACCTCGCAAAATTACTTTGGTCGGAAGTGATGGCAAGACGTATCCATTCCTTGGAAAGCCGCAAGACGATTTGCGCAAAGATGCTCGTTTAATGGATTTCTACGCTATCATCAACAAACTCCTCAAATCCAACTCTGAGTCCCGGCGTCGCCGACTTCGTATCCGTACATACGGCGTCGTCACGCTCAACGAGCGATGTGGCTTTATTCAATGGGTGCCAAACACAATTCCTATCCGCCCGATTCTCCTAAAACTCTATGACAACCATAAAATCCCTCACTGGGTAAAACATCTGCGTTTGTTGATTCTACGATCTGCATGCTGAATGTGCGCATTCATTAGTCTGGCGAAATGGCCGCCGTTGCTGAGAAGATCAAAGTTTCCAACGAGAAAGACGCAGCGCGGTTGTTTACAGAGAAGTTCCTCGCTGTGTAAGTGCACCTTCTGGCTGGCATCGCTTGTGCTACTGCTGATTTTTGCATAGATTCCCGCCTGTATTCCACGAGTGGTTTATAGAGACATTCTCGGAACCTGCTGTGTGGCTTGCGAGTCGACTGGCGTACGGCCGTACTGCTGCAGTCATGTCAATGGTTGGATTTATCATTGGGTAAGCTGCTTATAGTGCACAAACTCCCTCATCCTGATCACGATGACAGGCTCGGTGATCGACATTGTGAGAATATCCTCATGGACCTTCACAATGGTGATGTGATCCACGTCGATTTCAATTGCTTATTTGAAAAGGTCAGCTCCACTTCAGCAGTACTGGTCCCCTACTAAAGTTCGTACAGGGCAAGCAATTGGAAATTCCGGAACGAATACCCTTCAGATTGACCCAGAACTTGGTCGACGGCCTTGGTGTCACTGGAGTGGAAGGTGTTTTCCGCAAGGCATGTGAAGTCACCATGCAGATCCTGCGAGACAACAAGGATTCTCTGATCACCGTACTTGACGCATTCATTCACGATCCTCTCGTCGAGTGGGAAGAAGAAAAGAAACGGATTGAAAACGCTCTCAGGCGGAAATGGCGCATCGAGCATTCGAAGGATCCCAACACGCCGGAACCTAAGCCTGTCGAGATGAAGACCATCGGCAAGAGATTGTTAGCTCCTATAGATAAGAAGTTCAAGGGTATATATTCTACGGGTAAGGATCGCGCGGAGAGGGAGTTGTCTACGACTGGCTTGGTGCAAATTCTGATTCAGGAGGCTACTGACGTTCATAACTTGGTGCGTATATGATGGCACTGCGCATTGAAGTTTGGGAACTTGACGTCTAGTTTTATAGGGGAGAATGTACTCCGGATGGACGCCATGGCACTGACGTCTCCTTGTTGCTTATTTTTTTTCAGGGCCTTTTTCTCATGGCTATGTATCAGTATTGTTTCCTCATGATATCCCAGATGTATTATACCAACGTACAATCGTGCTAATGTACAAACCACAGTAATCATACACATGTGTACTCCTCATATCAAGCATCCGAAAGTTGCCTCTGCAACTGCTGAAGCTCCTTCTCCTTCTCTATCAACATTGCTCTCCACTTGTCCTGCTCTGCTATCACAGTTTTCCTTGCATTTTCCAACCTCTCCGCCTCTTCCTTTTCCATTTCCTGCGTGAACTCCGGTGTTCCGCCCTTGCTGGCCTCGAGAGATGCAGGATTGGCTGTATGGAAAGGTACAGGTTTGCGTTTGTGCTTTGGGAGAGGTGTCGGAGGATGGGCAGTGAGGATGTTAAGGAAAGATTGAAACGGGTCGTTAAAGACAATCTCGTCGTATTGCCAGGAGTGAACAGGTCCAAGCTTGGCGGCAGTTTCTAGGGAAGGGGCTTCAGCGGACTCGCCTCCGGTCAGGAGTGTCCATGGGTGCAGTTTGAGATGGTGATATGTCGTAATAGCTTTCTCGCCGGATTCTGGTACAAATGTTATTCGGATCTGGACCTCAAATTCACCCCATCTATAGAAGAGTGAATAAGATACGGATGAATACGTTATAAGGAACGCACCCTGTCTCTGACACCTCGAATGGTGGCTTTTCTATATCTGAAGGAAACTTATTTGAGATGCGAAAGAGAAAGCTGGAGTAACGCACGTACTTCTCGTAGGATTTGGATACGTTTCATGCAACTTGAACGTAACACGTTTAATGAAATAACTCAAGTCATCTGCACCTCCTACAATATCAGAATCGGGCGCAGAGGCTGCACTTCGTACAGCGACAGTCCATCTGTGTGTATGGTCGGGCGTAGGTAACACCTTACGCTCCTCTGGAGTCAAAACAACTGCAGTATTTCCATAGATGATAGGACGGTATATACTGAGTCCCTAAAACAATTAGACAATGTGTATCATAGCGAGCTAGAGTGAAAAAGAGACGTACTCGAACGCGGACGCGCTGCTCAGCCATGGCCGTTCGAGACAAGATCGGGATTGGTCGGAGTCTCAATCCGACCAAACCAAATCCTCGCTTTCATCGTCGCTCACAGACAACCACCACTACGCCCACCATGCTCTCAGCACTCATTAACAGTCTGTAGCCTTCGTACATCGTGGAGATGCCTTATGCTGAATTTTGACATATTTACCAGAGCCCAACCACGTCCCTGAATTGCAGCGCAAGGTTCAGGTACGTTGGTGAACTATGTCATGCTTTCTTTACATTTGAGCTTAATATTATTCCACAGGCTGCGTTCCCTCATGAGCCTGTCTACTACGCTAAGCCTCATGGCAAGCTCTACGTTCGTGAGTACACTTGTCGTGCTCACGGTGTTGTCATACCCAATCTACTATATACCCACAGGCACGTACTATGGTTTCTTCGCTGCCGGCGTGCTTGGGGTTCTCTACGGCTCTTACTCGCTCCTCTTCGTTCGTATTCCAAACATTCTTCTATGTAACGTGCTCTGACCTCTGCTCCGCGTCATGTCAGACCAAGCCCAAAAGGGGCGGCGAGTAATTGAACTGCAGCCAATAGACCGCAATGAATATTCTCTTTTGCTATGTTGTGCATCTTGCGTGAACCATTGAGTCTTTAACACGAACTGGTTCGAGAATCTGGAGATGAGGCGAACAAGTCATGTCGGAATGTGTCGGGAGGGAGTTTATTGCTCTAGATGACCACAGTTACAATTCAATGTTGTCCTCCCTCTCTCTTGTTGGTTCATAAGTTAGACAGACAGAACACGAAACACTGTAACACGAGACGCAGAGTGAAGAGCTCTAAGTTATGCGTTAGTAGAGACTGAACGGAAGAAATAACGAACGCGTGTGAAGTCATAGACGGCACGGAATGAAAGACTTCCTATTCGCCGGCTTTCACTTTCATCTCGACCACCATGGCGGACCCGTACATTGACAGAAAGACTGTCAACAAGTCCTATAGACCACGGGGTGATGTATGGTTATCTGAACTATCCTATAGATTCCATGATTCATCGCATATTTGCGCTGCAGGTTATGTCTCCAGGTCTCAAACGAGCTCGAGAACCCTTCCGCATCCGAAACGCACTAACAGGCGTTGTACTCGCCTCATTCGCAGTTGGCGTATGGGCATATTCCCTAAGTGCCGTCAAGCAAGACGACTTCTCCGATGTGGACGAAGAAGCCAAAGCTCTCGCTAGCTCATCTCCACCCTCGACCTCAAATGTGATACCTGCCACGCCAGAGGTGGTCAACGCGACCAAGGGTGCTATTGCGGCCGGATTTACACCCTTGGAACCTGCCGCGCCTTCGCCAGTCGTACCTGCACCTGCGTCCTCATCGAGGCCGAAGGGTGTCCTTGCTGCGTTGCTTGCAGATCGATATCCCCAGGCTTTGGATCCGTCGACCAAGACAATTATATTTGGGGCCCCGCCAGTTGATAACCCTGGGAGATTGAGGGATTGGTGGAAGCAGGGCAGGAGGTAGTGTCGTGAAGCAAGGATTGATTGAGCTGTTCTATGCTGGTCGAGCAAAAGTACGCAAGTAATCATCATTTCTGTGTATTCATTCTGTATCTATAGCCCCATATACACCCTTCCCTACATATCCGTCATATACAAAAGCAGCGAACACAACACTTCAGAATTCTACATACAACGCAAACGGCAAGCCCGTCGCAGGGTATACAAAAGAACACCATACCATAGCAGTACACATCATAAGCTGGCAATAGATATCATACACATGACAGAAAGCAAGAATGCATCTTCGAGATCCGACCCAATAAATATCCGAGAAGTGTGGATGTGAATCCTTCGTTATCATCGAAACCGTAGCCAACGTCGCCGTCGTGCTTCATTCGTTCTAGTGAATAGCGTGGATTGTCCCATACAAAGTCTCTTCACACCCGGGCGGGATGAACAGCTGGCAATTCTGCTGCTGAGCGCATCCAGCACGAGTTTGAAGGGAGTGTGTAGGTCCATGGTCCCTGTTGCTCTAACCTTCAACCTCAGGCTGCCTAGACACAAAGAAACACGTATTAGACATGCAAGTACGAACCGAGAAATTGAAAGGCAGAAAATGGAAAGGGCACGTACCGGATAAGAACGCCTAAGTTCTGTAACCCTTCTTTAGCGGCTTCATTCTTCGCAGCTTTCTTGGTACTTCCACGTCCACGACCGAGACATTTGCCTTCAACCATAGCCCTGACGACCCAGATCGGAGTTGTTCGTGTACCCTCTCCAGCACTATCGCTGTACACCCATTCAATATGTTTACACTTCTGCTGCAAGTGTTGATTGAATAATGACAAGTGTCCAGTGGAAGCAGCAATCCGAGAGGGAGGGGGCGTAGACCAGGTAGGTGCGAATGGCATGCTGACATTTTGCATGGAGGGCGAATGACCTTGACCGGAAGAGGGCGTTGAAGACGAAGAGGAGCTGGGTGAAATGACAACACGCCGAGTGGGGTTCGGAGGAGGTGGGTCGGGAGGCAACCCGTGTTGGATTCGGACGAGACGGTAGGCTTTGGTGATGTAGGGACGGAAGAGAGGTTGGAGCCAGTCTTTAACAACTTGGAGACCGCCGTCTTCATATACTCCGCCGACGTAGGACTAAGCCGAACAGTTAGTCAGTATGTTTGAGGCTAACGGGAAACAGTTCGAGATCGCCTACTTCGAACAGATCAGCTAAATCGAAAGTATGTCAGTAAATATGTCAAGGAACAATAGATAGCAAAACGCACCTTGTATGTTGGTTGAAGCACGGAGCGTGATAGCTTGGGCAGGATGAGTGATCAAACGATCATGCAACTTGTACATCCTCGAACTGAAGGACCGGGATCAGTGAGTTCCCTTTTGAAGAGAACATAATTCACGAACATCGCCGCCAGGGTGGTGTTACCGACGAGCATAGCGCGGATTTTCTGTAGTTGACATCAGAGCAACACTAAAGTCAAACAAGGTGCAACATACCGTCGAAGCACCAACTCTAAGATAAGGGTATACTTCCCTCAAGAACCCAGTGACGACAAGACTCAACACCGAGTCTCCGAGGTGTTCCAGCCTAGTGAACAGGAGTTAACTTATTCTGTTCCACGAAATTGAAGACTAACATCTCGTTGTCGGGACTAGGGTCCTCAGGGACATCCTCAAAAATATGGGTCGGTCTAGCATAGAAACTTCGATGTGTGAAGACACGACGCTTCAAATCGGGATCCCGGATCTCTGGGAGTACTGGAAGATCTTCTGGTGGGATCTCAGGCCTACGAAACATCGTATGTCAACAAATAGCATTCGATCGAACTTGCATGAATGGCACTTGAAGGGCACTACGAACTTCAGAAAGCTATCCCGCTCATGAGTTGCCGTCTCCTGTTGAGGGGAGATCCTGTTATATCGGGGAGGGGGACGTATGTTAGCACCATTTTGAGAGTTCGCTCGGCTGTAACGAGTCTGACGCCTCCGCCAGCTCGCTTCATGAAAACGGTTTGACGACCCAGGATTCATCGCCCTACACGTTCTATCCTAGGACGAAAGCTGGGGGAATGGAAGTCAATCGGAAGTGACATACCCAGGCATTGGAACCGAATATATGTCCACAGAACTGTATGAGGCTGTGGCTAGGATGACCTCACGAGTACCTAGAAAAGCAGGTGTACACAGGATCTTGCTGGAAGGAGGGCGGAATCTGTATGCTCTCGAAGTCAACTAGCCAATAAAGACTATCTCTTTTGGGAACAAGGCTGCGTATGGGTGACTTACAGACTTTGACAGGCGTGTACGTGACGGACGTGGATGCGAACGGAAATCCTGTACGAAGAGGACAGTGCCTCACTCTTCAGGATTGGGGCACGCAAGGACGTACAGCTTAGGGAGAGGACAGTCATCAAGATATTCGTGGACACGCATGTGCTCGTGAAATTCAGAGTCAGATTGAGCGCGGACGAATGAGAGAAGGACGAGATGAGAAGTTGATTCGGAGAAATACAGCGAAGTGCGCTTAAGGCATGGATATCAACGCTCCCTACTGTAAGTTGGACAGTTAGGAAGAAAGGTTTTTGCAGGTGGTCGTTGAAACGAAGCTACACTTAGGGTCAAGCACAGCATTTCTAGGTAAAGGTCTAGTCGATACATGCTGTGGGATTATTCTCCACAAAGAGGCAATATTGCTACAAGGCAGACACAGAAGAGAAGCATGGATATCAAACTATCGTGACATCTGCCGTAGGTGTACCACTTTCTGCACCGACTTGGTGATCCTGCGCCGCCTCAAGCTGACGGCCATTCAAATCAATGCACGCCCAGCATCTTCAATCTACAAGTACTCACTTTCTTCTTCGCAGCCGCCTTCATAGCAAAATAATCCACGTGTAACCCGCACTCTGTCTTCTCCGCCTTCTCAGCCCACCTACCTGCTCTTTCACCCGTGTCCCCTTCACTGCTCTTAACAGTGCTGTGCCAATCGCCTACACTGCGATAACCCTGATCGAGAAGCTTGTTTCGGGGTACGTTGTTTGACTTGATGTGCCAATCAACAAAGTCAAAAGTCCATGCAAACAAAGGGTTGAGTTTCAGCAGTCCGGTGCTATCAACTTCCAAAGGTTGGAGCTTCGCGCGATCCCCACCCTGCGAAGCTCGTCTGCCTGTTATGACGGCTTTTACGCCTAGTTCATCGTAGGCTCTGCGCGCTGGTTCGACCTGTAATACTTAAAGTTTAATGAAATGGACGCAACTATATTGCAAAGAGCTCACCTTAACGAGGTAGTCGTATGTTTGTTCATCCCGCTCCCAAAGCTTGTCTCCGTACTTCTTCTCGAAGTCCTCCACTATCTCACATCCCTCAGGCTTATACACATGGACATCCAGCCCATACCTCTTTTTCACATCTTCTACCAACTCCAAAGTTTCGGCAAAGTGGTACAAAGTGTCGATAAAGATCAGTGGTGGAGGATTCGACGTGATCTTGAAGAGCATGTCAATGGCTACCAAGCCTGTCAAACCAAAGGCTGTTGTCTGGTACAGTGCGGGTATATGCTCGACTGCCCATGAGAGAATCTCTTCGGGTGTACGATCTCGTAGGTAGTCGTTAATCTGAGCGATTTGTTCGGAAGTAAGTGGGAGGTTGAGAGGTTTGGGAAACGTTGGCACGGATGATCCAGAGGTAGTGGTCATCCTGGTCTCGCTGTAGCGCTATATTTCGGAATGTGTATGGAGGGAGGAGCAAAATTGAAGGAGAGGACGTTCATGGTAGAAACTTGAAAGCGCATCATGGTCGCATCATGGTTAATAATCGCACTAGTCAAGTAAGTAAACCTACTATAGTAGGACTAATAATTGTAACCAGCGTTATAGCGGCATTATTACACAGACTACAACAACTTGACTTTCAATTACTGACTGGTTCTACTGCCGACTTTCATACTGTTCCTCTGCGAGTTGCAACCACTGGATGTCCTCTTTTCTAGTTTCCATGCACCCTAATACATGAGTGCTCTATGAGCGTATATTTGTTTCTGCAAGGACCACAACTTCTTTCATGATGCCTACGCCGATGCTGAAGTGAATGAACACTTCCATCTGCTTTTCGTCTCCAGTCTGTGGATTTGTTTTGCCGTCTACAGACGTAAATCTGGTATAGCCTGTTAGATGGAGAAATGAGCTAATTTTGTCAATAGAAGTACGAAACTCGCTTGGGACTTTTGACCTTTTGTTCTTTCGCAGGAAGGCGCAGTAGAAACGAAAATGTTCGGGTGGTACGTCAACTTGTGTCTATCTAATTATGCACAAGCACACAGGCAGCTTTGGACATGCTGCTCAATGTACTGACCTCTTCTGCACCCTCTACATTCGAAGATTGAAATATACACAACACATTTACTCATTTCTGCCACAGGCAAAGTGACTCTCTGCGACGTCGGCGCGCTCTGTCAAGACGGTATCAAACTCAAATTCATCTCGACGAATGGCCACACGGTCAAACTTTCACCTTCGGTCTCGGTGACGGTAAGAACGACAGTTTCCCCCCGAGGCACCATTCTCTTACATGATCAAAAGATGAAGGGGACGGTCACCTGACAGGTACAAACTTTGCGCAGTTTGTTCCACACGGGAACAATAAATAGACTCATGGAATACCTGCCTACGGCGTAAACGAAGCAGTGCTTGCTTTTCTGGACTTACTCGCCATGGCTACAGTAATCTCAATGTTGTTGCTTTCCGTTGCGGCAAGGTAATTACATCTTGAGGCTTGACCCAATGCTCTCAGGTTGATCAAGGGATGATAGATGATCTGATATCAATGTTCTCGGTCTTCTAGGCACAATGGACGGCAATGCGGAGTTGTCTACTTGCACATCTGAGGTTTACAGGGGAGTGTGAAAATGATTGTGGACTGTCAGGCATCGTGTAAAGCGCTATCTTTGTACACTGGACCATCGCTCACTTGGCGTTGCATTTGACACCGTTCTGGATCCCGGTCAGGACCACCATCTCATTTACTCTCTCCTACCTTCCTTGGTACATATATACGATAAGCTACACCCATCTCCATACCCTGCTTCATGATTCCTGGATTCTCCCTGTGTAATTCATAAGCACTGACGAGACGTTCAACGACATGACGATTACTGTGCCCGCCAACTTCCCAATAATGAGCTTCGAGCATTCGAGGATTGTAGCTGTATGTGAAATCATCGTTAGGTTGTTGCTGTTTCACTCAGATTAACATACAGTATGGACATGGTTTGTCAAACATTGTATGTTGGACAGATATCTCTACCTAACCGTGTCGGTGGGATTTAGTTGCTGCAGCCACACTCCTGGTGAGCGAACATTTTGTCGATTGAGACTACGGGCTGTTTGGACACTGACGTTGTCCCTAGGTCTGGGACTACCTGCTCACTGTGGACTCAGAAGTGACACTGATGTGGCCGTCACCCTGGAGTATCATGAAAGTCCTGTTCTTCTGGACAAGATACCTCCCTGTCCTGGATATTTCACTGGTTTTATTTCGTTAGTTTCCGCGTTACTATCTACAAGGATAGTCGCAGCTGATGTAAATCGCCCAGATCAGCTCAACCCTACCATATCTATAAGCACGTGTCAAGTAACTTCCAAGACTGCTAGTTGTACGTGACTCAAACAATCTTCTGTGTCTGGCTATTCTGAACGACCCAACGCAACTATAGGGTTCCTCCTTATCGGCATCATAGTATCGGAAAGTACGTGTTCAATACGGTCATTAATAGGCTGGACTTTTGACATGATTTTGCAGTGATACTCGTTATTCGGACGTGGGCAATTTGGGGACGTAGTAAAGCCATTGGTATCACCTTGACTGTGTGCGCCGTGCTTGCATGTGGATCTGTGCTCTATGTGGAGAAAAGCTTCCTCGATTCTCTTCGCTGTAAGTACGTCGCAATTCTGGACGACCGCTCATGGGTTAATAATCCTGATATTTAAGTCTTTACCTACCCATCTCGGGCTACTGCAGGGTCAGTGCCTTCTTATGTGCACGTCCAGAGGCCGGTGATTTCTGAAACTGATCATGATTAAAGGTGCCTTATTACCACTCAAAATTCCATTGTTGCAGTTAGCTTCATAGTTGTGATCATCTTCGAGACGTGTGAGTCGTTCATGATGGATGGCAAACTTTAATGCCGACGACTCAGCGTTATTCATATCCCCGTCACGCAGTTCTTCTTATTTTAACATCAATCAAAGGAATTCAACATTGTGCGTAGAAGCAGAATCACGGTCTTTGTATAATGGCAGTCTGATATGCCATTTGTGTAGACAGGTTAGCTAACAACAGAGGGCTTACCTCGGTTTTATATCGTGATGGTATGTCCAAATAGCGCATTCGTATTCGATTTACTCATTGCAATCCGTACCAGGAATTTTATTCTACGTGTATCTCTTCTGTAGGAACTTCCCAGGTTATCCGAGGAGTCTGTGACTGAAATACTCGCAGGCACTTCAATGGCAAATTTCATCGTGATTCTTGCAGTACCAGTGAGTCAAATCCCAACTATCAGAGTCGTCGTATTATAATTTATATGTTCCTATATCTAGCGCGATCTCGCGAATATCCTGGTGAAGTGAGGGAACCTTTGCCTCAAATTAGCGTCATATTCACTACTTTCTTCCAGCATCCAGCGAGTGCTACATTCGTGCTTGAGTGCCCGAGTAGTGCTGAACCTACGAGAAGCAAGTCAACAGGAATCGTCCACATCCTTCATCAGTTCCACTTCCGTTCGCTTCCGCACTATTACCAGCACAGTGGCGTCAGAGAGGCATCCCGGACAACAAGAAGGCAACACGGGAGATGAGGGAATTATGGACCATCCTGCTGTATCATCATCGGGGAGCCAGCTGGAAACATAACTTCGGGGACCCGCCGCATCATGGTGTTTGAATTCATTTTCGAACGAACTCAAAGTTTTGCAGGAACTAGGTGATTCAACCATCAGGAAACAGACATATGCTTTCTCTTTCTCTTTTTCCGAAATGCAATCAATGCACTGGAGGGGCAAGCTAATGCCTTTGCTTTTCCAAAGAGAATTAGAAACAGTCTCGCGTGCCTCTCGATACAGTTCCCCTTCCTCGATCCGCCATTTCTTTCCAGCGATTTCTGTCCTCCAGATTGACGTTCACCTTCCTGAACGTGATTACGGCAACCTCTTCTCCTTGAAAGCATAATAAAAGGTTCTTTGAGCTCCTTTGAGAATAGTCTAGACTACATGCGGAGTCAAAACAATGTATTAGTATGAACACTAGATGATCCTTTTATGGGGCCCACGTCTGCACAGCTTCTTCACGTTCATTCACCTCCTCTCCTTGGAAGGGCACTCCTTTCTTGTTCTCCTGCAATCACTGCGAATAAACCAAACGATCTCTCCAGCGACAAATCATTAACAAATTGCTGTAGCCTGTTATTAGACAGGTTGAGTGCACGTGGTTTCGCGGCCTCCGAGTACATGTGCTCTCTCTGCGAAAAACACTGTTCTTGACCCACCATTTGGTCTACCCTTATCCGCCAACTTCCTCTTCATCCGGAGCCGTTCTGACTCGACAGGACGCAGCGCGTCTCCTCATTTTCATATTCTCTATAAGCCATGAATAACTCCAACCACTCGCCATACAGGCGAACTCATCGAAAGCGTATCTCAGCTCTCCGACTTTCCTCGGATTCCAACGTCCCTACTTTACCTGCGTATACCTCCCCTCCGTGGCAAACACCCGTTGCTCTCCCTGCCGAAGAAGATTTGTCAGATAAACCACCTGAGTACTCTGATAGTGCGGAAGAGGCAGACGCAGACACTGATTCAGACGACGATCTTTCTGCCAATCGTCGGATATACTCAGCGACATCTAATTCTTACGTACCGCCCACTCCTCCACTTACGTTCTCACCCCCACCACCTAGAAGACAACGTCGCTCGCAGGCATCTGGGTCGAGGAGTAGTCATCGACCACAACCTAGTTCGCCCACCGATCCCTATCTTGACTCGCTACTCGCACGCAGCGTACACGCACTAGAGATGTCCAACGCCTTGCTACAATCTTCCATGTCTACACAAAGCAGTCTGTCCACAGTCCTCGCGTCTGACAACATGGTTGACACATCCCTCGATGCCCATGCACGCAATCTTTCGTCGAGGATACGGTTAAATGACAATATGCAGGATTCTTGGATGAATAACCTAGATGAAATATCTAAAGATGTGGAGGGACTTTTTGCAAATGAAGCTGAGTCCTCGAACACCGCGATAAGCCGAAGTTTGCCTTCATCCGGCAGCATACATCGTTCGCATCTTCGCAGACCGTCTGTAGAGTTCCGTAGAAGCGGTGTCAACAGCACATCTGACTCGTCGTTGAACTATACCAACCATGCCAGAAATGATCTGGTCGCTCCTCCGCCTCGAGCCTTGACAATATATGTTGACTCGACAGAAGACCCAAGCGCGATCACCTTGCCATCTACACTCGGCCTACGATCGTATACCTTGTCATCTACCTCTCTTCCTGCCGATCTCACATGTTCTCCCCCAAGCGACCCCACACCGTCTTCCTCCCGAGCAGCAGACATTCTGGTGACCCTCACGAAACCTCCGGCGAGACCTAAAGCTCGGCGATCGAGCGCATCCAGCACCTCCACAGCTACAACAATCACTTCCACGATTTTCAAGTCCCGCAGAGCGTCCAAATCACCCCCGCCTCTTCATATCCAACGCCCACCCTCCAAATCTCCATCGCCTCAAATTCGTTCTCGTTCCCTCACGAGGAACGACTCTCCTGTGCGATACAAACACTCTAACAGTTCAGCCATAATCGAACCCATCGAAGAACTCTCCGCCTCATCTGGTGAGACTTCAAGTAGCGACAGCCTCCATGTCGATCGCACTCTCGAATCCCTACGTATCATCCTAGAGAAATCACCCCCTTCACGATCGCCTTCCACCTCTCGCAAGCCGCCCCTTCCACGTCCTTCCCTCCTCACCCCGCCAACGGTTGAGCCAGTAGCATCTACTTCAACAGCAACAGCATCGATTTCTAAGTTGTTCACGAAAGGCCGCCATTCGAGTTCGACTAGGCCACCTTCACCGCCAAGACATAGCAGTCTGAAGGTTAGATCAACCCCCGCGACTCCTACAATGCATACGCCGAGTCCGAGTATGAGTGGGAGTCTGTTGATTGTTCCGGATGCCCTCAATGGTGCGGGGTCGAGTAGACTTTCTTCAGGACAGTCCACACCCAAGCGCATCTCGTTTGCCCAACTACCCGAGTTCACAACAGGTACTTCCTCCCGTCCTTCCACACGAGGGAGAAAGTCGAAATCTCGTTCCAAGTCCTCGCTTCCTACAAGCAGAAAGGGGAGAGATGATAAGGAAGATGGAGAAGACCCGGGTGCAAGCGGAGGCTGGTTCAGTAGTTGGCTTCTCGGCGCCGGCGCCGCTTCGACTAAAGGTGGTGGTGGGATGGGTGGGTTGTCGGGACCTTCTGCGAGCGTACTTGCGGAGGAGAGGTTTGGAAGGTCTGTTGGTAGTTTGGGTTCTTGGGGTGCAAGACCTGGACTTGGTGGGTTAGAGGATTGGGCTGTTTGATGATGGTCCTGCGTCGATTGTAGATTCATTTTTTTCGCTATCTATGTGCTTTGAAGACACGCTGGGCGTGATGACTTCGAAAGTGCTATGTCTCTGGTGAGTTTTTGTCCTCTTGTTTTTGAAGGTTGCATGATTGACATATGTACGATAGATATCTCATCAGGCTTTGGCCTTAAATGCTAACTTACACGTTTTTAACTCGCTCTTTATTGCCTATTTTCTTATCTCCTGTGATGACGCTCTTCACGGCCATGTCACGAACTCGTGGGCATTCCTCCCTTTTCATTCACATACCCCTTCAACCTTTCAAGATCACACTCTCGCTATTTCTTCTCATTTACTAACCTCCCTTCCTATCGTCGAGCGATCCCCCCCATCCGTTCTCTGACCTTTGCGAAGCAATATCTATTAGTAGATAGACTCCGTCTCCCAACCTGCCACTCGTTTTTGCATCTTCATCAATCTCATTCTCACTTCATCATATACCCGTCCCTGTCTCTCTTTCTCGTCGCATTGTGTTCGTGGAAGTTTCTGGATATAGGTTCGTAGCATGTCAATGAAGTTGTAGCACTAGCTATTGGGATACAGATCTACGTGGAATCGAACTGCTGCTGTTCTGAACACTGAGTCAACAAGCGAGGTAAAGCATAAGTCTACAACAGACACGATTACAACGATCCGGGTGAAACGAAAATAAATCCAACTCTTCGAACCCAAACTTGAAGCAATAAAACCGGCTTAAATACTATACTTCAGCATACATCATACACTTCTCTGGAATCACTTCTTCGACTTCCTCGCTTTAGCCCCGACCTTTACCTTCCCCGGACTTGCACCTGTTGTCTTTCCACTCACACCCTCTACCCTCTCCCCATTCTTACTTGGAGCGCTCTTAGTCTCCACGTTACTCACTCCCTCACCCACCGCACCATCAACTTTCGATGCAGCCTCATTAGCTCTTCTCTGTTGCGACTTCAACTTCCTCTCTTCCTCTCTGCTTACAGCTACTTCCGCTGCGGGATTCCTGTGCATAAGACGCATTGCGAAAGAGGCGACGATTCCGGAGAGGATCATGACTAGCCAGCGAGGAAGTACGACTATAAGGTTGTAGATCTTTTGAGTGGCGAGGGCGTAGTAGTGCATGTATCGTTCGCTGTGAGCGCAAATTGATATCAATTGAGGACGGAAAGGAGGGGACTAGAAAGGGACATACTAATCTCCTCCAGGGGAAAATGGTGTTTTCCACGCTACGCTGTTCTTCCATGTTTCCGTCTTGAGGAACTCTCGGATGACTTCAGGTGTGAGACGGACTTGGTTGGCCTTGTAGAAATACAGGGTTTGCCCGCGATCGCGAATCACCATTACATATGGTGCTCTATACGAGTTCCCATCTAGCGTTTAGACGCGATCTTTGAGTATGAGGGTTGGTAGGACGTACTGCCAGATATTCCACTTTGTCGTGAGATATGTGACATTGAAATAATCAATACGAGCCCATCGGACGTCCGGAAGGTCGCCCTCTATGATACTTTCATTGTATGCCGTATCGAAGTTATCGTCTAGAAACTTAGACATTCCACCCTGTTGTCCTGCCTGTGCAGTGCTTCCCTGCCATCAATATCCACAGCGTGTAGAAGGATACAATTGACTCACATAACAACAAACCAAAGCCTCTTCTCCTCCTCCTCCGGTGTGAGCTCCTCCTTCACGATGATCTCGTCATAGTTATCATCCGTGATAAGAGGTATCCGTCGATCCCATAGTTTCTCCGTCTGCATCCGTGCTTCCTCCAAATGCTTCGAGATGTTCACGCCAATCTTATTAAACAGTCCAGAGACAGGACCGCACTCGAGTATTCGCGATACGTCGAACAGTGAACCACCGGTGTGTGGTGGTGCATGCTGTGAAGGATGATGGGATGGTGTCGGTGGTGATTCATTGACATCGGGGATTGGTTGTCCTGGTTGCCATCCTTCAGAGAAATATTGCGCACTCGCTGTTGAAGCGCATGCTAGCGAAGTGAACAGGACGGTTGAGAACTTCATGATGGATGAAGAGAGCACTTCGTGTGCAAGCGTGAGACAGGAATCACAATAAACACCTCACTACACCTGCCTATTCTGGACCGGGGTTGATCTGATCATAGTTGAGAAACTTGATGGGTTAGGGTTAAGCGATACCAGTCGCTTGCTTCTCACTGAAGGCTGCGTCGTCGGCAGGTGTCTGGACATCGTTCTCTGCGTACTCCCCTTGATACCCTATGTTCTCGTCCCTTCATCAGGTATAATTACTAGTAAATCCTCATTCTACCGCTCTATTTTGTCAGAAGGTGCCGGAACCGAAACGTGACGGAGACAGTCTGGTAGGATGTTGCAATCGGCTCTATACACCGGCTTTCTGTGGGCCTTATTACCCTCGCTATTCTTCCTCTCTGGTTCAGAAGCAGCACCAACAGACAACTGTAAGAAATAGCTTGATATCTTTTAGAATAATGTGCTGAGAGGTCTCGCACACAGTGCCCTCAGCAGCATCCTTCTACGTGTCACACGTACCAGACCTTCAGCAAGACTCTTCACGTCCCCTTCATGTCTATGCTGGACACCTTCCATCAGATCCCGACGCTGCATCAAAACCTGCAACAGAAGTAACAGCACATCTCTATTTTGTCCTCGTCAAAAACCGCCGACTTGCCGATAAGGAACGGATACTATTTTGGTTTAATGGTGGACCAGGATGCTCGTCGTTCGATGGTCTTATGATGGAGGTGGGCCCTTGGAGGGTCGATGGAAAGGGTGGGTTGAGGGTGGCGGAGGGTGGTTGGGAGGAGTATACAACTATGGTTTATAGTGCGCATATAGCCCGCTTTTTTCATACTTTCAGCTTCTCTGACCACATTCGCCCGAACTGCTTCCTCGCATAGTTGACCAGCCACCAGGGACAGGATTCTCATACACGTCCACAGACAAGTATCTTCACGAGCTCCCCGATGTACGCTTGTCCGCACCATCCGCCTTTAAGCATCTGACGTAGAGTTCAGGCCTCAAGATATTTCATAACCTTCCTTCGGAATTTCTATCAAGTATTCCCAGAGTACAAGACTATGGATGTGCGTCAGTCACATCACCATATTTCACTTATTCATTGACCCAAGTGTCCTTAGACCTATCTCGGAGGTGAAAGTTATGCAGGACAATATATCCCGTACTTCGGTATGCCACATATCCACGTCTCACATTTCCCAGATCCTGAGACGTTCTGCTTAGCCGATGCAATCCTAAATGCGAACCTTGGCGTACCCTTCCGAGGAGCAGCAATAGGTAATGGTTGGATAGATGCACGAAGACAATACCCATCGTTCCTCGAATATGCAGTCAAGCATGGTATTGTCACAGAGAACTCGGATGTATGTTTTCCTATCATCTTCACCACTGAGATATCTTACATTGGACTTCTTTATCATTGGATTTCGGTCTGTGTAGGATTGGAAACGAGGAAAAGACATTACAGATAGATGTATGGAAGATATTGAGAAAGAGGCAGGTTCAATCGAACCAATTCACACCGACCTCTGCGAATCAGTTATGAACGTCGTAATCGAGCATCATACCAAACAGTGAGCCATTTCTGAATCTAATAGTTGGTATCGTCATTACGAATGGTGTGTACTGACTGGCATCGTCAGAATCAATGGGACGAAGACGTGCATGAACATGTACGATGTCCGACTAAATGATCTTCATCCTGCATGTGGTATGAACTGGCCGCCAGATGTCAGGGACATCAATACATATCTCGGGGTACGTTTTCCCCTTTTCGCCATATATCAATGCTTTCATTATCTTTTTTCCATGCATATTTACTCACTAGCAATCTTATATAGCGTCAAGACGTCGTACGCGCTTTCCATGCCCAAGACGCCTCCACCGCCTGGGACGAATGTCGACCAGCCATTCATCGAGCCTTTAGCACCAGACGTTCCAATTCTTCGATCACAATACTACCGAGCGTCCTAGAAAAAGTCCCGATGATGGTGTTTGCAGGCGACCAGGATTTGATTTGCAACTATGTGGGGCTTGAGAGTATGATCCAGGCTATGACTTGGAATGGAGCTACTGGGCTAGGCGTAAGTCTTTGCTTCCATCTCTATAAGCATTAGAATCCGATGCGTGAAGCTTTACTGAAATTTCGATATCCTTCGTAGACTGTTCAAACCCAATCTTGGACTGTCAACAATACCGCCGCTGGAACCTGGGTAACCTCCCGAAATCTCACCTATGTCAAGATCTTCAACGCTTCCCACATGGCTGGATTCGACGTGCCCCATATAAGTCACGACATGATCTTACGGTTCATGGGTGTGAACTTTAGTGCGATCACAGAAGGAAGTGCGAGAATATCTAGTTCGGTGGGAGATGAGTTGAAACCTGTACCTATCCTCGTGGAGGAGAATAGAGCATCTCAGGTGCCTGTTGCGGGTAAGACTCCGGAGCAGGACAAGGCTATGTGGGAAGGTACGTTTTTCTTCGTTACTTCTCAACTTGCGGTTTGCGTTTGCTGAATAAGTCTGTATGATTTGATAGCGTACTACAATGCAGGCTCAGCAGCGCTCGTTCTAGTGCTCATAGCTCTCCTCATCGGTGGCTTTCTCTGGTGGCGTTCTCGCAAAGGCGGACTCCGAGGTCTCCCACTCTCTAGTCGAGGAAGTATGGCTCTGAACGAAGAGAGTATACCGCTTCGGACAAACGGGGATGCAGAAGATGGGTTGGGTGGTGATGACTTTGAAGGTGGTGCGCGGCGTAGAAACGGGGATGCGAAAGGAAAGGGTAAGGAGAGGGCACGGACGTTTACGCCTCAGGAGGAGATATTTGGGGTTGGAGATAGTGATGATGAGGGTGGGAAGAGCCCGAGAGTTTAAAGTAGCTCGTTAGCCTATTACTTTTATTTATTCTTTCGTATTACAGGTGGATTCCTTTTGACGTCAAATACTTGTCTCGAGGAAAGAAAAGGGGTATGCTTGATTATATGCGTACAGTCTAAAAGCGACCGAATAATATACTATGAATGCGTTGTGAGTATACAGTATATTAGGACGTGAAGCCGTGTGTAGAAATATGGAATGAAGCAAAGCTAATGCAAAATGAACAAACTGTTCGAGATATAAAGAACCCTTCGAGGGCATCCAAACTCATACTATGATTCCAGTCATGCCTGCGGCTTCTGTTCCAAGTCCGGCGCCTGACATCGAATACTATGAATCCTTGCCCAAATCCCGGAATCGTCTTCACCAAACTTGGTGCGCTCTCCCCAACCTTTCTTCTTTCTTCTCTCCGCATCCTCTTCTGTCTCATCTGTATCACCCGCTTGGGTCGACCCTGCCCCAGGATCTGTGTGACTCAGGACAAGAGAAGTCAACCTCCGTCCGTACAGACAACCCGTATCCAATCCCTTTGACCATCTCTTCAAGTCTAGTCCTCGAGAAGCAGCGTGGCCGTATACGACCGTCGAAGGTCTGCACCTCAATGAATACGAATCCGAGTCCGAGTCTGAGTCCGGATACGTGCCTGAGGAGTCTTCTTGAAGTCGTATAGACGGGGAAGAGGAAGACGGGAACGATGAGGCAGAGAGGTTAAATCCTTTGCATCTCCGCATCTGATCATTCCAAAATCTATTCCAAGGCTTGCCCCTGTCGCCGTCCCTGCTAATTTTACCACTCTTCCTGATCGTACGGATGTTCAAGACGTTCCACCATTTCCTGTTTTGTGGGATATCATGGAGAATTGCGCTTTCCTGGAGCCTGCGTAAGATCTCTTCGTCCCTCCCGTCTTTCTCAATCCGGATCTCGCCTGATGCAGATGTAGATGGAGAATCGGGGTACCAGACTGGTAGAGCCCCCACTCCAGGAATTACGACGAAGGTGGGCATCATACGCATGTACCTCACATTCTCTGCTTGAACGTCTTCACTCTCGTCATCGGAATCCGAAGGTACATCAGAATCTAAATTGGAGTCAGGAATAGACTTATCCTTGGAAGGTGGTAAGTGTGTTAGAGGTTGTCTTGGATCCGAAGGCGGTAGTCTTGTGTTGTAGGGGAGTAAACCGGCATGTACGACGAAGAAATGCATGGATGGGATGTGTAGAATTAATGGGAGCGACGTGATGTAACGTGCGTGTTCTGCTGTCATCTCCCTAATTCAACATGAAAAAAAGCATACAGTCAGCGACCTCCCTGATGGAATGACGAGACTTCGAAGAAATATAAACACGCACTTGGCCAGCCAATAATGATCCCCAAACATCCTCCACTCCTGCTTCCTCTTTCCTTTTCCAGGTTCCGGTATCCTCTCCCACCACTTTTCCTTCCAGGTACCTTCAGCCCTCTTCCGAGTCACTTCGACCCATTCTTCTGCATCTGACTCTCTGTGCCTTTTCTCGTGTTCCCACTCGGCTTCAAGAAGATGCAAGAAATCGAGACCATTGGCGACAGGAGCGTCCTGCGCATGTTTGTATTTCTTATATGCAGAGTCGGAGGAGTTGTTGTGAAGCTCAATCTTTGAGAACCAGTCTCGCCATGTCCGCCATTGGACGACTAAGTGGTCATGATTCCCTCTGACCGCAAATATTCTTTCTTTCTTCGTCCTATTCGCCTTGTTACTCGAAATCGAGGCGTCTTCAAGGTATTGATTCGCTGTGACGAAATCAAGTAAAGAAAACGAGCCTTGTGGCGTGGATTTGGCGAGGAGATCGCCGGCAAAGATGAGGATATCATTATGGGGTTGGTAAGATAGAGAGTGCAGGAGTTTACTGTAAGGACAACGAAAACGAAATGTATATTAGCAAGACTGATTCGAGAAGTTGTGGAAGTTGAATAGTGAAGTGAGACAGTGAAAGGTAAATGAATTGGGACAGTGCTGATCATCCGAGCCGAGGTGCGTGAAGCAGGCACAACTTAGTTGGATCTGCGTCTTCGCAGAGATCACGCGTCAACCTCGCGAACACCCCGGAAGGTGGCCGTCGTTGTTTCGAGGCATGCAAAACACATTCTAAACGTGTCGTGGGGGAGCAGGGCGGCAAAAACAATGACAAAAAACATGGAGCCCCTGAGAACTGAAGGATCATTACTCACTGTAACGAGTTGTTCATGCCATGAACGTCGCCAACAACAATAATACGTTCATTCGCATCTGTGAAAGATATTAGCTATCGTCGAACATGACGTACGAGACTAAAACTACATGCCGAGTGATATGTCTTGTTCTTCCAAAATTCGCGTATGATATATTCTGTTGAAGTCTGGGAAGTCTGAAAATGATAAGACGTCAATATTTCAAGCCTACGATTAACGAAACACAACATGCTGTATTTTGGCTTCTTCCTCAAACTGACATGGCCATATTCCTCATTGTAGACACCAAGAAACAAAAAGATGCCAAGAAACAAGCAAAGGATCCAGTAGGATGCAGTCGCCCACAAAGCAGCCATCTAGTGGGGAATAAGATAGTAAAGCAGGTCTAAGGATGAAGAGATGAAATTGGAGGAAGCATATATAGGGAGGGAGGCGAATGAAGGCTACTGAGGCATGCTGGTGGAGTTGTCCGTTTTCCAATTGAAAGCCGCGAGTAAGCGCTGACCCCCATCCTACATGTCTCTTTTCGGCACTCCAACTCCACCGTCTATATTTGGTAGGCTTGCGATCACCTTGGGCCAAATTGGGCTGAGAAGGATCGTTATCTCCAAGTACTCACAGGATGACTCGAACAATCTGGAACGCGTCCTTAGTCTTGATCCTAGCATGTCAAGTGTGTATACTGCCTTCTTCTATGGCACCCTTATGCACCCGTCTATCCTACGACGGGTGATTGGACATGACGGCAATGAGCTGCACATATGTCCTGCGCTGCTTCTGGTATGTGATCTGCGGATGTTGTATTCTAGTGTTCTCCTCTGACTATTGTATGAGCAATGACTGACTTCATTTTAATCACAGGATCACACTCGTCACAAGATTAAGGTATATACCTATACCTCAGTCTGCTGACTCGGGCATCTCAAGTATATCTTGCGATAGAATGCGGACTATCCAGGCGTAATTCCATACAGTCGAAGTGCAGGGCTCTTCGAAGGAAGAGAGCTCTCGCCCGATGAGAAATCAGTGCGAGGTACACTGGTCTCGGGATTGACCACGCAAGACGTCATACTACTTGATCTGTTCGAAGGTGATGTAAGTGTCTTGCGTCAATATATTCTGTTGACCACTGATGCTTTGACAATCGTGTTTTTAAGGAATACTCTCGAGACACTGTCTCTGTCCATCCCCTCTCCGCCTTTACACCCCTGGTTAGCACCTTGTTGCCCTCTCCACCCGATGCACATATAATCCCCTCCACCTCCTCACCCATCTCGTCCTTCGACGCATTGCAAACTCCCATCCTTGCACAGACATACATCTGGAAAGCCCTCTCCCAACTGGAGCCCGCACTATGGGAATACGAACAATTTATCAGAGATAGCGCATGGAAATGGGTTGGAGATGGAAGTAGAGATAATAAGGATTACATCGAGGTTGACAGGAGAAGACAGATGAATGGGAGGATCATTAGGACTACTCCTATGGATTCTGATGAAGGCAATGTTGAAGCTGACGTTGGGGTCATTGTGGAATCGGATGTCCCGGTCACTGTGCAGGCCTGAGATATTTAGACGAACAGAGTAAGGAAAGCTATGATCTAGAGTTTGTTTTCTAAGGTCTGCAGGGCGGGCTAAATTTCTAGACCGGGTGGAAAAGGAGTAGTGATTATTACCAACCAATAATACAGAGGTATCAACCAATGACTAAGGTGACGTCTAGCAACGTATAATACAGGAGCAGCGCACTAAGCAAGGCTGTCCGTAACAGCAGAACCGGCCTGGGGGATCTACTCCTTGAAAGGATAATCAAACTTCGGCTGGTCCTTCCGTCTCCAAAGCTTCTTCCTGCAATTGCGAAGATAATCTTTTTAGCACACATTGAATGCGAGATCAATGGTACAACTTACTTCTTCTTGGTGGGCAAGTGCTCCGCAAACACTTCTACGCAATTTTGTGCTTTAAATTCGCGAATGAAACGTGGGTCCCTAAACATAGAAAAAAAGTCAACATCCGTCTATTTCGTACGGAAGTGGAAACAAGAGAAGAGAGCATACCAAAGTTCGGAAGCCACACCAAGGTCCTTGCAACACCTCATCAAAGCGTTACTCTTACATGCCTCAGTGGCGGTCGCGATTCCGTCTCGGTCATAATAGGCTTGTTCACCTCGGGAGACTGCTACCAATCTGAAGACGAAGGACAACACATCAGCTTCGAAATTGAGAGGTGGTTTACGGAAAACACGTACCGTCCGAGACATACAAGCGCATACTCCCGACTGACGACTTTAGGTCCGACGTTAGTCTCACTCCTAGGAGCCAGGCCCCATCCTCCGGGTCCGAATGCCTTGTTCAACACTCGTCGATATTTGATTTCAGGCAAATACAGCAGACCATCTATGATATCAATACGTCAGTCAAGAAAACTCCTCGACTGTCTATGAGCGTGGCATGCTCACCAGGCTTGATCTCAACATCCAAAGGATCAATCGGTGCAAGCAACACATCTACGACCTCTTTCGGGAATGCCTGTTGTGACAATCCGCTATAACTCTTAGACCAATCTGTCGCTCCTGGCTCGGTAGGAGCTCCAAACACATCCGCCGCTAATGGTGGCACAGTACCATTACCATTACCATTGGTAGTGGCGGCTTCGACTTCGGATTGGGAGGCAGGTGCTTCAGAAGAAGATATTTCCGCAAGAGCTTCTTCGGCTAAGTCAGCTGAAGTACTTGCGAACGCTGAAGCAGTTTTAGGCAGTCGGGCTGCGGCTGGGCGAGATGGAGGTTTAAGAGTCCGTGAGGCTAGTGTGACATTTCTGCAACCGCTTGAAGCGAAGCCTCGCTTGCTGGCCGAGAGAAAGCTTCTCGACAGCGCTACGTTCATCTTCTGAGCCTCTAAGCTGTAGAAGACGATGGAGAGAGGACGTGAAGAAAGATGACGGTCAACCGATGGAAAAGGGCAGGCAGGGGCGCCAAACCGGAAGGGGTGATGTTACGCGTCGCGTCGCGCTTGTGACCCTGGGCTTGTAACGTTTTGGTCACCGTAATCTAGTAGGCGAACGTGACAGGACCCTCATGCAGGACTTCAATGAGCCTTGAATGAGGTGAGCAGTTGTGTCGAATCTATGAACAAAACTGAGCCGAATTTTAGGATATCAAGTTTATCTAGGATACCTGTTTGGACTAGCTATCGTGGAGTTGCCTCAAAAAGACATGGCAAACCCAAGCTCATCCAGAGCACCTACGCCATCTCAGCGACCTAGTTCGGGACTTTCTACGCGACCTTCATCTAGCGCATCTACACAACCACCATCAATTTCCTCCATGGCTCGAAGACCATCAACAAGTGCCTCTGTCCGACCACCCTCAGTTGCATCGTCTATCCGACCCTCTACTAGTACTGGTATGCGACCGTCTTCAAGTGCTTCATCAGTGAGGCCAGCTACGAGTGCCTCTATTCGACCAAGCTCTCGTGCCACAACAGCGAGCGGGTCTTCTCGGCTTACACGTAGACCATCTTCGCGACAAATCTCCCGCCTGACTCCCTTATATCAATCGTTGGTATCTCAAGTCACCGGTGTGACTGCGGAAGAAGATGAAGAAGGCTTTCGGTCTGCTGTGGAATATATATCCAAGAGTTTGGATCAGACAGTCAAACCTTCTGGTACCTCTGATTTGACTAATATTGATAAGCATATTCGAGGGTGCGTTGGTATACTTTGAGTAATGATTGCATCTAAGTGTGATATATAGGCTATCGCAGAAAGCGAGAATTTTATCTCAGGATGAGTTGGCGGAGGCACTAGATTCTGCATATTCGCGGTTGAAGACGTGTATACAAGAACAAACGAGCGATCTAGATGCTGAAATACATGTAAATGAGAACGTACTGCGCTGCTTCAGAGAATTATTGACCTAGAGTCTACTCTACAGACCTCTCGGTTGTCACATCATTTACAATTCCTCGTAAGTTGTTAACCTTACGGCAATGACTCACTATCCCGACTCAATTCAGTGTAGCTTGCCTTATCCCGTCCTCCCGACTTTTCAACCCTAGCATACGCTGAGAACTATCTTGAGCTCCAACGCAACCCACCCAAATCGGATGCAGGCCTCACATGGAAAGACATCCTAGCCGAAGAACCTTTCGAAGGTCAACATTGGCAAGGCGCATATGGCCTTCCACCAGGAAGTACAGTAGAAAATTGGGAAGATGAAGAGAGTGACTCGAGTCTACTGTCACTTTCTGCCCTTGACGATCTGGATGATTTGGACGACGAAATTTCGTCTTCGGAAGTTGAGGATCGAGATGTGGGGACACACGAGAGAAGGGAGGAACCGCAATTTAAACCGAGTTGGGATCATCTGGATATTGTGGAAGCATTGCAAGCTAGGCAGTATTGGAGACCTGAGTGGCAGCTGAACGTACCTACGGATCGGCCTTTCGACTTTGGAGACCCTTCTACGTTGGGTACGTTGAATAGCGAAGTATGAGAGTCTTTGAACTTATCGACAAATCCAGGTCCCGCGTTTCGTCGTGCTTTGAGCGCGCAGAAGGATCATGTTGTGGGCGAATTGGCTCAAGAGGTAAGATCATTTTTTTATGTTGATCTCGATCTCATTCTAAGGCTTTCGTTGTAGAAGTACATCAATGACCATGACGCTATGCGAGAAATCCTCATGGGCCTCCAAGGGAGGAGAAATCTCATGATCTCCTGGACAAGTATTGGGAACGAACCATTCACGTTTCAGGCGAGTCCCAAATGTTCCGATACAATGCATGTTTTGTTGCCTAATCTCATTTCATACGTCGGTAGCCAGCAAAGGATGCACCAAGATTATTACACCTCACCTCCGGATCACTAGACTCCTTGCTAGCTTCGTACGCGCAAACAGCCACAACTGTAGAGCATCTACGCAAATTTGTTTCGGCCATATTTGCCAAAGCTTCCAAGCCCGAATCCTCCAACGGAGAAACTCCTTCTCTCTCGCCCTTCCATCGTAGGAGCACTCGCACTCTTGAAGCTCTATCCGAGTCCATTGATGCGCAGATACGAGCATTTGATACCTGGTGTGCAGCGAAAGAGGAAGCCATTTGCAGAGCTCAAGCGGGGATTGGTCCTCCTCTGGTGATCAGCATGCTTGCTCTCGAAGTAGAGATTCGTGACAAATTCTCTTCCATCTTTTCTGTGCTTGTGCGGATACTTTCACAAGTTGTTCAACGAGCTACACGTTCACAAGAACCTATCACTGAGGTTTGGACTTTGCCCGATCTTCCTCTGCGTATGTCACCTTCGGCATTGACGTCCCTTCTATTGGATTCGCTATTGCTTGCAGTACAAGAATCTTCCACGATGGCTGACGACACCACTACTCAGGCCCTTTTACGCATATTCTGCGACTCTGCGGAACCTATCTGGACGATGGTCGGACGATGGCTACGTGACGGTATGCCTGTACGTGAAGTCATGGGTGCCTCAGAACAGTATCTTCAAACTGTCGATGAAGAGTTCTTCATCGAAGATAACGAACTGGTCTTGCTGGATCCTGACTTCTGGTCCGACGGCTTCGTTCTGCGCAACAATGGACAAGAAGATAATGGAAGGTCCATGGCAGTTCCCTTGTTCCTAAGCCACGCTTCTGATCACATTCTCGGCGCTGGCAAAGCCATTGGCCTCCTTCGGGCACTTGGAATGTCTTCTGTCTTTGAACGGGAGGGTGGAGAGAGATGGTTGTCCAAGTGGCCATCTTTCACGAGTCTACTAGGCGGTTATAACGGCTTAGCGTTGGACTCTCAAGCTGCTGGCACCGTCAAGGTCCATATATCGACGGATGATTTCTCCCGATTGGTTTATGATGAACTGCTCGTTCCATGTATGAGGGCCAAAGAGATGCTGACCAAGATCCTGGTGGAGGATTGTGAACTGTGGTTGCACCTAACGGCCATGGAGGATTTGTATCTTATGCGAAGGGGAGATGCTATGTCAAATTTTGTGGACATTCTCTTTGCAAGGGTATGCTCCAACCTAACTCGCTTTACTTTGAATATACTTATCCAACCGGCGTAGATGGATACCAGCCAGCCTTGGAATGACTTCCACTTTCTCAATAGCGCATTCCGAGATGTTGTCGAAGCAGGACGCACGCCCTGGATAGACCCTTCCCTCGTTCGGTTTTCTCACCGAGGAGGCAGAGACAAAATAATCTCTCGCACAGTGCGAGCTATTGATGGCCTATCGGTGGAATACGCGGTTCCATTTCCCTTGACATATATGTTTGGTCCTCGGATACTACAAGTCTATTCCTCGATATTTGCCTTCGTTCTGCAGATACGACGGGCCCAGAATGCCTTGCAGCGAATATTGCTACGAAATGCTGTAGTGAATATGGCACATGTTGGAAGTGAATTGAAGGTGTTCTATGCGATGCGAGGGAAACTCTCATGGTTTGTCAAGTATGTGCTTGTATTTCGTCCACAGGTTTCCTGTTAATAACATGGTTTGCAGCGCATTACTCAATTTCATCTGCACAAATGTATGTAGACGCTCTGCGCATTGGATTATATCCTTAGCTGAAAATCATTGACAGGTCCTACACGCGCAATTACTTAATTTCAACGCGGACCTGAAGAAGGCGAATTCCCTGGATGAGATGATTGCGGTACATGATACCCAGTGAGTCGGCTCATCCGGTCAGCATTCAGTGATAACTCATTGCGTTGATAGTATCACAAAACTTGAGGGACGCTGTTTACTGCAACGTAATGTTTGTCAAAAGATTCCTACCTATCATTCGTGCGTCTCCTGACTCAACGATCCTAGACATCCGCATTGCATCGCGCTGTCATATCCATTCTGGATATGTGTCTCCATTTCAGTGATTGCTTCGTGGCGTTTGCAGGCGACACCACTCATGACATCTCTCGTCAATCGCTCATTCTGATGAAGCGTCATCGAAGTCGCCGTCTGAAACGACAACGCAAGGACGTCATCGGGTTCTCTCAATCTATTCGTGAAGTCGAGGAGAACTCTGATTCTGACTCTGATCAAGAAGAGTTTTCAATTGACGGCGGTGGACCTGAACCATCATTTTCACTAGCTATTTCAACTGTGTCTTTCGCAGAGGAAAGCTTTGATGTGAGGCTAGAGAAGATGTCGAGTGAACTGGATGCATTAGTGAGGTTCATCAGACGAGGCGTTGAGAGCCTTGCTGGAGGTACTGGGGAGGCTGCGTCAGCGTTCGGAGTGTTCGCATTTGCTTTAGAGGACTGGGATCGCTAGCGCAGTTCTTTCTGTGTGGCGTATGTATGACATATATCTTATATTTCCAGATAACCTAACAGTTTACATATTTACGTATACAAAGAATATAGGTCGGTGGCAAAAAAACTGGAGGAACTATGGTATTCTTAGAGAGAAGTCATAAGGGGCACGGGAAATACTATACGATCAATTCCGTCCGCTGCGATCCACCCTGCGATTGATCCCGCCCAAAAGCGACTTGACGATAGTGTCCGACGTCAAATATCCCTTTGTGGAATTACAACTTGTCGTGTCGACCATGTCCCTAATCTTGTATGTCTGAGCAAGGCTGTCATCCAATTTAGCAAGGTATGTAGCTGCGCTGTTGCTATTCCCAATTTGTATCAACTGGACTCCAATCTAGTATGGTCGTAAGCAGTGGCATGGGAGAGAACCTGCAGGAGGACACTGACCTGGTCAAGGGGATAGTCGTATTGGTCCAGTTTCTGAGCATAGTACACAATGACATCTTCGGGTGCGTCAGCTATAAGTCAAAGTATGTAGGTTAGATCGATAAGAATTGACGTCTCTAGAGAGCTTACTAGGGCATCCGTCCGTAATGACAATATAGTTCATGGGCTTGATGTAGTCAATCAAATCTCTTTTAGACTTGCCTGCCTCTGCTCGTGCCTTTTCCAGGTCATTCCAATATGCACGTATGAGGTCATTGAGTCTGGCTCCAATTGGGGTACTTCCGGAGAGGCCAACGCCCATAAAACACTGTTCTACAGCCCGCGCACTCTGTAAAGAGGTGTAAGATTCCACACAAACAGGCTATTGTACACGAGAACAATACCTTCAAATTCTTGCCTGTCTTCCTACAATTGAGGAAATGTATATCAATGCCGTCCTTATCGTACTTCACTGCGACATCAGCTAATTTCGAAAGAGCATGCTTTGCCTGGAGTCGATAATGTTAGAAGCATGATATGTGCAAGATATTTAGTACGACCTCGCCCCAGCGGTTCCCGCAACCCATGGACGTAGAATCATCGAGAAGGATGACAGTATCATACCTCCTCAGAGTTGCCAGTTCGTCTTCCGTTATTTCCTGAGCACCGCTAGCATTGGAGCCAGAAGCTCTATCAGCGGCGATGTTCACATATGTGGCGGAGGAATCGCCCATTCCATCTGGGCCAAATTTCAGGGGACGGCAGTATGATGTAAAATCTGGACGACGGAAATTATCGATTTCCGGCCTACGAGTAGAAGGAGCTGGTGGCGAAATAGGGTCAACGAGAGCTTTCTCTTCGCAGGCAGATAAATACGATGGAGGGGCGGAAGTTTCGCACTCATGATGAGTGGATTGAGCGGAAGTGCGGCCTCTCGAGCGTCGCAGGAGCTGTAATATGCCAGACATGATGACGAAGATAAGGAACTATTGTGTAGCAGAGTTACTGGTTTGTGGTTGTCAGGTTCTGATCCATTTTATCCTGTGGCAGCCTGAGCGCCCGGCCATTGTCTAGTCATCCATTTGTTCTACGGTAATTGTCTGCAGTGTCAATCTCTGACGGAAATCGATTTCCAGGAAGAAGGGCCATGGATGGACCTTGGACACGGTAGCCTGTGTTGATATCGGACGAAGTAAGTACGGCAAGATGACATACGGGCCTTAAAACTCGATTAGTGAGAGTTTAAACAGATTACAAAACCCAAAGATATTCTAAGGCACGTTGAACATACATGCATAACATTGAATGCTGTTGCAATATTGACCTGTCAACATGGACTGTGGCGAACTTGGACGTTAGACGTTGGGCACTCTGTATACTTACATCATGTAATCAGATGTCATCGATACCATTTCTAGACGCTTAAGAATAACAGCTAAGTTCCAGGAAACCATGCACTTCTATACATCCAGCTGCTCGCACAGTTCGCGATTATTTCTCTGCTAGTGCGCCCTGATTTGCGAGTTTCTTGTTGGGTAGCAGGCATCAGTAACCACCCGAATCTCACTAGCTAGTCCTCTATTCAAGCCATACCCTTGTGGCTGTAAGGGTCCGCAAAGGTGCCTTTCGGTTCGTGCCGTGGGCACTGATTTATTCACTGCAATCTGATTATTCGATTGTGGGGCGAAGGTCCCAGAAAAACATGCTACTTGAATAGCTCCTGTGGACATGGCCGGCTGTGAGAAACCGGTGTAAGAAGCCAACAGCATGTTGCTAGTAGAGGCTGAAAGCGCTAAGGCTGAGATTCTTAAGTTGGTACGAGTAGGAACCAGTGCACTCATGAGAATTGAAGTTTACCGCCCCAGCATCGTTCAACATGGCTTATTTCAGTAAGTAGGGTGTCGCAAACTATAATTTGTGTCAACTTGAAATTTGTGCGTGGAGGCCAAGAAACTAGTTGAACATATGTTGAGTCCTGCAATTTTTCAGTGGCCCTTTGAGAGAAAAGTACCATCTCCCTTAGTTCCAGTTCGCCGGGAGACACCCTAGCTCGGTTTGCGACTACTAGTAAATTAGACCTTCACCCCGGAGTCCCATTCTAACTCATAAATACAAGCGCCGCCCTCCCCCCCTGGATCGGTCTTGTGTTCCTCGCCATGGTGGGAGGCTGCATATTCTTGGGAAAAGAATAGTAACCAGGGGCCAGAAAACAAAAGAGGAAGAAACGGAAACCGTGTTCGAATGCGGCCTTGCATGGATATACGATAGTGATAATCGAGCTAGGTGAGTGTTAAATGGAATTTCTTGGGCGAGCCCGTAGCCACGCATACATACAGGTCAATTGTACACAACTGAAGCACGTTACTACCGTTACATACAATACTTCCACGCCCTGCACGGCCACATATCATACAAGGGCATATGGATTTGGACGATCAGCCAGCCTTGGAAACACATTCGTGTTGGCCAACACAACCATCTGCTTTTCGTGCGAAATATAACCTCGCATGTACCCTCGGTATATCATATTTGCGACCATGCACTCGGCCTCTTCGATCGATACGTCCAAGCCAGCAATGTGAAGTGCGGTGTGAAACATAGACACAGGTATACGAGTTGCTTTGTCGGAAGCTGTCCATCTGTCATGAAGGGAAAAGGTTAGACCAACGTGGAGTGTATAAAAGACCAAAAATGTAACAAAAAGAATTGGAAGAGCGCAGGAAACCATCTTAACAAGACAACGAGAACACTCACACTCTTCGGAACAGCCCACGGATACAGAGTTCCCTCGCTCTCTCCATAGTCAGCCACAGATTCAGCTCCGCCAATCTTCGTTCAAATCGGTCTAGCGTTTCATCGTACGCTCGAATATCTCCCTTACGGATTGCGGCTATGAATGGTGAATATAGGTCATCTAGCGCAGGAAATCGGTCTAGCAGTTCTCGAGAGGGAAGATGACCACGAAGAACTCGAAGAGGAATCAGATATGTCAGTATTCGTCTGGAAAATGGTCAGTGGTAGTACGTCAGGTCAATACGAACTGTGGCGTACACTTGGTTGGCATGGGCACCAATGTGACAATTATAAAAGGCGAGTGTGAGTTCTTGTTCAGCCTGTTCGCGTTTGTGGGTCAGGAGAGGGTCCATTGATAGAATCAGTGATGTCACACACTTTTGAGAAGTCTTCGCTCAAGAAGTTAAGCATGCCTAAGTAATATCTATAAGTTACCTGATTTATTGAGGTTAGTCTACACATCTTTGAAAGGTCTGAAGGCTCTTACTTGATGTGATCGGGGGTATGCGGATAATGGCGGAATATCAGGAGTGGCGTCGATGGCACGGACTATATTTTTGGACAGAGATATTCGTTTCACCTAATCGTGCTATCAACATGAGGATAAAAACATCAGGGACTCTACTCCAACAAAGGATACTTACACGGAAGTACGATTTCAGCACCAGTCCGACAACGTAGTAAATGCCCCACCGCCGTGATTCTGCGTACGGTGATGACCTGTCGGTGATGCAATTTGAGAAAGCTTTGCTGATGATCCGTGCAGCTTCCTCCATGTTAGCAGTGTCTCCTTGACCTTTGTGGCGTGCTTCAAGGTCAGCCTACAATAACTCAGGTTACAACGATGCATTGAGAGAGGGAATGAGGAAGAACCCACGTCAAACGCCAGGTCCCTCAAGTCGCGAAGAATCGAGAATAGCGCAGGTAGTGTCCAGCCGCTGTTTTGTGTGAAGTACCGGAAGAACAGGCTTAAAGATGGACAGTTTAAATCAAGATGAGCTAGGGAACGTAGAAAATAGCCTCACACCTGACTAGTTGACATTCCTCTTTGAACGCCTCAATGGCCCGCCGTTTTGCACAATGATTTACAACCAAGACGTATTGGATAGCGATCTCGTCCCAAGGGCTTTCCATGCTGCCCTCATACATGGACAATGATTGTTTCTAAACAGAGGTCAAGCTACATTCCATCAGTCTCTTTCATTTTGCGTACAGTTGGATTCCGGAACTCCTTCACGAGTGACTTCCCATGTTCCTCCACGGGTTTAAGTAAGCCTGCAAGTTTCGGTCCATTTTCTGTTCGGAGGGCATCCGCTATTTCAAGTAAGAACTGCGTAAAGTTCATCTGTGGCATCCTGCTATGTGTTCTACGTCAATAGTTGAGTCCCGAGAGAGATATCTAGAAAACAAGATGGTGGTCGAAGACAAGAGTATGGGTCACGGGACGAACGCGTCTACGCGTTCTGACGTCGTCGCCATCCCGATCCTCATCCAGTTCGCCTAAGTTGACTCCAAATTCAGCGGTTTAGAACGTGCATTTCTCACCAAACGCTGCGTTTACTCCAACCTACCAAGCATATCTGGATTATACACAGGTGAGCGACCGGCGGGGATGGCAAGAGTGAGATTGCGTTCGTCAATCCTTGCGATTCTTCGCGTTATCTGGGCAGATATAGCGCAATAGGAGCCTGAATGCTAAATAACAACCAGGGACGCTTGTCTTCGAAGCTATCTAACTCATTCAACATCTTCCCACAGGCACTTGAACTTGCACGACATCAATTATGGCTCTCCAACCAAGCCTTCGCCGTGCCCTTGTCATTGCAGGTTCCTATGATGCACCTCACACCCTTGACATCTTCCGTGAGTTATTCAGCCAAACGGTATCGTTAAGTAGTATCTTAAAGTATCGGTATCAGTGGACTATGTCTGCCCATTTAGTGCTAAACTCTCTTTGACAATCGAGTCTGTCCTCAGGCCGTTCTTCGACAAAGGCGGGAAGTATGAGGGCAAAGTGAAAGTCATCTTCAGGAACCAAGTACAACCTTGGCACGCCAGTTCCACTTGGGTGCATGAGGCAGGCCTTGCGGTAAGTTGCAAGCTCATCTCGCAGTCAAGATGCGCAGTCTCGATGAACTGACGGGGTATATGCGCTTTTCTAGGTGGCCCGTGTATCCCCCGAGAACTTCTGGGCTTTCTCGCTTGCGGTACGTTCATTCCGTACTAAATTAATCATGTTGTTTCTAATCCTTTTCCTGACAGTTGTTCAAACGCCAAGGCGAATTCTTCGACATCCCTACCTCGACTCTCACGCCTACCCAAGTTCGCCAGAAACTTGCAGCTCTCTCCGCCGAGGTGATCGGAGCTAATAGCAAGGATGCAGTTCTGGATTTAATCACCCTCAAGACGAGCCCTAACGGTGGTGTGGATGTTACGGATGATTTGAAGTATACCAGTATGTCTCCGGGAGCCAATGATGTTGGAGGGAGTACGACTGATGTGCTGCCTTGTAGTCAAATTCAGCAGGCAAAATGGTATCCACGTTTCCCCGACCGTCTTATGGGATGGTTTGGTTGCCAACGAGATCAGCAGCTCTTGGGGAGAGAAAGAGTGGACTGAGTTCTTGGAAAAGAAAGTCCTCGTCTAATATTCAAAGTCTTCAAATCGCGCCCTCCCCAGCACGAGATATTCATCGCCACGGACGTTATGTTGTAAGGTAGCCTATGTAGGACCAGCAGAGGGCATGGAAATTGTACCATATAGACATTCAAGTTGAGACAACGTCCCTTCATAAAACCCTCTGAAACTTCAAGCGCAAGGGACTGGCGTTGGTCCAGAGAACGATCTAATAAGATTCTAAGTAATCCAACCTGTACACGTACATAGTCCAAATAACACAAGCATCTAGAACGGCAATATAGGAATGGTATATGACAATCCCGTAATAAAGGAGCGTGAAGGTGGAGATCAGAGTCCTGACTCCGAGGGTAGCGTTGTCTACATACAATCAGGTATGGAATTGAGCCTTGTCGTAGCGTAATATGGAGCATAGCAATAGGGGATATAGAATGAGTGACTCGGGGCCGGAGGCATGTGTGGGAGACAACATGGAGAGGCGTAACGATGAAGGGTTAGTAGGCATCATACTTGACGGATATTCTCATTGTTTTGAATGTACCCATCACGATTCCAAGGTTGGTCTGCCTTAACAGCAGCAGACCGTTTTAAAGCCCATTTCCGAACAAACCAAGCAGCAACGGCAATTCCGGCGACGCCTAGGATGACTCCAATAGCAATACCAGCCTTGGCACCTCCAGACAAGCCACCACCACCATTATTAGATTGGGCTTCGCCACCTCCACCTCCGCCTCCGCCTTGGCCGGGTTCGGGGTTCCCACCGAATGGCCAGAAGTCACCACCATCCGGTGGTAAGATGCAAGTCAAACCGTCTCCATCCGGAATGGATTGGAAATCTAGTTGAGTGGTAGACGCGGTGGTTAAATTAAGATCGATGACAAAGGGTGCAGGTGAAGGGGTGATATCGGTGTTCGAACAATTTGGTCCTCTCGACCCGATGAAAGAGGTGTTACCGAATAGAGCGTTGTTCTCGACGGTGAAGTTTCGGGCTGAAGACATGGCGATACCATAACCGAACGCGCCTGTGAGCTGATTGTTCATAACTGTACCAGACGTGCTGACGTTACCACCGTAGCGGTCACCGAACCAAGTGCGAGGGCCAATAGCAATGCCAATCCTACGTATCGCATTAGCACTCTAGACTAAAGCAAGTTAGACAGTAACTTACTTGATGATAACATCTTCATTGTTGTTTCCTTTCGTATCGCCAGGTTCTGCTTCGTCGGTCGCAAAACCGCCCATAATGATGTTATCACGGACAATGGTACCTGTGTAATCACCATCAAAGGGCAGATAGTCAACCAGGTTGATACCACCGAGGAGAGTGTTCTAACATTGGACACGTCAATTTTAGTTCCGGATCTATCATAAGAGTAAAAACAAAAATAGATACGTACGGTCTCAACGAAGATGGTATTGTTCTCAACCAGTGTACCAGGCGAACCAAAGAGAACGATACCGCCGTCCTAGGACGACTATGTCAGACAGAAGATCGACATCTGCAAATTGAGAAGTATATTACCGTCGGGTTGCTGATTGTATTGTTGCGGACCAGGCTGTTGCGACAACTTACGCTGATACCATCCGCCCATTCTTGGAACGTGTCAGAACCGCAAGGGCCAATATCATTGTGCTGGACGGTAGCATTATTGCAGGTCAAAGGTCCCTCAGCAATGTGCAAGCAACTCCAGCTCCTAGGGTCGAATGAATGCACATATTCAATTAATTGGTCAGAGTTTCCGCCGCCCATTTCGATATTGGCGCCGCCATTAGTCGGACTTGCACCCTGACGTGTGCCATTGATCTGAAGAAAACACGGGAAGCCAAGTAGCGCTTAGTGTCAACGTTGTGAGACAAGGGGAAGAAGGGTGGGCGAGGCCAAGACCACCTTAGATCCCCACATACCTGAATGTTGCGAAGCTTCACACCGCTGCAAGTTTGGCATGTTCCGTCAATGGCAGTAGTATGTCCTGATCCCAATGCGACAGGACCATTTACGACAAGTGTTGCCCTGTCATCTCCAGTTGGGTAGCCTGCGGTACTGATTTCTTGATCGGGTGCGGCAAATACAATGGGGGCTTGGATGTAGTATTGTACACTGGGGCAAAGAGGGAGTGTATAGCCTGGTCCTGAGCTGTTGAGAAGGGTGTTTAGGCGGTCGGTAAGTGTGTTGAGAGGATCGGCGGGCTCGCAATCGTCGCGTGCATGCAAATCCGAAGTGGCTCTAGTCGGCGGTTTCAAGTCTTAGCAACGGTCCACAAAGTCAGACAACGGAATAATCACCTAGAGAACAGAGAATTTCCTCGAGCGTGTCTCCTGTGTTGGAATACCATGTTATCTACGCCTGAATGGATAGGGTAGCGCAAAGGAAGGAAGAAAGGATTGTGGGTGGTATTCGGACGAGCCTCGAGTCAAATCAACAAGTAGAATTCGAGAAAACGGTAGTCCTTGACCGTGCCGAGCAACCTATCGTGGTGGGAAGAAATGAAAAGACCACAGGCCAGAGCTCTCTAAACGCACTGCGACAGAGGGACACATGCAGGTGTTGACCAGAAAGCGTAAGGCCCAAATCTAAGTCTGCCTCCCAGCCGCCGCTTTCCCAGCACGTGTGGCTCGCGTAGATACCGCTCTCTATGTCCTCATCCCTGTGCCTGCACAGCGCAAATCAAGTTCAACAAGGCTGATCATCAGACAGACATGTTTACTAAAGCCAAAGATAGCGTATAGATTCGACGGGTTACAATACACAACTGTTGTTAATCATAAGGAGAATACAGAATTCGGAACGGTCCCAAGGAAATTATGAATCCAAGCCAGCGAGGAGGTAGAGGGGACATTGCACCATCTGGAGAAGCGGAAGGAACGTGCGAAGATTGCCTGGAGGAAGGAATCGGTTCTCTTACCCTACCACGTCCCCTGTGCAAAGTGAAACCCTCGACGACCGACTATGCTGTACAAAAAGGGTAATCTAAACCAAGGTCAATGATTTTCAAGTTCAAACATTCCTGGTGGGCCAATGCGGAACACTTCTCTAGGATTCTTCGGGTTATCGAAAGGAGGGAGCCTCTATGTCGGAGTTTGCACGTTGCCATACAGAGGTGAAGGGATATAGGTTGGCCTAATGTCATGACACGGCAGCGCTAGTGGCAACGGCAACGTTTTCACCGAAGGGTAGCTGCGGAGACTTGATATGCGAAGGATCCTTGACGGCAGGACTGTAGACGGCAGAGGTACTTGAAGCAAATTCCAGCCCAGGCACCGAGTTGTTGGACGGTGTGACACCATTTTGGGTAATCTTGAGCTGAGCAGTGGTTGATACAGAATCAGACGTGACAGCATGCGATGCCCTGTATACGACACGCAGAAACATGGAAGTTTAGCCACACAACAAGGAAAAGCCAAGCAACTGACCGTCGTCTCTTGCTCGGCACATCTGGCGAAGTATTACTCGATTTGCCAGAACCCTTTTCACAATATATTGCATGAGATACCTGGAACCGATATGAAGAACGCGAGGCAGCATGATAACACACCTTCCCTGTCTTGGGACGCTTCTGCGCACTTCGAGGTTGTCGTTCACCCTCATCGAAGACGTAATCAGGAAGTGTCGAGCTTGCAAGGGGGGAAAAATAAGCGAATAAGGTCCTGGCACAAAGTCACGAATTCGTACCTCCTGATGTGCCGTACGACGATGCCCATTGTAGCTTCATCGTACTTTTCCCACATCTTGACGAGTTTGGTGAACTCAGTAGTAGGGTAAGATATATCGAGTTTGCGAGGCCCAACAGTACCAGCTTGAAAAGGTCATCAAGTAAGCGCATCGTTCACATACCATATGGAATTTGAACGTTGATAACAAGACGCACGTTGCTTCGGCTCAATGGCAAGGCCGATGAAAAATGTTGTGGAGTATACCGTGCTTGCACCCTCCTTGCCTTCAATATCTTCCTTCTTTCGCTTCGCGATGGCTTCCGAAATGTCACCTTGGGCGACTGCGCGCACCTCGTCGCCGTTGAGGCAGTATGAGACCTGCTCGAAGCCCTTGATAAATGGGTGCGCTAGAATGAGCGAGTCAACATATTCTAGTTTCATGACCAATTGCCGTATTCGAGATTCTACTGTTCCCGACCTGGAAACTGAGGATTAACAATTACCACAAAATATAGCGGCCGAAAAAGCTCATGCCATTTAATTTGTAAATCTGGACTTCCTGTTGAAGCTATGACTTGCAGATAATAGCGGTATTTGTGGAAGAAATCATGCTTGGTGAAGAGTTCAGACCATTCGGCTGTCCCTACGATTACCCTGTCAACAATTTCGGAACCTGGCCAAAGATTAGAAACATGTTCTGCCTCCACGGGATGCAAGTCACACCTTTCTTGAATTCTTCTGTCATAATCATCTGTGTTGAGGCGGTAACGTTGTGGGTGGCGCACATTGATGGGTAGGCAGGGGTAATTATAGGCATTCGATGCGATCTATCTGCAGGATATAGCTGGACATCGTGTCAGATAGTGCGATGGCACCGGACAATGAGTGGACCAACCTTGGGATTCCAGACTCGGACAGCCAAAGGTCCATCCTCAATCTGTTTCAGTAAGACGGGCTGTGGCCAAGTCCTTTCAAGCCATATTAAGTCTAAGTTACAGAGTGACAGGAATGAAGAGCGCACAAACCATTGATACATGATAATGAAGAAGCGGCTGACAATTGCACCAGCAATTGCATTGGGGTACAGCTGACATATTCGAGCGACTAGCATGGCCCATGCGACACCCCCAAGGAAACCGTTAACATTAGAGTAGATGGCTCGCCCTATGCGCACCAAAATAATTAGCTCATCCCAATTACAATTGAACATTTGTCTTACTCTGAGCCCATAGTTTGATACATCGCAGAGAATCTCGGAAGACTTCAACGTTCGGCACAAGACGCAAAATCTCATCGACAACCCGAGAACCTGTTGGAAAACTTGAGTAACGCGATGATGAGAAGTAGCTGTCTTTGTTGTACCATTCAAACTTCGAATGCATCGTTCGTCTAGATTTCGCAAAAGGTTGTCATCTTGCAGACTCAGGTCATCCGGTATTGACGACAACGCTAACCGCGCCATGAGGAGATCAATAGGAATGCCTTGAATTTTGATCTTGATGATGGGCACATATGCTTCAGGTACACCCTATAGAAGAACGTTAAGAACGTCGAAGGTATTGAAGCCGAGGCAGGATAAGAGCTTAGTCAACCGAGGACTTACCGAAACTTCAGTCACACCATCAGTCTCCTTCAGGATTTGTTCGAAGACGTCGAAAAAGTCTTCACGGGACACATGTTTCGGCACAACACATAGCGTATCAATATCGGACCCAGGTCCATGCACACCAAGGCGATATGAACCGAAAGTGAAGATCTTGCCACCGGCGGCGTCTGCAGCCGCTTCAGACAATCCATGAGCCAGCGAGACTTTGCGGACGAATTTCTTTACAATAGCGGCCAGACGTCCAAGCACGATTTCCCTGGAATTACGTTATGGTTATTCAAGCCTATAAACAGCCGGCCGAATCACACAGGATCGATGTTAAGGGAGCCGGGTTATTCTGATAACAATGCTCTTGTCATGCAAGTGGCAGCGCGCAGGAAGGAGCTGGCTGAATCATCCCGGTCCTGAGAAACTGGTGACGGAACATGACGACCCTCGAAGACTCGCTGTCGACTGTGAAACTGACCAAAGACGAAAAACTTACCTAGTCCTGGCCTCTTCCTCGCTTTCGAAAACGCCCTGCCTATGCAGCTCTTCCATAAGGCTTACGGTGACTTCCTTTTCTCGTTCTGTTGATTCATTTACTGAGATTGGCGGCGTGACGCCCAGATATCTAGTAAATAATGAGCATTAGACCGTAACGCATGGCATAGTATGCTGTCGTACCCGTTTGTTGCGGCCATAAGTGGAAGCGGTGTGGATGAGGGAGGGGGACAATGGCGGTAAGAATCGAAGAGAGGAATGCTCAAGAGGACGCTTGCAAGTGGACACTGTGACCGCACTCGGAAATTGCCGTCCCATGGTTGTCCGGTTTGAACAAGTGAAGGTCCACCCATTTGTCTCATGCTGCGAGTAGGGCAATGCCTCTTGCCTCTCAGCCGTAGTTACTGTCGCTGTGTTCACACAACCAGGTTGGTGAAGGAAGATCCAAGATGGCCAGGATGGAACGTAGTTGTCGGGATTGAAGTCCATGCACAAATCAAGTCCAGACAGAAGCTGTTCTCGCGTCAGTATCTTTTGTAGAATCGTGGTGACCAATCGAGTATTGACATAATTCTAAGATGCACTAACGTCCGATTTAAGTGAACCTCCAAATACCCATGTGGTGTCCTTCGATGCGGCCTTTCCGGGTACCCTTCCGGTGGGGACTCTCTTCGACTTTAGTCGCGCTTTTCACTGATGAATCCTTTGCAGAGATTGAATCCGAAATGTGTCGAGCTGGGCGTAAGGACAGCCATTGCGCTGAACTGTCAAGTGCAGCGCCGGTCTGCATTCGACCGGAAACATTATTTCTATCCAGACTTGCCTTCTGGATACCAGATCACCCAACATTATGGTAGGTCGGTCGACCTGCACATCACTTAAAGATGCTGACAATTGTTGTAAGCTCCTCTTGCCACTGACGGTACGCTTCGTCTGAGCGAAGAAGATGCTGTGGTACGCATCAAGCAAATCCAGCTCGAACAGGTATCCATCCAACGCCGCTACAGCTTCTCAAGGATTTCATAGCTTAACTGTCCACCAGGATACTGGTAAAACTACGTTCGACCCCCGTAGACGGATTTCCACTATTGATCTGAACAGAGCGGGTACTGGTTTGATGGAAATCGTATCAGAGCCAGACCTTCGGTGTGTGGTACTCCTCTTGGAGGCCTTCATCTTACCGACCTTGTTGTGATCAGGTCGCCAGAAGAGGCAGGTGAATATGTCAGAGCCCTTCAAGCACTTCTGCGCTCTGTGGGCTCCAGTGACGGTAACATGGAACAGGTGAGACGATTCTTGCAGCCTTTAACTGCGACTGATGTTTTGCAGGGCTCTTTGCGCTGCGACGTCAACGTGTCGGTGAACAGGCAGCACGAGTCACTAGGTACTCGCTGCGAAATCAAGAACCTGAACAGTGTGAAATTCATGATGGTTGCGATCAGTGCGTCTCGTGTTTCTGTGGCTAGACAAACCCTGACCATTATGATCATGTAGCGTGCGAGGCTTTCAGACAAATCGAACTACTAGAGAAAGGCCTTCCCGTCATTCAAGAAACTAGAGGTTTCGATGAAGCTAGTGCAGCGACGTTTTCACTCCGTAACAAAGAAGATGCCCCGGATTACAGATACATGCCCGATCCCAACCTGCCACCTTTACTGCTTGATCAGGTCCGTAATCCCTCATCCGAAGCCCACGCTTTCTGATATTGATCTAGACGTATATCAATACCATTCGCCAATCTATGCCCGAACTACCACAAGAAACACGATCCCGTCTTTTGGCTCAAGGACTCTCGGAACGAGATGCGGATGTTCTTATGGCAATAGACATGGGCAGGGAAGTTGGTTATGATGGTGTTCTTGGTCATGGTGCAGTGGCGTACTTCGATACCGTCTCACGTGGACGAGATCCCAAGGTAGTGGTAAATTGGTAAGTGCAATGCACTGCATTTTCCCTCGCTCTTCGTTCTAAGAGTCATACACAACATAGGATTACGCATGAATTACTTGGTCAGTTAGCTTTGCGAAAGGAGACTTTCAAGGAGAATCGATTCTCCACTGAACAGTTAGGCGAGTTGATTGATCTCGTACAAAGCAAGAGAATTACTGGTGCGTTTATCTGATGCTCATCAGCGTATTATCATACTGACCAGGATATGCTTACAGGGACGTCTGGTCGAATGCTTCTGCGACATATCTTGACTCACGGATCCTCCGAAATGCCATCCAAACTCGCTGAAAAGATGTCACTGTTCGTCTCTGCGTCTGACAGCACGTCCCTAGAAACGTGGTGCAAGGAAGTTATTGAAGCTCTTCCGGAGGAAGCTCAGGCTGTTCGCAATGGAAATATGAACGTCTTGAATAAGCTGGTGGGACGGGTGATGAAGACGAGTAAGGGTAGGGCTGATGCAAAGGCAGTCCGTAATGCTCTGCAAGATTTACTTTCAACAAAAATGTAATATACCACACTCTGTTTCTTAAATCTACACGCATTGTGACCTTTCTTATTTTACGCTGAAGATCGGCGCGGAGTCAAAGCGTCTACAGCGCAAATTAAGCAGGCGTCTTCGTTCGATCGTTACTTCACAAATTGCATCGAGCTAGCAAGCCCATGCTGCGTGCTTGTGTTTTCTCAACATGGCGCAGTCATAGCCGCAAGAGAGGTCTTTCGACGGCCGCAAACAATACTCTGAGTCCTCACCACTCCATTTATGTGTCAAATTCCAGTAATCCGTACTTCAACCTGTCCCTGGAGGATTGGTTCGTATTTTTCCGAAATAATATTACTGTAGACTGAATATACGTGTTACATGTAGGTTGTTTAGACATAAAAACCATAAGGAGCCCCTTCTCTTGATCTACAGAGATGTCCCTTGTGTTGTCATTGGTCGTAACCAAAACCCATGGAAGGAAGTAAACATGGTCGCATCCAGGACAACTGGCGTTCCATGGATACGTAGACGCAGCGGTGGCGGCACTGTATACCACGTATGTGCTCTTTCCTGTGTACAAAATCAAGGCACATGGTACTTAACGTGAGTGAGCTATCATAGGATCTAGGCAACACGAACTTCTCCATCCACCTACCGCGCTCGTCGTTCGACCGGCATGCCACTGCCCAAGTGGTCTTACGAGCTGTTCGCTCATTAGGCGTCGATGCAAATATTAATGATCGTAACGACATCTGTGTCGGGAAGGATAAGATATGTGAATCTATATTCTTTCTCGTGCATTGAGCTAACCTTCTCGGGCTGCATACGTCTCTGGCTCGGCGTACAAGATCGTGAACAACCGGGCATACCATCACGGAACCATGTTGATATCTACAAGACTAGACGTGCTAGGAGATCTGTTACGCTCTAACAAGGTAGCGTCTCCAGACGACTGATTGCATGGGTAACCCGACTGACTTGTAATAGCCTACAATGGAGACAAGGGGTGTAGCCTCCGTGCGTTCTCCTGTTTGCAATTTGCAACAGTATGAGCCCTCAGTCAGCCACGAAGGTTTTGTAGAAGCTGTCATAGACAGCTTCAGACAAGAGTACAATATTGAAGATTCAGTATGTTCCCTCTAGCTTCTACACTAGAGCTCGAATGCTCACGTGTGATCAGACACATACCGTTGAGGAGAACGTAAATACCCTAGGTATCGATTATATTCATAAAGGCATGGAAGAACTACCTGTAAGTCTTCGCTTGCAGTCTACTAAGCACAAACGCTCAAACACTAAATGCGCTGCGCTTCAGAGATGGGATTGGGCTTTCGGCCAAACTCCGGAATTTACTTACAACATTTCGCGGACGTTTGATTGGGGCACGGTGGTAAGCTTCAGTGCGACTCAGCACGACGAATACCGTGTTGATCTTCGCCCACAGACCGCACGGATACGCTCGAAGCATGGAATAATCTTAAATTGTTCCTTCGAATTGCCGGACGGACATCAGTCCATCTCTGATGACCTGGTGCAAGACCAATCGAGGCAACTAGAAGGACAAAGATATGGATTCCTTGATGAGACGAAGGAAGGAATCCAGAGAATGATGGAGGGACCTGGTGCAGAAATCTGGCAATGGCTGAAAATGGAGATGGATACTTGACCATGTAGACAGAGGATTGGTTATGATACCAGAGCTTAGATGATACACCACTAGAAGGCAAGATTGTAATAGCAGATGGTGCAAACTGGTTACGAGGTTTCTACTCTTTCCGTATACCATATACTGCTGGTCTCGAAGCCTTCGGGTGCATATGGATTTGTCTGCAATAGCAATGGTAAGCCTCGATGGCAGTAAGGTAGCAAGAAGTGAACGTACGCTCTGCCCTCGTTTATGTCCGGTCAAGCGTTTGTCTCTGTCCATCATCATCTCGTCCCATGCATCTATATGATATCTGACGGGCTGTATAATAGCAGAAGTGAGAATGTTTACTGAAACAGAACAGAAAGCTTCTTACCTTGCCCTGGTTCTGGGCTCTCTTAGAGACGTTCAGCAGCGTACCGGCTGCCGCGAACATCGTCGTGACCAGACCTAACGATGGTTGACTCGGGTTAATTGGGCATATTCATCCAAAAGCTATCATTCACGTACCGAAAGGAATCAAAGCCTCCCATGGCACGGGCATGTTGACCGGTAGTAGTTTCAGGCAAGGGTGTAATAGCTACAGGTCGTCTCGCTCGACGACCATGAGCCCTGTGAGCGATCGGCAGGTGCCGGGAATTGTGTTTTTGGTATGTGTAGTTGTTCGCACCGTCCAATAAGAAGGCACGCAAAACAATAATCCGCTACACGAGACATCTAAATACATAACGCAAGCGCATGAACAGAGCTATAATGCAGTTTCAGCTATGAACCAAAATACCGGTACAAGTGCTAGACATTCATCAGCAAGCAGGAAGGAACTACAAAAACTTCAAAACTATCAATCATCTTCATCGTTCTCATCTTCGTCTTCACCTTCCCCCTCCTTCTCATCCTCGTCATCAGCCCAGTTGCGTTGAAGCAAGATCTCAACTTTGACTCCTTCGTACTCGCGAGCCATTAGTTTATACCCGCCATCCCCTCCTCCGGCTGTCACGTCAAGTATCTCAATAAGAGATCTCGCCAAAAGCGTCATACTAGAACTCACCGACTAAGCCCACCTGGACGGAGGTATAGTTATCAAACAGACTGAAGTCAGCAATGACTTCGAGGATGAATTCCCTGTGTTGAATTCCTCCACAACTTGCAATCAGGTTCTCTAAGGAGTCCTGGTCAAAGACCCCATGAACGCCGGAGTCAACACTGTAGCTTGCAACCCTCTTCCATTTGGTTAAAGGGCTGAAATTGGGTTCAGGTAGGTTGACCGGAAGGTTGTCAAAGTCGAGAGGACCCGGAGCGACCCAGCGGATAAGGATCTCTTTGAAGTCGTCGTCCCCCTCGTCAGTTTCCTTTATGGTCCAAATGCCAGGCCTCAATCCCATTACGGTGGCTTCGAACTCGTCATTCTCGCCTTTGGACAGTGTGACGTCGCCGCCAATGAGAGTGCCTTTGGGGCCGACCTGCACATAAGTATTTTAATCCGCTGGTATCAAAACCGCAGAGAAAATGGGGAAGATACCTCGAACATCTGGAATGCAGGAGCGCTGTTGAGCTTCTCGACTCGTGCCTTGAACCGACGATTCCACTCAGAAAGGTTGACATTCATGTCAAAGGTTTGAGCTTGAGACTGGGGTCAGAGGATAAGTGGATCAAGTGCTGCGACTTGTTTCTTCAGAGATGAGCAATACAGTCTTTATATACTACTTCGCTTGTTCCGAATGTTTTGCCAACTGGAGCTATCTGAGCCATCAACGTTGTTCCCAGCGCGCCCTTGTCCACATCTAGCAACACCGACGCACGACGATCCCGATATCTTGATCGGCGCGCATATGCCGAGGCGGCATGCATGCTCAGAATGACTCACAACAGGCGTTGAAATTATCAGCATGGTTCTGGGAGTCATGTTTGCAGGCAGAAACATCACAAGGGATCACTTGTTCTATAATTACAACGTACAGGAACCCGACCAGCAGGATAGCACATGCAGGCCATCATTGACCGTGTCAGACGTAGCATGCAATTCATGCACTCTGGGAACCGAACTCTGCCAGTGAATCCGGAAGAGGGCTGCTAGATAATACATCTGAATCGTTGGACTCAGAGCAAGTAACAGCGGTCGTAGGTAAGATTGAGTAAAGTTCAAAGAGACACGCACCACGGCTGATCGAGATACCAGTCCCATCGAACTTCTAAAGGATGATAGAACGTCTAAGTATCATGTGCGAAGTGAGTGAAAGGACGAGACATACACCAACATCGTCGAATTCCAGCTCATCCGCGAACAAATTTTCGTCCAAATCCTTCAACCTCGTGACCAGCACTTTACGGTCACTGATCTGTGGTTTTATATCCTCTCCGCTGTCGTCGTGGTCGAGATATGAGAGGTCATCCGTAAGCTAACATTCAATGCGAGTGAGACAATACTAGCTTTCATGTCTTCATCCACATTTGTGTCCCAAGAAAGAACTCATGTCTGCGAAGGTACAATTAAGTTCAAGTGTTACAGAGTAGCCATTGTGCGAGATAATCACTTCATGAGCTGTGAAATCAGAAGAGAGACCGATGAAGTAATTGGCAATCTCAGTTTAACGGCAGACGCGTCATCGAAGCGCCCATCAGGATACGCGACGCGTAACGCACTGTGACCACTGGCGTACTGTGACAGCGCGACCGGACGCGACGCTGATTCGGTCGTACTATAATGGATTCAAAGGTCGAGGTAAAAAAAATGCACCTGGTGATTCGAATATCTTCAATACCGGGAAGTGACATACTGATCTTTCTAAAGATGCACCTGCTGGACTCGATTGTCTTACAATACACGGGCATGACGACATCAGCAACGCGAGGGAAGCTCAGGCTGCCACTGGTATGATCGACGATGGGGGTGAAGATGAAGGTGAAGATGAAGATGAAGAAGGCGAGGAAGACGAGGAAGAGCTAGACATTGACGTTCTAGTAAGATGACACTACTTGTGACAATTCAGCGGTTGGTTCACCTTAATACTATGTAGGAAAAATTGGAGGCGATCTTATCGTCAAACTTCCAGTCTACAGGCACTTTTGCTTTCAAGCAAGCTTATCCAGATGCTCCCAATCCGGTTCTCAAAATACATGGCTTGGGAACTATTGGATTGCCTCTCAGTTCTCGTGATGCCGAAGCCATCAAAACATCCGCGGAACAGGCTCCGTTTGGGATGGGTGAAAGAACGGTCGTAGATAAGACCGTTCGTGATACCTGGGAAATTGACGCAAAATCAGTATGTATATTTTATTTATGCAGAAGCTTGAGAATAACATTCATATTATCAGGTTGCATTCGGAAGCACTCGGTGGGTCGAATTCATGGCTGATGTTGTGAAGTCAGTATGCCAAACGTTGGGAGTCAATTTCGCCGCAAGTGCACCTCGTTGCGAGCTCTACAAGCTTCTACTGTATGAGAAAGGATCACAGTAAGGTTTCGAACTTCTTTCCCCTTGCATATCTGACACTTCAATCCAGTTTCTTGCCGCATGTAGAGTGAGTTTGGATGCTCTGTTCATCATGTCCCTACGTTATTTATTGATTTTCTCCCTTTGGTAGTACGGAAAAATCCAACGGCATGTTCGCAACGATTGTCGTGGTTCTACCTTCCGAGTTCACAGGCGGTGAAGCGCATCTTTCTCATGGCGGACTCTCGTTGAAATACGACACCAGCGTAGACGGCGCGTCTCAAACGACAGTCATGGCCTGGTACACGGATGTCATGCATGAGGTCAAGCCAGTAACCAGCGGTTATCGACTTGCGCTATCATACAACCTCATCCATACTACGACGTCACTTAGACCAGCCTTGTCGTCCAACCTTGCACTAACAGACCATCTCCGAGAAATTCTCTGCAAATGGCACAAGGACGCAGGTCAATCCTCCCATGAGAAGATTGTCTACCTATTGGATCACAAGTACTCCCAAGCGAACTTACGAGCCAGTGCTCTGAAAGGCTCTGATGCTCAAATGGTTGCGACCCTGGATTTGCTGGCCAAAGACACGGGTTTCCATCTCGGCCTTGCTCAGGCTGTCTGCCATCTTCAAGGCTCCGCCGACGAGTCTGGCGTAGGTCATTCATACTATGGACGTCGTAGACGAGGCTGGTATGACGAATATGACGACGAGCCGGATTACGACGATGTCGAATTTGAAGAAATCGAAACACGCGAGACCGATATAGAGCACTTCGTGGATATGGACGGAAAACTAATAGCATCCAGCCTTGACTTCGATGAAGAGACAGAAACTATTCCTGAGAATATTGCCGAGGGTGTAGAAGATGGAGACTACGAAAACCAAGAATTCGAAGGGTACATGGGCAATGTAAATAAATATCACTTGTCAATAATGAGTTGTGCTCACAGAAATATTGACAGTACGCGGGCTCTTTGGATCGCTGTACGTCCCTTCTATTATGGGCTGGCTTCTTTCCTACTGACACTGTGCTTCGAATAATAAGGGTATCGTCGCACTGTCCTGGTTATCTGGCCTGATTACAACGACTGTAATATCCGGTTCAGTGGCGACAATTTCAAGCATGCGTTAGACAGCCTCTCAAAGATGGCATCTGTAGCACACGAACCGACTGCAGAAAATTTGGAGTTAGCAAGCTTTGTCCTCTCTTGTCACTTCAAAGACCCGAAGCGTGTCCTACATGCAGTATGTGCCGCAGCAATCGCCTGGAACGATCAGTTTCTATGGGGGCAGGCAATTAGAGATTGCGGCTGGAAGGGTTTTGACGTCATCTCTGACAATGAACTCTTCCAGGGTATCCAAAAATTCGGGTTTGAGGCTGTTCGACCAAGGTAGGTCTTTTTGAATGTTCCGGCTACAACCCACCTGAAGCATTTTGTCAATATGGAGCATTTATTGCAGAAAGACGACACAAACCATCGGCGATTGGGATTCCTGACACGGTTGAAAGCGTGGGTCCTCGGACAGCAGTCTGAGGAACTAAAGCAAGATACAAGCCCATGGATCGGGTCAAAAGTGGAACTTACTGTCGGGTCACTTAAGAAGCCGCTCCCAGGTGACCTAGAACTTTTCATCCAGTTGTCCGTGGAACGGGGAGGTATTTCGCACCTTCAGGATAGGTATGTGTGCACATTGGTTCCATTATTACAATCTTCCGACCTTCTTTAGCATAATTCCACAGATCGTACCCCTCACGGATCCCACGTTGCTCAAAGATTTCGCGCTCCTCGTACACGCTGACGCGAGACTCCCTCCTTCTGACGTCAAGACCAAGGTCGTGTCTGGATTACTCTCTGCTGCCCTTTCGTCGCACTCCTTCAACGAAGCATCCCAACCATCTACAACCTATCATTCCAACTTCGTCACCGCAAAGCTCTACTTGCAGGCATGCTTCGATACACAATGCTACGATCTGACAGGCGGCATCATCAACAAGGTAGCAAATGGCATTGCGCATCCTTGCTCTGGGAACCAGTTGCAGTATGTCAAGGAAGTGGCTCTTCCACTTCTAGCCTTCCTGCACGAATACATCAGCAAAAATCCGGGATATACTCCGCCATACCTGGATCTTCTGCTTCAACGCGCGATCGATGTTTATACCACATCAATGGGCAATTCCGTTACCAAAGGAGAAATCCAATGTCTCGTGCAGGCTGTCGCTTTGGACAGTAGTGAAAGTTTATTTGCGAATAGGTTCGTGCGTTGGGAGAACCGTACGCCACCCGTTCTGGTGCTGATGTGTTTGTTATAGGATACTCCCAAAATTACTTCAACTTCCACTAAAAGCGGCGGAGCTGAAGGACGTTTTCGAAGAACTGTTCGCTAGCAAGAATCGTATTGCATTCCCGGCGAACTATTCGGGCCCCACTATCGATATGGCAGTGGGAACGCTTGCACGCAAATTTGCCACAGTAGTTTCGCTAGAGTTGACACAGATCATCCTGCATACTTTAGAGGCTTGTATGAAGGTCAATGCAGGAGAGGCGTGCTCCGTGATTATCAAGCGCATTGTCGACAAGTCGAAACTCACCGCAAACTATATCACCCAAGTTCTGATCCCCCTTATGCCTCGTCTTCGGGAATTGGCCAATCGGTACAGAACGCTTGACCATCTTGCGCCAGCATTCCAAGCGATTATGCTCGCATGGATTAGCAAGATCCTTGGGAAACGACCGGACGCCGATGTCTCAAGTATTCAAGCCAATTTGAAACGTTGGCCGTGTGGTTGCCAGCACTGTCAGAATGCTAGGGCATTGCTAGCAAAAGCTGAGCGATCGAACCAAATGCATCGCATTGGTGCGCCAGCGAGAAGACACGTCGAGGCCTACCTATCCCAGTATGCCAGAGGTGCTGCAACGTACGATACGGTGAGGTCGACACCACAAGGTTTGCAGGTAAGAAGAATTCAACCCGTCAACTTAAGGAATGATACTAACTCGGACTTCTCCATAGTTGACAAAATCAGACGTGTTATTCCAACATCTACGATGGAAAGCTGAACAAGCTAAAGGTGCAGATATATTGAAGACCATCAGTACTGACGAAGCTGAGTTGAAGCGTATCCTTGGACCACACTACGACTCGATCACCACATTACTTCGGGGCCAAAAGGTCGTGAACGTTCACCACGCCCCTCAGAATATGCAACCACGAGCTGGGTCGAGTACTGCTGCTGCTGTAAGGTCTCAGTTTGCACAGCAGACAGCACCTGCAATAGCTCAACCTACCTCTGTGCCAGGACCCAGTAACTTCGCACGGCCACCCGCCGCACAGGTCCCCACCGGTATGGTAACACCGTACGGTAACGTCGGTGGGACGTCCGTCTTCAGGATAGGATCTGGGCTTATGCCACCCACCACCCAAGGATCGGTTGGACAACCTCCAGCGAAGAAGCGGAGGACAACATACAATACAGACGATGTGATTGATCTCACATGAAGCTCGGAGAGGCAGAGGCAATCTTCATCGTACTGTATTTGCGTACTTGGCTGTATTGTACGTTCGTGTAATTTTACACGTGCAAGTTTGTTGCATTCAGCGACGCATAAAAAGATCCAACCTGATCATTGCCAGAGAGTCAGTTACGCTCAACCGTGCCTCTGTAGGAATGGAAGGGATGTGCTCTGATTGCAAATTACTATTATCATCCGGCCATTAATATAACGGCGATGAGTACCCACTGTTGTCGCAATAGGCGAAAACCTACGCGTAACTGTGGGGAGGCTATCTAGGAAGGTGCTTACCTTCGTCTTTGCACGACTAGGGGGCAAAACTTCAAGGGAAGCCTGAGGCGAGCAGGAGTGAAATTGCGAAATGGATACTACTCACTCGGGAAGCGACATCCTCGTGTGCGAGGAACCATGAGAGCCAACCTAGTGGGTCATACAGACTCGGTGAGCAGAGCTGAGTAGAAACTAATAGAATAAAGTCTACGGAGAGCTTTCAACGCGTAAAGTACATGAACCATCTACGGGCTTTATAGCTTTATATAATAAAGCGAGTGAAAATTTTACCTGCGAGAATTTTCTAGCCTACTTGTAACGCTGAGTAAACGTGCATTCACTCGCTTATACTGGGACATTCTACGACACACCTGAGGGAACATACAGTAACACGGCCTCGCTTGAAATTTACCATTCCAGTGAAGAGCACATCTGCATGATGGAGGTTGAGATCCCGAGAGGTCAGAAATCCGCGACAAAAGCATCCTCTGGATAACAGGCGCTGATATACATCCAGTCCAGTTCTCTAGATATGAATACAACGGAAAAGTCTACTGAGAGCGAAATCCAGCAGACGGCGTATAGTACAATCTACCACAAAAATCAATACCGCCACAGACAGAAAATATAATAATAATCCAGATCGACCGACATCATCCGAGAAACTCCGCGGAAAACAAAGCCCACACAATGACAGCGGCGGCGCAAGGAACGAGGAGATGATTCTTGTACGTCTTTACACCGATGCCAACAAGTGATCAGCGACTCCTAACTCTGGACTGTAATAGGGACTCTATGCACCTTAATCACAGAATCCTGTGAGATTGGAGCAGCAGGTATAGAGACTGGAGGTCTCGGTTGGCTGAGGTCAAATGGACCAGCGGCTTTGGTGAGCCGTTGCCAGACGGCATAACGGAAAGCCTTTTGGACCCCAGAATAGAGCTTCCAGTCGGTCCAGAGGAAGCTGCGGGAGTGATGGGAGATGACTTTGTCGTAATCGGCTATATGCAGTCGCTTCAGGATTGGTCTGAGCGAAGAGAAAACGGGAATGGACTGACTTTGGAATGCTTTCCGCAAAGTATGCCAAGTTCTAGGGACATCCGTGAGAATGACATCTACGTCCCAGGTGACTGCCTATGGTGCACATTGGGTCGTGAGCACGGATAGACTGAAGGATTTCAACAGTCTTACCTCTATCATCCACCGAGGGTCGTTCACAGTCCAAACCATCACCTTCTTCCCATCTCTTTGACACTCTTTCCTGAACCTGGCGGAACAAATCCTATCAGCGACCAAAGAAACATATTGGATGACTAAATGACAAACTCACCGTTCTCCCTCAGCCGATACAAGTGCCCCGAAGTGTATCGAAAATACATCCACATCGTTCCAGAAATACGTTTGAGCAACGTAGATGTCAAATCCAATAAATGATCGCTTGCAATAAGGTAGAAGGGTCTTAGCATGTTCGATAAAGATGGGATGCCAAAGCCCGAGCAAGATACGTGGCGCCAGGTCGACTTCCCAGTTGGGGTGGGCGGAAATGATCTTGTGCATTAGGGAGAAGAGACGAGGAGGGTCGTTCCAGGCTTTGACGTCTACATTGAATTTGACATGCCGATTTTCAGGCTAAAGAAAATGAACGAAGATAGAGATAAGAATGGGCATGGAAGTCAGCGGGCGAGAGGGAATAGCCATACCTTCATTAGAAGAGCAACAGTTTCAACGAACGTAGGTATTGATTGTTGTGGCTTCTTTGTCGTTCTAAGATGCTCCATCCCATCAGGGCCGTACCAACTATGTTCTCGTATAAGCCCTGCACTCGCTGAAATCAGCTCATGATCATTCAGAAAAGCCCTGAGCAACTCACCTTCTCCATTTGTTGTCCTTTCAAGCGCTGTATGATATCGAATCATCAGTACAGGGAATAAACGTCGCTGTTATCGAATTGAGCGTACAAGGATCATGGAACATGATCACAACATCGTCAGTGGACACATGTACATCTGGGAAATCATGAGCTTTCCTCCGCCGGTCAATAACACGAAACGTACCGCTTTCAATTCCGTCAGAACCGTCTCTTATCGCAGCTTCGAAGCTGGCAAGTGTGTTTTCTGGGTATGCGACTGAAGCCTAGAGGACACAACCCGGTTTCAGAACGGGACAATGTCGAAAAGATGACAAACACGTACGCCGCGGTGACCCCAGCACTCAGGAAAACGTCTGGCTATCGACATACGGATGATGGTGGAGAGTTGGAGAGGTATGGCTGCGGCACGTTCGTAAATGACAGTGAGGAAATGGGTTTCTTGAAAAGGTTCCGAAGCAGGGTTGAACCTAGTCAAATATTCAAGGACCCCCTAGACCAGCCTCCGCTTTCCTGCTTTTGTCATTGCCCGATTCATAAGCATACGACATATTTGGAAGGTTCCGCAGGACATTTTCGGGAGGAGTCAGAGATATTGGTCAAAACTGGTGAGTCTATGCTCATAATTTGAATCTGAGGAGGACAGCCTAGGACAGCTCACCCACGATGACATCGGTGGCCGTTGCCGACCAGACGCATACTCACGGCTTCTTCGAACGTGCACCTCCAAGGCCTTGGCCTCATCCGCGTTCTGCCGTCACAAATACTGGACTGTGGGCTTGCTCCGGGAAAGATGGATGTTCGACGAGGGAAACTTGTAGAAATGCTAATGCGCTAGTGCTTGAGTGGTACTGGTTTTCTGGTAATTTGGGTGGAATATAATCAGCACTTTGCATTACAGTAAGCCTTCTACGCATACCTCCTGAAGTACTGCGGCTCGAGCAGCTGATCAAAAGTGTACGCGCGTAACTTCCTTGAACCCAAACCACACACGACGTTTTCAGTAGCTCATAAAGAAGCAATCGGAACTTTTTTCATTCCACCTGATACCATCAGAGACTGAGACAAACACAGCTTCTGACACTTACACTCAATTTCGCACTGTAACAGCATTCAGAGCTGCTACGACAAACGAGAACATTAAGAGGCGAAGAAATATATTCAAAAGATCCATTACAGCACGAAGTAATCGAAAGCGTAGATATGTACGCCTCATGGTTTCAGCAAACTGTCATAGTCACATAGTGACATCCCCTCAACCGAAGTTGAAGGGGACTATACAGCAACTTAAGGAATATAAGGTTGCACAGATCGTCCCAACTACAACCTCTCTAGCGAGTCAATACCCCGTTAAGGGTGGACTCAGCCATTAACAAGAGGGAGTCGGAAACAACTGTGCTTGCTCTTGTGAGCACCCCGAAAGGCACCTCGCTCCGTCAACCGGAAATACGAAACGTCACTCAGAAACTTGTGTTTCTGCGCCCACGAAAGGCTAACGCTTGCAGAGTTGAACGGACACTGGGGAAAGTGAAAACTTTGAGGACGCGTTTATATAGAGAGCAGAATGCGGAGTTTGAAGTCTCACGGGCAAGGCCGATACGCGTCGTCCGGTTCGATCAAGTCACAGTGCATGCATCTTTGAAAGATCCTTTCTCTTTGTTATCGTCTTCCGTCTGAAATGGAACGAAGTAGCAGACAGTCAAGACTCTCAGTTCATCCACGATACGCTCCGAGGGAATCAGTTTTCGCCGGACATCCCGATCTATACCGTGGCGATAACAACGCAGTATGCAGCCCGTTCTTGCGGAATTGCGTTCAAGCAATGGAGGATTGCTGTGACGAGGTACGCGTATAGCTGTTTTTTTTTCCTTTTGCTAATACCTTCGTGGCATAGGCACATGAGACCCAGGAGATTCTGCGGCAAGGCACATATGATCTCCCTCGAATGACTAAAGTACTCGAGAATGAAAGGGTACGGTTCTTGCTGTCCTAGCAAAGTAATACACCTTACATATATGATGGCTCCGTCCTCAGGTTTTCCTCTTGATCAACGAAGCTACGATCCGAAAGTACAAGGCAGACTTAACAGACGAAATCGAACCTCAGATCAATGAATTACTGTCGCGCGCGGAGAAAGGTCTTAGAATGTTAATGAAACAGGAAAGTCTTCTTCGGACCAAGGTCAGCTTAGCTTTATCCTTTATATCAAACATGTTGTTCACGTTTGTGTCGTGGCTTAGGTTGAGGGTTCAAAACAACAGACCGCTCCACCTCGAGGGAAATTCAACACAGCGGGAATGAGCAAACTCGACGCCAGGCGCGTTCAGATGCTTGCCAGGCAACGTGAAGGCCTTGAGAAAGAGCTCGAAGCGCTGCGACTCGAAGTCGAGGAGATTGTTCGTCTCTACCTCATTATCCTCGATCCACATTCTCACACCCGTGCTAGGAATTGAGTCAAATGCGAAAGTAATGCACGACGCTGCAAGTTTGCATTCATATAGGCAAATCCACATCTAAAGCTTCAACTGGACTTCTCCAAGGAGGACCGCTTCCGGGTAATCACCCGCATGCACCTTGCTAGGTCCGCCCTCCTTCAGAGGTGGTAGCGCCACCAAGCCGTTCGCCCCAGCTAGACTAGAAACTCGGCTTGAACGCTGTCCACCTGTGCTATAGGCTTTCAAACCGTCAGGTTCGGACATAACCACCACACGATGGTATTCTGGTCGAGGGTCGAGAGGCATCGAGTCTTGGACCTGTCAAGATATCGGCGCGTCGAGGGATTGATGTAGATTGGAGGAGTGGACACTCACCTGTACTCGCACACGCGGCAAATGACACTTCTCGCCAGTCAGCCCAGTCAACCTTCTCAATGCAGGTACGACGAATACATGGAACGTCACCAACGCACTCGCAGGATTCCCGGGCAACGCGAATATAGGGGTGCGTTCCGTTGGTCTACCGGTGGTTGGGACTGTAGCAAACGTTGTGGGTTTACCAGGTTTGACGCTGACGCGACCGAAGTGGATCGTTCCATTGAGGTGACGTTCAATGGCGGGTTTGAGGAGGTCACCTGTACCCATGGATGTACCTCCCGTTGTTATGATTATATCGGCTGATTCAAGGCCTTTCCTGAGTGCGGTTAAGTGCGCGTCGAGGCTTCAATACCGTAGGCGTTAGTCGAGGAAGTTAGGTACGTTTCATCATAGGACTTACTCGTCTGGCACGATGCCCAAGTCGACGACTTCGTAGCCCATACCTTCCAGTGCAGCTTGTAGGGAAGGCCTGTTTGTGTCCCATATGATGTCGTTACGGTTTGGTTCGATGGCATGCAAATCGCGAAGTTCGTTCCCAGTGCTCAGGAGAGCGACCACGGGCTTAGAGTAAACTTTGACCTGAGCATGACATTAGAACAAGAATCAGAAATAAGAGTTTCGAATTCCCCAACCGTAGTCTTCCCCACAAACGCCAAGGTTCCAATCTCACCACCGGCACTGCTGATCAACATTCCTTTCTCAAGTACTAATTCGCCTTGCTTTACGTCAGACCCGGGTTTCCTTACGTTCTCACCTACATCCACTTGTGCCAGCATCTCGATATCTTTTTCTTCCATTCTACCTGAAGAATCGATATGTGTACTGTGGACGCGGGTATCTTCGACCATGATGACTGCGTCTGCGCCGAGAGGTAGGGGTGCGCCTGTGTTGATGCGGTACAGGACGCGGCCTTCAGGAAGGGTCGCGAGAGGTGTTGTTATTACTGGGTAGACACCTGGAGGTGTGCTCGCTAGTAGGATTCATAAATGTCGACTCAGTATGTTGAGTGAGTGTGGAAAGAGTAGCGACATACCGCGTAGAGCGTATCCGTCTACATTGGATGTGAAAGTTGTCGGGATGTCAAAAGTGGCATGAATGTCCTCCGCTAGGACACAACCACGAAGTTTGGGCGTTACCTGCAGAAATCTGAGATATCAGTTCATGAAGACAAGGTGGAACTCATACCAGAACTTCCACGGGCGGTAATGGTCCTACCTCTTGAAGGATGGAGATAAGAGCATCCTTGACGGTGACCAAAGGATAAGGTGATACTCTCTGACGCGAAGTAACTACAATCCATGACATGGGTATGGTGTATGTAAAACATTGCATTGAAAAACTAGCAACGTACCATTTACGGAAGGGTCCTGCGACAGAGGTTCCGTAGTCCTCGATTTCGGAATCGCATGCCCATGGTCTTGTCCATGACTATGATGACTATGTTTGTGGATATGACGGTGATGATCATGTTCAGGATGACCATGTGATGTTCCCACTTCTTCCAAACCTGTCGAGCCAAGTCGAGCATGTACTTCCTTGCCAGAGCCTCCCCTGATGAGGTCAATGGCATGAGTAAGGAGACCGTCAGTGAGTAAGGCTTCGAGATTCTCTTTGACTGCTTTGACGCTTCCCGGGAGTGTTATGACGAGACTCTGGCCGATCGTGCCAGCTACTGGACGTGAAAGGGCCGCAAAAGGAGTCTGCTTAAGGGAGTATGCTAGAATCAAATGGACAAGACCTGGTGCAGGTCGTTCAATTAATGAAGATATTGCCTTCAAACAATATGAATTCTCAGAGGAAACTTGGTAATAAAGAAAACGATTCACCTCCGGGGTACTATCACGAACACCGAAGCCAGTGCCTCCAGTGGTAATGACAAGGTCGATCGTTCCTTCGGCACACCATGCTCTTACAGTCTCGCGGATTCTCTCTTCATCATCTGGAACAATATTAAGATACTTGCATTCACATCCATGCTGAGAGAGTATAGCCTTGATCACAGGCCCAGATTTGTCTGCAGTAACATCTTTTGACGCTGTATCGCTGACTGCAGATTCCAATTGAAGGTAAGTCCCCACGGATCTAAGCCAGATGTTTCGTTTCACCTGTCAGAATGGCAACGCGAACGCTGGCCATGGTGTTTCTGGGCAGATCCGTCTCAACCTTTGCGGATGATAGCCCATTCTACGACGGCGTGAAGCGCCTAGATGCGTGAACATGCCCGAAAGGCTCATCATTTACTCACATGATTATGCACGTTGTCAAAGTGCTATCGCACCTGGGTCTCTCTTTCTTGAAAAGTATTAGCAATACGCTATTCAGAGCCTTGAACGAAAGTTTAAACGTTAATGTGAGGGAACTTAGGAGGTCTAGCAATGCAGGAGGTAGTCAGATGCTATACTTCATTGACCTAGGTTGCCCCCTTCTCCCACCGTAATATCTTCGCGTGTGTTAAGATGTCCCGTTGTTCAATAGAATCGGAGAGTTCATGTGAAGAGTCGGAATTGAGACGTGCTCCGCGTTGTCTTTCTTTCGTCCCTCGAGTTCTGCCGTGGAACATCCGTTTGACCAATGTTTTACGTTCACGAGCGACGCGGTCTGGGAGGAAATATATTTTGAGACGTAGCCGAGAGGTGCCATCTCGGGTGGAAGGTCATGCGAGTGTTCGGTTGAGTGTTGCGCTGAGCAAGCTGGTCTTTCTTTCTCGAACCACCACCACGGGGCCTCAGCAAAGTTGGCCTCGTCCAGCCACCAACGCCATTTCTGTGCTCGACAGTCTCTCTTTTTTGGTCCATTTCCATCATTTCACTGGATTACATACTCTTCGGTTGCTCGGGGCATGATCAACCTGCCCCGATATAAAGCAACCGACGTATTCCTTCGTCTTGTCTCCCGACGACCACCTTCGCTTCCGTTCAGATTCTTCACTCCTTTGAAGCATATCACTATGTCGTCTGCCGTCCCGTTGCCAGAGTGTTGGGGTCACCGTGGCGTATGCCGTCACTGTACTCTTTCCCAGTAACTCAGTTGCTGACGCGTCATTAAACACATTCAGGCCTCTGCTGCATTCCCTGAGAACACTCTTGCTAGCTTCGAGGCCGCAATACGGGAAGGCGCGGATGGCATTGAGAGCGGTATTTCACTACTAGTGTAGTTTGACTATTTCGAGTGCCGTAACCATCCTGAGCAGACGTCCACGTATCGGTAGACGACGTCGTGGTTATGTTCCACGATCCAGGTATATTGCTATACCCTTATTACTCTGTCGGTTTACTGACGTTCAGTATCTCTTTAGCTCTGAACAGGACCACAAATGGACAAGGTTTATATGAAAATACTTGATCCTCTTACTCACTTCGTACTAATGACATGGCTCTTAGGATTGATTCGAGAGCAGCGTTGGCATGGTGCAGATGGTATGGAACATCTCAGGACTGTCAAGCAGCCCCCACAGGCCATTCCGACCTTCGCCGAGACTGTCGCGCTCCTCATGCGAGTGCGTGTCTAGTGGCTCAAATGTCGCGTGACCAGTATCTAATACTTCTATATCTACGTTACAGACAGAGAACCGCCATGTCAAGTTCAACGTAGACGTCAAAGCGCAGAATCATCCTGCTCGTCTCTTCGCATTGATGCACAAAATCATCTCGTCTCACGACAACTGGGAAACGGACCTTGCTCCTCGGATCGTTCTCGGTCTCTGGCACCCGACGTTTATTCCCCATGCTAAGACTGTCTTGCCATATCTTCGTCGTTCATATATTGGCGAAGATTTATCCATTGCGCGCAAGTATTTCTGGGATAACGTTGAAGTGTTCTCCATGAAGTTTGACGTTCTTGCTACGGTGAATGGCGAGAAGTACGTGTACTGCGTGTACTGCTTGGATGAAGTATCGGTCATACTCACTAAATCTTCTCTAGGTTTAGGAAAGATTGCCAGGCTACTGGGAAGAAACTTATGGTGTGGACCGTCAATGATGCTGAGTATATGATTGAGGTGAGTCATCTTTCGTAGTAAGTCGGAGACACCTGTGCATCTCGTGCGCTCGCAGGCGGCTCGCTGGAACATCGATGTTATCATCACAGACGTGCCAAAGACCTGGCTTGAACTTCGCTCAGCCTTACAAGGTAGTTATTTCGACCACTTCGATTCCGTTATCATTTCTAAGCTTTGCTTCAGTTGACTACAAGAAGGTCATTGCTCAGCATAGTCGCTTATTCCTCTGGACCAACTGGAAATTCTATACCCCATTCCAAATCTTGGACCGTCAAGCTACACATAGAGATCTAGAGATCGCTGCCGGTCCTTTCCCCACTGTCGATTCATTCATGTCTGCTCCACTCGTTGGACTCTCCAAGGCTTGACCTTTGCAATTTTTCAATACCACTGTCCGCTTTTGCATGCTTCGCATAGAGATTCATTTTGTCGTTCTTCGTCCGCCGTTGCTTTGTAGATTAGTCACATAGATTGCATTCTCACCTCGCATTCTTCCTTTCGCATGAGTCACTCTTGGGTTCTTGGGGTTTGCGATCCTGGGCGTCGATATGCTTTATACGCTCGACGTTGCTGGTATAATTAGGTCAAGGATGTTCGTTGGTAGTTGTCGTTGTCGTTTTAAAACATCTTAATGCGTATGACCTGTGTATGCCTCAGCGCTACATGACGCGATCGAGGAGCACGACAACAGATCCAAATAACGCGTCGCACGTGGTTACTGTCACCGTCGCGTTTGGACCATGGTCTCACCGTGGTTCTGCCATTAACGTCCAGATTTTCTTTAGAAGGTATATTAAGAAAGTTGCCCATTCTTGGGTTTACTGCATATGGCCTTCAGTTTTCGCAGGACCTGGCCACCACCTTCACCAGAGCCTCAAGTCGTTTCAGAAAGTGTTTCCAAGAAGCGGCGAGGCCTTCGCAATACTCCCGGACTTTACTCGCGAAATCAGATATGATAAACCTGTCGAAGAGCCACAACCAACACATATCGTATCGACTCAAGGTAAACTTTATGTTGAAACAGATCCAAATAGCAATACAGTTGGGCTTCCCTCGATTATGTACAGTATCTTATCGTTGTCAAGACAAGATACGGAAAATGTAAGATAAGCCTAAGAGAGTAGTTTAAGTCGGACGAGACGTCGAAAGAGAGAGGAGGTGGAAATTGGGTGGAAAGGCTGATCGCTGAACTTGACTGTGTTCATGACGCAAATTCAAAAAGCGGAGCAGGTCTAAGATCGATTAGACTACAAACTTAGTGGATGCCTTCCCGTAGCTGATAGAACTCAAATCAAACTAGAAATGAGCAGTAGAAAACCATTCGAAACTTGGAGTTAATCTGAAGTTCATCTGGCATATATATACAACTATTATCTAAATACATGCAGTATCAATGTGTTTGTATATACTCATGGTATCAGTCAGGTTCGAGCATGGATCAATGAGTGTGTTTGGGTAGGTTTTAATAAGTGGTTACAAATGAATAACGAGAGGAAAAGGTGTGTCCGTAGATCCGGAATGAATGTGATCGTAACATTACCCCCTTCTCTAGAATCGTGTCCTCACGATTAATTATGATAGAGTATGAAATTGTTCAATCATACCATGATGATCCATTCTTCCGAGTTTTCTCGCTCCCGTTCTCTATACCATACAACCCAGAGTATTACTCCAACAGTGCATAGGATTATGCCGCCAAAGATGCTAAGGATGATGATTCTGTCTTTGTACATTTCTACCAAAGAGCTTTCATTGGTTGAGTGAATGATTGTTCTAGAATAGGGGAATCCATACTTGGGATTGATATTGGTTCGATGAGTTGGTAGAAGGAAAGAATGGGGTATTGCCATTCGAGTTTGACTTTCGTAGGCGCGGATGTGATTGGCACGTGTGTCAGTTTGAGCATCTGCTCATTGATGATCCATAACTCGCCGGCATTCGGGTAATGCTGATTAGATATGATTTGTGCTTTCCTTCGATTTTTGAATAATTTAATCGAGTCTGGATCCACAGATATCATTGCTTTTTCTTTTTTACGACATTCTGCCCATCGCTGTACTTTCTGATCCCAATAATCCCATTCTTCTTGTGTCGCTTCTCTAGGAAATGACTGTTCCATAATTTGTGCCTTTAGCAATATTCTCGTGGGTGCTTTTGGTGCATCGGGATGATCTTTATGGAATTTGTCAATTATCTTTTTGTCTATATTTTTAATGATTTTATGACGTGGTTCCCATGTATTTTCAGAACGTGGTTTTCCAGCCCACTTGATTAGATATTGAAGGCCTCCACGTGCCATCTTGGAGTCTAATATAGATTCAACTTTGTCTTCTAAGATATCAATAATTATTGGAATGTTTTTGTGTGTTTTCTGATTAGGGAATTCTGGTGCGTGATATGGCAATAATAAAGTTTCATTGAATACGGAATGTACGCCTTTCCATGATTTTGGTAATTTGAGCTTGTATGCACTAGCTCCAATTTTCTTGATAATTGGGAATGGTCCATATCTTTTATCATCTAATTTTCGATTTGATCTGTCCGTTCGTATATGTGTGGCTTCAAGCCACACTAGATCTCCATCTTTATAATTTACGGCTTCTCCCTTATGTTTATCATATTGTCTTTTCATAACATCCTGTGCTAGTGTCAACGATGCTGATGCTTCTTCTTGGATTTTCTTCATTCGTGCTACAAACTGCTCAGCAGTTTCATTACAAATTTCTTTTTTGGTTTCTATGCCAGTGTAGGCTTCTCGTCCATGGTTCATGTAGAATGGTGAAAATCCAGTCGCAGAGTGGACTCTATTTCGATATGCAAATGTTGCCAATGGCAACCATTCTGGCCAATCAGTTTGTCGGTGATTGATGAAGATTCGTAAAAAATTTTCAATTTCCTGATTGATTCGTTCTGTTTGTCCGTCTGTCTGTGGATGATATGCAGTACTAGGATTTCCCTGAATTCCTAGTTTCTTATATAAATCTTTTATGAAGCTGGATACGAATTGTGGTCCGCGATCTGATGTCATCTTTTTTGGTAATCTGTGCAGCGGATATACATTTTTTATGTAAAGATTAGCCCATCCTTCTGACGTCAATTGCTCCGTGGTTGATATTTCAATGTAGTCTTTTGATTTCATATCCACAACTACTATGATCGCATCATGCCCTTGCGACTCTGGTAAGTGTGTAATCATGTCTACAGATTGATATTCCCAATTGTGTTTGGGAACTGCATTTGGATGTAGCGGAGCATTTTTCAGTTGATGGTTAATCTTGGTTTTTTGACAAGTCTCGCAACCTTTTACATATGTTTTTACGTCTTTTTTGATCGAAGGCCACCAGTACGATCGATAGATTAGTTCTTGTGTTTTTGCTTGTCCAGGGTGACCGGCACTAATCGAGTCATGATGTGAATGAATAATTTCTCCTCTGAGTTCCTTGTCAAAAGGGATAACAATTTTCCCCCTTCTCCAGATAAGACCATCCTCGGTCTCATTGAAGTTGGCATCTTTTGTCAATAGTTTTAGTCATACATTGTTTTCATATTTATCAGTATTTTTTATGATTTTCTTCTGTAAAGCTGATGATCTGAGGATTTCGTTGGCTCGGAACCATTCTGGTTTCAACAACGTAATATTTTTATTATGACTATCGCCGATATCGTGATGGGTCTGTCGCGATAAAGGGTCTCCCTTTGTCATTGTGTTTCCGGGTTTGTGAGTCAGATTGAAGTCATATTGTTGTAATTCTTGGATCCATCGCGCCTGGCGATGATTCAACTTCTGGGGTTTTTTGAAATAGCCAAGGTTCTTGTGATCAGAATGAATTTCAAATTTCTGTGCGGCTCCCATCAAGAAGTGACGCCATTCTTCTAATGAGATCATGATGGCTAGCATCTCTCGATCATAAATCTCATAGTTTCTTTTAGCTGGTGAAAGGCTTTTTGATAAGAAGGCAATGGTGCGCCATTGTCCATCTTGCTTCTGTGCAAGTTCAGCCCCAATAGCATATTTTGATGCATCACATTCGACTTTGAACTGATCTTCATTATTCGGAATACCCAATACTGGTGCAGTGGTAATGGTTTTCTTTAGAAGTTCAAAAGCTTCCTGCTGTTCTGGACCCCAGATCCATTCTACTTGTCCAGTTAATTTATTTAAAGGAGTGGCGGTTTTGAAAAAGTTTTTGATGAATCATCGATAGAAATTAGCGAATCCAAGGAATGACTGTAATTCCTTTTTGGCTTTTGGTACTGGCCATTGCGTAACTCCATCGACTTTGGCAGGATCCATCTTTACAGTTCCTTGCGAAATAATATGTCCGAGATATTCTGTTTCTTGAGTTTCAAACTCGCATTTTTCTGGTTTGCAGGTTAACTTATTTTCTCGTAATATTTTAAGGACTTCTTTCACAATACGGCGATGTTCCTCCAGGGATTCGGAAAATATGAGTATATCGTCAAGATATATGATTACTTTTCCTTTGAGAATGAGATTACGGAAAATGTCATTCATCATCATCTGGAACGTAGCAGGACTATTTGTCAATCCGAAGAACATGACAGTTGGTTCATATAGTCCTCTATTTGTGATAAATGCAGCTTTCTCTTCATCTCCTTCTTTCATGTGAATATTATTGTATCCTCAGCGAATATCCAGTTTCATGAAATATTTAGCACCTTTGAGCTTATCAATAAGCTCTGAGATTAATGGTAAAGGATATTTGTTTTTCTTGGTCATATCGTTGAGTTTTCGGTAATCCTGTACCGGTCGCAATTTGCCATCTTTCTTTTTGACAAAGAAGAAGGGTGCTCCCCAGAGAGACTTTGATGGTCGGATTCTTCTCATCTTTAGGTTTTCTTCAAGAAAACTGTCTAGGATTTTTTGTTCTTCAACAGTCATGGAATACGCTTTGCCTGCATACAGTGATGAATCTGGTAACAGTTCTATTGCATGGTCCCATAGTTTCCTTTCTGGAAGGACGTCGAAAGTATCTTCAGTGAATACGTCTGTGAATTCACGATACTGTTTGGGAACCATTTCTTCGAAGGTCTTTTTCTTTTTTTGTTTACTTTGTTCAATTGCTATGTCCATGGCTGTTACGCGCATTCGCTGAATATATTCTCCTCTTTCTTTATACCAAGTATTGGTATTGAGTAAATATACGGTATCTCCTTCTTCGATCTCTTGTTGTCTTATAGTGATGCACGTGTGTGGGCATCGGTTAAAGTCAACAAGTTGCAATTTGAAGTCTATTGATGGATTATGGTATTCGATCCATTCATATCTGAGGAATATGTCTGACTTCCCCAGATCGGTAACTAGAAGCATGATGTTCTCTTGGTGATCGCCGATTCGAAGTGTGAGTCAGACATATTCTGTGATCGGTCCCTGAGAATTCTCGCTGTTATCGGTGTTATAGACTTGGATCGGTTGATCAAATTTAGAGGTTTCAATTCCATGCCTTTTGATGAAATTATAATTTATGCATGATCCGGTACTGCCAGTGTCAACTAACGCTACTGTGTCATGGATTCTCTCTGTTTCTGGTATAACCACGGTGACTGGTAGGTCCATTTGTTTCCCTCTTCCAAGTCCTTTGATGACTCGGAGTAATGGTGGTCCAATGTCTGTGATGCTTTTATCCGACGCACTCAGTTTATTTTCAAATTTTTTTGTATTTTGTTTAGAGGAATCAAGCACAGGTTCCGCCCTGCCACGCTTCTTGGTAGAAGACGCCTCTGCGTTAGATGAAATATTTACAAAAGGGGACTGTCCGATCAATGTGCTACAGGCATGTATCGAAGATGTTTTCATAGAACCCTCCAGGGGTTTATCCGAGTCATTGTTCTTATCCGGCAAGTTACTTTGTGCGTTTAAGCCTTGCCCGAGCCAAAATTCAGCTTCTTCACCTTCTCCGGGTTCTTCTCCATCCATCGTCGAACCATGGCGATCATCTTGTCATCGTCATCATCATCTGAGTTAGAGATTTCCTCGATCTTGGACTCTGTCTTGGTTTCATTCTTTCGAACACATTGAGTGTTCGTGGAAGGTCCCGATCGATTGGGAACATGCCATGCACTTCCACAAGTGCCCTTCTCTGATTGCTTAGCCTTACACTTAAGGCAATTCCTATCCAAGTCCATGGATTGTCCACGTCCTGTGAATGTTGTTCCGGTTCCATCCTTCTTTTCTCCGTAGTCCTTCTTTGGACTCTGATTCTGGTTCTGACCCGATCCTTGGGTCTGCTGCTGATAGGCAGGGTACTTTTGCCCATAGTTCTGGTTTGATCGGTATGGTCGATATCCGATCTTCTTTAGACGCTTCTCTTCTTCCCGCTGCCTTCGCGAGGAATCAATATCAATGATCACTTCCTTCCACTGTGCATAAGTGGCTGGTCGCGTATCTCTGTCAAGAGCCCTGTCTACGATGGACTCATTGCAGTTGAGTTGAATGAGGTCGATAGTGTGTTTATCTTCCTTTTTTCTGCCTGCCTGCGTGATGTACATTTCCAATTTCTGGAAATATTCCTGTGCCATTCCATTGCCTTGGGTCAAGTTATCCATTTGGATAACTGCTTGTTCGACTCGATTTGAATTGAGGAATTGTTCATCAAGGGCTTTGATCAACAGAAGAAAAGTGACATTCCAGCTGTCCGTGCTAATGTCAAATTCATTCTCAAAATAGTTGTTGATCCAGTCATCAACCTTTGGACCCTTCATGTATGAAAGAGTCATATCGACCTTCTGTTCATCAGTGAGACCGATGTTCTTGGGTGTTCGGAACCATAAGTACAGTTGTCTTTTGAAAGATGGATATTTGTCTTTGGTTCCATCGAAGTCTGAGGGTTTCCCTCCAGATGCCTTTGTGTTTGGCTGTGGTGCAGCTGCTGGTGGGTTGTTTGGCGGAGGCGGAGATGGATTTCTGGGTGGGTTTGGGTTTCCTCCCAGAGGTGGTGGTGGTGGTGGATTTACTCCGAGACTGCCTGTTCCAGATCCAGTAGAACCCATTGGTGATATCAGTGAAGGTGGTGTGGGATTCGTAGGGGATGAGTGTGGCGATGGTACGAGTGGAGGTGGAGATCGACGTGTGTAGTATTGATAGAGTGGTGCAGAGAATTCAAATGAAGACGTGGTGTGTGAACAATAGTGTCTTGTACCGGGCACACAACCCTGTTCTGGTACTTAGATGAGTATAGATCTGAGGTAAAGGTACTCCTTCAAAGTGTTCCGGCCAATTGCCGATCCGGACACACGAGGTAGGTAGATGTAGTAGCTACGTAAAATGGTTTGGCCTTAGAAGGCGCAAAAAGAGAAGTTGATCTCCACGGTAGTTGTCTTTCGACGTGCGAGAGAATCAAAGAATACCAGCGAGGTTCGAAACCTCCTGCCGTACACTCAGTCGTTTAGGTCTGAGCAGGGTAAATTCTGGTAGGATTTTTCAACGGCCCCTCTGTCAAGAAGGTTGCAGCACTGCCTACTTCCTGGTTGCTTCAAGAGCGGACTACCAGGTGAGAGTAATGATTTATATACTAAGGGAATACAAGGGTTGCAATCTACAGGTGTAGTCACGTGATTACCCAGGTGGAGGAATGGAGTGCAATATGAAAAGTAACTAGGAGTGTGGAATTCGGATCCCTCCGAATGAGGTCTTGAGCGAGTAAGAGTGAAGCAGAGTGGGATGAGGAATGAGGTGGTTGCCGTCGAGTACAACGGACTTTGAGTGAGGTGAAGTGTGGGTGGAGAACGAGGCAATGCCTGTCGAGAGAGTGCGAAGGGGCAAGTTTCGAATTATGATAGAACTCAAATCAAACTAGAAATGAGCAGTAGAAAACCATTCGAAACTTGGAGTTAATCTGAAGTTCATCTGGCGTATATATACAACTATTATCTAAATACATGCAGTATCAATGTGTTTGTATATACTCATGGTATCAGTCAGGTTCGAGCATGGATCAATGAGTGTGTTTGGGTAGGTTTTAATAAGTGGTTACAAATGAATAACGAGAGGAAAAGGTGTGTCCGTAGATCCAGAATGAATGTGATCATAACAGTAGCCGTCTGGAACACGTTGTAGACAAAAAAAAGTATAAAACCTCCTCAGACGCTTACTGGCCGAGGAGCCGTCGAGCGGTACCACAAGGTCGGAATGGAGGAGGGGTTTCTAAACCTTGAATCTGGAAGGGGGGTACCTACCCCCCTTCCAGATGTAAACTGCTGCCAAAACACAGCATTTCGCCCTCCGCCGACTCCTTGTTGGCCCTCACGACTCGGCGGCTCCTCTTATGGTAAGAGGATTTGCTGACTCACCCGTTTGCAACGGGAGCTGCGCCATAGCAAGGGTTAGACCCAAGGACCCAATAGGCGCTGGATAAACCCTAGCTCGACCCTACAAACCCTAGCAGTGCGACACGTGGGTTTGGGCATCTAATCTGTTTGACCCTACATTCAAACTTTCTTTATTCGCTGCAAACGGAGCAGGGAACATGAGTTGGAGGGGCTCGTTGGAAGCGGGGAAAACAAAGAAAGATACATTGAAATGCCCTGAGAGACATTACATATGGTAGTAGTATAAGGAACAAATATAAGGAACAATAGCATGAAAGAAGAATGGCGCAAAAAGAAGGTTCAATCAAACAGAACCTTCAGCATGTCAGTGACAGTGGGAACATCAGCCACGTCATCGTCATCTCCGAGGCAGTCAAGCAGACAGACATAACTCGTGCCTTCATGCTCAACGATGTTGTCGGTTTGCCATGGACTCACTTGCAGCTCGCGGTATATTCTGAAGTGGCAAATGCCATCCAGGAGTTCGACCCGATCGAGGAGCATCTGTGCAAATGCTTCATACTCCATTCTCAGGCTTCCCGGTGACTGCTTGTCAACAAACAGCTTTCTGGTCACCTCGCCCACCATTCGTGTGAGTGCGGCCAGATGAAAGTGAGTTCCATCTGTGAATATCTGCAGAGGCTGAGGCCATGGAGGAACATTCTCCGTTTTGAGTCTGACAGGAACGCCATCGGAGCAGCAACCGCGTTTGTGGTTTTCCGTTGAGCCACTAGCCTTTGGATACATGATGGCCTTGCAGCGGGTGCAGGTCATCGCACGACGCTGCCGTTAGAAATTAGCAAGGTCAGTATTCAGCCAGCACGCCGTTTTTGGCTCTGATTGAATTGTGAACTTACTTTCCCCATCCTTTGGGCATCCGCCATATCTTTTCCCAGTTCAACGGCTGTGCAGTGCTTGCTCCAGAAGGTAGTGCTTCCACTTTTCGCTGGAGGACAAACATGGAAGGTGAGTACGACATTCAACGTCCCTTTGAAGGCGTACTATAAGACGCTTACATGTGAAGTTTTGAGTGGAGAGGCGAGTCAAGATGATGGCCTCGATCTCGCTAAGCTTGGTCATCAATGCCCGCGGATTCTTCTTCACCGCCAGAGTAGGAACGTTCAAAATCTGCGCCAGCCGTGTATTGTATTCCTCGGTTGCGAGCACCCAACATTTCGGAGTCATGTTGAAGGAGGCCCATTTGCTCTCGCGACGCATCTCCATGAAGAGGAAGAACTCATTGGCATCTTTGATGGTCAGCGAGTCGATATGAATATTGGTCGCAATTGAGAAGAGCCGTTGCGAGCGAGTCAGTCCGGACATATCGTCAGGAAGCGGCAGTAGCGCAGTGGTCTGTTTGCGCATTTTCGTCTCTGTGCAGGTGACTAAACAGCTGGCACCATCCTGTTGCTCGGCGGTGCATTTGGCAGCAGCAGTACTTGCACCTGCCTTTGATGCAGTACTATGAAGCTGGAAGAAGGGGTGGGTGGGTGGTTGAGGGACCGTTGACTGTAGCGATGTAAGGAGGTGAGTTTATGTTCATCTTCAATTGGCAGCAGCATATGGGCTTACCTGACTTGGACTTGCATAGCGTAGGGTGCTGGTTGCTGGCAGTCCAGGCTGCATCCGCGCTCGCTTTCTCTGTCCTCTCTCAACATTGCCGGCGGTGTCATTCAAAGATGATAACGCCTCCTCCTCACCCTCCTCCTCTTCTGTCACCGTAGTGGGGACCATTCGCTTCTTAGATCGACCGCCCTCCTTCGATTCTTTCGCAGACCTTTTCCTTCGGTCAGTTGTCTCCGGTGGCATATTCTTCATTGAGTCATTGCACAGTTCCTCCGTTGCTTGTTCTTGTGGCGGTGTGTCATCTGGGTCATTGTTATCATTTGTGAGGTCCTGTTACGGTCAGCGGGGTCAGCATGAGAGGTCCACCTAGGGTGCGTTCAAGTGCCATGTCATATAACATACAATGTGTTGAATCTCCCGCATCACAGGCACCTTTACTTCTCCATCTCCTCGTCGATTGACCTGCCCATCGACTCCTAGGTTGACCGAGCTGTCCGTGCGGCTACTTGTTTTGGGCAGATTGTTGGCTAAGCCTTCCGATCCGAATGGTGGGGTGTCAATATCGAAATGACTGCTGTCATTCAGTAGGTCTACTCCCAATATTGCATCTTCAGGGTCTTCTTTAACATCCTCGATGTCCTCCAATTGTAGGAGACCCCCAAAAGTGGCATTGTGGCGTGAGGCAACCAAACCAAATGTCTCACCGCTATCAATGATGAGCAGCTGCGGCAGATGTGCCAACATCTGTGTCGCAGTTGTGCTATTACCGTGAACCTCTAGTACCTTTAGCAGCAGGGCATTCCACCGTTTGGCAACATGCGATATCAGAGCAAGATGGTGAGAGCCGAATGTTGATGCAATAAATATGTCCTGCGAGCTGATCGGTTTGCGTGCCATGATTCGCAGGTTTCGGCGCAGGACAAAATCATGACCAAGGGCAACCATGACCTCAAGTCCGCAGGGTTGAGCATGCATCAGGGTGTTCCATCCCTTGTGCGTTCCCTCGACACGGCTTCCATCTGTCTTGATGTCGACATTCAAACGCTGTAGGCAACCTTTGCGAACGTGCGACAGCTGCTCTAGGTGAGTCTGACAAAGCTCCCAAGGTAAGTCCGGCCTTCATTACTGGCTTCCAGTTATAGGTGACTCACTGAAGCTGCACCTGCAGTCCACACGTCCCCTTGTCTTGTCCACTTATTGAACGCCGCCACCAACCGTCGCTCTTGCTCATTCCGATCCCAGTAGGTTGCCGGCTGATCTTTTGTAGCATTGCTCTTGAGTATGGCAGCACTGATGTCCTTAGCGACCTCTGCCCGGTGAGGATTCGAAGATCCTTTCTGTATGGAGGTGATGTATCTATTCTCTCCCGCTCAGCCGCATTCTAATGTATATATATGTAGTGGAATAATATACCTCTTTTGTGCATGGAATACGTCAAGGCCGACTTGAATGTTTGGGACACCTTTCTGCATCCTCATGCGTACTTGGCAGCAGTTATCGGCAATACCCTCTGATGGGAGAGGCACCTCAAGCCTTTCATGGCGGTGAGTAATACCTGCTAAAGCTTCCGTAATTTCTGCTCCTGATTGGGTTTGACACAGTCGCTGATTGGATTGCCTTAGCAAGTATCCATTTCGGAGTGAAGATTGCGACTTACCCAGGATATGATAAGGGTATCCTCATTCACAACATTGAGCAGACCACCTTTCATGACTTTGGTATGTGTCCGCTTTGAATCAACAATCGCTGCCTTTAGGGCAAACTTGAAGGTGGCATCCAGTGAGAGACAACGTGCTAGGGTAACGGTCAGTACATTGGCTGCATGACTTTAGAGGGGCTTCGAAACCTCACCCTTCAATGTTCGAAGGAAATCGGATGACTCGCGTTCGCGCGAATGAGACACAAACTCAAGGTAGATTTCGCTAATCATATCATGACTGATAATTTTGCCGTTGTAGCCGTTCACATCATTTGGCGCAGAGAAGGGTTCAAGCATAGGCAGCTTCATCAGTGATGTCATCTCATAACGAGCCTCCATGGCATCAAGGTACTCTAGCATTCGTTGCTTGTACTCTAGGAGATGGAGTTCTGAATATGCAAATGGAAGAGTCAATAACTGATTGAAGGTGGTATATTATGACGTACGTTTGATATGTTCTTCAAGACCTGATGCAGTTAATCCAGGTCGAAGCTCTACAATGAAATCAAACAGCTCGTGTGTGACTGCACACCGTTTGAAGAAGTATGGGATGGCACCTGGTACAATCGGTATATGTTAGCTTTATCCTATGACAAAGATCAGGCAACTTACGCGGTATTCTCCAGTGCTCCCACTTCTGCCAATACAGGTGATTTGTCGTTGCACAACATGTATGGCGCTTCATGAGTGGTTCAGCTGATATGTTGAATGCTTCGCAGGCTTTGCATCGTAGTTGCACCCCAAGGACATCTTCTTCAGAGCGAATACCATATACTTCACGAGGCCCTGTTGTTGTCCAGCCTTCCCACACAACGTCAGTGGTAGTTTCGCAAACAGGACATTGTGCAAGCCTCGGAAAGTAGAAAGGATGGATAATTGTAATCGGTCGAAGGTAGGCTTGTTTCGCATGAATTTCTGGTGCGTTCTCACGTTTGAAGCTATCCAGAAATGTTGGTGGTAGAAACCGCGGTCCGTGCAGTGGTATTCCAAGTTTCAGCGATGGTGGGGAGGTCTTCTGCAAGCTCTTTGCATTGGCATGAACACGAGTCTCGGCATGAACATAATTGACATAGAGAACGACATTTGCTTCCCATGTGAGCTGTGCTACCGCCTTCGACTGATGAATACGGTTGGTCAGCCATTTTTTGACAAGCTTCTCAACCTGTATTTGTATAGTCAAATCTGTGCCACAATGAGTGACTTGAAATAGACCTTACATCGTCATCCCACTTCTTCTGAAAGTCTTGGCAGCGAGATATGCCGGTGAAAGTATTTCTGATGGTAGCCGTCACAGACTTTGGATCAAAGTCGGTCATGCTTTGTATCTCAAGAGTGCAGGATGAGTGAACGAGAAAAGAGGTAGGTGCTGGTAAAAGTCTGAATACAATGCTGTACTATAGGGGCTTTTAATAGCGGAGGTTTACCCTAATGCATAAATCTCATTTCGGCAAGCTGTCATGCAAATGGCGAAGATAAATTCTGAAACTCCTCGCTTAATACATTTGATAGCTAACAAGTGCACCTAGCAATGGTACTACAGGGATTACAATAAAGAGAGGCCATTTGAGTCAGTATCCAAGGACCTTTCTCAACAAACTACCATTGGACAAATCTGAACCTGAACAGTCTATCCTCAGCTCAAACAGGTTGCACTGAAGTAAAAAATGCGTATAAAATTTGGGTACCTGTAGGAGACCGCTTACAGTGAAGCGTAAATTGAACACGGATCTTTTGACCAATGGGAACATCAGCAGAACTAATGGGCACAGCACTGTTGCCATTGACATCGAAGAATGGCAGAACAGTAGGCTAAAATTATCGAGGAGTGAGAACGCATGGAAGAAAATACATTTGACTAGCTTACAATATTTTCAGTGACAATGTCACCCGGCCGCCATTTCAGCTGGAGACTCATTGCACCTGTTTCTTGATCTACCTTGAGAAGCTGAGAGATATCGCGGGGGGATTCTGCCCTTCGAATAACTGAACAGATCACGGCCTCGACATCAGGCCAATGTGTTCTCGGTGTATCTTGCCTCTCCTCCAACCAAAATGAAGCAGTTCTTCGAACTTTGTCACCGTCCAGATTACTAAAGCGGCCGTCTCCACAAGGGATGACGAAACAGCCCTTGCGGATATTAATTTGCCCCATGGCGCTGAATGTTAAAGGAATATCTTCGAGCCACAAACCCAACCTGTGGTCAACAATTGGCAGGCTGAGTCTATGAGCGCAAACCCAGACATTGTCTGCTTCCTGTGTGAAGGCAATGTCCTCGAGAGGGACACGCAGCAGAGGTTCATTTGAGTCCACCGGCTCAGTGGAAACAAGGGACTGGTTGTAGATGGGTAGCATTAGTCTGAGCATAGCAGAAGACAGATTGGATAGGATTCAACCTCGACATCCACATTTACTTACCACACTGTCTTGCTTATGGCGGTGAAGCACGATCACAAGTCCAAACAAGGCAACCTCAGTGAATGATGGAAAACCTTCTACGAAAACCTTCTATGCAGGAAGACGACAAAGCAGGACATGCCTCCGGATGATTCGGCAGAAACAGCTGATGTATTTATAAAGCCGACTGTTAGTAGGCAGGGTGAAAAGTTTGAATACCATTGAGAAAACCCTGGGCGGCCTCTGGCCAGGCTCGACGGAAACCCCCGAGGCTTGTCGCGCCGCCTTCGGCGGCGGAAAACCCTTGCAATGACCCAATTACCGTTTGCAACAACCTGCAACGCCGTCAATTTTCGACGTTACGGATTAGCAAATTTTGCAGACTCAATGCAGTGCATCCGTTTGAGGTCCGCTTTATATCTAGAACTCGCCATAAATGCTACGGAAAGGCATCCAGTAATAAACAATTGTAGACGCACTTTGAAGACCAAGTAATCGGAGTTTGAACATTATCACTTAACCTACCATGTTGCTATCACAAGACCTCGGTCATAATAACTCACGACTCGACTTTCAAGCTGTTGAGTCAATGAATGATACTGAGCACACTTTAAGCGCCACAGATTCATTACAGAAAGCGGCCCAGCTACATATTCAAAATACAAGCATAAAAGAATCATTCCACGGCATCCCTGCGTTGGAAAGCCTGCATCCTGAGATATACTTTTAAGTCCGCTGTTTGAGTCTGGTATACGGCCCTCACACTGTTCGGATGAGCGCACAGTTGGTACGAACTACTATCTGCTTCTCCTTGAAATGAAATCGTTGACCTTCATTTTGCGAGAAGCCTTCTCCAAGAACGCCTAAGCTCTTCCTGCGGATTTAACTCAATCCCGGACAAGTTCGCCAGCTTATTGCAGAGGTGTGGTGATAGCCACCCCTCGATTACTGGAACCATCCCCAAAGAGATCCAGAGGTCGGATTGCTAGGAGACAACAGTCTCCGAATTCTTTGGCTGTTCTATCCTTCATGTCGTCAGACCCAGAGGGTTTCCGGTGAAAGCGCTGTTTCCACGCAAAACCATTCAGACTCGGGATCTATGCGACATGAGGATTCACAGGAATATTTGCTGGCCTCATCGATGGCAGAGCATCTTGGAAATGGCTTCCTCATGGTTATTTCGCCAATGCAGGCTAATCACTGTCTAGGATCGCGGGTGCGCGCTTTGTAAATGTTATCTCTCGTGGCCACTGGGTATGGGTCGCTGTTGGACCCTACCCAGGAATTCTCTGGGCCTACGTGCACTTGGCCTGAGGCTCGAATGATCAAGTTGCGAAGCAACCAGGAATTTGGGTCCGCTGATGCATGTCTCAGAAGAGCCTTTGTTCATTGAGTGTGGCTGGTCCGTGGTCCGAGGTGCCAAAGCAAGCAATTATGCCCCCTCACCATTGTCTCGCGGTAGGGACAACTGAATACTCTGTTACAAAGTACGGAACATATGGGAAACTGGCTCAGCCGCTAGAGAGGCTTTGTCTTTCTTGCGAATATGCTTTTGAAGCTAATCTCGTACTTAGTTCTCAGCGACGGGCAACAAACTCAAGGTCTCAACGTCACAGGCCACGGAGTGTGACGAGTGGCAGACCGTGACGTTCTGTGTGGAAATTAATGGCACGCGCGCCAGTCTGAGACATGCTCTTTGTTCTACCAACTTCATCTCTTTCGCCTGCTCGTCCTCCTCTGAAGTGTTTTCACCGTTTAGAAGTTGCTCTCGCTCTCAGCGTCATCGTTTTGCTCGAGGCATCATTCGTCGAACTCATATATATTCCAGCCACGGACAGGACGTATCTATTCTTTTTTTCCAAGGTACGAGAATAGAATATTCCACACTGAGTACGCTTTGACTTGATCGAGCAGCGTGGTCAAACACCACAGTCAAATCCACTCTCAATTTCTCTTTGTCCTACGCCTTTCCGTTGCTAACCCTGCTCTCAAATTTGCTATAAGTTTGCCGTCAAAAATATTACAGTATGTCATTCATCCCCTCCCCCCTCGCTAATCATGCCTAACTTGGCTCACCAACCCATCTCTGTAGACCCCCCGTCTCCCTTCGCGACCGATACTACACGTCCTCCTCGACCGGTCCCCAACTCTCCTCTACAGTGTCTTCTTGCAGGTTTCCTACACTTTGCATATCTCATCCCATACTACACAGCACTCCGTAAGTGGCTCGTGAAAGAAATGACTGGCCTTTTCATTGGTCCTGCCCCTTGTTCCGTACTTTTCTCCTTGATGGTACCGTCCAATCCAACTTGGCAAGACCGGCCGATACCTGATCTTATCCTTCCTCCGGTGCCCTCTGGGGGTCTTGAGAGGCATATGTATCAGCCCATCGTAAGTCACATTTTATAAATCATCCATGAACACACACTGATGATCACGCCACAGTGTGACGCTGTAAATAACGCTGAAGTCTGTCCAGGATTCAAACTCATGTGTGTTGCAAACACGAGGGATAAGGAAGGCTGCAAGCTGCGTCCTGATCTTGCGCTCGTCGCGGAAGATGTTGTCGATGTCAACGACTTCAGCGTAATGGATCTCTGGGGAGAAGTGAAACCCCGGCGCGACGGCGATGCATTCCACAAGTCTTACAACAGCGAGGACATCGACCTGGACTCGGTGGAGAAGATCGAAGGCAAGAGCGCCGACTGTCGTGGACAACTGATCTCGTATGCTGCTGCGGCTATGTCTCGTCAACACAGGGTCTTCATGTTCTCTTTCGCCATCTGTGGCAAATATATTCGTTTCTCACTCTGGGACCGTGCTGGGTGTATTGTCACCGAATCCATCGACTATCTGGAGCATCCAGAACTCGTAGCCGAATTCTTCTGGAGGTATAGCCACATGAATGCCAAGGAACGCGGATTCGACGTCACCGTCCAACGTGCTACTCCAGAGCAGGCGGACCAGCTAACGGATGCAATGGAGACTTACATTGAGCTATCGAGGCCCCGCAATATGGAATTTCTTCGTGCCAATTCGGATCCCACTTATTCTACCTACCAACTTTGCATGGACGACGAAGAGGGGAAGCTTCAATATTTCATCATCCGTCAACCATTCTGGGATGCGGACTCGGCTAATGGGCGTGCTACCAGAGCGTATGCTGCATACAATATAACGCAGAACAAGCTGGTGTTTCTGAAAGACTGTTGGCGTACCGAAGGCAAGGATATCATGTGCGAAGCTGACATATACAAGCACTTGTTGGACTGCGATGTTCCATTCCTGCCGGAAGTCATCCTCGCTGGTGATGTGAGGGTCGACGGCGATGAACAGCGAACATTCTGTGATGAGTGGTCAAAGCCTGATAGCTTCCCCGAGTGGCGCCTACCTTGCAAGCCGTTACGGACATACGTACACTGTCGAATTGTACAAGAGCTTGCATACCCTATCGCGTCTGTCCAGTCTTCACGGGAAGCTGTTCAAGCCTTCCGTGACGTGGTTGAATGTATGTCTCTTCTCTCGATGCGGTTTTTTCATTAATACTCAACGACCTTTCTACCATCACTATAGCAATAAAGGTTGCATACGAAGTCGGAGACATGTTTCATCGAGATATCAGTACAGGGAATGTGATGATCAGCAAGAAGGGTCGAGGTGTTCTCAATGACTGGGACCACGGTATCAGGCTAATTCCTGATCGGGAACCCCATGCATCTCGAACGGTATGTTTTAGTTCAAGTAGAGGATATATCGATGCTGATTGCGCCACAGGGAACTTGGCAGTTTATTTCTATGGCTTTGCTTCAAGAGCCCGACAAGTCCCACGAGGTTCGCGATGATCTCGAATCTTGTTTCTGGGTCCTTCTCTACGTCTCCCTCCACTATTTCAAACACAATGGCCGTGACGTGAGCTTTTCGCTTGGTTTTTTCGATGAAATCAAAGAACGGAAGGTAGCGGGCGAGGCTCAGTATCAGTCATTCGGCGGCAACTTGAAAGCTTCTCTTCTCGGTGGAAAAGAACTTGACGCGGTACACTGGGAGTGTGGTCCTCTCGACCAACTCATCCACACTCTGGCGAGGTTATGGAAGATGGCTCACGTCTTGGATGATGATGTAGTTAGCCTAATGGGTGGATCCCAGAGGGACATCCTCTTGAGCGCTCTGGACAAGGTCTCAATAGTGCTGGATATGTTTGACACCGCGCTAGCATCTGAAGGGTGGAAGGACAAGGACGCAATTCCCGACCAATATCCTAGCGTATACCAGCGAAACGTGGACCAGGCCATCGCAAAAGAGAAGACGGGATATATTGCCAGTTCCGTCCGCGAATCTCAAGCTACAGCTCTCACCGGGGGAGCAACAACTAGTCACGCATCTCGTCGCCACGTCGCCACTCGGTCTGGAATTCCGCAACGCTATCAATCGAATATTCGCCCGACAGCCGAACAACTGGCCTTCTTGCAAGGACTTGCCATACCGAAGACTTCATGTAGCACGAAGAGAACCATAGACAATGTTCAAGCGGGGGAGTATAAAGTGCCTGTTAGTAGCTCAAAGCGAATGAAGACTGGGGACTCACCATTATCATCAGGCCAACGTTCAACTTGCGAACCTCCTGCGCTCGCTGATCCGCCTGCTTCTCCCATCAAACCGCTCACCAGACCATCTCTCCCTTCTGCTCCAACTTCCTCTTCTTCCAGGCCTTCATGCCTTCCCACCGATGCCGGCCCGTCACACATTGAGAGAGTGCCTACTCCTCCCGCATTCCGCCACCGTTACTTGACCCGCTCGAAAACAAAGCCCAATAATGTTCAGGCCGAGGACCTGGAGAACAACGTTCAGGAGGTACCTCTGGAGGACGTTGAGATGAAACAATCTGAACATCGGTACCCGACGCGTTCAAAGTCGAACGACAAGCACCCTCGCCCACAACGTCCGCCGAATCCATCGAAGGCTCAGGTTCAAACCGTGCGGAGTGGCAAAAGAGATAATAAGTCAGCCGGGAAGGGTCTCAAGCATGCACCTCAGGAACACGTTGAAATAGTACAGGTTGAACATCGGTATCCGACTCGTTCGAAATCGAACGAGAAACATCCTCGTCCTCAGCGTCCCCCGAGACCATTGAATGTTCCAGCTCGGATGCAAGAGAGTGTCAAGAAAAGCAATAAGCCGACCACCAGCGGTAGTAAACGAACTCAGGCTAAGTCAAAAAATCGTCGACGACGTCGATGATCATTTGATTCCTCTAAGCTTTGTGAATCGATTAATTCCTAGCTGAACATTGCCTGTATCTGGATACTGAAATACGGGCCATTACTGCATTGTTGTAAAGCGTGTATTCACCACTACTCATAGGATGGTCTACTAAATTGGTGAATTCTTGGCTCATCCACCTCCGCTTGCAGTGAGAGGACAGCTAGGTGCCAGGCCACAGTGAACGTACTGGATATGTGATGATCATGGTCGAGTTGTGATGATTTCTCCCGTCTGCCTCGATGCAGTGACTTCAGGTTGTCCTTCAGTTACAGATGGAAATAAATGAGGACGAGGGACTTCACAAGGGCAAAGGCTATTACTGACGAAGCTTGCAAGACATTCTCACGAGACCCTCAATCCTTGGATTTCAGTGGTCCTTGTCTCGTCAAATGATCCCAACCATCTTCGCTTCAATGACATGACGTAGGTAATGTGGATGTCTACTACTGAACTGGGCTGCAGTGTTGCACTCCGCGACAGTATATTCCCCAAAATATCAGGGCGTATGATTTATCATGTATGCCTGTGCGTAAAACCCAGTCGGCAATGTTGTCGGACAAGATAGGCCAGAATGACCATAACCATTTCAACGTGGACCTACGACGCGTCGACGCGTCTCGCGACACGTGTAAGGAAGGCGTTGCATCCGTAGCCCCAGCGGGACTGGTTACAGAGTGGGTCAGTCAAACAGCACAATACCTATAGGCATATAGACTCACTTTGCATGCATCCACGAAAAAGGCTTGTGGTCTTGATATCCTGATACCAACAAGGAGTAAGACGAGAGTGGGTGATAGTGGTCAAGAAAAAGCTGTTCTAGAAATAGAACTGACCTGAAGACAACTCGATATTCTAACGGGCATGGTAAAGGACCGTTGAAGGATATATGTACTTAGCTGGAAGACAAGCAGAACAGACCCGCTAAGCAACAGATATGTCCATAACGCGGGAGAAACATGACATGGTTCAATACACAAGCTATACTTGCATAGAATTCTAACAAAGAACAGAGTTTGCATGAGAACAAGAGCATCCCCCAGAGGAACGGCAAGGCAAAAAGAGCAAGACTAGCATGCCAGAAAGCGTGACCTTGCGACCGATACAGAAGCGAGCCCGAGGGTGTCTAGAGGAGAGCTTTCAAAGGAAAACAAATGAGTAAAATTGTCCGTCCCAGGGATGCTTACCACCACATACAAAGGTCATTTACCGCACGTAGAGGAATTTTCCGATCACGTCTGCAAGCGATATCCTCCATGTGTAACACACCGAGCCTATCCATAACCACAAACTTGGACTCGACAACTTTCTTGACCCCCGGAGATGGTCATTCATGACATGGGTGGAAGTTGTGTCTTCAACGACAAATGTCAACGACCGTAGACTAGCAAATTCCCGGAGTTCAACCCGAATCAGAGTCCATTGGGCGTTGCCGCTTCGCGAGTTCTTGAATGCGTTGCGGTAACGATTCTTCGGATCGCTCATCAAGATAAGGCTTACTGTGAACTGCTCAACGGATTTTGGGAGACGTCGCAGGACGGCGTGGAGATAGGGCCAACCGTGCGAAAAGTCGTCCACCTGCCTGTTGTCCACGAAGTGCATCAGCCCGTGTAGCAAAATCATTCATCGCGTAAATATCAAATTAACTTTCAGCTTCCTTGCTTGCATGATACTTTGCCATATCGATTTCCAAGTGTGATAATGTGTGCCGCAGGTCGACGGACAGAGGTATATATATCTTCCTGTAGTCGAAACGATAGAGGACAGCGGTGAATTCGTGAAGGGTGTATATCGCTTGAGTCTTCCTGAGCATACGGACAAAATCAGGATTAGGCACCTCCAGATCCGGGTTGGGGCTTAGAGTCAATGCATCCAGCTGTAAGGCTCTGTGCGAAGCGGGAAGATCGTCACTGATCGGTGCAAGAACGAGAGCAAAATTCACTCCGCACAAATCGAGTTCCTCTACAGCAGAATGCCGCATACGATATCGAAAATTCCTAAAGGATGCAATCCGATATCCTCACCAAACTCCACGTAAAGGCTAAGGTCCACGAAGGTCAATTTCTGAATGGCTCGAGTAGTACGAGGAGGCCAGCGTTCGAGCAGCTGTCCGCGCAGACCGGTTTTCAAATTTCAGCTCTGGATCCCAAGAGAGCGTGTGAGTCTCAAGCTTGCGGAGGATGTAGAGCTTCTCCAGGATGACATTCAGCATGTAGGGACCAATGGTTCAGTGATTACAGTGCGCGTAATCGCTCTCATTGTAGTCTAGAGATTCGCCCGTGAAGTACATTCATCGATAAAGTCCCAGACGAGAGGATTATCAAGAAGAAACTGGATAAATTGGTCATATCTTCCTTGCGAACGGTCAGCTCGCCAGCGTACCCATATGATTCAGAAGAGGTAGTAACGCGACCTGGTGAGCCATGTACGAGACAAAAGGGCGCCGACGCGAAGAGCATATCTGTTGGTGCGTAGGTTGTCAATGATATGGTCGACGTTAATTTCTCCTGGCAGAGTCAGTGGTCGTTGCGCAACCTTGCAGTCGAATTCCATCGGGAACAGAGGAGGAATCGTAAATCGAACTCACGCCCGGAAACCAAAGCTGATATTCACATGACATCTCCCGCCGCTTTAGCCCCACATCCGGATGCCTTTAACCGCGCTTCATCGGGCCTGTTTCGGCCATCGGAACTTTACCCCAGATTTTGCCCCAGGTTGACCAAAGGATATAAGTATCCTTCCTTTTGATCTACATTTTCTTTGACCTTGCTTGATCCATCGACTGCTTGAATCATGTTGCGTACCGCTGCGAGGTCGTTGAAAACAAATCCCATCGCTCGGACATGGGCTGTTATGCCTAGGGCAGCCAGGTAGCGTTTCATTCGACCTTGTGGAGTGGACGAGTCTGACAAGTCGAATAGGACATTCTCTCGTTCGTCGGTGGTATCGTCTCAGGCTGTTCTGAACTCTCTGGATACCTTCACGGATGAGGAGCAAATGCTTCGAGAGACAGGTTCGCAGGACCCCTCTCTTCTGTGATTGCAAAAGAGTTCAGCTGCTGAGCTCTTGACGTCCTCAAATCATAGTGCAGAAATTTGCCCAGGATGTGATAGCACCAAGAGTGCGCGACATGGATGAAAACGAAATGATGGATCCTGCGGTCATCAAGGGTTTATTCGAGGCCGGCGTACGTCCGTCCAGACTTCGAAGCACTTATGTACACGCTATTGATCCCGCATTGGTAGTTAATGGGCATCGAAACAAGTTCGGAGCTTGGTGGTGCGGAAGCATCGTTCACCTCTGCTATTATAGCAATTGAGGAGCTAGCGAAGGTCGACCCTTCCGTCTCTGTCCTTTGTGACGTGCACAACACACTTGTGAACACTGTGATTCGCAAATACGGCTCAAAAGAACAACAAGAACAATGGCTTCCCAAACTGTCCGAGTCCAGCGTAAGTCACGATCTCATTTCTCTACACGATGTACGTTTATACATGCCTTTGCATTAGCTTGGGTCATTCTGTCTGTCAGAGTCTGTGTCAGGATCAGATGCATTCGCGCTGCAGACTCGTGCGAAGAAAGATGGTGACCATTGGATTATCAATGGCTCCAAGATGTGGATTACGAACTCCTACGAGGCTGAGACCTTCCTCATCTTTGCGAACGTACGTCGTGGCCCCGTGATTATCAGCGTAGAACTTATCTTCTGACCTGTTTTTATAGACTGATCCCAGTAAAGGGTACAGGGGAATCACTTGTTTCATCGCTACCAAGGACATGGGTGTCCAAATTGCCAAGAAAGAGCAGAAGTTGGGCATTCGCGCATCTTCAACATGCTCACTCAACTTCGATGACCTTAAAATTCCCGCAGAGAACGTGATTGGCGAAGTTGGAAAGGGCTACAAGGTTTGTATCATCGTTCTTGTTACCCATTGCTATCTCTCACTCATGACCGTTCTGTCCTCCAGATCGCGATTGAGATCCTCAACGAAGGTCGGATAGGTATCGCTGCTCAAATGATTGGGCTTGCACAAGGTGCCTTCGACAAAGCGGTACCATATACCTACCAACGGACACAATTTGGTCAACCTGTCGGAACTTTCCAAGGTATGGCGTTCCAAATTGCTCAAGCCGCCATCGATATCGAGACTGCCCGACTCTTGACTTACAATGCGGCACGGCGTAAGGAGGAGGGCAAGGACTTCACCAGAGAGGCTGCTATGGCAAAGTATTGGTCTAGTGTGGTCGCTCAGAAAGTTAGCGGCTCTGCAATTGAATGGGCTGGAGGTGTTGGTTTCACGAGGGAGACGGGCATTGAGAAGTACTGGCGAGATTCAAAGATTGTAAGCGCAACGATTTCATGGATTAGTGTTTCAGAGACTTACGCGTGATTCTTCTCAGGGTGCCATCTACGAGGGAACATCAAACATTCAACTACAGACCATCGCCAAGTTCGTCCAGAAGCAATACTCGTAGAGACGTGGGTATTATTATAAAAACGAGTCCGAAAGCAAGAGTCCTAGTTATAAGGTATTAGCCATTACCCAGCATCCGTTACTCATTACCTCCATCGCTACGCCCTCAATAGCTCAAGTGTATGAATACTAGTCCTGTGCTTGAGGTGTCCGCATGAAGATAAGCATGCCTTCATAGACAGCCCAACCAATAGCTGAACTGAGGACTTTGCGGGTCATTCGTAATGTAGCACCATCGAAGAAGCCTAACGGCCCACGCTGTCGCAATATACTTGCGACTGTCTGAAGTAGGGAGTGGTATTTTTTCTCCGTCCGCACCTGCATTTTGGTCTTTTCAAAGATCTCGTCAGTCCTCAGTCACCGCCAGTCCAAAGAAATCCTCACTTTAACAACATCAAACGGATGCGTCACCATAGTCGCTATCGCCCCTGCGCTTGCCGCTGCGAAGCTATGCAGGCCTGTCGATGCAATAGCTGAATCCTGGGGTATATATCGTGCTGCCAAATATGTTTCATGTTAAGACATACTCAAACTACTGGTTAACGTACCTGATTCTTGTTTGATGGATTCGTAAAAGACCACAAAGAGACCAGCATATGGAGCATCGCGTAATGCAGACGGAACAAATCCGCGGAACATCTCTGAAGGCCCTGCACGTACTAGCGACGTGAAGGCACTTGATAGACTGCTGTATGAGTGGAGATTACTCTGAAAATTATCCGATGGTCAAAGTCAGTTACAAACACAAAAGCTTGATTGATTTACCTCATATCGAGCTTTAAGAATCGTGAATGGGTTCAGAATGAACCCAACAGTACTCCGAGCCAGAGCACCAGCTATCAGATTACCCTGACTTGAGAGCTTCGGCAATACTGAACTGCTGTTTGTTTGTTTTCGCTGAGCAACGGAGAAATGTGGCGAAGAAGCCATGAGAGTCCGAATTTTGGTCAAACCCGTGAAGTATAATGCAACGCCTGGGACATTTCTGCGGAAATTGATTAGATTGAAAGTGACCCACAATCAGTAAAGACGCGTTATACCGTATTATTGTCGCGTTTGTACCGCGCCATAAACCTAATGGACCTTGCGTGTGTATGATCTCGCGTGCGACGCCAAAGATTGTCGTGTTACTGTGAGAATGGTCTTGTTTCACATTCGCTCACACGACAGAGTGAAGTGCATACCGGGCTCGCAGAATATTATGCTCTTCTTGTTGCATGCGCGTTTTCAACAAGTCGACTACAGAAAAACAATTCTAGTAATGAGTACCCAAGGGTAGGGACGAGGAAGACGCACACGGTTGCAGACAAATGCTCGAGGCAAAACCAGACACGGCACCTACGTGGGGACTTCATAATCGCTCGGAAAAATCAGTTGGTTGAGTTACCTGAAAGTAGGTGGTGGCTGACGCTACTCATAGCCTACAAGTCGCTCAACGTTGGGCAGAAAGTGGGATAGTGGTAGAAATGAAACTGGTTGGGGTATGAACCATTTCGGATTCTTCTCTGCTATTTTTGGCAACGCGGCACGATTATCAAACATCACCGGAAGCACCTCGATACGGCAGGTGCTCTCGTTCAGCTTTCAAGCTCAAACCCAAGCGACAAATAATAGTGTTGTTTACGATATATAGTAGAATTTCCGTGTAGGTGCGTACGGATACTGTGACGTAAATACATGAAACAACTACTTGAGTTTGAACTTCTATTCTCATGTCATCGTTTTTTCCCTCTACCCTGCCTCTTTCCGGAGACCTGACTATCCGGAGCATCCAAGAATCCACCCAAATCAAGAGCATTTCGAGCAGATTGATTTATGTGCTTGAATCTATCAGGGCCTAAACGTATACCTCCCCAATATCGAGTTACAACGACCAGAACATTGTTGACGTCCTACACGATATTAAGCAAGTAGCATCGCCATAACGCGCACATGTAGGACTTACAAGGATTTGCAGGAGGTGAGCGAGTCGACCGCCTGCTGCAGTCTCACCATCGTCGTCATTATCTGTCGTGGAATATTAGTGAATGAAAAGTAATATCTTGAGAGCTCATTACCCTGATGAAGTACGTTCCCCACTTGACATCTCCATGCATTGATGACTGGATGTGCGGCCCTCGCTATACGACGATCCGACATCAAATGAGCAAGGACAAGCGGAACCTAAGAAGTATGGATGAGCTCGTTCGAGATTGAGGAATTCACTGGTCTGCAGGCTACTGACTTGGGACGGGTGAGTTATTCGACATGCTCTCCCCACAAAAGAGCTCTTTCGATCTGTGATAGGTTCTGCCTCGATGATCTCAATTCCCTCTGGCATACTGACCACAGATGACCTGCTATCATCAGGAGCCTCATGCACAAGTTCAGCAACTTGCTTTCCCTTCCCTTCCTCCGCATCCACTTGCGCACTTGAAACACCCCGTTCGTCTTCTCTCAGTAGCTCACCTACCGCCTTCTCATTTTTTTGGTGTTCGAACCATTCAGCGCATCGTTCCCTGACCCATTCCAGCCCGTCAAATACACAGACACTGTCTGGAGTCCATTCAACACCTTCGCTTGATATGAACGTGCGAAGGATTGCTCCGAAAAGGGCTGGATCAACGCCGAAAGGACCGATATACCTGGATAACAGTTGAAGCTGCGGCGGAGAAGATGCAGGATAAGACAACGGTAAAGAAACAAGTACGATAAATGTTGTATCGTCGAACGGTGCTGGTAGACTGGAATACAAGCCGTAAGAGAAACAATAACACAGAGAAGGCGTGAGCTCACCTCAGAGTGACTTCATACCGAATGGTGCCTGCATCTCCGTTATTGGTTGAAGAACCGTTGGGTGTCGATTCTGGAGAACCATTAGAAGACCAAAGTTTGATACTTTCGTCTCCATATATGGACTGCAAGACTGCGAATTGAAAGTTTACAAGACCATAGAATGAGCAGTATAAGGCGAGATCAAGGTCTGCAGCTGGAAAGGCAGCTCGCACCCCCTAGTTCCGATGCAATAGGCTCGCGTTCGGGATCCAATGACAATTCTGCTATGAACTCCGTAAGATTAGGCTCGTTTTGGTTTGTGGTTTCATGTTTTGAGAGGGGAGGAGGTGAAGGCATTTTCGCCTTTAATGATCATGGTCCAGCTGAGAAAGCAGAGACGACTCGAGCGCCCACTGCGGTCGTTGTTTACTTACCACCACTATAGGTTCACAGAATTTCTCCTTCCCAACTAGTAATCATTATTTAAAGGGTGAAATCACCTTAAGCTTGCTTTATCTGGTTACTATCATGCACGCGAGCACCTCCAATATCCGCGTGGTTGTGCGACTCCCTTACAACCGACCAGAGGAGCCCGTCCCAGATCCTCCTCGGGTGAGCACCTTGACTGTCCTGGTGTATTACTAGCTGGACGTACTCGAAAGCTAGGTAGAATGGAATCCAGAGAAGGAACAAATTCTCTGGGAAGTCATCGCGAAGTCTAGAGCGGTAGAAGGTGCTGGGACCGATTGTATGTGCATCATTCGCTCATGAAAGTCATAATGATACGACATTGTGTCTAGGGAAGGGTCTTGCAGCCCATCTGAAGGTGCCTCTACCCTACTTACTATTCCGCGCTCAAACAAGATATGAAGAGGACCTACGTGGATTGCAAGGCATTCGCGGCTCTTTGTCGCCTAACGTCACTTCTCCCTACACTCAGTTCGCCAACACGACTACGCTTCCCAGTAAGCAACCGGCTGGTGTGGCGAATGGTGGCGAATATTTCCCGAGGATTCTAACTGTTGAGAGGCCTGGCGTACCTCGCAGAGACTCTTTACGTACAGAGGGGCTCGGCAATGGTGACCTACGATCCTCAATAGTCAGTCCTGGGGGACGTCCTATGGGCGTACGTGCGAGACTCAGTTCCTTAGGAAGTGTGCAGGCACAAGCACGATCGAGACGATTAAGTTCCATGTCAAGTCCAACTGCCAAGAAGGTATTATCATCTTCAACTCTAACATTGCAAGGTCCAAAGAAACCTCGAGAGCCTTTGCGTCGCCTGTCGCCTGCCTCATCTCATGCATCGCCTGAGGATTCTACAACGCCTGACGCTGATTCGGAGGATGAAGACGAGTTAAACGATGAGGAGCGGAGAGCAGAGGAACAGGAGACTCTTCAGCTGAAATTACAGACCCTGCAGAAGATGATGACCATTGAAGCTCTTGGTCTTGTGTCCTCTCCGACACGCGCATCTGCCTCTCATTATTCAGATAAGGGTAAAGGACGAGAACAACATCGCAACCGAAACCGCCCACTGTCTTCCTCATCAGCATCCTCCAGTCGTCATGCTCAACTTCAGCTCAACATGACTCGTAGGTATAGCGCGAGCCAGACACCGAGTCATCATAGCTTGTCAAGTGTAGATGCGAATTCGCCGCAGGGGTCAATCCCTTCAATCCCTTCACCTCCTCCCGAACCTACAAGCAGGCCCAGTACCCGACAAGTACCGCTTTCGCGACATCTTAGTCAACCAAGCAAATCGACCAGTCCTCCTGCCGTTTCTCCTAAGAGTGCCTGGGGACACACTGCTGCAGCGCAGACAAATCAAGGTGCGCATGCGGTCGGCAGGACAAAGGTCGGTGGTGGGCGTGTGAGCGAACGAGGAAGCGAGATGGGCAGTGAGGCATCGAGTTTCAGTGATTTGAGTGGTATGTTATCTTCAACAGCAGTCAGCTACGTTTGATTTGCTGATCGGTAACTGTTATCAGATGCGAGTCTATCAGCCTCTGCGTTGGAAAGTGCACTTATGTCGAATATTCGCGGTGGTGGATCTCGGATGTGAGTATACATCTAGTGTTTACAATTCATGTCACCGCTCACAGCCCTCATCCAGTTCTTCTTTTGCTCGAAGTCAGTTATCTCGAGGTGTCCGTTAGCATACAGCAGTGTTAGAGCTCTACGTAAATACTCGTGACTATAATTCTAGTACGCGTATGCATGTCTCACGCGCACGCGTCTCCTTTTCTCGACACGCTACATTTCTGTTTCCTGCTTGTTCTAGTACTTTCCATGTATTGCCACCCTCAGAATGCAGCTGCTGAATACGTCTGCCTTCTTGCGCTGTTTACGAATACGCAAGCTCTTTCATAAGCCCCCCTTCGGGCATTAGCCTTTCCTTACCCACCACTGCTCCAGCTCCGACGACATTCATTGTCACAACACCCACCTCGCGCCTCCACAATCTAAATAGTCTTTCAGAATCTTTCTTGCTACTTACCATCACTGCGATTTTACCAATACCGACTGCAACTATCATTGGCTTGACATTATGGAGCTTACATTCTTGACAGACCTCGGTCAATCGTTCGTCGTAGAGATCGACCCAAACATGGAGCTGGAGAATGTTATGGCGCTCCTGGAGGCTGAGGTGAGTGCTCGCGAGACCCCTTTTAAGTAGGAATATCTTCATATTGTTCACAGTCAGGTATCCCGGTACAGGAACAGAGCATATCCTACCAGAACCGAGACCTGACCAACCAAAAGGCGACCATGCTGGAGTTAGGCGTCGGCGATCATGCAATGTTACTACTGCGAAAGAAGGTTCAAATCGCGGGCAGGTACGTAGCCACAGTTAAGCATCATGGATTCACGAATCGAGGTTTAGTTTAAATTTCAGGGAAGCTGCAATGGATTCAGAGATGATGCGCTTACAACTCCTTGGCGACCCAGCTCTCATGCAACAATTACAGGAGGTGTGCCTCGTTCTCTTTAGACAATTATTTGAGCCTGTACTCATCTCTCGTTTGTATGGTCAGACAAACCCTGAAATCGCCGCCGCTGCTCGAAACGATCCTGCCCGTTTCGCTGAACTGCTGAGACAAACGCGAGCGCGACACATCGATACCGACGCAGAGATCGCGCGTTTGAATGCAGACCCTTTCAATATTGAGGCTCAAACGAGGATCGAGGAAGCGATCAGGCAGCAAGCTGTGTTGGAAAATATGGAACATGCCTTGGAGTATTCGCCTGAGTCGTTTGGAAGGGTTACTATGCTCTAGTAAGTTCCGTTCGCTTTAAATATCATGGATAAAGACTGATCTTTCCACGTTATCAGTATTCCTGTAGAGGTCAACGGACATCCTATCAAGGCCTTCGTAGACAGTGGTGCCCAACAAACCATCAGTATGTTGTTTTCTTGTCGCTTGGAATCCACGGCTGCTCATTGAAATCCTTCCAGTGAGTCCGGACTGTGCAGAGGCATGCGGGTAAATAATGATTTAACATGCTACGCAACGAGATGCTCACATTTCCCACCCAGTCTCATGCGCCTAGTGGACAAACGATTCTCTGGTATCGCAAAAGGTGTAGGCACAGCGAATATTCTAGGGCGGATTCACTCAGCACCAATGAAAGTGGCTGATCTGCATCTTCCATGTTCTTTCACAATCATGGAGGTAAGAAACCTCTTTCTCTTTTAACCTCGAACATTTCTCAAAGGTTTGTCTGTAGGGCCGAGACGTTGACCTACTCTTTGGTTTGGACATGTTGAAGGCACATCAAGCATGTATCGACCTCGAGAAGAATGTTCTTCGAATACAAGGTCGGGAAGTCAGTTTCCTTGCAGAACACGAGCTTCCGGAGAAGGCTCGGCATATGGACGCAGGCACACTTGAAGAGGCGTCCAATCCGCAAGCAGGGCCCTCCTCGAGTGGTGCCTCTTCAGCGCCGCAACAACAGCACTTCCCAGGCTCGGGTCACACGCTTGGCTCGACACCTGCACCGGGCATAGGACGAGGTGCACCCGCGGCAGGTGCAGCTGTCGCTCAGTCGAGATACCCAGAACAGGCAATCAATACGCTCATGGGACTAGGTGTATCAAGAGAGGTGGCAATCAGTACATTGGAGGCCGCCGGTGGTAATGTCGATGTTGCAGCCTCATTGTTGTTCTGATTCAATTCATTCATCGGACATAAGTGTATAGCAAAGAAACTGAATTGAGTCTATTGTACAATACTGATACATCCATAAGAATACACATTACACTGATATCCACCGTATATAATGGGTATAAAGATAAATAAGAAGAGACGTCAAATGAGGCTAACAGTCGTCCGTATCAAACCTCCCCTCCAATCTCGCATACCTGCTGACCTTCGCTGTGCCCAGTCAGCCTGCATTCGGGCGAAAGCGTCCTGAATATGTTCCGGACGTAGAGGGGTTCTCTCTTCAGGTGGTGGAAGGAAAAGGGTACAGACAGGTAACGGAGAATCATCGAGTTCATCAGAGTCATCTCTCCGCATACGCTTGGCGTCTCCACCTGGTCCAAAACTCGTGTTCTTACGCTTTCCAAGAAGGGGAGATGAAATGACGCGGATATCGTCACGGAGGTATTGCTCTTCGAGTGATTTCTTGCCTTCAAGTCCGGCTATAGTGAGAGAACGGACCATCTCGAAGGCAAGAAAGCCGACAATGTCAACAGTGTCGTCATTCGCTCTGAGATCAAGGTGTGCAGGTAGATTAAGGAAGTCACGAAAACGCTTGGCTTTACGATAAGTGAACGAAGCCTGACGACAATCAGAGTAGTGTTGATATTCAGCCCGTGTCATTTGTCTTGTTGCATCATCCGCTTCCTAACGAATGGTTAGCAGAGTTCATGAAGCTTCAGGCAGAGGACAGATCACTTTGAGCCGTTGAATTGAGGCTTCGTGCGCCTCAATGTCGTCTTCGTCCTCTTCGTCGTCGGTAGCAAGGACATCAGAATACATGGTTAGAATTTCCCAAGGAAGTTTGATGGTAATTTTCTGCGCCTTGGAAGCCAGTTTATCTATGTTGCTGGGTTAGAGGTGGGGAATACAGGGATATTTCACGGACGTACCATCAGCGCCGTCTTCGAGAGTTTCAACTTCTACCCCTCCACCTCCGTCAGCACCGTTATCCTTCGCATGTTTCCGTACATCTTTCCAAGATAGATACGTGCGTAACCGATTGACCTTGGCCCTGTCATGTCGGATAAGAAATATGAGGTCCTCCGCCGAAAGGTACCGTGCTCCACGTCGCGAGGCCAATGCCCTAGCTTGAATTATCTTCACAGCAAGATTGACAGATAGCTCTGACTCAAATTCATGTGTGCACGTACCAGTTCAATGATTTGGCTCCGAACTATATCCTCGACCAAGTTCACTGTTTCTGCCATGGGTTCTTGGACTTCGCCAAAGACGAACATCATTTGAGAGATCTCTGTAGAGTACTTGTACTCTCTGATACCAGGTACTTTGGTCGTCGCCATCGTAAAGCACGTTTGCGAAAGGGTTTACAGGATGAGAGTTAGTGAAATGAGCGCAAGGTGCGACTGAGAATAGGTCACGATGCTAGCGGGTCGGCGAAATCCGATCAATCCCCTCCATCCACAAATGGTCGTGTGTAGTTTGGCCGCGATTCTTGTCTTCCTTCCCTTACCTCCTCACCGTTGCTACTGATATAATCCTTCGTTTTGCACCTCGTGAATCGCAAAGCGTGTTTCTTTAAGGATTGGCAGTATAAAAACCTCGGAAGATCCTAGCAAAACAAATCGTCTGACGAGCTTGCCCCGAAAATCATGACAGAAGGTGAAGATCCTGGTCGTCGACCGACGTTTAACCGTTGACGATACTTCCGGTCAGGTTCAGTTGACCATGCAGTTCTGGACGCTTACGTTCGTTAGAATCACTGAATAGGCCAGATGCCATCAATGTCCTCGATATTCAGTCCCCAAAATAACCACGGCCTTGAATGTGACCTCTGCCGCTTCGGAGCACACGGCAGAGCGTTGTTGTCTTCTTCACCACAACGTCAGGAAGCCTTTCCCTTGTAACCTCGAGAATGTCGGGTAATAACCCGAACTGCCAGTGGAGTGGTTTCTCCGCCTCTCTGCGGGACGACCTTGGCGGTTTTGCCTTCTACACGCCTCCTACGAGGTATATAAGTGCTCGACTTTGGTAACGAAAGGATCAGAGTCAACAGCTCCTCGATTGCATTCGAATCACATCAGCTCTCAGTACGCTCACATCCTGCTCCTCTACATATCTCATCGACTAATCACTCTTGTATTTCTAGGGTATCCTCGTTGGTCTACCGGTCTTCTCGACACCCGGACATCTCGATCATCTAGTGAGTCTATCTCACCATTCATTTTTGTTTCCCATTTCTTACTGGGCTCCCTAGACCATGTTCCGCACCGCAGCCCTCCTCTCTTTCACTTTCCTCGCTACTGTGTACGGTCAGCAGGCCGGTACTCAGACGGCTGAGACCCACCCCAAAATTTCCATCCAGCAGTGTACCGCCAGTGGTTGCACTACCCAAAACTCCGCTGTCACTCTCGACTCGAACTGGCGTTGGCTCCACACCACCACCGGTTACACCAACTGCTACACCGGTAACGATTGGGATGCTACCCTTTGCCCCGACCCCACCACTTGCGCTTCGAACTGCGCTCTTGACGGTGCTGACTACGGTGGCACTTACGGTATCACCACTACCGGCAACGCTCTCACCCTCAAATTCGTTACCGGCAGCAATGTCGGCTCTCGTGTCTACCTTCTTGCTCCCGGGTCAGACACTACCTACCAAGAGTTCAAACTCAAGAACCAGGAGTTCACATTCGACGTCGACATGTCCAACCTTCCTTGTGGACTGAACGGTGCAGTCTACTTGGTCAACATGGATGCCGACGGTGGCATGGCGAAGTTCCCCACCAACAAGGCTGGTGCCAAGTATGGTACTGGTTATTGCGACTCTCAATGTCCCCACGATATCAAGTTCATCAACGGAGAGGTGAGAATTTGACTTTCGATGTTGTCATTAATCCCTGCTGACCATCATCTTTCAGGCTAACATTGTTGGCTGGAACGGTACTTCCGCCAATGCTGGTTCAGGTCAATACGGTACCTGCTGCAGCGAGATGGATATCTGGGAGGCGAATCTCAATGCCGCTGCCTACACTCCACACGTCTGTAACTCACAGGGACTGACCCGATGCGAGGGTTCCCAGTGCGGTGATGGTGATGAGCGTTACTCCGGTGTTTGTGACAAGGACGGTTGCGACTTCAACTCTTGGCGTATGGGCGACCAGACGTTCCTCGGAACGGGCCTTACCGTCGACACCTCGAAGAAGTTCACCATCGTCACCCAGTTCATCACTGCCGACAACACCACCTCCGGCGCGCTCTCTGAGATCCGCCGTCTCTACGTCCAAGACGGTACGGTCATCCAGAACTCCAAAGTCAACATCCCCGGCATTGACCCTGTCAACTCCATCACCGACGACTTCTGTTCTCAGCAGAAGGAGGTCTTCGGCGACACCAACTACTACCAAACCCTTGGCGGTATGGCCAAGATGGGTGACGCTCTCGACCAGGGCATGGTTCTCGCATTGAGTGTATGGGACGACTATGCAGCCCAAATGCTCTGGCTCGACTCCGACTATCCCACCGACGCTGACGCTTCCAACCCTGGTGTCAACCGTGGCCCTTGCCCCACCAGCTCTGGTGTTCCTGCCGAAGTTGAGGCGTCAGCCTCTGGTGCCTCGGTTACTTACTCCAACATCAAGTTCGGTCCCATCGGCTCGACCTTCAGCAACACTGGCTCTGGAAGCCCCCCTTCCAACCCACCCACCAGCTCTTCGTCGAGCACTGGTACCGCCCCGACTGGCGGCGCTGGCACGGTTGCCCAGTGGGGACAATGTGGTGGTATCGGCTACACCGGTGCAACCGCTTGCGCTTCTCCCTTCACCTGCCACGTGCTGAACGACTGTGAGTATCCTTCCACCTCAATCGCTCCTTGCTGACACCTTTGTTTCCTAACAGACTACTCTCAATGCTACTAAGCCGTTTCAGCCGGCTGTAGAGGGATGGACTGTTGACCAAAAGTTTTCACTCATCTCGTTTGTATATTATCACGTCTCGCATCTCAGATTGTTGTCGATCTTTCGATCGACAACATCTGCGCTCTCGAATCCAAAGGTAGAAACGTAGCTTGTCTTGACGTGTACGTTTCTTACCTTGCTATCAGAATCCTGCTCCGTTTTTGTGCGTAGTTTCGAGGCCATTCTTGAAGTGATCAATAGGCTGTACTGAGATGGTCTGCCTGCATCGCTGAGGATGGCATGCATTTCCTCTGAGTACTACATCTTCGCATGCCCAGCCCTTCGACTGTCAACGATTATTTGGACCACCTTTTGGGTACACCTTTCAATATTGGCCTCAGCGCCTGTGTGTCTTGGACTTCCAAAACCCTGGGATCACAATGTCGTTCTCTATGTGGGTGGCAATGTCGAAGTGTCCACAGCAGTGAATCCGCCCACTTCATGATCCTATCAAAGTTGCGACATGAGCATACCGTGTTCATGGTAGGAGAGGCTTGTTTCTCTCGTTGACTTCGACATTCTTGTCCGGCCATTTCATCTAAACTGAAGAAGAGGCATCTTGTGAAGGTAGCTATTTAATGATTATAATTTCAGTAGTATTTTATCAAAGAGCAGCGAGCGCATTGTAGTAAGAACAAATGAACAAGAGTGCGATGTGTATTACAATATACAGACAACGTTCAACACAATTCTACTGAGGTGAGATGATCATCGATATTGTCGACGATTTTTTGACTTGGCCTGCGTTCGTTTACTACCGCTGGCAGTCGGCTTATTGCTTCTCTTGACACTCTCTTGCGTCTGAGCTGGAATATTCAATGGTCTCGGGGGACGCTGAGGGCGCGGATTTTTCTCGTTCGATTTCGAACGAGTCGGATACCGGTGTTCAACCTGTACTGTTTCAACGTGTTCTTGAGGTGCATGCTTGAGACCCTTCCCGGCTGACTTATTATCTCTTTGCCCACTCCGCACGTTTTGAACCTGAGCCTTCGATGGATTCGGGGGACGCTGAGGGCGAGGGTGTTTGTCGTTCGACTTTGAACGCGTCGGGTACCGATGTTCAAATTGTTTCATCTCAACGTCCTCCGGAGGTGCCTCCTGAACATCATTCTCCAGATCCTCACCCTGAACATTATTGGGCTTTGTTTTCGAGCGTGTCAAGTAACGGTGGCGGACAGCGGGAGGAGTAGGCACTCTCTCAATGTGTGACGGGTCGGCAAGAGGCGAATTGAGTTCGGCGGGAGGACATGAAGACCTGGCGGAGGGGAGAGATGGTCTGATGGGCGAATGGATGGAAGACGCAGGCGGGTTGGCGAGCGCAGGAGGTTCGTAAGCTAAAGGTTGGCCTGACAATAACGGTGGGTCCCCAGTCTTCATTCGCTTTGAGCTACCAACAGGCACGTTGTACTCCCCCGCTTGAGCGTTGTCTATAGTCCTCTTCGTGCTGCATGAAGCCCGTGGCATGGCAAGTCCTTGCGGGAAGGAAAGCTGTTCGACTGTTGGGCGAATGCTTGATTGATATCGTTGCGGAATTCCAGACCGAGTGGCGATTTTGGGACGAGATGCGTGGGCAGGCACTACACTAGATGTTGCTCGCTCGCTGCAAGCCACGGCTTGAGATTGGCGGACGGAACTGGCAATATATCCCGTCTTCGCTTTCGCAATGGCCTGGTCCACGTTTCGCTGATATACGCTAGGATATTGGTCGGGAATTGCGTCCTTGTCCTTCCACCCTTCAGATGCTAGCGCGGTATCAAATATATCCAGCACTGTTGAAACCTTGTCCAGAGCACTGGAGAGAATGTTCCTCTGGGATCCGCTGATGTGGCGAACTAACTTACTATTCAACATGTAAGCTGTACTCCATAACTCCGCTAGGCTGTGGATAAGATCATTGAGAGGGCGACATTCCCACTGTACCGCGTCAAGTTGTTCTCCATTGAGAAGAGAAGCTTTCGAGTCGCCGCCGAATGACTGATACTGAGCCTCGCCTGCTACCTTCCGTTCTTGGATTTCATCGAAAAAACCAAGCGTAAAGCCCACGTCACGGCCATTATGTTTGAAATAGTGGAGGGAAACGTAGAGAAGGACCCAGAAACAAGATTCGAGATCATCGCGAACCTCGTGGAACTTGTCCGGCTTTTGAAGTAACGCCACAGAAATAAACTGCCAAGTTCCCTGTGGCGCAATCAGCATCGATATATCCTCTACTTGAACTAAAACATACCGTTCGAGATGCATGGGGTTCCCGATCAGGAATTAGCCTGATACCGTGGTCCCAGTCATTGAGAACACCTCGACCCTTCTTGCTGATCATCACATTCCCTGTACTGATATCTCGATGAAACATGTCTCTGACTTCGTATGCAACCTGTATTGCTATAGTGATGGTAGAAAGGTCGTTGAGCACTGACGAAAAAACTGCATCGAGAGAAGAGACATACATTCAACCACGTCACGGAAGGCTTGAACAGCTTCCCGGGAAGACTGGACAGACGCGATAGGGTATGCAAGCTCTTGTACAATTCGACAGTGTACGTATGTCCGTAACGGCTTGCAAGGTAGGCGCCACTCGGGGAAGCTATCAGGCTTTGACCACTCATCACAGAATGTTCGCTGTTCATCGCCGTCGACCCTCACATCACCAGCGAGGATGACTTCCGGCAGGAATGGAACATCGCAGTCCAACAAGTGCTTGTATATGTCAGCTTCGCACATGATATCCTTGCCTTCGGTACGCCAACAGTCTTTCAGAAAGACCAGCTTGTTCTGCGTTATGTTGTATGCAGCATACGCTCTGGTAGCACGCCCATTAGCCGAGTCCGCATCCCAGAATGGTTGACGGATGATAAAATATTGAGGCTTCCCCTCTTCGTCGTCCATGCAAAGTTGGTAGGTAGAATAAGTGGGATCCGAATTAGCACGAAGAAATTCCATATTGCGGGGCCTCGATAGCTCAATGTAAGTCTCCATTGCATCCGTTAACTGGTCCGCCTGCTCTAGAGTAGCACGTTGGACGGTGACGTCGAATCCGCGTTCCTTGGCATTCATGTGGCTATACCTCCAGAAAAATTCGGCTACGAGTTCTGGATGCTTCAGATAGTCAATGGATTCGGTGACAATACACCCAGCACGGTCCCAGAGTGAGAAACGAATATATTTGCCACAGATAGCGAAAGAGAACATGAAGACCCTGTGTTGACGAGACATAGCCGCAGCAGCATACGAGATCAGTTGTCCACGACAGTCGGCGCTCTTGCCTTCGATCTTCTCCACCGAGTCCAGGTCGATGTCCTCGCTGTTGTAAGACTTGTGGAATGCATCGCCGTCGCGCCGGGGTTTCACTTCTCCCCAGAGATCCATTACGCTGAAGTCGTTGACATCCACAACATCTTCCGCGACGAGCGCAAGATCAGGACGCAGCTTGCAGCCTTCCTTATCTCTCGTGTTTGCAACACACATTAGTTTGAATCCTGGACAGACTTCAGCGTTATTTACAGCGTCACACTGTGGCGTGATCATCAGTGTGTGTTCATGGATGATTTATAAAATGTGACTTACGAGGGGCTGATACATATGCCTCTCAAGACCCCCAGAGGGTACCGGAGGGAGGATAAGATCAGGTATCGGCCGGTCTTGCCAAGTTGGATTCGACGGTACCATCAAGGAGAAAAGTTCGGAACAAGGCGCAGGACCAATGAAAAGACCAGTCATTTCTTTCACGAGCCACTTACGGAGTGCTGTGTAGTATGGGATGAGATATGCAAAGTGTAGGAAACCTGCAAGAAGACACTGTAGAGGAGAGTTGGGGACCGGTCGAGGAGGACGTGTAGTATCGGTCGCGAAGGGAGATGGGGGGTCTACAGAGATGGGTTGGTGAGCCAAGTTAGACATGATTAGCGAGGGGGGAGGGGATGAATGACATACTGTGATATTTTTGACGGCAAACTTTATAGCCAATTGGAGAGCAGGGTTAGCAACGGAAAGGCGTAGGACAAAGAGAAATTGAGAGTGGATTTGACTGTGGTGTTTGACCACGCTGCTCGATCAAGTCAAAGCGTACTCAGTGTGGAATATTCTATTCTCGTACCTTGGAAAAAAGAATAGATACGTCCTGTCCGTGGCTGGAATATATACGAGTTCGACGAATGATGCCTCGAGCAAAAAGATGACGTTGAGAGCGAGAACAACTTCTGAACGATAAAAACACTTCAGAGTAGATGAGAAGGAGGACGAGCAGGCGAAAGAGATGAACTTGGTAGAACAAAGAGCATGTCTCAGACTGGCGCGCGTGCCATTAATTTCCACACAGAACGTCACGGTCTGCCACTCGTCACACTCCGTGGCCTGTGACGTTGAGACGTTGAGTTTGTTGTCCGTCGCTGAGAACTAAGTACGAGATTAGCTTCAAAAGCATATTCGTAAGAAAGACAAAGCCTCTCTAGCGGCTGAGCCAGTTTTCCCCATGTTCCGTACTTTGTAACAGAGTAACCAGTCGTCCGTACCGCGAGACAATGGTGAGGGGGCATAATTGCTTGCTTTTGCACCTCGGACCACGGACCAGCCACACTCAATGAACAAAGGCTCTTCTGAGACATGCATCAGCGGACCCAAATTTCTGGTTGCTTCGCAACTTGATCATTCGAGCCTCAGGCCAAGGGCACGTAAGCCCAGAGAATTCCTGGGTAGGGTCCAACAGCGATTCATATTCAGTAGCCACGAGAGATAACATTTACAAAGCACGCACCCGCGATCCTAGATAGTGATTAGCCTGCATTGGCGAAATAACCATGAGGAGGCCATTTGCAAGGTGCTCCGCCATCGATGAGGCCAGCAAATGTTCCTGTGTATCCTCATGTCGCATAGATCCCGAGTCTGAATGGTTTTGCGTGGAAACACCGCTTTCAGAGGAAACTCTCTGGGTCTGACGACATGGGGAATAGAACAGCCAAAGAATTCGGAGACTATTGTCTCCTAGCAGTCCGACGTCTGGATCTCTTTGTGGGTGGTTCCGGTAATCGGGGGCGGCTATCAACACCCAAACTGGTGAACTTGTTCAGGATTGAGTTAAATCCACAGGAAGAGCTTTAGGCGTTCTTGGATAAGGCCTCTCGCAAAATGAAGGTCAACGATTCCATTTCAAGGAGAAGCAGATAGTACTTCGTACCAACAGTGCGCTCATCGGAACAGCCTGAGGGCCGTATACCAGGCTGAAACAGCGGACTTAAAAGTATGTCTCAGGATGTAGCCTTTCCAACGCAGGGATGCCGTGGAATAATTCTCTTATGCTTGTATTTTGAATATGTAGCTGGGCCGCTTTCTGTAATGAATCTGTGTGGCTTAAAGTCTGCTCAGTATCATTCATTGACTCAACAGCTTGAAAGCCGAGTCGTGAGTTATTATGACCAGTGTTCGAAATGACCCGGTCATGACCTTTTTGACCCAAGTCACATGTCAGGTCACGCCCATAGCGCGCGAACTAATCGCCAACGCAAAACTCACCATACGAAGTATGTAATTGTATAGTACTCGAGGCCAGTGTTTCAAACGTCAGGTCAAGAGGGTCAAGATCGTCATGACCCGGGTCCTACTGACGGACAAGGTCGGAGGTCGGGTTTGGGTCAAGGGTTTTTTGGACCACATGTTGCAGTCCGGAAATGGCAGGTCACCTACCAAATACGTTATGGC